TTTTTTTTTAACATTAAAAAACCATTTTCGAACCGAATTGATGTCAGCACAATGATCACCATATCAAAAAACCTAGTTTAATTTAGTGATAACAGCTGATAAGAGCTTTTGAGATGAAGCTTGATGTATAAAGTTATCAAAAATAGTCTCTACTAGCCCCAGACATCATTTTCTGCAAGTTTGAGCTCAATCTGAGCATATTGATAATTTAGTGATAAGGACTGATAAGAGCTTCTGGGATAAAGCTGGAGCTATAAACTTATCAAAAATGTCATCTACAATCACCAAACATCATTTCCTCCAACTCACAGCTCAATCCGATAATTTTGAAATTTCACTGATAATTACTGATAACAGCTTCTGGGTTGAAGTTTAAGCTTAAAGTGATAGCAGAAGCTGAAATTCAAGCTTCACCCTACTCAAAAACTCATTTTCAGACGATTTACAAAAATTTCAACTTCAATGCGAAATTTCAGCAATGGGTTTCATTAGGGTGTCATTCAACAATGATGGGTTTCACTCGGGTGTCGTTTAACGACACCCTAATGAAACCGAAACAGTGTGAGGTGTCGGTATAAAACGGTTTCAAGGTGTTGCAAATTCGGAACTCTGATGGTGAGGGAAATTGCGCCAAACGTGAGGGAACAACCGCAACACGCCATTTTTGATTCGATGAAATTTTTTGAATTACAAGTTTTTTGGTCTATTTATACTACGCTGAATTGTAGAGTAAGAAGAGACGTTGAGAAAATAAGGATGATAAACTAGAGACCACAAAATTTTGCTGACATTAGGTTCTAATGATGAGAGACGCAGCAAAGTTAGTGGATTTTGTAAGAAAAAGTTCAAAAACTTTCACTGCGGAAATTTAAAAAAAAACGTGGGCGGAGTCTGTTCATATCCCTTTTTCGTCTCGCGTCTCTCGTTAATTTTTACTCTCTCGCTTTTTCTCGCGTGAAATTCTGGCTGCTCCTCTCAACTGTTTTCCACGGAAACAAAAAAGTAATTTTTCTCGCTTTTTTTGTTTGTCATATCCAATTTCTTTCGAAAAAAGTTTAATTTGATCTCGATTTTTTCTTCGAACCTACAAACTACAAAATTTGGTTATATGATTATCCATGAGTCAGAATTTACACTTCTAACATAAAACTACACTCATTTCTACTTTCTCGCTCACATGGTAACCATTTTCCTCGTCTAATTGATTTGTTCTTTGCTTTTTGCTTTTGTGATTATTTCTATTTTTCAGCGAGGAAAATGAGAACCTTCTGCAAAGTTTGCAGTTCTTCGGCCGATTCGTTTAATTTCGGAGCGCTAACTTGTCGGTGAGTTAACGAGATAAGTATATAATCTCGAAAATTTGATACGGTAGTTTTCAGAGCATGTTCAGCGTTTTTCCGGCGATGTGTGCTCCAAAATTATGAGCCAATAAATTCTTGCGATGAAAAATGTGAGATTTCAGCAAAATCGAGAAGACTTTGCAAAAATTGTCGATTTGAAAAGTGTCTTAGCATTGGGATGAAGCAATATAAAGTTGTGATGAAAATTACTCCAAAAAGTTTGAGGCAAAATTCATTTCTACATTTGATAGATATTGAAAAGTTTGATAAAAAATTGGAAATAGCAAAAACAATGAATTTTGAACAAACTGGAAATAAAAAGAACGATTTGATAAATTACCCAGTTTTCAATGATGTTTTTGCGCGGTATTCGGAAATTGTTATGGAAAATATTGAAATCGCATATCCTCAATCTGGGGGGATTGAGAAATCTCAGAGAAATATTCTTCTAAATAATTTTGTCGCTCCATTCATTTTCATCGAAGGAGCATTTATATCTGAAAATCTTTCACTTTGGGTTTTTCCAAATGGTGAATGTCTTGACTCAAATCGATCTGAATGTTTCTATATGATGCATGAGAATGATGAAACTGGAGCAATAAGTAACAAGTTAGTTGATATTGATCTAACATAAAAATCTTTATATTTCAGACTTTTCAAACCTTATTGGGTTAAAATGCATGAAAAATTACGAATTCCACTTGAAGATGCGAAATTGAATAAAGCTGAATTGTTCTATTTATTCTCATTGATTTTTTGGGATGATAAACTTGACGGTCAATCGGAAAAAGTGTCGGAACTCTGTCGAATTCAACGCCAAAAACTGTTCACCGAGTTGATTGAATATGAAAAACAGTGGTGTTCGACGGATACGTCACTTCGAATTGGCAAAATTTTATTACTACTTCCTGCAGTTCAATCAGCTATTCAGATTATGAGCGAATCTTCGAAAATACATGTTCTCTATGATGTGCACGATCATCATAGTAGTGTTTTTAAATCACTTGGTTTTTGATTTAATTTTCCTTGCAATAAATTTTTAAACGCCAGGTGTTTTGGAAGATCAGTTGACAAGGAGAGTTCGCAGAGATCAAGAAGTTTCAGAGACAAATAAAATTTTTCATTTTAAAATCACAGTTTTTTCGAAATACAAAAAAAAATCCACTTATGTAGCCATATCACTGCTCCGAACAACAGAAATTTTTGTGGATGTTACTGTTAACTTCCGCCTCAAACTTGATACAAAAAAGTTACGGTAGGGTGTTATGAAAATGAAAGAAGACATTGGATTGAGAATCGGTACCAGGATAAAGAGACAAAACATGACGTATTGTGGAAGAGCATTGTTCAATAAATTCCATTGTTGAATCATAAAACATAAACCACCCCAGAGGTAAAATACTGGAATGCAAGCTTGGAAGGTTAGAGCCTGCAATTTTCAATAAATACTATGTACTGAACGTATTAATTAACCCACTCTTAGAAGTTGAAGCTGAAGTTGTTTAGAACGTTGTGATGTGGCATGACCGGTTTCATTGAGTTTAGTTATTATTCGATGTCTTAATATCACTATTGTAACAGCGATTGGAATACTAACACCAACTATATGAATTGTGACATAGAGAACAGTGAAATCCCACACCGAACTGACTGCAGTTACAGTGAGTTCACTCAAATCATAACTCGGGAAGTATTCGAGAATCATGTTTTTTGCCACATCCTCCGGCACATTTTGAGTGTACACATTGATCATTTGAAAAGCAGATGGGAGATATAACAGACAGATGAGAGATTGGGTCTTCCAAATCGCTGGTTCGGATTTGACTATGACGTAATATCGATAGGAGAATGAGATGAGAAGCAGCCAAATTGAATGGGTATAAAAATTGAGAGTTATGGCAAATATGATGAAGCAAAACCTTGCTGAGTGTAAAGAACATGGGCCAATTGAGATATAGCAGACTCCCACTCCACAAACAATTAATCTTTGCATGAGTAGGAAGTTGAAAAAACACACCAGAAAGTCAGTGATCGAAAAATTGATGACTAAAACACCATAGCTTTTGATGCTCTTGGGGCTTTTGGTGAGCACAACATAAACCAAGAACGCATTCAACGTGCATCCAAAAACTGAAGTAATGGAATGATAAGCCCGGAAATAGTTGATGAAGCCGTCCATAACTTGACTATATTTAGAATATACGTTGATTGTTATTCGACTTTTTATACTTTTATTTGTAGGATGGATGGAGCAGCGAAAATATGAATGAAAATATGATTATTGTAGTTGAGTAATGTGTAAACAAAACGACAGGAAATCAACTGACATGCTTGACGTGAAAATATCTAAAAATCATCTAGATTAGTTGAATCATTCTTCTTTTGAAGGCGGTTTTCAACACGAACTCACACGCCCAGAAAAACACTTTATTTCTACTCAATGAACATCTAACAAACTACAGTACTCATACAAGTTTTTCACGACAAAACTTTCTCCAAAAAGGTCTCAAAAAATTCGACACCGAATGGTGTGAAATGATTTCCACCCGACATATAAGCAAATCCATTATTATCGTAATATCTATACATTTTTATTCCATTTGGATGAAATAAATCATAATAATCGATAAGTTCACATTTTGATCCACAATCTTTTATTAGTTGTGCATATCTTTTTGATGCTGCCAAGTGTTGATCATAATCTTTCACCATTTTTTGCTGAATGTTTGATTTTTATTGTTTGTAGTTCTCTAATTTGTTGATTGAACTTACATCAATTACATCTTTAGTCACATTATTTTTAAGATCATCGGTTAAATGTTCCACAGCATCTTTATTAACTGGTGGAACTGAATTCAAAATAAATAATTTATTTTTTATGTTTTTAATCAAGTGTCGAGTTTTATTCAAAATTGATTGATAAATTGGATCATTTTCGAAATCATCTGTATAATTCGTTCCAAACGATATTGCTCTATTTATATAAAATGCATAGTCTGGTTTATATTCTTGTAAATTTTGAAGAATATTTTCCATAAATTCAGGACATTGCTGGTATATAGTTGGAAAATCATATAATGGTTCACATCCTTTCAAAAAAAGATTTTTCATGGAATAAACTTTTTTAGAACTAACCACCAACCGATCCTCTCGTAATATTCTTAACCAGCGGCCCACATTCCTCGTACATTAATTTTGCATGATTTTGTGTATAGCTATTTCCGAAAGACATAATTTTTAATGTATTATTTTGATTCAATCCATCAAACCAGCACCATCCACTACTGATTCCTCCACATTTAAATTTCAAGTTTTTCAAATCCATCACATCCCAAAGATGATTCATTCTTTTCGCATCTTCCAATGTGCCATTACCAATTAATGCTCTGACGTTATCTGTTATTGTTTCTTCCGACGGTTTTTGTAATAATTGATAATTCAAAATGACCATATTCATAGATAATAGTGAAATAGTTATGAAACCTATTACAATATTTGATTGTTTTGTATACCATTTCTCGAAACTATGATAAACCAAAATTGAAAGAGCAACAGATAAAGATAAAAATAATAGAGTATAATTAGACATTCCAGTTATTTTACAATATGAAGATATTGGCCAATGAATTAAATATAATGAATATGAAATATCACCAATAAATGTTAATGTTTTATTTGATAATAATATATCATCGTCTTTTGAAAATATTAAAATTATCCCCGTAATTAATGTAATTAATGGTCTGGAAATCATATTAGTTATGCAGTCAATTGGCAAAAAATTACCTCAAAGTAGTTGGCATTATAGTTTTTGGAAAGAATATAATAAATATAACTGCTAAGTTTGAGAATAGAGTTGAATTAGTGGTAATTTCGTTGCTCACAGATTTTTTTGGCTCTAATTTTTGGTTCTCAATTTGATCCGCATTTTTTATTGATTCAAGATCAGTTGGTATCTTTTGATGAACAATAAAAGCAATCATACCAATTAAAAATTGCCAAATTCTTGCAAAAACATTGAGAAAAGCAATATCAGATGGTAAAATAAAAAAATAAAAAACTTATAATTGATATAATTGTTAATGATATTATTCGAAATGGTAATACAAATAAAAATGGAACAATCAAATAAAATTGAATTTCAACAGAAAGTGACCAAGTATGTGTGAATATATCAGTTGCCATATTTAATTTTTCAAAATAATCATCTTCTAAAGTTTTCAACTGATTTGATATAAATATTATTGCTCTTTTCGCTGAATTTATATTAATTTCAATTGTTGTGTCAGGAAATATTAAATATAAAGCAATTAATGATAATAATATTATTAATTGATATAATGGTAAAATTCTTTTGAATCGACGAATATAAAAATTTGATATCATTTCAATTTTTGATAGTTTCTCTGTTTTCGTTAATAACATACACATCAAGAAACCAGATAATACAAAAAACCTGAAAACAAATCATAATTTCCCCAATAATCTTAGAAAATTGTAAACTTACTGATCAACTCCTAAATATCCATTTGGAAAATAATTGGGAAAGAAATGAAATCCTAAAACTCCTAATATTGCGATTCCTCGAATACCTTGTAAATTCAACACTTTTCTAAAAGTCATTTTGGAACTGAACAATTATCTTTTGAAATCTGTCAATTATATATATATATATATATATATAGATCTTAATCTGATACAAAAATACATTTTCGGAACAAAATTGAAAACGTTTCGAAATGAAACAAGCTACAACATATATGCATTGGAAATCTCGTCTTCAAAATAATAAGAAATGGAATTTAGATTTTAATAAAAACTTTACGCGACATTGGGGACTCGGTGAAGAATTATGACAGGTTTTTTTCAAAAAGTAGATTTGAATTTGAAATTCAAAACATTAAATTTATTATTTATTTATTCATTCTGTTTTAGTAACCTCGCCAATTTATTCGAATAGAAGGATCCTTGATTTTCATGTGTTAAATTTCAAATCAGAACATACATATGTATATTGTATTAATTCGTTCTGTTCTGTTCATACAAATTAGAAGCATCTGGTTCTATCCGAAACATATCCATACAAATTAGAAGCATCTGGTTCTATCCGAAACATATCCATACAAATTAGAAGCATCTGGTTCTATCCGAAACATATCCAGATTTTTCTGAAGATAACTCTCGTGTCCTTTTGGAATAGGCGAAATATGTTTGAATCAAAATTATTTTTGGATTGAATGATTTTGCTACAAATAAAACGGAATGGACATAAAAACACTACTCCAAACTGGACTTTCAAGCCATTTTACACGGTGTTTACTGTTTTTCGAACTTTGAAGTTTTTCTCTGTTTGCGACGCTTCTAGAAAAAATCCTCAAATTCTCTATCATTTAGTCATTTTCTCAAATCCTAAATGTCACTCTGCACATTTGGACCACCGTACTCTTGCGGGTACAAAAGTTCATCTTATTATTCTGAATCACCTATCTCAAATCTTCATCAATGTAAATTCCTAATTTTCCTTTTTGATCTATTTATTCTGATTCACGGCCAGAATTTTTAAACCTCCCCCCTCTCTCTTACTCAGAGAAACAGGCTGGAGAACCGGCGGAGAAAACGACATGTCGGCGAACTCTCGGACAACCGGTGGACAAAAGTTTCGGCGAAATAGTGTAGGTGAGACACTCCGCCGGTTGTCCGAGAGTTCGCCGATATGTCGTTTTCTCCGCCGGTTCTCCAGCCTGTTTCTCTGAGCTTAAGAGATTGGAAAAATGAGAGAGCGGGAAAAGAAAAAGAGTACAGGCGTACAAAAAAATGGCTGCAGAAAATTGAAAATTCTAAAAAATTTCCTCTCGCATACATTATCATTAGAGCGCACATTCTCCGTAAGAACAAAAAGTTTTATTTTTCTCGCCGTGGATTTGAAGATGTATTTTCATTTTCTCTAAAAATTTTCGTGTAAAAATGTCTCGTTGAGTTTCTGGGAAAATTTATCGAATTGTCCAAATTACATTTTCGTTTTCGTTAATATCAATCAAGTCTTCAAATTTTCATTAAACACGCTTTCTCGTTTTGTCACGATTTGTCACGAATCTTGATTTTCGAATTCACTCATTTTTATAATTTCATCATTTTCTTTCAACTTCTCTTATCTATATTTTTGGAAAATCATCAGATAAGTTCTCTTCTCTTCGCTCACTTTTTTTTTCGAAATGATGATACCTTCAAAAAATTCTGGAACTTTTAATGTAAACAAACTGTCTCAGTTCATGTAGTCTCGAAATTTTGTTTCATAAATTTTCAAAAAAAAAAATTATATTCACATTAGATGCGCCGACACAACTTCAGTAAATCGATCATGTTCGGGAACATATCCAGTATCCTTGAATCCCAATTCCATCTGCCTCTGTCTGGCGATCGCAGTCGCATCTCTCAACGTCGGATAAAAATTGTCTTTGGGCACAAATTGATAGAAATCGCATTTATCAAATAATTCTCGAACCGGTGCTTTTGCATTCGCAAAATACACCAAAATCCCCCGTTTTCTCATATCTGAGAAAATCTCCTTGAGTGCACTGACTCCCATCAAATCGATGAATGTGAAGCCGGAACAATCGATGATGAAATGACGTGTTAGAATATTGTCGCAAACTGTGTCAATGTTCTAAAATTGTTTTGGTTTTGAAAAAAAACATGGAAAGTGGTAGAACCTTTTCAATAGTTGACTGATTCTCAGAGCTCATCAATATTTTTTGCTGTTTCAAAATCGTATCTCTTTCCTCGCGCAACACATAGAATTCATGCGATTTTTGCCATCCTTCATACGCTTTTCCGATCGATTTTTTGAAACATTCAACATTGTGAAATAAAAGTGGAGCATCGAATCGAAAAACACAAATTCCTTTGAAGTACATTGTGTCGCCATATCTTTCCGAATCTCGAAAATCGTGGGTTCCTTTGACGCTGGCGAGAATGTGCCATTTTGGACTGAAAAATCGATGATTTTGAGAATTTTCGAATTGTAAAAACCTACTACTGCTCTCTCAAAATTGTGGTGAATAGTGCAAAAGTGACTGAAATTATCAAACCTTCTGAAACATCTATCAAAGCTGTTGATAGAAATGCGACGATCCAAATCATCTGCAAAAACTGTTTGCCTTTGGTGGCCCAAAAAGCCTACACCCCCTTACAAAATCAATTTTCGACGTTTTCCACAAATCGAGCAAATCGGCAAATTTGCGAAACATTCCCTGAAGTGAGACACAAATAATTGCTGCCAAAACGCACATTGGTAAAGTCTCCAAAAATTGTCCCAAAAACAGAACGACAAGAAGCACCAGTGCCGAGCTGAACAAAATCGATAATTGCGTAACAACTCCGGCTCCAAGCGCAACAACAGTTCGGCTGAGTGAACAAGAAACGGGTAGAGTTGGAAAGAAACTCGAGATTATTGATGTGAAACTCAATGCAAACAATTCTTGTCCGGCGTCCAAATCGTAGCACATCTTCTTGGCCAACATTTTTGAAATTGATAGCCATGTTGAGATTGCGACAATTGTTATACTTATGGTTTCCGGTAGAACTTTTAAGATTAGGGAGAAATTTGGAATGTGAATTGTGGGCAGGCCGATGGGAATTTTTTGAACGGTTTTGAGATTGAATGAGATGTCGACACGGGTTAGAAAGACAAAAAGGGTTGATAAGATCACCTGCAAAAATACTGCAGATAGAAAAATTGTCTGAAAGCTCACCACAATCAATTCCCATGGAATCGGAACATCAACTCGCGTCTTCCGCTTAATCATCGGATTGACAAATTCTTTTCCGCATACCAAAATCGCAATACTGATCACTGAAATAGCGCTACACACCCAGTTCGTTTCGCCAATCGCCAAACAAACATCTCGCAAATTACGCAGCAAGTATAGTGGTCCCGAATGTTTGGGAAGTCCACGAATCCCCAAAAGTGTCTTGATTTGAGAAACCATAACATGGATCGAGGAGCCGGTTGTGAAGCCAGCGATGACTTGATCTGATAGGTAGGTGGTGAGAAATTGGAGGCGCATCAGACCCATCAAGAACTGTAAACACTATTTACACTAAACCAGTTTTGCTGCTCTCACCAAGATCAAGCCCATCGTCAATGAAATTGCACAAGCCACCTCTTCCGCATTTATATTCTCATCTATGTCCTGAATATTTTCAACAGCAATTCCAGTCATCAAACAAGTTACAGCAAATGTTCCAATACTTGATTGTCTTGCGGTCCCAAAAAACATATAAAGCATCGGTGGAATCAGAGATGAGTAAAGACCATTGATTGGTGATTGTTGAGCCAACAGAGCATAGGCAACGCCTGCAAAAAATTCAAGACAATCAAGAAATTTTTCAAAAAGAGCTGACCCTGTGGAACATGCATCACACCAACTGTCAAACCACCAACAAAATCGGCCAACAAATTCGCCTTGAAATCATAATTCGGAAGCCATTTGAGAATCGGAATCAAATCGAGGATGAAGATTTTGAACAGCTGACAAGAGGTGAATGGCTCATAATAGCGACGCACGAATTTTTTCACACGCTTTTTCAGCACATTTTCAGTCTTTGGTTTATTGTAGTCGAATTGTTGATCGAATTGAATCTAGAAGAACAAAACATCAAAAAAAAAAATATAATTCAAAAAAATATTGAAGAAAATTTGCTCACCTGATTCATGGCTCCACGTTGAACAAATGAGATCCTTCTAGAACTTTGCGTCGGATTTGAGTTGTTGTAAAAATTGTCCAGAAAATCGCCATCATCAATAGGCTCCATTTGTTTTCACTTGTCAGTCAGTAAAAATTGATTTTTTTCGACTAGAAATATGTGATTTTTGCGAATTCTCTTCTTTTGAAGTGTGTGTGTGTGGTGATTTATGCAAATTTTTTCGAACTTTCAACTGGTTTATTTTAACCCTATTAATGTTTGAACTGAAAGTTTGAAAATGTGTGAATTGGTGCCAAAAATAACTCCTTTAATTCAAAAGTTTTTCAATCGTCCAGAAACTCGAATTGTTTTCAAAATTGTGAATTTTTTTTGTTTCTTCAAATAAAAATGATCGATACGGTCGATGCAAAAAAATCATTGAAATCGTCTGAACACTTCCATGCATACAAAAAATCAGAGCGATAAAATTATTGAAATTTTGATTATAATATCCGAATAGCGATGAGTATGCTAAATAAATTCCAGGAAACATCAGAGAAATTGTTGGAATTGTGATTTGCAAACAAGTTGCGATAAAAACATTTTTCTGTAGTTTCCGAGTTGCTGGACTTAGGGTAATATCATATTTGAAATATAGATAATAATAAGTTGAGATGGCGAAATATACAACTTCCAATGAGATTATGAAACTGTGTATGGATGTTTTTGAAGCGGGATCTGTTGAATCTAGAGAGATCACAAGAATATCTCTTTCAGAAATAAGATTTTGTAATGATTTTTGTGTACAAAAATCTACGGAAAATTCATGAATCAAATTGTTTTTCGCGGAAATTTGATCGGGAATCTTTGCAAGATAAATTGTAAGAGCAACAAAGGCTGTTGTGTAATTGATAAGATATGTGAGAATTTGAAGGGTTTTTGACCAAGTTTTGGAGTTTCGGCAAATTTGGAGATAACGATTCTGCATTAGGGATGGGATACAACTAATCACCGATATCAGGATGTAGAAGCCTAATAGAGTTTGGTAGAATACTGGAACTTTTAGCCATGTTAGAAGACCTGAATTTTGGAGTGTTTCAGCTCTTCGCGAACATCAAATTGAAAACTTACCCAACGAAAATCCAGCAGGCGCCGGGGCCAACATAAACGGCATTGATAAAAACGTCAAATCAACATCAAGTGCAAAATTACGAAAACACGATAATATCAAGATGGGTTTCATGGATTTCACGCGCACTGGTGTCAGAAAAACGACACAATAAATACCGAAAAAATGAATTGGGACACTGAAAATGGCGATAAAATGCACCGAAGATTGTAGGAATTCTGGAGATGCCAAGTAGCTTGATTTTTGTGAGCAATTCATGATGAATGTTTTTTTGGTCAGATTCAAAAAATGATCGAAAAACAAAGGAAATTATGTTTTTTGTTTACAATAAGACGTGTAATATAACAATTCGTCGATCAAATTGTTTAGATACTTGAAAATATTTATTAATTTTTCAGAATTGCCTGAACAGATCTAGCTATCATTTCAGCCCTGGACTTATTTTGAAAATGATCATCTTTTTTCACAAAAACTGAAGCCTTCGCATTTTTCTCAAAAAACATCACAAATTTGATCGATATCTGGATCATTTTGAAATTTCTGAAAAAAAAACCATATTTATATTTAATTTCTACGGTTGTCTGCTCACCAAAGCCTCCAAATTTTCATATTTCTCCAGGCATTCTTCCATGATTTTCGATTCGATGAATTGATCTCTTCCAGCATAGGAAATCAGGATTCTAGTGTTTTCAAGACTATTCAACTTCTCAATAAATTCTAATTGTTTTTCTAGCATCACATCATTCACAGATCTCAACGCACTTATACATTCTTCAGGGCAATGAATGTGGAATTTCATAGATCGATAGATTTTGTAGATCAGTAGGTCAGCGATGGTTTTTGGGAGGAGATCGTAGATTTTTGTGACATATCGAAGTTTATATTCAGGGGAAATTCCGCGGTGTCGACGAAGACCGAAAGGGTTGATGAGGACTAGACCGTGAGCCTGGAATTTTAGATTTTTTTAAACTCCCAGGGAAAAATCCCCCACCTTTCGCTCTACAGCAGTTTGCAAAGTATTCTCACATCCTCGACTATGTCCCATAAAAACAATTTTTCCCGAAATTCCCAATTCATCAATCAATTGATCGCTAAACAATTGCCGCTCAACATTCCCAAAATCCTGTCCCGCATAACTTTTCGAATAGGAAAATCCGGGATAATTCAGCCCAATAAATCGAATATTCATCTGATCCAAATATTGTCGAATATATTTGAAATCGTTGTGAGAGCCGGGTGAACCATGAAACGCTATTACAGTTCCAAGGGGGTTTGAATTCGAGTTTGGAGGCTGGGAATCTTCATAGATTGCTGTGATTTTTGGATTTCCTGAGGGTTTTTGGATAGTTATTATTTTCTCAAAAAGTTTTGGTGGATCGACTTGGATGCGAGATAGTTGCCGGAAGGTTTGGAGCATTTTCTGAAATCCTTCCTCAAATTAATATTTTATTTTTTCCCAAAAATAACTTACATTTGTATGTATGTATCAAAAAATAAATAGAAAAACTAGATAGAGATCATGAAAACAACCAAAGTGAAAAAGAAGAAATGTCTAGCAGTTGTCTTTTTTGCGAGGACTACATTGTAGCTTGGGAATAAGAAATGTAAAAAATTTTAAAGGTCACGTTGATTTTCCGAAAAAAAACATGGATTTATTTTTTCTAAAGAGAGAAACCAAGAAAAATATAGAATTATTGAAATCTAAAAGGGTATGGAACGGTCAAATTGGTGTCAATAGGAATATTGGCGGTTAAACCTATTTTGGCGGAGACTCCGGACCATTCAGCTGTCTGCAAAACAACAATTGTCAACCTAAATAACCTTGTCAAAGCGCGCGCCCGACGTTTCACTGGATAATGCCAACATATCGTGTAAACCAGTGAAACGTCGGGAGCGCGATTTAATAGTCATCTGAAAAATTGTTGATTCATTCACCAATCCCTTTTACCAAACCAAAAAAGGGAAGATACACCAACAAAAAAACAAATGAATACTAAAACATCCAACCAATGCATTTTCAAGTAAGTGCGCGGAGAAAAGCTTTGGAAGATCACATAATAATCATTTTTCGCCAGAAAAATGGTGCACTTTCTCGGTGTGTTGCTAATAATTGTTGTTGGGTTTGTGGAGAATGATCCGGTTTTTTTGACAAGTGAGTTTGGGATTTTCAAAATTTCTAAAAATCCCTGAAATTTTTTCAGCAAACACTGATATTTGCTTGGAACCCGTTGATCCAGGACCTTGTCAGTATTACGCAGTTCAATGGTTTTGGGATCAACAAGACGAAGAATGCAAAGAGTTCCATTATGGTGGATGTATGGGCACCAAAAATCGATTCGCCACTAAACAACAATGCATCAAACAATGTAGATATAAGATGTTCAACCCAATCGCAATCCCTGATCTCTGTCTTCTCGACGTTGATCAAGGACATTGCGGAGACGAACGTCGTGGGCATTATTGGTATTTCTTCAACTCAGAATCAGGACTCTGTGAGCAATTCTTCTATTATGGATGTGGGGGGAATGACAACAAATTCTATAGTTTATATCAGTGTCGCAAGGTTTGCGGTGAGCGTTTGTCGCCGCAAATCGCTTGCGAACATTGCAACGCACAGACTTCGTTTTGTAAATCGCATTCGAAATTCAATTGGACGTGCGAGTGTCGAGTTGGTTTTGAGAAGAATCAGTATGGCGAATGTGTTGGTGAGTTTAGGTGGGGTGGAACAAACCCGGATAATCTATGTTTCTTGTAGATTATCCGGGTAAATCATATCCCTTTTTAAAATCATATCCCTTTTTCGTCTCGCGTCTCTTCTGCACACACACGCTAATTTTTACTCTCTCGTTTTCTCTCACCTGAAATTGTGGCTGTTCTCAACAGTTCCACACAGAAACGAATAAAAAAAAGGTTTTTTTCGCACAAAAAAGTGAGAGGCCTTAAGTCCGGCCATAATTTTCAAGCCTGAGGCGGCCTCTAGCCAAGCATGTTTCAGACATCGACGAATGCCGCGGCTACACTGCCGTCTGCGACCGCAACGCCTGGTGCACCAACGAAGTCGGCTCCTACAACTGCGAATGCATGGCCTCATACCGTGGCGACGGCAAACATTGCACATACGTCGGCCTCGGTCGCTCCTCAATCGATTGCAAAGATTGCTCAACACACGCAACATGCGTCAGCGGAGTTTGTCAATGTAAAGAAGGTTACGAGGGTGACGGTTTCAATTGTACCGATGTTAATGAGTGCTTGCGTCGTCCGGAAGCTTGCGACAAGAATGCGGAATGTATCAATCGAGACGGCAGTTTCATTTGTACCTGTTTACCAGGTTTTGCAGGAAATGGCTATAATTGTACAGTATCGAAGAATTCGTGCTTGGATAAATTTGATCACGATTATAAGGATACTTGTAGTAATGAGAATTGGAGACCTCATTATTATTATAATCATGAAACCCGGAAGTGAGTTCCTGATGTTTTTCGGCTGAAATGTTCGGTCATCCAATTGTTTTCCAGCTGTGAACAATTTTGGTACGACGGATGCGCAGGACGTTCACGCAACATTTTCTCCGAGTATGAAACTTGCACCTCATTTTGCGAAGAGACAAATGTGCTGACAAGAGCCGGCGAGTTACCAGAATTTTCAGATGACCCGACTTGTGTTTGTTTTTTTTTCGCTGTGAGCGGCGCCAAACATCAAAGTGGTGTTTGGTGAGAAAAAAAAGGAAAAACTAAATATTTTTTTTTTGGTGAAAGGGAAGAAGAAAGGAAAATAGGTTCACATGAACTTGTTTTCCTATTTTTTGGAGGTTCAGAGAAATTTACGTTTCAAATGAGCTTTGCTAGGAATTTTTTAATTAGTTTGTGATAGGGTGAATAATTTTCAACGGTTTTGAAATTTTGTGAGAAAATTTAGATGAATCTAGATTTTTTTGGAATTTCAAAACCAATTTGAATTTGACGACTTTATTTCAGAAAAAAATATTGTATTTTGGTGGAAAATGTTATTTTCAAATTTGAAATCTCACCCTGTATTTCAGAAGATCTTTTTGGATCTTTGCAAACAATTCTAGGCTTATGAGATGTCAATATACTCCAAATTTCTTTCCCGATTTTCAGAAATTTGAATCTCTATTTGCAAAAACTCAACCCAATTCGGAATAATTCTCCTCTAAATTGCCCTTTCCACAAAAAAACCAGCAAATAATAATAGAGGCGCTGTTCGAGCAAAAAATCTGCTCCACAAAATCCCATCCATCCATCTAACTTTGCCCCCCCCCCCTCCTCCATTTTTCCTCCTCCAAAAAAATTGTCCTCGTTTTCCCCCGCACAAATCCATTGTGCTATTTCTTTGAGCTCCAATTCTTGAGCAAAAATGTCAAAGTCCAATGTTTTTTATTATATTTATGCATTTTATGTCGAAATTTTTTGAGCTTCGGCCAAAAAACATATATAGCATTATAATGATGAGCTTCTTGATCTTGTTGAGAAATCTTTTGGGCTCCGCCGCAAAAATTCTCATCCTCCTCTCTCTTTGTAAGGCAGCTTGCGCCATGGAAAAAACCCCATGAGACTTCCGCTTTTTCTCCCACCACCAAAAAAATGTTGTTGTTATTTTTTTCGTTGAAAAAATTTGTATTTTCATTTTTATTCGTAACTTTTTTCTTCTCTGATCACACCCACACAAAAATCTTCTTTTGAAGCTGGCACTTGTCGGGTCATCATCGAAATGGTGATGAAAAAGAAATGAGCCCACGCAAAACCACCACCATCATCATAATTGTCACCCTATTGATTTCCAACATTTTTTCACGTTCAGAAGTTTGCTGGGACAAATTCGATATGAACTATAGGAATCAGTGTTTGCACGGTGAGTGGTTTTCTAGGTAATCTCTGAATGGGGCCCCTGAATGGGGCCAGTTTCTGAGAAAATGGGGCCACCTGAATGGGGCCACTTGTATGGCAAATTCTCTCAATGGGGCCAGCAAGAAAAAAGTAAGAATTTCTCACTTTTTCCTCAATGGGGCCACCTAAAAAGATGAAACACATAATTTCTGCATATTTCCTCAATGGGGCCATGTATTTTTTGTGCATTTCCTGAATGGGGCCCATCTTTTCATTTTTATACATCTTGTGACGTCATAGTGATCGTGAATTGAAATTTCATGAAAGGTTTCGAATTTTTTAATAGCGTATGTGAGTTATAACTTACTCATATGTTTACCACGTATGCAAATGTTGGGTTCTGAAGGCATAGCCTCTCTTACATGAAAATTCTCAAGTTTCATGAATTTTTGAAACAGTAAAATTAAATGAAATATTTCTTTTTGGAATTCAAGTCTTGCTTTTTTTTCAAACACTCGAAAACTATCAAAAATCACAGAGGAAATGCAGAATTTTCACAAATTGGAGAAAAAATATCAAATGTTTTTCTCAAATTTTCGGGTCATGAGAAATACTACGCATCAAACAATTCGAAAAATATTCCCGGAAGCATGTTTTGAAAATTGAACCAAAATCTGGAAGTAGTTCTTTAGATAATTCTCACAGAAATTCTATAGAGAATTTGAAAACTATTGAAGAACAAGTCATATAAGTTTTCACACCTTGATATTTTGGCACCTTGCCCATAAACAAGACACGGACATCGCGCAAAAAAGTGTGTTTTTTTTGGAGACACAGATGAGTTTTTTTGGGAAGATATCCAAAAAACTTGTTGTCAACTAGCAAATAATACGGTAATAACCAAAACTTAAGGAAAAAACTTATTTTAGAAGAAAACATCAATTTGATTGAAGAAAATAATTGGGAAAATGTAAAAGTTTACCCAGAAAAATTATTCAAAATATTCGAGGAAAATTTCAATATTTTCATCATTAGAGCCTGAAAATTTGAAAAAAAAGTTACATTTGAAATGTTTTCGATGCTGAGAATAAAAGCCACATAATAACAACGTGATTAAAAATTCGAAAACTTTCATGAAATTTCAATTCACGATCACTATGACGTCACAAGATGTATAAAAATGAAAAGATGGGCCCCATTCAGGAAATGCACAAAAAACACATGGCCCCATTGAGGAAATATGCAGAAATTATGTGTTTCATCTTTTTAGGTGGCCCCATTGAGGAAATGGTGAGAAATTCTTACTTTTTTCTTGCTGGCCCCATTGAGAGAATTTGCCATACAAGTGGCCCCATTCAGGTGGCCCCATTTTCTCAGAAACTGGCCCCATTCAGGGGCCCCATTCAGAGATTGCCGTTTTCTAGGGGGACAACAAACATTTTCGGGGGTGAAATAAATCATATTGGGGAAAAAAAGCATGAATGTTCCAAGAAAAATGTGTTTTTTTACGAGGCTGCCAGATTTTTTATGTGGAATAATTTATTGAAAGATGCTTCTAGAGTCAAAGTCTGAAGATCGGATCGAAAGAGAACGTGAAATTCATGAGAATAACTATTTTGAAAAAATCTTAGACTTCACATAGTTCAAATTCATAAAGCCAAACTAGAACTAGAGTTTAGTTTAATCACCTCGCTATTATTTTGTATTTATCGAATAACTGATTATGTAAACTAGACTGTAGTTTCAATAAACTAGAATAATTATTTTGAAAAAATCTTAGCCACATTCACTAGACTTCACATAGTTCAAATTCACATAAGCCAAACTGGTATGTTTTTTTCAAAGCTAATTTGATTATGTAAACTAGACTATAGTTTTGATGAACTAGAGCCTAACCTAACTGATGTCTCTAGGAATCGTACCCACCCTCCAACTTCCAGGCCACTGGGAACAACGATACTACTTCGATCACGCCTCACTCACCTGCCGACAATTTTGGTTCGACGGGTGTCGATCCGATTCGCGAAACATCTTCGACGATCATCTCACCTGTCAATGGCTATGCGAATCGCAACCAATGTACAAGAGTAGTGAGTTAAGCGGGTTTCCCCAAGGGAAAACGGGGGTTGATAAATGACTGACTTCCTCATTTCCTAGGATCCTGTTTGGAAGATTTCGACCCCGCTCTACGTGGTGAATGTAACGGTGGACGATGGCGACATCAATGGTATTTTGATAAAAACACCAAGAAGTGCTATCCATTTTGGTATGATGGATGTAAGGGTTCAAATGAGAATATATTTCAAGATGAGATGAGTTGCCTAGTGACTTGTGAGAACCCGGCGAAAAAAGATCCCAAGAAACCGTGGCACAATAATGACAAGCATAAGATGAAGGAGATATTGAGCGAATCGGTTTATAAGCCTAACCTGACTGATGTTTGCGCCACTGATGATCCGTGTGAAAATGGAGGGATTTGTATATTTGTGTGGAAGAAGAATACACATTATTGTAAATGTCCGGCTGGGTATAATGGGAATAATTGCGAGAATTTGATTGGTGAGTGAGACTTTTTTTCTGAAATTCATTCTCATAAAATAAATTCCCCCAGAATTCGATCCATGTGCCGAAAAACCGTGCCTAAATGGTGGTTCCTGTCAAGCCAAATACAAGGAAGATGCCGCCGATGAAGACAAGCCCGAATTCGAATGTTTCTGTACACCCGGTTACGCTGGCTTGAAATGCGAAGAACGACCGTGTGAAACAAATCCTTGTTTGAATAACGGAACTTGTCGAACCACCAAAGGAGTTTCGCACTTTTTCTGCGATTGTAGTGATGGATATGGGGGAAAGAATTGTGATATTAGTGAGTTTGAGAACATTTATTGGGATACTCGATGAAATACGTTTCACTCAAAACTGATTTTGAATATTTTTCTAGAACTTGGTGACACGCAGCCTAGCGAAACCTATGGTAAAAACGTGGAACAAATCTCAAGTGGTAAAATCGAGTGGATCAATGAGTTGAAGAAAAAAATGGAGGCACAAAGTGGTGGAATCGGCGGAGCAAATGGTGGAGGTTTGGGTGCAACTGGTGGAAAATCTGGCGAAAAATCGAAATCGAAGACGAAAAAAGTGACGACACAAGTGGCCGATGAGCCGTATAAAGGTGGGTCGGGGGGAGACTGCTTTATCAAGCTTTATCTGAAAAAATTCTAGATCCTGCTACGCGTAAAAAGGAGCGCGAGGAACGCGAGAAGAAAGAAGCCGAGGAAGCGGAAGAGGCTGCTGAAAAATTAGCGCAACAAAAATTGGAGGAGGAAAAGAGGGAGGCGAAAAAATTAGCCGATCTCGAAAAAAAAGAAGAAGTTGCTGGAAAATTCCTCGTCTTTAGGTCCCTCGATTCTCGCCGTCGTTTTTAGCTTGTACTTTTTCTAGACTAGAGTATAGTAGTTTTGACAACAAAAAAATTGCATACGTGTATTTTGATCCAAAAACATATTTTGCTTACAACATTTTTCATTTGCTTTTTTTTTGATTTTTTTTATGAATGAAATTTTTTTATTAATAATAATCCGCCTCCATTCCACAAACCACCCCAGCTTCTGTCAAATCATTAAACTCATCATCCAAAACTGCCGTCGTAGTTGTGATAACTACACTTCCTTGCGTAAGCCCATTATTATCCGGATTCCCAGGTGTCCAAACGAATCCATCAGTTCCAGTTGTATGACCATCAGTCCATTCAAAAGAAGTCAGAGCCGTACAAGTCGCTGTCAACGTTTGTGATAAACATGCATAGGTTCTTGTCGCTCCAACCCAAGGTCGAATATCTAAAGTGGTTGTTGCACAAATGCCCGTCATTTCTGCAACATTTTGAAATCCACTTGGAACAGCAGCCGTGTTCAGAGTTTGACAATTTGGAGTGGCTTGGGCAAGGGTAGTTGCACCGATGTAAATCTTCATACACCATGAATAAGTTCCTCGATCAAATAGTGTCCACGTTGAATCTATACACGATAATACTGGCGTAGTTGTGGTCGTTGAGGTGGTTGTTGTGGTGGATGTTGTTGTGGTGGTGGTAGATGTTGACGTCGATGTGAACATAACTAAAGTGTTTTATGTTGATCTACCGAAACTTGACAAACCAACCTTCTTGCTCTGAATCCTGTGTAGGTATGCATGAATCACAGATGCTTATCATAGACAAGCCGATTAAGAAAACCGCGTCTAGCCCAAACATCAATAATACCTCAGTGCCGTTTTGCATCGAAACATATCTGTATCCATTTCTAAATCGGGTTTTTCTCATACAGTTTTCTTCATAAAACAAAACAAATTTCGCATTTTTTGTGCCCTGGCCAATAGCCAGCGGCGACCGGTTGTGTTTTGGATTTGCAAAGATGATTTTTGATGCAAGTTTTAGTGATAAGAACGGATTTTCAAAAATATTTGAAATGTATATCTTTATCATAAAAAAAAGAAACTCACAATAGTCTTCTTTGATTTGAGTTGGAATACAAGAATCAATCAAAAAAATGTGCTAGAGAAATCAAAAAAAAAAATTGAATAAGCAAAAAATAAGCGTTGATCATTTCGAAACTTTTTTCAAAAATCGCAAAAAAAAAAACCGGGTTGCGCAAACGACTTTTGTATCAGAACATTTTCATTGTCACAAATAAAACATTATCTTTTATTCTTTATCAGAAAAGATTACAAATCAGAATGCGATGATTTCTGGGATTATTTTATTATCAACATTTTCTTGAAAAAAGCCTAATTTTACTGTTGTCTAGAAAAAATTAGAAAAAAATAATTTGTCGAAATTTGGAAGCCCATTGAAAAACTGAAAAAAACAAAAATTCAAACCACGCGGGTAGGCGTCAACGCGGAGTCTTGTTGTTTTCTTTTTATTTTTTTTGGAACTAGAAAAAACAAAAACTATAAAAATAATAGAAAAAATGAAAAAAAAAAAACATTTTTCCACAAGTCCTGGCTTGTGAGAAACTGAGAGTGCATATCTCGTCTTAATTATTATTATAGGTACATTATACAAATATGTATACCCCAAACTTACCTGATATAATTTAACACAAATCACAGTGTTCTTTCACCCAAAACCAAACCAAAAACCCATTAAACTGACCTGAAGTGAGTTGCAGTTCCTCAAATTCATGTTGTTTTCATCGTTGAATTTGGAGTGCGAAACCAATATCGGCAATACAAAATAAAATCATTTCGAGAAATGAGCGTCCAACCTGAAAAAAGAGATCCCAAACCTAAAGAAAGAACGGAAAAAATAAGAGTGTATGTCAACACCGACTGCCCGCAAACACCAAATCCTACGCGCAACATTGCCGCGAAATACGCGCTGTGTGTTTTCGCGAAGAAATTTCTGGGGATTTTTAAAAATTGGGAACCCCCCCCCTCCAGATTTTAGAAATGGGCACGTTTAAAGTATAACATATGGGAACCATGAGAATCTCTCCAATGTCGCTTTTCCCTTGGAGAATACTAGTCTGGAAAAAGAACGTGAACACTTTTTTTCGACAAAATAAATAAAAAATTAATTTCAAAAATGTTTTTCTTGAAATGTTTGTGTGGGCTGCCAATCGATATAAAACGAAAAAATCCCGCGTGATCCCGCGATGAAAAATCCCGCGTGACACTATTCACATTTGCGGGTCTAGAATTTATGAATTTAAAAATCAGGTTTCAGCTTGATTTTTGAGAAGTTTGGAAATTTCATTGTGGAAAAAAATAAAACTCATTCCTAATTGCTTCTTCAAAAATCTAGTGTTTCAAAAATTCCGTAGATTTTTGATTTTTGAAATTTTTTCTCAAATTTTGCCTTATTTGACTATAGTCATAGTTCGATGTCGAAACATTATCACTACATAATTTCGACTTATTATTTCACAACTAATCAATCAATCCAAACAAATAACTTCTTCCCATTTTTTGGGGTTACAAAAGCCAACATTTGATTCATTTTCTGTTCATAATTGACAAAATCTTGTAAATTTCATCAGATTAAACATGACGTCAAAATGGTGGATTTTCAGCATGATATTTCAATTTTCGGAGGCATATTTGACTGAGGAAATTCATCCGCCGCATTGCACAAAAACACCGATTTTTTCAGCGGAAATGTCACGAAGTAAGTACTGTAGTTTTTTTTCGGGTTACTGTAAATCAGACTTGCGAAGTTATACTATAAATGTTCAGTTTTCATCGGGTTACTGTAGCTTCTATAAAGTTAAATTTTTCTGGGATCAAAATCTACGAGTTTTTGAGCCAAATCTTGTAGAAATGTGACTGCTTTATTGTTTTGGGGGTACTGTAGATCTATGGAGTACGGTAGAAATCTGTATAAATTTGGAAAATGTTCCAAAGTTTTCTGAATTTTCAGTTTTGTCTCCTAATTTTGTGGAATTTATTTTTGAAAAAAACATAACCGTTTTATGACGTGGCAAGTTGGAATTTCAATTTCAAAATTTATCCACCGAAAATCTCATGGGTTCAAATTTCGAAATAGAATTTGTTTTTTTTGGAAATCATATATCGACGATAATATCGTTTTATATCAAATCAAATCGATGAATCATTATTTTTCGGGGGAAACAGTCAGAGAAAAAAATGAGAATTGTTTCGAAATTTTTTTCAGACCCCGAATCTCAAGTTCGCGGGGAAATTCGAAAACATTTTCATATCGGACTCCACATGGTAATCTGTTTTCGACTTTATGAAGGCTCTAGGTTTTTAGATGGAGTTGAGACGACCCCAAGTCAGAAAAGTTATTTGCACACAATTCGATGGGAAAAATTGGAACATCATCACCCGGTTGGTGAATTTTTTGGTTGAAACATAGAAAATCTTGTTTTTTATCTTTTGTTCCAGATCAGCCAACGTTACACATTTGGAATTCCCGAAGTTTATGCTGATTGTATTTGTGAATGCGATTCAACATCAAGAATTTGTACATCGAAATCTCACCAATATAAAACTTGTGCAGAATCTGATGAATCTACATCATGTTATCGCACATTTTTCCCAAATCAAATACCGATTGGATGTAGCGAAAATGATAGTCCGAAATTATGTTGTGATGTCAAGTTCAAACCGTATAAGTAAGTTTGAAGGGGCTGGAAAATACTTCAAAATTCTTGGGAATTTGATGATTCCAGAAACCTCACCTTCACTGCCGTCAAGCTCGAACAACCTTCTACATATGCCACATTTGTATACACGGCATATGATTTTGAAAATGGAAAATGGGTGGAAAAAGATAAAACAAGAATAAGAAATCAATTAGATGGAGGAACTCAAGATACACATTTGGACTCTGCAAAACGTATTTCACTTGCGGTAACCGCAGAAAGAGCATCTCATCAATTAGAAACTGGAATGTATTTTACGAGAAAAAGTGTTGAAGGAGAAATAGAAGAATTGAGAAGACAACCATTGAATGAGATATCTGATAATAAGTGAGTTATAACAATTGTAAGTCTCTCAAAAACTTCAGTTCAATTTTTAGAAGATTCCTTCATCTAAAAAATCTTATTTTTTGCAGTTTCGATTGTCTTGGATGGTACAGAATGGACAAAAACGGCAAATTCCAAGTGAATAATGGCTCGGAAAAAATCAATGAGTTTCACAAAGCAAACGTTGAAAATTGCAAAGATCAAAAATATCGAAGTTATTTATCAGCCAAATATTATATGCCTGGAAATTTCAGTATATCTCCACCGGTGGAAGATTATTTAAATTGGATTAAAACGGCAAGAATTTATAAGAATAGTATGGCTAGAGAGGCTATTGTTACACTTGATAGAGGGAATAATTTGCACATTAGTTTGAATTGTGAGTTTTTTTCCAACCACCACAGAAATCAGAGATTCTATTTTTGCAGTGAATGAAAATATCGACGGTAATCATTTCGAATTTTTCCACAACTCATCGAAAATTCGCGATTTTTTGGGAACAATAATCGTAGATTCTCGATCAAATCGTTTCTTCAATGTGACAGTTTATGGAGCATCCGGGATAATAGATGGAATGGTCAAATATTCGACAGAAAATAACGCTACAAATATTTATACATTTACAACATATGTGAGTGATTTGACAGCTTCAAATCGTTCAATGATAATTCCACTTCCGGCAATTGTTGAAAATGGTCCTCGAATGATTTGTATGAAAGCTGATGAAATCGCGGATCAAAATGCTATTTGTCGAGTTATTCAATATCATGAAAGTCCATTGGAAATTGATTTGATTGAAGGAAAATGGCATGAAATGATCGGAACTTGTCCAACTTGTAATCAAGTTAATTTTTATGGAATTATGAAGTGAGTTTCAAGATGGAAATTCATAACAGGTTTTACTTAATTTTTCGAAACAGTACAAACTTGAATTTTCCAAATTAATTTGCAATAACGAACTATCGGAAAAATTGATAATATTTTCAGAATTTCTTTGAAACAGTGAAGCTCTTATCCTCTAAACATTCCAATTTGTCGTTTTTCCAGATTTCTCAACCCAGCCTACTGGATCAAAGGAATCAGTTCACTTAACGATGGTGTAAAGCAAATCACAGAATTAATGGTCTACATCGGTGTTCTGATTATCCTCTATATCATAATCACCAAAATAATCATCCCATTGATTCGCTGCTGGGTTTGCCCAATGTCTTTCTGTTTCTCTTTTTCAAGTTCCTCAAAATCCTCGAAAATATCCGGCGCGTCAGAAAATCTCCGCCGGAGTTCACCTTCACCGCATAGCAAAAAATCAGAGAGCCTAGTCAGACTCTATCGAGATGTCGATCATTATGGTGCCGAATATATATGATTTCCTAATTTTAAAAATTATTCTCGATTTTCCCTACATCCGGTACTTTTTGCGATAAATTTATTTGAACTCACGTTATTCCAAGGCTGCCGGCAAATTGAGGAGACTTCGAGAAAAATAGATCAGAGGTACATTGAAAATTGTGGATCTGAAAATTCATAATTTTTGAAATTGCTGATACGCAACATAATTTACAAATCCATCATTATCGAGCCAAATTTTAAGAATTTAGGCTTAAATTAATTGGAATTAATTTGTTGAGCATCTATTGAGTACTGTCTAAAGAAAATACAATTTTTAAATCAATTTTTTATTCGTTCAAAAATTTGTAAATCTGGAAGAGCTTCCAGTTTTACAAATCCATCATTATCGAACCAAATTTCAAGATTTAAGGCTTAAATTAATTGGAATTCATTTAGTGAGCAATAACAAAATTTGACTGTTTCAAAAAATGTTGAATTTTCTAGTGAAACTAGAAATCTGCTGGTTGAGTAAAATCTTGAATATTTCAAAAATGTAATTTTGATGAATTTTTCATAATTAATTACCTTTTTTTCCAATATTTACAATCAAAATTCTCCCAATGTTCCCAATTTTCCACCCAAAAATCAAAAATCACTCACCATTTGCAAGAATGCGGCAGGTGTTTGATGTCCTCTCAACGTGGCAACCGACGATTTCGTGTTTCCTTGTTTCAAATCATCTGCAAAAAAAAACATGAATAAAAGTATTTTTTAAATACAATATCAATCGGAATATTTGAAGATTTTGAAAATTCAAATTTCTGATTTCACGTGAAACTTCAAATATTCATAGGTTTTCTAAATTTTATGAAACTTTCCTAACATTCAAAAAAAATATAAAAAATCACTGTTTCAAAAATTTTACAAATTTTCAAGTCTCGCAGAAAAATACACGTGTACAGGTGAGAGTTTTTCTTTTTGGAGAGCTCAGAAAAATTCCAGGAAAATTTCAAAACCTCAAAATTGGAAAAATAGACGAAACTAATTCCTAATTAGCTAAAAATCAGAGATAACGAATTAATTATAATTAATTGGGGTCAATTCAAACACGTGTACCCCCGCGGGTATATTTCAAGTTCCGCATTTTCTCGTCGCCGTGTTTGCACACACTTTTTTTACTTTCACTGTCCCCTGAGCGCAACAATGGCCGAGTTTCCGATTAGTTCGGCCAGAACAAAAAATCTCGGCCATTCTTTTTTTTTCTGGGGAAAAAAACTTCTGAAACCAAATCTAGATTTTCTCATCGAATTATTTCCAAAAAGCTGAAGTTTTATACATCATTTGAAAGAGGAAGACCTATATTACATTGTTGTTAAAACACAATTTCAAATAATGTTCATTTGAACTCATGGTTTTCTGCCAAAACTTGCCCATGTATGAAACTTTGAGAGCGATAATTTCATGAAGTAGCTATCGTTGTTAAGACTTTGATATTGGAATCTAACCAGCTTAACCTTCTCTACAAGATCTGTTACGAAAAATTTGGAAAAATTCATTTTTGGATGAAAAAAATTGAAAAATAGAAATTCACTTTTTTCAAACCCGTGTTTGAAAGCCGTTTCCAGAACTTTTTTGGGTGAATTTCATATCTCTGCGTTCTACTACTCTTCCTCTTTCTGATCATCATCTTACTTCTTCGAAATTCCGAGTTTCAAGCTTTTAAATTGCGGTTTTTATTCAAAAGTCAGTTTTCAGCGAGAGTGTGTGGGGTTGTGAAGAGACGCGAGAGAAAAAGAGACACACGAGAGAGTATGAGAAAAGGGTAGAGGCAAAAGATTTTCTCTGCTGTCGCGTTCCGGGCACAGTGACTTTTTTTTTCGAACACTTTTTTCCAGATTTTCCATTTTTCACGATTTTTTTGCCTGAAAATACGAATTTTGTAGCAATGTTCAATGATATTTTTACAGTTACAACTAATGCGATTCGTCACGTTGCAGAATTTCCCGCCAAAACATGTGAATTGAATGGAAATACGAGGTCATGCGATTTTTTTGCAAAATTATATGGGTACGTTTGAATTTTCGCAATTTCAAAAAGTGAAAAGCTAAATCTAAAAAAAAATATCCTAAATACGTATTCTAGATTTTCACGTGAACAAACAAATGGGCGGTATAAAAGGGTGATTTTGGAGGGTTTCAGCCATTGTGTATTCATATATTTGTTCGGAAAAGAAATCGGCATTTATTGCATTTTTCAGAAAGATTAGTGAGTTACCGTAGATTTGGGAGCTAATACTAGAAATGCGTCAATCAACCCTTCTCATGACGTTTCTTTTTTGCAGATGGTGTTTGTGTCAAAATACCCGGCGTTAAAACAAAACAGCAATGTTCCACTCCACGAGCGTATTTTAGAAGCATGCCGTCAACATGCGGCAGCCAACAAGGATGCGATTATTTTTGTGAGTAGCCTAAATAACTCCCTAGATAGGAATAATTGTGATTTTTGTTCAGATTGACGCAGAAACGACGACAAAAAAGAGGAAATTCAGTGATATTGAGCCGGCTGTGAATAGTTTGGCGACGGCTTTGATGAAATTGGGATTGAAACCTGGTGATATTGTGTCGCAGGTTTTGCCGAATTGTCCAGAGTTTTTGATCAATATGTTGGCTGTGCAGAAGTGTGGAGCTGCTATGTCAAATGCCAGCCCTATTTTCACAGATTGTAAGCGATTTTTTCAGCTCCAGAAATCTGGATAAACTGACAATTTTGATGAAAAATATCGAAATATACCAAATCGAACATGCTGATCACGATTCCGAAGTCAAAAGTTGACACAGACTCCTGTGACTACTTTTCTGGAGCTTCAAAGTTAGAATTGAGTTTTGGTTTTCGCCTATTTTCATCTTGTTCTTGGGTGGAAAATCAATTTTTATAACTTGAATAAGGTTTTGCACCACCTTTTGTTTTTCAAAAAATATAAAAAACCAGCTAAAAAATCTGTAATTTTTCAAAGTGCACAAAAAACTTCTGAAAATTACAGATTTCAGCTGGTTTTTTATATTTTTTGAAAAACAAAAGGTGGTGCACAACCCCATCCAAGTTATAAAATTGATTTTCCTCCCTGGAACATGGTGAAAATGGGCGAAAACCAAAACTCAATTCTAACTTTGGAGCTCCAGAAAAATGTTCACAGGAGTTTGTGTCAATTTTTGACTTTGGAATCGTGATCAGCATGTTAGATTTGGTATATTTCGAGATGTTTCATCAAAATTTAACACCTGACATTATGCATTTCCCTTTTCAACTCCCAATTCTCCTAATTTTCCAGACGAGCTTCAAAACCAATTCCACGACTCAAAATCAGTGCTCGTTTTCACCGACGAAGATCGGCTAAGTCGAGTGCGCCGTGCAATAACCCACGTGCCAACAATTCAAAAAATCATCTGTCTTCGCACATTTCCGATGAAAACCGATTTCCCCGAAAATGTGCTCGATTTCGGCGAACTCGTCAAAACACCAGCCGAACCAATCAATTTGACATATGACATGGATTCACTCGCAATGGTCCCATATTCATCCGGAACCACTGGAAGACCGAAAGGTTGTCGAATTTCGCATCGAAATATGGTGACAATGATGGATATCTCTGTGGATCATTTGAATAACGAAATTGCGAAAGCTGTGTTTGGAAAAGAGGAGAAAAATTGGCGAAAAGAGCATACATTGCTCATGTTACCCTGGTATCACGCTTTTGGAATGAATGTGATGCTCGAATCGATTATTTTGGGAATGACTGGATTGGTGTTCAAGAAATTTGACACGATTACCATGCTCAATCGTATCAAATTCTTCAAAGTCAAACTCATTTACATGGTCCCACCGATGCTCATATTTTTGGCCAAAGATATGATGGTCCCGATTTTCCGTGTTGAACCATTTGTCAAAGTCATTCTATCGGCTGGCGCCACCGCCGGAAAACAATTGATTGAGGAGGTTTTGAAGCGATTTCCACACGCTTGGATTTGTCAGGCTTATGGGATGAGTGAAATGGTGCAATTCACGACGTTTCCAAGATTTGAGGATGGTCATTGTTTTGAGCAGGTTTGATCGTTGTCATTGCGGAGTGTTGTAGTTTTGAAAAATCTTTGCAGGTCGGTGCACTTGGCCCAACTTTTGAGATGAAAATCATCAATGCGGCTGGTGCCGAAGTAACAAAACCCAATATAATTGGAGAGTTGTGTTTCCGTGGTCCGGCTGTCATGAAAGGTTATTTGAACGGACGTGAAGCGCATATTATTGACAAGGATGGTTTTTTGCACTCGGGAGATTTGGGAAGTGTTGATGAGAAGGGATGTGTTCATTTGACTGGGCGTATTAAGGAGTTGATTAAGGTCAATGGAATGCAGGTGAGGATTTTTGGGGAACACTGAATTTCAGACAATTTTTGGATTATTTTTATAATTTTAAAAATCATGGCCTAACTTTCCGATAAGAGTTTGTTTTCTAGGCCATGTCTGAAATCATGAAATATCTGGATTTCAGACTCGAAATTTCAATATTTTTTTCTGTTTTCAAGACGTGGGCCAGTTTTTCTAATATATGTGGTTTTCTAGGCCAATGTCTAAAACAATGTGTCTGATTTCAGGCTAGAAATTTTGAGATTTTGCTTGAATTTTGCGCATAATTCTCCTCCTGATTCCGAAAATTCTAATTTTCTGTGGTTTCTCTCAATTTGAGAGTCTCAAACTGTTTTTCGATCGGATTATCTAGAAATAGCGTGAAATCTGGACTTTTTTGCCCAAGAAAATGAATTTCAACAGAACAATTTCAAATCTCAAATTCAAAATATTGATTTTTTTCAGGTTCCACCAGTCGAAATTGAAGATGTCCTTCTTCTTCACCCAAAAGTCAAAGATTGTGCAGTGATTGGTGTTGCAGATGAGCAATGTGGTGAATCGCCAAAAGCATTTATCGTCAAAAAAGATCACACATTAACTGAATCCGAACTGACAGCTTGGGTTCAATCGAAATTGTCGTCCTACAAATGGATCACAGCTGGCTACGAATTTGTGGATTCGATTCCGAAATTGCCGTCGGGCAAAATTTTGCGTCGAAAATTGAGTACTAGCGAACATCAAAAGGAGCCGAAACAGGATTCGGATGTGACTTCGGAGAGTATTAGATCGTAGGAGAATGAGAAGATGGAAAATTATGAAGAATTTTTAGTGAGATTTGTGTTTTTTTGATGGGTTTTGCGCTTTTTTGTGGTCTTGGAAATGCTTGCTGACGCAAATTCAGTAGTCTCAAAATATAGATCCGTGCTGGCGTATTTTCTGTAGCTCAGATTGCTGGTGCTTTTTTGTACTATTTGCTGACGCAAATCTTGTAGCTTAAAGCATGATGACTTTGCTGACGCAATTTTGGTAACCCTGAAATTTCTAGAAAACTTGTATTCTTTGCCAAATCCGGCCTTTCTCGAAACATTTTCTCGATGTGCAAGATTTAGAAGAAAAAAGTTTTCAAAATAACAGAAGACTTTTTGCGTATCCTGGAATCTTCATTTCGGAAGAAAACCGATTTTTCAATGAAAATTGTGTTTTTGACAGGTTGATGAACAAAAAAAATCCCACAAACTTCCGTTTATCAGAAACCTAATTAATTACATGTGTTTTCTACACTCCAAAATCTCATTATCATCTACCGGATGTTTTTTGTTTTCTCATCGACATATTCACCAACCTGTCAGATCTCTAAATAAAAATGCTCAACGAAAGTTTCGAAGAGTTTCCCAGATGGTACGAATTATCAATGCATATCTCAGCCTCCATAACCATCCCAGTCAATATTTTCGGTCTTTTGATGATCATTTTCTTCTCCCGAAATCAGATAAAAAATTATCGATTTTATTTATTATTCCATCAAATATGCTCGATGTTATCTGATGTGATTATAAATACGGGAACCCTACCAGTCATTTATTCACCATACGCAATTGGGGAACCACATGGTTGGATGACTGGGGCTTTTAGAATGGTTGGAATTGAGAATAGCACAAGGCTGCAATCAGTGAGTTCTCAGAATAGATATGTACTTATTTTCTGTCTACAAATTTCAGGAGATTGTATTTGATGGTATTTTGATGACTGCATTAAGTGTTGAACTTTTATTTTTTTATCGCTATCAATCAATTCTTCCATTAAATCATCGATGGAAATTCAAAAAATCCACGAAATTTCTAACAGTTTCGATTTATCAACTAGTTTGGCTAATTTTTCTAACAATCTCATTTCACAACACAGTTTCTGGAAATCAAGATCTCATCAAAAACCAATTTAGAGTAACTCATCCAGAACTCTCGTTTTTTGTAAAAAGCAAAGAGTCTCTAATCGTTGCCGTTGAGAGGTTAACATTGATGGGTTGTTATTTTTAACAGTTTGCTTTTCTCGTCTTGGAAGTGGTTTAATCATTTGCTGTGTGCTGATTTCATTATCGAGACATGCTTTGGATAACATGGTGATATCTGTAAAAACTCGAAATATGCATCTGAAACTGATTCGAGCACTCTGCTATCAAGTCTCGATTCCACTTTCAGCGTTTTATATTCCACTTCTTGCCGCTCTAACTCCGCTAGTTTTTGAGATCCACAATACCTTCAATGTTGTCCTGATTTCAATCAATATAATTTCTTATCACACATTTTTCGGGACCTTCAGCTTACTATACTTCAATCGTCCGTGGTTAATGAGGAATGTTTCCAAGAAACCACAAGTCACGATTGCCAGTTCGTTTAACTCGTCGCGAAGGAACACACAAGTTTTTTAATCATGAATTTGTTGGCTAAGGAAATAAAGGGTTTTTCAAGAGAAAAGGTTTTTGATGAGCTCAAAAAAGTTTACCTTTCATTTAACTGCGGTTTCTCATTTTTATGTGTAACCTTAAGAAGTTCATTAAACTTTGAATGATGGAAAAGTTAAAAAATTTCATTTTAAGTCTCTGCAACCTTAGAACCTAGGCTTAGGCTTAGTGAAATTCGAAAAAAAGGAAAGTTTTTCCTCTTTTTCAAATATTTATACCCCTGTAACACTTTTTTTTCAAATTTTTTCTAAACCCTTTATTTTCTCTAAAACCCTTTCATAGCGACAAAATTATTTCGGGCGGAGTCTGTTCATATCCCTTTATCGTCTCGCGTCTCTTCTGCACGCACACGTTTTTTACTCTCTCGTTTTCTCTCGCCTGTTCTCAACAGTTCCACACGGCAACAGAGTTTTTCTATCACTAAAAAGCTTTATATCACAATTAGGAACAGTTTTTTTTACAAACAAACAAAAAACAATTAAAGATTAACCAGCATAGGTTGCATTTGTCGGATCACCTCCCCGAAGCGGAATGTTGTTCTCCTTGAAGCGGAATAAAATCAGCGAATACGTCACAACCAGCGATAAAATTGTGAAAAATGTGGCACGTTCGAGCGGAAAAGCTCGCCAAACAGTCATTCCCCACATAAATTGTGTTGTCATTTTGTGAACAAAGCACGAGATTTGGAAACGATCCAAGTCTGCGTTGGCATCCGGGACGATTCTCAACACGGCGTTCACGATTTGCCGCGTCGTTTCATTCGTCCGCATTCCGGTGGCGCAAATCATCGCAATATGAAATAGTGCCATGATCAATTGATAAGACGCCCAACAGATTGAGAAATGAACAGTTGTGTTGAGTTTGTTTCTGATCTCTAGATTATTGATCTGATCGGCTGTTATTGGCACCATAAGTACCGAGGTGTCTTCAGAGAGAAAGTAGATGGTTAAACACACGACTATAAGACTCCAGGCGAGAGAGAACAGCAGAAATGGGTTGAAAACCTCGCCGACGGCTTCTTGAACATTTGTGATGCGTAGGAATTGCTCATAGTAGAATTTGAGTGAGAAGTGGCGTTTTTTGTGTTCACGATTCATAGAGCGAATTAGGGTTCTGAAAAAATTGGAGTTTTTTCATCCAGGAAAATTTTATGATAGATCTTTTGCTGTCGATTCTTCAGAAAATAAGGCTAGTCTAGACTACTGTAAATTTTCAGCTGGATGGCCAAAGACTGCTCATTTTAGAGATAACTAGTAGGTGTTTTAAACGATTTGATCATCATTTTAAGAATGTGAAAATTTCAGGTCTGCAATTTTATCTTGAAAACTTAATTGTACGTTCACAGTGCCAAGAAATATTTTTTCAAATCGAATTTTTGAATAATAAAAAAATCAATCAAGCTTGTTTTTTCTAGAAAGTGCGCTTCAACTTTAAAAACCAACCAAAAATCAAAAATTTCCTCAACTCACCGACAATAAAACCGAATCAAAACATTATACAAATGATAATATAACAATGGTATAATATTCCAAAGCGATAACAATGGCACAATCAAAAACGACATATCCGACATAATAGCGTGTCCGAAGACTTGTTCAGTTCCGATAAATTCAGCAATCTTCAGCGTTAAACTAGACATGAAGACCAAGAATAAGATGAGGAAGAAGACGAATTTGTAGATTTTCAGCGATGGCGAAACATTGAACGCACTTCTGAAGCAAACATCCACCATATCGATGGTTTTTAGAAGCCGGCGATGTTGTCGAAATGTGATTAGACTTAGGAATATGACGACCACATTTATCACAGGTTTTGTGGCGGTTATCATCGAAGCGACTGTTCCAGTATGCATTAGTCCGAATTTGACCCTGTAGAGACCGAGTACCCGATAATTGAAACTGATTAAATATGAGTTGAGAAGAATCACACATAGCACGTAGATCAAATAGAAACAGTATTTGAGGATTGTCTGCTTGCTGCGTCGCCGACGAACTCGTCGATCACAATCGGTTGGGAAAATTGCCAAGATTCGGAAGAATGTTAGAAGTGGACGCAGCGAATTTGATACACAGTGAACGCCTCTGGAAAATATTTGAGATGGAATTTTTTTTGATTTAAAAAAAAACCAATCATACCTGAATATTTGAATCATTTATGTGTATTTTTAAGTGGGTTACTACTGATAGTGAGTTATTGATGAAAATTTTTTGAGCGCAGCCATTTTTAGCTCCCCCGGGACCATTTGATAATTAGTTGTTTTTCACGTAAAACCAAAAGTCAAGATGATGTTATTCACACATTTTTTCCCTCGAAATTGTTGAAATTCAAAAGTTCCCTGTTTTTTTCTGGGATAATCCTTCCTGGTTGACAAAATTTCAATTATGTTTTGAGTTCAAAGTATACTTCGACGAGGAAAAAGTGCAGCAGAACACAAAGTTTTTGGCGATGGAGCGGAACGTTTTATTGTCATGCGACAAGACAAGGTTTTTGGTCAGCTGGAGATGAGATAACTTTGAGAAGCTGGAGGATAGAGATAGAGTCATAAGGTTTGAAAGACTGTGGAAAGGTAGAATTGGAGTTCACGGAATGTGGAAATTGATCCTAGACTTGTCACAAGAGAGCTTTTGTAATTCTCAATAGACTCATTAATTTGAATATAAGTTCAAGTCTAACGCAAGTTCAGAATTCAAAAGACTAAAAATCATTGAATCAGGGATTATAAGCCTAGCAAGATTTCTAAAAAAAAATACTGAAGGTGTAAAAATTTCAGAACAAATTTAAAGACAGCTATCCAGTTGAACTGGTTTTTTTTTTCGAAATTTTTATTTTTAGCCCAAAATAGTTTTGACCAAAAACACACCAAATATATTTTATACTGGGCTACTGTAGTTGACAAATGGTTGTAGACTACAACTTGTAGTGTGTAATTGTGCGTCGCGGTGTATGTCTGTACCGCGCTTTCAAACCGTTTGAATTTATTTATTTTTTTCTGCGAGTTTTTTGAATTGGAACATCAGGAAAGGAAATCGTAAGAGAAGGACTAAATAACTCTTAAATCTCAATTCTAACTGTCTTTAACAGGGTCTTCAGAGAGTTAATGAAAAATTCAGAATCTTGTAGGCTTTAAAAATTTTTTAAAATCAAATCAAGCTTTTGAAAAAACCGTAAAACATCTACAAGTTCAAACCCAAATCTCACCGTCCAATTTTCAAAATCGATCCTCTCGGTCCCTCCAACACTGCCTCATCAATCTCGCGTTCAAAATCCTCATCCTGAACCCCAGCCACGTGCCGAAACTTTTGCATCTCAACCGACGGTGATTCATCAAGAATCGGCATAATTGGCTCTTCGCCGGTGAATGGTGGCATTTCTAGGAATTGAGTCGCGATTTAATTTAGCCAGGAGCAGGAGCACGGAAGAAAAGTTAAGTAAACAAACAAGTTTAATGAGAAAAAGCACGGAGCTAAATTAAAATTGAAAAATTTGAGGAAATGAAACAGAAAAGAAAAAAATAGAATTCTTCACACCCACAGAAAAAACGTAACCGGATTATCTCCAGAAAAAGGGAAACCCTAAAAATTTTAGCGAAAAAAATGCGAGGAAAATTGAAAAATCGAGATGAATACGAGTTAATTCACTTTTCATCGGATATTTGAACGAAGAGAGAGAAAAAGTAGCCATTTTTTGTGTCAATTAAATTATTTTGCTGGAAAAGCTCATTAAAAAGTTCTATTAATTTTTAAATTGGATGGATTTGGGTACGGTATGTATAGGTTGGCAGAATGTTTTTTGATGCCAAAAACTTTGAAGCAAAAAAATTGCTCTTGTGAACAAAAAAATGTTGAGAAAGCAGGCTATAATTTTTGGATCAAAATGAGAGGCTGGAAATTTTCAAAACAAAAAAAATTGAATTTTTATTTTGAGTATGGTTTCAAATTTCAGAGCTCCTGGAATTCTGTGCCACGTCATAACTAGATGTATGTTTTTTTTTAAACATTAAAATTTTATCTTGACACCGGAAATTTGGACTTTTTTTTCTGAGAAAACTACACATTAAAAAAATGACAAAATCTAATGTTGTTATGACGTGGCAAAACGAAGCTCATCTAAAATTTTTCAAAACGTGGCAGATTTGAAAAGTTCCCCGAAAAATCGTAAAAAAATTTCTAACATAAAAATTTTCCCTATAAAAAATGTATCCAAAAAATGCAGATACAAATTTTCAGCTATTTAACTTGCAAAAATTTTTTCCTGATTTCTAGATCAGAAAATGTCAAAAAAGTCCAAAATTTTTCCAAAAATCTGAACCTTTAGTGCTAATCTAAGAAAAAGATCTGACATATCTCAAATTTTCTCACTGAAAAATCTCAAATTTCATGTTATGTCAAAGAAATCCGACCTTTTTTCAGTTTTGTTTCAGCAAAGCAAAGAAAAAAATTGGATTTCCTTGAAGAAATGTGGGTGCAAATGAATTTAGGAGGCACACGAGTGAGCAACGGAGAAAATTGGGGTTGAAATGAATTTTCGGCGCGCGAGCCCGCGAAAATTTGATTTCAGACCGACGGACAGCTGCACTTTTTACTCGCCTAGAAATTTTCCAAGTTTTCTAATAAAAAAATACAGGTTTGGTAGATAAGTTGACACAGAAAGGGGAGAAAAAAAGAAAATAAAACAAAAATTATTTTCTGTTTGGAAAAATAATTATTTTTGAACTCACTGGGGAATTCTCAATGAACCTTGTTACTTTGAGATAGATGTAAAAAAGTTCTGCAAAAAAATTGAGACTTGAACTTTTTGCAGCAAAAAGTTCAAGAAATGAAGCAGGAAAATCCACGTGGCAAGAATTTATTGAAAAATTAGGAAATTTGGCCGAAAAGGACACGTGTCAAAAATTTTCGAAAAAAACTTTCTCCATCAAAAATGCCACGTGGATTTTGAATTTTTGTTGAATTTCAGGTTGAATTTTTTGGAATTCATCACTTCCAATGTTAGGCTTGGAAAATTTAAGAAATGTTTTTTTTTCTGTTGAAAATTTGGTTCAGTAAATAAAATTTTCAAATTTTCAATTTTCAATTGCCACGTGGAAAAAAGTTGTCATAATTTCATTTTTCAAAGTTTTTTTTAATTTTTCAAAATTGCCACGTGGAATCTAATTCGAAGGCGCCAAGTTTTTGGATTTCAAAGATTTTTGGTTGAAAAATTTGGTTCACCAAATAAATTTTTCAAAATTCGAAATGCCACGTGGAAAATTTTTATCAGAAGATCAAAAATGCCACGTGAGAATTTGGAATTTTAATTCCAAAATTTTTTTCACCAGAAAATCAAAAATTTACAATTGCCACGTGGCAAAAAGTCAAGAGCAATTCAAAACCTGAAAAAAAAATCCAGAAAAATATTCAATATTTCTTGGTTCATTTATCATCTCATAGAGCGTGAAAAATGAATGTCTTATTCTCAACAAAAAATCGTGATCTATGTTCTCAGAAAAAATTACATTTTATTTTAGTTCCATTTTTTTTCTATGTATAATCCGGTATTTAGAAATACTAATATTCAATGAAAAATAAACAAATTAGTAGAAAAAACTGGGAAAAATCTAAAAAAAAAAGCGAAGTAGAAATAAAACAAGATTTATCTGATTTGCTCGGCGAGCAACAAGCAAGCGTTTTTAATTTAAGATAACTTTGGAAGGCGAAAATCAATTAGAAGTGCTTGAAACCGGAAATTTCAAAAAAATTTGATTTTTTTGCTCAAAAAGAAATACATTTAAAATTCATTATTATGTGTATATAATATTTTCTTTTTCAGCCAAAAAAAACAACAAAACCGATTTTTCTTCTTTTTTTTGTTGGTTAAAAAAAAAGAAAAAGACACAAAATTTGTTCTTGAATAATAAAAATTTGGATTTTTTGTGGAAAAAACAAAAGGGCAGGGCTTTGAAATTCGGGGTTACTGTAGTAGAAGAAAATCGGATAAGAATTTGGAGAGTTTTGTTTTTTGGGGGGAAATTTAATAATAGTGAAGTCAGAATTTATTGTTTTTTTTTCTGACAGAAAATTGGAGGTGAATAAATTTGATTTTTTGGAACCTTGTTATTAGTTTTGAGACTGTCTGGAGCTTTAGACTTCAGAATTTTCAAAGATCTGGATTTCTCGATCTTCAATTATTCAAATTCTGATCAGGTTTTAGAAGTTGGATTCTGATTCTGAAGTTTTAAATTTTTCAAGAAATCTATAATCAGATTATCTTGAAATTCTAGATTTTGAAACCCAGATTTCAGATTTTCTCGAATCAAATTGTGTTCTAGAACCCCCCCCTTCAAGCCAACCTCCAAGAGCACTCAAAAATCGATTCGCGCTGTCCCATTCCATTTCTTCCCGATTTACCCGATCTTCTCATCGTCGTCACCCATTTATTATTCACGTCCGATAGTTCCAAAATTGAGGCCAGAATCGTTTTTTCCACCGGTGATTTTGGTTCGGCCGAAATGATTGTGTTGGTTTCGGCAATCTAAAATGAAAAATTAGGTGAGATTGAGAAAAACCCGCGTGGCTCAGTGGTAGAGCGCTCGTTTTCTAGCCACAGGGTCATGGTTCGATCCCCGATGCCGCCTACTTTTTTTTTCTTTTTTTTCAGCACGATTGGATTAAGCCAGCAAAATGCAAATATCATATTTTCCCCCCGCGTTCTCTGAAACAGCTGAAAATGAAGAAGTGATCTCACCTGATTGCGATAAACATGATGATTGCCATTCTCCAGAATCCCCGCAATTTCCTCTTCTGAATCGTCTTCTTCTTCTTCCACGTGCGAATCGGCATGAATCGAAGTTGTACGATTGAAGGGATACATTTTTTTGAAACTGAAAAAAAAATTATGGAATTTTATAGCTGAAAATATATATAATTGTGTGAGAAAAATACAGCTGAAAAAAATAATCTCGAAAAAAATAAGAGCAGGTGAAACTTGTAATTATTTTTATTTTCAGTTATTTTTCAGTAACCGAAATAGAATGTGAATTTGTTTTTCTTGGTTTTGCAAAATTCAATTATTATTCATAAAGGAAAATAATGACAAAGTATTTATTGACAAATCCTAATAAATTCAAAATATGAGCAGTTAGCGCAGTGGCTAAGTTTTTGCCCATGAATCTCAATGGGCAGGTTCGAACCCCAGAGCAAACTACTTATTTTTTCAATTTTTTTCTACATGATTATTATTTTTTTTTAGATAAAACTGAGATTTTCCCGGAAATAACAAATATTATCCAAGCTCATCTCTGAAAAGCCACGCGGCTCAACAAAAAAAATTCGATTATCTTTTTTTTTTTCAATATGTGAACTTTCAAAAATGAATAGCAACGAAAAACTTTTTGTTATCCAACATCCAACAAAAAAATTGTGAAAACTATATGTGATCATAAATTACGAGCTTGTTTTCGTGCTAAAAAATGCAACGAAAAATTTTCGGGGCAGGCAGGGAGGCGTGTAGTCCTTAACACCAAATGGTGCGTAACGGACGGAACAGCAAAAAAAAATTCAATTTTTTTTGGGAAACATTTGAGAAGTAGGCGGCTTGAAAAAGGGCTAATCATGTTTTTTTTGTCAGCAAAGGAAAAAAAAGAGATGAGATTTGAGATTAGTATGTTTGTAGTGAGACACAAATTTGAGACAAATCTCTCGAGTCGAGAAATTAATGAGGTTTGTTTCAGAAAGTTCACAAAAAATGGGAAGATATGGATTTTTTTTTTGACTTTTAGATACGGAACAAGAAAAAAAAAGGAAAAATAGGTTTAAGAAAAATTGTGCCAAAAAACACGTGGCAAAATAGATCCAGAAATAAATAAATACAAAATACAAAAAATCACCTGTTGTCTGGAAAAAAGTACTGTACCGTGGAATGTTCAAAAATCTATAGCTGAAAATTTTCACACGTTAAAAATTCAGGAACTTTTAAAAAAATATAAGTAAAAAGTGCATGGAAAAAATAGAAAAATTTGAATGAAATCCTAATTATCCAGCTTCTTCTTCTTCTTTTAGCGAAAAACTAGAAAAAAACGCGTTTTTTTTCTCGCGCGCTCTTTTAGGACCCTTGAAACCTCTAATTTGTTTCCCTTTTCGACACGAAAATTTTCTAATTTTCCCAATGTTTTTAGCCAGAAAAAAGTTGTTTTTTTTCAACAAAAATTGAAATAAAAAATTAAAAATGAAAAACCCGATAAAAAATTATGAGCAAAAATCAGAGACGACTAGAAGCGGAATGGCTGGAGTCGATTTGCGTCGAGCTCCATTAGTATTTCCAGAGGGCGGCGGTAGGATGAGTTTTGGTGGATTTTGGGGACTTGGTGAAGTTGTTGGCGAGATGTCGGATGTGTTGGATGTTAGGCTAACTCGTTCGCCAAACTGAAATGTACATTAATATTATTTGGTTTTGGGAAAAGTGGGGGCGGAGTCTAATTTTTGAGGGTGACATGTGAGTTGAGTTGAAGAGATCAAGAGGTCAGACAAGGGTTAGAAGATTAAATTTGCAGGATCTGAATTTTTGGAACTCACTTTTTTTCTGAAAATGACGAGGGAATTTTAAATTTTGAAAAAATAATGTGAGAAAATTCTCAAAGAATCCAGATGTTTTTGAAAAAATGATTTTTTGGATTTCGAAAAAAAATTTGAAATTTGAACATCAGGATTTTCAAAATTGAAATTAAAAAAAAATAATTTTGGCCTCAAAAACCAATAAATCTCAAAACCCAGACAAGTAAGTTCCAAATTTCCTATTCATAACCAAAACTTCCTTCTCCCCTCACAATATAATTCTAAACATGAAAAAAATAATAATAAATATGTCACTCTTTTTCTTCTTCTAGAACATGCATGTTTTTATTGTCTCTCTGAGACTAACAAAAAAATGAAATTAGATTCGACTGGGAATTTTCATCAGGAGAGTATAATTAGAAAAAAAACGCGACTAGAACAACGGAAAAACATATTTTTCAGTCAAAATGGCTGCTAATGGATGAAACTTGATAGTTTATTTTTATTTGTCGTTTAATTTTGGTGTGAAAATATGAGGAAAGAAAACAACAACTCACCCCAGATGATGCTAGACTTCCCCGTCCGGAATCCGAACCATTTTGTCGACTTCTGTTGAAGAATCGGGTCAGAGATGAGCGGATCTGCAAAGAAAATGGGGTTAATTGGATTTTTTTTTTGATTTGGAGCTAAAAATCAGAATTTGCCACGTCACAACCACCCAAAAAACTTTTTTTTTTTCAAATAACTCACCCGATTCCCAGGATGCGGAACATGTTCATGATGACTTTCACTCGAATGTTCCGAAAGATCCGAATTCTCCGGTATCGATGAGACCATTCTCTTCAACAGGCTTATCCGTTTCCTTCGTTCCGATTTGGTTTCTGTCGGACTCACGGGAACTTCGAACGATACTCGTGGAGTGTTGCTGCGCGAATAATCGTAGAGCATTGCGTCGGATGCACGAGATCCACGTGGCGTACTGTTGAGGGAGGTGCTCTGGAATATTTGAATTTTGAAGTTGATTTTAGCTCAACTCCTTTCCCTGTCTATGTATATCCCAAAATTCACCATCAAAAATGAAAAATGTCTGTACCTGGCCTACCTGAGTGACCGTCAATTGATTGCGATTAATCGGCTCGTCTCGGCTAGCTCGATGCGATCCAGGCGGCTGCGAATTATAGAAATTCGACAAACTGCTGACGCCTTTAATCGGACTTGTCGTGATTCTTCGAATAACCGGCATCGTTTTCGTCTTCACACGATTTTGTATCACTTTGGTGAAGAACACGTATAAAAATGGGTTGGCGAATGCGTTTATTGGAAAGAAAAATACCAAAACGAATTTCGCGTTTTTCAGGGTGAGAAGTGGGAATCCAATAAGCGCTGTGAATCCGAAAAATAGCGTTGGAAACCAGCAAATCAAATCTGTTGCAACTAGGAGAGCCATTTTTGTGATAAGTGCTCGATCTCCTTCCCGACTCTCATTTTCTTTCAACATTTTCACGATAAAACCATACGACAATGCCATTGCGATAAACGCCAGGAAATTGAAGCTGAGCCCGAAGATCAAGTAACTTTTATCGATTATTGAGGAAGCACGGAGTGGAAGGCACACACTGCTATCTGAGTATGATGAAACACCGAACCATGGGAGAATTGCCATGGTGAATGCGAATACCCAACCTCCAACCATCAGCAAAACTCCAAGGCGAGTGTTCAGGTGACGACCATAGAAGGATTGTCTGAAATTTATGATTGAATCACAATTTCTCTGTTAAAATCTAAGTACCTGGTGTTGTAGGAAATCTCGAAAGCAATCAAAAACAAACTGATAATCCCCAATTCGCTTCCAAAAATGGCCAAAAACCCGGTGATCTTACATCCCCATCCGGTTTGCCACCAAACAGCGTTTCGAAAATACTCGTGGGACATTGAACTGTCAGCAATCGCCAATACAGCGAGATACAATCCAGTTATCATATCAGCGACTGACATATTGATCATGTATAAATAATGCATTCTCTTGCGTCTCTCATAGGCTAACGCAAGCATAATCCATACGCAGATGTTGCCAACGATTGCGGCGAGGCAGACAGTCCAAATTGCTGGACGCAAGAAATCGTAGCCTACGATTCGACCGCATGGATTGATGAAATCTGGTTTTGGTGTGCATTTGATGTTGGTTTGAATTTGACGGACCTCCTCGACTGTGGCCATTAAACATCTTTCAGCGTAGGGATTTTCATGTGCTGAAAAAGTTTGAATTTTACTTACTGGATGTTTTTTTTTTCAGTCAAAAAACAGGAAAAAAATTTTCGGAAAAAATCAATATTTGTCCGAGAGAACTACACAGGTGTGTGGATTTCTCGGCCACGGCCACACATTTGAAAGCTTTTTTTTTTTTGAAATTTTTGTTTTTCACACATTTTCAAAGCGAAAAATATCTATTTCTTACCAGGTCTATCCACCTCCTCATTCCCAACAATAATTCCAGTCATATTGTCATCCTCCCCTGAATCCTCATACGAGTCATCTGGCAAAAACATCGGCTTCTTCGGTGTTTCGACCAATTTCATCGGTGCCCTCGTTAGATTCTCACAATGTCGATGTTGCACCTTCACTGTCTTCTCAAAATATTCGAATAAACAACAATGATGTGGATAGGTGAAATCAGCCTCCCGCAGATTCGGAAAATTCTTCGATTCAGGCATAGTTTTCAAAGTTTCCACGTTTTTCAGCACAAGTTTCGTCATATTATGAAGACCTGCAGTTGGCAACGCTTTGATAGCTGTTCTTGACATATCGAGTTTCTTAATGTGTCCAATATTCTTGAAAGCATCAACTGATAAACTATCGAGGTTCGGGTTTTCCGAAATGTCTAGCGAACTAATCTTGCTCTCCAAAAATGCATAGGAAACAATATCTTTCAAATTATTGTTGCTCAAATTTATCACTCGAGCATTTATCCCGCGGAAGTTCTTCTCTCGAATAAATTTGATACGATTATGAGACATATCTATGTAATCAGCTTCGGAATATGTTGTCAACATTCGAAATGATGGCATGGTTTGCAAATTGTTATGAGAGAAGTTTCTGGAAATGTGTGGATAGTGATATCTTGTAACTGGAAGTTAGGAGGATAACTTACACAATTTTGAGCTCTCGATGATTCTCGAAAATTTTTCCGGACACTTCGGTGAGCTTGGGGCATCTGGTGACAACAAGTTTCCGAAGGTAGGTGGCATTTGAGACCGAGTGATAGTCAAAGTGATGGAGGTTTGGGTGATCATCGATTTCTCTGGGAAAAATAGTTCGCTTGGTTTATAATCAAGCTGAGTTGAGATAGAAAACTCACAATTTCTGCAGATGCCTATAATCTTTGAAATAATCCTCATCTATATCAGAAATATTGGTTCGAAGCAAATATCTGAAATCACGTGTACACACACTTTCAGCAAAATTCTATCCTCAACTCACAAAAAGCTAACAGTAACATTGACAAACTTCAAGCTCTCCACTTTTTCTCCCACACAACAACACTCCAGTCGTTTTCCCTTCTCCGTTCGAATCCATAAACATTGACATCCCTGACTGCCACGTGCCACATTATCGATGACACTTCGACATGATTCTTTGGTTTCGAGATTTTGCGAGCATTGAGTTAGAGTTGTTAGGAGTAAAATCGATATTTTTAATATTAATAATAATAGCATTTATGTATGTACATGGAATTTGTTGAGGGGCTAACTGATAAGAGACGAATGATTTTTGTTTGTGAGACTGACGGGGACAGAAGTGATTGATCTGAAATATAAATTGTTTGTTTGCTCAGATGTTTTGATTGGGAAGGTTCAGATTTATTATTGAAAAGTGCAGATGACGCGGGACTTGTGATTGAATTTGGTTTTAAAAAATCAGAGAACTTTCACAAGGGAACCTTTTTTACTCAACACTTCAAATCATGATGAAATTTGGTTTATGGACAGCTTTTGGGACCATAAGAACACCCTAAAAATTTTAGTCTCCCAATGGACCTCTGAGCCAAGTTCTGGGCTCTCAAAAACTCAAAAAGGCCTAAAAATGGTCATAAAAGTCATCATAGCTCCATTTCAAATTTTTTTTGAGAGAAATGAAGTTTCAGATATTGATCAGCATAGTCGATTACCTAAAAGTACATAAATAAAAAATTTTATTTCGAAAAATTTTGAGGTTTTTTATTTTTGGGCTGAAAATTCATGAAAATTCATATGGGCCCCTGCTCATTCTTTTTTTTTCAAAATCAAAATTTTTTCTGAAAATTTGATTTATTGATGTTTTTTGGGTAAATCGACCACGCTGATCATCATCTGCTACTCAGTTTTTCATAAAATTGATCGAGAATTGAGTTATGACCTGTTTTATGAGCCAATTTTGGCAATTTTCGAACTTTTGAGAGCCCAGAACTTGGCTCAGAGGTCCATTGGGAGACTAAAATTTTTAGGGTGTTCTTATGGTCCCAAAAGCTGTCCATGGACCAAATTTCATCATGATTTGAAGTGTTGAGTAAAAAAGGTTTCCTTGTCAGGATTTCCAAGATTGTTTATCAAAAATTATTTTTTTAATGAGCACGGTTGAAAATTAAAACAAACATTTGATTACTGACCAACAACCTTGTGATATCAGGACAACAATTTTTTGTAGAGAATACTATGACGTGGCAAATTTTTGATGTTTGAAAGTTCTGGCTTCCTAGGTTAACAGATTGATTCTAGGTCATTTCCGGAAAAAATAATACAGTGGCATTTTTGTGATTGACACATTTCCATATCGAAAAAACAGTAGGTGACCTTTGAGAAATATCAAAAATATTTTTTTGCCACGTCATAACCATGTACCTAGTTTTTTTTATGAAATACACAAAAATTGTTGACCTACCTCCCGATACACTGCAATTATGAAGAGAAGTAAAAATTTCCACGAATTTTTTGTATCAAATGAAAAACTTTGATAAAAATCGTATAAAAATAGCCCCAAATTTTCTTTATCTCAAAAAAGTTGCTATTTTGGCCCTACAGGATAAATATTTTTTGTCCAAAAATAACTCACCTTTTTCCCTCCGATCAATGAACTAATTATCGAATCAAAAATAACCTCTGTCGCTGGCCGGTTTCGATTTCAATCCAATTTTGTACCAGAGGGTTTCAAGTTCAAGTTCAAGTTGGCGTAATTAATGTCAAGTTTTTTCGGAAACCCAAAAATTGAGAAATGTTTGACCAAAAAAGATGATTTTTCGATTGATAATATTCCATTTTTTGATGGGAGAAACATGGAAAAAGGTTATATTTGTATTCGTTTCTAAATTTAGACAAACATTAATTCAATTCTTCTTTTCTCTGTGTATTTTTGGATGGGAAGGGGTGGTTAGGAATTTTTTTTTTTGGAAACAGGTTTGCAATTAATTGAGTTTTGGGGAACTACTTTTTATTGGGGAAAAAAATTTGAAAATCTTGGAAATTAAATTGAACCCTGGTGAAAACAGGGATAGTTATTTTTTAAACGAATTTTTTTGGAAAAATGTTTGGAATGTAAAGTTCAGTGGGAACCAGGAAATGGAAATTCAGCGATTTTTTGTTGGTGAGGTTTTTGCTTTTCTGAAAACATAGTTGATTATATATTTTTAGCAGAAAATATTCAAGGATTCCGTCGAGTCTTTAAGTTTCTCAACAATTTTATTTTGGAGTTATGACGTGGCAAAATTTAATATTCTTCCCTGAACTTTTAATTTATCAAGCTCAGCTCACAGTTAAATTTAGAACCCCTTCTATTTTTTCTGAATTTCCTGTGATTCCAGTTTACATTAGTACCTTTTCTAAATTTAGTACAAGTCCAAAAATCCCTAATTAATTTTTCTGTCCTTCTATTCCTCTGACAATTATTCGTTATTTTCGAGATTTTTACCGAACATCGTTAAAATTACAATGAACACGTTTATCAAATTTGGTGGTATTTCATCAAATCCACATTATAATTGTGCATCGAAAAATGTCGAAACATGGTTGGAAGATGGTTTGAGAAGACCAGAACTGGGTTATAGTCTAATAATTTTCGGAATCTTCATCGAAATTTTGTATATTCCATCGTTGATCGCAATCTTGAAGCGAAATCTCTACGAATTTTCTTGCTATAAATTCATGTTTTTTCTTGGTGTTATTGATATGACAGCCACAATTATTTGCTCAATAATCAGTGGATATTTATTCATCGAAGGTGCCGTATTTTGCTCACATCCCAATCTTATTTATATTTCTGGCGCAATCGCATTAGGTTTATGGCTCTCCTGCGCTTCTCTAACATTGTTTTTGGTCATCAATCGAATCCTTGACATACTTTATCCCGATGTATCACAAATATTGTTCAATGGCAACAAGACTTATTGCTGGTTGGCTATCTCATTTACCTATGGTTTCATTGCCACGTGGTTCAGCCCGCCAATTTGTTTCAATTCAAAAATTATGGCATGGATAAATAACCCACTGATTTTTCGAGAGAATGATATAGTAGAAGGATATTTTAATTGGATGCAAACCATAAATAATATCGTATTTGTATTCCTTGTCATCATTTTGTATAGTATTTATTGCACAGTAGTTTGGAAACGTCAAATGGGATTTCAGATGAGTGCCGGAATGCAAATATTCATGCAAGCCACGGTGATTTGCTCGTTCAGCAGTTGTTCTGCACTTATCTATGTCGTCATGATGTTTATCGAACCTCACCCGATTATAGTGCTTTTTGGCGAGTTATTTTGGTCGATTATGCATGGAAGTCCGGCTTTTATTTATTTGATATTTAATAGAAGTGTGAAGAATGAGATAAGGAGTTGGTTCCAAAAAACGAGTTGTTGAACAAGTTGTTGTTGAGAAGGTGTTTGTTTGTACGAACAGTAGAAGGAATATTTTTGTTGAATAAATGTTTTTACTTAATTTTTTCGTATAGCAACATCTGTAATGAGGCCAAGACAAATGCTTCTTAAATTTAATTTTTTCATACCCAAAAAATCAGTTTTCTCCTGAAAATATTGAATTTTAGTGTTTCCATTTCAAAATGGAAAAAAATTGCAAAAAAAAACAAAAAGAAAACAACGAGACTCCGCATTGACGCCTGCCCGCGTGGTTTGAATTTGTGTTTTTTTTTTCAGTTTTTCAATGGGCTTCCAAATTTCTGCGAATACTTATTGACTTTTTCTGAATTTTTCTAGACAACACTAAAACCAAGCTAAATCTAAGATCTGAGAACAAAGATTAGTTTTTGATTCAAAAATTTCTGCTTTATGAATCAGAAAAAATTGAACTTTGCCCTACCAAAGTTCAATATTCCTCCACTTAATTAAATTTCTATAAAAATCCTTCAGGTGTCTATCATGTGAACTGAACTTGCCGTGAACTTCAAGGCACCAAATTAACAAGCAAATTATTTTTCATTTTCCAGAGAAAATATATTTTATTTATCCTTTTCATTAAAAAAAAGTTTTCTGGCTTCTCTCCAACTTTTTTCCCACTATAAAAACACACCAAGAAAACAGATTTTTCTCGAATTCAATTTAAAAAATGATCTACCTTCTAATCTTTCTTGTGATTCAAAATATTCATGCAAATCAAGTGATCCAAGTTGGTCTATTTTTCGTCAAAGATGTTGTAGATCTGCAAATCGCCATGGGCTATCGAACAACAGCCGGTGCAGTTTTATATGCAAAAGATCGGATAACCAATGATCACATTCTAGATGGCTATGACTTAAAGTACCTGAAAAAGTTCGAGGTATTTTTTTAATTTCTGTAATTATTTGCAGCTTCACCTACGTTTTCGATGAATGTGTAGAAAATGTGGCCGCTGGCAAAGCTGTGGAAATGATTGAAGATTCGAACATCGATGTGATTTTTGGACCAACTTGTAATCGAGGAGCCATGGGAGTTGCAGCAATTGCTGCCTATAATAATATTCCGTTGTATCTTTGGGGGTTGACGACTTCGAATGAGTTGGTGGATCGTGATCGTTTCCCGACTACGATGTCGTTTGCGATGAAATCGTATCGGTAAGGGGAGGAAAATCAAGCGGACTATTAAAATTAATTTGAAAATTCTAGAATCTTAAAACCTTGATGTCATCATATTTTTCCAGCCTAGCTCAATCAATCTACACAATAATGAAACGTTTTTCCTGGACAGAATTCGTGTTTGTCTACTCAAATGACGGTGATGAGGAGAAATGTGACTCGCTGAAAAAAGACGTGCAAACCTATTTATCCCTCAACTCCGATGTCACCATCTCATTCCTCTATCAAATTCAAACGCTGACGATGGACAACATCAGAAGTGCTATAAAAATTATCAAGGAGAGAGGGAGAAGTGAGTCAGAGAAAAAACAACCCAATCGAGATTTGTTTTCTAGTTATCGTAACTTGTGTTGCCAGTGGAAATGGTCAGAAGAAGGCTTTCATGAAAGCGGCGTATTTGGAAAACGCGGTGGGCACAGAATATGTCTATATTATGGCCGAGACAAATTCAAAGGGATTCAGTGAGCATTCAGAAGCAAAAAAATAAACAAAATTCTAATAAATTTGCAGGAGTCGATGATTTTGCCGGTGATTGGCATTATATTTACGTGGGTTCTAAAGGGATTGCGACGAATTGGACAGATGAAGAAGCTCGAGATGCGTTTCAGAACGTTCTGTTTATTGTAGACAACGCTGGGCAGAATGGCGAAGTTACAAATCAATACAAGAACTTTAGTCAAGAGACAATTCGACGAATTGCGGATGCGCCATTCAATTGCACTGACGATTGTCAGAGTCGTAACTTCAGCGAAGTCTCGAGTTATGCTGGACAACTAGCTGATGCGATTTACGGCTACGCGATTGCTCTCAATCGATCCCTAGCCAAAGATCCAGGAGCAATCAAAAACGGCACGGCGATAATCAGCGAAATGTCGATGACGTTTCAAGGTGTTGGAAGTGGTGATGTCTTGATTGCTGAGGATCTGTCACGTGTTGGAATCATTTACCTGCAAGGAATGAATTCAAGCAAACTCCCGCAGAATTTTGCAAAACTAGTGGTAGATCAAGAAGTCCAGTATATTCCCAATTATGATGATGAGCAAGAAATTTGGGGTGACAGATCGAGACCGCTCACGAAACCGATTTGTGGGTTTTCAGGCACTGAGGTCAGAAGCTTCTGAGTTCATTTAAAAAATATAATTTTTCAGTGTCCGGCTAATTTTCTACGCGACTACCTGCTCTACACGATACTTGTTGCACTAATAATCCTCCTTGCGATAAGCGCCGCCTGTTTCGGAATAATCTACACAATCTACATGAAACGTGAAGAGATCGCAAAGCTGGATTCAATGTGGCATGTGAACTTCCACGATCTCTCGAACATCCCAACTGGTTTGAATAGTCAACGATCTTTCGTCAGCGGACCATCAATCAATTCACACAGTCGTAATGAATCCAGCCGATGTAAAATCTTCATCTACAAAGCTGAACGTGTGGCCGCAATGCGACACGATCTACACATCCAACTGAATTCTGATGAAAGAGCAATTCTTCGTCGCTGTCTGAGCATCGATCATGAAAATATAAACAAATTCCTGGGGCTCAGCCTGAATTCCCCGCAACTATTCTCAATTTGGAGGTGTTGCTCGCGAGGAAGTCTGTCTGATGTTATTGAAAAAAGTTCAGTGCAAATGGACAGTTTTTTCATGTTCTCACTGGTTCGAGATATAGCTTATGTGAGTTTTTTTTTTCAAAATTTTTTTTTAAATCTGGTTTTTTTCCAGGGCCTCGCTTATATTCATAACTCATTCCTGAACCACCACGGATTTCTAACCTCCAAATGTTGTTTAATCGATGATCGATGGCAGGTAAAAATCTCGGACTATGCAATCCCTTTTCTCAAATTCCACGATAAAATCGAACCGAAAAATCTTCTATGGGTAGCTCCGGAGTTCCTCCGCAATCCCATCAACCAAAAGACTAAGGAGGGTGATATCTATAGTTTTGGTATTATTTCCTCCGAGGTCTACACCAAAACAACACCACCTTTTGATTTTGAGAATAACAAAGGGCGACTAGACGAGCTAATTTTCAAAATCAAAAAAGGTGGATTTCGCCCAAGTTTGGAGGTTGACGCAAGCTTGGAACTTCGTCCAACAATGCTGAGCTTGGTGAAAGATTGTTGGGCAGAAAAACCATCGGAAAGACCAAATATTGATCAAATCAAGTCAACACTTCGCAGCATAAATGAGAACAAAAAAGAGAATCTGATGGATCACGTATTCAACATGCTTGAAACCTACGCTTCTACACTAGAAGATGAGGTTTCCGAAAGAACTAAGGAACTGGTTGAGGAGAAAAAGAAGTCAGATATTTTGCTATACCGTATGCTACCAAAACAAGTCGCCGATAAGCTGAAAATTGGTCAAAGTGTGGAGCCCGAAACCTTTGAGCAGGTCACAATTTTCTTTTCGGATGTGGTGAAATTCACCAATCTTGCGGCACGATGCACACCCTTTCAAGTGGTGACACTTCTCAATGAGTTGTACACGGTGTTTGATGGGATTATTGAGCAACACGATGTGTATAAGGTAGGCTTGGCTTGTGGATTTTTGTATAGAAGAGAGACTTCAGGTGGAAACCATTGGCGATGGGTATCTTTGCGCATCTGGGCTTCCGCATCGTAACGGTGACGCGCATATAATCCACATTGCACGAATGGCCTTCGGTTTCCTCGATGCTCTTCAAATCTTCGGCATCCCTCACCTTCCGGATGAACGCATCAATCTGCGGATTGGTATACATTGCGGTAGCGTGGTTACAGGGGTAGTTGGTCTAACTATGCCCAGATACTGTTTATTTGGAGATACTGTGAATACGGCAAGCAGAATGGAGAGTAATGGAAAAGCTGGGCAGATTCATATATCTTCGGAGGCCAATCGGATGCTGGAAATTGTTGGTGGCTTTGAAACGGAATCTCGGGGAGAAGTTATCATCAAAGGAAAGGGAGTCTTGGAGACTTTTTGGTTGAAGCGAGAGAATTCAGAAGCACCGAAAGGTATCTATAAAAGTTATATCAATGATGTTTAGAAGTTCTTTTTTGTTTTGTTTTTGTATATAATGCACATCATGAACACATTTTCACAACAAAAAAACTACCAAACATTCCATGCAAAGTCACCGGAAACACTTGGGTCATGCGGGAAAAAAAAAACTACGTCTAGCTCATTTTCACATCACATTACATCACGAAAAATACCGACTGATAACGAAATTTGTTGCTGATCATAAAATTGATGATTGAAAATTATGATGTTAAAGGTGAAGTCCGAGATAAAAAATAAAAAAAATGAGTTAGGCTCATTTGAGGTAGAAACAGTTAAAGGATGGCTTAAAGGTGAAGGTAATCTCAAAGGTCTGACACAAAAATCGAATCATCAATCAGTTTCAATTTAAAAGTTTGTCTCCTGGTCAAAATTAGTAATTGACAAATTTTCCAAAAATCGGAATTGACAGAGAATAGCAGTTCCTAACTACTGGACATCTGGACTTTACACAGTGTTTCACTATTTTTTTCAAAACTCAAAATTTTTTTAACGTATGTTATGAGAAGAAGAAGAATACACTGTGATCCTTACAGTAAAAATCCTTCCAGGATTGTTCTAACTAGAACACACCCTTTCAAATGAGCATGACCTAATTTTTGCTCACAGACTTTATGTTTTCTACAAAATGTGCAGCTTCTTCTTTTTATTGAGGATAGACACAATTTTCCAGAATTACATCAGAAATATGAATTCATATGACTCTTCAGAAAATTACGTAAATCAACACCCTCTCTATAAAAAACACTGATAAAGTTTTAATGTTGATCTTGATAACGAGTTCAGACACTTTTTCACAAAACAGATTTTCTTGAAAAACTCGAACATTGCCAATTCTCATATTTCCTGATCAGCAACACAATTCAATAGAAAAAAGAATTGCAGAAACTATTATTTGCCAACACGAATTCATGAATAAAGATAGCTAGCTCATCGTTTTCCCATCGCGAACAAAAACCGAATGATAAGAAAAGTGTTGTTGAACTGAAGCGGAAGAGCATATAAAATGACGGGAGAAAGTTTGTATAACATCGAAAAATGAAATTGTTCCTTTTCGTATTCGCTTTGATCTTCGCTTTGGCGTACGCTTCACCAAGATCTCACCGTGGATCGCCACCGACTGGAAGTCCCCCAACAGGAACACCCCCAAGTCGTCCACCACATCCACCACATCACGGTCCACGTCATAGAGGACCTCGTCCAAGTGGTTCTCCACCAACTGGAACACCGCCAACTGGAACTCCACCTTCTGATGAATGAAATTCATAAATTGCATAATTCATATTTTGTCCAATGATAATAAAAATAAGCATTTGGAGTTTGTTGGAATCGGGGAATTCCCGTGATTTTTTATCATCAGTTCATTGAACATTCAAGTAAACAAAAATGTTTCCCGAATCAGGAAAAGAGCAAAGATCTTTTGTGCATTGATAAGAAACTTTGAAATACTTTGAACGAGGTTTTTGTTGTTTTGAAGTAGACATTCTTGAGGAAACACCTTTGAAAAAAGCGCCATTGCAAAAACAAACAAGCAATTACCAAAGTTATATTTCATTTTTTTTTTAATGTGAAAATGTTAGATTGAATGACTTCTGAAGAAGGTTTTACAGAAGGTATTTTTGCGAGTAAATTTTCAGTGGTATAGAAAACACCGCAATCCGTCCGATTTCTCACTTTTTTCGAGATAAGAGCATTTCTGAGCCTCAACGACATGATAACCCTATTAAGCCACAGTGATGTACCCAAAAAAAAATTCATGTGACCTCCTTGGGAAAAACCCCATAGAAAAATTACGTAAATCAAATTTCAAATAACACTGATAACATAATTTTTGATGTTGATCATGAAAAGGCGGGAACTAATTTGAATATAAAAGAGTTCAGGCGAGGTCAGGAAAGTATCCAGTTTCATAACTCAATATGAAATTGTTCCTTACTGTTCTCGCCCTTACTGCTGCGGTTGCACTTGGTGCACCAAGACCAAGTGGACCACCACCAAGCGGACAACCTCCACTTCCACCAAGCGGAGCTCCTCCAAGCGGACCCCCACCATCAGAAGCTTCCCTCGAACTTGCCGGACGACCAAGGCCATCTGGACCACCACCAAGCGGAGCCCCACCAAGCGGACAACCTCCACTTCCACCAAGCGGAGCCCCACCAAGTGGCCCACCTCCATCAGAAGCTTCTCTTTAAATTGTATCTAGATTGTAAATTTTGTAAAATAAACTATTTATGCATCAATCATTTTCAAATTTTCCAGCGGCAAACATTCAGACTCTGGTATCATACGTTCCCCAAACTTTGAAATAATATAGAAAAACGCAAAACCAAAAATCATAATAATCACAGACACCCAAACTAGACCTATCTCAGGTCTAGAAGCATAGAACCCGACAAGCGAAATGATTTCAACCAAGTAGATCAATCCAGCAATTACTTGTCGATGTAAATGTGAACCGAGAAACGAGCCGACTGGCGCAAAAATTGAAGCAATCGGTGTGCTACAAATAAAATAGTTCCAAGAAATGCGGGAAATATCGCCTTGCATCACAGCACGGTAGTAGAATCCAAATAATGATAGGATTCCTGAAACTATTTGAATTATGTAGATGAGCAGGTTTAGAGACGCAACCTTTGAGAATCGTAGTTGTCGGCGTCGCAATTTTCTCGCTCACACGAAAATACAAGACTGTTATCGAGAAAATGCAAATATCGATTCCACTTCCAGCAAATGCGTTGAGAACCCCGCCAACAAAACCAACTATCACTAAAATGTGAGCCTGGGTTGTGGAGAAGTTTTGAATCTCGCTGAATGTTGCACGTTTTTTCTGGGTGTTGATTAGTGCGAGGGCAAAAGCGAAAGCTGTCCAAATTGAGACGAACAACATTTTCTTCTGGGGGCCGGTGAAAAGTGGGTCGAACTGGAAACAAAAAATTGTTGAAAATGAGATTCTCATGACGTGCCTAGACCTTATCCCAACTCACAAAATGAATGCCAAAAACAAATCCCGGAATCGCTCCAATTGTTCCAAAAACCACGGCCCTCCCTTCAATCTTCACCTTCATAAAAACAATACAAACCAGCGATGACGTCATCCCAACACTCTGAATCATAATCGCAAAATCTCTCGCCACTCCCGGATCCAAGTGTAAAGCCAAAGTCATAACAGGAAATGAAACAGCAGATGCGCCCTCAGCAGTCATTCCAGCCACCAAACTTCCCAAAATCATAGTTAAAGGCATGTGCCAGAATTCTCGAAATAATGGGAAAATATTGAAGCGAACAGCTGAGGACCACCATATCAGCTGGACTATTGTTACAGGGACAACTAGTGCTGTGAATTTTCGATATTTTATCAGGAATAGATCCGAAATTGTGGGATTTGCTGGCAGGTTTTCGAGTTTTTCGCAAAACTTTTCTTCAAGCTTCTGCCCGTCTAGAAAATATTTTCGAAACCAATTCGAATTCATATTAATTTATTCGAAATAATAATAATATGATTTAATTACACTAATTCGATTATATACCAAGATACTATCTTTTCATAGATTTATGCGTAATTTTTATCCTGTCCAGTTCATTGACCAACTTTCACTGAAATTACATCAGCTGCAGGTTATTTTTGTAGAAAAAATACTTTATCAGAACCAAAAACACACAGAACGTAAACCATTTTGATAAGAAACGAGCACAGAACGAGTACAGTTTTTGTTGGATCTCGGGCAGAACCTTCCTTGATCTCAGATTAACTCCGACCAACTATGAATCACGTCATTTCCGAGGTCTACCAAATAGAAAAGCTACACATTACATGAGAATAACAAATAAATTACGCACATCAAGCTCAATTTGATAATTATTGATGTTGATCATTTTGTCAGGGTTCCTTGAGAAAACCCCCCTATAAAAGTGAAGCACTCGGTTCAGTATGGTATACAATTTCACAAAGTATGAAGTTGTTCCTTACTGTTCTCGCACTTACTGCTGCGGTTGCACTTGGTGCACCAAGACCAAGTGGACCGCCTCCAAGCGGAACTCCTCCAAGCGGACCTCCACCACCTCCACCAAGTGGAGCTCCTCCAAGCGGACCCCCACCATCAGAAGCTTCCCTCGAACTTGCCGGACGACCAAGACCATCTGGCCCACCACCAAGCGGAGCCCCTCCAAGCGGAGCCCCACCAAGTGGCCCACCTCCATCCGAAGCCTCTCTTGAACTTGCCGGACGACCAAGACCATCTGGCCCACCACCAAGCGGAGCCCCACCAAGCGGACAACCTCCACTTCCTCCAAGCGGAGCCCCTCCAAGTGGCCCACCTCCATCAGAAGCCTCTCTCGAGCTTGCCGGACGACCAAGACCATCTGGACCTCCACCAAGCGGAGCCCCACCAAGCGGACAACCTCCACTTCCTCCAAGCGGAGCCCCACCATCTGAAGCTTCCCTTGAACTTGCTGGACGACCAAGACCATCTGGCCCACCACCAAGCGGACCCCCACCAAGCGGACCTCCACCATCTGAAGCTTCTCTCTAAATTGTATTGTATAATTTTTTGTAATAAATAATTCATCGCAATTTTTCTATCCCAGACTCCACGATCAAAATTGCATCAGAAAAAGGAATTAAACATTCACAATTAATTCCCGTGGTACAGACTTTTTTGGTTGAAAAAAAATTTTGTTATCAGTTCGACTTGGGGGAACCCCAAACAACAACAAGACAGTTGGTGAACTATTAATTAAGACAGCTTTTGATGTTTATGAGATAAGATGATTGCAAAAATAAACATGTTGATTCTGGAGTTTATCAACTTTTTTTTAGTGAAAATAGAAATGATATTTCAGATAGGTGAGATCGAAATCTGAAATAAAAGAAACTAGTAGGGACCCTTTTCTTCATACTGAGAACGGTGAAAGTACATCAATGAAAAAAAAAATCAAAAAATTTTGGACATTTTATTTTACGGCGGAGAAATTCCATATAATTTTTTTTCCAAAATTGAAAAAGTTAAAGATTTATGAGAAACCTGGATCGATTTGAACTGAAAGTTAAAGATATGAGAATTCTGATCGGAAAGCGATACATTAAATTTTTTAATACAAAGGTTGCTATGTTAGGAAAAACTTTACTCAACTACTGTACGTGATCTAAATAAATCTGTCGGACAATAAAGACTCGAAGAAAATAAATTAATTGACTGAAACGATTTGAAAAGCTCGGGGAATCATTTGTGGTACACACATACACCGCGACGCACAATTGCACACAGCAAACATTTGCTGACTACAGTAATCCAATATTAAATAGATTTGAAGGGCTAAAAATAAACCGTTCCAACTGGATAGCTGTCGTTAATCCTTATCCCAAATTCCCACTCTCAATTATACATCTACAGTAAGAATTGAACTCTGCACACTGATATCATTTTAATTCCCGCGTAAAAAAGTCACATGAACCTCCCTCTGCTCCGAAAATAAATCAAGAAAAATAGGAAATGCCGTCGCTGATAACACAACTGTTTGATGCTGATCATATTGAACCGCAGAGCAAAAATGCACTATAAAAAGACTGTCTAGTCGCTGATACAATATTCAGTTTCATATTCTCAATATGAAGTTGTTCCTTACTGTTCTCGCCCTAACTACTGCGGTCGCACTTGGTGCACCACACGCTCCGCCACGTGGACCACTTGGTAAAATTATTCATCATCTTTTGCCACACCCGTCAGGACCTCCGCCACCTCCACCAAGCGGTGCCCCACCAAGCGGACAACCTCCACTTCCACCAAGCGGTGCCCCACCAAGCGGACCTCCACCACCTCCACCAAGCGGAGCCCCACCAAGCGGTGCCCCACCAAGCGGACCTCCACCACCTCCACCAAGCGGTGCCCCACCAAGCGGAGCCCCACCAAGCGGAGCCCCGCCAAGCGGACCACCACCAAGCGGACAACCTCCACTCCCGCCAAGCGGAGCCCCGCCAAGCGGACCACCACCAAGCGGACAACCTCCACTCCCGCCAAGCGGTGCCCCACCAAGCGGTGCCCCACCAAGCGGCCCACCACCTTCCGGCTCCCCAGCCCCATCTGATGAACCAGCCAGCATCTTCAATCTCTTCGGACTTCTCGCTCAACAACACCCACATCCATCTGGCCCACCACCAAGCGGACCTCCACCAAGCGGACCTCCGCCAAGTGGACCACCAAGCGCCTAAATTCTCCGCGGTGTCTAAAATTGTATTTATGTATAATTCATAAATGTTTTCATTCAAAACAACAGAGATTTGCCACGTCATAGCTCACAAAAAAACATTGGAGGGTTTTTACCTCGTTGAAATCTTTCCAGAAAAAAACCCCGACATGTGTAAACAAATTCTTGTAATCGAGTTTACCTAACTCACAATCAGACAACAAAAAATCACATTTTCAATCAAGTTGTTTTCACACCTCATTACTTCTTTTCATCTGTCTAGGAAGTAGTGATTTCTCAAGATTTTAGTCAAAACACATTGAATGTACATTTATCTAATATTTGCTGGATCAATTATCTTCAATACTACACTTCTAGTGTTGCTCATAGTACATCCGAACAAGAAAATCGGCAACTATCGATTTTTGATGTTCTCGTTTTCAGTTTCAGAATTGTTTTTTTCAGTGATGGATTTTTTGAACAAACCGGTAAGTTCGATGTTTTGAACAGTTATACATTCAAAAAAAAGTGTTGCAAGTTACCTCAACTCTCAGATCGTCCACATAACCAACGGCGCCTACATCATCTTCACTCAAAACACTCTTGGTCTCTCCCACCGCTATGCGTTTTACATGATAGTCCTAAACTGTACCTGCTACGGTATTACAGTTTGTCTACTAGCAATTCATTTCATCTATCGATATTTGGCTCTTTGCAAGTTTGTAATTGACTTACTTATTTCATGAAAAAATAAACTTTCAGGGCTCATCTGATGAAACTCTTCACCTTCCCATACACAATTATTTGGATCGTGTTTTTTCTCGCAATCTCTTCCGACTGGTGGTTCTCTGGAGTAAATTTTACAACAGAAACTGCGGAAATCGATCAAGTTATCGAAAAATCTATAATAAAATTCTATAACTTAACTAGAGGTCAATACATCTACGCTGGGAACTTGTATTATAGAGTTGATTCAACTACGGGAATCAAAAGTCTGTCCTGGCCAGATCTATTTTATATGATGAATATCGTGAAGATAATAACTATCTGCTTTAGCATCGTGTTTTTCTGCGGGATCAAAACCTATCGAACAATGCAAACGTATAATTTCATTTCCAAGAAAACGCATGATCTTCAACAACAACTGTTTCACGCGCTAATAGTTCAAACAATCATTCCAACTGTCACAATGTTTCTTCCCGCTGGTGCTGTAATCATCTTACCAATCTTCGAAATCACTTTAGGATCAGTGGAGAGTCTTATCTTAACAATCATCTCAACCTATCCCTGCTTCGATCCAATTGTTATTATCTATTTTGTCAAGGATTATCGAAATACTGTGATAACATTTTTGACTCGTTGGAAAAATAATGATATTGTGACACAAAATAAGACAATGCCTAGTACTAATTCGTAATGAAGATTTCTGATTTGCTAAAATTTGCTCATTAACCTTTTAAAGCTCTATTTTTCAGGGTAAACAAGGAAGAATTTTAAAAATGTTATTGTCAGAACTTTCATTTTGCTAAAGGGTATCGTCAGAATCAGGCCTGTGCCGGAAATTTTCCGGTTTTCCGGAAAATGTGCTCGAAAAATCCGGAAAATGATCTTTAGTAGAAATATTTTTAATATTGCCTAAATTTTGGGAAATTTTCTCAGTTTATGATAGAAAAAATGAAATTTTGAAAAATAACATCAAAAATTTGAAAAATTTTCCGAATTTTTCGACTTTCCGTTTTCCGGGTTTCGATTTTCCGGCACAGGCCTGCTCAGAATATATTTCAGCTTTTTTTCAAATATTTCTGGGCTCATTGAGCTCAGAGAAAATTCTCAAAATAATTAGTAACATTTCGCATGTTTGTATCATCTGAAAAATCACTGATCAAATTTTTTCACCTGCAAAATCATATGTTTTTCTGTTTTTTTTTTGCCTCTAAAAAAATTAATTTTTGTCTGCCTAGAGTTATCCCAAGTGCAAAGCACTGTAAAATTCCGAAAATTATTCTTTGTGTATCTTTCGAGATGTCTAGGAACAAGGAAGTGCACAAGTGTATTTCTGAGAAAATAATTAATTTTGCAAAAACACTCTGAAGATTCAGTCACATGGAAAACTTTCATTCAATATTTCTTCTCTCAAAAAAAATTATTTCAAAATTTCCAAGAAACCACATGTTTTGTATTTATGTCTCAAATACGATTTGGGTGATCTCTAATTCAATTTTCAACCATGCGCTAATCAATTTTTTTCCGTGAGAAAAAATGGGCGTGTCACTTTCTATTTCTTTACTTTTTGAATTTCCGTTCCCCTCCCCTTTGAAAAAAGAACAATTTTAATTAGACGTTAATTTCTTCTAACTCAAATATCACTTTCAAAAAAAACCAACCAAACCAGGTGAATTCCTTAAAATTTTTGTTGTGTTCTGCATTTTTGAACAATACTCAAATCAACCAACCAACCAACAAAACTATTCCAAAGAAAACCCTATCGTCATTTCTTTTCTGATCTTCGCAACGAAAAAAATGGCCATTTTTAGCGATTCTAAAAATCGACACATGATGTTGCTTCAAGCTCATTATATTTATGCAAATTTCACATTTTTTGTTTCAATGATCTCCAATTCCACACTTCTTGTGTTGCTCATGTTACATCCAAATAAGAAAATCGGGAATTATCGATATTTGATGTGCTCATTTTCAGTGCTCGGATTATTTTTCTCAACTATTGATTTGTTGAATAAACCGGTGGGTTTTTCAAAGTTCACACCGTGATATATCAAGATCATAAACATTTTTTTTGGTTGATTAAATTTGGGCTCGGTGAAAATTTGATTAACTTGCATACTTATTTTAGAACAAGTTCAGGTTGGGAAAATTGAGGTTTAGAACAGCTCAAAAAAAGATATGGCCCAAATCAAATCCTAATCCTGCACTGTGTATTCAAGAATCCAGACTTTCAAACAAGCCAAAGATTACTTCGTGTTGAAATCAGTACAATAAAAATTGTCTAATACAAAAAACAAAAGTGCCACTCAAAAATAACTTCCAAAAATTTCCAGATGGTTCACATAACCGGTGGCACCTACATCATCTTCAGTCTCAACGCCTTAGGCCTTCCCAGAAACTATGCTGAATACCTAAACGCTCTAAACTGCAGTTGCTACGCGATGACAGTTAGTCTACTAGCAATCCATTTTATCTACCGATATTTGGCGGTTTGCAAGTGAGGATCAAAATTCTGAAATTCACACTAAAACAATTTTTCTCAGACCTCATCGGATCAACCTATTCAGTTTTCCCTACGCCATGATCTGGCTGGTTTTTTGCTTCGCATTATCATTCGAATGGTGGGCGACTGCTGTATTTTTCGCTGCCGAGACTGCAGAGATCAATGCGACTATTGAGAAATCCATGCGAGACGACTACAATATCACTTTGGAGCAATTTGTGTACGCAGGAAATAAGTATTATGTGAGTTGGCATAACGAAAATATGTATTTCTAAAAAAAAATTCTCAGAGAACCGACGCCTACACCGGTGTCAAAACACTATCCTGGCCCGATGTTTTATACGCATTAAACGTGGTGAAAATGATCTCAATCTGCTTTAGCATCGTATTTTTCTGCGGTATCACAACATTTCGCAAAATGCGAACACTAAACTACACCTCCAAACGGACCAATGATCTACAAAAGCAACTTTTCTACGCACTAATAGTTCAAACCCTCATCCCAATGTTGACAATGTTCCTCCCGGCTGGAGTTCTACTGTTCAGCCCGTTATTCGAAGTCACTTTGGGATATGTGGAGGGTCTGATCTTAACAGTCATCACAACTTATCCCTGCCTGGATCCGATTGTTGTTATTTATTTTGTCAAGGACTATCGAAATACCGTGGTGTATACATTATTGTGTGATCGGAAGAAATTGGCGCAGAGAAGGGTGGCTTTTCGAACGACTACTGCGATTTCGACAATGAACTCAACTATTTAAGCATTTTTTTTCGTTGAGATATATTTCGTGCTTGATTTTTGCAAGTAGTCATTAAAGTTTTTTAATTGGTGCGTTTTTTAAAGGTTAGACATGACGTTCAAAAAGTTCAGGTACAAGTCTGAATTCAAAAAAAAACCGGTGACTTACAAGAACTCTCTTAAATTACCTATATTCACAAAGTTCTTTCAAAAATCAACAAAATCACGTGGAATTTTTCAATTTCCTGGTTGCTCATAGTATTTTGTAGTCCTGTCTGGATTTTTCTACCCAAAAAGTACAACCTGATAACAAACAAATAAGCCTGATTTTATTTTATTTTTCTTTTTCCTACCTCATTTTTGAAAAGCTCATTAGTAATTTCTGTTGTTTTTTGTGACAAAAAAAAAACGCGTATTTGCTCAAAAACCACAAAAAAATTGCTCGATCCAACTACAAATTTAGTATTCCAGAAGATTTTTGATGTTCCTCCTCGATTTTCAAAACATCTATTCCGGTTTCACCTTCATTTCTGCAGTTTTCACAAATTTCGCACTTTTATCAATGCTTCACTTTTTTCCCAACAAAAAACTTGGGAATTATCGCTATTTGATGTTTTCGTTTTCAATTATCTCTTTGATATTTTCGGCCGTCGATTTTCTGAACAAACCCCTATGTCATTTGAGCGCCGGTGCTTATTGTGTCTTTTCAACGAATTATTTGAACTTGCCTAAAAACCTGGCTCAATGGCTAAATGCTTTCAATTGCGCATGTTTCGGCACAACTATCGCTGTTCTCGCTGTGCATTTTGTCTATCGTTATTTATCTATTTGCAAGTGAGTTAGAAAAAAAAAGAAAAAAATTTCGCAGTCTGCAGGATTCGAACCTACGCGGGCAAAGCCCAATTGATTTCTAGTCAATCTCCTTAACCACTCGGACAAGACTGCATGAGAGGAAAGAGGGGAAAATAACATTTGCTCTGCTCAATTATTTTTCTAAAAAAATCGTGATTTTTCCAGATCTCATCAAATGTACCTCTTCTCCTACCCTCACGCTCTAATCTGGCCAAATATCTGTCTAATTCTAACAATTCTCTGGTGCCTAGCCACCCAATATACAGCTCAATCAAGTGCAGAATGTGATGAGATCATAGCTCCAGCGATGAAGAATTTCTACAATTTTTCAATTGATCAAATTATTTACCACGGTGCTAATTATTATGTGAGTTGGTGGTGTTTAGTTAATTAATTAATTATCTGAATATGTATAATTTGCAGAGATTGGATGGCAGCTTCTACTTCGCTAATATGATCTATGCAATAAGTGTGAATATTCTCTCATCCTGGTGTTTTTGCACAATAATCTTCTGTGGATTCTCAACATACCGAAAAATGCGAAAATTAACTCATGCCTCCCAGAAAACTCTAGACCTTCAAAAACAACTTTTCAAAGCTCTAGTCGTTCAGACAATCGTCCCAATGGCAACAATGTTTTTCCCCGTGTCTATTTTTCTAATCGGCCCGTTTTTCAAAATAACTTTGGGACCTGTTGAGGTTCTTCTGGCGACTTTTATCACAACTTATCCACTTATTGATCCTTTGATAGTTTTATATTTTGTGAAGGATTATCGGGTTTTGATGTTGCAATTTTTAAAGTGCGAAAAGATGGTGGCAAAAAAGTATACGTCTACAGTTTCCGGAGTTACTGCAACTGTGATTTCGATGAATAACTCAAGACTATAGCCTGTTTTTATGGTTTTTGGTTTTTGATTTTTTCAAAGAATAAATAATATTGAAAATGTTCGATGTAATCACAGAAAAATAAAATCCCACAAATAGAACAATTCCAAATCTGCAAAAATTGTATTCCAAAAAAGATCTATGAATTCCCAGATCCCCCAAAATTCTGAAATGATGTAAGTGTACTTTTTTCAGAACTATGATGATATTAAAATGTTCTGGCAATTTATAACCAATTATTTTCTCTCTCGAAAATAAATTAAATTTCCATTTGATCTTTCGTATTTTATACCTGGCCATGCTTCTAAAAATCTTAAAATACCATTCTATTTTCACATTCATCTTTTCAATTCTATCAAACTCTTTGCTTCTCTCATTTCTCGCGCAGAAATCAAACAAGAAATTCGGAAATTATCGATATTTGATGTTTTCCTTCGCTCTGGTCTCTTTATTTTTCACACTTGTTGATTTTCTCAATTTTCCAAAATGCCACATTTCCAATGGGGCTTATATAATCTTCTCAATGAATTCGTTAAAGTTGCGATCAGATTATGCACATTGGCTGAATGGTGAGTTCTAGACTGTGTTGATTTTGAGTAGATGACATTTTTTGTAGCTTTGAATTGCTCATGTTTTGGTGTGACTATAGCTCTATTGGCCGTTCATTTTGTTTATCGCTTTTTTGCAGTTTGCAGGTATAAAGATACATTAAAACGTATAATTTTCGTTCAAAAATTCACATTTCCAGACCTCAAAGCATCTCCATGTTTTCTTTCCCAAATTCTCTAATCTGGCTAATTTTTTGCGCAACAATCACAATTATTTGGTACACCACAACACAAATCTATTCCTCAAGGAATCCCGAACTCGATCAACTGATAAACTTCTCCCTGTTAAAAACTTATAATATTCTTCCAAATGAAATAGTATATCATGGGAGTTACTATTATGTGAGTTCTTATAAATATAAATTTCTGGATAAAAAACATTGAGTTTTCAGAATCTGGATTCAAGTGTGAACATTCAAAACACTCTAATCACAATTGGTGTGAACTGTATGAGTTCAGGTTGCTTGTTAATAATCCTAATTTGCGGAACAAAAACCAATATCAAAATGAAAACTCGAAGAACTGTTTCGAAAAAGTTCGATGATTTACAACGCCAATTGTTTCGAGCCTTGGTGATTCAAACAATTATCCCATTTTTCACCATGTTCCTACCGGCATCGCTCATATTAATCCTCCCAATTTTCAAAATCACATTAGGATCTTCGGAGTTATTGATAATGGTTTTTATAACAACTTATCCATTGATAGATCCTTTAATTGTTTTGTACATTGTTAAAGACTATCGAAAAACCATATTTCGATTTGTGAAATGCGTGAAGAAAAATCGAGCGATTCAAAGTTCATCGATTATTGTCTCTAATAAATTGTGACATCAGGATGTTTTCAAAGAAGAAAGGAAATTAGATTCTATTTCTAGTACAGGAAATTTTCATGGCAGTTGATATCAAAAACAAGTTATTTAGCCCAACTCGCGATGCTTCTAAAGATCTTCGAATTCCATTCTTATTTCACATTTGTGTTCTCAATCCCACCAAACGCATTGCTCATTTTATTCTTTTTTCAAAAATCCAGCAAGAAATTCGGAAACTATCGATATCTGATGTTTTCATTTTCCCTGATCTCATTAATTTCCACATTCATTGACTTTTTGAACAAACCAAAATGTCATATTGCTAATGGAGCTTATGTCATTTTTTCGATGAATGATTTGAAATTGCGATCTGATCATGCACATTGGCTGAATGGTAAGTTCTAGGATATACTATTAAGAAATCAATAGATTTACAGCGTTGAATTGCTCATGTTTCGCGGTGACAATATCATTATTAGCTGTGCATTTTGTGTATCGCTATATTTCCGTGTGCAAGTAAATACATTTCAAATGATTCATGTTGAAATGTTGATTTTCCTTTTTTCCAGATCTCACAAGCGCTCGCTCTTTTCCTTCCCATACTCTCTAATCTGGCTAATTTTCTGCTCAACCATCACAGTAGTTTGGTACACGGCAACTCAACTCTATTCATCAAGAACCCCAGAACTAGACCAGCTTATAAATTCCTCACTTTTCCAAAATTATGAGATCTTCCCGAGGGATATAATCTATCACGGAAGTTACTATTATGTAAGTTCTCACCAAAATTGAATATCAACAAAATCTATTCAAAAACTATTCAGAACCTGCTGGATTCAAAGCTAAATGTTCATAATACCTTGATGACATTTGGTGTGAACTTGATCACGTTATTTTGCCCAATGATTATTCTAGTTTGTGGATCGATAACCTATCGAGAACTGATAATTAGAAAAAATATTTCAAGAAAATTCGAAGATTTACAACGTCAATTATTTCAAGCCTTGGTTATTCAAACAATCATCCCATTATTTACCATGTTCCTCCCAGGATTTCTTATATTAATCCTCCCAATTTTCAGATTAACTTTAGGATCTTCAGAGTTCCTCTTAATGTTGTTCATAACAACTTATCCATTGATAGATCCTCTGATTGTTTTGTACATTATCAAAGACTATCGTCAGATTATTAAAAGACTTTTGAAATGTAACAAGAACAATCAAGTTATGCAAAATTCTTCAATCATCGTCTCTAATAATTTGTAATATTTTTGAATTTGCGGAACATGTTTTTCTGAACCTAACTTATTCTATTTCGATATTACTTTTAATAAATCTAATAAAGCAATAAAAAATTGTGCTCTGGTCGGGGAAAAAAATTGAATAAAAATCATGTACTTTGAAGAAAATTTTTCGGTAATTGATAGGAAAAAATGTTTTCAAATCTCAAAACTATAATCATAGATTTGATGGAGGAAAATTGTGTTATACTTGCTTAATCATACATGTGTCCTAAGTTGAAATTTGTCCATGTCAGCAAAAAAATAGAATTTTATTTTTGGACAAAATTGGGAAAATATGAAAAACATAGTATACCCCAAGGCTTTTTTTGTTGAAAATTGTTCCTAGATTTTCTGAAATTCAAAATTTTCAGAGCAAAACGCTTCCAATTATTCTACAAACTTCCCAAAAATGGCGCCAAGTACTATAGTTGGACAACGACTCGACTTGAGTCGACTCGAGTCGACTTGGAGTCGAGTCGTTTGGAAAATACCTTTCGACTCGACTAACGACTCGAGTCGTTTAGTCGAAAAGGTGAGTCGATTAGAAAATGACTCGAGTCGAGTCGAATGGTTTTTTCGACTCGACTCGACTCCGATGGTCAATTTTCTCATGGTGAGTGGGGGTTTTGTAATATGGTTAAGGTGTTGGCTTAGATGGTGAATATTGGATGGTGATTGGTGGACATGGTGATAGTGCACCAATCACACCAACTGCACCAATAATGGTAAATTGGTGTGATTGGTGCAGTTGGCGCAATTTTAACCATTGGTGGAATTGGTGGATGGTGGAATTGGCGAATGGTGCAATTCGCCAATTGGTGTAGTTGGTGCAATTTCACCAATTGGTGCAATTGGTGCACCAATGACCAAATATACCAATCACACCAATTGGCGAATTGCACCATTCGCCAATTCCACCATCCACCAATTCAACAAATTCCACCAATGGTCCAAAATTCCCATTATTGGTGCAGTTGGTGTGATTGGTGCACTATCACCATGTCCACCAATCACCATCCAATATTCACCATCTAAGCCAACACCTTAACCATATTACAAAACCCCCACTCACCATGAGAAAATTGACCATCGGAGTCGAGTCGAGTCGAAAAAAACCATTCGACTCGACTTGAGTCATTTTCTAATCGACTCACCTTTTCGACTAAACGACTCGAGTCGTTAGTCGAGTCGAAAACAGCTGTCTTATCGACTCCGAGTCGACTTGAGTCGACTTGAGTCGTTGTCCAACTATACCAAGTACATAAACGCGTCTAGAATTCTAAATTTTTTTTCTCAAAAAACAATCCCCCATAATCTCCTCAAAGAATACTTAATTAAATTCAATGCTCTTTTTTCTAGAGAACACACCAGCGACAAAAAGGGGCGTGGCATGGAGCAGCATTTTTTTTCACGCGCGCGCGCCATGTTTTTCAGTCCGAAAATTGAGGTATGCCAAATTTTCAGCAAATGATTCTGGAATTTCAATATTTTTACGCCTATTTTACATTCATCGGAAGTTATGTCACCAATTTTCTGCTCCTTTTTTTGCTCATTTTTCGACAGACTCGAAAAATGGGCAACTATCGAATTTTAATGTTCTCATTTTCAATTCTCGGATTGACAACTTCTACAATTGATATTCTTAACAAACCGGTAAGAATCTAGTACTTCTAGGCTTAGAAGATCTAAGCCTAAATTCAAGCCTAAGCCTAACTTTTTTGCAGATGGTTCATATAACTCAAGGAATGTACATTATATTTAGCTTGAACACTTTGAAACTTCCAAAATTCTGGGCGCAATGTTTGAATGGTAAGAGCTTTTAGAAGAACATTTTTAAGAAAAATATTTTCAGCTTTGAATTGCTCATGTTACGGAATGACTATATCACTTCTAGCTGTGCATTTTGTCTATAGATACATTGCAGTTTCCAGGTGAGCTGGGGAAATTTCAGAATTTTCAGACAAATTTTCAAATTTTCCAAAAACTTGTCAAAAAATCCAATTTTCCTCCAAAAAAAAGCCCTAAAACTTCCTCATTATTAGTAGTTCTTTGACAAAAGCTCATTTTTTCAGACAAGAAGAAAAAAACGGAGAAATTTTTGCAGCGAAAAACCAGTCAACCAAAATTTTTGTTTGATTTATTCATAGAAAATGAATGAATGAGACACAAGAGTTGAATTTAATTTAATTCGATTTTTCGACCAAAATATATAGGGGGTGGAAAATTGAAAAACAATATATTTTCCGGGTCTGAAAATTAGGTTTTCTTATATCAACAGGCAGAAAAAAAAAACCTATTTTCAAGAAAAATAGCAAAGCAAAATTAGACTTTGAACCTAAATTTCAGAATTTTCAGCATGAGTTATTTTTGTGACTGGTGTTTTTTATGGTTTGTGATTAATTTTAATTAGAAATCAGAAAAAATACCTAGTTATGACGTGGCAGGCTGAAAATCTTCGTGGAAAATTTTTGAAGGGGTTTCGAAAATTACAGTACCTCAAAAACCTGCTTCAAAATTTTCTAAAAAGTACTGTGAAAAATATTGTAGATCAAAAAATCATCGAAATACTGTATGTAGTCAAGAGTTACTGTAGAACTAAAAGAACTACTGAAGACTACAATGTAGTTCAAAAACATTCAGTAGGTAGGAAATAGTTCCAGATTACTGTAGTTCTCGAAAACCCTAATTTCTGTGAACCCAAATTTTTACGGGTACTGTGGACCATTTTCAATTTCTAGTATCAAACTTCTCAGAGTTACTGTAGCTCAAAAAAATAGCTTTCAAAATTGAAAAATCTCAATATTTCTCAGGCCCTCCCGAATGAAACTCTTCACTTGGCCATACTCCCTAATCTGGATAATTTTCTGTCTGGAACTATCTCTAGAATGGTTCATCACCGCTCTATTCTTCGCTCCGCAAACTCCAGAAATCGATGTGACCATCAATCAATCAATGATAAATACCTATAACCTGAGCATCGGTCAATACATTTACGCGGGTAATAAATATTACGTAAGTCTAACCTAACTTCTAGAAAAATATTTTTTTTTTCTAGTGGATCGACGAGTCCAAAAATCAAAAACATTTATCAATTCCGGATTTGTTATTCGTTTTGAATATTGTCAAAATTATTGTGAGTTTATTGGAGATTTCTTGAAAAACATGGACAATTTCAGCTGATTTGTGTATTCATCGTTTTCTATTGTGGAATTTCCACGTATCGCAAAATGAAGGCGTTGAATTACACTTCGAAAAGAACCAACAGTCTTCAACAACAACTTTTCAAAGCGCTAATTGTTCAGGTTTGATTTGGGGAATAGAACTTCGAGAAATCCACAGTAAACGTCCCAAAATTCCAGACAATAATCCCAATGGTAACAATGCTTCTCCCAGCGGGTTTAATGATGATCGCCCCATTTTTCGAGGCCACCGTCGGACCAATCGAAGGCTTAGTTATGACAGTTATCACAACCTATCCATTTCTGGATCCGATTGTTGTCATGTATTTTGTTCAAGATTTTCGGGTCGCGCTGTACAACGCAATTTGTTGCAAAAAATCGCCATTTTCAAGGGGCCATCAAATGAATTCGATAAAAACTACAACTATGGCTTCGGTTATTGCGAGTAGTTGATACTTTTTTTGTGATAAAATGAAATGAAAATAAATAATTTTTTCCGATCAAAAAAACATATCAAGTTTCTTGCCGTGTTGGAAAATAAGATCATCAGAACAAAAAAAATTGATCAATCATCATTTTTGACTTAGACAAAGAAACTATTTTGAAAAATACATTTTCATGTGATTTTTGAAAATTTGGAAATTGCGCGAGGTCGGAAAAATATTAAAAAAAAATATTAGAAAAACAAAACAAGTTTCTGACTTGTATCGAATCAAAAAATAATTCCAGATCATTCTAGTCGAAACATCAGCCACATATTTTTTTGCGTTATCAATCAAAATTTTTGGCTAGAAAAAGATGCGCGAGAAATATAGGGTCAAGAATTATTTTTATTGTCAGAAAGTTCTGAAAATCGCGGGCTTTCAGAAAACAAATTGAAATAATTTTTGTATTGAATTCTTAGCTGAAAATTCTACAAAAACAAAAAGCTACTGCAGATATTCTAAGCTGCAATTTCTTCAAAAATTAAACCTAATTCTGATTTCTAAAATCAATTTTTTCTCAAGAAAATGTAAAATTTTCTCAAGAAAATGTAGTTCAGCTTGTTTTTTTTCTAATCCAGGTTTTCAAAAATCAAATCCCAAAATCCTCTAATCAAAAAATTCTAGTTCAGCTTCGTTTTTTCTAGTTCAGGTTTCAAAAATAAATTTTCTAACCTACACTACAAAACACAAAATTCCAGACAACCCAGAAAAAATTCCAAGTCAACAAAAAGTCAACCCAACCCAAAACTGAATGAAAGTTAAAACATCAGCCTCATATTTTCTCTTACAATGAAAAACGCTTGGTCATCTTATACGTCATCAAAAGTTCGTCGAATCTGGGCGCCAACAGAAAAAAATTCGTCGATAATACAAAATGAGAGATATGATAGATAGGAAAAGTATAAAAGCGTCAAGACAAATTCATTTTTCCAATAAAACACTTTTTTTGCTAATAAAATAACCTAAAATGCTTCGAATTTTGACAGTACTTTTTGCAATTTTCGCAATGGCTCAAGCTCAATGGGGTGAGTTTATTTTTTAATTCATTTTTTTTGGAGTCCCAAATTTCAAAAAAAAAAATTACAGGAATGGGGGGACCTGGTATGATGGGTGGTGGCTACGGAATGGGCGGTGGCTATGGAATGGGTGGCCCAGGAATGATGGGAGGTTATGGCGGAGGTCCGGGAATGATGATGGGCGGTCCAGGAATGTATGGTGGTTACGGTATGTATCGCCCAGGACTTCTTGGTATGCTTCTCGGTTGATTTTTTGGTTTTTCGTGAGAAAAAAAAACGGCTAATTTACTTTGTTGTGTATAAATTTCATTAATTAATAAATATTTTGTTTGATTTGAAAAAAAAATGATATCAAATTAGGGAAACCACCTAATCCTGTTAGAAAAGTAGGTCAGAAAAACCGGAAAATTTTAGAGCGAAGCTTTTGAGGAAAAAATTACAGAAAACTGTGCAGATATCTAATTTTACAGAGTGGAAAACACCGCGAAAATTCACCTACCTGAGCCCTAAAACTCATCTGAAAACCCCCCACCCAAAAATAAATAAACTAACTAGTTATCCATCGATCCCGGCTCCTTCGTTTTGTTGCATCAATTGCTTTGACGATTCGAAAATCAACCATTTCCTGGAAAATTGAGGTTTCATATTTAATTGTAAGTGTTCTGATCAGACTCACCGTGCAAACATTTTTCCGCTTCGAATCCAATTCTGTCCGAATCCAACATTCGAGTAGACGAGGTTCTGAAAATTGCAATTTTCATTCAGTTTTCCGACAAGGGCTCAAAAAATCTAAAGATCTGAGAATTTTATCGTAAAAAATCGAAAATTTTGTTATTTGGACCTTATAAAGTAATTCATTCACACAGTTCTAAAAAATCAATAAACTTTTTCTGCCAAATTGTTTTTTCAAGAAATGCAAAACAATAATGCTCTACAAAAAAATCGCCCGCCACCGCCACAGGTCAAAAAAATTTTGCATGCAAAAAAAAATAATTTTTTTCCTGTTTTTTTGGTGTCAGCCCGCTCAAAAGACTGACGCATTTCTTGTTCGTCGTTTTTTTTCCAGAAAATTTCAAAATGTTTTTTTTTTGCTTTTTTTCGGGTTTTCAAGAATAGCGAGATTTTGGATGAAGAAAATTGCTCATGTTATAATTTTGCAGTGGTATCGTGAATATTTGTTATGTAATCTGCCAGGTTATTCGAAAATTTGATCTTGGGTGAGTATTTTTGGGAATTTTCTCAAATTTTCGGCCATAAAACTTCGAATTTTTAACACTTGCTTGTATTAATTATACTCATCCAATCCAAAAATGTTATACCAAAATATTGAAACGTTAATTTTCTTGCAAAATGTTTGGAGCATTTTTCTATAACCTAAATACAGTCAACTAATGACTCAATAAACCTAGTCATAGATAAAAAACATAGGTGTTCTTTATCAATCAATCTAAAACAAACATGACATGTGTTATATATTTATCAAGATGAGTTAGCCAATTCTCAAAACACAACAAAATGTGTTGGGTTCTATTTTTATTTTCGATATTCTCCTATTTTTCTCCAATTTTATCGATTGATCAAGAATGTTATATGACTGTTGTGAGTTTGGGAAATAGTTTTGAAAACAAAAAAAATACAAGTATTGCTCATATCAAACTTCCCTCACCTCTTCAATTCCAGCCCGAAATCGCCAATCATTTCGGCTACAAATCCGAAGTGCACTTGGCCCGCACAAAAGATGACTATATCCTCGAACTCCACCGATTCCCGTGCGCTAAAAATCAGCAAACCTGCTCTTCGAAAAAACCAGCAATTTTCATGCAACACGGTCTTCTATCCGATGGTTTTTGCTATATTCCAAATATGCCTGAACAATCGCCTGGTTTCGTTTTTGCTGATGCTGGTTTCGATGTTTGGATTGCGAATAGTCGTGGAACTCCGGCTTCGCAAAAACATGTTGGATTTGGGCCGGAAGATCAGCGATTTTGGAATTTTACCTGGGAGCAAATGAGCCAATTTGATTTGACGGCTAGTGTTGATTATGTTTTGAGAAACACTTCGCAGGTTGGTTGTGGGGTCTGAAAATTTGGTAGTTATTTTTGTTTCCAGTTTTTTTTCTATTCTGAAAAAAATCAGCGCAAAATTTCATCTCAAAACCCGATCATTTGCTGCTATCTGCATTGATCTTTTTTGAGAACCTGGGAGTTGGATCTAAATATCTTCATTTCGGGTGACAAATAATTTTTCCCCTTTCTTTTCTATTTTCTCATGTCCCGACGCTTCACGGGAAAAACCAAGCGTCATCTTTTTCACTAAACAAGCTCCGCCCACTTCTCTTCTTTTTGCAAGGAAACAAAAAACCTTGATTTTTAAAAAGCAAGCTTTTCTTTCGATTTCAAAATTTCTTCTTTTTTATAAAAAAACATTTTTTCCAAAAATTTCAATAAGCCCAATAAGATTCAAGTTTGTCTGCACAACTTTGGATTTCTTCCAAGTCTGGGAGTTGGATTGAATGATCATCACATCAGGCGAAAAATGAGAGAATTTCTCGGGAAAAATATGGCAAGCCTGTCGCAAGCTTGCTACGTATTTTGGTGTTGTCGCCAGCTTGCTACACAAAAACACGCTGTTTTTCGAGTTGCCAACTTATGTCGCAAGTCTTGCGACATTTTTGGATCCTTTTTTGATGTAGCAAGCCTTGCGATATGGAGAAAATTGCGTCAGTTTTCAGCCTCGCTTGGCACATTTACTGTAGCCAGAAAAATAATTTTGTTTTTTTTTGTTTTGTTTTCCCTATTTTACACGATTTCGAAGTGAATAGTTTATTTTCAACGCATTTTTTTGAGAGATTAACATTATGAGCCTAGTGGGAAACGTTTATAACGTTCTGAATCGCTGTTTTCCGTATGGTTATTATGTTTTCAATAAAAATATTTTAGGATCGGTTGGATGGTGAGTCAACAGACAAATCAGGCAATTTTGGAAGAAGGAAAATGGATCAACAGTGTGGGAAAGATACTGAGTGAGTTTATTTTTAATCAATCGAATTCCTTTTGCGAAAATGTTCTAAAACGTTTCATTTGTAGGATCAGAATCGTATCATCAAGTTGGAGTGCGTTTCGATTGACCATGGCTTCACAAATCGACAAAAATAGTATTTTTTGAGCAATGATTTGAGGTAAGTTTTTTTTTTTTTTTTTTTTTTGCGAGATTTCCGCAAAACGCAGAAAAGTTCGCGGGCTGTCTCGACGTGAGTGCAGAGGTATGAAACACGTTTCAGCGATATGAGTCGTGCGCGTGGATGGTCAAGTGGGTAAGAGGGATGTGTGTGAGCCAGAGAGTGTCGGATCGAGGCCGGCCGAGTGAGTATGATTACTTAAAAGCGATTAGTTGTGTCTCGCGTGACCTCTACTTTTTGATTTTTGAGAGAACACCGCGAGATTTCCGCGATTCGCAGACAAAAATTCGCGAAATCGCCGCATGTTCGCGGCGAGGATAAATTGTAATAATTTCATGTTTTCAAAGAGGAGATAGACTACAATATTTTTCATATTTTAATAAAGTACTCACATATTAAAAAAAAACATGTGACTCACATGATGTGAGTACGTTTTAAAGGGGCTGGGACCAGGCTTGTGCGGAAAATGGAAATGCGTTTTCCGATTTTCGGACTTTTTGGGAAAATTTCGGAAAAAATACCAGTCGCAAAATTTTCCGGATGAAAATTTCGGAAAATTTTTCCGACAGATAATTTCGGAAAATGATTTTTTCCGAAAAAGTGAAATAAATAACCGTTTTCAGGATTTTTTGCTAATTTCATCACAAAATAATTTTGTTATTTCTGAAAAACATAGAAAGTTGTTAGTAATATCCAACGAAATTACCAAAGTGCCATGAAAACTGCTAAGTCTGTTGAAACTACTTCAAAAATTTCCAAAAACCAACAAATTAGTCTTTATATGAAATTTCTCCAAAATTTTCCGAAAAAAAAGTCGGAAAAATGACTTCGGAAAATTTTTCCGACCTGATGGATTCGGAAAAACACAGTTTTCCGAAATTTTCCGAAAACCTATTTTCCACACAAGCCTGGCTGCGACGCAAAAAAAAAACTGTATTTCATGAAAAAGAGCATGCTCAAATTAGAAGAATCTATGAACAATATATATAATTTCGAAAAACTATCCCAAGCCTGAATAGGCGCAGTCTGATAGCCTGTGTCTTAACAATATTTAATCCATAGCCTATGAAACATTGAAGCAATCCATAATATTATAATTATATTATTTATTATTTCAGAGTTCATATTCGACATCAAAGCAACATCTCAAGGACGCTAAAATTGTAGAACACCGACAACAAGAAAAAATACATTTTCATCGAATTTTTAAAGTATAACTTTGTAATCGTTTTGTCTTATATATTAAATGTTCAATAAATAGTCTCTTGGTACACTGTTCTCTACATTTTTTATTAGGAGGTCCAGCGATTTTTTATGACCTCGCGTATGCGTTCGCAAGACTTGCGACAAAGTAGCAAGGCCTTGCTACACGTATGTAGCAAGCTTGCTTCAGGCTTGCTACATAAAATGTCGCAAGCTGGCTAAAAATGGTAGCAAGCTTGCTAAAAATGGTAGCAACTCTTGCCATATTTTCCCCGAGTTCTATCTCTTATATTTATTTGTTCACCGACGTTTCACGGGAAAGAGAAGGCGCTATCTTTTGCATTGCATCAGGCTCCGCCCCTTTTATTTTTCATTGAAAAAAAAAGCATTTTCAGCTCAAAAACTTCCATTTTTTCAGGATTTCCTATATTATATGGGACACTCGCAAGGAACAATGATAATGTTCGCAAGATTAGCCGAGAATCCGGAATTTGGTGCGAAAATTCGTCAATTTCACGCGTTGGCACCAGTTGCAACGGTTTCCCACATTGGTGGATTGTTCCAGTTATTTGGAAAGAAATTCTTGGAATATGTGGAGATTTTGCTGGGAAGATTGCCCTATACACCACTGTCGATTCCCAAAACCATTCAACAAATTATCAGCTTTTTTTGCAGGTTTGTGGAAAATTCGGGAAAAAAACTAAAATTTGAATCGCCGCGCGCGCGCTAAACTAGTTGCACGCGGAGTCTCGTTGTTTTCTTTTTCTTTTTTTTCGAAAAAATTTTAAAATCCGGAAAATTATGTTTGAGCGGTGAAATGGCGATTTCTGGTGAGTTCTAGAGGGACAAAATGGGGAACTCACTTTTTTCCAACTGTTTTCCAAGTCCGCTATTCGCAAAAATGATGGTTTTGGGGGGAAAATCGAAAAAAAAAACATTTTTCGAAAAAAATAGGTCACGCAGAAAATTAACTTTGTGAAGCAAGCGTAGACTTCTGAAAAAATGTAAAATTTCACCTTAAAACCATAAAATGTTTCCAGCAAATTCATAATGCAAGACATTTGCACTCTGGACATCGGCTTCATCGATGGCAATGAAAAACAATTCAATCAATCTCGAGTCGGCGTCTATCTCTGCCATACACCAGCCGCAACATCAGTCAAAGACCTTCAACATTGGGTGCAACTCGTCAAATCGCAAAAAGTCGCCAAATTCGACTATGGAATCGATGGAAACATCATCGAATACGGCAGAAGTACACCGCCCGAATACGATTTATCCAAAATTCAAACACCCACTTATTTATACTGGAGTAAGGATGATATTTTGGCTGACACTCAAGATATTCGCGAGACAATTTGGCGGCAAATGAATCACACAATTGCTGGAAGTCTCGAAATGCCCCATTATAGTCATATGGATTTTGTGTTTGGTGTGAATGCGGCACAGGAACTCTACCCGAAGATTATTGAGAATATTCGGAAGGATTTTGATGGCTGGAGAAAATCGAAAATTCACGGATTTTGAGTAAATATATTTATTATAATAAGGTGCATAAATGACAAAAAAAAAACATCAATTCAAAAACTAATTCAAATATTATTTTAAAATGCGGTGAAGTGAAGTAGATAAAATTGGGTGTGCAGGAATTATTGGGGGCAAAAGGCAGTGATGTACAAGAAAAAACAGATGAGAATTATTCCTCGGCAAAATCGTCATCCAAGAACGCGCCACGTGAACGTCTTACCGATGAGGAGAGTCCCAAACCGGTCGTTGACATTGAGTGAGCCAAACCACGTGGTCCGAAGACTCCCGACGAGCTGCGACCTTTCAGACGCATTTTTTGGAGAGCGTTCTCGGCGGCATCTGCGCGCTCTTGTGCATCCTCCACAACGTGTTGAAGTTGACGATATTTGGAGAGATTGGCCGAGGCGAGACCTTCCTGAAAATATTGAAATTGAGTTAGCAAATTGTGAGTTTGGGGTTTTTATCATCGAAATTTAGTGGGCGAGTTTTTGTGTGCAGTCTTGTCCGAGTGGTTAAGGAGATTGACTAGAAATCAATTGGGCTTTGCCCGCGTAGGTTCGAATCCTGCAGACTGCGAACTTTTTTTTTGAAAATGAGAATGCAGTTCACAAAAAAAGCATATTTTCTCACGTCAGAAAAATTAAGAACTTACCGCATCTTCAATCTGTCGTTTATAAACCTTGATCTTCTGTTGCAATTTCTCAATCAAATCATACATTCGTTCTGTCGATTTCTTGTCCTCATCAACTTGGAATTGCAATTCTCTCGCCTTCCGATCCTTATTCCTCAAAATCTTCTGTGTCTCCGCATGTCTTCGTCCCTCTCCCTCCAACTCAGTCTCCAACTCATGAACACGGTTCTCAAGTTTAGCCAATTGTCGTCTTCCTCCCTTGAATCCAGCGGCTTCAGCTTCATCTAATCTAGCTTGTAAATCTTTCACCTGAGTTTCGAGAGATCTTTTGGATTTATCAAGGTTGTTCGAGTGCTCTTGTTCGGCTCTCAATTCATCGGCTAATCTATTTGCATCCATGGTTGCCTTCTTTGCCTTATCATCACTGGTCTTGGCCTCATTCAACGCGTCTTCGATTTCTGATTGGAGATGTTGAAGGTCAGTCTCAACCTTTCTACGGGTGGCGAGAAGAAGTGAGTTGGAGTTTGAAAGTTCGTTGATGGTGTCCTTAGTTTCAGCGAGTTCCAATTCCGCTTGACGACGGGTGCGTTCAGACTGAAAATTTATAATTTTCAATATTCTCTCATTTAGTTTCACTTACCTGCTCATAAATAACAGCAAAATCTTCCTTCTCCTGTTGCAAAACTTGCGATCGTCTCTCAGCCAAACTTGCATGATCTCTCGATTCAGCCAAACTTCTTTGCTCCTCTTCCAATTGCAATTGCAAATCTCTAATAGTATCCTGCAATTTCTTCATTCCCTTTTGTCCATCAACATTCAATTTGTTGCTATGATCCAAAGCAATTTCCAATTCATTAATATCCGATTCCAACTTCTTTTTGGTCTTCAACAATTCAGCTCTTCCTCTACTTTCAGTCTCCAATGACACTTGCATACTTTCAATTGTTCTACTATGATTCTTTCTAGTGTTCTCGAATTCCTCTTCTTTTTCTTGAAGTCTCTTCTCGATTTCCGATCGGATTTGTGAAACTTCAATTTGCGCTCTCATAACCTTGGCTTCTTCAGCTTCAAGGGCACATTCAGCTTCATCCAATGCTTGTTGCAATTCTTCTTTCTCGATTTCCAAACGTCTGCGCATTTTTTGCAAATCATGAACACTCTTTCCACCCTCTCCAAGTTGGTCAGCAATATCCTTGAGTTCTTGTGCGAGCGCTTTGTTCTCACGTTTCACAACTTCTGTGGCCTCTCCAGCTTCTTCCAATTGATTGCGAAGTTTGAAGGTTTCAGTGGCAGCGGCGCGAGTTTCTCTTTGACTTTGTTCAACTTCAAGAACCAAAGCCTCACACTTTCTTCTCCATTCCTCAATAACCTTATCGAATCCTTTTTGTTTCTTTTCCAAAGAATTGGCAACTGAGTTAGCGCGATCAGCATCAACTTGAGCGTCTTCCAATTCATGTGTCAATCTCTGTTTCACCTTCTCCAACGATCCAATCTTCTGGTTCGAACTTTCCAATTGTTCTTGCATCTCTTGCACTTTTTGTGTCAACTTTCTACGAGTCTCCTCCAATTCCTCAGCTCTCGACATACCTTCTCCCTCATATTTCGCTCTCCATTGTTGAATTTCCGAGCTAGCTTTACTGAGTTGTCTTTGAAGATCAGTCTTCGAATCTTGTTCCTCCTCCAATTGCTCACGAAGTTGTTCACATTCCAATTGATAATTCGAAACTTGCGAATGAAGTTGTGATCTTTCTCTCGATTCCTGATCCAATGATCGTTTAAGCTCCTCCATTTGACTGTGTTGTTGTTGCTTGATTCTGTTGAGTGCAGAAAGTTGCGACTCAGCATCTTCAAGTTGTCTATTCAAATCATGATTCTCCGAATGCAACTTATTCTTGCTCATATTCAATTCTTGAATCAATCTAGCTTGTTCATCACTCTTCAATGTCATATCAGTTAATTGAGCCTCCAATTGTTTCGCCATTCTCTCGCAATTCTGCCGTTGTTTAGCTTCCATATCAGTAGCTTGTTGCAATTCATCAATCTCTCTTTGCTTATCATTTTTCTCTCTTTCCAATTTAGCTCTCATCTTTTGAATTGTATCCAATTGATCACTCAATTCAGCGACAGCATCATTATGTTTCTTTCTCAACGCAGCCATGCTAGTCTCCGCGTTGATTGCAGAATCTTCCAAATCTTGTCGGAGTTTAGCCAATTCAGCTTCGCGCTTCTTGTTGAGTTCCATTTGAGCCTGTGTTGCTCCACCAGCTTCATCCAATCTATCTCCAAGCTCTTCAAGTTCTGATTGCATTTCATTTCTAGCCTTTTCAGCTTTGCTTCTCGAATTTCGTTCAGCTTCAAGTTCCTCTTCCAATTCTTGAATTCTAGCAAGCAATTCCTTGATCTGTCTTTGCAATTTAGCAACCAATGATTGCTCATCTTCCAATCTCGATTGAGCAGCAGCCAATTCAGCATCTTTACGTTTCAACAAAGTTTCTTGCTCATGTTTGTGTCTGTTCAACTCCTCAATCATCTCTTGAGCAATCTTCAATTCTCCCTCAACCTTTCTCTTTTGTTTCTCAACATCTTGTCTTCCACGTTTTTCACGTTCCAAAGTGTCTTCCAAATCATCCAAAGTTGATTCAAGTTTAGCTTTGGTTTTGTTGAGATGGTTAACCTTGTCTTCCTCGGCTTGAATATCTTCCAAAAGCTTGCGATTAACTTCTTCTTGATGTTTCTTTTCCTTGTTGATTTTTGCGATAACTTCATCTTGCGATTGAATTTCATCTTGAAGACTTCTGATTTGATGATCCTTGGCCTGTTTTTCACTTTCTTGCTTCTTAATAGTTGTTTCCAAATTCGACACAGTTGTCTTCAAACCTTCATTATCCTGCTCAACCTTCTTCTTCGCCTTTTGCAAATTCGCATTCTTCTCCTCTTCATCACACAATTGATCATTCATATTAGCCAATTGTTTCTCAAGATCAGCTTTTTGAGCAAGCAATTTTGCACTTCTCTCCTCTCCTTCAGCTCCGGAATCTCTCTCTTGCTCCAATTGAATCAACAATGCTTGTTTCTCCGCTTCCAATCTCGCGTTTTCAGCCTCCATGTCTTTTCTCTTTCGTTCTTCCGAACCCTTCTCCTCTTCCAAAGCCTTGAACTTCTTCTCCAATTCTTCGAAAGCTTCATCCTTCTTATTTCCCTTGATCAATGGCTTAACTCTTCCGAAAAGTTTGAACCAGGCCCAGTTACGAAGTGTGCACCAGGCTCTGACATTTCTTTGAACAACCAAAAGTCCAACCCTAAAAAATATTTATTTTTTGATTAATTTTCAAGAAGAAGCTGAAAGAAAACTCACTTTTGGTTCAATCTTCTCTTGTATTCACATTGTGCCAAATAATGTCTACAGGCACATTGGAACTTCTTCATGATCTTTCCGAGAACTTCGTCACGTAATTCTTCAAGATGCGCCAAAACTCCAGCCTTGAAGAAGACTTTGGTAAGACCGCACTGGAATTCTTCCGGTTTCAAGGAGTTTGATTTGATGAGTGCCGCTGAGATCTTCTCTCCAGCATCTTTGTCGTCTTTTCCAGCTTTGGCGGCGTCGGCGGCAAGGATTGCGTATCTGAAAGCGGGATGAAGTTTTGAAGTTTATGGTTGCGCTCAAAGTTCAGAAGCAGGGCTGGTCGGAATTGACCTTTCGGAATTTTGGAAGTCCCATTTTCACTCCCGATTTTATTTTCGGAATTTCGGCATTCCGACTTCTTATTCCGAATAATTTTTCGATAGTTCGGAATTCCGATTTTTTCTTCCGACTTTTTTTTCGGAATTTCGAAAGAAATTCGGAAGTCCTAATGCGCAGGAAAAACTGGAAAACGTCATTTTTCGATGAGTTATCAGAACAATTATAGTGAAAATAGTTGCGAAAAAGTGAATCTTGTTCTTTAGTTTATGAAAGACAACAAATTTGTGTCTATTATCGATTATTAAGAAATTTTTCACCATCATTTCAGCCTCAAAATAAAGTTTTCTTTATAAAATCATATATTCCGATATTCCGAAATTTTTCGAAAGTGATTCCGACAAAAAAGTCGGAATGAATAAAAAGTCGGAACGAGAGTCGGAATTCAAGCAATTCCGAGTTTTTCTTTCGGAAGTGCTTCCGACTAAACTACACTTCCGAAAAAACGTCGATTTTCGGAATTTCGGAATTCCGATATTCCGATTCCGACCAGCCCTGTTCAGAAGCTAAGATTTTCCAAGCCTAAAGTTCAGAAGCTAAGATTTTCCAAGCTTGAAGTCCAGAAGCTAAGAATTACCAAGCTTGAAGTTCAGAAGCTGAAATTTTTCAAGCCTGAAGTTCAGAAGCTAAGATTACGCAAGCCTATAATTCAGAAGCTTAGATTTCCCAAGCCTAAAGTTCAGAAGCTAAGAATTACCAAGCTTAAAGTTCAGAAGCTGAAATTTTCAAGCCTGAAGTTCAGAAGCTAAAATTTCGCAAGCCTATAATTCGGAAGCTAAGATTTCCCAACCAACCTTTGCTTAAAATCAGTATACGGCATTCTGTTGGGGAATCCCTTTCTACAAATTCGAATTCCTTCCAACACACCATTACATGTCAATTGATTCAACACCAAATTCGCCTCAATCATACCAGCCTTCTTCTGCTCGTTGGGAATAATACAACGAATAAAGTGTGGATGAGTTTGATGAAGCATATGCATCAATTTGTTCAACGATTCACGATACATCATTGAAACAGTCATGAATGATGCAGATTTTCCCTTCTTCTTTCCACCAGCCGCCTTCTTTCCATCCTTGGCAAGAGCTGCGATATCCTCTTGGGTGTTGTAATCAGCCCAAATATCAGCCATCAATTGATTACCCTTGTTAGCCTTCAATACTGTGACAGCAGTGTCATTGAGAGGATCCTTGTTTTTCTCCAACCATCCTTTCACATTATATCTGACTGTTCCAGCATAATGAACAATCGCCAAATGAGCTTCGGCTTGTTTTCCCTTTGGTGGACGTGGTTTTTGGAAATTCGGATGTTTTCCAAGATGTTGATCATTCAACTTCGAGGCCAAAGTAAGATCAGTGGCTTTTGGCACAATACACTCTTCATCCAACATTGAGACAATACCCAAAGGTTTCTCAATAAGTTCGATACATGCCTGCAGATCGAGACCGAAATCAATGAATTCCCATTGAATTCCTTCTCTCTTGTATTCTTCTTGCTCCAACACAAACATGTGATGATTGAAGAATTGTTGCAGTTTCTCATTGACAAAATTGATCCAAAGTTGTTCGAATGAGTTAAGCTAAAACAATTTTGGATCAGAAAAGCCCTGTTTCTTGCTCATTGCTCAACTCACATCAAAGATCTCGAAACCTGCAATATCGAGGACACCGATGAATTGATCGCGAGACAAATCTTGCGCGTCCAAAGTCTTGTTACACCGTCTGATCAACCAGGCGAAGAGTCGAGCAAAGAGTGCCTTGGCAAGAGCTCCGACAGCCCAATTAACTTGCTCCAAGTTTTGACCTTTGTTAACCCATTCTGTACCGACCTTGACACGTGGTTTCAAGAGGGCACTGATGAATTTTTCAGCTTCAACGCAATAAAGTTTGCAGGCGAGTTCTCCTTCTGAAAAAGCAAGGGATTGAGTTCTCTCCGCTCTAAAATCAACAAACCTTTTCCATCCTCCAACTCAGCTTGCTCTTCTCTTGGTCGCTGTTTAAACTTCAACTCTCCCATATGCATAATACCAGCGGTAATCGCAAAAAGTTCCGATTTCTCAGTCGCACTGAACTTCATAATATCGAAAGCCTCATTTGTCAACATGAATTCCTCCTTATCATCAACACCATCAATGGTGATTTCAGCTTGAGAAACAAAGGTATACTCCTTGATTGGTCTTGTCAAATGAAGTTTCTCTCTCATTCCCTTGATGGCATCGGAATAGATTTGGTAGAAAATGTGATATGAACGTTCTCCCGGAGCCTGCTTGATGACACGCGATTTTTCCAAGAGATCTGAATTCAGAACTTCTTTGTTTGAATTCCTGAATTAAAGTAACTCACAATGTTCAATATCAGCTCCCGCCACTTTTCCAGCATTGTTAAAGTGAATTCGAATGAATTTACCGAAACGCGACGAGTTGTTGTTTCTCACAGTTTTGGCGTTACCTGCAAAATTGGCTGTTCGCACTCGAGAATCCCTTGTACCTCGCTTTTTTTTCGAAATTTTATGTGTAAATGTTTGAGAGAAGAGCGCGGAAGACACTCGAAAAAATTATTCGGCCGTGTGTTTCAAGAGTAAATACACACATTCATCTTGCGCTATCTCTAACTAACTATTTTTTGTGTGTGCATGTAGTAGCTCGGGAGCTTTGGTGATCAGAAATGCACAAAGGGAACTGTTGCAAGAGATTTTTAATGAAATATATGGTTTCTAGTAGTTTTCGACCAGCTGATCACTATTCCGTTGTCTAAAATTGCAAATCTTAACTTCTAACATGAGTTATGACGTGGCAAAGTTTGAAAATTTTGAAAAATTGCGACATTGGTTTTCATGAAATATCGTTGTTCAGGAGGCTCGATTACATCAATAAACTTTTTTTTCATTTTTGAAAAATTATTTTTGTTCAGTGAAAAAAGTTACTTCAGGTTGCAGACCTGCAATTTTCTGAAATTTTCGCACTTTGCCACGTCATGACTCATGTTAGAATTTGATCTTTGCAAATTTAGAGATTGAAAACTACTAGAAAACAAAAATTCAGGTCTTTCGGAAGAACTAGTTGTGAAGTTCAAAGTTGTCCGAAAGAACTACACAGAGCTCAAAGAATCCCCCAAAAAGCACCCACCGAACGCCTCCAAAACCGGATTGGTTTGCACAATTTGATCTTCGAGCGAGACTTGTGCCTTGTCCACTTTGCTCTTCTTCGACTGTTGCGATGCTCCGACCATGGCAAAATAGGAGATGACCTTCTTGGTGTTCTCGGTTTTACCGGCTCCCGACTCGCCAGTAATCAACATCGACTGATTCTCGTGATCGTTGACCATGTTGCGATATGCCTCGTCGGAGACGGCGAACAAATGCGGCGGCATTTCGTTGCGTCGTTTGCCGAGATACATTTGACACACCGATTCGGAGTAGATTGGCAGACGTTTGTAGGGATTGATGACGACGCAGAAGAGACCCGAGTAGGTCTGAAAAGGTTTTGGATTTTTTTGAAGGCTTGAAAAAGCTTCAAGGCTCTTTTAGTTCTCCGGAAAATCATAATTTTGTAGATAAACCTGAACTTCAGGCTTGTTCAAAATAGTTATCCTAAAATCCTGATGTCTGAAAATATGCAAAGACACAAACAGATTTTTCAAGCCTGAAATTTAGAAGCTAAGATTTTTCAAGCCTAAAGTTCAGAAGCTAAGATTTTCCAAGCCTGAAATTCAGAAGCTATGATTTTCTGAGCCTGAAATTCAAAAGCTAAGATTTTCCAAGCCTAAAGTTCAGAAGCTATGATTTTCCAAGCCTGAAATTTAGAAGCTAAGATTTTCCAAGCCTAAAGTTCAGATCAGTTCTACAATGATCTAGAAACTTGTCAACCCAAAAAAAAATCTCACATAAATCATCATGGCATAATAACGTTGTCGCAAGTTGTGCAAAACGGACGCGTCATTCAAAAACGTCAAATTCGCCATATCCTCGGTCTTCTCGTATTTCGGCGGATTCATTTGTTGCGCATCGTCCTTCTTGATGGTCTTCTCAACGCCTTTCGATGTGACAACAACAACAGTGTCACCTTTCGACGATTTGATTTCAGCCGAGATGAAACCCTCCTCCGGATCCGCCACCCAAACATTCTTCTTCGAATCAAACTTTTTGGTGGTCGCCGCCAATAGCTGCAAATTTTCGAGAAAGGTTAGGCCTATACTTGTTGAAAATATTTAGTACCTGTTCTGGAGACTGGCGCAAAAATTGCCAGCCTGGATCCGCTTCGTGTGTCATCGCACACCTTTTTTTAGAGAGACGAGGGTGTCTGAAAAACTTTTTGTGGGGGGATTTGTTTAAAAAAATTACACGGTGTATTTTTGTCCAGGATACGAAAAAATGTGGGAGATAAGAGAAACAAAAAGACAATTGACTTTATTAAAGTTTCAATATTGACAATATAAATATGATTTTTGAGAAGGAGTGAGAGAGAAGAGACGCAGAGAAATGAGGGGGATTGAAATTTTGAATATGCCTAGAATTTCTTACGGAAAAATAAATAGAAATGACTTTGTTAATTTTTTTTTCGAAATTAAAATTGTGGATTTTTAAAGTTCACGTTTGAAATATTTATTGAATTTTTAAAAAATCTTTCAAATTTTGTAATAAAAAAGATGACGTGGATTTTGAAAAAACTGCAAAAATAATAGATTCTGAATTGCCACGTCATAACTAAACAGTTGTAGATCAAAAATTCCGAAAAATTGTAGATCAAAAATATCCAAGTGGGCAGAAAATTAAATTCCACGTCATAACTCATATAAAATTTTCAGAGAAAATTAACAGACCTTCTGAAAGCTAGAAGCCATTTTGGATTTTCTAAAAAAAAAATAGAAAATTGAATTTTAAAAAATCAGAAAATCCCCGAAATCCTCAAAAAATCGGCTCTTCCCAAGTGCATATGCAAATTAGCCGAACTTGAAAAAAGTCTTTCATGCGCGCGCGGGAAAAGCTCAAGAACAACAACAAAAAATCAAATAAATGAGCGAAAAATGAAACAAATTTTTGGAATCCTCACATATCTCACTCACACAGTCTCCCAGTCAACATTTCAATATTTGCTCCCGGTTCCACCTCCTCCTCCTCCTCTAAAAATCCTCCCCCCTCGTCCCACTTATCCCAACTCTCTTCCTTCTCCCGCCCGCCAGCCAAAATGAATTTGTTTGTCAAGAAAATCTCTCTCTCTCGCTGGATGCATTTTTACACGGCATTTTTTAGGAGGCGAAAAAAAACGAGTGAACTGGATGGTTAGCTAGTAGAGGATCAAGAGTTTTGTTTGTAAATCACAAGACACTTTCGCCACACATCGCGTTTTTTTGTGTGTGTGGATTTTACTTGTAACTTACTTGAGTTATTTTTTTTAGAAGTTGCGCGGCAAAGGGGTGTTCTTTTTGGCTGCGAATATTTTATTTTTCAAAAATTAGAATTTCACAAGTAGAAAGCTTTGATCGCTCGGAATTGTTTTTCTCCAAAATCCAATGATAATCTGTCGATAATCTTTAACAATGTACAAAACAATCAAAGGATCTATCAATGGATAAGTTGTTATGAATAACATTAATAGTAACTCCAAAGATCCTAAAGTTATTTTGAAAATTGGAAGGATTAATATGAGCGATGCCGGGAGGAACATGGAGAAAAATGGGATGATTGTTTGAATCACCAAGGCTCGAAACAATTGGCGTTGCAAATCTTCAAAGTTTCTTGAAACATGCTTTCGAGTTCTGATTTCATGATCGGTTTTCAATCCACATATTAGAATTATCATTAGGCAAATTATAGTTATTGAATTTAAACCAAAGGTTATCATTGAGTTCTGAACATTAATACTTGAATCCGAATTCTGAAATTTTTTTTCGTGAAAAAAAACTTATTGTATAACTTACATAATAATAACTTCCATGATAGATTATTTCAGTCGGAAGAACTCCATAATTTTTCAACAGTGAGGGAGCCAAAATCTGGTCAAATTCCTGATTCCTTGATAGGAATATTTGAATCACTATGTACCAAATAATTGTGAAAGATGAGCAAAAAATGAGCCAAATTAGCGAGTATGGGTAGGAAAATAAGGAAAGCGATTGGATTCTACAGAAATGAAAAAATAAAAAATAAATTTTTAAAATTTAAAAAATAAAAATACCTGCACACTGAAAAATATCGATACACAAAATGAACAGCTAATGCGGACATTGTGAGCGCGAATGTTGAGCAGGCCAGAGCTTCAAAATTATTGATTTTATCCCCCACGGCCTATTGAACTCACCATTCAACCAACTTCCATGAATTGTATTCGTTGAGAAAATTATGAAAGCACCATTGGCCACGTGGCATTTCTAGAATACTTTTTTTTTGTTATAAGATTATAAAATAAGTTAAGTTAACTAACAGGTTTGTTCAAATTATCAACAAATGTTGCGAATAGCGAAACAACTGTGAATGAGAACATCAAGAATCTATAGCCACCAAATTTTTTGCTGAATTTGCATGACAAAAAGGAGATAAGAAGTGCATTGGATAGAATTGATAGGTAGAATATGAGTTGAGAAAAATAATCGAGAATTTGGGAAATTCGCATTTTTTTTTGTTAATGATTTCTGAATTCGATAAGTTCTGATTAAATAGGCTACAGAATCCAATTTCCCCTCCCCGTGTACGGAAAATAATAGATTTTTAATTTCCTGAAATCAGAACAAGTTCATACACAGAGTTGGCTGCATTTTTTCCATTATGAAAAAAATATCAAACTTTATTTATTAATCCAAACAAAAATCGATAAAATATACATACAATAAACCCGTCAACAAAACCTGACAAATATCTCACAATTTCAAATACACTACCTTCCAAACAGCCCTCCAAAATTATTGCCCAATCCACCGAGATCGAATCCGGTGAATTGTTCAAGAATCTTGCCGGCCGCTTTCGAAGCCGCCTCTTTTCCGCCTTTTCCGCCTTGCGCCGCTTGCGCACCCATCAATCCTTGTTGAATCAACCCGAAGAGTCCCAAATCCTCTCCGTTTCCTCCAGTACCTGCAGCAGCTGCACTGGCTCCCGCACCCGGGCCTCCCGCATTTCCCATCGGTCCAAAACTGCCAAGCGGTCCTTGTCCGGTGGCTCCCAATCCACTTCCAGTGAACATGCCGATGGCTCCGAGAGCGCCGTTTCCACCCGCCGAATTTCCGCCGACTCCGAACGATTTGAGAGTGTCGACGATTGGCGAAGGTGCGGGTGTTGGTGAGGGTTTTTTGGGTGGCGGTGGACGAGGACGGGGACGCGCGGTTTGTGGCGGTTGGAATGGTGGAGGTGTTGGTGCAGGAGTTGCTGAAAAATATTGGAAGTTTGATTTTTGCCACGTGGATTTTTTTCACAGTAGTCTAATATAAAATATAGAAACGTTCTCACGTGGATTTTTTTTCTCCAAAAAATTTAAAACATCGAAATTCAGGTTTACCCTGGAATCTACTTTATCCCTTTCAAAATAAGTTTCAAAAATATGATTTAAAAAATTGTTGACTTCAAAAAAATAATAAATTCATATCAGAAAAAATATTATAGCCACAATTTCACGTGAGAGAAAACGAGAGAGTGTGCGTGCAGAAGAGACGCGAGACGAAAAAGGGATATGAACAGACTCCGCCCACTTTTTTTAAAAAATTTAATTTCGCAGCGAAACTTTTTGAACAAAAAAGTAGTTTTTTCGTCCCGGTATCAATTTTTTTAACTAAAACAGCTAAAATTTCCCAACTCACGTTTACAAAGGTCCGCAATTTTCTGACAAGAATGATAATCCTCAAACAAATTCGCATTCGTTTCCTGAGTCCGACATCCAGGAAACCAAAATTCATCGCATTGCAAAGTCTCGCGATTATAGGTATACATTGGTCGAAATCCGCAAAATCGTCCAGTTGGTGCTGGCATTTGACATATTGATTGAGGATTTGTTACAGATGGCGCAGTAATTATTACTGTAAAAATACTTGATCATAATTTTTTTTTGTAAAAAAAATCAAAAAATAAAAGTTTCTTTGTTCTTGCTAATTATTAGAAAATGATCAAAAATCGAAATTTTTTTTTATAAGACAAAAAAAATGTTTTTCTCACCATTTGGATTTGTAGGTGGTTGTGGTGTCTGGAAAATGTTGGGCATCGTGGGAAAAATCATCGGTTGTGGTGTGGTGAAGCGAAATGGTGCTGGCGCCACGGGGATTCCACCATTGGCCGCTGTCAGACACTGGAAGCACATATTTTTGAATATTTCGTGACGTCATAATTAATTTTTTGAGATTAACTCTCTCCCCAGAAATAACCTACCTCAGTCGGAACAGTTCTACAAGTATTCGCTGCAGAATCCTGAAATTTACTCGCAGGCCGTGCGCAAACTTGTCGCGGAAAATCGCAAGTCAGCGGAGTGCATTTCGTGGTAGCGATATTCGTATAATCGGCAGATGAGATGAACTCTTCGCATTCTTCGTGATCGAAAAGTTTTTCGAGAAATGGATCGAGTTCGGTTGGAAGTTCGGCGGCCGCGAAGTTTTGGAGTGAGATTGATATGAGGAGAAGGAGAAGTGGGGGACCCATCTGCAAAAATTTCCGAAGATTTTTGAGAAGGAAATCTGAAACGTAAAAAATCCAGGTTCAAAGAATGTTTTTGTTGGAATTTTCCAGAGCTATCAAATCTTAAAACTTCAATAACATGCCACGTGGAAAAATTGTGTAACACAACAAAACAGAACACAAAAGTAACTAACTTCTACTTTTCTCAAAATGACTGAAACCAAAATTTCGTTTGGTTTGGTTGTAAAAATAGGAGAAATTCAGAGAAAAAAAGAAAAAAAGAAGAAGAAGCTAAAATCGGCTGTAGCAAAAAGGCAAGTTTTCGCTTTTTTTCGCGGGAAAATCTTGGACCGGTTTTTGGAGGTGTTGGAAAAGAAGAAGAATATACATTGTGAATGTATGTATAGATTTTTTGGGATGACAAAATGTAAGCTTTTAATAATGGGTGATGATTCATGAAGTGTTGTTTTGTTGTTGGTTACGTAAGCAAAAATTTTTGATCTACCGGAAAGGAACAGGTTCAAAGGAGGACCTGAAATTTTGACTAACTTGAGTCAACATCGCTCAACTTGCCAGATTTTTCATGTGGCATAAGTCATATCAATTTCGAAAAATTTTGAATCCAGTTTTTTTCGCGCCAAAAACTATTATGACTCATTCTTTGTTTATTTTTTTTCAATTTCCATTTTTCAAATGAAAAGCTGAAGGTCAAGTTTTTTTTTTTGAATTTCAAAAAGGGAAACAAAAAGTTACACTAACACTTGCAAAAAACATTTTACAAGTTCGCCGAAGAACAAAAGTACAGTGAGTCATCAACAAAAAACAATTGGAAGTTTCGGAAAAAATCCACGTGGCACTATGCAAAATCTCATAAAGACTCAATAAAATACATTATTTTTATTTCGAACAAGTTGCCAAGGATTCTGAGAAAATTCATTTTTTTTTTCAAAAAGTCATTTGACCAAAGCACATTTTGCTCAAATTGATTTTTGCACAGATGTGGAATCGAGTTCTTCTACTGATTATCCTACTTCTAGTTCTTGTATTATGTCTTCTGAATTCTTATGATCCTGATCAAACTTCAACTGATGTTGGGAAGAATTTGAATTTGGCGCCAACTTCAGGGCTACCACAGTACCTTGATTTTTATCAAGCGGAAAGAGATCGAGAGTTCAAAGACAAACATCTCCCCAGTCCCAAATCCGCCTACCTTCTCTCCGCCTTCGAATTTCCTAACGAGATTTCAATTGTTCACATGAATCGCGAAATCACTGGCGCCACTCTCTGGTGTCGATATTTTTCTGAAAATTCGACTGAAATTTCAGCTTCTCAAAAATCTTTCACTTACCCATGTCATCTTGTAAACTGCCCAAAAGTTGCAGGAACTCGTAAAGTTTCGTTGAGTGTTTTCGAGAATTCGACGGATTTTGATTTTCCGATTCCACTTGTGCCACGTGGCATGGAAAATTATGTGGAAGACAAATATGAATTTTCAATGTGTATGTCACCAATTTATGGAAAAGAGCCAAAATGGTTGTTGATTTCAGAGCTCATTGAGCATTATAAATTACAGGTAGGTGAAATTTGACACAAAAAAAACATATCAAAAATCTTAAGGGTGTCAGTCACTTTTATTTCTATATTCATTTCATCGATCAATACAGTCGAGCAATTTTGGAAGACTATCAAAGAACTGGGGAGATTACAGTGATCGAGTTATTGGAAAAATACAACCGTGAACCAGAGCATTTGCAAATTCCAGCGTATCGCGTAGGTTTGCACAATTATCACGCTAAAATTACAGAAGTTTGTAGGATTGTCAACTTCGCGCGAAATTCGAATCCCGCTGGTTGCTTTTCAGTGATTTGGATGAGCGAATTATTATGACTGGGTATCCTGGAACAATTTTGAATTTTTTGCGAGATTTGGAGAATCCAGATAGTATTGGGGCTGTGATTTTTAGGCAGCGATGGGTTTTGAAAACTGAAACTATGCCGGACAAATATATCAATGATAGTCATGTGAGAAATGAAATATGAAAGAGAACAAATCAAAGTTATCAGCTACTCTCCTGGCTCCCAACTCTTCGTTGGCACAACACCTCATCCGTCGGTCCACGAAGACACACTGTGAAAACCATAGGTGATCCGAAAAAAATCTACGAAGCCTGGGTGCATTATCCAAAAATCTATTATCCGGGTGAACATCAAACGTATGACGTCAAGCCGGAAGAGGGATATGTGAGGTGGGTGATAGATATTTTGAATTTATTTTGCACCTTGATAAATTTCCAGACATTATCGTGACCAAAAAATGGGAAATTGGGGTGGAAAATGGCTCAAAGATGTTGTCAAATTCGGCCCGTTTTCGCTGACAAATTATTCGAAAATCTACCAGGGAAAATTGGTGGAAAATGTGCGAAAGCGGGTGGAAAACGTGTATTTGAATTATAGTTTGAGATTGGAAGATTGATATTTTGTCCTGTTAGATAAAAACTATAATCTCAGCAATTGACTTCGTAGACTGACTGTACAAATTGAAGAAGTGTGAATACAGAGGATGAACGCTGTACCTACACTTTTTTTCCCGAAAATTGTAGGTTCATTTTATCTTCAGCGTAGCTACAAAAAAAATCAAATCCGTAGCTACGCAGATGCTAAATAGTTGATACGCACACCTTAAATTCTAACGAGAGCTGCCAAGCGTCACACAATCAGAGATGAAAACGTACGTACAGCGTATATCCGCTGTAGCTACACAATTCGCGGACAGAAATGAAGTGAAGTGACCGCTCTATATTATTTTTTAATCCGTAGCTACGCCGATGCTGTTCTGTAGCTACTTTGTAGATAAACGGATGTTTCTTATGTGCAATTCTCTCTTCCCCGTTTTCGTACAAAGTATCAACGAAATTTGTACAGTCAGTCTACAGAGTCAAGTGCTGAGATGTTATTTACAGTTGAAATGCAGAAACGCGAAAAAAAAAGAAAAAAAAAGAAAGAAAAAAAAGTTTGTTTGGTACGGTACGGTTTAAAGGAACATTGCAATTTGCAACTGCGTCTTGACACACAACACAAAAAAAATTCAAAACCTGCCCGCGAATTTTTATTTTTTCGACGCGCCAACCAAAAAATCGATTACTTATTCATTTCTTTTTTTTTGCGTCGCTCAATGTGGCTGTTTTTTGGCGAGTTGACACCGGAATATGATAAAAGATAAGTTTTTTTGGGATTTAGCCCCGGTTTCCTTTCTCATTCACCCAAAACACTCCCAAAAATCCATTCCGAGCAGTTCTAGAAGTCTTTGCTCGGAGTTAGTACAGGGCTCGATAATTTTCGAGCCCTCTAGTCATTGCCACTACCAGTAACCTCGGTAGGGTCACAGTTTGTTGTGACCGCGATTTATCGCCTGGATTTGATTGGAAAGCAGAGATGAGCAAGACCTGAGGTTTTGATACTAGAACTGCTCTTTAGCCACCGATTTGGGCGGAATGGGAAGATGGGACCTGGTTTTGAACTTCGCCATGCGCGAAGGAATTTGATTGGGAACTGGGGCGTATGTATTTCTGGGGAAGTTTGATATGGACCTTTGTCAATGCTTTTTTTTCAGAAAACTGCTCCTCAATCAATAAAGATGCCGGAAAAATTGCTCTTGCGTGAAGTCGAAGCTCATCGAATCCTAATCAGCTGGAAATCGTCATCCAGCTTTGAAGATAATAAATATGTTGAGAAGCAGATGAATGAGAGGAATCGGGTGCATTTGTTCTCCAAGCACAACGAATTGCAGTCGTGCCAGATGTATAGATATGAAGAATAATCGAGAAAAAACAATTTTGCCAACAATCTGGAATTTTACCGAATCGAGATTATTTATGCGTGATTGAGAAGAAAGATGTTGTGAAAATTAAAAATTTCAGAAAAGTGGAATTATTATTGAAGCCCGCTGTTTGATGATTTTCACAAGTTCAAATCCTGAATTCCAACATGAAAACGCGTGATGATTTGTGCATATATTACTTCAGCCTTCTTTCAATGATGATGAATGGATTTGTCATATAATATGACTGATATTTAACCGGATCTTTACAATTCTCTGGAACCTCTTCACAATGCCCTCCCTTCAAACTAAAATGGATCGATAACTGGAAGCGTCTGTAGTCAACAAATCAATTTCAGTACACCCTTTGCGTGAATGAAATTCAACAAGCAGCTGTTTGCCAAGAAAGTTTTGTATTCTATGAGAATGCATGTCGCCTGAATGTCAGACCAGTGAAGAGCAAACGGAAAATGCAGCCACCAACACAAAATGAAGTGGAAGCAGAAGCTTTTGGTTCGTTATTTTCATTGTGAATTCACAAACGTTGAATGCAATTATTGTTATTTTATAGATCGAAAGAAGACGGAAAATACGAAAACGGTTGCAGCAATGTTGTATTCTTCAAATGTTCTGACCATCAAACTTAGTTGATCTCGCTGAATATTTACAATCAATGTTTGGAATCATGTCCCACCACGCGTTGAAATTCCAACCTCAACAGAATCAACCGCAGATGAAGTTTATGAAGAACCAACAATTCCATCTGTACCAGCTGGAGAACACTTTGATTGCTCAAATTTGGAAGATAGAAACTACGTTTTGAAGAAGTTGTCGCTGAGAAGGAGGAGCCAATTGATATTTATGAACCAGTTCCATCATCATCTTCTGAACAATCAGTTGCTACTTCAATTCTTGCTGATAATAATGATGTTCCAGTTGCAGTTACAGTTCAACCAATTTCAGTAGTCACAGCTGGATATTCGGTCGTGAGTTTTTACGTTTTTATTCGAGCTGGCAAGACGTGTTTGTCTCTGCTAGCAACATTTTTCACAATTAGAAATGCCAATTTTCAAAAAAAGACGTATTTTATAATACAATTTGTTTTACACGTTCTTCATTTCTGGAATTTCTAAAAATTGTGTATCACAACAATTTTCCCGCCTATTCTTCATACTTCTGAATCTGATAATCATGGTATTTTCAGCATTCGGTTTTCACTACTTCATTCCACCGACTATTCATTTGTTTCTGATGTTTATTCTGACACGAGACGTATCAATCAAGGGAAAATCGAGTATGGAAACAGCCGAGTTGTTTAAGGAGATCGTATTTTTCTCGTTGATGTTACTATGTTCAAAGGTGTTGACAAATTGGCGAGCAATTCGACACCACAATCAACAATTTCTCTTCGATTTGTGGAAATTCTTCAACTTCTGCCGATGGAGGATGATCGAGCAATTGCAGAAAATCAAACAACTTCGAAACCAATCGCAGTTACTGTTGGAAGAACAACGAGAAACCACACTGCTTCTGAAGTATCCACTACTTCTACAATTCCAGCTCCAGATGAAGAAGACTTTTGGAATGGTATCAATCAATGAGAGTCTTGTTTCAATTGGTTGCTCACAAGAATTTATTCATTGCTCTCGTGGAATTCTTTTACACCACACTTGTTGGCCTAATTATCGTGATGCTGTTTCTGCTTGTAATGATTCTGATCATACTCCATCAGTTTTCCAAGTTTCCTCAAAAACATGTTCACCTCAATCATCAAACATTTGGAAAATTGATCAAAACGTTGGTTTGTAGTCTTACGTTAGACAAGGATTTGTTTCAAGATATTTGTCAACAACCAACTAAATTATGCGGTAATTCAGAAAAAAAAACATGGAATATCCTATATATTATTTTTCAGGCAACTGTTGCGACTCCAGTTCCATCCAAATTCCTCAAGTTGTCAATCTGATGGTCACCTTGAATGTGTCGAAAACGCATACATCTCGCAATGTTTCGAACACTGACCTCAAACTCAAACCAAGGTTCGCCACAAAGAGGAGGATATCGATGTGCTTTTGGTCAGCAACAATTCGGCATCTTCAATTGAACATTTTGTTAACCAAATCAAGTTTTCTGCAATCCAAAACTTGCACACCTAAAAACAAGGCGGACACTCGAAAAAGAGATTTGAAAGATCAAAGACATCAGAAAATTACTTTAGTTGAGGTGAGTGAAAATTTCCAAGAGAATTTCTGGAATTGTAATTTGAAACTGATAAATAATTATTTTTCTTGATTTTTTAATTGAAAATCTTGAAAAATGATTAATTTTATCAGTTACAAATTGGAATTTCAGTGGAGATGCGGAAGCTATGCCCAATTTTTGATTTTTTAGAGAAAAACTTTAAATTTTTGAATAATAAATTAATTGAACCTTTTTTTCAGATCAATATCAACAATTCGAAGAGATCAAATAACAAATCAAAGTGATCGACCAAGATTTGTTGGTAAGTTTTTGAATTTTTATGAAAATTGGCATGAATTTCTGGAATTGTAATTTGAAACTGATAAATAATTATTTTTCTTGATTTTTTAATTGAAAATCTTGAAAAATGATTAATTTTATCAGTTACAAATTGGAATTTCAGTGGAGATGCGGAAGCTATGCCCAATTTTTGAATTTTTATTCAAAAACTTTAAATTTTGAATAATAAATTAATTGAACCTTTTTTCAGATCAATATCAACAATTCGAAGAGATCAAACAACAATTCAAAGTGATCGACCAAGATTTGTTGGTAAGTTTTTGAATTTTTATGAAAATTGGCATGAATTTCTGGAATTGTAATTTGAAACTGATAAATAATTATTTTTCTTGATTTTTTAATTGAAAATCTTGAAAAATGATTAATTTTATCAGTTACAAATTGGAATTTCAGTGGAGATGCGGAAGCTATGCCCAATTTTTGAATTTTTATTCAAAAACTTTAAATTTTGAATAATAAATTAATTGAACCTTTTTTCAGATCAATATCAACAATTCGAAGAGATCAAACAACAATTCAAAGTGATCGACCAAGATTTGTTGGTAAGTTTTTGAATTTTTATGAAAATTGGCATGAATTTCTGGAATTGTAATTTGAAACTGATAAATAATTATTTTTCTTGATTTTTTAATTGAAAATCTTGAAAAATGATTAATTTTATCAGTTACAAATTGGAATTTCAGTGGAGATGCGGAAGCTATGCCCAATTTTTGATTTTTTAGAGAAAAACTTTAAATTTTTGAATAATAAATTAAATGAACCTTTTTTTCAGATCAATATCAACAATTCGAAGAGATCAAACAACAATTCAAAGTGATCGACCAAGATTTGTTGGTAAGTTTTTGAATTTTTATGAAAATTGGCATGAATTTCTGGAATTGTAATTTGAAACTGATAAATAATTATTTTTCTTGATTTTTTAATTGAAAATCTTGAAAAATGATTAATTTTATCAGTTACAAATTGGAATTTCAGTGGAGATGCGGAAGCTATGCCCAATTTTTGAATTTTTAGAGAAAAACTTTAAATTTTGAATAATAAATTAATTGAACCTTTTTTTCAGATCAATATCAACAATTCGAAGAAATCAAACAACAATTCAAAATGGATGATCAAGATTTGTTGGTAAGTTTTTGAATTTTTATGAAAATTGGCATGAATTTCTGGAATTGTAATTTGAAACTGATAAATAATTATTTTTCTTGATTTTTTAATTGAAAATCTTGAAAAATGATTAATTTTATCAGTTACAAATTGGAATTTCAGTGGAGATGCGGAAGCTATGCCCAATTTTTGAATTTTTAGAGAAAAACTTTAAATTTTGAATAATAAATTAATTGAACCTTTTTTCAGATCAATATCAACAATTCGAAGAGATCAAATAACAAATCAAAGTGATCGACCAAGATTTGTTGGTAAGTTTTTGAATTTTTATGAAAATTGGCATGAATTTCTGAAATTGTAATTTGAAACTGATAAATAATTATTTTTCTTGATTTTCTTTATGAAAAACTTGAAAAATGGTTGATTTTATCAGTTACAAATTGGAATTTCAGTGGAGATGCGGAAGCTATGCCCAATTTTTGAATTTTTATTCAAAAACTTTAAATTTTGAATAATAAATTAATTGAACCTTTTTTCAGATCAATATCAACAATTCGAAGAGATCAAACAACAATTCAAAGTGATCGACCAAGATTTGTTGGTAAGTTTTTGAATTTTTATGAAAATTGGCATGAATTTCTGGAATTGTAATTTGAAACTGATAAATAATTATTTTTCTTGATTTTTTAATTGAAAATCTTGAAAAATGATTAATTTTATCAGTTACAAATTGGAATTTCAGTGGAGATGCGGAAGCTATGCCCAATTTTTGATTTTTTAGAGAAAAACTTTAAATTTTTGAATAATAAATTAAATGAACCTTTTTTTCAGATCAATATCAACAATTCGAAGAGATCAAACAACAATTCAAAGTGATCGACCAAGATTTGTTGGTAAGTTTTTTGAATTTTTATGAAAATTGGCATGAATTTCTGGAATTGTAATTTGAAACTGATAAATAATTATTTTTCTTGATTTTTTAATTGAAAATCTTGAAAAATGATTAATTTTATCAGTTACAAATTGGAATTTCAGTGGAGATGCGGAAGCTATGCCCAATTTTTGAATTTTTAGAGAAAAACTTTAAATTTTGAATAATAAATTAATTGAACCTTTTTTTCAGATCAATATCAACAATTCGAAGAAATCAAACAACAATTCAAAATGGATGATCAAGATTTGTTGGTAAGTTTTTGAATTTTTATGAAAATTGGCATGAATTTCTGGAATTGTAATTTGAAACTGATAAATAATTATTTTTCTTGATTTTTTTAATTGAAAATCTTGAAAAATGATTAATTTTATCAGTTACAAATTGGAATTTCAGTGGAGATGCGGAAGCTATGCCCAATTTTTGATTTTTTAGAGAAAAACTTTAAATTTTTCAGATCAAAATCAACTGCCACGTGTCAATCATTCGCAATGGATTTTTCTAATTTTTAAATTATTGTATTGTTTTTTTTCATTTTTTCAGGTTTTGTTTTTTTTATCAAGTCTCGCTAAAAAGCCGAGACTTGTACATTTCGCAGGTTTTGTTTCGTTTGATGTACAGTAGTTCTTCTAATCTATAATAATCTGGCATAGTTCAGAAAATGTTGAGATTACTGTAGATTTGTCGCTAGAACTACGGTGCTCCGTTGTTTTCTGTTACCGTGCGACACGTTTTCTTTTTTTCTACATTTATGAGAGTCAGTAATCCACGTACTCTGTTTTCGGCAAATTTTGATTAGGACCAGGTGCGATTTTTAAGAAAAATTCGATAATTTTCTTAAAATGAACCGTTTTTTTCCGGTTTGAATGAGTATTTTTCTCAAAAAATTACACCTAGTCCTTAATGTAATTCAAATCTTCAGAATAAGTGTAACTTTTTCCAGAAAACTAGTAAAATCAAATTGCCCGCAAAATTTGAAATTTAGGATGAACTATTTCGAATGAGAAGTCAACTTTGTTGTCTTTTAAAATAGTTTATCCTAAATTTCATTTCAAACGCGGTTTTTTCTGGCCGATTTACAGAATTAACGTGTGAAAATTTACGACACTGGGGTACTGTAGAATTACAGTAACTCGTGGAACGTATTACGGAAGGAGTGAATCTTGAGGACTGTCTCAAATGCAGAAGTACAGTAGTCAGCTTAATTTTCTGTTAAAAAGTACTGTAGAAAATCTTGATTCATCCAGAAAGTACAGTATCTCTATTTATGTACTGTAAGTTTTCGAAGGAGACAAATGCAGAATGATCTACAGTAATTTTTTAAAACGAGACACCGATTACTGTAGCTTTACATCGTACAGTACTCGACAAATCTGATCAACAACTACAGTAATCTTATTGTAGACACGCAATCTACAGTACCCTGATTACTACAGTTCGAAATTACTGTACTTCTACAGTAACCAGGAAAAAACAATACTACAAGTCATTGGCTTTTACGCAATGACTTATAGAGAGAAAAAACTACAGTAGTTTTCTACTTTTTGGCTTTTAAGCAAAAAGTAGGACATAAAACAGGAAATTAAATTATGGAAGAGATTAAGAATCGAAGGCGATGATGAAGTTTCGAACTGCAAAATATCCGTGGTGAATTGCCAGCAAATCGTTGTGTTTTTGATCTGAAAAATTTAAAGTTTTTCTCTGAAAATTCAAAAATTGGGCATAGCTTCCGCATCTCCACTGAAATTCCAATTTATAACTGATAAAATTAATCATTTTTCAAGATTTTCACAATAAAAAATCAAGAAAAATAATTATTTATCAGTTTCAAATTACAATTCCAGAAATTCGTGCCAATTTTCATAAAAATTCAAAAACTTACCAACAAATCTTGATCATCCATTTTGAATTGTTGTTTGATCTCTTCGAATTGTTGATAATATTCTGAAAAAGGTTCAATTAATTTATTATTCAAAATTTAAAGTTTTTCTCTAAAAATTCAAAAATTGGGCATAGCTTCCGCATCTCCACTGAAATTCCAATTTATAACTGATAAAATTAATCATTTTTCAAGATTTTCAATTAAAAAATCAAGAAAAATAATTATTTATCAGTTTCAAATTACAATTTCAGAAATTCATGCCAATTTTCATAAAAATTCAAAAACTTACCAACAAATCTTGATCATCCATTTTGAATTGTTGTTTGATCTCTTCGAATTGTTGATATTATTCTGAAAAAAAGATTCAATTAATTTATTCTTCAAAATTTAAAGTTTTTCTCTAAAAATTCAAAAATTGGGCATAGCTTCCGCATCTCCACTGAAATTCCAATTTGGAACTGATAAAATTAATCATTTTTCAAGATTTTCGATAGAAAAATCAAGAAAAATAATTATTTATCAGTTTCAAATTACAATTTCAGAAATTCATGCCAATTTTCATAAAAATTCAAAAACTTACCAACAAATCTTGATCATCCATTTTGAATTGTTGTTTGATCTCTTCGAATTGTTGATATTGATTCTGAAAAAAAGGTTCAATTTAATTTATTATTCAAAATTTAAAGTTTTTCTCTAAAAATTCAAAAATTGGGCATAGCTTCCGCATCTCCACTGAAATTCCAATTTGGAACTGATAAAATTAATCATTTTTCAAGATTTTCGATAGAGAAAATCAAGAAAAATAATTATTTATCAGTTTCAAATTACAATTTCAGAAATTCGTGCCAATTTTCATAAAAATTCAAAACTTACCAACAAATCTTGATCATCCATTTTGAATTGTTGTTTGATCTCTTCGAATTGTTGATATTGATCTGAAAAAAAGGTTCATTTAATTTATTATTCAAAAATTTAAAGTTTTTCTCTAAAAAATCAAAAATTGGGCATAGCTTCCGCATCTCCACTGAAATTCCAATTTATGGAACTGATAAAATTAATCATTTTTCAAGATTTTCGATAGAGAAAATCAAGAAAAATAATTATTTATCAGTTTCAAATTACAATTTCAGAAATTCATGCCAATTTTCATAAAAATTCAAAAACTTACCAACAAATCTTGATCATCCATTTTGAATTGTTGTTTGATCTCTTCGAATTGTTGATAATATTCTGAAAAAAAGGTTCAATTAATTTATTATTCAAAATTTAAAGTTTTTCTCTAAAAAATTCAAAAATTGGGCATAGCTTCCGCATCTCCACTGAAATTCCAATTTATAACTGATAAAATTAATCATTTTTCAAGATTTTCAATTAAAAAATCAAGAAAAATAATTATTTATCAGTTTCAAATTACAATTTCAGAAATTCATGCCAATTTTCATAAAAATTCAAAAACTTACCAACAAATCTTGATCATCCATTTTGAATTGTTGTTTGATTTCTTCGAATTGTTGATATTGATCTGAAAAAAAGGTTCAATTAATTTATTATTCAAAATTTAAAGTTTTTCTCTAAAAATTCAAAAATTGGGCATAGCTTCCGCATCTCCACTGAAATTCCAATTTATAACTGATAAAATTAATCATTTTTCAAGATTTTCAATTAAAAAATCAAGAAAAATAATTATTTATCAGTTTCAAATTACAATTTCAGAAATTCATGCCAATTTTCATAAAAATTCAAAAACTTACCAACAAATCTTGATCATCCATTTTGAATTGTTGTTTGATTTCTTCGAATTGTTGATATTGATCTGAAAAAAGGTTCAATTAATTTATTATTCAAAATTTAAAGTTTTTCTCTAAAAATTCAAAAATTGGGCATAGCTTCCGCATCTCCACTGAAATTCCAATTTATAACTGATAAAATTAATCATTTTTCAAGATTTTCGATAGAGAAAATCAAGAAAAATAATTATTTATCAGTTTCAAATTACAATTTCAGAAATTCATGCCAATTTTCATAAAAATTCAAAAACTTACCAACAAATCTTGATCATCCATTTTGAATTGTTGTTTGATTTCTTCGAATTGTTGATAATATTCTGAAAAAAAAGGTTCAATTAATTTATTATTCAAAATTTAAAGTTTTTCTCTAAAAATTCAAAAATTGGGCATAGCTTCCGCATCTCCACTGAAATTCCAATTTGTAACTGATAAAATCAACCATTTTTCAAGTTTTTCATAAAGAAAATCAAGAAAAATAATTATTTATCAGTTTCAAATTACAATTTCAGAAATTCATGCCAATTTTCATAAAAATTCAAAAACTTACCAACAAATCTTGATCATCCATTTTGAATTGTTGTTTGATTTCTTCGAATTGTTGATATTGATCTGAAAAAAAGGTTCAATTAATTTATTATTCAAAATTTAAAGTTTTTCTCTAAAAATTCAAAAATTGGGCATAGCTTCCGCATCTCCACTGAAATTCCAATTTATAACTGATAAAATTAATCATTTTTCAAGATTTTCAATTAAAAAATCAAGAAAAATAATTATTTATCAGTTTCAAATTACAATTTCAGAAATTCATGCCAATTTTCATAAAAATTCAAAAACTTACCAACAAATCTTGATCATCCATTTTGAATTGTTGTTTGATCTCTTCGAATTGTTGATAATATTCTGAAAAAAAGGTTCAATTAATTTATTATTCAAAATTTAAAGTTTTTCTCTAAAAGTTCAAAAATTGGGCATAGCTTCCGCATCTCCACTGAAATTCCAATTTATAACTGATAAAATTAATCATTTTTCAAGATTTTCAATTAAAAAATCAAGAAAAATAATTATTTATCAGTTTCAAATTACAATTTCAGAAATTCATGCCAATTTTCATAAAAATTCAAAAACTTACCAACAAATCTTGATCATCCATTTTGAATTGTTGTTTGATTTCTTCGAATTGTTGATATTGATCTGAAAAAAAGGTTCAATTAATTTATTATTCAAAATTTAAAGTTTTTCTCTAAAAATTCAAAAATTGGGCATAGCTTCCGCATCTCCACTGAAATTCCAATTTATAACTGATAAAATTAATCATTTTTCAAGATTTTCGATAGAGAAAATCAAGAAAAATAATCTACTATATACTAATTGGGAAAATTGTTTTGGCAATAGTGTGTCCGGGTCCCGTTCTCAAAACTGTGCGCATAAAAATTGATGATCAAAAAAAGAAAAAGTTTCTAAATGTTGGCAGCTCGATGCGCATCCTATTCATTCTTTCTCAAAATGTATGTGGGTGCGCGGAGAATCAAAAGTTTGAAAACTCCAATGTATTTTTCGATTTTAAAATGTGTCGCTCGACTTTTCTCAATTTCCAGAAGACCATTTTTGATGGGACCTTCACCATTCTATCCCAAATTCTTTCCCATCGAGGCGCTAATATTCGATTTTTCAAAAAGTGCGCGAGTTTTCACGTGAAAAATCAAAACTTTTTTCATATAAAAAAGAATGATCACGTTTTTATTCCAAAAAAATTAAAGGACACGTTTCTTATCTGATCTTTCTGTTTTCTGAAAAAAGCGAACAATTTCTGGGCATTTCTCAATGTTTCTCTTTACCTAACCGGAAAATAAATCAAAAGTAAGTCAAACTACTGTAGATGGCGTTAGCCAGCGAAGCCCTTCTAGTTATTTATCAGTTTCAAATTACAATTCCAGAAATTCATGCCAATTTTCATAAAAATTCAAAAACTTACCAACAAAATCTTGGTCGATCACTTTGAATTGTTGTTTGATTTCTTCGAATTGTTGATATTATTCTGAAAAAAAGGTTTAATTAATTTATTATTCAAAATTTAAAGTTTTTGAATAAAAATTCAAAAATTGGGCATAGCTTCCGCATCTCGACTGAAATTCCAATTTGTAACTGATAAATTTAATCATTTTTGAAGATTTTTGATAGAGAAAATCAAGAAAAAACAATTATTTATCCGTTTCAAATTACAATTCCAGAAATTCTCTTGGAAATTTTCCCTCACCTGGATTCATGATAAAATCAACTACAATAATTTCCTGATGTCTTTGTTCTTTCAAATCTCTTCCTTCATTCGAAAACGCAAATCTTCCCGAAGTCAAAAAATACAGAATTCGATAAAAATCCAAGTGTCCGTCTTAATTTTAGTTGTGCAAGTTCTGGATTGCAGAAAACTTGATTTGGTTAACAAAATGTTCAATTGAAGATGCCGAATTGTTGCTGACCAAAAGTGCATCGATATCCTCCTCTTTGTGGCGAAGCTTGGTAAATAGACAGCTTGTCCATAGCGACATATTTGTTAGAGTTTGAGGTCAGTGTTAGCAACATTGCGAGATTTATGCGTTTTCGACACATTCAAGGTGACCATCAGATTGACAACTTGAGGAATTTGGATGGAACTGGAGTCGCAACATTTGCCTGAAAAATAATATATAAGATATTCCATGTTTTTTCTGAATTACCGCATGATTTAGTTGATTGTTGACAAGAGCAATGAGAAATATCTTGGATCAAATCCTTGTCTAACAATAAAAAGCCCGATCTCCTTGAGAAACTCGGCTGTTTCCATACTCGATTTTTCCTTGACTGCATTTTTGTTGAATCTGAGGCAATCCATCCAGTTTCCACGTGTTTTTTGACGAATTGCTGCAATTCAATCAAATTTTTAACCAAACCAGCTCTCTTATTTTTCCAAATTCATTTCAAAAATTCTAAATTTCTCATTCAAAACGCCCCCCAAAAACTCCATGGAAATGTGCAAAACCCGTGATAACTGTTACTTTCCTACAGCTTTCGGTTATCCAAAAGGATTCTTTGACAAATCCCTACTCAAATCATCAAATTTGAATAGTTGCGGGTTTCAACAACTGGTAAACGTACTTGCTCAGAAAGTAACGCACATTTACCACTTCATATTTCGTGAGGTTGGTTTTGAAATTTGTATTTTTATACTCGAAAAGTGCAATGAAATGAGATTATCCCCCAAAATCAAACTTATCTTCTTCAAACTCCAAAAATTCTTCGACTGGCCAACTCTTTGCCAAATTCGAACCGATGCTAAAAAATTGAAATTTAATTTTTTTCTGACAAGGGAAGCTAAAATTTGCAAAATATTGATTTCTTTTTCGAAATAATCGTTTGTTTCTTGTGAAATGTTTTTTTTTCCCCGAAAAATCAATGATCAAAAATTAGTAGGTCAAAATTAGTTTTTTTTTAGTTTTTCGGTCAGAAATGATGAAAAATTAGTTTTTTGTAGCTTCTGAGGTTTATTCTAGTAAAAATATTGCAAAACCCTTTTCCTCATTTCATAAACTTTTTCAAAATTCACTAAAAACTTCTGAGAAGTGGATTCCGAGGTTAATTTTGGTAAATTATTTTTCGCTAGATCAAACTCTTGTGCAAAAAATGTCGGGAGTTACACGTGGCTAAACTAAATATGCGTCAAAAAACTAGAATAAAGTTGTTCAATGTTCGGGTGAAAACAATGAAAGATTAGGAATTCTGAAACACAAAGTTTTTCTCTAAAAATTCAAAAATTGGGCATAGCTTCCGCATCTCCACTGAAATTCCAATTTGTAACTGATAAAATCAACCATTTTTCATGATTTTCAATTAAAAAAATCAAGAAAAACAATTATTTATCAGTTTCAAATTACAATTCCAGAAATTCATGCCAGTTTTCAATAAGTTGTTTTCTATCATTTCAAACGAAAAATCATTTTTCAAAATTAAAGTTTTTTTCTATAGAAACATCTACAGTAACCCAAGGCATGTTTGATCTCGAAAAATTCCAAATTTTGCCACGTGGCAACTACAGTAATCCTAGGCTCAAAATCTTCACATCTTCGGGTCAAAAAAATACAATAACCCCAATTTCAGACTGAAATTATGAAATTTGGCTCCAAAAGAATATATTTGTTATCTAAATTTACTAGAAAAAAATGATAAATCGTGGTTTCGTTCGGAGTCACTGCGAATTCCCGATTTTTAAGTTTAGTTCATGATAAATAGTACGATACTTTTTTTATTGAATTAACTCACAGGCTTTGCAACATTTCAAAAAATAGTGCAGAAAATAAATGCGGCAATCGAAACGTTTTGAAAAATCAAAAATGAGCAAAATAATTCACGTCAAATTATTTAAGCTTAAATCTAGGGCACAAAAGTAGGTCGAGCAGAAAATGTATTGTGTCGGGTGCACAAAACATCCCACAGTGGAAAAAGTGTTTTTCACGCCCCCATCAATATTTTTTCATGTCCCCACAGGATCACACTGTTTTTCGCCCCCACTAGGTTTTTCCACTATGAGCCGATGTCGCGACAACTACCCAAGATACTGTAGATTAGAAACTCAGGTACTGTAGATTAGAAACCCGAATACTTGAGATAAAGAACCCGGATACTGTAGATTAGTAAACCAAGTGCTGATCGAAACTAACTGGATGTTTAATTCACAATATTCAGAAGAAACTCACATCACCCGAAATCCAACCATTTTTTCGAATTGATCAAATTTGAAATGGTTCATTTTTGTTGGATTTTTCACGTAAACGTGCCAACAAATGATTAAATGTCACGATTTTTATTTTTTTTTAGGTAAAGCCCAAAAAATTCAATTTGAAAAATATTAACCCAGGCACTGTAGATTAAAAAGCCGCTTACTTAAGTTATCCGGGTCGCTAATCTACAGTATTCGGGTTGCTAATCTACAGTAATAAAAAAGATGGATGCTTAAAACATTCAAGTAGCGGCGTTGAAAGCTCTGCGTAAGAGCGTTGCGGTTGGATGACAAAACAAATCAAAAGAACGACAACGCAAGTGTTTTTAGTTTGATCAAGAAATATTGAGTCGTTTTGAGAGGAGAGTAGATCAAAAATTTTTATAAATCAATTCCATGAAAATTCAAAATATTTTTGTCATCCAACCGCAACGCTCTCACGCAACGCTTTCAACGCCCCAGAAACATTGAATTATTATTTTCATCGGCGCTAATTTACTATTTATGATCATCGTTTTCAAAATTTAAAGTTTTTCTCTAAAAATTCAAAAATTGGGCATAGCTTCCGCATCTCCACTGAAATTCCGATTTGTAACTGATAAAATCAACCATTTTTCAAGATTTTCACAAAGAAAATCAAGAAAAATAATTATTTATCAGTTTCAAATTACAATTCCAGAAATTCATGTCAGTTTTCAATAAGTTGTTCTCTTTCATTTCAAACAAAAAATCAGTTTTCAAAGTTAAAGTTTTTCCATAGAAATTCAAAAAATATAGAGAACGTGGCATCTACAGTAACCTAGATCACAAAAAATTCCAAATTTTGCCACGTGGCAACAATAATAATCCTAGGCTCAAAATCTCCATCTCTTCTCATCAAAAATACCACAGTAACCCTAATTTCAGACTGAAATCATGAAACAGGCTTTGGTATATTTCAAAAAATAGTGCATAAAATAAATGCGGCAATCCAAGGGTTTCGAAAAATCAGAAATGAGCAAAATAATAGATAAAAAGATTTTCACGTCTGAATTAAAAATTCGTAAGTGGGGCTGAAATGTAGGTCAAACGGAACACTTTTCGATTTAAAATTTGTGAGCCCATAAGCATGATTTTTCAAAATTCAAAGTTTTTCTCTAAAAATTCAAAAATTGGGCATAGCTTCCGCATCTCCACTGAAATTCCAATTTGTAACTGATAAAATCAACCATTTTTCAAGATTTTCAGAAAAAAAATCAAGAAAAATAGAAATTTTATCAGTTTCAAATTGCAATTCCAGAAATTCTCTTGTAAATGTTCATTTCATAAAAAAAGCTTACCATAACTTCGATTCTGCATTTCAACAACAATCAGCAAACCACTCCTATGTCATTTATACAATTTCGGGCGTGGAAAAATATTGGACCACTTCGAATTCCTGTTAATGAGAAGATGGTAAATCTATAGATCAAACTATGTTATTCTCACCTGGCTTCTGAATCTGCACTTTTGCACCAAATCCAGCGAATTTCAACATGTTCGAATCCATTTTCCGGCTCGATATCGATCGAATTATGTCCACGAGTAGAACACTTATCTAGTGCAGAAAAATGTGTTCTCGATGTCGCAAATCCATATGTTGAGAACATGAAACACCTTTATTACCTTTGAAAATCCTTGAAATCCGTTTGAAAACACAAAAAAGTGCAGTGAACATATATTTTACCTTTGAAAATCCGAAGAAAAAACTCTGAAATCTATGGAAAATAAATGAGATATTTTGAAAAGTATCAAACTTTTGAATAAAAATCAACAAATCAAGTTTTCTATTATAAGTTTAATAGAAATTAAACGAAAATAAAGCGAACGAATCAAGTACAAGAATGTGGGGAGGGGCGCTGAAAAATGCAGACAGAAAACTCGAATATAAAAAACTGAAAAACCCCCAGTTTCGCCTGATTTCCATTTCAAAAATATCGGGAAAAACCTCCTAGAATTTAGAGAAATTTTATGGGACCCCACTAGTTTTGAGAATTCGAAGAGTTTCGTCATCAACTAGAAAAATTGGTGAATTAATCCAAACTTCTGAATAATTAACAAGGAAAATTACAGAAACCAGGTTGTGAGAAATCCTATAAGTTTTGATTGAATTAATAGAAAATCTGGAAAAAGACCTTAAGGGGACTTGGAACATTTTTTTGTGATTATCTAGCTTCAGATTTGTGAACTAATCACCTGAAAAGCCTGAAAACCCTAATTGTTCGGGTAGAAAATTCAATATTTTTAAAAATTCTCGAAAAAATCTCAAAACTCTTATTTTTCAATGAAAAATCAAAATAAAACCTGCTCCAAGAAGGGACGTGGGTGCGACAAGGTGCAAACCTTACCGGACACCTGAAAAACAAAACAAGAAGACGCGAGACAAAGACAAGAGACATGGACACTGGACAAGGACAAGGACAAATTGGAGCAGGTTTTTCAGATGATTTTTTTCTTGAAAAATAAGTTTCCTAGATTTAATTTCACCTAAAATTCATCAAACTTTTTTCTACCCAAACTAAAACTTACCTTCCTTACAAACTTACCTAAACTTACCTTACCAACGTCACCAAATCTTACTCCTAGATCCTCCCAAAAAAATCAACCTCCTCCTTACTCAAACCCGATTCCCCTATTCTCTACAAACTCTCCCGCCGCTTACAAAACCGCCCATTTCCCCAATTCCCATAAAATTCCCCGAAAACTACCCAAAAATTCAGAGAAACCCATCAATTTCGCCAGCTTCCAACTAGACCCTTAGAATTCCCAACAAGAGTGAAGAAGCCCATTTAAACCTCAAAAAATCCCGGGAAATTTTCCCCGATACTCTCGAAATGGAAATCAAGTTAAATTCTGGGGATTGGAATCTTTTGATTAAAAATTTTGCATTCGAGTTTCTATCAGATTATCAGCTACAAAAAGGGGGAAAAACAACAATTAAACATAGAAAAAAAACGTACAGAACTGCGTTTTTTCTGTTGAAGAGTGGAACCAAAATATTTTGTGTTGTAGCAGTAATTCTTCTGAAAAAAATCCGATTTTTGAAAGGAAAAGAAAGAATCATTTTCAAACTTACGTGTAGAAAGAAAATAAAAACTTGTTGGTTATGAAGAAAAAAAAACATGATGGCAAGTTACAGGAAATCTGAAAAAATATATTTTTTTGAAAAAACTTATTCCAAGAAATGATCAAAAACTCACAATCACAGGTTGCTTGATTTCCAGCTTATACATCATCGAGTGTAGATGTTTTACAACTTCACAGTTCCTTTCTCTTGATTGGTTCCACCAAAATTGAAAGCGCAAAAATCGAACTACTGATAAATCCTGGAAAATGTTACTTTGTTTTTTTTCAACAACCAAAAAAAGAAAAAATAATAAACTCACATTCAATTTGGCTGGTTCGAAATCAGATTTCCGACTAAAAAAGCTTCATCATCCATCCTTGTTTTGAGCCAGCACGGCATTTCATACCTTGAGAAGTTTTGACAATTTATAACAAATACAGAAGTGTTTGACACTATATGTACATGAATTATTCACATCTGAAAAATTGAAATATTAATTCAAAATCCAAAAATATTTCGAAAAACTCACGATATTTTGCAATTTGATTGCCAGGACATCCGATTACTTGTTTGATTTCATTTTCTGTCCGAATAAAATTGCGAAATCCTCGGAAACTTGCGATTCCGAATAATTCCAGTTGAATTCAGATTTTGGCGCCAAAATCTGAACTACAGTAACCCATATTTATAGATTCTAAATTCACTAGAAAATCTGACTCACCTTCATTCCTGGATTTTGCGCAAGGTTGGTGAGGACTCAAAGTTGTACTCTTGGAAACTTTTGAAGCTATTTATCTGAAAAAATTTAACATTAATTCAAAATCCAGAAGCCATTCAAAAAAACTCACCATATTTTGCAATTTCATTGCCAGGACATCCGATTACTATGTTTGTTTCACCTTCTGTCCGAATGTTTGAATTTGCAAATTCCTCGGAAACTTCTGAGTCCAAAATTGATTTGATCAATGATAAATCCAATAATTGAACTACTATGAAATTCCTGAAATATTCGGTTTGATTTTTCAACAAAAAATTGATGAAAATAATAAACTCACATTCAATTGTGCGGTTCAAAATCGGATTTCCGACTACATAATATATTCATCTTCTATCCTCGAGTTGAACCAGCACGGTGGATTTTTGATGATTTTGGCAGTAATTGGTGATTATGCAGAGTTGTACTCATGGAATAGCTTTGAAAGCTAAAACCACCAATAGTTGTGCCAAATTCACATCTGAAAAATTGGAAAATTACTTGATGATCCAAAGATATTCCAAAAAACTCACAATATTTTGCAATTTGATTGCCAGGACATCCGATTACTTGTTTGGTTCATCGTTTGTCCTCAATTTTCGAAATTGCAAAATTTGTTGGGTGTGAAGATGTTTTAGAACTTCACAGTTCATTCGTCTTGATTGGTTTCACCAAAATTGAAAGCGCAAAAATCGAACTACTGATAAATCCTGAAAAATATTACTTTGTTTTTTTCAACAACAAAATAATAAACTCACATTCAATTTGGCTGGTTCGAATTCGGATTTCCGACTACAATAAATCTTCATCATCCATCCTTGTTTTGAGCCAGCACGGCATTTCATAACTTGAGAAGTTTTGACGGTTCATAACAAATACAGGAGGTGTTTCACACTTTACATGAATTATTCACATCTGAAAAAATGAAAAATTAATTCAATTTCCGAAAAATATTTCAAAAAACTCACGATATTTTGCAATTTGATTGCCAGGACATCCGATTACTTGTTTGATTTCATTTTCTGTCCGAATAAAATTGCAAAATCCCTCGGAAACTTGTGAGTCCGAATAATTCCAGTTGAATTCAGATTTCGGCGCCAAAATCTGAACTACAGTAACCCATATTTATAGATTCTGAATTCGCAAGAAAAACTGACTAACCTGATATTTCCTGGGTTTCGCGCAAGTTTGGTGAGGACTCAGAGTTATACTCTTGGAAACTTTTGAAGCTATTTATCTGAAAAATTTAAACATTAATTCAAAATCCAGAAGCCATTCAAAAAACTCACGATATTTTGAAATTTGATTGCCAGGACATCCGATTACTATTTTTGTTTCATCATCTGTCCGAATATTGAAAATTGCAAAATACTGGGAAACTTGTGAGTCCAAAATTGATTTGATCAATGATAAATTCAATAATTGAACTACTATGAAATTCCTGAAATATTCGGTTTGATTTTTTAACAAAAAATTGATGAAAAAAACTCACATTCAATTGTGTGGTTCAAAATCGGATTTCCGACTACATAATATCTTCATCTTCTATCCTCGAGTTGAACCAGCACGGTGGATTTTTGGTGATTTTGGCAGAAATTGGTGATTATGCTGAGTTGTACTCATGGAATAACTTTGAAAGCTAAAACCATCAATAATTGTGCCAAGTTCACATCTGAAAAATTGGAAAATTAATTTATCATCCAAAAATATTTCAAAAAACTCACGATATTTTGCAATTTGATTGCCAGGACATCCGATTACTATTTTTAGTTCATCTTCTCTCCGAATATTTGATGATTGCAAAATTTGTTCGAACAACATACACATCTTGTCTTAGACATTGAATCCAGAAGTTTTCAAACTTTTCCTGAAGTTCCTCTTGAAGTTGTTGAAACTTGGATCTTCTTCCAACAATGGTAGAAATGTTGGAACCGCAAGAGCTGCAGTCTCTTGCGGTTCCACATGGGGATGAGGTCCATGGTTTGCTCGATTTCTCCAAGAACTGTTGGATATCATGTGAATCGGGGAGTCAAGTCCCGATTCGATATCCGATCTTCTTATCGACCGCCGATTTTCCATTTGGGGTGTCAATTCCCATCCGAATTTCCAATCGATATCCACGTGGGTATGACGTCCACGTGGATTTCTTCATCTTTCCATTCGAATTCGAATCGGGGAGTCAAGTCCCGATTCGATATCCGATCTTCTTATCGACCGCCGATTTTCCATTTGGGGTGTCAATTCCCATCCGAATTTCCAATCGATATCCACGTGTGTATGACGTCCACGTGGATTTCTTCATCTTTCCATTCGAATTCGAATCGGGGAGTCAAGTCCCGATTCATTTCCCGATCTTCTTATCGACCAGCGATTTTTCATTTGGGGTGCCAATTCCCATATGAATTTCCAATCGATATCCACGTGGGTATGACGTCCACGTGGATTTCTCCATCTTTCCATTCGAATTCGAATCGGGGAGTCAAGTCCCGATTCGTTTCCCGATCTTCTTATCGACCGCCGATTTTCCATTTGGGGTGCCAATTCCCATCTGAATTTCCAATTTATATCCACGTGGGTATGATGTCCACGTGGATTTCTCCATCTTTCCATTCGACTTCGAAACGGGGAGTCAAGTCCCGATTCCTTCCACCAATCCACGAAGGCTTCTGAAAATTCCAGAGTTATTCCACAAAAAAAAATAAATAAATATTACTGTAGCGTGCAACGGTGTTTGCACACTCTCTTTTTTTCAAATTTTCCAAAAAAAAACACGAGAAAAATTTATGGGCTGATTCAGGTCGAAAAAAAAACTAAAAAAAAAACGTTTTTTTTCGAAAAATTTCGATTCAGCGAATGTCAAAAAACTATATTTTTTCCTATTTTTTGACATTTGCTGAATCGAATTTTTTTTGTTAAAAAAAAACATTTTTTTTTAGTTTTTTTTCGACCTGAATCACCCCATTAGTTTTTTTGAAAGCTGAGCCCGAATTTATTAGGAAAAAACTCACATTTCACAGGATCTTTGCACAATCCAAAGCTTGAACATCCAAATGCTTACATTTCATATTGTGGCAAATAAATCACGTCAATTTCGAGTCGAATATCGATTGATTTTCGATCGAACATGGAGTTGATGTTGGGCGATCCCGATTCAATTATCGATCAATGTGGGTGCAAAGTCCACTTTCATCCAAAATCGACAAATTTTCCAACCAAAACCAACCGGGTTGATGAAGAAAATGTGGCTCCTCGCATATTAATCGATTGTGCCGGAGTCCATAACACAATCGATTTGATCCTTTCGTGGTCAAATGACCAAATTCATAAACTTTTCGCAGTTGGCAATGCTGCGCGTCGTGATGGAGAACGCCCATTTCCGATGTTCTTGGTCAGTGGAACTTCATTCAAACTCCCACTTTCCAAAAAACATTCCAAATGTTCCACATCCGCGAAAAATCGATCATTTTTTAACAGCCAATTATTGAAATAACGATTTTCGAGGTGCTTCACAAATACTGTCCAGTAAAACACTTTTGCGATCAATTTTTGCCATTATTCAATTTGTTTCACAATATGTTGATCCACAAAATTGAATATATTTCGTCGTTTTTTTTCGAACCGAGGAACGCCGGTTTTTTCTTGAATTGGCACGATCAATTTCTAGCAAAATTCATAGTTTTGGCACCAACAATATCATAACTTCTTCTCAATTTTCGACCAAAATAAATGAAATGGGAAAGATGTCGGGTGGATGTTTTGTGGTGGATTTTTGAATTATCAATTAATGAATTTCCGGTTAGGGACATTAATCCTAACCGGTTTATCCATAGATTTTCCGTTTCCACTTGAGGCCAATTTGAAATAGCCATTGAGTCCAGATGTGACCAATATCCAAAGCAAACGGCATCTGAAAATTGCAGTTTTTCCAAAAAAATTAAATTAAGATTACTGTAGCGTGCGTTTTTTCAAATTTATTCAAATTTTCCAAAAAAAAAAGCGAGAAAAATTTAGTTTCAGCGAAAAATCAATAGCACACAATTTTTTTGAAAGCTGAGCCCGAAATTATTAGGAAAAAACTCACATTTCACAGGATCTTCGCACAATCCAAAGCTTTAACATCACAATTCTCACATTTCATATTGTGGCGAATAAATTACGTCAATTTCGACTCAGAATATCGATTGATTTTCGATCGAACATGTGGTTGAAGTCCATGTTGGGCGATCCCGATTCAATTTTTGACACGATCAATTTCATAAATGTGGCACTTTGTTGATAATTATCATAGATTTAAATTTTTGCTGATCATAAATTCTTGATTTGTTCATGAGCCAAATAAAATACTTGTCCCGCTTTTCGCTCAAAAATCATTCAATTCATCAAATCAAATCATCATTGATCAAACGACCTGAAAATATTATCAATTTTCATTCACATTTTTTGATTGGAATAAAATTTAATTTAAATATCACTGGTTCGATAAAAGAACTCACTGGATAGAACTCGTCGATAAATTATCCACCAAAATTCAATCAAATTGCATCTTTCAGTCTGATTTTCCGGTGTCTTTCTTAGTTTCGACAACCAAACATTCGAATTGTAATATTGCGAAGAACAAATAATCGAATTTCCCACAAAAATCGAATAAATGACCAATCATCAGCAAAAAATACGAACCGATATGCTGGTTTAGTTGCGAAAATTCATGGAAACGCACAAGTTGAATCAACATTTCAATCATCAAAGATCACACTGAATTGAATAATTGACAGTTCAAAATCGAGTGGAGCAACAAAACGAATCAAAATATACGTGTTTTTTTGATATATCGATCAATGAATTTCCAGTTAGGGACATCAATCCTAACCGGTTCATCCATAGATTTTCCGTTTCCACTTGAGCCCAATTTGAAATAGCCATTGAGTCCAGATGTGACCAATATCCAAAGCAAACGGCATCTGAAAATTGCAGAGTTTTACAAAAAAAAAATTAAATTAATATTACTGTAGCCGCTACAGTGTAGCGTGCGTTTTTTCAAATTTTTTTCAATTTTTCCAAAAAAAAAGCAAGAAAAATTCAGTTTCAGCGGAAAATCGATAGCACAAAAATTGAGAAAGTTGGGCCCGAGATAATTAAGCAAAAAAACTCACATTTCATAGGATTATCGTATTCCAATAAACAATTTCGAAAATCACAAATCTAAAATTGAGTGACACGTCCACTTGATGATAATACATTTCACATAATTGAATTGATGAACTAGTTCGAAGAATATCGCCAAATTATACATTCAACATGATCAAAGCAATTCTAATTACGATCATTATAACAAGTGAATCGATTATTGTAATTCGATCAAATCTTTCCACATTTTCCATTCATTTTTCAATTGAATTGTGCCATATTCAAATTGCTTCACATTGATATTTCCAATCGAATCCATGTCAAATACATGGCTAGACGACGGAAATTCGCAGATCCACAATATTTCGTCGTTTTACCGGAGTACGCCCGGTTTTTTGATTGTTTCAAATATCCAATTTCAATTCCGAATAATTACATTGTTCATCAGTTTCTTGGTGTTGAATTTGAAAACCAAAGATTCGAATTGTCATATTTCGACATTACCAACAAATATACAATTTTTCCCGCAAAAAATTGAATAAATGCGTATTCCGAATAGGCAGCAAATATGAGAACCGATTTCAAGAACATCCGAAGTTTTTGAACTTGATAACATTTTGGTCTGAAAAACAGAATTTTTCAATTTTTTTAGATCAGAATTTTTGAGAAATGAAATTATTTATATCATTTTTGGGTAGATCAAATATATTTTTTTTAATCTCTGATTTTTTCGGGATATTTTTCTTTGAAATTTTACACGCAAAAAAGAAAAATAGTAAAACTAGATTTCGATTCAATAATTTTGAGAAACTCGATTTTTTTTTTGATATTTATTTGTGTTTAAAATTGAAAAAAAACTCACTCAAAATCCGCAACTTCCATCACAAATTGACTGAGCACATCTCATCGCAAATCACAATAAATCGAAGAACTTCTTCAGAATCGAGATGAATATTGAAACCAGTAAAACAGCGCACTTTTGCTTTTCTCCAAATAATGTTGAGAATTCGAATATCAATACTTAATACGCCATCAAGAGTGACCGGTTTGATGATCGACAACTCGAATAATCACAAATTCTCAACAGCTGGTTCAAGTCGTGGATTATTTCGGCAAAAGTGTTGTTTTGGGTCGATGAAGCAGATGTTGTTGTTGTGAACTTATCGAAGGGATAGCTTCCGAATATCCCAACGCGTCGTTAACGGAGGTACGCCCGAACCCACCGTCAAATTCAATCAATATTTCAATTTTATCTGTAAAATTCGATTTTTTCAATTTGTCTTTCTCTTTTTTTCGGAAGAAATGTGAAAACAAACAGTTTTTTTAAATTATAAATTTGCTGATGTGTGGCCGTGGCCTAGAAAACCATACACTTGTGTAGTTCTCTCGGACAATCATTTTTTCTTTTTTTTTTCCAAAAAAAAAACTTGATTTTCAGAACTCACATGTAGAACATATAAAAATGAAAATTGATGGAAGTGGAAGATGAATTTGACGGTGGTTGAGATTGGTTGGTGCAAGACGGAAAGGATTCATATCAATTTGCATTGATAAGGCAACATTCATAATGGGAAGGAGAGCTATTATACCAAATCGGGGAGAGTAGAATAAATAATAATCTGGAAAAAAACTATTTCTATTTGCAGATTCAACGGAAAAACTCACAAAAATCATTGAGCGAAACGCTCAATGTCATCCATCAGCTTTCTCGTTCTGATGAGAATCTTCGTGAGTGATGCATCGGTGGGCTTTTTGGAATATGAAACGATAGCCTTGGTCAGTTTGCTATGCGTTTCATTCAAATATAATGCTTTGAACCCGAAATCATGACAATCCAATTTATTCCGCATATCACTCAAAGCCTCTTTTGCCTCTTCAATTGACTTGATTTCAGCTGTGGATTCGTCGGTTTCGTCGGCTTCGTCGATTTTTTGTTGCTTGGCAACAACATCATCAATATCATCATCATCATCTGCTCGACGTTTCGATGGCTGCGTTCGAGTTTTGCCTGCAGATCGAAGCTTCATAGGATGTATGGATGGTTTGGCAGGTGTTGACGGTTTTTTGGATGCTTTTGGTTGTCTTGGTGGTGGCACAACAACTCGAGCACGTCTTCTGGCCGGTTTTTTTGCTGCAACAACTTCTTGAAGTCTTCTTTTGGCGGCTGGTTCTGAAGGAGAAGCATCACGAGCTCGGCGCTTCCTGTTGACCACTTGTCTTGGAGCTGGTGAAATATATGGTGACGGTGAAGCAGCATATCTTTCAATTTCTGGTTGTGGTTCGGTAGCCATCAAATCATCATCATCAATGTTATCAAAATTGTGCAATGCATCTTGTGCAATTAAATGATTATAAGCCTCCGGCGAGACTTTTGCACCTCGATAATTAACCAATTTTTGCTCAATCTCCTTTTCAACTTTTGCTCTGATGATAGATTCGAGCGCCGCAAACGTGTCAGTTCGTTGTAAAATTCCCACACTTTCATCCTTCTCGATGTCAATAATGGTATTTTTCAATTTGCCAACCGCAACCATCTTGCATCCTTTAACAGTGAATCTCGCATCTTCGAATAATTCTTCGGTGAATGCAATTGTGTGGCAACCTTCATTTGGATGTTTTCTGATGATTATAGCAGGATTTGAACTACAAGAAGGTGCGAATTGTGAAAGTGTTGGTTTTTCGACGGGTTTTGGGCTCGTTTTTACAATTATCTCCTGCACGGCTTTCCAATTCTGCCACATTTCGTTGGGAACACAATATCCATCAATGTCAACATCGCCATTTTCCAAAACCGGAAAATTTCGATGAACCGGCTCCTGCTCAATGAAAGTGTGGTTTCTCGGTGGCGATTCGAGAGGAGAAGATTGTGGAGATTGTGATGAAGCATCGAAAACTTGCGCATTTGTTGGCGATGAAGGTGTGAGCGGTCGGATCAAGTGTGCATAGTGTTTGTGCCAGAACAATATAAACACCTTTTCCTCTTCCGAAACATTTTCAATCGGCTGCCAATAGTATTCTCGCTCATCGGGTGGGAAAGCGTGCTCCAAGTAGCCAGTTCTTTTTACCCATGCATCTTGCGCTTTTGTCCAAATTGCCCATTCTTCTGGTGGCAACACATGCTCGGGAATTTGAATTATTGTTCGTGGATCACGGTGGCGAGATTGCAATTTTATATTCTCTCTAAGTTGTTCTCTGGCCGTACGGTTCGTAGTCTGAAAAAAGGTACGTTTTTTTTCAATTTAAATTTTCTAATTTCTGAAATTTTCAATACTTCCTAAGAAACTTCTTCCAAAAAATAATTGATCGAAAAAGTTCCCGATTTTCATCAGATTTCGAAAAATATTTCGGAAAAAATTTTGAAAAAAAAACTAACACTAAAAAGAGTCTTTCGCGGTTGTGTTTTCTGACCGACTGTATCATCTCGGTTTCCAGCTGATTTTTCAACATTTTTCTCCATTTTTCCAGAATCTATTTCTGCACTGTTGGTCGACGGTGCGTATTCATGTGATGGAATTGGCGTAGAACTGGTTGGAGTATCTTGTCGATTTTCTGATGGATTCGGCGACAGTCCAGTAATCGTCTGATGTTGTTGGCTGTTGTTTTGCTGGGCTCGAGAAATATCAATTCGTGGTGAGTTATTCGAACCGGATGGCACTGGTTTTTGGCATACTTTCGGTTTTGATGAATTTCCAGCTTTTTCAGATGCATCAACATTTTCCGCTACAAATTCTTCAGATGGTGGAATATCACAAGCTACAATATCGTCTTCTTGAGATGTGCGCGGTTTTGGTGATGTCTCAGATTGTCCACTTCCAACATTCTTCTCGAAAACGAGCTTTCTTCTGCAATTGGCTGGCTTTGGCGTGGGTTCCATCAAAATCGATTGAGCTGGTGTATCATCATAATCTGGTGTGAGACTTCTCGAATCGGAATCCGAAGTGATTCCTTTTCGAATTTGCCTTAAAATCCGGCGCTGCTCCGACAAGTCTTCGTAGCTGAATTCACAGCTTCGCTCATTAATAACCGTCATTTCGACTGGGTTCTCGCCGATTGGGAACTTCTGAAAAAGTGGATTTATATTTATGAAATTAGTAAGTTTTTTTCTCAAGTTAGTTTCAAAAATGTTTTAAAAATTTCAAACTTCAATCTGAAAATCAAATTTTGCATTTTCATGAATTTTCCATGAAAATTTAAAATTCCGCAAAACTTTGGAAAAAAAATTGAAAAATGATTTTTTGTGAATCTTTTTTGAAAATTCAAAAAATCAAAAAAAAAATTCTCATAATATTTCATTCGAAGCAAATCTTCTAATAAAAATTTCCGGTCATTTGATATTGTTTTGAAGAAATTGCAAAAAAAAACTAACGTTGTTCTGAGTCGGCTGCTCCAAAGCGTGTCCGGGACCAAATTCTCCCTCATATTCCAAAAACGCTCGCAAATTTGGCGAGTCCGCTGAGCTGACATCACAACTTTCATCCGATTTCAAATTCTCATGATTTCCAGTTGAATCATCCATTTTCGAATTTTCTTGATGAACTGTTGGTCTTTGCGATGGAATTCTCATTTCGACTAGCGAATCCGATGAATCGCTGTCGAGTTCATAATCCTCCGCATCTTTGAAAACCTTAAATTTTCGACCAGCTACTGGAATTGTTTTCTCAGCCATTTTAATCGCGACGGTATCCGGTTCATTAGTTGGGCGAATCGTTTCGTTCTGAAAAATGAAATGAATTTATATTTGGAGAAAAAAGTTGATGAAAAATATTTCTGGAATTATTGAAATCAAAAACTAACCTGAATGCGTTGGCTGTTGTTTGGATGGGCTCGTGGAATATCAATTCGTTGTGAGTTATTCGAACCGGATGGCACTGGATTTTGGCATACTTTCGGTTTTGATGAATTTCCAACTTTTCCAGATCCATCAACAATTTCATCATCATTTTTCGATACAAATTCTTCAGATGGTGGAATATCACAAGCTACATTTTCGACAATATCGTCTTCTTGAGATGTGCGCGGTTTTGGTGATGTCTCACATTCTCCACTTCCAACATTCTTCTCGAAAACGAGCTTTCTTCTGCAATTGGCTGGCTTTGGTGTCGGTTCCATCAAAATCGATTGAGCTGGTGTATCATCATAATCTGGTGTGAGACTTCTCGAATCGGAATCCGAAGTTATTCCCGCTCTTATTTGTCTTAAAATCCGGCGCTGCTCCGAAAAGTCTTCGTAGCTGAATTCACAGCTTCGCTCATTAATAACCGTCATTTCGACTGGGTTCTCGCCGATTGGAAACTTCTGAAAGAGTGGATTTATATTTATGAAATTAGTAAGTTTTTTTCTCAAGTTAGTTTCAAAAGTGTTTTAAAAATTTCAAACTTCAATCTGTAAATCAAATTTTGCATTTTCTTGAATTTTCAATGAAAATTTGAAATTCCGCAAAACTTTGGAAAAAAAATTGAAAAATGATTCTTTGTGAGTCTTTTTTGAAAATTCAAAAATTAAAAAAAACATTCTCATAATTTTTAATTCAATGCAATTTTCTAATAAAAATTTCCGGTCATTTGATATTATTTTGAAGAAATTGCAAAAAAAAAACTAACGTTGTTCGTTGTCGGCTGCTCCAAAGCGTGCCCGGGTCCAAATTCTCCCTCATATTCCAAGAAAGCTCTCAGATTTGGTGATTTCGCTGAACTTTCATTATTCGGTGATTTTGAACAATCATTGGGTTTTGCACCAGATTCATCAGCTCCAGATTCATCTTCAGTTAGCTCCAAGATAGTCGAAAGAACAGCGATGACATCATATTCGATGGACGAGTCTTGATCGACATGATGTTGAGCTGGAGTTTCATCAACAGCTAAATTTTGTGCAACGGCGTTATCCGTTGCGTTCATTGTGGGAACGTTTGTCTGAAAAATCAAATTTTTTTCTGAAGAAAAACGTTTTAAAAAACCAACCTCACTCATTTCGCTAATTGCGAATAAATAATATACCAAGTTGAGATGCTGAAAAATTTCGAATTGTGACAAATTTTCGAAATAAAAATTGGAAAGTTGAAAAGGGTACGGTATTAATAGGATTCAAATTGGCAGATGGATAGGAAAAAAATATTTGAAATTAGAGGTTACTGTAGTTCTGCTACAGTAAAAAAATTATTTGAAATAAACCATTGTCAAAACAAAAATTGAAATTTCCAGATTTCAACTCAAAAACTTTCAGACGAAAAAAAATTAGAAAATAGTAGACTTTGAGTTTCAGATTTTTTAGAACAAACAACCAGATTGACAGACAAAAACAGTGAATTTCAGAAAATTAAAGACGCAGGTTTTCAAATTCCAAACACTTTCAGATTTAAGAGAAAAAAATTCGAAAAAAATCAAAAAAAAAATTATAGTCAAATTTTCAGACAAAATCTACAAATTTCAGAAAATTAAAGACACAGATTTTCATATTCCAGAAACTTTCAGATTTTAGAGAGAAAAAAAAAATTCAAAAAAAAAATCGAAAAAAAAGTATAGCCATATTTTCAGACAAGAACTGTAAATTTCAGAAAATTAAAGGCGCAGATTTTCAAATTCCAAACACTTTTGCAGAATTCAGAGAGAAAAAAATTCAAAAAAAATATGATAAAAAAAATCCATGTCCAAAAAAAAACAATAAGGACGCCACAACAACAACACCAGAGGGGTCAACTGTCTGCACGCTCTTATTTTTCCATACTATTTACACATCCCCTTGCGAACAGTGTTGCTTGGTACGACTTTTTTCAATGGAGCGCACTTTCTTTTGTTTAGAAAAAAACATGTTTTTTGAGGGGAAATTTTTGGTTCTTTACGGAAAAAAAGAGTTTTAGGAAAAAAAGAGGGGATTTCAATAAGATGAATATTGAAAACTTGAAACGATATTCAAAATTTGGTTTCAGAAAAAGCTTTTTTCAGAATTTTGAGCTCACTTGTGGTTAAATTTATGGAAAGTGAAAAAATATTTTTAGAGCCAAATTTTTTGTGAGTACTGTAGTGCAGGGGTACTGTAGTGCAGTTAAGGAGTACTGTAGTTCGGAGGTACAGTATATAAGAACGGTGCATTCTTGAAATTTTGAGTTTTCGAATTATAGAAAAAGATTTTCAGATTTCAGAGAAAAAGAAGAACAATTCCAAAAAAATTATAGCCAGATTTTCAGACAAGAACTGTAAATTTCAGAAAATTAAAGGCGCAGGTTCTCAAATTCAAAACACTTTCAGATTTCAGAAAAAAAATTTGAAAAAAATTATAGTCAAATTTTCAGACAAAAACTGTCAATTTCAGAAAATTAAAGAGACAGGTTTTCAAATTCAAAACACTTTTTCAGATTTCAGAAAAAAAATTTGAAAAAAATTATAGTCAAATTTTCAGACAAAAACTGTAAATTTCAGAAAATTAAAGACGCAGGTTCTCAAATTCAAAACACTTTCAGATTTCAGAAAAAAAAATTCAAAAAAAAATCGAAAAAAATTATAGTCAGATTTTTAGACAAGAACTGTAAATTTCAGAAAATTAAAGACGAAGGTTTTCATATTCAAAACACTTTCAGATTTCAGAAAAAAAAGATAATCTCAAAAAAAAATCTGATAGAAAAATCCATGTCCAAAAAAAAAACAATAAGGACGCCACAACAACAACACCAGAGGGGTCAACTGTCTGCACGCTCTTATTTTTCCATACTATTTACACATCCCCTTGCGCACATTGCCTATTAGTCCGACTTTTATCAATGGAGCGCAATTTCTTTTCTTTAGAAAAAAACATGTTTTTGAGGGGAAATTTTTGGTTATATAAGGAAAAAAGGGTTTTAAGAAAAAAAATACTGAATTTCAAAAAGATATTAAAAACTTGAAACGATGTTCAAAAATTTGGTTTCAGAAGTAGCTTTTTTCAGAATTTCGAGCTTGCGCTTAAATTTTATGAAAAGTGAAAATATCCAAATTTTTTGTGAGTGAACACTGTATTGCAGGGGTACTGTAGTGCAGTGGTACTGTAGTTCGGGAGTACAGTATATCAAAATTCTGGCAAAAAACTTGGGGGTACTGTAGTTCGTCATAAATTGATTTCACCGTTTAGGATTACTGTGTTTGGGTTACTGTAGTTCATGATTCTAAATTTTTTCTGATTTTTGTAGTTCGCTGACTCTATAGAGTAAGCGAACTATAGTTTCAGAAAAAAATCCACGTGGCAAAAAAAATTTTTTCGCCAGATCTTTGTTCTCTAATAGCCAAATTTTCCGAATAAGTTGCCTAGGAATCGCTCATTTTTCATTCGAAATACATTTTCATTTTTTACGAGCCACTATTTTTTTCCGTTTTTGGCGCTAGAAACTTCAAATTCAAAATTCTTATCAATTTTGTTTTGTTTGATTCATTGATGTGTGCACTAGGAAATTGAACTCCAAAATTATCGAAAAATGATAAGAAACTTTTTTCGTTTTCTGAATTTTTTTGTTCAAAAGTTTTCATATTTTCTCGTAAAACTATATAAGCCAAAAAATATATAAATATTTTATTTGCTTTGTATTTCAAATAAAAACGTTTGTAGTTTTTTTTTCTTGATAGGATTTTTTTTGTGAATGGATTTTTTCGGCGAAAAAATAATCAAGATTTAAATTTTGACCGCACCCCCATAATATTTCATTAGGTCATTCATTAATAGGTCAATATTTTTCCAATCACTCTCGATTTTTTTTGAAATGAAGAAAAACATGGGTTTCAGCATGTGGAATCGGTTAATTCCACCAATCCTTGTGATTTTAGTCATTTTTCTTTTTCTTCGATATTCCTATGATTCTGGTGAAAGTGTTCCAACTTATATTGTGAAGAGTTTGAATTTGTCGCCAATTTCGGCACCGAGGCAATATTTTGATTTTTATGAAGCTGAAAGGGATCGAGAGTTCAGAGGGAAGCAGGTGAGCAAAATTTGGAATATTGTAAGTGGATCCTTCGATTTGCAATTTCCAGCTCCCCATCCCCAAATCCGCCTACCTTCTCTCCGCCTTCGAATTTCCCAACGAGATATCGATTGTTCACATCAATCGAGACATCACTGGTGCCACTCTTTGGTGTCGATATTTTGACGAGAATTCGACTGAAGTTTCAGCTCCTCAAAAATCCTTCACCTTCCCAGTTTATCTGGTAAATTGTCCAAAAGTCGAGGGAACTCGAAAAGTTTCATTGAGTGTTTTCGAGAATTCGACGGATTTTGATTTTCCGATTCCGCTAGTGCCACGTGGCATGAAACATTATGTGGATGACAAATATGAGTTTTCAATGTGTATGTCACCAATTTATGGAAAAGAACCAAAATGGTTGTTGATTTCAGAGCTCATTGAGCACTATAAATTACAGGCAGGTGAAATTTGGCACCAAAAACTCATCAAAAATCTTTAGGGTGTAAGTCACTTCTACTTCTACGTCTATCAAATCGATCAATACAGTCGAGCGATGTTGGAGGACTATCAAAGAACCGGCGAGATTACTGTAGTGGATTTATTGGAGAAATACGATAGGGAATTGTTGCATTGGCAAATTGTGGCATTTAGGGTAACTTGTCTGAAATTTTTCACAACAAAAAAATAAGAGTTTGTAGGATTGTCAACTTCGCGCGAAATTCGAATCCCGATGGTTGCTTTTCAGTGATTTGGATGAGCGAATTATTATGACTGGGTATCCAGGAACAATTTTGAATTATTTGAGAGATTTGGAGAATCCAGATAGTATTGGGGCGGTTGTCTTTAGGCAGAGATGGATTTTGAAAACTGAAACTATGCCTGAAAAATATATCAATGATAGTCATGTGAGTGTTTTTTCTGAGAATCCCAAAAAATCCCCAAATCTTCCAGCTTCTCACCTGGCTTCCAACTCTTCGCTGGCACAATACCTCATCTGTAGGTCCACCAGGTCACACCGTAAAAACCATAGCTGATCCAAAAAAAGTCTACGAAGCCTGGACACATTATCCGGTGAAATATTATCCAGGACAACATCGCAGTATTGATGTGAAGCCGGAAGAGGGAATTGTTAGGTGGGGGATTTTTAAAACTTCAGAATATCTAGAAATCCAATTTTTCCAGACACTATCGCGATCAACAAATGTGGAATTGGGGTAAAACGTGGCTCAAAGATGTGCTCAAATTCGGACCGCTTTCTCTAACAAATTACTCGGAGATTTATCAGGGAAAATTGGTAGAGAATGTGCGAAAGCGGGTGGAAAATGTGTATCTCAATTATAAATTAAGACTGGAAAATTAGTTAATTAATTAATTACTATTAGGTTAGGTGATTTAACGGGTGGGATAAACAATTGTTTTTGGTCGTGATGTTGTGTAGATCTATTAATTTGATGGATCAAACATTGAACAAATAATGGTTTTTGTAAAACATGATTCTCTTTTTACATAAAAAAAACAAAAGAAACATATGTTATGACGTGGCAAATATTGGATTTTTAAAATTTTCAAGGATCTGGCTAGAATGTTAGTTGAGGCTAGATTCGATTGGAAAATCAGGCCTGATAGATCTTGCAAAATCAAACAAATATATCTTCTTCAATATAGTTTGGTGTTATTTATTTAATTTCATTTTTTGAATTTTTCACCTGAACAAACAAATACTGTAGAGAACATTAATTAATAAAAATTTGCCAATCTATGATCATTTTCAATTGTTGAACTCGCTAAACTGAACCGGATGCATTTTGGATCTTTTCGAAAACCAAAGGTATGTTGGAACTATGTACTTGAAATGACAGCTCAGAATCTTCAGGTTTTAAGTCGTTTAATCCCACTGACCTTCCTTCTTGTACTGACACCTTTGTATCTTCGATATTCCTATGACACCGAGAAAATTTATGTTATGAATAGTTTGAAGTTGGAGCCGAGATTGGCACCGAAAGATTATTTTGCGTTTTATCAAGCAGAAAGGGATCGGAGATTTGGGGAAGAAGAGGTTTGTTAATAAGATCTAGTGGAATTATAAATTATGATGAGATCTAGTGAAATTTCCAGCTTCCCATCCCAGACTCTGCCTACCTTCAATCCGCCTTCGAATTTCCCAACGAAATCTCGATTGTTCACACCAATCAAAACATCACCGGTGCCACTCTCTGGTGTCGATATTTTTCGGAAAACTCCACCGAAATTTCAGCTCCTCAGAAATCCTTCACATTCCCCAGTTATATGGTAAACTGCCCAAAAGTTGCCGGAACTCGAAAAGTTTCGTTGAGTGTTTTCGAGAATTCGACGGATTTCGATATTCCGATTCCACTTGTGCCACGTGGCATGGAAGATTATGTGGATGACAAATATGAGTTTTCAATGTGTATGTCACCAATTTATGGAAAAGAGCCAAAATGGTTGTTGATTTCAGAGCTCATTGAGCATTATAAATTACAGGTAGGTGTAATTTGACACAAAAAAAATCAATCAAAAATGTTTAGGGTGTCAGTCACTTCTATTTCTATGTTCATCTAATCGATCAATACAGTCGAGCAATTTTGGAGGAATATGAGAAAACTGGCGAGATTACTGTGGTGAATATTCTAGAAAAGTATGATCGGAGAGTCAAACATTTTCAAATTGTAGCATTCCGCGTGAGTTTGCATTGATTTTCGTGTCGAGAATCAGTTCCAGAATTTTGTAGGATTGTCAACTTCGCGCAAAATACGAGTCCCGTTGGTTACTTTTCAGTGATTTGGACGAGCGCGTTATTATTACTGGACATCAGGGAACAATTTTGAATTATTTGCGAGATTTGGAGAATCCAGATAGTATTGGAGCTGTGATTTTTAGGCAGCGATGGATTTTGAAAACTGAAACTATGCCGGAAAAATATATGAATGATAGTCATGTGAGTTTCAGAAAGAGATTGAAGAATTTCAAAGTTTCGAAACGTACATTTCTGCAAGATACTCGTATATTTAAAAAAATTCCTGAATCTTCCAGCTTCTCTCCTGGCTTCCAACTCTTCGCTGGCACAACACCTCATCTTTTGGCCCTCCAGGACACACCGTGAAAACGATAGCTGATCCGAAAAAAGTCTACGAAGCCTGGACACATCGGCCGAAGTTATATTATCCGGGAGAACATCGAGTTCATAACGTTACGCCAGAAGAGGGTTATGTTAGGTGAGTAAAAAAAGTTTTAAAAGTGGAGTCCGAGCAAAAATCAAGTTGTGCTCATTTAAAAGAGCGTGTTTCAATTAGTACAATCCACGAAGAATCCTAAACTTCTTGAAAACCAAGAATCATGATTGCTCTTTTCAAAGTTCCAACAAATTCTTTTCTCCCCCCAAATTTCCCAATCTTCTTTCAGACACTACCGCGATCAACAAATGTGGAATTGGGGCAGTAGATGGCTCAAAAACGTCGCCAAATTCGGGCCATTCTCCCAAACGTATTACCCCGAAAACCTGCAAGCAAAATTGATAGAAAACGTGCGGCGAAGAGTGCAAAATGTGTATCTGAATTATAATTTACGATTAGAAGATTTGGGTTATCTTGATTGATTTGCTAGATGTTTTATTTTTTTTTGGAAACCGGGTATTTTTCTGATAAATATGAAAAATAAAACAATAGAATGCACGGTTTATTAAAAATCGCCCACGAAACAATTTTTCGACAAAATCATATTTGTACAACTGTCTCTCCATAGCTACAGTTAGTCTCTTGATTTCCCCGCAACAGCAATAATGTCCTTCATAAAAATCCTTCTAGTGATATTTCCAATTACTTTTCTAGTATTTTTAATTCTTAGCAATGACGAGGAGAATACTTATAATTTAATGATGAAAAATTATAGTTTCAATAGAGATGTTGGAGCTAAAAATGAAAACGTTGCAGTAATAAAACCAGGGAATAAATGGATTGTGGTGACGAGTGTTAGCTTGCCAACAGATGATGTTAGGGTAAGATTATTTTCTCCCGAAGTTAGCCTAAGTCCAATGATTCAGCGACTCGCCTCATTTGATGATTGGAATCTAGTCGTTGTCGCCGACACCAAAACTCCCACCAATTGGCATCTTGAAAACACCCATTTCCTATCCATCGACTATCAAAAATCTCTAGATTTCCGAATCACATCTCAACCTCCTTTCAAATCCTACACTCGCAAAAACATCGGATACCTTTATGCGATTTCAAATGGTGCTGAGTGGATATATGACACTGACGATGATAATAAACCCTACGCTTTGGGCCTGAATCAATTCGATTATGAGCAGGAAATCAGTGGGTTACGCTATATTATCGATTTTCAATCATCAATGCTCGACAAACTCTTCAATCCCTATCGATTTTTTGGGATGGAGAGAATGTGGCCACGTGGATTCCCGTTGGAATACGTCAAGGAGCATACGAATGGGAAAGATCGACAGATTCTTTGCTCAAAAATGCAGACTTCGGCAGTTCAGCAGGGATTAGTTCATCATGATCCAGATGTGGATGCGATCTATCGATTATTGAATGCTAATTCGAAGACTGGATTAGATGTTGGGTTCAATAAATTTGCACCATCAATAACTTTGGATGTTGGAACTTATGCGCCTTGGAATTCGCAAAACACATTATTTCATAAATCTGCATTTCATATTTTGATGTTACCAACAACTGTGTCATTTCGAACAACCGATATTTGGCGATCATTTTTCGCGCAAAAAATTCTGCACCTATCCGGGCTTACTGTCTCATTTACCCCTGTAAATGCTGTGCAATTCAGAAATTCACACGATTTTCTGAAAGATTTCAAAGACGAGGAGCAAGTTTATAAAGATTCAGGGAAGATTCTTAGATTTCTAGATTCATGGAATTGCTCTTACGTGGAAATAGAAAACTGTATGCGAGAACTGGCTGAAGATTTTGTTGAAAATGGATTTTGGGGAGAAGATGATCGAGAATTGATTGATTTTTATATTGAGGATTTGAAAGGGATCAATTGGACCTTTCCAATGTTTTTGGATAAAATATCGATTTACAATGCAAATGAGAAAGAATTCAATGCAAATTGTCGACGAGCTCAATTCGAATTTGATTTGAGTTATCAGAACTCTCTAGCAAAAGCTTCTCAAAAACTGCAAAACTTTGGAGAACTTGCTGATTGGTGTGAAGAATCAAACTACACAAAGTTCACGAATTCTTATCCAACACCTCAAGAATTACAGGAAAATCATGAAAATAATTATGTCCTAGAGAAACATCTCAAAAATGTTCTTATAATTGTGAATAATTATCCATGGAGATTCGGAATTGGATACCTTCAGAAATTATATCAGCCCTATTTTGCGACAGTGGTTTTTTGTGGAACTTATTATCCCGAAGAATATCCGAAGACAAACCAGGGATTTCCGGAAACCCAGGAGCCTTTCAATTTTATTCATTTGAATCCAAATGAGATTCAGAAGGGATTTTTAGGTATCTGAAAATATCCCTCACAATCAGATGCAGAAATTTTCAGGCTATCACTGTTTGACACTATTACACGAAGTTGGTCTGCAAAATGTTGAGGGATACATTTTCATGGCTGATGATACGCATTTCAACATTTGGCAACGAATTGATTTTGGAAGAGTTTTCCATTTGACTGGAATGGCATGGATGAATTCGACAGAATGGTGGACTCATAAGGTTTATGGTTTTGTTTGCACAGCTATTTAGATCAATTCGTGATTTTCAAAAATAGACAACAATGGGATATTGTATTTTAAATAATGAAAAAAGAGTGTAGTTTGATCAGTGATTTCTTTTCACATAATGGGCCTATGCAGAATAATATTTTGTAATAAAAAACAAAATATACAGTTTATTATTTTTGAGTAGAGACAATGTGAAATTGAGAGAGTGCAGACAGACAAATTGATTTTTCGCACAAAAAATACAAAAAACTGTCTGCACTCTCTCAATTTCACATTGTCTCTACTCAAAAATAATAAACTGTATATTTTGTTTTTTCGACGTTTTTCTGCATTGAAAAAATATGTTTTTTATTACAAAATATTATTTATGCGCATAGGCCCATAAAACAAAATCATTTCCCACTTTTGAAAAAAAATCATCTATAGAATTTTTTTGCAAGTTTTGTTTGTTCAGATGTGGCAACAAAGAACATCAAATTTCAAAATTTTGCAGGAACTCCCGCTGCTCAACGAATCCTCGCCGAAATATCCAACACAACAGATCTCAAAAAACTGGAAACCTGGAAGAAGTTCGAAACCGGGCTCAAAACCTATGGCTTCATTTCTTCGAATCAAACCGCCGCTGATGATTTGCTCAATGGAAAAGGTCGAAGCATTTCCGATTTTTTCTATATCCCAAAATCCGAAATCTCATACTATTCCCAAATTATGCGAATCTTCTTTGAGAACAAATTGTTCCTCGAACTCGCCGTAAATCGATTTCTGAGATCTGTGATGCATCAAACGTGAGTTTCCTGGGGCGGTTCAATATGAGCAATGTTCAATTTCAGCTCAAGACATCGTGGCCTCTCATATCTTTGGGCTGACCGTAAAAATTGGTCAGAAAAATATAGTGTTGAGATGGTTGCGATGCATCCAATCAAGCTTAGCAAATTCAAAAATCCGAATGAGGATCGCAAAAAATATTGCTCAATAATTCTCCAACCCTGGCATCAGATTCTATTGGAGGATTCCAAAAATTTTACCGTAAAACTGGATGATGAACCAGATTATATGAATGGCTAATTTATTTGTGACAATTAATTAGAATGCACTATAAAATAATATCCAAATCCCGCCCTCGTGCTACATGTAGGAATAAAAAACTTACTTTTCCCATTAGAAATTATCGAAATCCTCGAATCGATCGGTTGGTTCCTCCCATTTTAATCGATTTTCTGAAGAAAATGAATAGATTTCGTTTTCACCAAAAAAAACCAACCTTTTTATGTAATCCACTTTGCCGGCTTTTGTTGGTGCATCATTTCCATCCATATAAACACTGAAAAAACATAAATTTTACATCGGAAACCAAAACGTTCAAAGCGAGAAAAAACGAAAAAATTTTTTTTCAAAAATATTGTGTGCAATTGTGCGTCGCCGTGTTTGCAGTTTGCTATTTGTAATTTTTTTTTCTTTTTCAGCGTTTTTCATGTTACAGCCGGTTTTACATAATAATTATGTGTTTTTTCAGTGTTTATTTGGATGGAAAAGATGAACCAACAAAAGCCGACACGGCGTCAACGTGGATTTAATAAAAAGGTTGGTTTTTTTCCGATGAAAACGAAATTCATTTATTTTCTTCAGAAAATCGAAAAATCGAGGATTTCGATAATTTCTAATAGGAAATGTAAGTTTTTTTTTTATTTCTGGGCTAATTTATTTGTGACAATTAGAATGAACAATAAAATAAAAATTGATTAGTTAGCAAATCAAAACCTTGTTCTTCTCTAGGGTTACACGTATTCATAGCATTTTCTCATTGTCAGATTCCTCATGTTATGCTATCTCAATACTCTTTTGTGTCGATTTCATATTACGCAATTCAAACTCCAATTTAGCAGCTTCCAATTCCATTGTGAGTTTTCTCTTGGCCTCAAGTTCCATCGTTATTTTACGCTCCATAATTTTGGTTCGTTTTGCTTCGCGGAAAAAGAATAATCCAGAAATCACACAAAGAATCGGAATACCAATTGTATAATGATAAATATTGAGCCACGGACTAATGAAGAAAATGGTGCAAGTGCCTAAAGATTGATAGATTTTCGATACCGAAAACGCTTGCGCTCTTCTAGATGGCATTGCGATAGCACAAATCATTGAGCGAACACTGCAGAAACAACAATCACTGATGCCACCAATCAAACCAACAATGAACACTAAGATTCGTGTTGGTTGACAGAAAAAGTGGTTCGAGTGTGGTTGGAGTTGTTGTTGCGTTGAATGGAGTGGTGAGAAGTGCGAGAAGACAATAAAGGATTGTTGAACAACAGCCAATCAGCATTGTTGGGCGGAGACCAAAGTCTTCGATTCGTTTGCTCATTGTTGAAATCACGAGACCCACTGAAAATTTGAAATTTATAGAATTGGGGTAGCTGCCAGATATTCTTGATCACTTTTTAAGAAAAAAAGTGATCGGGGCACTCATTTTCAGCAGTTTTACAATTTGTCTTATTTTTTTGACTATGGGCTTCACATATAATTATCAAAAATTACTCATTTATTATTTACACGCGTGGTGTAGTCGTGGAGAGCTCTGCCTACCAATCAGACACCTCTTTGTGGGTTCGAGTCCCACTGCTCGCTGTTTTACTTTCTCAATTCTAACTCACTCAATGTCTCGCCAAGCCCAACAGCAAAACAATAAATAGCCGGTAAATAAATCATCGCCGCATTATGCGCATTGAACATCAGCGAAGTCGGATAAACCGAAATCCAAAACGACGTATGAATACCGCAGAGCAGAAAAGACGGAGCAAGTCGGAACATTTTTGGTGACATCAACGCTTTTTTCATCAATCGGATGCCTTGCATAAATTCGACTCTCTTCTCGCTACTTTCAATACAATTTGACACATCTTTGGATGGAATCAAGATGAAAGTTATGACAGCGATCATCGAAATTGCAGCAAATGCAGAGAACAGGAGATAGCTGCAAAACTATTGATTTATTAGAGATGTCTTCTTCAAGAAAACCCACATTTCACCATCGCTGAAACTTCTTTGTGAACCAATCTCCACTCCAGTCGCAGTCAACGAAGTGATAACAGCCATAATAACCGCGCCAATCATCATACAACAACAACTAAGACCCCAAGACATTGAGACATTTGACCCAATAGTTTGACGGGTTGAATGGGAAGTCATATAATCACCGTTTCCCGTGTAATACAATGCGAATCCAATTCCCGACACCGCACTCGACAAATAGTAATAGTATGTATTGGTGAAGAAGAATCCGAAATGGAATGAGGTGAAACAAATGGCAGAGACAAGAAGAGTTGTTTTGGCACTGGTTGCGTAGAGGAAAGATGGTGAAATGAAACAGGCGAAAACGTAGGTGAGGTAGCAAACTGCTTGACTGGAAATTAGATTTTATTGTTAGATTCTGCGTCTCCAGTTTTGCTCTAGCTTCTCCACGACTTATCCAAACTCACCCATAATATCCCGAATGAATACTGATTGTCTCTGGTTCTCTTTCATGAATCGAATGAATAACTGATTCAAGAATGAAAGCTTGCGAATCATATCCAGTCATAATACAAAGCTGACCAAAACTGAGCATGAAAACGCATAGCAACTCGAATCTTCTTGTCGTCGCACCTTCTTCCATGATTTTTCCTCTTTTTGGGGGAATACAGTACCCGGTGCTCTTTGTTCGTTGCATTTTATACTGTGATGAACTTATGCAAATTCGAAATGATCATGCCAATCGGATTGATTGTACCGTAAAAAACGGGGGTTTCCCCAACAGCAGAGAACATGATTTTCGTCACGAAATTTTCCGGAATATTTTTCATCTGACGGTTTTTTATTGGGGGAAAAGGAAGTATTTCTAGTCGATCAAAAAGATGATTGAGTATTATTCAAATCAGCCAAAAATGTTGTCTGACTATGAAATTGGCGTTTTACCGGGCAAAGGCCATGGCTTTGAAATGGGGCCTCGGGCTCGGCCCGGTCGGCCCCAGGAACATGCCTGGTTTTACGCTATTGTATCTTCTTGAAAGTTCCACCTCCTTTTTGAAGCTGTAAACTATGTAAATTTCGGAAAAAAAATACTTTTTTGCCACGTCATCAATATCTCATCAAATAGAAGAATTATTGATTCGGAAATCACCAGATTTTCAGCATCCTTAGCGCAGTCGGGTAGGCGATGGACTATCACCCAATTTGTGTGCTCATTTTGGTGGGTTCGAATCCCACCGTAAACTATTTTCCTGTAATCAGATCTTTTGATTCTAACAAGGGAAGCGCATAAGGTCAGATTCTGAAATTTTGATGAAACATGTCGAAATTTTCCAAATCGACCATGCTGATCACGATCCCGAAGTCAAAAATTGCCACAAGTTCCTCTGAGCACTTTTCTTGAGCTCCAAAGTTTGAATTGATTTTCGGTTTTCGTCCATTTTCACCGTAAAGAAAATTAATTCAATTATTTCCGAATATCTTTCAACTCCTCTCTCGTACCGTCAAAGTACAGTATGCGGTTAAAAATACTCGTAATCCTTTGACTGGTTTTTGTTCACATTTATTTATCATGAAGAGAGAGAATAATGCATTTTGTTTGGTCTCTGAACATTCGAAATTGTTCTATGGCATGAATTTCGACATTTTTTTTTGGTATTTGTGGAGATTCAGCATCATAAGTACATTGAATAGAGAACTTTTTGAAGTTTTACAAAAAAATTTAGAAAACTTCATTCATAAATTATAAAAATCAGAAAACTCGATCAAATTGTTCTGATGAGTTTGAATAACATCTTCCATCATTCCAACAGCTTTTTCCAATGCCAAATCATGAATCCTCAATTTTTCCTCCTCTGTTCCCTGTGCCAAATTAGCAAATCTCAAAATTCCCGGCAAAACCATTGTGGTCAACAATGGAAACATCAATTGATAGCTTTTTCTCAGTTGCTCAAATGTGTACGGCACTTTTGCCCCAGCTTTTTCCACATTTTCAACAAATTCCTGATAATAAACTTCGAGCAAATGATTCAAATGTTTGCGGCGATTTTCAGCGGATAAAACGGTTATGAAAAATCGGCCCGAATCTTGGGCCGGTGCGCCGAAACATACAGCTTGCCAATCGATGATTGCACGGAGTTTTGTGGTTTCCTCGGTGAAGAGCAAATTTCCAGGCCACAAATCACCGTGAAGTAAAACTGGACGGAATCCTGAAAATTTTCTAGATAAATTCAGCAATCTACAGTAACCTAGACTCACCTAAAAAATCACAAATCCCGTGAAGTTTTGCAATATGTCCAGGGCTCATCAAAAATCGATAAATCTCAATCAATTTATCCACTTTGTCTCGATATTCTTCCGGAAAACTTTGCCTCAACATTTGATAAGAAGTTACGCGAAGTTTATCATCGCCGAATTCCGTCAAAATTTTTGCCAGAAATTCGGGTCCCGCCGCGAAATTCAATTCACTTTTAGTATCAAAAATCTCACCGAAACTCGAAAATTTCGCGATATTTTTGATGATTTTTTCAACTTCCAGGGGATCCAGCGATTCATAAATCGGCAAATTTTTGACATTTTCCACGTATTCCGAAATCAGAAAGGCTTTCAGTGGATTTTCAGCACTGAATTTTCGAGAACCATAGATTTTGATGAGAGGAATCGCATAAGCTTGTGGAGTTTTCGAGAAAAATCTATATGCTTCAACTTCTCGATTATGAAGATCTATGACAATTTTATCGAAAATTCTCAGTTTTTCCTCGGATAATCCATTTTCACCACCAAATTTTATCAATTTCGACATAGCGACGAAAGCTAATTGAGAACTGATTTTGATTACGAATTTTTCGGGAAGATTTTCAGATTCACATGTCCAATCTGGTTCGATAAGAGCAATTTTTGACATGAAACCCTGAAAAAAAAAGAATTTTAAACGTTTTTTTTTAAATATTTTAATTAGTTAATTAATTTGTTAAAAATTAATTACTCTAAACCCTTCCAAAACCAACCTTCATATCTCCAATATTCGTCGCTTTTTTATTTTCGCCAAACCTCGCTTGTGTTCCAAAACTTTGTCTAACTTCATCTTCAACATCTTCCCAAGTCACATGAGTTCCCAGAATACCAGCAGCTTCTTCGTGAAGTGACATTTTTGGGAAAAGTCAACAAGAAGAGAGAAAAATGATTTTTTTATTGAAAAAAAAAACTATTTCTTTGATCATTTCACAGTGTTGTGCAATCGAAAGATGACAATTTTGTTTGCGTTTTTTTTTCGCGAGATAAAAAGTGTAGACAGAGAGAGACTAGACTATAGTTTCGTTCAAAAAAACTATTTAGTTTGATTCTTGAAAAAATGCCCAAGTGTTCTCAGACTTGGCTTAGTTTTACTGTTTTCTAGTTTGGAGGAAAAATCGGGAAAATTCATTGAAAAACTGAAAAAAAAACACAAATTCAAACCACACGGGAAGTCGTCTAGACGCGTCTTGTTGTTTTCTTTTTATTTTTTTTTAAATTTTGCATGGAAAAAAAACTATCTGCGCAATCTGCATACACGGGTCCCCAATTCCTACCAAATGAAAACCTGACAGGCACGGGAAATTGAGATTTTTCAGATTCTGAATCACAAATGCGATTTTCAGAAAACTTCTGACCAGGAAATGTCTACTTATATTTCTAAAAAATAAATATTTCATTTTCCCCGGTTAATAATAATAAATAAGGCAACTCAAAAAACAACCAATAAATAAATAAGTAAATACATTTCAAAATTTAGCTATAAAGATTCTTCTTTTGATATCATATCACAAATATTGTTTACCCATTTCTTGTAAATCTGGTGGCAATAAAGCTCTGAAAATGAACATTAATTAATTTTTGGAGGTGAGAGAAGAAAAAGCTTACTTGTATAAATTATCAAACATTTTGAGAGCATTTGGAAGTGTGCTCGGGATGCATCGACATAGCCAAACATGGTGGAATTGGGAGCGGATTACCAAGAGTCTGCAAAAATTTGGGAATCTGGTTAGGCTCAAAAATGACCAAAAAATCCAAATATTTCCGAAATTTTCGGTCATGGCCGAGCTTAAAAACCGTAATTCCTAGGCCACAATGGGTCTACCCAACCATATTTGGACTCAAAAAAACGCACGTTTTCCTCCAGAAACCCTAAAACCACTCACACATTTGCCAAATCCGTTCTCGAAGCCGGTGCCATATTTACAACACCGGCTCGATTTGCTCGATGTCCAAAAATCGCCGACGGCACTCCTTCTTCCAGACTTCGTTTTCGGTCTACCGGATTATTGGCGTTGGCACAAATCGATTGACCGAGACGACTTACGAGAACCTGGAAAATTTTTAAATAAAAATTTCGTTAAAAAATCCACATTTTCAGCTTACCATCAAATCGGTAACCAATTTAATTTCGGACAACAAAAGTGACAATTCATAATCATATCTCATATGATGTCGAATCTCTTCCAAAGCCGCTGTAGCTCTTCTCAATTCAATTCTAGCCTTCTTGAAAACCACCGGTGTCAATCGTTCCATATTCATATTTTTCCGGATTCAGAATCATCTCGACAAACACGGAAATCGGCATTTTTTTGGAGAATGAATTGGATAGGAATGATTCATTTAGTGAGTCATTGGGCGAAATTGATGGTTTCCAATATCCGTACGCATATTTGGTCAGCTGATGTTCGACTTTTCCCAATGTCATGATTTGTTCGAAGAGACAAGACATGTCGCTGGAAAAAATTGGGTAATTTGGTGGAATTTGAGAAAATTTAGAAGAGGGTTGATACGTTTTGAAAAATATAAACATTTTTGATTGTTTTTTTTCGTAGTTTTCAGGATTTTTGAAAAGTTAACAGATTTTTCAGTCATTTTTAGCTCGAAATTTCAGGGTTTCAGAGATTTCTTCTGATTTTTCAAAGAGTTTTGTTTCAAAACTTGATTTCGGTTTTTTTTTGCAATTTCCAGATTTTCTTGAACAATTTTTGTTTGAAAATATCTTCGAGAAAACTGCAAAACAAAAATTAACCTCGAAATTTCAGGGTTTCAAAGATTTTTTCTGATTTTTCAAAAGGTTTTGTCTCAAAACTTGATTTCGGCTCATTTTTTTCAATTTCAAGATTTTCAAAGCTTGAACAATTTTTGCATGAGAATTTCATGAATTCCTTAATTTTCAGATTTTTTCGAGAAAGCTTAGGAATCTGGAAAACAAAAATTTAGCTCGAAATTTCAGGGTTTTCAGAGATTTCCTCTAAATTTTTCAAAAAGTGTTTTTTTTTAAATTTGATTTCAGCTATATTTTTCGTTTTTTTTTCAAAAAAGGTTTAGGATCATTTTTAGCGCAAAAACATCTCAAATTCTAGAAAGTTCGATAGATTTTAGCTGAAAAAATGTAGAATTCTCAAAATTCTTCATTTCTCGGCTTTTTTTCCAAAACATGTCAAATTTAGGTTCATTTTAACCACAAAATCCTCACCCATCCAACAACATATGATGCGCCGCAATATTCGGCAACAAAAACGCATATTTCTTGACATCAGTCGAACTATTGAAAGCCACTCCAACCGACGCCAAAAGTGACATATAAGAAAGCGATGGTGGCATCGATTCACATCCAGTCGACAAATCACAACTCATACTTCCCAAAACAGTGTGTCTTTCGGATAATTTTGCGGCGAGCAGAGCTTTTTTGGCCATCGATTCTGGAGCTGCGCATAGATATCCGTCATCGCCAGTTGAGAATTTGATGACGATTGAGATACGGGGTGAGATGTATTTTTCGATTTCAAATGGCCAAGTTCCTTCGACGCACAGGGTGACGAATGGTGGAAGGGTGGAGAGCTGCAAAATTGAGCAGATTTTTATGATTCGAATTTTTAGGTTTTAGTTTTTACTGCTGTGAATTTTTGATTAGAAAATCTTCAAAATTCAAAATTTGAACAATTTCCGAGACAAAATTTAATTAGTTTTTCGAGTTTTCCAGCCAAAAATGATGACAAATCAATATTTTTCAAGCTTCTGGAGTAATTTCTGATGAAAATAAGCTTCGAGAACCCTACTTTGCTTAATTTTCTTAATTTTTTAGAAATCCATCAAAATCTAATTTTTTTATTTTACGAAAAATCAGCAAAAACTTCTGAAAAGTGAATTCCAAGGTCAATTTTCATCAGAAATTACTCCAGAAGCTTAAAAAATCTCGATTTGTTATCATTTTTCGCTAAAAACTCAAAAAAAACTAATTTTTACCACAATGTTTTTCGACTTTTCGTGAATTGATCTTTCGATGTTAAAAAACATTTCTTTGGTTCCCGAATCAGCCCTTTTGAAAATTTGTCGATTTTTTGGTCAGAAAGTTTCCAATTCCCTTACCAATGGTCCATTTCGTTCATCCACATGTGTCGAGAGGAAAATGCGTGGAACTCGTCGTTGAATCGCAGTCAGGACTGAAAAAACAATGTTTTCAGGCTGAAAAATATCTGAAACTTTAGAAAACCCTCACATTTTCTATCAGCAATCAATAAACTCGCCAAATTCGGTCCAAAATGAACCACTTTACAAAGCGGAAAATCGTCCAAAAATTGATCGATAATAATTCGCGCATGTGCATTGTCCAAATTATTTGTCTGCGTATCGATGGATGGGACAAACTGCAAAATAAACTCTACAGTACTTCAAAAGCCTAAGTGTTCCAACAGACCGTAACAAAAAGTTCCTGACAAACTTGCATCATATGAAACAGATCTCGATTGGTATACGGTAATTGATATCGATCCGTCGTTCTCACTTCAAAATTCACAAATAAATAATTGGCTTTGCAGGCGCTGAGTCTCGTGGCGAGTTGAAGAACAGTATCCGGATTTAGAATGCGACATCCGGAAAAGTCTTGGTAAACTGCGCGGAATGCGCGGTCCGGTGAATCTCTGACTGTGAGCTCGGGAATTGTGCCATCCGTGTTGATGTCAGGCAACGTTTTGGCGAGATTTGGTGGGGTGTAATTCGAGGTGGCCGAGTCGCCAGAACCGTTGGTGTATTGTGAATGATGGGCGGGGGAAGGGTTTTGGGTTTTGTTGTAGGCGTATCTGAAAAAAAGGTCTGGTTAGCGTTGAAGGTGTTTCAGATTTTCAGAGGCTTGAAATAATTGAAAGTTCAAAGGTTTGGGTTCAGATTATTTTTCCAGACTTTTGGGCTGATTTTCAGCATCTTAAAATCATCAAAATGTTTTTTTATTTTTTTTTCAAAAAAAAATCACAAAAATCGTGGTTTCCAAAATAAAAAATTTTACGCTAATACAGATAAATTTACAGTTGATTTTTCAGTTTTTGACCTCTAAAAACTGAAATATGGGAACTGAAAAACTGAAAATCACAAACGAAATTTTTTTTTTACATTGAAAGATCAATTCACGAGTTTTTCAGCAAAAAATGATGACAAATCGAGGATTTTTCAGCTTCTGGAGTGATTTCTGATGAAAATTGACCCTGGAATCCACTTTTCAGAAGATTTTGCTCATTTTTCGGTGAAATTCGAAAAGTTTATAAAAAGAGGTAAAATAGGGTTCGCGAAGCTTATTTTCATCAAAAAACACTCCAGAAACTTCAAAAATATCGATTTGTCATCATTTTCGGCTGAAAAACTCGAAAAACCAATTTTGACCAATAATGTTTTTTCAACATTTTTCGACGTTCAGGCCTTTTTAGACTTTTCCATTCTCGGTCTAGATTTAAAATTAGTTTTCAGGCTGTTTTTCAGCATCTAAAAATCGTCAAAAATTATTTTTTCTGAAAGTTTTCAGAAAATTCCGAATCATACCAAATGTTCTAGTCTTTCTCTCGCAAATTCCAACCCCAACCCCCCAAAATTCTCACTTATGAAGTCTCACAATCTGCACAAAAGTCGTAAAAGCATATCGTATTCCAACATAATCCGATCCAACCACCTCAATCCCCCTAGTCGAATCAATATTCAATGTATAACTTCCAGAAGTTCTACCATCTTCAAATATTCCACAAGTCACTTTTCCTTCAACCGTCGATATTTCATGATCAGCTGTTCGATGTCCTCGATATTCGATATCAACTCCAACCGATTGTAGAAGAGTTTTGCTGAGTTCAATGATTTGCATAATCTGTCGTGGATCGGCGTTTGAGCAATCATCAAAGTAAATCTTGAGTTTTCCATCTTTTGGAAACTGGAATGATTTGCTCGAATTTGTGATTGACACTAATTTCGGTTGAGGCCAAAGAAGATCTGTCCAACTATCGATACTTCCATCCATATATTTTTCATATCGATTGCTGAAAAACCGAAGATTTTCTGGAACATTCTCACCCAAAAACTCTTACGTATCCGCAAAAATCTGTGTATTCAGCGTTTCTGTACACGAAATCAATGATGCTCGATCATCCACATCATCCACATTATTATTGTTTGCCCTCTCATTATTCTGCACATTTTTCGCCACCAAATCAATACTCAAAACCGCCAGCATCGATGAATTGAACTTCTCCGCAATCCCAAAAGCATCTAATCCAGCATTCGTCGAGATGTTCGGGTTCGCACCATGTGCCAATAGAATTTTTGTGATCTCTTGATGCCCTCTTTTGACTGTGGTGTGAAGAGCAGTTTCACCTTTGGCGTTGGCCAAATCAATGGTGGCTGAGTTGGTGAGAAGAGCTTGGATGACTTCGGGGGTCGAGAATTCGGCAGCCCAGTTGAGAAGCGAGTTTTTGGTTTGGGGAGTGTCGAAGGAATCAACAGGGACGCCGGCGTAGAGAAGTTGGTAGACACGGTTGACGCTGGAAAATTGAGAGGTTTTGGGGATTTTTTTTAGAGGAGAAGAAGCTGGGTTGGAAATTAGAACAGGACTGATTCACGAACAAAAAAACATTGTAGCGCAAAATTAATTTTTCAAGTTTTTCAGCCAAAAATGATGACAAATAAATATTTTTTAAGCTTCTGGAGTCGATATCAATTACCGTATACCAATCGAGATCTGTTTCATATGATGCAAGTTTGTCAGGAACTTTTTGTTACGGTCTGTTGGAACACTTAGGCTTTTGAAGTACTGTAGAGTTTATTTTGCAGTTTGTCCCATCCATCGATACGCAGACAAATAATTTGGACAATGCACATGCGCGAATTATTATCGATCAATTTTTGGACGATTTTCCGCTTTGTAAAGTGGTTCATTTTGGACCGAATTTGGCGAGTTTATTGATTGCTGATAGAAAATGTGAGGGTTTTCTAAAGTTTCAGATATTTTTCAGCCTGAAAACATTGTTTTTTCAGTCCTGACTGCGATTCAACGACGAGTTCCACGCATTTTCCTCTCGACACATGTGGATGAACGAAATGGACCATTGGTAAGGGAATTGGAAACTTTCTGACCAAAAAATCGACAAATTTTCAAAAAGGCTGATTCGGGAACCAAAGAAATGTTTTTTAACATCGAAAGATCAATTCACGAAAAGTCGAAAAACATTGTGGTAAAAATTAGTTTTTTTTGAGTTTTTAGCGAAAAATGATAACAAATCGAGATTTTTTAAGCTTCTGGAGTAATTTCTGATGAAAATTGACCTTGGAATTCACTTTTCAGAAGTTTTTGCTGATTTTTCGTGATGAAATTCGAAAAAAATTAATAAAATGAGGTGAAATAGGGTTCTCGAATCTCATTTTCATCAGAAATCAATCCAGAAGCTTAAAAATATCGATTTGTCATCATTTTTGGCTGAAAAAACTCGAAAGCCTGGAGGTATTTTCAGACTTTCAGAAGGAGAAGCTGTGTTGGAAATTTTTTGAATAAATTCAGATTTCATTGAATTTTTTCTGATTTAAAATTACTTGGGGTGATTCAAGTCAAAAAAAAAAAATAGAAAAACATTTTTTTTACAAAAATTTCGTTTTTGAAATTACATTTGTAATTTGTCTTCTTCTTTCTGACGGTGTTCTTCCAATGTCGTAAATAAATTATTAAAAAATTATTATTACTTCGAATCATCGTTTTTGATCTTCAAAAATAATTTGAATTTGAAATTTTCAAAGTTTTGGCGGGAAAATCTATACCTTAAAGCTTTTAGGTACTTAAGGATTTTTCCTCTTTTTGTGTTTCAGTTTCAATTTAATCTTCCAAAGGAATCTCTACGAAATTGTATTAATTGATGAATAAAACAACCGTTTCCAGATGAATATCTTCTATGCATTGTAAAAAAATTGAAAAATAATTGGTTACGAAGTTTTTTTCAAGATTTTATTTTTTTTTTCTCTAGTCAGAAAAATCTAATAAGTATTTATTAGTTAGTCTAACTACTTTTTAAGAGGTCTTAATAAAAAAATCACTGAAAAACAATCGCTTTGGCCACAAAATATGCGTATGAATTTCCATTTTTCGCAAAAGTCCAGGAGAAAAGATCGTGCTTTAATCTTGGCCCGATAAAATCTCTCTTCAGCAGCAAAAAAACTCGCTAGAAAAAAGACATCGTAGAATATTCTCTATTCAGTTCCGAAATCAAACTACGACGAAAATGAAAAAAATCTGCTATTGTCTTTTGGTCTCAATACTCTTCTATATTTTTCTAGATTTTCTTCTGAGCTCTTCATATGAGCAATGGTTCAAAATATCCGAAGATCCCAGATATTTCCATTATTTCCTAGAGAAAGAGGGTAGATTTTTGAATTGCGATGATTTTTCGAATGAATCGGGAATCTCGGAATATGTGAAAAACGGAAGACTTCGGCTAAGTCCGGAGAAAATGTTGGGAATTTCAATGGATTGTGAAAATTTGAAAGCGAGGATTCAAGGAAAGGGAGATTTCAGAGTCTTGGATAGACCTATGGCGTTTGTCAGGAATATTAACACGGTATGTTGTTTTGAACCTCCTACCTTCAAAAAATCTCCGATGTTCCAGCTCTACGAACTTCAGGAAATGTTCCTATTTCTAAACTACCATCCAGACAACACCTATTGCTTTTCAATCGACGAAAAATCATCTGAACTCTACGAAAAGATCGAGAAACTCTCAAATTGTTTCCCCGAAAACATATTCATCAATTCAAACACCTATGACTTCGATTCAGCTGGAAACTTTCAAGATGAAGCTCATTTAAAATGCTTGGAGCTAATAATGGATAGAAATTGGTATCATGCTGCACTTCTACAGAATAATGACATGATTATAAAATCCACCGAACAATTATCGAATTTAAGTGAGATGCTGAATTATACGAGTTTGATGGGGTTGGAATTTCCGAATTATAAAAGGTTTAGAAAATCGCCGACGAACTGGACACCAAAAATATTACATTTATTTAAAAATGGTGAGTTTTTGGAAGAAACTTTTTCCTAACTTTTGTTTTTTGAATTTCTAGAATCCGGCGTGCCTCTCGAAGTCCTTAAGAAACCATTAAAACTGCGAAAATCAAAGAACCAATTAATCGTTTCGAAAACCTTTATCAAATCAATTTTCAAAAATCTTGACCTAACCGATCTTTTAGAAATGATAAAAAATCAGACAAATTCCGAAGTTGACGAGATTCTTTTTCCAACTTTATATTCAAATTATTTGGGTCTAAAAGGTCAAATGGTTTCGAAATGTGTAGATTCCTATGTGGACACAGTAACAGATGAAAAATGCGGAGCAAAATTAAGTGAACAAGGGAGTTGTATAGTTGGAGTTGAGCATTTAGCGGAACTTGGCAGCGCCAACAATGTTCTAGGTGAGATTTCGATTTTCAAAAAAAAAAACAAACAAAATTATTTTTGTAGTATCAAAAGTGCTGGAAAACTTCGATCTTGCTCCAGTGATTTGCATGAGAAAAATGATAGAAGATGAGAAAACTACGCAAATTGAAGAGCCCGCTTTGCACGATTTTCCACAATATCGAGAAATGGTTTTGAAACGGGTTAGAGCTTTTGACAAGGAGAGCTTCAAGTGTTGACGGGTTTTTTGAATAGAGGAAATAAATAATGATTTTTGGATACCTTACCTATTTACGTTTGTGAAAAAAATAATAGAGTCACTTGGAGCAATTTTAAAAACAAGAAATGATGAAAAATTTCACGTGGAATAATTATTTTCAAAAAAAATTTCGAAATTTCCACGTGAAGATGACCCCTTTCTCTTTGTCATTTCTCAAAATGGAAAAAGTCGAGATCTCAACGATCAAAACATTCGCCCAACGTCGTCGTCAACTTCCACTTCACACCCAATCGCAAATGTCAAGCGGACCAGGCAATCAAGTCACCGCCTTCTATCCGCCACCCAAAAACGCTGAAGACGAAGACGATAACTTACTCTGAAAATGTGATGGCTTGCAATGCTTCTCGAATAAACGCTCCTTTCACCGAATCCGATTTGCATAGCATAAATGGTGTTTTATTTTGATTGTTTTGCACACATGGGTTGACTCCGTTTGTTAGAAGAGCTGAGACAGCGTCTGCGGAATCTAATTGAACTGCACGATGTAACACTGTTCCATCTTCACAGCAAATCGCGTTCGCTTTCTCAGCCAAATTCAAAGATGGAGCTGAAAATCAAATTTTTCCATGTTCCCCACAAATTTTTAACAAAAAACTCACAACTATCCTTCAAAATCGAGCACAATATATCAACCCTTCCTTCTTCCACACTTTTCAGCAGCATTTGCGTGACATCCTCCTTCGCATCCGTCATTTTCCGGTGGAAAACGGAAAAACCACGAAAAATTCCACGTTTTCGGTGGCTGGCTGGCGGACTAGAAAACCAAACGGAATTTGCGGAGTCTCGTTGTTTTTTAGGCTTTTTTATTTTTGTTTTTTCGCGTTCCTCGAGCTAAAACTAGGTTTTCCTAGAGTGTTCGTTATGCGGGTGGTATTACAGCGTGTTACGCAAGCTGCGGTTACCGTTGGTGATGAAGTGGTGAGTCAAAAAATCGATATTCTTGAGTAAAATGTAAATTTAGGTTTATCTAGGTTGGTTCGATAGGAAAAGGAGTTTGTGTGTTGGTGGGAATTCACCAAAATGACACGGAAGAAGACCTCAAATATTGCGTGCGAAAAATTCTGAATCTACGAATCTTCCCCGCTTCCGAAGAGAAACCTTGGGATAAATCAGTGCTAGATCTGGATTTGGAAGTATTGTCAGTTAGTCAATTCACATTATATGGGCAGTTCAAGGGGAATAAGCTGGATTTTCATAATGCGATGAGCCCCAAAGACGCCTCAATTTTCTATGACAAATTCTTGAATGGATTGCGGGCGGCTCACAAGGCAGATCGAATTCAGGATGGAAGATTCGGCGCAATGATGAAGGTGGATATAACAAATGATGGACCAGTAACAGTGACTTTTGATAGTAAAGATAAATAGATTATTGATTCTGTTTTTTTTCTGTATTCGGTCTTGAAAACCGTGAAAATATCTGAAATTTATTTTTTTTCATTATAATTTTCCATAAATAAACCAGGTCGAAGATGACTTTCCAACAATTGCAAGAAAACCTTCACGAAGCCATCGAGGGTGTCAATCGATATAACCCGGAAAATGTCGGCGATTTGGCGGCTTGTGTTCAAGCGATGATTAATGAGAATAAATATGATAAGGATATTGTGCTCACCATTTTGAAGCTCTATCAATTGAACCCAGACAAGTAAGATTTATCCTGATTTCGAAGCCTAAACTGTGATTTTGTTCAGATACGATGAATCAATTGTGCGCCAAGTCCTCCTGAAAACCCTAATGGTTTTGCCATCTTCAGATTTCGCGCTAGCCAAATGTTTGATTGACACAAATCGCTTAGGATCACAGGAGCTTCGCCGAGTTTTTGACCTTGGCGCAGTTTTGGAATCGTGTGATTTTGCGGTTTTCTGGAAATTGATGAAGGGAACTTATAAACCAACAACTAATCCGAATGAACCATTCAAGGTTCCACAGGAGGTGGCGAAAATTGTGAAATCGGTTGTTGGATTTGAGGATGCGGTTAAACATTGTAGGTTTTTTTTTGATAATGAAAATCTAAAATTTGAAAGTCTGGGTCACGCTAGGATTCAAAAAAAATGTTTTTTTTTCCAGACGCTTGCCGTGTGATCAGCGTAACCTATCAAAACATCGAAAAATCGCTACTAAGCCGTTTGCTCGGCGGCGCCGACGATAAAGAAGTCCTCGAACTCGCCAAAAAATTCGGATGGGAATCGAAAGAAAACGGAAATGTGTTCTTTGTCGCCAATCACGACATCACCATCAAAACTCGAAATATCGACGAGAAGATCCAATTTCAACATGTCGCCGAACTTTTGGCCTCTTGTAGAGGACCTATTTAATTCCATGTTTGGTGATGTTTTTTGTATTTGGAAGATCTGTTTTTGTTTTGGTTCCGGATGAGTTTTTAATATATATTTATACCCGTTTTTCTCTCTGTGAAAATCAAAAAAAAATTGCTCAAGTTTGGATAACTTTTAGTTGATCAGGCGCCCGAACCACCCATTCCGGCCAACCGCCAAAATAGATTTTGGCCGAATATCCCGATTTTTGCAGCGCCCACCAAACCATTGAACTTCGCAATGAGGTTGAGCAATAGACGATCTGTAAATTTCAAATTTCAGGCTCAAAAAAGCCTATAGGGGGAAATACCACTGGTTTTCGTAGGGATAATGCATTGTTGTTGAAGAGACCGCGCAAATGATCGGCGTCTTTCCATTGAGCAATTGACCAGTCGTAGACCTGGAAGAGGATGGAAGATTAGGTCATGGCCTAAAAATCTAGGGGATTTTTTGGATGAAAACCCTGGAATTCGTAAATTTCAAGTTATTTTCAATGATGGCCTGGAAAACCAAATTAGAAAACCCAGACTAAGCTGAAATTTAGAGAAGTTTTAACCAAAACACAAAATGCTTAGGTCTTGGCCTAGAAAACCAAATTTCAAGAAAAACTAGGTCACAACCCAAAAACGGGGAAATTAGGGATTTTTGAAGTTGTGAGCCTGGAATTTCTGAATTCCAAGTAAATTTCAAATTTCGGAAAATATTTGGTCATGGCCTAGAAAACCGAATTTTAATTTTCTTAGAGAAAAACTAGGCCAAGATGGAATTTTGAGTAGTTTTAGCCACGAAATTTCGAAATGCACCAATTGCATGATGGCCTAGAAAACCATTTTTTATAGAAAAGTTAGGCCACCATCCAAAAATTGTCGAAATTCAGATATTTTTTTGATTTTCAGAGCTCTGGCTTCGGTTAGCAAATACTCAATCATTTCAGAGTGGAAAATCGGATTCTTTTTAAAAAATTAGGCAAATTCTCAAATACTTTTCCAGAAATTCCAGCTCCAACTCACCGCATCCACCGGAATATTCCTTGCCGATTTAATATGTCCATACAACGCTCCTTGCACATTTCCCAAGAACTCGTCTTTCGTCTGCGCATCCACCACATCGAATTGCTCAATCTCCGAATTTAGCAACACATCGTCATACGTAATGATGATCGAATCATTCCAGCTCGCGAGAAAATCTCCCTGCCTTGGCGATTTTCCAGCGTTGCCAATCTCGGTTTTGTATTGCGAACTTCTCGCCTGATGCGTCTTCCATCCCAAATATCCGCCAGCTAGTAGCGAGACTTTTTGATGGCCGAAAAGCTGCAAGATGGTGTTTGCACACTTTCATCTGGCCTACCGCAGTACGGTAACCGTACGCACCTTAAAAATCCACACCGTATACGTGCTCCAAATCATTTGCCCACGATCGTAGACTATGACGTGGCAATCATTATCGATCCCCTGAGAACGTGCAAATCTTTGGAATTGCAGGGGATGAACTGGGACACCGGCATGACTCAGGTTAGAGTGAAAAATGAGGCGAGCCGATTCGATGTGATCGTTGTTGAAGGCTTCTCTGGAAAATACAGGGGGTTGGTCTCGAAGCGAAATACTACAGTACCTGCTGTTCTGCTCATCGCCACTCCCAGCCTCCAAAATACAAATCTTCCGCTTGGTAATCAAAAGTGTTAGCAAATGATTCGGACTGATTTCCATATCTTGTCGAATGATTTTTGAGAATTCAGATGGTCTTGGCTGGAAAAAAATTGAGTTCAGAATTTATGATCCGAAAATCTTGCTGAAGAACTCACCAATCCAAAAGTGTCCTTCTGAAATCCTTGACTGGGTTTCAGAAAAATAAAAAATGCCGCAATTGTCCCGAAAATAATGATAGTTAGCAGAGTGACGACTGCCGAAATACACGCAATTTTCCATTTTTTCGAAGTTGTCTGAAAATTCGGTTTTTCAGAGTAGGAATCCATAAAACTCGTGGATTTCAGCTCGATTTGATGCATTCAGGAAGTGTTTTTTTTTGAAAATGAATTTGTGAAATCAGAAAAACCCTTGAAAAATATGTCAAGTTTTTTGGGGCGATTGAATCATCACATTTTTTATAATACGGTAATAAATCAAAAGATTATGGTTTTTTTGTTTAAAAAATTTGGAAAATGTCAGAAAAAACTGGATGTTTTTTTTATGTAACCCCGAAGAAATGTGATAAGGATTGGGATTTTTTGTAAATAGATCAAAATATTTTTGAAAAATTCTATAGAAAATCCACGTGGCAAACAAAAGCCACGTGAAAGTGTTCAGAAGCAAAGACACGTGGAAATCAGTTTTTGTATGTAGGCAAAATTTTAAAAGAAGATTCAGGATTAATTTTTAAATTTTCAGAATTTTCAGAGCTCAGAAGCCATGGCGTGGCAAAATCCAAAATGGAAACGGTCAAGTTGATGCTAATGGGAAGGTTTGTTCAGATAACCCACTAACTCCGGACCAATTCCATGAAAGCCATAATTTTCATTTTCCCTCATATACCCCTATCAAATCTAGCAGCCGACATTTCACTGGTAAAACGCGAAAAATAGTATTGCGAAATATTTTACAAGGGAAGTGCATAGGGTTAGGTGTTGAACTTTTGATGAAACGTTCAAAATAAACCAAATCGACCATGCTGATCACGATTCCGAAGTCAAAAATTGCCACAAATGCCTGTGAGCACTTTTCTGGAGCTCCAAAGTTAGAATTGAGTTTTGGTTTCTGCCCATTTTTACCCTGTTTCTGGGTGGAAAATAAATTTTTATAACATGAATAAGTTCACCACATTCGAAAACATATCCGCTTTTCAGTTCTTCGAAAAATTTGAAAAACCAGGTCAAAACTGTAATTTTCGAAAATGCACGAAAAACTTTGAAAAACGTGTGTATTTACGTGTGATTGTGTGTATTTTCTTTTTTTTTTTTCTTAAAAGTTGCAGTTTTCAGCTGGTTTTTCATATTTTTCGAAGAACTGAAAAGCGGACATGTTTTCGAATGTGGTGAACAACCTTATTCATGTTATAAAAATTTATTTTCCACCCAGAAACAGGGTGAAAATGGGCAGAAACCAAAACTCAATTCTAACTTTGGAGCTCCAGAAAAGTGCTCACAGGCATTTGTGGCAATTTTTGACTTCGGAATCGTGATCAGCATGGTCGATTTGGTTTATTTTGAACGTTTCATAAAAAGTTCAACACCTAACCCTATGCACTTCCCTTGTTAGTTTGTTTTTTTTCACAGAGATGAAAATCCACGTGGATTTTTGGAGCTTTTGAACTTCAGAATCAGAATAAGCTTTCACACATCTTGAAATTTCAGAAATCTAAATCCACGTTGATGTTTGGTCTACTCCAAAAATTTTAGAACAATTCCTAGAAACCACGTGAATTTTCGGTTTCAAAAAAACTTTCGAGCTCCAAAATCCCAGAAAACTAACAGAATTATTTTTCAGTAGAAAAATTTCAAGACGAAAAACTGTCAATTCCAGTGTTCCAAATTGCAGACTCAAAAATCCACGTGGAAATTAATTTCATAAAAAGTTCCAAGAACTTCTCCCCAGACCAGGCTTGTGCGGAAACGGAAAACGCGTTTTCCGATTTTCCGACTTTTGGGAAAATTTCGGAAAAAATACGAGTCGGAAAATTTTCCGGCCTAAAAATTCGGAAAACTTTTGGTCGGAAAATTTTTTCGACGAATATTTTCGGAAAAAATTATTTTCCGAAAATTTTCCGAGACTAATAATTTTCCGAAAAAGTGAAAAAATAGGTGATTTTCAGGAATTTTTTGCTAATTTTATCAAAAAATAATTTTGGTAATTGTGAAAAATATAGGAATTTGTTAGTAATATTTAACTAAAGTGACAAAATATTGTGAAAACTGCCGAATTTGTTGAAACTACTTCAAAACAACTCAAAAACCAACAAATAAGCCTATTATTTCTTCATTGAAATTTTTTCCGAAATTTTCCGATTTTCCGAAAAATTGAGTCGGAAAAAACAGTCGGAAAACTTTTTTCCGAAAATAAAAAGTCGGAAAATAACTTCGGAAAACTTTTTCCGACCGGATGGTTTCGGAAAAATACGGTTTTCCGAAATTTTCCGAAAACCTATTTTCCGCACAAGCCTGCCCCAGACCTCCCAAAAAACCCACACTCTTCTGATTATGTATCGCAATATGAGTCGGCGTCATTGGCGGTGGAATTTGTGGTGGCGGTGTGACCAACTTCGGAACAATCTTCGTCGGTCTTCGAGTCCTTCCCAACTCATCGTAAAAATAATCGGGATCCTCGTACTCCTTCTGCCCATAAATCCCATAATTCTCCCGCAATTCCTCTACAGTATTATACACCTCTTCGCGTCGGGACCCATATTTATTTTGCTCTTTGGATGTGGGTGGATTTTTGACACCAATCGCCCATTTATTCATATTTTCTGTGAGGCAAAATATTAGGGTCAAAGCAAAAACTTGAGAAAAAATAAAAATAAAAATAATCTCAAAAAATCTAATCGCATTTCGTCTCGTAGCCAACAAAAAATGTTCCAAGGACACAAGAAAGAGACAGATTTTACCTACTTTTTCATGTTTATCAGGCGCGCCGCGCCAACAAAAACATTGCGAAAAGGAGAAATTAGAAAAAAGAGGAGACTTGACCCGAAATCTATCTATTGTTTTATGTACAATTTTCTCGGTTGAGTCATTTGAAAAAAAAAAAGATTTATAAATTTATGTGTTGGGTTTTCATGGGGGTACGGTAACAAACTTGGAGTAGATCACAAAAATAACTGTGTTCATTTTTGAAAGAATATCAATCTTAGGGTAGTTTTAGGGTACTGTAATGTTAGTAAGAGACTACTGTAGGAACTGAAAAACACTGTGAAAATCTAGAGGTAGAAGCCTGGGCTATAAAATTTTTTTAAATGAAAACTAGGGGCGGTGCCCCTAGGCGAAACAGTTAGACAAATCCTCAAAAATTCCAAATTTCAAAGAAAAATCATATTTTCGCATATTTTTGAAATGATCATTTATAAATTAAAGAAATAAACAGGTTTTCACGTAGGCATTCGTGGTCAAGTGGTACGTGACTTTGCCTTCGAATCTAAGCATTTTTGACAGGTTCGATTCCCAGTCGAAGCATTTTCCTATATCCGCTAGGTATGATTTTTAAAATTTCTGAAGAAATTGTGAAAAAAATTGTGAAAAAATGTGCGAAAAAATTTATAATCAGAATGCATACCTACGGGATTTTATAAAGAGGTTAATTTCAAAAATACGGTTGTTTGGGATACTGTAGTTCATGAATTAGAGAAAAAAAAACTGACCTCAAAAATTGTTTTTATTTTTAGAAAAAAATTCTGACCTCAAAATTGTTGTGTTTATATTTTTTCAGATAAGATCTGAGTTTGTTTGTTTTGGAATTTTTTTTAAAATTTCATGACTACTGTAGTTTTGAACTACAGTAGCCTCATTATAGAAGCCAAAAGAAATTTTTCTAGATGCAAAAAATAGTTCAAAAGTTCCCAAAAAACAGAAATCTCACGAAAAAAAAATGATATAAACTTGATCTGGCCATGGCTATTCGACTGGAACGCGTCCTGGGGGAGGAGATTTTTCAATAAAAGTACAAATCTATTTTTTTTTATCAATGTTCGTTCCTCAAAAGATTTATGATTACATGAAAATTGTACAAAAAAATATTTTTGTACGAAACAAAAAAAGTTTATAAGAAATCCCTGTTTCTGAATCTAAAAATCAACAGGACTCGGATAATCTCTCTGCTTCAGGAAATTATAGAACATCTGTTGTGTAATCAGCAAAATCACTGGAGGAAATTCAATTTGAATATTCTCGCGATAAGATAATTTTTAGGAAAATTCACGTTGCGTTTTAAATTTTCCAATACCAATTTTTTATCTACGATGCGAGATTTTCAAAAAATTCAAAATTATCTTGAAATAAAAATTCTTGTGTCACGTGAGTAAAAACGTGGAAATTCGCAAAAAAAAAATCCAAAAAGGAATCAGTCAAGTTGATGCTAATGGGAAGGTTTGTTCAGATAACCCACTAACTCCGGACCAATTCCATGAAAACCATAATTTTCGTATTCCAATATATACCCCTATCAAATCTAGTGGCCGACATTTCACTGGTAAAAAGCGAAAAATAGTATTGCGAAATCTTTACTGTTTGTTTTGATTGCGCAATAACTTATTTTACCAGTGAAATGTCGGCTGCTAGATTTGATAGGGGTATATATTGGAAAATGAAAATTGTGGTTTTCATGGAATTGGTCCGGAGTTAGTGGGTTATCTGAACAAACCTTCCCATTGGCATCAACTCGACCGTTCCTTTTTGGATTTTGTCACGTCATAGGCCATGAAGACATTATGAATCCGAATAGGTTAGAAAAATTCAATACATTTTGAAACGTATATTTTCGGGTAGTTTGAACAATTCTCACAACAATATAAAAATATGAAAAAATTTGAGATCAAATGTACATATTTTCCTGGCAACTTATTGTAAATCACACCTAAAATTATATTTATCATAAGTTCCATTCTTCTTCATTTCCATCTCTCGAAATTGCGGATATGTTCGAAGCTCCACCTTGGAAATCCAATTTTCCCTGATCTCCTTCTTTTGATAAACCTGATTCATACAAAAAAGTGGAGCTAAATCGAAATTCTCCAGGATTTTATTAGCTATCACGAATTTAGATTCCACAAAATCTGCCAAATATTCCACACCAATCATACAAATATAATGCCTTGATAGTCTTGATCTACACTTCGATGTTATCCAAGATCTATCCCATTCCACAAATCTCACCAAGTTTTCTACAGTATTATTGCAATTTGAAGTTGGTTGAGAATCTAGGCCAAGATTATTTCGATATAATGTTTGAACTAACATCTCATCAACTCCATAGATCTTCAAAAAACAATAATTATTTTTTATGAGAAGAAAAATTACATTTTTCTGATCGAATAAATTCATAATTCCCTCCAAGTTCAATTTCTCAAAAATCCATTTCGCAAAATTTCTCGATAAGATATTTTGATTGAAATTTTTCCAAATTCTAAGCGGTTTGTGTAAAATATCCAATGGAACTTGAGATTCTAAATTCATGGTTGATAGGTTTTTTTAAAACAATAATTTACCATTTTTGAAAAGTTTCAAGCCAGCGGGAGTCCAATCTGCATCATGAATATATCGATTTTCAGGAGGATTTCGGAAAGATATCATACTTGTGTAATTCAGAAGATGACTGAGTTCAGCTAACTCTTCTACAGATTTTAAAACCAGGTCATTATTTTGCAAAAACATCACATGATCCCATTTTCTATCCAAAATCAATTCCAAGCATTTAAAATTTGCTCGATCTTGAAAATGTCCAGCAGAATCGAAGTCGTATTTCACGGGATTCAGAATAATATTTGGCAAACATCTAGACAATTTCTGAAGTTTCTCAAAAATTCCAGTTTTTGATTTACTGTCCACAGAATAACAATACGTGTTTGAAGGATGATAAATTGAGGAGAGCAACATTTCTTGGAATTCGTAAGTCTATAGAAAAACAAAATGAATATGGGTCAACTTGAAACTCAAACTCACGGTGTACACATTTCTAATAAAAGCCATGGAACGTTCCAAATTTTTTTCGAAATCTTGATTTTGAAGAACCCGCTTCTTTATATTTTCACAGTTCATTGAAACATTAAACTTTCTCCCAGAAACAAATCTGAGCCGCCCATTTTTAACATAATTCTTTATTGCTGAACCAGAGTTATTGATGAATCCAGAGCAATTCAGATGTTTCAATTGATCTCTGAAAGCTTGCCAGATCAGAATCAGGTACAAATAATTCTAACCAACTCTGTGAAATATGGAAGCTTTGTTGAGAACTTTGATAGAATTGGTTTATTGATGTGTTGCAGGTGGATAAAAATAAATATCAGATTTATCAAAAATATTAGTAGAAATCTAGGGATCTTGTGAGAATCCATCTGTGTCTGTAGGTGAAAATAACACAATATTTTGAAAGTGTCTACTCGCACTTTCAATAGATCTTTATCTATTTTATCTGTTTTCTGGATTGTAGGCTATATTTGAAGATTTTGTGTTATGGTCCGAGTTTTTGGCAATAAAGTTCAGAATTTTGAGGGTTTCAAATATTTCAGAAAATTATTTCAAAAAGAATTTCAGAAATTTTGTGAATCTCAATTATTTCTCCAGAAAAAACTTTCGTGGGAACTTTAAAAAATTGAGCTTTCTCAAAACTCTTTTTTTAAAATTTTGTTATCGCTCTGGATAAACCTGATTTCTCAGGATTAATGTTATTTTCTCAATAAAAAAAATTCGGTACACTTTTTTCAAGTTCTTATCGATTTCTCCGATCTTGTTTTGTTGAACTCAAAAATTTCTTGTATTAAATGAATACTAATTCAGGAGTTCATTGATGATTTTTTCCAGATCAAAAAAAATTCAATATCAAAAATCTAAATTACAATCAAAATTATCTTCATCATAAGTTCCATTCTCCTTCATTTCCATCTCTCGAAATTGCGGATAGTTTCGAAGCTCCACCTTGGAAATCCAGATCTTCTTCTCTCTCAAAACCTCATCCATACAAAAAAGTGGTGCTAAATCGAAATTCTCCAGGATTTTATTAGCTATCACAAATTTCGATGTTTTGAAATCGGCCAAATATTCCACACCCATCACACAAATATAATTCCGCTCTAGTTTTGATCTACAAAATTCATTATAGCCGGATGGACCTTCAAATATCCAATCAGTCCATCTTCCAATGGTATCCTGAACTGTGTTATTGCAATTTGAAGTTGGTTGACCATCAAGGCCAAGATTATTACGATATAAAGTTTGGACTAGCATCTCATCAACACCGTAGATCTTCAAAAAAACAATAATTATTTTTTATGAGAAGGAAAACTACCTCTTTCTGATCAAATAAATTCATAATTCCCTCCAAATTCAATTTCTCAAAAATCGATTTCACAAAACTTCTCGATAAAATCATCTGATTCAACCCTTTCCAAATTTTCAGCGGTTTATCTAAAATGTCCTTGGAAACTCCAAGTTCAGATTTGAAAAGTTTTAAACCAGCCGGAGTCCAATCAGCATTATGAATATATCGATCTTCAAAAGGTTCCCGGATAGACATGATACTTGTGTAGTTCAGCAGATTACTGAGTTCAGCTAACTCTTCTACAGGTTTTAAAATCAGGTCATTATTTTGCAAAAATATAACATGACCCCATTTTCTATCCAAAATCAATTCCAGACATTTAAAATGCGCGCGATTCTGAAAATGTCCAGAAGAATCGAAATCGTACCTCATTGGATTCAGAATAATATTTGGCAAACATCTAGTTAATTTCTGAAGTTTCTCAAAAATTCCAGTTTTTGATTTTTTGTCAACAGAATAACAATACGTGTTTGAAGGATGATAAATTGAGGAGAGCAACATTTCTTGAAATTCATAGAGCTAAAATCAATTCCAGGTCAGCCTGAAATTAAATCTAACATCAACTCACGGTATAAACATTTCTGATGAACGCAATTGGACTTCTCAAAGATCCATAGAATTTCTGATTGTTTGAAACACGTTTAGTTATACTTCCACAATCCATAGGAACTTCTATCATTTTCCCGGGGATAAATCTGAGCCGCCCATAATTCAAATAATTATCGATTGCTGAACTTGAGTTATTGATGAATCCAGAGCAATTCAGATATTTTAATTGATCTCTAAAATTTCTTGAATTGTTGAAAACTTGAAGTTTTGCCAACTAACTTTTCAAAAAACTGGGTTGAAGATGAAGATCTAGAGAAATAAACAATTAAAATCAGTGAGCACAGAAAAATTGTGAAGAATTTTTTCATGTTTATTAGAAATAAAACGTTTTTATGGGGTCAAGATTTTCAAAAAAAACTCATAAAGATCTAATTCAGATATCGGAAATTGCTCATGTTAAACTCACTCTCTAAAATAATAGGATTCGGAATTCTTCCAGCATAGGAAACTTGCAAAAACAGCAAAAAATTTGTACATTTTTATTAGTAAAAACAAGGAAATAAAAAAAAATATTGATTGACAAGGTCATTGTACGTTTCAAAAACATAGTTAGAAATAAATCACCGCTCCCGAAGTTCCTGTCTTATTCCTAACAACCAAACGTTTCAAATTATCCCGAAAATCCTTGACAACATAAATAACTCCAAGTTGTTCGATAGCTGGGTAGATCGCAAGAAATATCATCGAAATGTTCGCATGTTCTCCAAGTCCAATTCCAAAAATCGGAGTAATGAATAAGATCTCTGACGGGATGTAGATGAATAAGCTTGGGATCAGTGCTTGAATCACCAGAGCTTTCAGCAATTGTCTTTGTTGCTCTCTCAACTTCTCACTTAATTTCAGACTTTTACTGTTGACTCGAATAAACGATAATGTTCCAAAAATCATCATTGAACTATAACACATCAACATCGCAACCATCAGAACTCCAATAGTTATCCAAACTCCAATCGGCTTCACACAATCCACCTCATTTTCACATTTATAGAATATGGGACCATTGTAGATCACATCATTCATAGATAACCCATAAATATTCTCAAAGTTTTCGCGAAGTTGATTGGTGAGAAACTCGTTTTCACCAAGGTTCGTATATTTGAGACCAACTACGAAAATTCCAAAAGTAAAAGCCGCCAAGATCCAAAAATACAAATTGATGCCGTTGAATATTTTGACCAGTTTTATGCTGAAATTTTTGTGTTTTTTAGAGCCGCGTTGCGTATGCGTCGCGTACTGTGAAAGATGTATATATCTGTAGAGGAAATGAATTGAGAGCACGGCGATTTGAGTTGTGTACATGCCACAGAAATGAACTGCAAAATCCTGATTATTTTTTCCTTAACAAAAAATGCTCACTCAAGGAAAACGGTGCAAGATTTCTGTCCAAATCATTGTATTTTCTGAAGAGAACGTAAGAAACATTGGTGCTATGGGCGTTCTGAAATTTGAATTTTGATTCCTGCAGGTGCGTTGCGGCTTCGCGTCGCGGTTTTCACATACCATGCTCGCTGAAACATTAGTCAACGAATAGAGCACTTGAACAACACAACACAAGACCATCAGATGTTTATAGAATCCAAGTCGGATTTGAGGGTTCATTAGAATCAGGGAGATCAGAATCGTATTGGTTATCAATGACAAAACCATTGAGACATTTTCAGAGATTCGTAGAAAATTGAGGATTTTCATCATGGTCGATGAAAGGAAGTTCTAGACAGGTTTTTATAGCGATTTTTTTGAGTTTGCACTGTTGTTATTAGGGCGTTAGGGAATCGGAAATTAAAAAATCTATGGACTTTTGGTTAAAAATCGAAAATGCACCATTTTTCCTCAAACGCTTGGCCGAGTGGTTAACACGCTCGCCTTCTATTTTTTAAGTCGCGGGTTCGATCCCGAAAAAAAACGAAATTCAAATATTTATTCAAATTCTATGACAATCGATCGATTTGAAACCAATACATCTAACCAGCTCGAATTCCACGTCATAACTCGATTCAAAATTGAAAACTTGAGATAGAAGAATTATTTTCAGGAATAATAGAAAACTAAAGAATAGGATGAATAAATCATCATTAGACATGTTTATTTTATTCAATATGAAATTGAAAAAACAACCTTTTGGGATAATCTGAATCGCCATCTTTTTGATGTCAGTTCAAAGGAACCTAATTCTAGACCTGCCCAAAAATAAGTCAACTATGTTCGCTCGAATTTCTTGTAAAATGAGGCGATTTTCAATATTTCTAGTCATATTTTCATTCATTTCAATTTCTCAATTTCATTTTTTTAAATTGCCTCCAAAACCTTCATACAATTTCTATTTTGACAAGTAGGTTATTTTCTTTGTATTAAATCTAGAATTTTCCAAAAGTTCCAGAGATGAGTTAAAATATCTGAACTGCACCGGATTCATCAATAACTCAAGTTTAGCCATTGATAAATATGTGAATTATGGGCGGCTCAAATTTCTCCCCGGGAAAATGCTAGAAGTTCCCATGGATTGTGGGAGTATCACACAACGTGTTTTCAACAATCAGAAGTTCTATGGATCTTTGAGAAGTCCAATTGCGTTCATCAGAAATGTTTATACCGTGAGTTTAATTTTAATTTCCGCGTAACCTAAATCTTTTAGACCTACGAGCTCCAGGAAATGTTGCTCTCATCAATCTACCATCCTTCAAACACATATTGTTATTCTGTTGACATCAATTCAAAAACTGGAATATTTGAGAAACTTCAGAAATTATCTAGATGTTTGCCGAATGTAATTCTGAATCCCGTGAAATACAAATTCGATTCTTGGGGGCATTTTCAAGATCGAGCACATATTAAATGTCTGGAATTGGTTTTGGAAAGAGAATGGGGTCATGCGATTATTTTGCAGGTTTGGAATTTGTTTTGAATTCCCGAAAACAAAAATATTTCCATAGAACGATGACTTGATCTTGAAGCCTAACGAACATTTGTCTGAATTGAGTGAGGTTCTGAATTCTACAAGTATGATTTATATGATGAAACCAACAACTTCTCAAAATTATTTATCTGAAGCTGACTGGACTCCAGCTGGTCTACAACTTTTCAAAGATGGTACATAACTCATATTTTCAATGCGGAATTTATAACAAAAATTTTGTAGAATCCAAAGTTCCTGGGAATATTTTACATAAGCCCATGAAAATTTGGAAAGGGTACAATCAAATGATCCTTTCGAAGATCTTTATCAAATCGATTTTTGAACATTTGAACTTGGAGGGGATTATTGAGAGATTTGATCGAAAGGAGGTAACAACATTTTCTAGAAAAAAATTCTGAAAAAAATACCTGAAAATAAAATTTTGAAGTTCTATGGAATTGATGAGATGCTTTTTCAAACTTTATATCGGAATAATCTTGGATTGGATGGTCAATTCATCTCGAATTGCGAAGAGGATATATTTGACTTTGGAAGATTGACAAAATGGTCACAAAATGGCACTTCTGATTCATACAACCTTAGCTGTAGATCAAAATTAGAGAGGCATAGTATTTGTATATTTGGAGTTGAATATTTGGCTGATTTTCTCGAGACCGAATTTGTGATAGCTAATAAAATCCTGGAGAATTTCGATTTAGCTCCACTGATTTGTATGGATGAGGTTTTGAGAGGGAAGAAGAAGATCGGGAAGAATTGGATTTCGAAGGTGGAACTTCGGAAATATCCGCAATTTCGAGAGATGGAAATGAAACACAGCGGGACTTATGATAGAGAACATTTTCGGTGTTGAAGAAATAAATATTTTTTTTTGGAAATTGATTCTAGGAATTTAGAAAAGATATCAAAACAATTCAGGTTGAGAAATTCTTCGAAAGCCTTGTAAAATCTTGGGAAGCCTTGGGAAGCCTTGGAAAGCTTTGTAAAATCTTGGGAATGCCTTGGGAAGCCTTGAAAAATCTTGGGAAGCCTTGGGAAGCCTTGGAAATCCGTGAAAAAATGAACCAAAACTTGGGAAAACGTGAAAATGTACAATTTTAAAATGTTTCGATTCAAAAGAAATTTCAAAAATCGCTTTTTGCCTGTCCTACTGTGATCAGATAAATCCCACAGACTTGCCATTCACACTATTTCCACCGAAAATCCGATTTCCTTGTGAGAGAGTATTCAGGAAAAATGAGTGGATCACGAAGTGCGATAATGAAACTACAAATTTTGCGATTTTGCCGAAAATTGAAAATCACGATAGGCATTTTTTAATCGCACATCTTTTTATTTGCCGATGAAGTTGCAAAAATTTGCCAAATATTTTCAAATTCTTCTGATCAATTTTTTATTCATCCTAGTTTTTCATCATAACTTAAGGTCAAATTCTTCAAAACCTTCAGACCTATATCCATATTTCAGGGAGTAAGTTTCTCCAACTTATATATTAATTAATTTTCGCTTAATCAAATAAAATAAGTTTCAGAGATGAGTTAAAACATCTGAATTGCTCTGGATTCATCAATAACTCAAGTTCAGCAATCAATAATTATGTAAATTATGGGCGGCTCAGATTTATCCCAGGGAAAATGGTAGAAGTTCCCATGGATTGTGAAAATATTGTGAAACGGGTTTACACAAATCAGAAAATTGAAAAAGATTTGGAAAATCCGATTGCTTTTATCAGAAATGTTTATACCGTAAGTTAGAATTTGTAAGATCAACTTGTGAAATCAATTCTAGATTTACGAATTTCAAGAAATATTGCTCTCCTCAATCTACCATCCTTCAAACACATATTGTTATTCTGTTGACATTAATTCAAAAACTGGAATTTTTGAGAAACTTCAGAAATTATCTAGATGTTTGCCAAATGTAATTCTAAATCCCGTGAAATATGACTTCGATTCGGCTGGACATTTTCAAGATCGAGCAAATTTCAAATGCTTGGAATTGATTTTGGAAAGAAAATGGTATCATGCGATATTTTTGCAGAACAATGACCTGGTTTTGAAATCTGTAGAAGAGTTAGCTGAACTCAGTAACTTGCTGAATTACACAAGTATGATATCATTCCTAAACACCCCGGAAAATCGATATATTCATAATGCTGACTGGACTCCGGCTGGTTTAAAACTTTTTAAGAATGGTAACTTTTTGTTAGAAAAAACAATATTAACTCACAATCAAGTAGGAAATTTACAGAAGCTGAAGTCGCTGTGGACATTCTACATAAACCCTTGAAAATCTGGATGGGATCGAATCAAAATGTTTTGTCAAAAACGTTTGCGAAATCGATTTTCGAGAAATTAAACTTGGAAGGAATTTTGAATCGCTTCGATCAGAAAGAGGTGAACAAGAAGTTTTCTAGAAGAACAACATAATTGTACTTTTTTCCTCTTCAGATCTATGGAGTTGATGAGATGTTTGTGCAAACTTTATATCGAAACAATCTTGGATTAGAAGGTCAACCAACTTCCGATTGTTCTAGTATAGTTGCGAATTTTATGCGATTCGTTGATTGGCAAGTGAACCCAACATTCTTCAATTCAAAGTGTAAATCAAGAATTTCAAGACATGCCGTTTGTATACTTGGAGTTGAATATTTACAAGACTTTACCGAGTCTAATTTTGTGATAGCCAATAAAATTCTGGAGAATTTTGATCTAGCTCCACTGATTTGTATGAAGCAGATCGATGAAGAGAGGAAGATCAGGGGAAAGAAAACATCGCGAAGAGATCTTCAAGGATATCCGCAGTTTCGAGAAATGGAAATGAGGGAAAATGGAAGTTATAATAAATATGATTTCAGGTGTTAACTATGTGCCAAAGTGAAATTGTTTAATTCTAGAGTTTCCAAACACAAAAAAATCACAAGGAAAATAAGAGATTGTGACTTTTGCAGTCTGAAAATCAGATAAAAATATGTCAATCATCAAAAATTGAATCTTTTCAAGCCGATTCAGTTTTCAGGAATAATTTCAGCAAAACAAGCAGATAAGATAACAAATCCATTTACATTAGAAACTAGAAAAATCGCGGATTGAGATTCGAATAGAAATTCAGATACGGATCTACATATTTACACTAACTGTTCATAGTTCAGCAGAATCTTCTGGGGGTTTCTTTTTTGAAACTCCAGGAACATGAGAATCGCACATGGAGGACCAGAATCTATGTATGAGCTCAGGAGGCCTAGATTATTTTCAAAAAAATTCAAATATTAAAAAAAAACTGCAAAAATCTTCTGAAAAGTTAAAAAAAATGTATCAAAAACAAAATAATTGAAAATTCCTGCAACTAGAAAATAGACACGCGTGATTTTGATGAAAGTGGAGATAAAAATAGGTTCATCTTCTAGATTCCCGGTGAAAAAACATGGTTATTAAAAATAATAAAATTGGTTAAGATTTAGAATTCGAAATTTGCAGTTCTCAAAACTTTACCAAACATTGCAGAATCTAGACTTAGGTTTATCCAAAAATCATATTTTCTAAATTGCAAAAAACTTTTCCTATATTCAAAATTTTTGTTAAATGAAATTTTACGCAAATATACATAATCAGAGCGGTTTCTCGATCTCAAGATTTCCTTGATTTTTGAAACGTATTTTCTCCGGAGAAAAATTTCTACACAAATTATAAAAATGAATCATTTTCGTTGACCTCATATTCCTTTATCTAAAAAGAACATCTTTCGAAAATCCTGGTCAATCGAAATCGCAATGTGAGAGAGTGATGTTCATCTGCAGAAAAGTGAGTTTTCCCCCAATTTTTCCTAGCAAATTGTTCATTTTTCTAAAATCATCCAGCCTCTTCGAAGCTCCAAAGAATACGTCCACTTTATAATTTTCTCCGCGATTTTATCATTGCTCATATTATATTTTTTCGATGTTTTCACACATGAAAAGGTGCTATTTTACCGGGAATTGAAGATGGATGCGAAATGTTTGGAATTGAGAAAAATTGGTGGCGAAGAATCGGGAAAATTGGTTTGTAATCCGGAATTGGTGCGGAAGAATTGTTTGTGAGTTTTTTTCTGGGTTTTTTTGAGCACCGAAAATTGAACCCTTGCCACGTGGATTTTAATTTTTTTTTAATGAATTAAAAAAAAATTTCAGAATGATCTCTCTGGGCGTCAACAATCAAATCAACTTCGAAAAACACATCCAATCTCTAACCAACTTCAAATGTCAAATAATCGGAGTCGACTCAAAACTCCAAGATTTCACAACATCTCAAGAATACGCGAAAATCGGTGGCAAACTACTATTCAAAAAAATCGCCGTCAATTTTCCAATCGTCGAAATCTTCTCGTCGAAAAAAAATCTGATCGGAAGAAAAATGAAAATCGTCGAATTCCTAAAAATCGATATTGGTGGCCATGAGCATTTTTTGCTTGCACCGTTTTTAAAACAATTTCAAGTTTGTCAAATATTTCTTCAAATTCATGGAAAACCTTTGGAGCATTTCGAGTTAATCGAGACGATTCGAAAACTTGGTTTCAAATTATTTTCATTCGAGCGAAGTTCAAAATGTGTAACTTGCTGTGATTATAGCTTTGTCAATGAGAAATGTATGTTTCGGTATGAAGTTGGAAATTTGGAATAATTAATAAAACTTTGAAACGTATATTTTTAGAACTTGTAAATCAAGAAACCTGAATTTTCCCTAAAATTTCAAACCTCAAAAATCTCCAAAAGTTCATCATCGAAACGCGAAACAAGTCACATATTGTTTAGAAATCTCACAATATTTCCTCGAATGAATACTATAACTAAACTCTCCGGTCGCACAAAACACATCATATTTTGCACCATCAAACGCCTCTTTGGTCGCCATTTGTATCGATTTCTTCGAACTTGTCACATCTTCCGAAATCGCTCTCATCATAACATTCGCCAATTTGATCGAGTTACACGTCGTGTTAGTTCTCGTCACACTTTCACGCTTCGCATTTTTCTGTCTCGCCAAAACACTGTGTCGTTTTCCCAGCACTGATTCCTCATAGGGATCTCGTTCTTCTTGCAAATAATTCACCTGCATTGGAGCGATGTATCCTGGTTTGTATACGGTAGAAACTTGTGATGTACGGTAGTCATACGGTGGCGTCGATTCTCTGGCTTTGAAATCTTGATTTGGATCTTCTTGTTCTTCATCTGGAGGTGGAGGTGGTGGTGGGATTTCGATGGATTCAGATGACATTTGCTCCAGAGAATCCACATCGAATTGTTTGTCGTATGGAGTCTGGAATTAGAGATTTACAGAGGGAGAATTTCAAAAAAATTGAAAAAATCTTACCGGAGCTGGAGCTAGACCACTTTGAAGATATGGCGGAGTCACAAAGTCGACGCTGGAAAAAAAGATTTTTTTTCTGGAATTTTCAAAACTTCAATTTAAGCCTATGCAGATTAATATTTTGTAATAAATACATATTTTTCCAATGCAGAAAAACGTCGTAAAAACAAAATATACAGTTTATTATTTTTGAGTAGAGACAACGTAAAATTAAGAGAGTGCAGACAGAAAAATTGATTTTTCACACAAAAAAATACAAAAAAAACTGCCTGCACTCTCTCAATTTCACATTGTCTCTATTCAAAACTGTATATTTTGTTTTTTTCGACGTTTTTCTGCATAGGAAAAATATATTTTTTAAATTTTTTTATTACAAAATATTATTCTGCATATAAACTTTTGTAAAACATTTCAAATCTGATTTGAACATTTTGTTGAAAAAGAATTTTCAAGATTTTCCAGAAATTGGAATTCCCCAGAACTTTTTCAATAAAACTTCAAAAAAGGCCTGTGTCGGAAATTTTCTGAATTTTCTGAATTTCCGGTTTTTTATAGGAAAAATCAATTTTCCGGTTTTCCTGAAAATGTGCTCGGAAAATCCCGAAAATTATCTTTATTGCCTAAATTTTGGGAAATTTTCTCACGAGTTTATGATAGAAAAAATGAAATTTTTGGATGTTTTTTTCAATTTCACGATTTTTTGAACGTAAAACGTCTCAAAAAAATGAAAAAAAGCTGAAAATCGAAATTTAAGACCTTGAAAAATTTTACAAATTTTCCGGTTCAAAAAATCTGGAAATTTTCCGGCATCAAAACTTGAGCAATTTTTTTTCCAAAAAAACTCACGTATTCGGCACCAAAGTGACGGGTGTAATCAGCGGCGGAGTTGGCGGCAAATAATAACTGGCAGTCGTTATCAGCGGTCTCGCCGGGATAAACGCGACTTGTGGCGAAGGCGGTGGCACTGGTGCCACATAGGATTGTGAAGATGGCAAAAGTAGCGGCGCGGGTGCTTGCGAGTATGACGTGGAATACATAGGCGGCGGCGCTGGAGAAGCGGGAATCCATCCGGGAAAATAGACAGGGGATGGTTGAGGGCATGGCATGGGTTGGGCACAGATTGGTGGCAGTGCGCAGATGGGTGGAGGGGCTGGGATGCAGGCACACGGACAATTATTGGTGCCACCACCGAAGAATATTTGAGAGCTTGGTGGGGTGAAGTAGAGGAGGAGGAGGATGAGAAGCATTTCTGGAACAAAAAATCTTTTTTTTTAAGAATTAAAACGTTTAAAAAAAATCCCACCTAAGTTACCCTAATCCAACAAAAAATAAATAAATAAATAAAAATTCCAGGATACGGAAAAAATGAAAAGCGTTGCGAAAACGAAGAAACTTCAATATAGGCTAATCCCTACATTCCCCACTGGGAGAAAATCGAACAAAAAAAGAAGAAAGAAGAGGGAAAGGAGGCTAAACTTTTTCCTCTCATTTTTGAACTCTTACAATTAACTTGTAAAATGCTATGAGAAGAAAGGGGGAGGATTAACGGGACACAAAATGATTTTTCTGGGGGACTTCTGTTATTTTGAACACTTTTTGTGTTTCTAAATCTTGCAAATCGAGAAAATGTTTCGAAAAAGGCCGGATTTGGCAGAGAATACAAGTTTTCTTGAGATTTTTTGGTTACAAAAATTGCGTCAGCAAATTCATCATGCTTTAGGCTACAAGATTTGTGTCAGCAAATATTTAAAATTACAAGACTACTAGATTTGAGTCAACAATTTGACCGTAATCTACAGAAAATGCGCCAACACGATTTTTTGTAGGCTGAAAGTTTTATGACTGTAGAATCTACAGTGTAGATTGACTAAAGATGCAAACGCGCTCTAGCGCATAACGAGAAGGTGTTTGAATTTATTCCGTGTGTTCTGGGAATCGAGTTTTTTGAGTGATTTTATCATTTTATGGAAGAAATTTGATTAGTCAGTGATTATTTTTCATCGAAAAACGCAGATTCCTCTGATTTCGCAATAAAAATGTTTCATTGTTTGATTTTTTTCAGCAAACAAAACTCATAACTTTTAATGTTATTTGAAAAGATCAACATTGCCATGGAACTTACATAAATCCAGAAATGTTTCAGAATACAACTATACACATTCGGAATCCAAAAGTCATGTATCTCCTGTTATTCATCTGGTTAATTCCCAAATCATTTTCTATTGAGATGGTTATAACTTGGGGAAAATTGACAAATGATACAGTTTGTGATACGACTATTAAAATAGTTTCAAGTAGTCTATGCTTCGATTATTGCATGGAATCTGACACGTGTTATGTGAGTTTTTCTCACCAAACTTCAACACAACTTCAAAATTGAGAGACTTTGTTATAGATTGCTCAAGCTTATGGAACTCTTTGTACATTGTGTGGTCCAGATTATCCCTACCCAATTCAAAGTTTGTCAGAGGAAAATGCAAATCGAACAAAAATTGCTTTCAAAGCAACTCTCACTGAATGCCCATCATCACCAAATTCAACATTTTCTTCGGAAAATTTTACAATGGAGTTTTCGCAGGGATATTGGCAGCTATTCAAAACCACCACAACGTCAACTATCTCCTCTACTACCTCCAAAATGCAAGTGTGCCGAGATGGATGGCAAAAATTCACCAGAGTAATGGGTGAATGGTGTATTCGTGTTTTTCGTGCAGTTTTTAGCTATCAACATGCATCTCAGAATTGTTGTGCATTAGGTGGTGTTTTGAGTGGGATTGAGAGTGCAGAAGAACGAACATTTATCATTAGTGAGTTAGGATAACTCTGAGCAAACATTTCGATTTGAAAATGATTTGCAGACAAAGGAATGGCCATTTTGTATGAAAATGGCATTAATGAAGGTTCTCTTTGGATTGGTGCTCACAGATCGACAGCATGTATGTATAACAATTCGACTCTACAGATTTGTGTACCCATGGTCAACAAGGCGTTTACCTGGACTGACGGTTTCACAACCGGGAAATCCATGATGACTTGGGTTCCGAATCAACCAGACTATGCTGGGTAGGTCTAGATATGAATTTGGTGGACCTTCAAAAAAATCTCAATTTTTGCCAGTAAAGTTTGAAAAAAACTCACAAAAAATAGTGTTTCAGAAAAAATGAGGCGTGTGTTCAAATGGTACTAGTCAATAATGCAGTTAGTATTGAAGGCGCTGTTTCGGGACAGCTTAACGATATATTTTGTACGGCAACAACATCTGAGTACAGTTTGAACTATATTCGCGGTTTTGTTTGCGGACAGAAAGCGTACTATCCGTAGAGTTAGAATTCTACGCAAAGATTTTGATAAAGATTTTTGGAATGTTAGTAAAGTTTACAGCTCTAAAAATAATTAATTTTTGAAGTATTTTTTTCTGTAGCCAATGTTTCCTACTATTTTTTCACGTTTCGAAGAGTAAATGAAAAAAATCCAATTCAAAATTACAAACACTAGAGCGCGTTTGCATCTTTAGTCAATCCACACTGTAGATTCTACAGTCTGCAGCCTAGATTTTGTGACTAAAATCACAAAATTGGCGTCAGCAATGAATTCCAAGACTACAAAATATGCGCCAAGCATACATCGCAATCTTCCCCTCTGAACCTCAAAGTGATACACCCTATTTCAAAAAAAAATTCGCGAGTGATACACCCTAATTTTTGTCTGGAAGGCGCAAGCCTTCCATTAAAAAAAATTTTTTTTTGTTCTCAAAAAAAAATTTAAAAATTTTGCAACACCATTGCTCTTGGCAGGAATCGATCCAGCGACTTTCAGCGTTATAAGCTCGAGCCCTAACCACTGCGCCAAGCTTGCACTTTTCTTCCCATTCTTCTTTTTAAAGATATGATTGGTGAGATGAGAGATAGAAAAGAGAAGAGATCATCAGCTTGAAGAAAATTTGCATATTTTCAGTCTGACAATTGTCAAAATAATACTTGAACGAGTAAAAGTTGAAACATGAAACTTGGCACACATAAAATTAAGCGTATTCTGAAGGATATTGAACAATAAAATCGGAGGGGCAGACCCTAGAACTCAAGGTGCACACCCTGTCCACTGAAGAGGCCTTTTTTGACTAGTTTAGGGGACCGGGTATGCACCTCACTTCTGAGTCATTATTTCGTCTAGAACTTTTTAGAACTTTATAGTAGAGGAAATTTGCTAACTTTCCATTCAAAAATATTCTAGAAAACCTTACTAAAATGTCATTTCCTTGACGGGTGAAAATGTGCATTTTTTACAAAAAAATTTTTTTTTTGAAATTGAAGGAAATTCAAGATTTGATTTTCGTTTGTTCTTTAAATCAAACTACTGACTTAATTTGAGCCACTGAACAACGTGGTGGCCATCAATTTTTGATTTCCTCGATGGTCTCGAGTCGAAGATCGAGAGAAACATCCGAATTCCATCAATGTCAAAATCATACAAAATACATCGCGTTTCGATTCAATAATGATGTTTAGGATTAGGCATGCTCAAATTGAAGTGTTTTATCGAAAATCCAATAATAATATGCCATGAAAATCGATTTATTGGGTCATAACAATTTTTCTAGATGGTCTCACTGGAACTATCGGAATAGATCTCATAATGAATGAAAATGTAGTATCAGAGTTGGAATTAATAGGTGAAATATATATATATATTAAGGCATAGGTTGAGTAAACTACTATTTGTGGCAAAATTGAAGTTTTCAAGTTAGTTTTGAAAAAAACTGAAAATTTTCAGAATCAGCTTTAATGATCTGAAAGGCCACCACTAAAAAAGTTTCAGAAAATATCTCAGAATTGTATGCACTAGATACCCAAATAGCTCAAAAAAATTTTGTGCCTGACTTGAAAAAGGTTAAGTGGTTAATAGCAAAAATCAAAAGTATCCATCTTTTTGGCAATTACTGTAACTCGTTTTGGAAAAGTTTCTGGTAGTATTTGAGGCCACCACGTTGGTCAGTGGCTTAAATTAAGTCAGTAGTTTGATTTAAAGAACAAACGAAAATCAAATCTTGAATTTCCTTCAATTTCAAAAAAAAAATTTTTTTTGTAAAAAATGCACATTTTCACCCGTCAAGGAAATGACATTTTAGTAAGGTTTTCTAGAATATTTTTGAATGGAAAGTTAGCAAATTTCCTCTACTATAAAGTTCTAAAAAGTTCTAGACGAAATAATGACTCAGAAGTGAGGTGCATACCCGGTCCCCTAAACTAGTCAAAAAAGGCCTCTTCAGTGGACAGGGTGTGCACCTTGAGTTCTAGGGTCTGCCCCTCCGATTTTATTGTTCAATATCCTTCAGAATACGCTTAATTTTATGTGTGCCAAGTTTCATGTTTCAACTTTTACTCGTTCAAGTATTATTTTGACAATTGTCAGACTGAAAATATGCAAATTTTCTTCAAGCTGATGATCTCTTCTCTTTTCTATCTCTCATCTCACCAATCATATCTTTAAAAAAGAAGAATGGGAAGAAAAGTGCAAGCTTGGCGCAGTGGTTAGGGCTCGAGCTTATAACGCTGAAAGTCGCTGGATCGATTCCTGCCAAGAGCAATGGTGTTGCAAAATTTTTAAATTTTTTTTTGAGAACAAAAAAAAATTTTTTAATGGAAGGCTTGCGCCTTCCATACAAAAATTGAACCTCAGTGATACACCCCCTCAATTTAGAAAAATTGCAAAGTGATAGACCCTAATGGCCCCTGCAGGGGGAGCGATGCGATCTATGGCGCCAAGGTCCAGAATTTCTTGAAAAATCCTCCAAACCCCATCAATAAACAAAGCTCACTAAAAATTCTTCATATTTTTCCACTCTTCTCATTCTCCTACGATCTAATACTCTCCGAAGTCACATCCGAATCCTGTTTCGGCTCCTTTTGATGTTCACTAGTACTCAATTTTCGACGCAATATTTTGCCCGACGGCAATTTCGGAATCGAATCCACAAATTCGTAGCCAGCTGTGATCCATTTGTAAGACGACAATTTCGATTGAACCCAAGCTGTCAGTTCGGATTCAGTTAATGTGTGATCTTTTTTGACGATAAATGCTTTTGGCGATTCACCACATTGCTCATCTGCAACACCAATCACTGCACAATCTTTGACTTTTGGGTGAAGAAGAAGGACATCTTCAATTTCGACTGGTGGAACCTGGAAAAAATCAATATTTTGAATTTGTGATTTGAAATTGTTCTGTTGGAATTCCCGTTCTCACAAAATACCTGCCACGTGGCAAAATTTAAAACAAAGTTTGTAAAATAATGGAAAAAATCCAGAATTCACCCTATTTTTTCTAGCTAGATAATCGGATTAAAAAACAGTTTGAGAGAAACCAGAGAAAATTAAAATTTTCTGGATCAGGAGGAAAATAATAGCAAAATCTCAAAATTTCTAGCCTGAAATCAGATACATTGTTCTAGACATTGGCCTAGAAAACCAAATATATTAGAAAAACTAGGCCACGTCTTAAAAAGAGAAAAAAGTATTCAAATTTTGAGACTTAAATCCAGATATTTCATGATTTTAGACATGACCTAGAAAACCAACGAAAAGTTATGCCACTATCCAAAAATTGTCCGAAATTCAGAGTTCCCCAAAAATCCTCACCTGCATTCCATTGACCTTAATCAACTCCTTAATACGTCCAGTCAAATGAACACATCCCTTCTCATCAACACTTCCCAAATCTCCCGAGTGCAAAAAACCATCCTTGTCTATAATATGCGCTTCACGTCCGTTCAAATAACCTTTCATGACAGCCGGACCACGGAAACACAACTCTCCAATTATATTGGGTTTTGTGACTTCGGCACCTGCCGCGTTGATGATTTTCATCTCAAAAGTTGGGCCAAGTGCACCGACCTGCAAAGATTTTTCAAAACTACAACACTCTGCAGTGACAACGATCAAACCTGCTCGAAACAATGACCATCCTCAAATCTTGGAAACGTCGTGAATTGCACCATTTCACTCATCCCATAAGCCTGACAAATCCAAGCGTGTGGAAATCGCTTCAAAACCTCCTCAATCAATTGTTTTCCGGCGGTGGCGCCAGCAGATAGAATGACTTTGACAAATGGTTCAACACGGAAAATCGGGACCATCATATCTTTGGCCAAAAATATGAGCATCGGTGGGACCATGTAAATCAGTTTGACTTTGAAGAATTTAATACGATTGAGCATGGTAATCGTGTCAAACTTCTTGAACACCAATCCAGTCATTCCCAAAATAATCGACTCGAGCATCACATTCATTCCAAAAGCGTGATACCAGGGTAACATGAGCAATGTGTGCTCTTTTCGCCAATTCTTCTCCTCTTTTCCAAACACCGCTTTCGCAATTTCGTTATTCAAATGATCCACAGAGATATCCATCATTGTCACCATATTTCGATGCGAAATTCGGCAACCTTTTGGTCTTCCGGTGGTTCCGGATGAATATGGGACCATTGCGAGTGAATCCATGTCATACGTCAAATTTATTGGTTCGGCTGGTGTTTTGACGAGTTCACCAAAATCGAGCACATTTTCGGGGAAATCGGTTTTCATCGGAAATGTGCGAAGGCAGATGATTTTTTGAATTGTTGGCACGTGGGTTATTGCACGGCGCACTCGACTTAGCCGATCTTCGTCGGTGAAAACGAGCACTGATTTTGAGTCGTGGAATTGGTTTTGGAGCTCGTCTGGAAAAAATTGGAAGTTTGGGAGTAGAAAAGGGAAGTGCATAAGGTCAGGTGTTAAATTTTGATGAAAAATATCGAAATATACCAAATTTTACATGCTGATCACGATTCCAAAGTCAAAAATTGCCACAAACTCCTGTGCATGAGCACTTTTCTGGAGCTCCAAAGTTAGAATTGAGTTTTGGTATTGGCCCATTTTCATCTTGTTCCTGTGTGGAAAATCAATTCTTATAACTTGAATAAGGTTGTGCACCACCTATCAGCTTTTTAGCTTTTCAAAAAATATGAAAAACCAGCTGAAATCTGTGATTTTTTAAAATTATAAGTTTCAGCTGGTTTTTAAAAATATTTTTCGAAAAACTAAAAATCTGATAGCTTTTCGAATGTGGTGAACAACCTTTATCAAGTTATAAAAATTAATTTTCCACCCTGGAACATCGTGAAAATGGGCGAAAACCAAAACGCAATTCTAACTTTGAAGCTTCAGAAAAGTGCTCACAGGAGTCTGTGTCAATTTTTGACTTCGGAATTTTTCGATATTTTTCATCAAAATTTCAAAACCTGACTTCCTTTGCAAGTTTATCCAGATTTCTGGAGCTAAAAAATCCCTTACAATCTGTGAAAATGGGGCTGGCATTTGACATGGCAGCTCCACATTTCTGCACAGCCAACATATTGATCAAAAACTCTGGACAATTCGGCAAAACCTGCGAAACAATATCCCCAGGTTTCAATCCCAATTTCATCAAAGCCGTCGCCAAACTATTCACAGCCGGCTCAATATCACTGAATTTCCTCTTTTTTGTCGTCGTTTCTGCGTCAATCTGGACAAAAATCACAATTCTTCCTTATCTAGGGAGTTATTTAGGCTAACTCACAAAAATAATCGAATCCTTGTTGGCTGCCGCATGTTGACGGCATGCTTCTAAAATACGCTCGTGGAGTGGAACATTGCTGTTTTGTTTTAACGCCGGGTATTTTGACACAAACACCATCTGCAAAAAAAAACAAGCCATGAGAAGGGTTGATTGACGCATTTCTAGTAGCTCCCAAATAACTCACTAATCTTTCTGAAAAATGCAATAAATGCCGATTTCTTTTCCGAACAAATATATGAATACACAATGACTGAAACCCTCTAAAATCACCCTTTTATACCGCCCATTTTTTTGTTCACGTGAAAATCTAGAACACGTTTCGGATATTTTTTTTAGATTTAGCTTTTCACTTTTTGAAATTGCAAAAATTCAAATGTACCCAAATAATTTTGAAAAAATCGCATTACCTTGAGTTTCCATTCGATTTACATGTTTCGGCACGAAAACTTTGCAACGTAGCGAATCGCATCAGTTGTAGCTGTAAAAATATCATTGAACCCTGCGGCAAAATTCGTATTTTCAGACAAAAAAATAGTGAAAAATGGAAAAACTCGAAAAAAAAGTGTTCGAAAAACAAAAGTAAAAAAAGTGTGTGCAAACACGGCGACGAGAAAATGCAGAACTTGAAACACCCGCGGGGATACACGTGTTTGAATTGGCCCCAATTAACTTTAATTAATTCGTTGTCTTCGATTTTTAGCTAATTAGGAATGAGTTTCATTTTTTTTCACAATGAAATTTCCAAACTTCTCAAAAATCAAGCTGAAACCTGATTTTTAAATTCATAAATCCTAGACCCGCAAATGTGAAAAGTGTAGATCACGCGGGATTTTTTTTTCGTTTTTTATCGATTGGCAGCCTACACGAACATTTCAAGAAAAATATTTTTGAAATGAATTTTTTATTTTGTCGAAAAAGTGTTCAGGTTATGCTAGATCTCTTTTTTTCAGGTTGGACGCACAATTCTTGAAATGATTTTATTTTGTATTCGGCCTGTCTTCAATGAGAGCTCCTAATTAAACGTAAGAGGACGTTTATTTTTTTCCTATGACCCAGAGAAATTCCAGATTGCTTGAGAATTGGGAATTGAGTGAGCCGATGTTGGTTTCGTTTCCCACTCCGATTTGAATGATGATGAAAACGAAATGAATTTGTGGAACTGCAACTCATTTCAGGTCAGTTTAATGGGTTTTGGGTTTGGTTTTGGGTGAAAAAAAACACAGTGATTTGTGTTAAATTATATAAGGTAAGTTTGGGGTATAGTTGTACAATAATGTATAATTTGAGACGAGATATGCACTCTCAATTGCTCACAAGCCAGGGAAAGAGGAAAATCCCTTAAAATTTTATTATTTTTTATTTTTTTTATTATTTTTATAGTTTTTTTAAAAAGATATTTTAAAAGTAAAAAAAGTGTGTGCAAACACGGCGACTAGAAAATGCAAAACTTGAAATTTATCCATATTTGCGGAAAACAATTGCATCATTTGAAGAAGATGAAACCACTTCAACCCCATTAATTCTGAAAAAGGTGGGTCTCATTAATTTCAAATCTCATCGAAAACATCACTTGAAAGCTCTACTGAAGAATGTCCGAACAAAATCCAAATATCGACTGTTGAAACAAATCATAACAATTGTTGAAGCCATCGAATGAGCCGCTATTAGAAACCACAAATCGGTTGCCAATTCTTGAAGTTGCGATAACTCTTGCAACAAAATGATACCAATCATTGAAATTGGAGCGAGAATACAGCTGAATGGAATTATGCATTGAAATGTGAGAGCAATCAGAGCTGATCTATGAATTTTATAAGTAGTTGCTGACATATGACAACGCATTGTGTGTAAAGTTAGAATTGTGTAAATTGATAAACTCAGGCTGTACCTGAAAAACCGCAAATTTTGTCTAGAACCTTGCTTATAATAAACTATAGTACAATGCAAAAGTGATAACCCAAATAACCGCCGAAGCCGCTGCAATTATCCAACCTAAATTCGTACGCCAGTCATAAACGATAAAATCTGGATTCTTGAGAAGATGAAGACATTTTGGAAAATGTTGGGAGATGAACTCATATTGTTCTTCATGGGAGGGTTCTGACAGGAAAATTGAGATAGAAAGGATGAATGGAAAACAATGAGCGATAAATGTCATAAAATTTGTGAAATAAGGTGAGATTTTGTTGGTCTGAAAACGAAATGCGAGTTATGCTGTTGACAATGAAAAACAAAAACTAACCGGCCTCAATTCCCCTGCTGATTTCGCACGAAATTGAAAACAACTAACCAACGATGGAAGTTCAAACGCTAACACAAAAACCAAACCAATGACATTTGTATGAGGAGAAATGACATGGCTCAGAATTGGTGAGGTATTGTAACCGCCAAACATTGGATAATAATAATATCCTGCACCAAGCCATGTCATATGATTTTCCACAATGAAACTGACTATCTAAAAAAGCAGCTGTAAAATTCAACAAACCATGCGATTTACCTGAAGATACAGTTGTCTATATTTGTACTCGGAATGAGAAGATTTACAAATTATCAAATAACATCCCAAACAATTGATTGGAAATGAGAAAAATGCGATGGAATGAAGACAAAATGTATAATAGGACGGTGGTTGCTCAGGACAATCTAAGTCCATTTTCTTTCAATTTACAAATGTTCTTACATATAAGGATATTAATTTGCATGGAAAAAAAACATCTGCAGGACATTTTTCAGCTGGAAGACTCGACATTTTCACCACGTTGTGTGAAATTCTCAGAACTTCTATAGACTATAGAACATATATAAAAGCCATAGCCACAATTTTACGTGAGAGAAAACAAAAGAGTGAATATTAGCGTGTGCGTGCAGAAGAGACGCGAGACGGAAAAGGGATATGAAAAGACTCCGCCAACTTTTTTTTTGAATTTCCGCTGAACGAAAAAAAAAATTTGCTGTGTATATTTTCAAAATCAATTCATTCAGAAAAAAGCTGAAAATTCCATAAAAACACGTTTTCAAAAAAAAGTATCACGTAATATCTCATGAATGATTCGTTCAGCTTTCGATTGTTCTACTGGATCAATTGGAAGATAAAACGAATTTCTCTGATTTCTTCTATCTGTTATTGTTATAACCTTACAATCTGTTTGTGGGTGTGCATTTTCAAATTGTGTGAAATGAAGTTTATCTGAAAATGTCAGCATATAACACAATAACCTCAATGTGAAGCTTACACTTTATTTGAATTGATGCCGGCGCTGTGAAGTGGAAACAAAGCTGTGTTGCACCATAGTATAATTCACATTTTCTGCAAAAAACAATTGTTTTCTTGACCAACTAAGATAGCTATGCAATTTACCCTTCAGTTTCAGTAACTCCGAAACTCTTTTCTTTCAAGAGTTCAAAAAACCAAATTTGTCCGATTTCCCAGTCTCCTGAAAACAAATATTCATCTTATATGATTACTGTAATATGTCGTACCTATAACCATGATGTCGTATGTAGGAAACCATTTCAAACCGTTTGGTTGAACTTTTGGATCTTTGAAATTATATTGAATCGGTTCTGAAACTGAAAAAAATTTAAATCTTCGTATTGTTCAGAGATGTCTATCTTACCACCAGATGTTGATTGAAAAAGTTCGAAAAGTTCCGGATAAACATTAATCAAGTCTTGGCTATGATTATCTCTAAGTTCCTGAGCTTGATATGCTTTAATAGAAATAACATCCAATTCTTTTGCGATGCGAGCTGTTGTTTCATTTCTATAAAGATTCATCAAATGATTCAGCTGTTCTTTACTTCTTCGACAATAATCTTCTATCTCTTTCCGAAACTTTTCATAGTATTCATCAATCTTTCTGTTTTGATCATCCTGTTTCTTTTTCAACTCTTCCTCGATTTTCCTAGAGAAAAAAAATTGACAAAATCGCTGACAAACAATTATTGCTCACCCTTTCATTTCGTTGCTTTTATCAGATTCAATCAATTTTTTATCAATGAACATTTCCACTTGTTTATTCAATTTTAAATTCGCATTCGCAATTGACATACTCCAACATTCCGGATGAAGTTCAACGAAGCAATTGCTGCACAATGTTTTGAGTTCATGAAGTGAGCATTCAGCGTTCTGTAAAAATTTTATGTAGGAGTCCTTCGAACTCTACTAAACATACATCACAAAACTTTGAAATTTTTTCCACATCACAAAGCCGACAGGTTGGCAGATTCAATTCTTCGACGTTTTCAACTACCACCGGATTTGGCACATTCAACGTCTTCAAAGTGGGACCTCCCCATTGCTCCCAATAAAACAACAGTGCTACATCTTGGTAAAACCAATCCAAGAGTGTCTTACACAATGAACGATACAGTTATTGCTGCATCAGAAGTTGTAAGAGACCTCGGGGTTTGGATCGATCGGAATCTATCATTTGATCACCACGTAAATACAGTGGTACAGAAAGCAATTTGGAAATCTCGTCAAATCATGAAAGCATTTCAATTCGGTCACCTGAATACTTATTTATTATTGTACAAAACTTATATATCACCAATCATAGATTACTGCTCTGAAATTTATCGTCCTCTGATATCTAAAAAGCTGAGTTTATTAGCTGAATCACCATTGCGGAGATATTCAAGATCTATCTTCCGCAGATGCAACATGTCTTATGAATCCTATGAGGATCGATTATTAAAATTGGAATACTTTAGTGCAGAAAGGAGAAGTTTAAACTCGGGGATCTTTACTTTCCTAGGGATTCTTGAAGGGTCCATTCACTTTCCCTCCCTTTGTACATTTGTTTGCAGGAAATATTGTCAACGTTTTCCACTTCAGCGGAGCCTAACAGAATTATGCCCAGTTAACAGTTTCTTTGGAAAAATCATCCCGGTCTGGAACGAAATTGTCAAAAAGGTCAAACCCAACATCAGCTCAAAGCAAATGCGCAATTTTATCCTATCCATACCAGATGCCAACCTCGTTGGTCCTTCCCAGAACCCTTGGCTCATGAATTCTCTTGTCCGGAATTGAGAGCCATTGTAATGTTAATTTATATTTATCTTTATTGTACTCTTTCTTGTGTCATATGCATCATACAATTGCCTGTATATATATCTATATATAATTTCATATTTACCGGTCCACATTACGAGTTTGATTTTGATTTCATGTAAATAAACTTATTATTATAACGTTTCATTGTGCAAGTTCTCCAAGACAAAATAGTTAGAAACTACTGTATTCAAATCCGATTCAGCTCGACATTTAAAACATGCAATTGTTGTTCTATTTTGAATATTGTGCTTCACACAACTATCGCAAAATGTATGACCACATTCTGAAAATACATATGTATTTCTTATTATTCTGAAAATAAATACTCACTTAAAACTTTCGGACAATTTACACCCTCATCATACTCTAAATAGCAAATTGAACAAGTGAAAATTGATTCGTTGTCCATTAGAAATATGTGAAGAAATTAGAACACCACATGAAAAATTGTTATCAATTGATGAAGCTCAAATGATACGAAACTGTCGGTTTATATACAAATAATTAGTCACAGTTATGGTTTCATAATATTTGGCCAGTGAAGATTTTTTGAACAAAACTTCGAAAAGATAACGCCGTGGAATTCAGAACCCTTGAAGAAAACACTTCCACATTTTTTGTGAGATCACAACACAGACGCAATCAAGATCACACTACATACAAAAAGCATGTTTCATTTTGTGATTATTCAGGTTTTTTATCGGCGTGCGAGGGATAATGATATTGCGTTTAAAAATGAACCAAAAAATCATATAAGAAAAAAATATGATACGCTGGGTAGTGTTGAGTGTATTTCTAATTGTGTGTGAAGCTTGTCACCCAAAAATCGAGCCGGTTACGACTACCACAGTGGCTCCTACGACACCTTCAACTACAGAGGCTACTACAGGTTGGTGAATATCGTAAAGCTGAAAATGTTCTATCAAAAAAAAAAATGAAAATTGCTCATGTTAGGCTAGCGCTTGTTCAAAAAGCACTATGTTTTCACAGGACCTCCATGCCCTGATGGTTGGACTCAATCTGATCGAAACGCAGGCACTTGGTGTCTACAGATGGTAGACCTTACGGATAAAACGTACACCGGGGCGCAAACTGCTTGCGCAGCTCTTGGTGGAGTTGTGTCATCAGCCGAAACACCGACAGAAATGACGCTGATTTTCTCGCTACGTCTACAACCTTATTCCTATATTATTCTGGGTGCTCAACTAACCGCAGATTGTCCGTGCACAGGATCAATCGTTTGCCCGGCGACAGCGACTTGTACAACACGAACAGCTTATGATTGGACAGATGGTTTTGTGACGGGTCGAGATGTTTTCGATGCTGCGCCGGCTGCGAGTTTCGCTGACACTCTGTACTATTCACCCGGAATTGAGTTGTATGTGAGCCCAGCGTCTTCTATGAGTTCGATTGGGATTAATGCAATTTGTGGAAAACAGGGAATGTAAATTTATTTTTCGATTCTAATTAAAATGTGAAAACACTTGTTCTGAAGCAGGAAAATAGTCAACAATTAAAATGAAACCCTCAAAAAAAGTTATCTCGAATTATCTCATGAATTTTCTGTACAGAATTTGCTAGTTGTTCTGGATCAATTGGGAAATATTTTGCACCTGGTTGATCTGTTATAACTGTGCAGTCTAATCCGGTGTTTGTATTCGCATTTTTTGTGAAATGAAATACATCTGAAAATCACAATCTGAAAATCATAAGCTTAAAAAAGGAGCAACCAACATTTTCTATCAAGTGTTGTAGTTTCTTCAAAGTAGAAAGTGAGTTGAGTTGCACCATAATAAAGCTTGCATTTCCTAAATATTTTTGTTTCGATTGAAAAAATTTCCAAAAAAATTACCCGTGGCTTTCAGTCACATCTAAACCCATGTTCTTTACCAGTTCAATAAACCTAGTTTTTCCTTCTTCCCAGTCTCCTGAAAACAAAAAATTGTAAATTTCTCTTGCTCAACAAAACCTGTCATCAAAATTGTGTACGAAGGAAACCACTTCAAACCGTTTGGTAGAACCTTTGGATTTTGGATTTGTGAAGGTATTGAAGTTGTTTCTGGAAAAAACTTCGAGTTGTTCCAGAATTTTTCATTTTTCTAAGTACCACCAAATTTGGGTTGCAGATGTTCGAATAGTTCTGTATAAGCGTTAACCAAATCTTCGCCTTTAGCACTTTGGATCTCTTGAACTTCATTTATCTCGACCGCAATTTTATTGAGTTCTAATTCAATAATACTTTCTTGTTCTATTCTTTTAAGTTCAAAATAATGTTTGAGTTGTTCCACACTTTTTTGATGATTCTTCTTCAGCTCATCTTGTAATTTTTTGTAATATTCTTCAATCTGTAATAAAATCTGTAATAAAACAGTGAATCAAATAAGAAATCAGTCTCACATGTCTCATTTGAAGATGTTGTTCTCTAGTAACCGTGTTATTGAAATTTCTGAAATGTTAAGAGAGGTTTTTTGTAAGAAGGGAAATTTTAGAATAAGGAGCTGCGCAAGCAAAAAAAAAGTTTTTCTGAAAACTTGTGTAATGATAGCCCCATGGATGGGCATCAATTTGCGCACAATATTATTGCTCAAAACCGCTTCACCATTGTGGTGGGACGGGTGAAAGCTGTAAGAGCGGTTATAGGAACTTTGCTCTCAGTTGATATTTTTTGATGATCTCAACGCCAAAGTACTTCTTTTGGCCTAAAAATGATTTTTCAAGTTTACCGCATAAAAATTGCACCATTTCTAATGGTGCAATCACACCATGTTGGTGAAAAACACCAATATTCGCCTTTGGCGTCAATTTCCGCACTCTCGCACTGGTTTTAAACGCTTCCTCGTCATTTTTTACATACCCTACATAATTTTCAGAAAAATAAACGGGACCCCTTTTTGGCAATTCCACCCCAAAGTTGGTCACCCAAGGTGTGCACCACAGCAGTTTTTCTCAAAATCACCCAAATTTTTGATTTTTTTTGTTTAAAAATAGTATTTTATGGTTCAAAGTTACTTTTATGTGAAAATTAGGAAGTTTTTGGGGCGAAAACGTGTTATTTCACGCATTTCACGTGAAAACTCACGTGAATTTTTTTTTCGAAAATTAAGTGTAAAAACGTGTTTTCTGGGGTTTTTGACTATGCTGATCAACGTGGTATCATTTATTTTTCTTAAAAATTTCATAATTAGCTATTTTCAGATATGTCATAAAAATGAACTCTAAAAAGTGAAACTTCCAGAGTGTTGTAAAACTCATTGAATTTAGAAATTTCGAGAAAAATAAATATTACCACGTTGATTCTCATAGTCAAAAACCCCAGAAAACACGTTTTTACACTTAATTTTCGAAAAAAAAATTCACGTGAGTTTTCACGTGAAATGCGTGAAATAACACGTTTTCGCCCCAAAAACTTCCTAATTTTCACATAAAAGTAACTTTGAACCATAAAATACTATTTTTAAACAAAAAAAATCAAAAATTTGGGTGATTTTGAGAAAAACTGCTGTGGTGCACACCTTGGGTGACCAACTTTGGGGTGGAATTGCCAAAAAGGGGTCCCGTTTATTTTTCTGAAAATTATGTAGGGTATGTAAAAAATGACGAGGAAGCGTTTAAAACCAGTGCGAGAGTGCGGAAATTGACGCCAAAGGCGAATATTGGTGTTTTTCACCAACATGGTGTGATTGCACCATTAGAAATGGTGCAATTTTTATGCGGTAAACTTGAAAAATCATTTTTAGGCCAAAAGAAGTACTTTGGCGTTGAGATCATCAAAAAATATCAACTGAGAGCAAAGTTCCTATAACCGCTCTTACAGCTTTCACCCGTCCCACCACAATGGTGAAGCGGTTTTGAGCAATAATATTGTGCGCAAATTGATGCCCATCCATGGGGCTATCATTACACAAGTTTTCAGAAAAACTTTTTTTTTGCTTGCGCAGGCTGTTTTCCGGTATTACAAAAAACGTCTCTTAACAAAACAAAGTTACACTAACTTACTCTTGTAATTTATTGACATTCTCAATTTCCTCACATTTTTTCTCAATAAACGATTCCACTTGTTTATTCAACATTTTATTCGCATTTGGAATTGAGATACTCCAACAATTTGGATGATATTCATCGAAACATTTTTTGCACAAAGATTTCAGTCCATTATATGAGCAATAACCGTTCTACAAAATCACTTGTATGCTTGAAAATCGTTCAAACTAACACTACAAAACACTGCAATTTTCTGTTCCAAACATAAGTTACACGTAGCAATTCGATCTCTTGAAGTTGGATGATTGATATTCGACGAGATCACAAAATTGGAACGTATATTATTGAGATCAGATTTTGCTCGACATGTAAAACAAAGAACTGTTTGCTTATTATTTTCTGTTTTCTTATTTTTCAACAAACAATCATTGCAAAATGTATGACCACATTCTGAAATTCATTGTTAGAAGTTCTAACTTAGAAAACATTTCATTAGGATTTGCTTACCTAAAACTTTTGGACACTTTTTCATTTTGATCAAATCTTTCACAACAAATCGAACAGCCGAGAATCAAGGAATCTAGAGAAATCTGATCGGCCATAGCCAGAAAATATACATTATGATACAAAAACTATCATAAATAAGTGATGTAACGATTTCATAATTGTAGGTTGGTCTTAATTGTTTGAGAGATTTGAAGATCGTGTTCTTTTGTTGATTTAAGAAAGTACACAAATCAGTCTTTCACAACATTAACAATTATGATACAGGAAATATTGTGAAAAACATTTCATTTTTTATGAATTTCAGCAGCTTAATTTTTTGAACGGCTTTCTGGCCTTCGAGGGACAATTTTAAGAGATTTTTTTTTAACAGAAAATTTATTTTTTTAACGTAACAATTTTACAACAAACGTAACAACAATACAACAGAAAAATAGGATATTCAAAAAAAAATTTCAAAAATAAACAGATGGTGGGTAAAATTGAGGAAAGGGAAGTTATTATTGGACCAGGATCACAAAAAAATTCAACTTATTTTTTGTTGTTTTCGTGTCTCTGATTGGCAGAAGAATTTTGCGAAGATGACGGTTGATTCGGTGAATTATGGGGCCATGAACTTTCATGCGTACGCTTGATGATTACACCATCCTTTGTAACTTCAAAGTGCTGTAAGAAAAAACATCCAAAGTCTGATCACAAAACATTGATTAACTCACATTAGTAGTGCAGTTCAATTCATTACTTTGAGAATGTCTCATAACAGTAATTGAACAATTGTTGCAATGAAAAAGTTGTGTATTAATTTGAGGAATGTTCCATGATGACCAGGAATGTTGTTGAGTGAAATTTGGATGACCCGGAAAATGTGGTGGAACACTAGATGATGTTTTGTGCGATGGAGCTTCATCCAGATTCGACAAAATGATAAAGTTTGAAACTAGTCTACTCCAATCTGATTTGAGACGACATTTGAAACATTGAACGGTCTCTATATTGTTTTCGGTTTTCTTGACTGCTAACAAACAACTATTGCAGAATGTATGACCACATGCTGTAAATTGATTAATTTCAATCAGAAAAACAATGTTTGAATTGACTTACGCAAGACTTTTGGGCAATTTTTATCATAGTTGAAGTTCTGGTAACAAATTGAACATTCAAAAATTGATTCAGGTGGCATTGAGCTCACAAGAAGAGGGATCAGAATGATTTTTTTTTCAAAAACTCATCTGACCACGCCCATTTTGTGGGGGGGTCCGACGGAATAAATAACTCAAGTTACAAGGTTTCGGTCAAACAGATGCGCGAAATAGTGAAATATAATTTATGAGTTGACAAAAGAGACAAAGAAAAAATCCAGATGTGAGTTACAACCCAAACGCATTTTTGAGACTTGAAAAAATTTATGTGGGACGCTAAAATCAACAAATCAATGCGAAAGTAGATTGACAAGGACACTTTTTTTTGATTTACCACGAAAAAGTTTTTGAGCTCTAGATGTGGAACGCGAGACAAAAAATAATTTGATTGGTTTATTGAAAAATTCAATTTCAAGTTACTGATTGTGAAAATCAAAGTTCAAGTATGTAGAAACGGAAAAATTATTCGATATTGTTTTTCGATATTTAAATAAAATCGATGCAATTTCAGAAAGTGCTTCCATATTCTGAAAATTTGACCTTTGCAAAGAAATTGCGTTTGTATTAGTCGAAGGTTCTTGCGGCAAATTTGACAATATGATGAAGTTTTTGACTGTCTTATTCCACTCTGATATTGCACGACATTGAAAACACCTGACAGATTCTGTTTTCTTATCTGCCAACAAACAACTATTGCAAAATGTATGACCACATTCTGCAAATTTATGTAGTTTTTATCTAAATTATTCTGAATTTTGAACTCACGTAAAACTTTTGGGCTATGTATAGTTTCATCAAATTTTTCACAACAAATTGAACAATCGAAAATCGATTCAGACATTATTGGGAAAAAGTTCGAAAAGTTATCAATTTGAGAGAATGCATGATAAAAATTGATTTAAATACGGCCAAAATTGGGAACAGAAAAATTTCATAAAAAGGCACACTTTTTTGCAAAACGTTTTTTGGCTGAAACTAAAAATCTGATTTTCGGAGCGACTTAGAATTTCCGATGCCAGCATATTTTTATGGCTGAAAATTGAAAATTTTACTTCTTAAAATTTATTATGTGACATTAACAGAAATAGAACAATTTGTAACTTGAACTATACTAGACAATTGTAAAAAATGGCATCATTTGCATTCAACATAGAAGCACCAGAACAATCTGGATGAGCTATTCCGAAACATGTTTCGCACAGCATTTTGAACTCATTTGAGCACCCATCGTCCCGCAAAAAAAAACTGTGTCCTGTAAAAAACTAAAAACCTGATATCACAACGTACATTGCAAATCATTCCCACTGTATTTGTTGTACAAAAAGAACACAGCGGAAGAAGATTGGATTCTTGACAATAAGTATTTGTGTCAGTACTCGGAGTTGCATTAGCCAAAACTACAAAGTTTGTGACAATTTTGGCGAATTCCGATTTCTCTCGACATTGGAAACATACAATATTTGCATTCTTGTTTTCATTCTCCCAGAGTTTTAGCAAACAACCATTGCAAAATGTATGACCACATTCTGCAAATCTATTATCGAAAACCTCATCGGTACCACGCGCTCCACCGAAATAAAAACGCAACGCAGACCGCGCCGCGCTATAACACACACACAAATAAGAGCACGATTCAAATCTCCTCCCTTTTTTGTGTGTGTTGTGGCGCGGCGCGGTCTGCGTTGCGTGTTTATTTTGGTGGAGCGCGTGGTATCGATGAGATTTTCGATAATACAACTAAACATACTTTTTTTTAAAATTAACTCACGTAAAACTTTTGGGCAATGTATTGTTTCATCAAATTTTTCACAACAAATTGAACAATCGAGAATTGATTCAGACATTGGAAATGTACAATGAGAAAAAAAAAGAATTGCTCGAGAATTTATCAATTTTGGAAAAAAAGAACAGAAAAATTTCATAATTTTCAAAAAAAAACAACAATTCCCTTATCTTCTCCCAGCCAATCAATCAGCAAAGCAGCCACTATATCAACAATTTTAAACGCGTCTCGTTCACTGGGCGTCGTGGCGGGCGTCTGTGAGCCAGCTTCTAGGCAGTAGATGAGTGTGGATGAAGTGAGGGAAGGAGTTCTGTGAAAGTTGTCGGCAACGGCGACCGAGTGTCCGTGCCAAGCGCTGCGTCGCCAGGGTTATGACGGGGGAGCCCGATGTATACCCGGGCGGATAAGGAGAGGCGTACGGCTCAGGGCCGATGAGGCAGCAGGCAAAAGCATCCGCGCGGTGCAGTGGCCGGATAGCACTTGTGAGTTGCACCACTTTCACAGCCTTTCCGATATCTTCAGACCACTTGTCGCCCTTTTGCAAAATTGGGTCTTGTTTTCAGAATTTTACTTTTTATCGCCTAGAAATCAAGTTATAAGAAAAATTGTTTCTGAAAGCTTAGTTGAATATTTTCGAAATTTTTCAGTTCCAGATTTTTATGTATAATGTTTTCAAACATAGGAAGTCTTCTGATGAAAAATCACTTTTTGAAGAAAAAAATCAATATTTTCCCACATTTTTTGATCTCCCAAAACAAATTCCCTATTTTTTTGACCTGACTCAGTCAGACTACATTGTACCCTTCCCCTCTTTGTAGCCTTCTCTCTTTTTTCTTATCAACCATTCGCATTTTATTTTGTTTTTCATTTATTTTCATATATTTTCTCCGTTTTTTCAGAATGAGTTCTGTAAAATGTCATCGATTCGAAGGCAAAGTCGCCATCGTCACAGCCGCCACTAAAGGGTATGTAGGTCAAATTTTCGCGCCCAAAATTATTAAAATTTTCTAGAATTGGTTATGCGATTGCTGAACGATTGGGTTTGGAAGGTGCGAGTATTGTGATCGGAAGCCGAAATCAGAAAAATGTGGATGAGGCGGTGGCACAGCTCAAAGCCAGGGGTGTTAAGAATGTGGCGGGAGTTGCTGGACATATTGCAAGTGTTGAGGTTCAGCAGAAGATTGTGGATTTTGTGAGTTATGACTTGGCAGTTAGAAAAATCTAAAAGTTATTCTGAAATTCTGAAAATTGCTTTTAAAAATTAACAAAGTTTTGAAAAATATTGACGGAGTATTTTAAAATTGTTCAAAAGTCTCAGATTTCCAGACCCTTCAAACCTTTGGCAAAATCAACATCCTAATCAACAATCACGGCATCAACCCAGCCTTTGGTCACATTCTCGAAGTCAGCGATCAAGTCTGGGACAAACTCTTCGAGGTCAACGTGAAAGCCGGCTTCCAGATGGCAAAACTCGTCCACCCTCATATCGTCAAACAAGGCGGCGGTTCAATAATCTTCAACGCCTCCTACAGTGCCTATCACAGTCCACCAGGAATCGCTGCATACGGTGTCACCAAAACCGCTGTAGTCGGGCTAACTCGCGCCCTGGCCATGGGCCTCGCCAAGGACAACATCCGTGTTAACGGAATTGCCCCAGGAGTCATCAAAACTAAAATGAGTCAAGTGCTTTGGGAAGGTGGCGAGGAGGCGGAGAAGGAGTTGACCGAAGTTCAAGAGATTGCGTTGGGAAGACTTGGAATTCCGGAAGATTGTGCTGGAGTTGTGGCATTTTTAGCGTCTGATGATGCGAATTACGTGACTGGTGAAACGATTGTTGTTGCCGGAGGTGTTCAGGCAAGAATTTAAATGTACTTATTAATTTTGAACGCTAAATAAAAGGCTTGAAAAATGAGATCCTATTATTACATAATGCACAATTCATAAATTAGATGAGCCAAAAGTACATCTGTGGTGCTCGCTGAGGCGCTGGAAGTACTGTAGATTGAGTGACTTGTGGTCGACTGGTGGTTGGAAGTTGGATCAAGGGCACAACACATTTACAATCGTGGAGGAAGATGTTGCCGAAGTCGTGGCATTTTCCGCACCTAAAATGAATTTTTGGGTGAATCTGAAGTTAAAAAATTCAAAAATCTGAACCGAACCCACTCACCAATTCAAATTGAAAACATCTTTACACGAATTCGTCAGCCAATCCCAACCGCATCCTAATTGCTCGTGATTTTCTGAGCCTGTACCAGTTGCATGAACGGCTCCCTGAGTTGCTGCAACTGCAGTAGGAACCACTGGAGCTTGTCCGACAAGTTGTCCTTGTCCCAGCGTTCCAGAAATCACCGGGGCTTGTGCTTGTCCTATCTGTCCCTGTCCCAAAGCTCCAGGAACAACTGAAGCTTGTACCGCTGGGAATAACGGGTTAGAAGGTTGATGTGGAATCGCACTATCTATGGGTGTCTGTGCTGGATATATAGTGACTGGTGGTACCTGGGTGAACACCATTGGTGGTTGCGGTTGAAGACCACCGGCTTGCACAGTTTGGAAATGCACTCTTGGAGGAGAGGCGGCTGCCTTTTCAACGATAGAGTTTTGCTCAGGCATTTGTGTGGTTGTCGAGGGGACTGGTGGCTGTGTTGTGGTGGGTAGGGGTGTGGTCTCGCCACGAACCGACATTGTCGTGCGCTCGATTCCTTTGGCGTGCTGGAAAATTTTTTTTTGAGAAGGATTTATAGTTCACGGGACCTCGCTAAGTACAAGCTGAAAATTTTGAATATTCTAATTTTTAATCTACACCAGACTGGATTTTAGGCTATACCAGACTGGATTTTAGGCTATACCAGACTGGATTTTAGGCTTAGTTAGGCTTATACCTTTTCAAAACTATTTTGTTTTTCTAAAGCTCTTTATTTTCTGAAAACCCCTCTTTATTCCACAGCAAACATTTTTTTGTTGAGAATCTTTCGCTGCAAAAATTCAAAAAAATCGGAATCTTTTCCTATCCCTTTTTCGTCTCGCGTCTCTTCTGCACACACACTCTCTCGTTTTCTCTCACGTGTGGCTGTTTTTTTCGCTGTGCCTTTAAAAAACCCCGTAAAAAACCCACGTCACTAGCATCAGCTTCAGTTATACTCTGCAAATCATTATTAGCCATTTTCTTCTCATCATGCTTCTCAGCATCATATTTATAAGAAACAATTTGTACACTATCCGAAGGCAGTGGAACATTTTGAATATCATGTGTAGTCGCAGATTGCACCCGCTTGTGAAATCTTCCGCTCGCACGGTATAATCTTGGCGCGTTGAATCCGCCTTGCGTCGCATCGCGGAAAACACGAGAGCGAATGCGGGAGGAGAACTTGCTTGAGGGAAGCACCTCGTTCTGTGGACCTTCTTGCGCTGCTGGATGGAGGGGTTCGGAGAAAATCAGGGTGATAATTGAGAGTAGTATTAGAGGGATAGGTAATCGGGGAAGCATTTCTGAAAAGAAATTTTAAAAATTTGAAAAAACTCCCAACCCAGAAAAAATGTATAAAAGCTTATAAGAAAAATTTCCTCAATGTTACCACGAATGACTGAAAAGTGAAAAGGCAGATGAGGAAATCGGGTTTCTTTTTTGGTTGCGGTAAACGATTTATCCCTTTTCACCTTTTTCCTCTCAAAAATTTTTGTGTGTGTTACATTTGGGCATGTTAATGTTTATCTGATCTTTCTGATCATCTCATGATCATAAAAAAAAGGCGAGGTGACAAAATAAGCTGTGTTTTTTTTCGTGGAAGTTGGGAAGTGTGTAATTTTTTGTGGTTCGAAATCTAATTGGATTACTATAACTTGAATTGGATTAAATTTAAGGGGAAATTCAGAAGTTTTTTGAATTTTGTTTCAGAAACTTGAATAAATCAAAAAGTTCCTAATAAATTCCACGTGGATTTCCGAAAAAGTTCAAACTACACCGAAAAAAAATGCAAGCAGGTAAAAGCTTGAACCGGTCAACAAAAGTCAAAAATGAGAAATGAAAGCAGCAAAAAGATTGATTGACCTAGATGAAAAGTGAATTGGATTAGGTTAGAGAAATTCGTGAAATGAGAGAAGAAGAAATGGGAATAGAATAAAATTATTATTCGAAAAATGTTTCAATGTATGACAGAAGAAAAAGAAAAATTGTGTAGGCTTAGGGCAAAAGCTTGGGATTTTTTGTTGTTGAGAAGGCGAGGAAATTAAAAGATTATGTAGTTGAGAAAACAGGTATGATCGGGGAAGAAGACATCAGGAGATTTGATGTGAGATGAACTAGATGGATTTTTGAGAGAGAGAGAATTCAGAGATTTGTGACAAGTTTGTTGCACATTTTTAGGCAAAAATTTAAAAGATTTCATTGAAAATTCAAAATCAGAATCACACTCAGAATCTGGCTTGCGCTCCTCCACCAATAATCATAGTCTCACCAACCACATAATTCGCATCATCCGACGCCAAAAACGCGACCGCTCCAGCACAATCATCCGGCTCACCCAAACGACCCAACGCAATTCCAGTGAGCTCTGCGATTTGCCTCTCCGCCTCCGGTCCCGCCTCCCAAAGCGGTCTGCTCATCTCAGTTTTGACAACACCGGGAGCAATTCCATTAACCCGGATGTTGTCCTTGGCGAGGCCTATAGCGAGAGCGCGAGTCAGCCCGACTAATGCAGTCTTGGTGACGGCGTAGGCTGCGAATGCTGGTGGCGAAAAGTAGGCGCTGTAGGAGGCGTTGAAAATAATCGCACCACCACCTTGGTTTTTGATATGTGGTTGGACGAGTTTTGTCATTTGGAAGCCGGAAATTACGTTGAAGTTGAATAGTTTGTTCCATTCTTCATGGGAGACTTCAAGAATATTACCGATTGAGAGATTGATGCCGTGATTGTTGACGAGAATGTTGATTTTGCCAAAGGTTTGGAGGGTCTGAAAAGTTGGATGGGTTGGAAAATGAAAACTAATTTTGGCACAACAATTTTTGTTCAATCAAAAGGTTTCGCGGCAAAAATTTTAAAAAAGTGGACGGAATCTGTTCCTATCCCTTTTTCGTCTCGCGTCTCTTCTGCGGTCACACTCTCTCGCCTTCTCTCACGTGAAATTGTTGTTGTCACTTTGGTATAGTGGTTAGCGAGCTCGCGTTTGCTTCACAAGGTCGCGGGTTCGATTCCTGGCCGCTGCAGATGTTTTCTAGTGTTTTTTTCTGAATGGGAGTATGTTTTTCAGATTCCTGAAAGTTGAATTGAATTTTTGACCGAGAAATTTAGAGTTGAAACTTGTGTTTTGAGAACCTGAACTTTCAATAGGACTTAATGGACCAGTCCAAAAAAACTCACAAAATCCACCAATCTCTTCTGCTCCACCTCCTCTCCAATATCCCCGGCCAAACCCGCCACATTCTTAACACCCTTGGTTTTGAGTTGCGCCACCGCCTCATCCACATTTTTCTGATTTCGGCTTCCGATCACAATACTCGCACCCTCCAAACCCAATCGTTCAGCGATAGCTAACCCAATTCTAGAAAAATTTCATGGAAATAATTTTTGGCGCGAAAATTTGACCTACCCCTTGGTGCCGGCTGTCACAATAGCCACCTTGTTTTTGAAGCGACGACATTTGTAGCTTGAAGAACTCATTTCAAAATGATTTTCAGAGGTTCTGAGCCGCGCTTTTAAGCAATATTTACAGCCTTGTAAAAAAAAGATAAGAATCTCGTAAATTTTTATTTTTATTGATAGAAATCTGATAATAATTTAATAATAAAAATCATAAAATTTTATTGTATTGGCAGCGCTTTCGATTTACAGCACACACTATGACCGAGACGTTTTGAAGGTAGACATCTGAAAATTTATGGATCTCTAGGGGTACTGTAATTCTAAGCTACTGTAGTTACCGTTTGTGAGACATTGGACACGAATCAATAGCTGGCGGCACACATTTCGGTGTCATCACACCATCGAAATATTCATCACCGTCCGAGCAAATGAAATCGTCTTCAGCTGGAAAATTTTTGGGAATTTTGAGATGAATCAGTGGAGAGCTTACTGAAATTGAAGACGAATTTTTGGGGAGCTGATCTTGTGTGCTTTTTTGGATTGGAATTTCGGTTGGAATTTGAGTTGTTGGAATTCCGGTTGGAATTGAAATTATTGTTGGAATTGCTCGAGTTGTTGGAATTGTTGTTGTGACCTTCTGAAAAGTTTTTGAAATTATTTTGGAGATCTTTCTTGATCTTTTGAACTCACGTTTCCTTTTTCCAAATGAAATATTTTTCTTCTTCTGATTCTGATTCTGATTCTGTCCATTTCCATTTCCACCTCGATTTTGATTTTGATTATTCCCATCATCATTTGGTCTGAAGTTTCCACGTCTTCCCTGATTTCTAGGTCTTCCATTCCCATTTCCACCTCCAGTTTTCCGGAACTTTTTGCACAGAGGCTTTGGCTCGGGGATCGGTGGCAGTGGGATATTGATATTCCCTCCATTATTCCCGCTACCAGAATTCGAGGAACATCCATTGCGATTGTTATTGTTGGAACATCCATTTCCTGAACATCTTCCACCACAGTTTTGATTACACCCTCCGCCACAATTCGAGCAGCCTTGATCTTCTTCATCATCACCGTCTTCATCATCTTCATCTTCGTAGCGATGTTTTTTGGAGGCTGGTCCACTACATCCAGATCCTGAACAACCTTGGGATGTGCCGAAGTTGGAATTGGAGGCTGCAAAACTTCCCAGATCTGAGTTGGAGTTCTGAGAATTTCCAAAATTAAAATTTTGCTTGCCACATCCGGATCCTGAACAGCCTTGCGATGCTCCTGAGCTTCCGAAGTTATTAGAACTCTGGCTACACCCAGGCCCTGAGCAGCCTAGATCTGAGTTGAAGTTTGAGTTCTGGAAGCTTCCGAAATTATTGTTGGAGTTGTCAGATCCTCCGAAGTTATTGTTGTCATTTGAGTTCGCTTCAAAGTTGGAAGATCCTGAACTCCCGAAGTTGTTATTCGAAGATCCGAAATTGTCATTTGAAGATCCTGAACTTCCGAAGTTGTTGTTGGAAGATCCAAAATTATTATTCGCATTTCCAGAGTTCCCTCCAAAGTTTGAGTTAATATTCTGCCCGCATCCAGATCCACTACAGCCCTTCGAATTCTCCCCAAAATTATTATTAGAGTTCCCCATGTTGAAATTCTGTCCACAACCATTGCCCGAGCAAGAAGATCCAGACTTCTTCAAGCTCCCAAAAGTCTTGCGATCAGATTTTTCCGATTTCTCCACTCTAAAACTAGTCTCCGGCTGATAGGTCGATCCACAATCATCACCATTACAACTCTGAGGCAATCGAACCTTCTCGAAGTTTGCGTTTCCAATCTCCTCGCCATCATTCAACATCCCACCGAAACCGCCTCGCCCCGAAGGTCGGAATGGTCTTGGGATCAATGGTTTGGGCGCGGGAATCATCGGAAGTCCAGCTGGTGGCACATCAACACCTCTTCCACAGCAAATAAATCGGCGGATTTCACGATTGAACTCGCATTTGAAACCATTCAGACATTGCTGGAAATAACAATCCCGCAATCGATTACCGTAATCTATAAGTACTGTATCCGATGGGTTGTTGCATTGTGGAAGTCTAGACGTGGGAACCCTTTGGGTAGTCGTAATTTCTGGCATTTCTGTTGTAGTAGTAACCAGCGGCCCTTTGCGACCTCTTGATTTCTTAGGCCTCCTGGTAGTCGACTCGAATTCCCACTCGATTTCCTCTTCCTCTTCGGGTTCTGATTCATCTTCTGGTTTTCTTCCAGGTTTCCCTACAACATTCTTCGTGCTTATCTCATCATCCTCATCTTCCTCATCTCCCTCATCGGGAATCGGGAAAACCTTCTCCTCGACCTGATCTACAATCACGGGCGGTTTACGTTTCCCCATCTTGATGGGTTGCGAATCAGCGTCGGGGTGCGACTCAGACCAACAACAATAGTCCTGAAATTCAGAATCCTATGGAGAGGCAACTTGGGGAAGGCGCGGGGAGAAGTTCCCCGAAACTCACCTGAAATCCCGGAATCAAAATTGGAAACCTCTCACATGCCGTGCCACCCGGACAACTTGTCTCATTATAAACTCCCAGTTGTTGGGTGCAAAGTTGCAAATCACCACTGATCGGGTGGATATAAACTTTATTTCCTGAAACAGAGAAAATTAGGGGGCTCTTGGGAGGTTAAAAATCTGCGAGCTTACCACTTGGACAACTAATTCCAATTCCCGCGTCGGCAAACATTTTCATATAACTAACAGCATCTAATAAAATGGGAAAATGTACAAAAAATATTACAAATCTGATCATGTCTTAATTAAAATATAATCTATGGAGCTCTTTGGGGGATATTAATAAAATGGCATTCGCGCGCCCGGAAATCATAGACACACAAAATGTCCCGCCCTTCAGTGAAAACCCGACAAAATAAACAAACATGACATTTTTTGTGCCGTTTTATTTCCATTCTAATTATTAGATTATGAGACAATAACAAATAAAAACAAACGGAAGAGTGATAAAAGTGTCAAAAAAAATGAGAGAAATGAGGTTTGGGGTTCAAAAACTTTTGTTTTTCGAGCACATGAGATTTTAATAATAATCAGCTTTCATTCCACATAAAACACCGTGTACTGGATCGTCATTACCAATATCATCCATCAATGCAGTTACCGTATTCATCACCGCCCATCTTTGCGAGAATCCAGTTCCCGAATTGTATAACAAATTATCCGGCTGACCTCCAGCCCATACGAAACCGTCCGTCCCAGTGGTCTCACCATCATTCCATACAAACGCAGTGGTTCCGGAGCACACGGCGTTCAACGGTTGGTAGTCACATGAGGATACGCGCTGGGCACCCAGGAAAATACGTTGCGCGTAACTGCGTTCTGCTAACGCGGCTGCACTTGCCACTCCGATTTCGCTGGCTGTTTGAAAACCGCTTCGCACTGCGTCTGCGTGAAGAGTTGGGCAGACTGAATCCACATCTAGATAAGTGGTATAGCCCCAGTAAACTCGGATACACCAAGAGTAGGTGCCTCGGTCGATCAATGTCCAATCAGTTGTGATGCACGAGAGAACTGGGGTAGTTGTTGTTGTGGTTGTTGTTGTAGTTGTGGTTGTCGTAGTTGTCGTGGTCGTGGTCGAGGTGCTCGAGGTACTTGTTGGAGTTGTAGATGTTGTTATTGTGGTGGGTTCCGGTGTGGTTGCTAGAATTGTAGATGTTGTTATTAGAATTGTAGATGTTGTTATTGTAGTGGGTTCCGGTGTGGTGGCTAAGAAATGTATGAGTTTTGATGGAATTTCAGATTCTCAACAATTCAAATTCCAACAAAAAAAACTTACGCGGCTCAATATCCTGTGTCGGAATACAGAAATCACCACAAATTGCAAAATATACCAGAAAGATGCTGATTATAAGGAACATGATCGTATTATTCTCAACAAATGATAAAAAACACTTCCTCGTGCTTCTCTCATCCGGCCCTACATATTTGTTAATGCCACACACACACACTTACAATGATCGGGTTTTTTGGGGGGAGGTATGTAAGGTTTATGAGATATGTGAGATAACATTTATAACGTTTCAAAGTGTGTATGTCACAAAATATCACGAGGGATCTGTAGACTTCAATTTTTTAAATGTCAGAATCCGTAATTTTTCCTAAATAAAGCCAACAAGTTATGTTATGACAATGATAAACAAACAAAGTTAGTTCCTTGTTCTGCTTCCCAATCAGGGCTGGTCGGAATCGGAATATCGGAATTCCGAAATTCCGAAAATCGACGTTTTTTCGGAAGTGTAGTTTAGTCGGAAGCACTTCCGAAAGAAAAACTCGGAATTGCTTGAATTCCGACTCTCGTTCCGATTCTTTTTTATTCATTCCGACTTTTTTGTCGGAATCACTTTCGAAAAAATTTCGGAATATCGGAATATATGATTTTATAAAGAAAACTTTATTTTGAGGCTGAAATGATGGTGAAAAATTTCTTAATAATCGATAATAGACACAAATTTGTTGTCTTTCATAAACTAAAGAACAAGATTCACTTTTTCGCAACTATTTTCACTATAATTGTTCTGATAACTCATCGAAAAATGACGTTTTCCAGTTTTTTCCTGCGCATTAGGACTTCCGAATTTCTTTCGAAATTCCGAAAAAAAAAGTCGGAAGAAAAAATCGGAATTCCGAACTATCGAAAAATTATTCGGAATAAGAAGTCGGAATGCCGAAATTCCGAAAATAAAATCGGGAGTGAAAATGGGACTTCCAAAATTCCGAAAGGTCAATTCCGACCAGCCCTGTTCCCAATCCCGTCTGACTTCGTACAATCACATCCAAACATGACTTTGACAAATGTAGCTTGGTTTATATTGTATCATCTTTTCTGACGTTGCGTCAAAATTTTGCGCCAACGGGTTTGCTGGATGAATGAATGAAATATAAAACACAAAGTGAAATATAAAACACAAATTTTTAGAAAAGTTTATTACAATTAATGCACATTTCCCCGTTTTCGATCAATTTCCCAAAAAATCAATAATACTCGGCTTTCATTCCACATAAAACACCGTGTACTGGATCATCGTTACCAATATCATCCATCAATGCAGTAACTGTATTCATCACCGCCCATCTTTGCGAGAATCCAGTTCCCGAATTGTATAACAAATTATCCGGCTGACCTCCAGCTCATACGAACCCATCAGTCCCAGTTGTTACACCATCATTCCATACAAACGCAGTGGTTCCGGAGCAAACTGCGTTCAACGGTTGGTAGTCACATGAGGATACACGCTGGGCGCCCAGGAAAATACGTTGCACATAATTGCGCTCTGCTAACGCGGCTGCACTTGCCACTCCGATTTCGCTGGCTGTTTGAAAACCACTTCGCACTGCGTCTGTGTGGAGAGTTGGACAAACTGAATCGACGTCGAGATAGGTGGTATAGCCCCAGTATACTCGGATACACCAAGAGTAGGTGCCTCGGTCGATCAATGTCCAATCAGTTGTGATGCACGAGAGAACTGGGGTAGTTGTTGTAGTAGTTGTGGTAGTTGTGGTTGTGGTTGTCGTAGTTGTCGTGGTCGAGGTGGGTTCTGGTGTGGTGGCTAAAAATTTCAAATTCATCCCATCGCTCTACAAGGCTAACAGCCTCTAGAAAAAAAACTTACGCGGCTCAATGTCTTGTGTTGGAATACAGAAATCTCGACCATTTGCTAGAATCATTAAAATAATGCTGACGAACAAGATCATGATCGTCTGGGAATGATAAAAAAATATGCAAAAATCACTTCCTCGCTTTTTCTCTCAACCGGCCCTACATATTTGTTAATGCCACACACACTTACAATGATCGGGTTTTTTTGGGAGTGGTAGGGTTTAAGGGAGAGATAAAATTCATATAGTTTCAAAACAAAATATCACAAGGCTTATGCACATAGATAGTGCATGAATCTCAGAAATCCACAATTTGTGTACTTTCTGATTGTCAGTTCTAAAACCTGGGTGACTCAAAAAAGGTCCGTAATTTTTGTCCGAATTTGAATTCCAGAATCCCCCGATCTACAGTAATAAAAACATTAATCGAATAGACTGCCTGATATTATTCTAAAAGTTTGATCATAAGTTATCATGAATCAACCAACAATACAGTATCTCTAAACTTGTAAGCTTGTTATCATAATAATGATAAGCGAAAAAAATTACTTCCTTGTTTTTTCTTCTCCCGCCTGATTGTTCAATCTCATACTATCACATCCAAACAAGACAGCGATGAACGTAGCTTGGTCGTTTTCAAAAGTGATGTCGAAAATTTGCGCTGACGGGTTTTTTTTCATCTTGGGAGACAATATACAACACAAAGATCTTGATTGTTTTCTCTTCCACAGAAATAAAATTTTTTAAATCTTTTTGCAACTTTTTTTTGGAAAAAAAAGTGCCAGAAATTCTGAAATATTTGAAAATTTATTTTTAATACACAGCTAAAAAAAAAAGAAGAAAATACATTAAACACTTTAGTTACGTACTCCCCCCCTTTTTTCCAAAAAAAAAAGAAAAAAAGTGGGCGGTGTCCAAAATGATTTTCGCCAAAGTGCGGCGTGTGTGTGTTGCATGCGCACGGTTTTTTCTTTATTTTTTTTATTGTTTGCAAAGCTTCATTTTTCAAAAAAAAAGCGCTTGTACCCAATGGAAAAGAGGAAATGCAATATAAAATGAAGAAGTAAAGCAATTCTCAATTGTAAATGAAAAAAGAAATCGAGAAAATAACGAAATTCGCAGTCAAAAGTAGCAAATATGGTTGAAAAAAGATATTTGTTTTATTTTCGACTTTCTAAATTGACATGTTGATCTCAAAAACAACATTTAGAAAGAATAAAACACGTTTGACGTTAAACAAATAGTTTTGTGTGAAGATTTTTGAAAATTTAATTTAATATCCTAATTTATCATGAGTAGAGAATTTATTGAATTTCTGAGAATCTATATTAATATCAACTTTTGATTGAATTCTTGAAGGTTTCATTATTTCAAAAAATATTTTTGATATCAAAATCTAATTTTCGGTGTTATCGAAGTTTTCAGATCAAAAATAAACAATTTAAAAATTAGAAGTCGCAAAAATAAAACATGGAAACATTTATTAATGTTTGCAAAAATGTGAAAAATATAAACAGAAAACACACGAATTTACAGAACAAATAGATTTTAACGAGTTATTTTGAGTGTGGGAAGTCCATTTTTGTTTTCTTTTTCGTTTTTTTGTGTCATTTTTTAGTTCAAATTCTAATGTTTATCCATAATATTTTTTTTCGAAAATCTTCATCATTACACGGAAGCCAATCAACATATCCCATTCCAAAAAATAATTAAACGAACGAATCATTTGTCATTCAATCTGAAAATAACTTCATTGACCTACGGGATTATGATTATACGGAACAATATTCGATTAAAAATTACCTATCACAGTCGAATCAGGTGTACTTTCCAAAATTGATGCGGTTTGTGCGCTTGAAATAGCCCTTTCTTCAACCAATTAACTTGATAGAACCTGAATGATGTAAATTACCTACGGATAATTTCGTTTACGGAACAATTTTTGATAAAAAATTACCTTTGATACAAAATGTAGAGAATCGTCCAAAATAGTGTGTTAAAAAATCATTGAAGTAGTTCGCCAGTGAATCTCGATTTGGAGATGAAATGACATAATCTATAAAGTTAAAAGTAGTTAAAAATCCCAAAACTGTGAAAAGTTTTTTAAAAAAAGTTTATAAAATTCTCCTATCTGAAAATATTTCACTGAAAATGATAAATAAGAAGTTTAAACTGTTAAAAAGTGGTATGACTTGCGATCAAGGTGGTATATTCACTCAAAATAACCGAAGTCACCGTTTAAACAATGAAAAATATGAGAAAACACACAAAATCTGTTGTACCGGCCAAAAAAAAAAAATTATGCAACAAACACACACGCGCGCCGCACATTGCCAAAACCGTGTGCAACGCTTACCGAATAGGCCACGCCTCCATAGGCCACGCCTCCACGCGCTGTCTGCAAACACCGATGCATACCGTATGACGGTAACAAAAAAAATCTTTTTTTTTAGCTGTGATTAATTCAAGAGTTTCTATGTAAATAATATTCGTTCTTTAAAGTTTCCCACAAATCTCAAATTTTCACAGTGTTTTGAAAGGAAAGAAACACACACAAGAAAAAATCTCAATGGAGCGAACATGATGCATCAGAAAATTATACACACATTTCTCTATCTCTTTTATTTTACGCTAGACAGCCAGACAACAAGGCAGGCAAGGCAGCCACTATATAAACAATTTTAAACGCATCTCGTTCACTGGGCGTCGTGGCGGGCGTCTGTGAGCCAGCTTCTAGGCAGTAGATGAGTGTGGATGAAGTGAGGGAAGGAGTTCTGTGAAAGTTGTCGGCAACGGCGACCGAGTGTCCGTGCCAAGCGCTGCGTCGCCAGGGTTATGACGGGGGAGCCCGATGTATACCCGGGCGGATAAGGAGAGGCGTACGGCTCAGGGCCGATGAGGCAGCAGGCAAAAGCCTCCGCGCGGTGCAGTGGCCGGATAGCACTTGTGAGTTGCAACACTTTCACAGCCTTCCCGATACCTTCAGACCACTTGTCGCCCTTTTGCAAAATTGGGTTTGGGGTTTTTTTTGTTACTTTTACAATGTGCTGTGGATTTTTTTTGCCTTCCTGAAAGCCTAAACTTCTTTAAGAAATCACTTGAACATCTCGTCAGATATCTTGAGTTTAATATTAGCAACACGCTCAGTTTCCTGAATCCCAATAGAAAAGCTGGAATAACAAAAAAATTGAAATGAAAATAGAATCCATGTGTTAATTTTTCAGATTACTTTTTATCCACAAAAAGCACGAATCATGTTTGGAACTTTTGGGGAATACTGTAGAGTTAGTCTGAAGTTCTAACAAAACTCAATTCGCCAAAAAAAAATAAAATTTCATAAATTCTAAAAATATTCAATAATAATCGGCTTTCATTCCACATAAAGCACCTTGTACCGCATCATCATCTCCAATATCATCCATCAACGCAGTCATCGTACTCATCGTAGCCCATATCTGCGAAAATCCAGTTCCCGAATTGTATAACAAATTATCCGGCTGCCCCACAGCCCATACAAACCCATCCGTCCCACTTGTAACACCATCCGTCCATCCGAACGCAGTCGTTCCGGAGCACACTGCGTTCAATGGTTGATAGTAACATGAACTGATACGATCGGCGCCAACGAAAAGACGTTGATTATAATTGCGTTCGGCTAACGCTATGGAACTCGCTGTGGCTATTTCGCTGGCGTTTAGAAAACCGCTTCGCACTGCGTCTGCGTGAAGAGTTGCGCAGACTGAATCGACGTTGAGATAATTCGCATAGCCCCAGTAAACTCGGATACACCAAGAGTAGCTGCCTCGATTGATCAAAGTCCAATCAGTGGTGATGCAAGAGAGTTCAGGTGGAGGTGTTGTGGTTGTCGTTGTCGTCGTGGTTGTTGTGGTGGTGGTTGTGGTTGTCGAGGAACTTGCTGGAATTGTAGATGTTATTGTGGTAGGCTCCACTGGGCTGGCTGAAAAATGTTTCAACCCTATGATCAGATGTTCTTCACTAAACAAATCAGGATTCACTCACTTGTCACAACTTGCTGTGTGGGAATACAAAAATCGCCAACTCGCGCGAAAAATGCCAGAATAACACAGACACAAAAGATCATTACGATATCGCAATGATAAAATAGAAAAATTTAAAATTTCTCATTTTTTTTATTCAACCCGATTTCCGCATGTACATAGCTTGGTTTATTATATTTTTGTTGCGTCAAAACAGGTTTTGGGAAAATAAAACACAAAGATCTGGATTGTTTTCGCTTTTCAAGTTGAAAGTTTCAACCAAAAAAGTGCACTCAAAAAGAACAATTATTTATTCACCAAAACCATCACAATAAAATCGTTTAGCTCTGAAAATCCGAAACTTCTTCCCATCCTTCTTGGCCCAATAAAAAATCGCAGAATCCTCTCGCATTGTGACGGGCGAGAAGAAATACAAATTATTGTTCCCGTGAATTTCAGCACTGATGATTTTGACTTCGATTGGTTCAACAGCAGATAATAGAAAATAATCAATAAAATCTTCGCGGTTTCCAAGATTTTTGGTGTATTTTTGAGGTGCTTTGGGACAATCTTCGAATTCGAAATCGTTGAAAAATAAATTTACCAACATATTTTTGACCCGTCTTTCTGCTAGAGACCAAATATAATTCATAAGTTCACCAGCTTCATTATAGGCTAATTTGGTTGAAGTATAATATGAGTCCAGACAATTCAAATCCTCCGCGCTTTTCAAAACCGAACCTTCAATGTGAAGTTTCAAATTCATAGATAAAAGTGAATATGAGCAATCTTTGGTGGAATTTTCGAGGTCAAAATGATTTTCAAACCAAGTTTTGTCGTGTTTTCCATCGTGGCAATCAATAAATGTGAAACTTTCGTCGATTTTCAGAGTTTCAGATAGATAAAATAATTTTAGAAGAAGAAAAATCGATAGCATTTTAGTTTTGCAGAAGGAAAAATGAGTCATAGATTTATTGCGATATTTTTTGTGCACATTTTTTTGAAAAGGAAATTGGCTGAAATTTTCTAAAATATCGGAATTCGTAGATCAATTACGAGCTTCAAACATCACTTTGAAATTTCGGAAATTAACGGTAAAATATAACTTTTTTTTTTGAAAATTCTGATTTCATCAGAAACTCCAGAAAACATCACACTTCAGTATACCAAAATTCTCAGATTCTCACACTCTATTCACTCATCCCCTTTATTTCAACCAAAACTCGCAAAAACCCGCCAAATTTTCCACCAAAAAGAAACACTTCTCACCCATGGCCTAAAATACGATTGGTTTTCTCGGCCGCGTATTTTCTTTTTTTCGCTTCATCATTTTCAAACGACACAAAATCGCTCAAAAATGGATTTGTTGGCTGGATATGGCAGTGATAGTGATGGAGAAGAAGACTTCTTCAAAGAACCCGTAGAAGATGACGTGGCGGAAGCCGAAACTTCGGAAAAACCAGCGATTTCGACGGAGAAGGTGGAAACCAAGTCGTTTTTCTTCAATGATGCTGAGCCTGGAACTTCAGACGAAGATGATAATGGAGGAAAAGATGAGGATGAGGAAGATGTGTATGATCCGCGAAAATTGGCGCGTAAACGAAAAGCTGTGACAGAGCTGGAGGGCGATTTTGAGAGCAAGATTTTTGATAATGATTTTGCGAGAGAGGAACGACTCAATGCTGAAGCTTTGAGTAAACATGTGCAAATGTCTGATAAACCAGCTGTAAATGCTCCAAAGAAATCGAAATTCACATGCAAGTAAGTAGGTTTTCTTGAAATGAATTTTTGAGAAAAATCCTGATTTTTGCAGAGCATATCTCAAGGGGAAATGTCGATTTGGTGATCGCTGTCGATTCGCGCATCCCGTGCACGATAGGAAATCCGAAATCGTCGATCAAGTCACAATTTCTGCCGGCGCCTCGCTTTACACTGAAACTCAAGAAGCGCAAGTCTTCCATTCCAAGAAATTCAAATCCAGCGCTCCTAAATAATTTTTCAATTTGTAAAATACCCTTTTTCTCTTTGTTTCGACGTGTAAATGTGAAAATTTCAAAAATAAAAAATGATTCATTTGAAAAATGTGTGTTGGCGGGTGATCGTGGCGAGATATCGCTACGTCATTATTGCGTGCGCCTTGATTTTATTTTTTCGTTTTTTTTCGCAACTTATCCACAACAAACATGATGCAAACAGAATTGTGAGTTTTTTTGCTTGTGAAATGATTGAAACATTGCAATTTAGAACTGAATCGGGATATTCATCACAACAAAATTCACTGATAGAGACCGAATTGGAGTCGGAAGACGAGGATAATGAGGAGAAAGATGATTTGACGAAATATCGTGTTTGGTATGATCGATTGTTGGCGTTGCGTGAGCAATATGTGAAAAAAGAGCGAGGACCATTTCCACCCTACCCGCCGCCACCTTTAAAATCTACAATGATTGCGGCAAGTCAGGCGATTTATATCAACCCGTTTGATGAGATCAAAAACGCAAAAGTGGAGAATGTTGATCAATTATTTCGCCAGCGAGATGATCAGATTTATAGTCATCGATTTCATCCCACAGATTTCCGACCTCTCCCACCGCCCCACGTATTTTTGCGAATGATTCAAACACTTGCACCACACGAATATGTTGACTTGACCTATGCGTTGGCTGGTGCGATCTTGTTGGAAGTTGGTGTTCGAATTCCGTGTGATTTCCCGCCACTTCCACCGAGAATCGAGCCATTCTCAAAGTGGCGACAGAAAGAGGAGAATGAGGAGGCGGAATTGCGGAGCAATGTCTCGTCGCAATCGTCGTCGGAAGGCGAGTATTCGGACGAATCGGAATGTACAAAGATGAGGGTGGTGGAGAGGAGAATGCAGAATTTGAAGAGGGTATGGAACAACTTGGGCTCTTGTTGGAAGAATGAGAAAATTTGAAATGGATTTGCAAAGAAGCGCCTCTAAATTACAGAACTTTGTTAGATAACTCTTAATATGAGTTATGACGTGGCAAAAATCGGAAAATTCGAAAAATCGCTTGTTGGAAGAATGAGAAAATTTGAAATGCTTGAAATAATACACGTGAAAATATTTCGAGTTCACGCTGGAAAATATCTAGTTTTTCTGCAAAATGTTAGGCATTTCTGATTTTAAAATTTCGAGAAAACGTGACTTTGGTAAGGGATTTTCAATAAAATATATGTTTTCTAGTAGTTTTCGACCAGTTTATCACAATCCCGCCGGCTAAAATTGCAGATTCTAACTCCTAATATGAGTTATGACGTGGCAAATTTCAGAAATCGGGATTTTGAAGCTGGAATTTAGCTTCAAAAATGCATGAAACTCATTTTTGAAGCTAGTTTTCAGCTCCCAAAGTCGCGATTTTTCGAAAGCCAAAATCTAGTCACGTTTTCTCGAAATTTTAAAATCAGAAATGCCCAACATTTTGCAGAAAAACTAGATATTTTCCTGCGTGAACTGAAAATATTTTCACGTGCATTTCAAATTTTCATATCTCCAACAAGCGATTTTTCGAAATTCCTGAACTTTGCCACGTCATAACTCATATTAAGAGTTATCTGACAAAGTTCTGTAATTTTAGAGGTGCTTCTTTGCAAATCCAACAAAAGCTTGAAAAAACCCTGCGATTGCAAGAACCCAATTTCTTCCAGCGTGAAGAACGTCTTCATCGAATTCTCAACAATCACAAAACAAACGCGGAAACGGAGGCGGAAAAACCGAAACCCGAAGAAATTTCGTATTACTTGAATTATAAACAGTGAGTTCTGATTCAGAAGAAGAACTTCTGAATTTTTTTATTTGCCGAGAAAATCCCCAATTTTTTCCAGGCGAACAATAAAAGAGTTCATTCCGCCCAAACCGAATTTGCGGAATAATTATCATGTGCCGCCCGAAAATCTGGCAATGTTCCCATTTCATTTTTTATCCGCCATTCTGGATGGCTCCTCATTTGTTTTATCATCATCATCATCCTGCCCAATTTTGTCACATTTTCGCTTCACAAAAGCGAAATCCGCGGCAAAACCCACAAAAACGCGGAGAAATGGCGAAGAGCGCCGCGGAAAAAAGCAAAAAGTTGGAGACTGCTGAAAATTGTGCTGAACCCGAAGCTGAGAAGTTGGAGCCCGTGAAGATTGAGAAGGTGATTTTGGAAATGTGAGTTGATTTGTTTTTTTTTGGTTTATAAAAAAAATATTGAGGATTTTTTAAAATCGAAAAAAGTTTTGTTTACAAAAAATTGGGCTTTTTGATGAAATTTTTATTGATTTGAAAAAAAATCGGAAATTGAAAATGAACTTTTCAATTTTTCGAAAACTCCACGTGGCATGTATTTTTAACATTGTAAATATCAGAACTAAAAATCCACGTGGCATTTCTAGATACCACACAATTTTAGCTCCAAAAATCCCCTTTTCCAGAATTCCTCCCAAAAAATCCTCCAACTCTGACCAATCTTCGCGCAAACCACCGCACCAACGTAAAAAATCCGCGGCTTCCACGTCTTCAAAAATCCATCGAAACCGCATTAATAACAACTACCTTAATAACCGCAGCAACTACACCTCTTTTAATACTTCTTTAACTCTGAAAAATGCTGATGTACCTTAGGCCCTAAGTTTTTTGTTCGATTTTATTTTTATTCTTCTTCTTCTTTTTTTGTCTGTTGTTGTTTCTATCTACCTGAAAGGATCCATTCATTTGTCCTATAAAATTCCACTTTTTTTGACTGAAAACCAAAATTCAAAAAAGGTTCTGGCCGACCCTTGACTGACGTCTTTTTTGTTGGCGCCTTTCGCGCCCCCACACACACTTTTTTCTTTTTTTGTGTGTGTGTGTGTTGTTTTCGATTTTGTCTATGTGTTGCTACATATATATGCTATAATAATTCGTGTATCTCTGTCTTTTCTCTCTGCCCTCCTTGATTAGGAGAAAAAGTTTCAGTTCTAGATTTTCTTTGTCTGAAAATCGATTTTTCTAGGAATCTTGGGACCAAATGCCAAAGGATAAGGAGAAATTGGTGGTGAAAACGACGACGAAGAAAGGAAAAAAAGACGACGACGACGAGAAAAAAAAAGAGAAGGTTAAGGTGAGGATTTTTTAGGGCTCTAAATTCCACGTGGAAGTGTCAATTTCGAACTCTAAAATCCACGTGGAACTGGGGATTTTATGAAAAATTTGAAAAGGTTTTGGTTGAAAAATAGCTCAATTTGGAGCCAATTAAAAAAGAAGAAAATCTTTTAAAAGTTGGGTTTCGTAATATTTCTCATAGAATTTTCTATTTTCGAGCTCAAAATCCAATTTTTCTTGACAAAAGTTCAGAAATCCAGGCTTTATCGATTTTTCCAGGTCCCGTTGTCAAAAATTGCAAATCTCAACTCTTTTTTTTTGAGTTATGACGTGGCAAAATTTCAAAAAATCGTGGTTTTAGGAGGTTGTAACAAAACCATTCTTGAATCTAGTCACAACCCCCTAAAGCAACGATTTTTCCAATATTTGCCACGTCATAACTCATATTAGACGTTGAGCTTTGTAGTCAAAATCTACTAGAACACATGTTTTTCATTAATATTGCAAGTAGAAACCTTCCACGTGGCAAAAATACAAATTGTTGGCAAAATTCCAATAATCAACCCCTATTCAATTCCATCTATTCAGCAAAACAAAAAAGAAGTGTTCACCTTGAAAAAATTGCACTTTTTCCCCGTCTTTATTCAAAAAAGAGATAGAAGCCGGCGTGTGACTCATTTTTACCTTTTCTTTTATTTTCCTTCTATTTTTACTTACTTACTTGGGCTAAATACAGAAAGTCATGTGAATTTTCGTTTTTTGGCGGTGCGCTAAAAGCTCCCGAGAGAGAGACGCAGAGACAACAATTTTTGAACATCTGTACAGAGAAAATTTTATTTTCTCACTTTTTTCTCCCAAAAAAATAAAAAAGAATAAAATCTAGTAATTTCTCTGGGGAACTCTTCACTAATAGATAGGCTACAAAAATTTTAATTTGAAAAATATTTTTTTGATCTACCCCCGCCAAATATTTTTTTTATATGAAAAAATGAAGAAAATCGATTTTATTTTCGAAAAATTATAATTTGTAGTTGTGTTTTGGCTCAGTTTTTGTGGTGCACCTGGATTATATTTTGTTAGTATAGAATTTATAATTGTTACCTATATGGCTATCTTTTTGCTCTATATTTTTATTTTGATATATAAAATAAAAAGAAATAGTATAGTTTTATGAGATTTATCTATTTTTTATTGGAATTTGAGAATTCTCAACTTTTGAGCTAGAAAATTTTGATTTTTTGAAAGTACATATGTAGGGAGACTGAGTTTAGACCTTCCTAGGCTCTGTAGGCGCTGAGCCATACCAGAGTGGAGTTAAACACGCGGGCTCTAGACACTTATGTTTTCTAGGCTCAGCTACTTGTGAACTAGGCTCTCTAGGCGTGGCTAGTTGACGATCAGATCCCCTAGGCACCGATCCTTGTCACAGTTAATCTCTAGGCGCGATTTCTAGACTCTAGCCTAGACGCTAGGCTCGGCTACTTGACAATTAGTGCTTCTAGGCTTGGCTACTTGGCATATAAGCCCTCAAGGCTCAGCTACTTGTGAACTAGGTTCCAAACCTCACCCAAGACCTGGAATTCCAGGTGGGCAATTTTTTCTCGAAAAACCTAGGTGGGCAAAAAAATTTTAGGGTCTTTAAGGCGAGCCTCAGGTGGGCAAAATTTTTAGGGTCTTTAAGGCGAGCCTCAGGTGGGCAAAATTTTTAGGGTCTTTAAGGCGAGCCTCAGGTGGGCAAATTTTTTAGGGTCTTTAAGGCGAGCCTCAGGTGGGCAAAATTTTTTACTAGGTGGGCAATTTTTGTAAATAAACCCAGGTGGGCAATTTTTACCCACTTCTCCAGGTTCTTGGGTGAGGTTTGACTAGGTTCTCTAGGCTTAACTACTTGAAAATTAGTTTCTCTAGGTTCGGCTACTTAAACATAAGCTCTAGAGTCGTCAAAAATCATCTGATGATTTTAGAAATTCAGAATTTGAAACTTTTGAATTTTCTGATGATTTTCTCCGCTTTTTTAAAACTAAATTCCCTAATTTTTGCAGCGCCGCCACTCTCTAACTGATTATTCCACAACTTCTTCCTCCTCCTCCTCCTCTTCATCCTCCTCAAATTCATCAACGGCTTCCGAATCATCGTTCTCCAGTTCCATCGACGAGTTTGGTGAGTTTTTGTTTTTGGCATTTTTGGTGCAAAAAGCCCAACATTTTTTCTAAAAGCACCCAAAAATGTTTCCAGAGAAAAACAAGGGTACAATGACAACACCGCCACCACGCAACGTCAAAAGTGACTCATCGGATTCGGAGAAAAAAGATGTGCCGGGACCAAGTAACCCAACGACGACAAAAAACAACAACAAAAAGAAGAATCAAAAGGAGCGAAAATTGACGAAGAAGGAGAAGAAGTTGGCGAATGAGCAGCAACAGAATCAACAACAACACGGCCAACTCAATGCATCGGCGAAAAAAGTGATTGAGGCGGCGATTCATCACACACCGCCGCCAACTATTCAATTTGAGACTTTTGGAAATTATGGTGATGATAGTGATGATGCAGTCGGGAAAGTTAGTGTTTTTTTAGGCCACGCCCCACTTTTGAAGACTATATTTGAATCGATATTTGATCTGGAAGGATCAGAGAAAAAATCAGTTCGAAAAAGTGTGCCGCAGAGTTGCAGAATAGGCCACACCCACTTTATTTTATTCGAAATTTTAAGATTCAAGTCATTTTTGAGAAGATACTATGATTTCGCACAATTTTCAATATGAAAATTGTGCCGCAAGATTGCAATCAAGACCACGCCCACTTTTCAGCGAAATTGGTTCAAAGTTCAATTTTCTTACAGTTAGAAATTACTAAGGCTGATTTACGAACGAAAAAAAATGTTTTAAAATGTTTTTTAACATTGAAGGGTCAATTCACGAAAAATCAAAAAATGTCGAAAAAACATTGTAAGTCAAAATTAGTTTTTCGAGTTTTTCAGCCAAAAATGATGACAAATCAATATTTTTTAAGCTTCCGGAGTGATTTCTGATGAAAATAAGCTTCGAGAACGCTATTTTACCTCATTTTATTAATTTTTTCGAAATTCTGACGAAAATTGATCTTGGAATTCACTTTCCAGAAGTTTTTGCTGATTTTTCGTTAAAAAATTTCAAATTTTGATGAATGTTGAAAAAAATAATAAAATGAGGTAAACTAGGGTTCTCGAGAAATGCTTGTTTTCATCATCAAAAATCACTTCGGAAGCTTGAAAAATATTGATTTGTCATCTTTTTTGGCTGAACAACTCGAAATATTAATTTTGACCAACAATGTTTTTTCGACATTTTGTGAATTGATCTTTCAATGTTAAAAAACATTTTTTTTTCGTTCGTGATCAGCCCTACTGAAAAATTAGAAATGAAAATAATATTTTTTTGCACGTTCACGTGAAAATCCAACACAAACAAATCATTTCAAATTTTATTAATCTGATGAAATGATTGAGTTGAGTGCTCTAGAATGAAGTGAGTTTCAACTCGAAAACCGTGCCCTGAGATTGCAAAACGAACCCCAAAATAAATAACCACATTCTTCGTTCCAGATGCTAGTCCGCGGTGTCAACGAAGCCGCAAAACAAGCTCTCGGCGGCGACGAAATTCAAATGCCATTCTACAGTGTTAGACAGACCGAGCCGACATCTGCCGCCAACGGCGAAGGGAGCAGCAGTTCGGCTGGAGCTGTCCAACCCCCCGAACAGGTTCAACACGATTTCGATGGCCAAAATCACTATCACACGTATTTCGAGCCCGATGAGCAGCTGCCCAAATTGGACCTTTTGGATGGCCATCAATTGGGACAGGAAAAGTATTTGCGCACCAAGAAATTGCGATATTATGATAGTTTGAATGATCGAGAGAAGGTTCGCGAGAGAATGGGATTTGGAATTGCGGGAACTGGACTCAAAGATCGAATGCCGAAAACGTTGTCGCTTCAAAATGCGAATCACATTCTACGCTACACTTATAGTCAATTGATTGAGAAGAGCTTTAATATGGAGAATTGGAGACAACAGTTTGGAGCGCATTTGTTGCAGGAGAGCTATCATCGGTGAGTGATTTCGGCTGAAAATCGCACCTCAAAGTTTTGTTCAGGATTTATCTGTGAAACTTATTTCAATAAGGCCTGAAAACTGAAAATTTCTGAATTTTTTTGAACCTGGAATTGGTCCAAAAATTGGAAAAAAATCCTGAAAAAATCTGAATCTTTAAAATTTTGCTGAAAAAAAATTTTGATCTGGAATTAGAGTTTGAAAATAATTGAAATTCGACCTAAAGTAGCTAGGATTTGGTTTACTTGAAAATTCAGGAATAATTTGGATCCAAAATTCATCCCAGAAAGTTTGTGAATTCAAAAATCTCATCTGAAATTTCGAAAAATCCAAAACCTTCCAATTTCTTGCAGCGAACCCCGTCACAAAGAGCTCGAAAAATATATGCGAAGTCAAGTGGATCGATTGGTCTCCGAAGAGCCCGACGCGTGGAAAAGAACAACAATGGAAGCGGTTCTTGTCGGTGATTTGGAATTGGTTGTTCAACGAATCGCTGAGATGGATCGAATGCTGGTTCGAAAAGATATCGAGGGACGAAGAATGGGTTTGGATTCGAAATGTCAACGATTTGATGAGAAGACGCATGAGCAACGATTTCAACATTGTGTTGATGTGGGTTTTTGGGAACTGGGAAAAGTTGTGACGTGGAAAAATTTAATTGGAAAACTTGGAAAAATAAAAAAATTATGATGTGGCAAAATCTGGGATTAGGCTACTTGGCTAGGCTTCTAGACTCAGATTTCAGGGCTTAGGTTTCTAGACTTCTAGGCTCCATGCTTTTTAGCTCCTAGACTCGAGGTTTACCAGCTTCTATTATCGTAACTTTGCCACGTCATAGCGTATGTTAATTTTTTTGGCGAATTTTCTTAAAATGTCTGGATTTCTAGGATTCTAGGCTTTTAGGTCTAGACTTCTAGGCTTCTAAAATCCCTCAAAAATTCACGTTTCAAAATTTATTTGTATGAAAATGTTGATATTTTGAAAATTCAGATATTATTTGTTGAATTTTCTGAAATTGTCTAGATTGCTAGGCTCAGATTTCTAGGCTTAAAATTCTAGGCTCAGGTTTCTAGGCTTAGGATTCTAGGCTTTCAGGTCTAGACTTCTAGGCTTACAAAGTCCCCAAAATTTTACGTTTCAAAATATATTTGTATAAAAATGTTGATATTTTGAAAATAATAATCACAAATCACACATCTTTGAAAATTTCTGAATTTCAGGATTTTCTTTCAAAAATCATAATCTCAACTTAGCCTAACTTCTCATTCCAGGTTATCTGCTCTTGGATGGTGGTGAGATATATGGAAAAGGTTCCAGCAGCAGTTCATGGTCGACAAGTCAGTGTTCTTCGCGGTGTTTCGGTTCTAATGTATTTGGCATCAGCCGGCGATAGGGAAATTATGTGTATGAGGAATGCACATAAAAAGTGCACGTGAGTCTTTTTTCCCAGAAAAAATCACCAGGAAAATGTGCAATTTTTCTGCAGAATGATGGCATTTTTGTTGTGCTCGATGAGCCCCGGAGTTCGACGTGATTTGATGTTGTTGTCGGCCACCAACGGCCTAACCGCACTCCATTTTTGCGCAATGACTGGTTGGCCGTGTCAATTGGACATTTTGCTGAAATACGGCGCGTCGACGGAAATTATGACGGACAATTGGCAGACGCCAATGTGTTTTGCAGCCAGGCGAAATTGCACATTGATGGTGAGATTTTTTTTGGGTCGGGGATTTGGAAAATTTGCCACGTGGCATCTGAATTTATCATTAGCTCGAGATTTTTGAATTAAAAAAATCGAAGAATGTTTTGAATAGTGCTCTGAAAATCCACGTAGCACATTTTGAGGGAAAATTGAATTTTAAAAAAATTCGAAAATGTTTTTTTTCAACGTTGTCTAAATCCACGTGGCAGAAATTTATTTTCCAGAAAAAATGAGTTGTAAAAATTCTTTCAAAAAAACTGAATCAAAATTTTGTGAAAGCTGGAAAAATGCCAAAAAATTGATAGCCAAGTTTTTTCTCCAAAATGTAAAATCCACGTGGCAGTATTTAAAAAAAATCTGAAAATTCAATAGTTTTTTTTTGAATTTTTAGATTTTTTGAAACCTAGTGACTTTGTGGATTTTTTGAAATTTGATTTTCTATTTGAAAATCCACGTGGCAGGCTTTTGCAGAAAAATAATTTGTTTTTTTTCCAAAATCTGAAAAACCTGATTTATAGGTTTCTGAAAACTCACTTTCAGCTCTGAAATTCACGTGGCAATATTTTTAAAAATCTGAAAATTTCAGCGATATTGAATTTTCACATCAGTGACTTTGTAGATTTTTTAAATCTTGATTTTCTCTTTGAAAATCCACGTGGCAGGATTTTTCAGAAAAATTAATTGTTTTTTTTTCCAAAAATTTCTGAACCTCTGAAATCCACGTGGCAAACTTTCCCAATGACAAAATGTTCCTTTCAGGCTCGTCAATTGATGTGGCACGGTGCTGATTTGTCGGTGTTGCAACGTTTTGGTTACAGTGCGACTGTGGCGATGAGTGGATATATTGTAAGTCTGAAAACTTAGCCAAACTCGCCCAAAAGTCTATCCAAAATCCAATTTTCAGTCTCGAAAATTCATCGACGATCGTCAAATGGTTCTACAAGATGTTTATGATTCATTCCTCAACGCCTATCTCAGTGAATGTGACGAGCGAATCGAATTGCGAATGTTCAAACGACACTCCCTTTTACAAACGTGTCGAATTTCCGAAACTGTCGCCGACAAATACGAGTGTCAAAATATGCGCATTGTTTTGATCAAAAACATGGACACGTGTATCCAACGCAATTCGCCGTCGGATTCTCGACCAATTGGTCTATTCTTGATACCGGTCATGTATACACCCTTTGACTCAACAATGAAAGCCTATTATCCGCATGTTGTGAAAGTGCCGTTGTATCAGAATGCGGCGAAAATTGCGGCGTCTTGCAAAACGGATGATTATTCGGATGATGAGGAATATTATGAAGAGGATGAGGAAGATGAGGAAGAAGATGAAGAGGAAGAAGAAGAAGAGGAGCACGAACCGCCAGTTGTTGAACAGGCTAGGATTTCGAAATTGATGGCGAAACGACCGGTGTAAGTGGGAGATTACGATGCTCCGGGGTTGCGCGGAGTTTTGAGAATTTAAACGATGCTCAGCGCTTACGCTTCTAAAGATTTACATCTAGTGGATAAACTACGTTACTCCGCCTTTACACCCAGTGAACAAAAAATGTACCGCATTTTTCTGAACCGAATTTTGTGAGAAACTACGATGCTCCGCATTTACACGATTTCGTAGTTTCTGAAATTGATAAGACACAATTTCGAGTTTCAAACGAAGCTCCGGGTTTACGAATGGTTGTAGATTCCAAATTCCAAAATTTGGAAGGAAATTTGAGCAATTTAAACGATGCTCCGCATTTAAACCTAGCGATAGTTCATATTATTATCCCTTTGTAGTTTTTTAACCTTGGAAATTTTGGATTTCAAACGATGCTCCGCTTTTACACTCAAAAAATGATCTATGAAACTTTTACGTAGATCTTGGTAGATTTAAAAATTTGTTAACGAAGCTCCGGTTTTCCACCAATTTTTTTCTTTTTTGAAATTCCGGAATTTTTTAAATTTTAATAAAAATTAAAAAAAAAAACTGATGCTATGCGTTTACAGCGATATAAATTAGCCCAAAATCTATATTCTATTAATAAAATTCTTGAAATTCCAAACGATGCTCCATGTTTACAGTGTGTAAACTTTACACTATCTCACATATTTTTTCCCTATTTTTAGCCTCACAATTGGTCAAGGAGACGGTGCGAAAGAAATCGAACTTTTACCATTCTTCAATCACGAACACAATGGAAATATCTACTCGTACACGATGCCACAATGTTTCTCACGTGAGTTTTGTTGATCTACATAAATAATACACTCTTGGATTACTGATCCCCTTTTTTTCAGAAGTCAGTCCTGGAACGCCAGCCGCACTCACATTGTACATTAGTCAAGACGAAGCGCGATATTTTGAGAACACGTTTTTCCTGTGGCAAATTGTTGAGATTACGCCCAACTACACGGTGAGAACGATTGATGAAGACGACGAGATTTATGAGAGAGAACGATTGGGAATTGTGCGCGAGAAAATGAGCGGTGGATTTACGCGTGGACCACCAGTTCAACAGCCGAAAAAGAAGAAGGATAAGAAGGATTAGGTTGGTGGGAGAGAAAATTCTGATTTGCCCCATGATTTTTGATTGATTTTGAACCCGAGAGGTTTTTGGGAGGAAAATTTATGAAAATCCAATTTTTCGATGTTTTTTGATTAATTTTGAACCAGAAAGGTTTTTGGGGAGAAAATTGATGGAAAATATGATTTTCACTGTGTTTTTTGCTTGATTTTGAAACTAGATTTGAATTTTTAAACTAAAAAAATATATTTTTTCGTGGATTTTCGAAATTATCATTCGATTTGAGTATCAAAAGCCCAATAAAATTGTTAAATTTTGAAAAAAAATTGAAACGTATATGAACCGGGATTTTTTATTCATAAAACGTTTAAAAATTTTTGTTAAAATTTAAAATTTCTGATTTTAATTCTAGAAGGGCTGATTCACGAACGAAAAAAATGTTAAAAAATGTTTTTTTAACATCGAAAGATCAATTCACGAAATGTCAAAAAATGTCGAAAAAACATTGTAGGTCAAAATTAGTTTTCCGAGTTTTTCAGCCAAAAATGATGACAAATCGATTTTTTTCAAGCTTCTGGAGTAATTTCTGATGGAAATTGACTTTGGAATTCACTTTCCAGAAGGTTTTGCTGATTTTTCGGAAAATAAAAAATTTTCAATTTTGATGAATTTCGAAAAAATTCATAAAATAAAGCAAAATATGGTTCTCGAAGCTTATTTTCATCAGAAATCACTCCAGAAGCTTCAAAAATATCGATTTGTCATCATTTTTTTCGTTCGTGAATCAGCCCTAGAAATAATTGAATTGTTGCTAGAAAACCCCAATTTTGCCACGTCATAATCCATGTGTTTTTCCAGATTTTCCCCAACTCTTCTCCATTTTTCTCCCTCTTCAAAAATGCTGCTATAATATATCAATCAATAACCAATCACCAACAAACGTATAAATCATATCAACAAAATTCACAATTTTCTCTTTGTTTTTTTCTTCGCTCCCAACCAAAAATCACCATTTTTAATAATCCAATGATCTTTTTTTTTCTAATTTTTGTCGATTTTTGCGCGGGTTTTTGTCTCTAATTTTTCTCTCCGAAACACGCAAAATTGTCATTTTTGCCAAATCCCCAAACTTTTTTCTTTTTGGTTTCTTTAATGTATTATTTATTATCTATTTTTTGGTATTTTTGTCGCCCCAGTGATTTTATTTTTATTATTTTTGACCTTTTTTTGTAATGAAGTTTGCTAGAAATTTGAAACGTTGAGCTGCAAAAATTTGTGATTTTTTCCGAATTTTTTATACTTTTTTTTAATGAATTTCAAAATTTTCATTCCAGAATTTTGTCAGAAAATATGCGAATTTTGAAATTGCTGGATGTTTTGGACAATTTGAAGCATTTGAAGCGGACCGGATGGGTGAAATGCGGAATTCCGGAGCCGGAAACTGTTGCCGCGCATATGTATCGGATGGCGGTTTTGGCGATGTCGTTGGAAGGAGAGATTGAAGGTGGGTGGATGGGTTTTTGGGTGGGAATTTGGGAAACTGGGAAATTTTTTTTGAAAATTTGTGGAAATCTATACATTTTGATCCAAAAATTGAAGAATTTTGAGCTGAGAAAATTTGTATATAATATTTTTCACCCAAATTTTTAATAAATCTGAAGATTTTCAAACCGAAGACTAAAATTAGGCTCAAACTCAAAAAAGCACAGCAAAAACTGAAAATTTAACATGGTTTAAACGGAATTGTCAAAATTTGTCGTGATTTCTAAGTTTTCATTCAAAAATTGAAAAAATGAGCTAAATTTCAATGAAAACTGAAAATTCTTCAACCCAAGGCTCTAAATATTCGAAAATCCAACCCAGGTACAAAATAGAGCCATTGTCGGTTTTCTGGAAATTTTCCTGAAAATCTAGAATTCCTCTGACCTTGAGCATAAATCTATCAAAACAAATTCATATCTCAAGTCCTCGAGTACAAATTTGGAATCTTTGCACAAACATAACCGATGGTTTTTAATGCGCCACTTGCGTTGATTGTATCGCATCTAAAACCTTTTTTTGTTCACGAGCCAGTTGAAAAATGTCTCACCCTTTATCAGTCATTTGTCCCGGATACCAAACGCCCGAAGTTCCATCGTCAACTTGAACCGATGTATTCGACACAAACATCATTGCACAATTATTCAATTGTGGCGCCGAATCGTGCCAATCGAACATGTCCCAACCGCGAGCCGATCCGTCGGTCCAATAAAATGCGTCGCGAGCCGATGGAGCACACAAATCGGCATTTGATGTGGATGTATAACACATCGGTTGACGGTTTATACCGAGCCAGACGAGACCCGATGAAACTGTTACTTGCGAGAGAATGTCGTCTGCAAAAAAGTTTGGTTTATCCGAATCTTCCTATTCTGATTTGGTAATATTTTGCATTTTTCAACAAATTCTGATATTTTTTGTCGAGACGACAATTAAAATTATTTTTTGTTTTTCAAAGAAGCTTTCTGGTTTATTTCTGGAATTTGGGATAATCAATCCACGTGACATCAAAACGAGACTATAGTTTAGTTTGGTTGAACAATCCGAGACCTGTGAAATTCCGATTCATGAATTCAGGCTTCTGACCTGGCCTAAACTTGAAATAATTTTATATTAGACCGAAAACTCGTGTGGGCTTCAAATTCCGACATTTTTGTGAAAACCCGACTCGATGCAGGTTTCTGATTTGCTGATTTGATATGTACTTCTGATCTTCTGAATTCTGAACCAGGCCTGATCGGAATCGGAATTCAGAAATTCCGAAATTCCGAAACCGACAGCTTTTTCGGAATGAGACAAACGTGTCTCGGAATCGGAATCTATTTTCTCGGAATCGGAATCTATTTTCTCGGAATCGGAATCATTCCGATGTTACTTCCGAAACTTTTTGGAATTTCGGAATGTGTTTCTCTTCCGAATTTCGGAATTTTTCTACCGAATTTCGGAATTTTTCGGAATGTTTGAGCTGAAATTAGTGAAAAATTCAACAAAAAAATGGAAAAATTGATGAATTTTACCTGTCATTTTCAAAAAATCTCTTTTTCTCTTGTGATTCTCGAAAAATTTAACTTTTGAAGACAACTTTTTGAAGTTTTATATCATTCCGAAACATTCCGAAAAATTCCGAAATTCCGAGGTAAAAATGTCGGAATGGAGGTTCGGAATTCGGAATTACGATCTGACCACTCGGAATGAGTGTGCTCATTCCGAACCTTCCGACAAGGTCCATTCCGATCAGGCCTGTTCTGAACTCGCCTAAACTTGAAAAAATCTTGAAGCCGATATATTACTGTATGTAAGTACGCAAAAGTGCATCGCAGTGTTTGCACACACCCATGGCTTTCGGTCAATTTTCTTACAGTTAGTTAGGCGGAGTCTGTTCATATCCCTTTTTCGTCTCGCGTGTCTCCTGCTCTCACACTCTATCGTTTTCTCTCACGTGAAATTTTGGCTGTTCTCTCAACTGTTCCACACGGAAACAAAAAAACATTTTTTCGCTTTTTCGGGGTTGACTTGGAAATCTTGTACTGGTTCACTTTACCGAACTTTTTTCCCTCTCCACCCACCAATAACAAATCGTTTCTCATCATCATTCTGCATCGATCCAAGTGTCGCATTATAATTCGAACATCCCGTCGCACCCGCTCTCACCAATCCCGTAAACGTCTTCAAACACATCCTACCATACGGCCTCTGGAAACCCTTCCAACCATCCGGACATCCGCGACTCAAATCGCAACGTCCACGCGGACCACAAGTGTCGCCGCGAACCGCGCAACGAATACAAGCCGCCAGAATTGCGCATAACGTGTAGAGGTTTTTGGACATTTTGAATTTTTGTACGAAAAATTTGTTTTTATATATTCGCACAGTGTTTTATTGTGATGCTAATTTCTTTATTTATGCAAGTTTGCAATGTTGACAAGGAAAAATATAGTGGGAGGTTTTTGTCCGCGAGAAGTACACAATGATAAGGATTTTTGGAGTTTGTGATAGATAGGGTACAAAGATTAGGAAATTATGGAATTTTATTTTGAAAAGGTGGATATTTTGAAACTTGTTTCCAAAGAACCTTTCCGCAATCGGAACCTGTTTCGATAAACTGGAAGAAGAATCATAATCGCCACAGCGTCTAAAAATGGAAACGCGGAAAGTGCAACAATCCCAAAGTTGCCCCAATTCCAGATATCTATTCCGAACAGCGGCAAGAACCAATTGATAAAACACGGGAGAAATGAGATGAAAATTGGGATGAGTGTTTGAATCACAAGAGTTTTGAATAGTTGACGATGCAATTTTCGTGTTTGATGGGAGATTGTTTCGACGCTTCGTAGCTTGTTCACTATCTGAATAGATATTTCATCGGTTTTTGTTTCTATTTCTGTCTATACCTTGTATCCTAGAATACAATACGTTGAAATCGAACAGGCTGAGATTGTTGTGACAACAAGAATCGCCAGCCAACTTCGATACATCGCATACGGATCTTGACTCCACCAAAATATATTGATGAATGAGATTTTCGAGATGTCCGCGTTGTATCGTGCAATAAAGAATTCGCGAACTCTATCACGACCCTCGTCGGTTGCGTAGACCAATGTTTCACAAACCTGCAATCGGGGGTTTTAACTTTTAATGAAACACTGTGAAATATAGTAATTTGACCATGCTGAAAACGATTCTGAAGTTAAACATAGCTATAACGCACTCTGAGCTATCATTTGGATTTCCAAACTTTTTGACTTCGGAATCGTTTTCAGCATGGTCGAATTACTATTTCTCACCATGTTTCATCAAAAGTAAATTTCAGAACTCTTTACATTTTTTTCGAAAATGTTTAACTTTGCCACGTCATAGCGAGCCAAAATCTATCAGAAATAGTTGTTCATGAAAATAAAAGCCTACCCCTGACCAAAGTACACCGTGCATTATAAAAAATATCGACAATCCCGCTATACCATGTTTACTTGTCATTGTATCATTCATCTGCGGATTGAACAAGGCAAAGTATCGATAGATGAAATGAATTGTCAAGATACCATAACTCAATGAAATGAAACCGCACCGAATCGAAACTGCCAGCTGGCCGAATGTCTCGCTCTGTATTTATGAAATTTAGGATCCCGCCCGTTTGTCCGGACCTACCTCCTCGAAGGGACCGCCCGGAAGGTAGACTAATACAAGCATGTCACGTCCGAAGCTAGCCTGAATAATTTGCTCACTTTTTTGTTTTGAAAAAATTTGAAAAATTTAACCTACAATTGGCATAGTTATCTCAACTATCGAATAAACTGAATTGAAAATTGAAAAGGCGAGAAGCACAAATCGATATTTCCCAAGAACCTTTTTGCTATCCGAGATGTTCAAGTAAATGAAGATGAAGTTGAAAGTTAGCGAAAGTACGAAGAAGATTTTGGGAACATATTCGAACACCCAATTGATGTACATTATGATGTAGCAATCAAATCAAATTCTGATTTGATTTGATTTATGCGAAACTGGGTTGGGTTTTATATGGAGAATATTTTTTTTGATGAGCAAAAACGTGTGTTTTTTGTAGTTTCTTGGAAAATCGTAAGAATTTGTAGTTGTTATGTCATTTATTTTGACAACACGATTTTGATGCAAATTCTGGAGATGATGAATAATTGTCTGGTTTTTTTTTTTGAATTTCAAAAAATCACAGCGAAAAAAAAAATTTTTTTGTTCGCTACGGAAATTCAAAGAAAAAATGGGCGGAGTCTGTTCATATCCCTTTTTCGTCTCGCGTCTCTTCTGCACCCACACGCTAATTTTCACTCTCTCGTAGTCGACGGTGGCTCAGTGGCTATGGTGGCTGCTATCAATCTCAGGGTCTCGGGTTCAAGCCGCAGTGCCCGCTCTCCTCGATTTTTGAAAAATTTTCCACGTAAACTTTTTTTCCTTTCCAATTCCAAACCTAATTTTTTTTAAATTCTCTCTCAAAATCAATCAAAAACAAGTTGGAGACACATTTATTTGACAGCAAAGTAAACAGAACAAAAATTGATCAAACTACAAACTTTTATGATTATGAAAATTTTGAAATGGTACTAGGAAAAGTGTAGTTTTTCATGGAAAATCGGGGCGAATTTTTATAGTTTTGTGATTTCTAGCAAAATGGAATTATCGGGCAAATTTTGAATTTTCGTTGAAAAAAGTTCAATTTTTCAGGAATCGATGTGATTCGTTGCGTCAAAATGTCGCTAGTTCACGACATTGGCGAAGCGATCGCCGGCGACATCACTCCCCACTGCGGCGTCTCCGATCAAACCAAATTCGATCTCGAATCAGCGGCCATCGCTCAAATCGCCACCTATGTTCCCGATGCGGTTGGGCAGGATTGGAGCGAACTGTGGAGAGAGTACGAGGCGGCGGAGACGCAGACAGCGCAAATCGTCAAACATTTGGATAAATTCGATATGATTGTGCAGGCGGATAAATATGAGCAGAAGTATGGTACTGATTTGACGCAATTCTTTACGAGCACTGTTGGCAAGTTGACGATGGAACCGTTTGCCACGTGGGATCGTGAAATTAGGCGAACTCGAGAGCAAAGGCTGAACATTTGATTTTGTTTTTTGTGCGTGCTGATCAGTTATAAATTGTTAATTCAATCAAAACAATTGGAGTACAATATATTGATCGGAAGCTGAACTTTTTGAAAAATCTGAAAATTCAATTTTTCAAGATTTTTTTCTGGCTGGAAATTGAAATTGGTTTTTAATAGAGCAAAAGTGTTTTTTTTTAAACATCGAAAGATCAATTCACGAAAAGTCGAAAAAACATTGTAGGTCAAAATTCGAGTTTTTCAGCCAAAAATGATGACAAATCGAGATTTTTGAAGCATCTGGAGTGATTTCTGATGAAAATTGACCTTGGAATTCATTTTTCAAAAGTTTTTTTTTCGAAAAATTGATAAAATGAGGTGAAGTAGGGTTTTCGAAGCTTATTTTCATCAGAAATCACTCCAGAAGCTTGATTTGTCATCATTTTTGACTGAAAAACTCGAAAAACTAATTTTCCTTCCTTAATTGATCTTTCGATGTTGTAAAAAACATTTTCAGACAAATCTTTTTTTTTGGGTCTGAAAATTAATTTGTTTTCTTTCCAACCAAATCAAGTTGTTTTCCTCATTCATTTTAATGAAATCGTTAATTTGATCAAATCAAAAATTATAGCAAAAATGGGCGGAGTCGATGTTCTCCCAATCAAAAATAGTGATAAAAAAGTGTCACTGATAAAAAATGATAGTTCTCCGCAAACTCCAACTGCTCCTTCTTATATTTTTGATCAACTTGAATTATGTGAATTGCTACGATTTTCTGGTGTTCTGCCCACTTTTCGCCCACTCGCACACCACGTTTTTTGCGCAGATTGCCGACGCGTTGACTGATGCTGGACATAATGTGGTGGGTTTTTTGGGGGGAGGGCTTGAATTTTTCGCTGAAAATTAGGAGTTTTTTGATTCTCAGCGGGAAATTTTGATCTAGAAACATTTTGGGAATCTAATTTGAGCTTCATTTAGGGTCGAAATTTTGAAAATTTATTTTTAGAATCTAAAATTCAAAGAATTTTGATTTCAAATTAACAAAATGAAATTTGTTATAGAAGCGTGGCAGAAATTCAAAAATCTAGAAATGAAAAATAACATTTAATTTCAAAAAAAAAAATTAAACGTGACCCAGGGAATTCATTTTCCATTTTCAAGAAAAAAAATCATTTCAATTTTTTTGCTGCCGCTAAAATTAGCCACGTTGAAAATTTCAGTCAGAAAATTTTGGTTTCAAATTATCAAAATGTAATTTGTTATAGATTTTCACGTGGCAGGAAGTCAAAAAAGCTGAAAATGAAAAATTTAATTTCAAAAAAAAAATTTCCCATTTTCAAGAAAAAAATCATTTCAACTTTATTTCCTGCCGCTAAAATTAGCCACGTTGAAAATTTCAAAAAAATTTTCAATTTTCAGAAAAATTTGGTTTTAAATTAACGAAATCAAATTTGTAGATTTCCACGTGGCAGAAATTCAAAAAATCTGAAAATGAAAAATTTAATTTCAAAAAAAAAAATTAAACGTGACCCAGGGAATTCATTTTCCATTTTCAAGAAAAAATCAAATTTTCAGACATTTTTCACCCCAACAATTGTGCGAAAATACGAAACTGTGAATTATGTGAAATCGACAAAAAATGTGGTTAAACTTGAGGTAAGTAAAGGTAACATGAGCAATGCTAAAAACAATTTATTTGCAAAAAATAACAGCTCTCAAATTCTTATCAAAAATCACCAAAGTATAGGGCATACTAAAAGTCAACAAATCCGAAACACACATCAACATATTCGTTTTCATCGTGTTGCTCATATTAGGAAAAATGATTCCAACACTGAGTTCCCAGAAAATCACCATCATGTAGATCAAACTATTGGCCGCTATAATTATAGTCATTCGTTTTTTGATTTTCTCCGAAGCCAAGCTTCTTTTAGATATTAGGGTTTTGAGTTCTTTTAGCGTTAAAAATCCTAAAATAGTTATTAGATCGAAATAGATTACTGTAGAAATAACCAGATAACAACAATAGATGAAAAATTCTGATTCGGGAGTTTTTGCGTCGATGAAATATTTGACTGTTTCATTGTAAACTAGGGGATAAAATGTGAATTTCAGGGGTAAATTAATAATTATTGAATAGAAAATAATGCCCAAGTACACAAAAATATACCAATTCCCCCAGAATTTGTTGGCGTTTTCGAATTTGAGAAGACTGTAGCGATAGATACAAAGAATAATTATACTGACACTTTGAGTTTGGAAGAAAAAATTGGTCGAAAATGCGAGATAATCAAAAACCCAGGGTTGATTATAGTAGAGGCTTGCCAAAATTTGGCCCGTGTCAGGTCTTTGGGCAAGTCGGAAAATCCAGGAATTCAAATAGCACGCCAGATTTAGGGCCATATCGCATTGCACAATTTTGTAGAATGAGGAATTTTTGAATTTTGAATTTCGGCCAAATAGAATAACGAGGAATAACATGAGCAATGTGGAAAATGCGCCATAGTAGAGCCAAATGTGCAAAAGGAGGTGCATTTTGAGGGGGAAATGATGATTTTTTGAGCTTGAAAATTTGCCAGTAATTATAGGGCTTTTGCTCGTACCTGGAAATGTGTGTCAGACTTTTGATCTTTGAATTTTCGAAGAATTTTTTGAGTTACTGAAGTTTTGAACTTTTTGAACCCTCATTATTGCTCATACCAGATTTATTTTTTGGAAAATTGTGATTTGAAAAAAAATCTTCAGTGGGATTAACATGAATAATGCTCAACAAAAAAGTTTTAATTTTATTTTTGGAATTTGAATTTACAGTAATAGTTGCAGTTCTTTACTATACAGCTAAAATTCTGGAAGATTAACCTGAGCAATGCTTCCAAATTGTCTATTAAAAATTTTGATCTACAGTAATCTTTGTAGTTCTAGATCTATGTTTTTCTGCAAATTAAAAATGTTAGAAAAATCTTAAACTACTTTAATTTGAAAAAAAAATTACAAAAATCAACCTAAATTCATTTTGCAGGCTCCTGACGAGCTCGCCGAGCTTGGCATCAAACTCGACTCCAATGACATCACAAAATTCTGGACCCGCGATTCAGATGTCACTGAAATTCTTCCAGTAAACTCCACACTTTTTGCTTAAAATTCCCAAAAATTTTTATTTTCAGATGATCGATTTGTTCCAATCCATGTACAAATTGCAATCCGAAGTTTTATACAAAAATTTGGATTTTTTGGAAAATCTGAAAAATCGAACAAAATTCGATGCAATTATCTATGAGACTTTTGTCTTTTCAGCTTATCGTGAGTTCTGCTAACTTTCTGTGAAATTAAATGGATTTTTTCAGCACTCATGGAATTCCTGGAGATCAAAACCAGGCTCCCAGCAATCTCACTAACTTATGATGTTGCAACAGCAAGAGTTATGGGAGAAACTATAATGCCAAGTGTGGTTCCAGGTAGGTTGTCAATCAATTGATTTCTGACGAGTGAGCTATGACGTGGCAATTTTAGAAATGATGTCACCATTTTCGGATAAAATGAGTCTTCTGGAACGGATTCTCAATACGGCTTTGAGTCCAATTATTCAAAAATATGTGGGAGTTCCGGAATATTTGTCGTATTCTAAACCTCGGAAACCGGTGGATTATTTGGTGAGGAATTAGGAAAAATTTGGAATTTTCAGAAGTTCTAGGGAAGTTCAGATTCCATGACATTTTTTTTCAAAATTTATCCACTTGGATTTTCTCGCATAACTTTTTGAATCAATAAAATTCAGATTTTGGACTTGAATTTCACAAAAATAAACTCGGTCAATTTAAGGCCTAGCCTAGGCTCATCTAGGCTTGATTTAGGCTCAGCCAATTAAATAGGCCTGATCAATTTCTAAACTTCTGATTTTCTGTTTTTCAATGTTTTCTTTTTGAAAAACAATTTTTTAGAGCAGTTCAGTTCAAATCTGAAATTCTGAAATACAGCCACGTGGATTTTCTCGCATACATTTTTGAATCAATAAAATTCAGATTCTGGACTTGGAAGTTTTATAAATCCAAGCTTATCTAGGCTCAATTTAGGCTCAGCCAATTTAATAGGCCTGATCAATTCTAAACTTCTGAACTTCTGAATTGAAGTTTGTCTCAGAATCTTGATCTTGATTTTTAGAGTTTTTATTTAAAAATTATATCTGGACATCGAAATTCTCAAACCCCTATTCTTTCAGAGTCTAATTCCCAAATCACCCTTCCTCCTCATCAACTCCAATCCCTACATCGATTTCCCCCGTCCAACAATCACAAAAACCGTCCAAATCGGCGGAATCTCTGTAAACCTCAAAAAACTGCGCGCCGAAAAAATCTCCGAAAAATGGTCGGACATCTTGAACCTTCGTCCAAAAACCATGCTCATCTCATTCGGCTCACTTCAACAACTCAGAGAAAGTATGGCTTGAACGGCGCGGTCCGCGGACGATTTTTCACCGATTTTTGGGTGAAAATCATTACGCGGATTCCGCGAAAAAAGTTTCGCGGACAGCGAAACTTCAGCCAATGAGAGTCGAATTTCGCGCCTTCCGCGAAATTTTTTGACTTGGAAATTTGATTTTTTGCGTTTTTCGCGGATCCGCGGATGAACTCGAGAGGGAGGGTATAAAAAGGATAAATTGTATCGCGTACGCGACAACGAGGATGGCGCAGCGAGGAAGATGGATGACTACAAAACGACAGGATTGGGATCGAGGCCGGGTTGGAACTACAAGTCAATACTAACTTCTGATAATTATCAGGGGTAGTTAAGCATTTTTATATTTCGAGAGTGCATTGCGCGGATGTTTCGCTAACAGCGGAGTATAATTTCGCGGACGTTTCGCTAAAGTTCTTGTGTCAGCCGCGGATTGGCAGATTTTTGGGTTTCGCGAACCGCGCCGTTCAAGCCAGATCTTCTCTGAGAATCGCAATTCATGCCCGACTCCTATAAATCGGCACTTCTTGACACCTTCTCGAAATTCGCTGAAAATGTGACATTTATCTGGAAATATGAGGCTGATGATATTTTGCGAAATGCGACAACTAAAAATGTGATTTTCGAGAAATGGGTCCCGCAACGAGCACTGCTTATGGATCCACGTTTGACTGCGTTTTTCACACATGCCGGTTTGGGAAGTGTGAATGAAGTTAGCTATTCGGGAAAGCCAGCGATTTTGGTGAGTAGTAAGTGGAACAGGAGCCTTCTAAAGCCCTTAGAAGCCTTTCAAAGCCCTGTAGAATCACCTAAAGCCCCCTTAAGCCCTTAAAAGCCTTCTAAAGATTTATAGAGCCCCCTTAAGCCCTTAGAAGCCCTCTAGAGCCCTCTGAAGCCTTTAGAAGCCTCCTAAAGCCCTTAGAAGCGTCTGAAAGCCTTTCAAGCCCCCTCAAGCCTTTTAAGGCCTTCTTAAGCCATCTAGAGCCTCCTGAAGCCCTTAGCAGCTTCCTTCAGCTTCTTAAGCCTCCTGAAGCCTTCTAAAGTCTCCTGAAGCCTCTGGAAGCCCTCTCAAGCCTACTGAAACCCCCTGACGCCTCCTTAAGCTTTTTGAAACTCTCTAGAGTCCTCTCAAGCCCTCAGAACCCTCCTAAAGCTCCCCGAAGCCTCCTGAAGCCTCCTAAAACCTTCTAAAGCTTTCCAAACCCTTATGAAGCTCTCTAGAGCCCCCTTAAGCCCTTAAAAGCCTCTGACAGCCCTCCCAAGCCTCCGAAAGCCCCTGAAGCCCTTAGAAGCTTCCCAAAGCCTTCTAAAGTTCCCTAAAACTCGAGATCAACTCTAAAACACATCTAAAATTCAGTGTCCAATCTTCGCTGATCAAATGCGCAACGCGAAAATGCTCGCCCGCCACCAAGGAGCCATCGAATTCTCCAAATTCGACCTCAACAACGCCGAAAAACTCGAAAAATCCATCCATCAAATACTATTCGACGAAAAATTCGCAGAGAATTCGCGAAATCTTGCGCGACGCCTCGAAAATCAGCCAATCAAACCTGCCGAACTTCTCGTGCGACATTGCGAATTCGCTGCCGAGTTTGGAGAGTTGCCAAGTTTGGATCCCTACAGCCGGCAAATGTCATTTTTCACATTTTTCATGATTGATCAACTGTTGATTTTTACTGTGATGTTTGGAGCGATTTTTGGAGTGTTTGTGGCGGTTCTGAAATTTATTGCAAGACGGGTATTTATGTCAGAAAAGATGCTGAAAATTGATTGAATGAAATTTTCGAAAATCATGCTGCAATTATTTCCAGCGATTAAATGATTATATCATTCGTTCTTTCTCGAAAATAAATGGAAAAAAATACAAATACAAATACAAATATTTCAAAAGGGCTTATTGATGTCATTTTTGTGATCTATTTTCAGAGAAAAAACTTGTTTACATGTGAGTCTGAAGATTACTAAACAAATTACCCTTCTAAATAAATCTACATAGAAAAAAAACGGGGAAAATTGCAGATGTCTGAACAAGTTCTGATCTTAACTCTATAAAAATAAAAATCGACTAAAGAATACACTTCTGACGCATCAAGTTTGTGCAACTTCGAGAACTAATCAGTGAGCCAAAAATAATGCACATTATAGTGATGTTATTCATTAACAATAGCATAAAATACGTGATTTTTTGATATTTATGTTTTCTTACTCTTGAGCTCGCTGGCAGTTTTATTGTCTTTGAAATTTTCACCCGTGAAAAATGACTCGCATAGCGCAGCAGGCAAGCGGTTAGCCTCTTAGGAACCACTTTCGGGTTCGACTCCTGCTCGCTGCAATATTTTTTGATTTTTTTCTTTTTCTCACAAACAGGAACTTTGGATTGATGTAACTTTTTTGAGAATCTGTGTTCAGTAGTTCAGGAAATCAAGGGCACAGGAAATTAAGGCTCTAAATCTGTCTAAAGTTATTTTCAGCACATCCTATAAACTAATAGTGCATGGTTTATTTTAGCCGAGAAAAACGAGAGACGAAAATGTTACCGTAACTCGGGGAACTTTTTGTTTTTTGTATCCTCAAAAAGCGGCCAGAAAAATAAAAACTACAAATTACCCCCCCCCCCCCCCCCAATAAAAATGTGACATCTCGGATGGTTTTTGATGATCTCTGCTTCTCTTATACAGAAATCAGCCGGCTTCTCTGCGTCTCTCAAAATCATGTGCTCTCTAATCTCTCAAGATGTTCTCTGCGTATCTCCAAATTACATATTCTCTATGTTTCCTCTGCGTCTCTACCTACTCTGTCATCTCTAACATCATTTTATCTCTGTCTACCTCCAAGTTCTGTATACTCTCTCGCTTCTCTATGTTCTCTGCGGATCCACAAAACTAGACTCTTCTTGAGCTCCACACCTTGTTTTTTGCTCCTTACACAAGAGATGCTCACATGTTTTTCAAAAATTGTAGATCATAACGTGACCAACCGTATTCTCGTCGCAAGCCACGCCCATTTTTCGCGGCTCACAAGTTAGTATATAAGTAAAACTAGATCTATTTTCAGTATACATGTAATTATTACTTCGGATGCTTTGTTCACTACTTTGTAATGTCGATGACATTTGTGATAATGGGTTATTGCGGATTCTCAACATATTTCACAATTCGAGCTCATCGCGGAGCATCTACTCGTACTCGCCAACTTCAAAACCAACTTTTTCAAGCTCTCGTTTTACAAACCGTTATCCCATCAATATTTATGTATATTCCAACTGGAATCATGTTTATTTTCCCATTTCTCGATATTGATTTGAAAGACAATGCTAACTTCATTGTAGTCTGCTCGTTTTTATACCCCGGAATTGACCCGCTGATTACGATCTTTATTATAAGAGACTTCAGATTGACTGTTTCCAGTAAGCTGAAAAATACTGATTCTGGGGAAAACAAGTTTGGTTTTCCAGATATTGTCAAAGGTCGCGGAGGTGGGGCTGGAAGCAGTTTCGGATCTTCTATAGGTCCGTCAGGCGCAAGAACGGCGAATTATCTGACAGGAACTTCGACTTCTGGACACTTTGTGAAATCTTAAAGCGATGGATTTGAAATAAACTATATTTTTTGATGTCTAAAAATTGTCTAGTCTAGTTTGTACTAAACTGAAGAATATATTCTGAGAAATCAAATGTAGCCAAGTGTGATAATCTATTCATTTATGATCAGAGGTTGTGTTGAAGATAATGCTGATCTTATGGATGTCCAAATGGAACATCTTGATTCTAGTCTATTTCGGTTAAAGATCAATATATTTTTGTATGAAAAAATACAATTTTTCCTATACTCTAGTTTTGAAAACGAGCAAGGACTAACCCTGAAAAATGAAACCCCCTTAACTTATTCATCCAACCAAAAACTAATCCCCCAACTTGTTTTTATTAAAACAAAAGAGTACGTGAGTTGTCTGATGTTTTTAAGTGTTTTATTACAGTGTAGCGCTAATCCAGGTTTTATTATTATTATCATCATGAGCTATCAATAAGGCCAAAGGTGTTGAGAACTATTCGTTCTTTGACTTCTCAAAAATAAATATTGAAAATAAGAAAATACAAATACAAATATTTCACAAGGGCTTATTGATGTCATTTCGGTGGTCTATGAACATCTTCTTTGGAAAAATTAAGCAGCCAGGAATATCTATGAAGGGGGTCTGATCCTCAAGCTAGTTTTCGATTGTGAAAAACTTCAAGAATCAACCTGAACAATATTTCATCCCTAATCCATGCCCTTTTCTCAACTACACTCTTAACTAATCCGCAATTTTCGTTCTTTGGATTGTATGTAGATTAAAATTACTACCGTAGTCTTCACAATGTCACGCCCAAGTGCATCTACCTATAAAACTAGAAAATTTTCCACTACATTCTTCATCAATGGCTTTCTGGCTAAATCTGAATGATATCGCTGATTCGATTGGTTTCTCTTCAGCAATCCTGATCAACTCAATCCTTCTTCTCCTCATTCAAAATCGCTGCAAGAATATTGGAACCTATAAATATCTGATGGCCACATTCTCGATCTTCAGTATGATCTACGCGGTGACCGAAACTATGCTAAGACCTGTGAGTTAGCCTAACTTCTTCTGGATGAATTAGATGTTCTAGATAATGCACATCGAGAATACCACCTATTTCCTGATCTCGAGAAAACGTTTCGATTATTCGACGGGCTTGGCGAAAATCAATTCAGCAATGTATTGCGGATGCTTCGCGGCCACTTTTATTTTGACAGCACTTCATTATATTTATAGATATTTTGCGACTTGCAAGTGAGAGCTAAACGGATTTCTAGGTCACTAAAATTTTCTTCCAGACCCGAGCTACTCAACTGGTTTAACGGGAAGCGCCTCTTCATTTGGCCGATCCTTGCAGGAGTTCCGATTGTCTGTTGGGCCAGTGTATCTTATTTCCTCTATCCAGATTCAGAATTCACAGAGAAGGCTGTAGTGTGAGTTGACTGCGTCGCAAGGCAACTACATATTTTCTAAATTACAGTCAAGTTCTCAATGATCATTATGACGGGATTCCTCGGAATCAAGTTTCATACATCGCGTATGTTTACTACTTCTACGATAATGGTGAACGTAGCTTCAATCAAATCAATATCTTTGGATGTTTTGTTCATTACTTCGTGATGTCAACAGCTTTCCTGATTTTGGGTTATTGCGGATTCTCAACATACTTAACAATTCGAGCCCATCGCGGAGCATCTACTCGTACTCGCCAACTTCAAAACCAACTTTTCCAAGCTCTCGTTTTACAAACAGTTATCCCATCAATATTTATGTATATTCCAACTGGAATCATGTTTATTTTCCCATTTCTCAATATTGATTTGAAAGACAATGCTAATTTCATTGTAGTCTGCTCGTTTTTATACCCCGGGATTGATCCGTTGATTACGATTTTTATTATAAGAGACTTCAGAATGGCGATTATAAGTGAGTTTATTTAAAAAAAATTAAATTATTGTTAATCAAATAAATTTAGATTTCATCAAAGGGCGAAGCCTTGGCGATGGAGGTTCTGCCGCCACTAACGGAAAAAACAATCAATCAAACTCTGGACAATTCATAAGATCATAACTTGCACTTTTATTTTTCAAAACCAAAAATCAAAATAACGATTGTATAAATAATAACAGTTACAAAACCATCACACAATCTGAAAACATCTATATAAGGGTGTTTCGTTTTCAAATCGATATATGATTGATAGATCAACTTCAGTTCCAAAAATAACAAATACTGGAATTGCGATTGCATAAACTATCAATTTAACCGATAAAACAATCAGATTATGCATCACAGATATTTTTCGCTTCAATGAAGATTGTGAAGCTTTAGGTTTACATTGGGAGTATAAAGTTATGCAAAATGCCAAGATTACAAAAATCATATCAATGAAGTTCAGTGTTATCGCGAAATACAACAAATTCAAGTCACGTATTAAAACACCATCTGAAAAAAAAATATTCCTAAAATTTAAAATAAGTACTCTTTCACATACTGTACTGATAAATTGGAAGCATGAAAAATATCGATAACAAAAATATCAAAATCTTGTAAATTTGCATAACTCGAAAGCGAAATCCCAAAAATAGAAAAGTATTTGGAATATTGAAAATTGAGTCAATTGAGAAAAATATAGTGAGAAATGTGATATATGGAGATACGAATAGATAAAAATAAACACTTATTCCATAACTGACAGCAACTAAAGGGCCAATTGGGTGTAGTGTTTGACCGAAGTAAAATAGAGCATAGCTACAGATAATTCCCAAATAATTAGTTGTTGTAAGGACCATTAAAACGCCAGACAAAGTGTGAAATTGCTCGATTATTTTTGTTGGTCGTTTCAAAAAATAGATTAATAATAAAACATGTTATCAATATAACATCCCTCAAAATTAACAAAATTGATGCAATCACTGAATCACTGTTATTGAATATTTCTTCATATTCTAGAAAACTATCGTTCATGATAATGCGTATAATGATTTTTCTAAAGTTTTCAGAAACAGGTGAAAAAAATCACTCGCTTTCTTACCAAACTTTTCCCAAAAACAAAATAACGATTGAATAAATTGTAGAAGTGATATAACCATCACAAAACCTGAAGACATCTATTGGAAATATGGATGATGGATCCACTTCAGTTCCAAAAATAACGAATACAGGAATAAGGAATGTGTAGATTATTAACTTAACCGATAAAACAGTTAAATTATGCATCAAAGATATTTTGCGCTTTAATGAAGATTGTGAAGCTTTAGGTTTTAAATAAGCGTATAGAGTCAAGAAAAATGATAAAGCTACAATAACCAAATCAATGTAATTTAGGGTTATAATACATGAATGAAAATCTATATCTATATTTCGTTTCAAAACACCATCTGAAAAAAAGAGCTTTTGACTAAAATTTTCACAGAAAAAATACATACTGTATTTATTAAGTGGAATCATGGAAAATATAGATAACACAAATATAGAAATCATGTAAGGTTTCATAAATCTGAACGAAAAGCCAAAAATTGGAATAGAACTTGGAATATTATAAATCAAATCGATTGAGAAGATCAAGGTGAGAAATGTTAAATAAGACGAGGCGAATAGGTGAAACATAAAGCTGAGAACATAAATTAGAAAAAGTAATGTTACAAGTATGAATAGAATCGACTTTATAAATTCATGTTTCTCGAAAATAGTTAGAATAAAGTAACTGATATTGCCGACGAAAATAGTTGCTGTTAATCCCATTGTGATAACAAATAAATAATAAAATTGCTTGATTATTTTGATTTGTCGCTTCAAGTGTAGATTCATAATGAAGCAAAGGATAAATATAACATCTCTCAAAATCACGAAATTTATTACGGAAAGAAAAACTTTGTCATCGAATATTTCTTCAATATCGAGAAAACTATTATTTGCGATAATTCGCATTCTGACAAAGCCGAAATTTGAGATTTTTCTGAAAATCTCGTTTTTGATAACCCGTAACTCATGTTAGAAAAAATGTTATCAAAAAGAGTACAGGATTCATCAAACTCAACAGTTTTGACAAAATTTTCCAAAAATGTGCAACTTCGGCCTATTTTCTGATTGTGAGCCACAAAACTTTTTTTCTGCAAGTTTAAAAAAAAAGTTTTCGATAGGATAAACTTTAAAATGAGTTATGGGCTCTCAAGACCGCTGAAAAACTGTACAGAAACATCTATGTCACATTGAAAATCTCCTCACACTTCCCTCGTGAGTTCTCTAAAGTGTTTCAGACAATTTCTAGTCAGGTGCGAAAATTCAATGTTTATTGCACCAAATAATAAAAACATAAAGCGTGCTGGTTATCAAACCATCAAAAATTCTAGGGATATTGAGAAGAAATGAGTTTTTCTCATAAGAATCTATGTCAATTGCCCGGTCTTTGTAGATCATGAGAATTGGGATACTTATAGCGCAAGCCAAAAGTTTTACAATCAATACTGCTAGCAGGTGAATTGTTGAGATTTTCCGTTTGAAAATTGGCGAAATATTGGTGGAGAAAAATGCGGTTAACGTTAGGCAGGAGGTGATAACGAGCATTGCTGTATCGATGTAATTTAGAGAAACATAGACACAGGAAATTGGCACGTTTTGTAATAACACACCATCTGAAAATCCTCATTTTCTTATGAATCCTCATTTTATTATTTCTCAAAAAAAAAAAAGAACTTACTAGATTCAGAAAATATGCTCAAAAAATAAATTGATAGAACTACGGAGATAATTGTGTAACTTTTCATGACTCGAAAAGAAAAACCAAAAATTATCATGGAACTTTGGATAGGAATTAGTAGATCGATTGCTGCTAGCAATATCGAAAACGTCATTAAATTTGAGATTATTTCAAAGTATAACGTGTACGTGAAAAATAAGAGCAATATTATAACAGTTATATCAGGGGAATAATCACGCAAGGGTGTTACGGAAAGTCCGACAAGAAATATAATGAAAAATGTTGTTAGAATCATACTTATTATTGATGATTTATAAAAATGGGAGAGAGTTTTCAGTGGACGATTTGATTTGATATTCGTGTAGAAGATCGAGATAATTGTGAGATAATGCAGGAAAAGGAAAATGAATGCGGTGAAGTAAAAGTAGAGACTAATATTATCACTGGATTTTGTGATGTTTGTGAGCATTTGTGAATTGTTTAGGACAGGTGAAATATGTTTTTAGTGTGAACTTTAAGGTTTGTTTCATTGTTTTCATTTTCCCATGCCATTCCAGACTTGTCGAAAAGACGAAAAAATAGACAAAATCGATATTCGTTCGCCCTTCCATCGCATAAAAAACGAAAAAACGAGAAAAAACAATTCAAAACAGAAGGAAAAAGAAAATAAAAAATCTGTATTTTTCTCCGGCGCTCTCTTGCGTTCACACACTCTCTCTCCCTTCACTCGTGTATTTCTCTCGGATTATTTTTGTTTATTTTTTTCTCTCTTTTTGTTTCGTTTTTCAATAGGAAATTTGATATTTGTTTTAGAAAACCTCGAAAACTTTACTTTTACTTTATTTTTCAGCAATGGCTTCAATGTTGACAACAGTTTCTGGCTGCAAATTTTGTGAAATCGCGAAAAATGAGAAAGATCTTCATCTCAAATCAAAAGATCGGGTAAGTTTTTGTTTTTTTTTTGAAAATTTAAATAGAAACTTCGTTTGAAACCACAAGTTTTTCTTACAGTGCGTTGTGATTTCGGACATCAAACCCAAGGCCAAACATCATTATTTGGTCATCAGTAAGCAGCACATTGCAAAGCCCACCGATTTGACAGCGGCCGATATTGAATTATGTGAGTTAACCTAACTGGAAAATCTGTAACCTCCAAAATTACCTGCAGTAGAAGAGATGGAACGAACTGGTCGTGAAGTTTTGCGCGAAAAGCTGAAAAAATCGGGTGAAGCTGACACGGTTGAGGATATGCTTCGCGTCGGTTTCCACTATCCACCAATGCTCACCGTGCACCATCTTCATATGCATATTATCTATCCGATTAGTGATGTAAGCTTTTTTTGGGGTTTGGAGGGAGAAAATATGCCACGTGGCAATTTCAAAAATTCAGAAATGACAAGAAATCTGAAAATAATTGAAAATAATGTCACCTCATAGAAATATTCACTGGAAATTAAGAAAAAATGTGTTTTTTCAATGCCACGTGGATTTGAAGCCTTTTTTAGCCTGAAAATGTACAAATTTCAGCCTAAAATGTCACGTTAAACAAATATGAGCTACAAATTTAATTTTGATAATTTTTGAATGCCACGTGACAAATTTTGAACCTAAAAATCCACGTCATAGCAAATTCAAAACGCAAATTAAATAATTTCAACAAAAAAATCCATTTTTTCTTGAAAACCATGAATTTTCAGCCAAAAAATCTGAAATTTTCAGTTGAATTCTGGTTCGAAAATCGATTGATTTTCAGACAACAATTTCAGACAAATTCTCGGCTAAAACCCTTGAAATTAGAGCTCAACTTTGAGCCTAACATTTTGAAATTTTCAAAATTCTAACCCTAAAAATCCACGTCACGAAGTTTGCGTCAAAAATTAACAAAACAAATCCACGTGGCGAAAAATTTTTAATTTTTTCACAAATGTTTCTAGCGGATCTAAAATACCGAAATGACAAAATTATGAAAATCTGAAAATAATCGAAAAATGTCACGTCATAAAAATATAGGGCTCAAGAAAGAAGTCAATTTTGAGTCAAAAATTCAAAAAAAAACATTTTGGAGCTGAAAATCTGGAAATTAGAGCTCATATTTGAGCCTAAAAAATATAAAATTTTCAAAATTTTAAACTTAAAAATCCACGTCATGAAATTCACGTCAAAAATTAACAAAACAAATCCACGTGGCGAAAATTTTTTAATTTTTTCACGAAAGTTTCTAGCGGATCTAAAATACAGAAATTACAAAATTATGAAAATCTGAAAATAATCGAAAGATGTCACGTCATAAAAAAAAAATATAGGGTTCAAGAAATAAGTCAATTTTGAGTAAAAAATTCAAAAAAAATTTAGAAGCTGAAAATCTGGAAATTAGAGCTTATTTTTGAGCCTAAAAAATATAAAATTTTCAAAATTTTAAACTTAAAAATCCACGTCATGAAATTCACGTCAAAAATTAACTAAACAAATCCACGTGGCGAAAATATTTATTTTTTTCACGAAAGTTTCTAGCGGATCTAAAATACAGAAATGACAAAATTATGAAAATCTGAAAATAATCGAAAAATGTCACGTCATAAAAATATAGGGCTGAAGAAATAAGTCAATTTTGAGTAAAAAGTTCAAAAAAAAATTTTGGAGCTGAAAATCTGGAAATTAGAGCTCATTGTTCAGCTGAAAATCTAGAAATTTTCATAATTCTAACATTAAAATTCCACGTCATGAAATTTGCGTCAAAAATTAACGAAAAAATCCACGTGGCGCTGAAAAATTAAAATTCAAATTTCACTCCAAAAACGTTGCAGATGGGTCTGATCTCTCGCAAATTCACCTACCGACCCGGCAAAATCTTCCGCGCCACTCGTGACGTCATCGAATCTCTTCGCGACGCGGCCGGGATTCCAGACCCACTGGCCGGAAATCCGGCGGTCAACGATTCGCTGGAGCAAGGTATTTCGGCTCACGCGATCGCCAATTAGCGATCGCCTCAACTCATTTTTCCTGTGCTCTTTTCTTCTCTGTTCATTCATTCCACAATATATGTATGTGCTCCTTCGTCATTTCACGGTGTTTTGTTTTCAGTTTTTATAAGTTTTTCTTGAAAATTTGAAATTTATTCATAATAATGATATAATTATATACAAAAATCTATCAATAAAAAAAATGAAATTTTTAGAAAAAGTTTTTGTGCAATCTCAATCTTCTGGCGGCTGGTGCAATTAGGCCGGATGATTCGAAGCCTGAAGATGGAGCCGATGAGAGAAGGGATTGCGATTGGGCTCCGTAATTAGCGGCAGAGTTGAGGGAGGCGGTGTTGGAGTTGATTTGATCGAGCTGGAAAATGGTGAGGTTTTTTTTGGATAGGGCCTGTGAAGCCTAGAGAAGCTTGGCTGAAAAAATGGGCCAGGTCTAAAAAAGCGGGCAAGCGTGTGAAAATAAAAAACCCTATGGGCCTGAATTTTTCTGATTTCAAAATTTCAACTTAAAAAATGATTCCACGTGGATTTTTCAGCTTAAAATTTAATTTCAACATTTTTTTCCAGTTCTGAAAACTTGAGGCCTCAAAAAATCAATGCCACGTGGATTTTTTTTGATTTAAAAATTTAGCTTAAAATTTTTGCCACGTGGATTTTCCAGAAGTTCAACAAATTCTGTGCCACGTGGATATTCAGAAAGTTCTCAATTTCTGAATTTTTTCAAATTCCTGAATGATCCAAACTTTTTTTGCATACAATTTCAAAAAGTTTGAAAATTTTTGGAGCAAAAATGAAACTGCCACGTGGATTTTTCTGATTTAAAAATTCAACTTATTGTGAAAAAAGGTGCCACGTGGATTTTTCAGCGTGAAATTTAATTTTAACATTTTTTCCTTGATAACTTGAGGCCTCTAAAAATCAAAGCCACGTGGATTTTTCAGAATTCAAAAATTGATTTTTTTTGCATGAAATTTCAAAAAGTTTGAAAATTTTTGGAGCAAAAATAAAGCTGCCACGTGAATTTCTTGTCGAAAAATCAATAAGAACTTCAAATTTCAGTCGCTCGAAAATCAAATCCACGTAGATTATTCAGAAGCTTCAACTCAAATATTTTCTAGTCTACATACATTTCTAAAAAAACAAAAAAAAAAGTCTAGTTTTCTAATTTTCTTACACCACAACTTCCCGAAACCAAATTCAAATTTCGTCTCAAAAACCCGTCATTATTTATCCGTTTTTTGTTGTAAAAAACCCGAAATGGCTGAAAATATCTAAAGTTTTGTGTTTTTCTCAAGACAATAATCATCATAAATCAAAGTCAATATCACAAAAAAAACTTACGCTAACTTCAACACCATTCTCAATTTGCCCATTGTTTACATTGTTAACGAATTGACCTTGTTGAGGCGCATAGTTTCCGATTTGCTGTAATAATTTTTGTTGATTGATAAAATAACAAAGAAGAGATTAGGAGTTACAATAAGTTGTAATGTTTTTTTTGCTAACTTTATTTAGATTAGAACTTTAGGAACTTTAGGAATTCTGGAGATCTGATTGTAAAGAATTTGACGGTCTTTTCAAGTTCAAAAACGAATTTCAGAAACGAATTGTCAGACCCAAAATTTGCTATACCGAAATTTTGAAACCTATTTTCCCCGGCAATTTTTTTGCTCACCTCTGGTTGTTGCAAATATCCATTTGGTGCTTGTGGTGGTGGTGGTGGTGGTTGAATGCTGAAAATTTCAAATTAAATTTCTCACAAATATTTTTCAAGAGTTAGATGTTACTGTCGCCGAAGCTTTTTGCGATATTCATCATCGGTTTCGATTATTCTGAAAACACATTTTAGTTAGGGTTAGGCTAAAGCTTAGAAGTTACATAGTGTCGCCTTCTGAAGTTGATGGAAGTTGGATGACTTGTGGAATTCGGTTTGGTGAAGCTGAAGCTGAAGCTGGAGCTGACGCCAAACCGTCATTTAGACGTTCTGGGTTCGGATTCTGAATTGGTGAGAGTGTGGCAAAGGCGTCCGGTTGATTTGACATTGGCACTTCGTAAGGTGTATTGTAGATTGGTGGAGAAGGCGGTGAGGGTGGATAATAGGCTGGTGTTGTGGTGACACTGTTAAGGTGGTTAGGTTAGCGTGGTTAGGGGTTTTAGATTTTTTTGAGAATTTTCGAAAATTCTGATTCTCAAGATCTGCTTCTTGTGAATGAATGGAATTTCAGACATGATTTTCAGCCTAGAAGGCTCTACAATTTTCAGAATTTTCTGGAACTGCTCAAAATTCAGCTTTGAAAATTCTGAATTCAAAATTTTAAATTTCTTATTTTCAGAGAAAATTCTGAAACGTTTTTTTCAGACAACAAAACTTTCTGGTTCAAAGCTTTCTAAAAATAAATAAAAAAAAGAATTTTTTTCAAAACTTCCAAATGGGCTTCTAGAGAATTCCAATTAAAATTCAACTAATTCTCAAAATTTCAAATTTTCTGAGCTAATTAATTTTCAGAGCTTATTTTCAGCTTTCTCTCTTCGAAGCTCCAGATTTTCAGCTCAAATTTAATTTTTTTCAGATTCAGAAGTAGTACATAGGTTTCAGTAAAAAAATTCAAAATATTGAAAATTCTGAAACTTTTTTTTCAGATAACAGAACTTTTTGGTTCAAAGCTTTCTGAAACTGAAAGTTGAAAATGTTGAAAACTTCTGAGCTTCTGAAAATTAAAATTCAATTAATTTTGAAACTTTTTTCAGATAACAAAATTTTTTGGTTCAAATTTTCAAACTGAAAATTCAAAAGTTCCAGAAGTTTTTGTTTTTCAAGAAACGTTTGAGATTCTAAAAAAAATTCTGTTTTTCTGGAATTTCAGTTCAAGAGAATTTGCACACAAATATTAAAATTTTCAAAAAATGTTAGAAAAATCACACAAAAACTGCCCGCAAAAACTCACTAAGCTGGTGGTGGTGCAGCCACGGGAACCTTCGCATACAACGGAATCCGCTCATAGCCAATGATTCTGGGCGGTGCGTAGGCCCAACTGGTCTGCGAGCAGCAACCCGTCTGAATTTGTGGAGCTCCACAACATCCGAAAAATAATCCCGAAATCGGAGTGATCATCGACAAGACGCACAGAAATTTGCCCAACATTTTCTTCTGAGACACAAGATTGAAATTTTTTTGTGATCTCAACTACCCAACTATTTTATACCTATGACCTTTTTTGTTTGAGAAATAACCCCACCTTTTTTGTTGTCATCGTGTGTAAGTGTAAGAAGGTAAGCTTTGAGGTAGCAAAAAACGGGTTGTTGCGCAGTTGGAAATATTTATTGCAAAAAGATATATCATCATCATATTTTTGTTGTCTTGACGGTTACGCGATTTTCTCTAGTTTACGTTTTTGTCTCGAGAAAAATTATGAATAGGGTTTTTTTTTCACTCAAGATTTGGGAACTAAAAAATCGGTATCTACAGTAATGCGGTTACTGTGAAGTTCGGCTACAGTGATCTGAACTTCTAAAGTTGACTAAAGTTCTGAAAAAGTTCCCTACACAACCTAGATTGTGATAGAGTACTGTACTTTTCATCTACCGTAATCGAACTGCAAACTACAGTAGTCCTATTTTGAAGTTCAAAAAAGTTCACACCAACAAAGGTTTTTAAGGTTACTGTACTTCTAGAGTTGACTACAGTAATATATTTTTCAAAAACATAAGCTAGCTTCTTCAAATACCGTAGTTGAACTGCAAATTACAGTACTCCTATTTTAGAGTTTAAAAAGTTTCGGAACCTATAATTCCTAGAACCTACCGTAATCCATGATAAATACAGTACCCTGGATTTTTCTGTCAAATTTTTTTTTCAAATCCTTCCAGATCAATTCTGAACACAAAAAACCTGACAAAATTATTTGAAAATCGAGAAAAAATTCATGATTTTGAAACAAAATAATCCATGAAATCATAAAATTTCGGATTCTCATCATCTGGCTCAGAAATTTCTCGAAATCGCCATTTTCCATGAAATCTTCAAATTCATCCTTGTAAAATTTATAATATTTTCGACACTTTCTCGGATAAATTGCTGAAAAGTTAATATTCAATTTTCTTTCACGCGCGAAAAAATTTTTTTTTAGAAATTTCCCAAAAAAAACTCACTAGACTTATCCTTATTTGCCCAAATCCTCTGATAATTTTCGGGTAATTGAATAACATTATAATAACTAACTTCAGAAATTCCAGAAGAAATTTTCGGAATTTTTTTGATTTTTGTCATTTCAAAAACATCGAAATGAGTATGAACACAGTTTGCACAAACTGCCCGATAAATTCCCGAAAATTCTCGATGAACTAGAGAATTCTGGAAATCTGATAGAATTTTCCAGCGATTTTTTCGATTCAGCGAGTAGATCACAAAAGGCTCAAGATCATCTTTATGATTTCCTGGGGAGCTAATTAATTTCATAATTATTTGAGTGTTCCCATAAATTCTTCTAAATTGCTTCATTCTCCTATCAACTTTTTTTTCTAGAAAATTTCTCGATTTTCGTCTGAAAAAAAAATTAATTAGAATTTTTTTCAGAAAAACTGAACTCACAACTGATACTCAAAATCAAATGAAATATCCATTTTTGAATTAAAAAAAATGAAAAAAATGAAAATCCTATGCGTTTTTAAGGGAGGGATATTTCGCAACTTTTATTTTCAGCAGCCCACATGGTTTTTGAGCTTTGATTTTCTGAAAAAACATCGTGTATGCTGAAAATTGCGAAATTCAACTGCTGAATTTTTTCTGAAAAAAATCGAGAAAGTTTTACTCAATCCGGCAAACATAAGTTCAGGAACATTTTCAAAATAATATTTTTTTTTTCATCAAAATATTATCGGGACGCCATGGTTTCAAGAAGCGAAGCGAACCGAATAATAATTTCTCGTCATTATTTTTGAAATGATTTTCCTATTGACATCTATTATATTTTCAGCGGTGAGATTTTCCTCAAAACTAAAACATTTTAATTAATTTTCAGATCTCTTGCTCACAAATAATTCTGATCTATGGAACTCTGAATGTGTCAGATGTTTTGAGCACAACTTCAGTTTCAGACAAGGAATCATGTTCAGAATTATGTTTGTCTGAAGTGAATTGTGTTTCCTTGTTTTTCATCCCGTCTTCTGGATCTTGCTCGATTTATTCAATGTATCAAGTGTTATCCTATCAGAAAAATGATGTTTCGGAAAATGTTGTTGGGATTAAGGTTAGTTATGTTTTTGGTACCTTACAATTAGTGTTTATATTTTTTTTTAGACAAACTCCTCTAGTTCAACATGTTCTTCTTCATTTTCTGACATTAATTTATCCGGAGATGTAAATGGAATCGCATATCAATTCTCACCGGATTCAAGTTTTAGTTATCAAACTTGTCCAGAAGAGTATAAGCAATTTACAAGAACTCGTGGAATTTGGTGTATGAAGTTGCATAATTTTTCAACGCCAACACCACGTGATTTTTCATATTGCTCTCAACAATCAGCATATCCCACAGGATTCGATAACGACGATGAAATTTCGTTTATCACCTCGGAAATTCTATCACTTTCACTGTTACAAAGAAACATCGGAATTGACGGTCATCGAAAATCATCCTGTTATAACTCGACAACAACTTGGTGTGATGATTTTGAATGGTCGAATAATTATACAAATTATCCAACTTTGATTAATTGGGCAGCTAATGATCCATCAAGAAGGGATGGTTCAATTTTGGAAAATGATTTGGGAATTTGGATGAAGGATGAAAGTACTCTTGTGGATATTTTCGGTGACATTGCTAACACGACGAATATTCATGGATTTGTTTGTGGAGTTCCGTTGGGGAATTGGAATTTTGATTGATCTCTGGAAGTTCATATTTTTTTCAAAACCATGGCTACCATTTCATAAATAAATATATTTTTTGCATTCGGGCCAGAGTTCGGAGCTCTTTTTTTAAAATTCACCTGGATGAGTAACTGATTTCCCAAATTCAAAATAAAAATATCATCGAAACCAATAAAAATTCACCTGCTCAATGTACTTTGAACCAACCTCACATACAAAAAATGAGTATTTTTTCATTTTCAAAATTCAGATCAAATTTCTAATAGAATTTATCCCACTGACTTGCAATGTTGATTTTGGTCGAGGTTTGAAAAATGAAAATAAATGAATACGGTAGGGTTTGTGAATTAGTATGACACATAATGTTGATAAGAAGCCGTGTAGACCGATCAATATTACCAAATGATTGTTGTATTCTGGAAAAATAGCTCATTCCGCTGATGATAAGGGATTTTTTGAATTCAAACCCATGTTATAATAGTTTGCCCAAACGGAAAACCAAACATAAAAAACGGGAAAGCATAACAGCAACGCTGGAATTGTGAACTGTAACACAAATGCGATTAGAAATGTGATTTGCATTTTACGAGTTGCTGCAGATACTGAATGATTAGGTTTCAAGACTAAAATATAAGCTGTGTACAATGAAAAAAACAAAGCTTGTGGAATAATAATGATACATTGAATACACATAAATATAGTCACATAACCTGGATCATCAGTGATGACTGTGAACTTATCAGAAAAGAATTCTTTGGGTGGACAGGGAAATGATCGCAAGAAATCCAGTCGAATTGAATCTAGGTTTGGAGATTGGAAATAGGGCGGAATATTTGCTGTGAAGCCAAGTGTATAATTTAGAATAAATATTGAATATCGTATACATTTCCTTTCTATTCGATAGGGATTCGTATGGATTAGTGAAAACCGATTTTCAAACAATCCAACTATAGTTACCCCTATCACTGTAAAACACTTGTAAATTTGAAAAAATACAAAAATCTCACCACAAACAATCGATTGAATTAAATATAAATTAAATCTTGGTGGAATTCCAATCTCATAACCAAAACCCAAAGTTGCCATTGATGCGGATGGAAAAAATCCTATAGGTACGATAAGAACATTGAAAATTAGATCGAAACCCATGGTCCTTTAAACAAAATTGTTTTCGAAAGATCATAGAATTCACTTACCAAAAATGAATGTTGAGTAAATGATTTTTGGCGCTTTTCATATTATTTGGTGTCACATAAATCAAACAATAAAGTGCATAAATTCCAACAGGGATTGAGATTATTGTAACTGTATGAGTGAAAATAATTGGATATTGAGATGAAGCGAAAAATGATTCGGAATTGGAAGAACATTTTGGATTTCTAGTGAACATTGAACATGAATGATACAAATATGTGAATAAATATATAAAATTTATCAGCTGCTTCTGATGTTTATTTCTTATAAATACATTTGTTTAGAATTTGATCCCGAAATAAAAAGTTCAACCTGCAAAAAATTGTGTAATCTTGATGTCCTTATCCAAAAATCCAATTAAACGTTGGAAATTCATTTATCCTTGAGATCATAACTAGATTTTCCGAAAAAAAATGATTTTCAAATTAGCATCTGTTATTCTCCTGAATTTATTGGTATTCTGGATTTTAAAATTCAGAATCAATTCAAAACCTTTGCGAACATCCAATTATTTTACAAAGTGAGTTTGATCTGACATTTCGGATTTAAAAAATAAAGTTCTTTTTACATAGAGACGAGTTAAAGCATCTCAACTGCTCAGAGTTTATTAATAATCAAACCTCTATAAATGAATATGTAGAGAATGGTCGTCTGAAGTTGGATCATAGGTATCCTTTGAATTTAGCGATGGATTGTGGAAGTATAGTTCAACGAATATTCAATGGTCGGAGATTCGTTGAAAAACGCTTGAAGCGACCAATTGCTTTCGTCAGAAATGTTTTCACGGTATCTCGGGAAAAGAACCGCAACTTACTGCAACTGTAGCAGCATTTGTCGCAGCGCTGCGGCAATTTGTCGCAGCGCTGCGGCACTGCAACACATGCGCCGGAGTTGCGCCCATTTCCGCAACAGTTCACGCAACAGTTGCGAGATTTGTCGCAACTCCGGCGCATGTGTTGCAACAAAAAATGCTGCAGCGCTGCGACAAATTGCCGCAGCGCTGCGACAAATGCTGCCACAGTTGCGGTTCTTTTCCCGGCCTTTTATATTTTCAAAAAATATAGAATTCCTCCACTGCTACTTTGGTATAGTGGTTAGCGAGCTTGGTTTTGCTTCACAAGGTCGCAGGTTCGATTCCTGCCCGGCGCATAATTTTTTTTTCCTCCAGAGTTATGCGTTTCAAGAGATGCTTCTATCATCAGATTATCACCCGGATAACACATATTGCTATAGCGTTGACAAATATTCAAAAACTGGATTATTCGAGAACCTTCAGATTTTGTCGAATTGTCTCCCAAATGTTATCCTTAATCCAACCAAATATTATTTCAATTCATGGGGTCATTTACAAAATCAGGCGCAGTTTAGATGTCTCGAATTGATTATGAATAGAACGTGGAGTCACGCTCTATTTTTACAGGTTGCCTGAAGGTTTTAAGTAATTTTAAAATATTTTTCTCGCAGAATAATGACCTGGTTTTAAAACCCGCTGATCAATTATCAGACCTCAGTGAATTGTTGAATTATACAAGTGCAATGTTTTTTGAGGACCCACATGAAGGTTGGTATTCTGAAAAAAAAGCTGATTGGACACCTGCTGCCTTAAAACTCTTCAAAAATGAAGCCAAAGTTCCGGAAGATATATTACATAGGCCACTGAGAATTTGGAAAGGTTACAATGAAGTTATAGTGTCCAGAATTTTTATTGAATCAATTTTGGATAAATTGAACTTGGAGGGAATTATGAAGGTATTTGATCGAAAGGTGATTTCTAAACCTTAGCTTAAATTTTAATGGCTAACTTCTTCTACGAAAAGTATTTATAGATGTTTGGCGTTGATGAGATGTTAGTTCAAACATTATATCGAAACAATCTTGGCCTTGATGCTCAACCAACTTCGAGTTGCCATAACTTTGTGCCTGATACATTTATCAGATGGACAGATTGGACAAATCGCTGGTCGTCTGGAACATTCTACGAAGCCTGTAGATCGAAATTCGAGAGACATTGGATTTGTGTGATGGGTGTGGAATATTTGAGAGATTTTATTATGAACAATAGTTTTGTTATTGGAAATAAGGTTTTGGAGAATCATGATATTGGGCCTGTTTTGTGCTTGAGAGAATTGTTTGGGAGCAATAAAATAGACAAAAAGAGGAAGATAACTAGGATGGAGCTGGAAAACTATCCACAATTTCGAGAAATGGAAATGAAACGAAATGGGAGTTATGAAATGAGCAAATTTCAGTGTGATAAGTAGAATGTTGTTATAGGAAAGTTGTTTGATCACAGCGCAAAATTTTTTTTCCGTGTGAAATGGTTGAGAACAGCCACAATTTTACGTGAGAGAAACGAGAGAGTGTGAGCGCTGAAGAGACGCCAGACGAAAAAGGGATATGATCACGCCCACTTTCATAATTTTTTTTCGCTGTGAATTGATCCTAATAAACTTTTTTCTGAAAAATACACTCTTAAAATGCCGAGCAACGCGATTTAAAAAAATATTGTATTTTAATTGGTTTTTTTGAGCTTCATGAGCGTCTTTTTTTTCGGGGAGCCATGGTTATAGAAAAGAATCAACAAAGTTTTCAATCATTGTTCATTTGCTATGATTTTTCAGCTGCTTTTCACATTTCTTTTGATCCAAAAGGTAGGATTTTCCTTACATAAATTAGGTTAAACCTTTATTTTCAGATCATCTGTTCACAAATAATTCTGATTTATGGAACTCTGAATGTGTCAGATGTTTTGAGCACAACTTCAGTTTCAGACAAGGAATCATGTTCAGATGATTTTGAATGATCGAATAATTATACAAATTATCCAGCATTCATTAATTGGGCAGCTTATAACCCGTCGAGATGGAAGGGTTCACTTCAAGAGATTCAACTGGCAATTTCGATATGGGATGCTAGTTCTGTGGATGTTTTTGATGATATCACTAACGAAGATCTTATTTATGGATTTATTTGTGGTGTTCCATTGGGAAATTGGGATTTTAACTGATTTTTGCTATTTTGATCTCAATGAACGTTTTTCTGAATATTTCCGAAAATAGTTTTTTTTATTGTTTTTCTGAGCTCCCGAGTTCATTCGGGGAGCCATGGTTATAGCGACAAGCTATGTAAAATATGTAATAGCTTTTCATTTTATTTTCAAACATCAAACAATGTTTGCATCACTTTTCATAGTTCTTCTCCTGGAAACGGTAGGATTTTTCTCGAGCTGAAAAAGTTTTCCTAACCAAACACTTTCAGATCTCCTGCTCACAGATAATTCTGATCTATGGAACTCTGAATGTGTCAGATGTTTTGAGCACAACTTCAGTTTCTGACAAGGAATCATGTTCAGAATTATGTTTATCTGAAGTTAATTGTGTTTCCTTGTTTTTTATTCCCGCTTCTGGATCTTGCTCGATTTATTCAATGTATCAAGTGTTATCCTATCAGAAAAATGATGTTTCGGAAAATATTGTTGGAATCAAGGTAAGGGGATCAGAATTTGGATGCTTCAGAATCCAGTCTCTTCAGACAAACTCCTCTAGTTCAACCTGTCCTTCAACATTCTCCGATGTCAATTTATCTGGTGATGTAAATGGAATTGCATATCAATTTTCAGCAGATTCAAGTTTTAGTTATCAAACCTGTCCAGATGGATATAAGCAATTTACAAGAACTCGAGGAATCTGGTGCATGAAACTTTATGATTTCCAAACTGCTCCAATCTCAATGGACATCTCATATTGTTCGCAATATTCGGCGTATTCATCAGGATTCGATAATTCTGATGAAGTTGAATACATAACATCAGAAATTGTGTCAATTCCGATGTTACGACTGAATATTGGAACGGACGGATATCGAAGTCCTTCCTGTTATAATTCCACAACAATTTGGTGTGATGATTATGAATGGTCGAATAATTATACAAATTATCCAACTTTTATTAATTGGGGAACTTATAATCCATCAAGATGGGAAGGTTCAATTCAAGCAAATCAACTGTCGATTTGGGTTGGGGATGATTGTTATGTGGATATTTTTGATGATATTTCAAACGAGGATCTGATTTATGGATTTATTTGCGGAGTTCCTTTGGGAAATTGGGATTTTAACTAAAAATAAATTCAATATTTTTTGCAACACACCATAACCAAACCACATATCAAAAAAAGTATCTCGAAAAATGAGACCAGATTGATTCCCATCAGAACTCCCAATTGTCCGCCAAGTTGTGATAGAAATTTGTTAAACTGCAAAAAAAAACAGGGCCTTATTTAGAGGACACTTTCCCAAAACCCACATCCATTTTCGGAACCTCCGCATAAATCTTATAATCCAGTCGTGGTAGCAAAATCGAAACCAGCAAACTATCCCGATACGTCTCCAAACATGCTGTTTGATTCGCTGCGGAGGCACAAGACTGCGGCGATGCAACAAAATTCGCCTTACTCCAGGTCACTGAGTATTGTTGATTTGAGCAAGGCAAAGGACACAAGCACGATTTCCACGTGGATGGATCACCCGCGGAATCCGATGCGTCAGTGACGCAAGTTCGATCCGCCAGTTGACACGTGGTAACGTTGTCAGCTTGCGGATAACGTGGATCCATACAATTGCAAGCCGCATAGATCATGTCTTGGTAGCAGGTTCGAAGACAACCATCAGTGGTATAGGCTAGTGGATAATAGTAGGCTTTGACTTCAGAGGCTTTTTTCACACAGGCTCCGTATTTGCCGCCGAGACGGGTGTAATAAGTCTGGAAAATTTCAAAATGTTATATTTACCCCAAAATGGCTTGGGCCAAAAACACATAAATATCACAGCGAAAAAAAAATATTTTGTTGTTCAAAAACTTTTTTGTGGGAATTAAATATCCCTTTTTCGTCTCGTGTCTCTTCTGCACGCACGTGAGAGATAACGAGAGAGTATAAATTAGCGTGTGGGTGCAGAAGAGACGTGAGACGAAAAAGGGATATGAACAGACTCCGCCCACTTTTCCAACTGACTAGCTGTCTTTAACTCACATTATAAATATTAATATTACTCTTGGCATTCGGCGGAGCATTATATCTAACCGATTCCGAAAACACATATTCATCTCTCGAATGAATAAACACATTAATCGCAGCCGTATCATACCAAGGTGCATATTCATCTTGACGACATCGCATATTTGCAGCAAATCCGCCGTGTGTTCCAGAATTTCTCATCAAATATGTGACATTATTAAAATAATGATTGAAAGTGAAACAATTGCCCAACACAACATCATTCCATTTATAGATATCTCGAGATAAATCGAGTCGTTGATCTTCGAAAGCGACCCAATTGAAGAGATCTTCCACATTCCAACTGAGATCTTCTCTTTCGGTTGTGTTTAGCAGGCCGGTGATGAATGGAACCATGTCTTTGATTTCAGAGGGGTTTGACATTAGATCATTGAGTAGGGAGATCATGTCGGTGTTCATATAACCGTAGATTGCAACAAGGACTTGCTCGATTAAAATATCTGGAAAAATGTTGTGCGTGCAGAAGAGACGCCAGACGAAAAAGGGATATTCTCGATAAGCTCTCCTAGGCTTTCCCTCCTCCCCTAAACTCACTCAAATCACAATACGTATTGGTCCATTTCTCACTACACGAACAACTAAAAGTGTTAATCCCAGTCGTACAATTCGCCAAACTATCCTTCGTATTACACGGTCCCACGCCATTCACAGTATGATTCTTGCACTGATCAATAATCTTCTCGCAATTATTGCCCTCCAAACCCGCCAAACATGTACAATTATATCCGCCAAAGAATGCAGTACACGTACTGTTGAATTGACACGGCGTCGAATCGCAATAATTGATTTCAGTATCGCAATTTGTGTTGTTCCAACCGTTTTCACAAGTGCACGTATAACTTGGATCAATAGAACTTGAGTCACAGGAACAGTGACCGTGAACACATGGATTGCTGTAGTTGCAGCGGTCGAGGTATTGACAATTTTGGCCGGTGTATAGGGAGAGACAATCGCAAGTGTAGGAACCGGTTGATGGGTTGGGAGAGCATGTTGAACCGTAGAGGCAGGGAGAAGGGGAGCAAGGGTCGGGGTCTGAAAATGAGTGGGTTTAGAGAAACACCCGTGTATAATAAGGCCATTGCAGAATACTTCACAAGAAAAAAACATTTGCAAAAAAATAAAAAGAAAACAACGAGACTCCGCGTTGACGCTAGCCCGCGTGGTTTGAATTTGGGTTTTTTTCAGTTTTTCAATGGGCTTTCATATTTCGGTGAATACTTTTCGAAATTTTCTGAATTCTTTCTCTGAACTAGAAAACTGTGAAGCTAAGCTAAGTCTAATTAAGCTAAGATTTTACAACAATTGGGAATTTTCTAAAGCTGCTTTAAACTGAGCCTGGAGAGAACTCACATTGACACTTTTCTCCAACAAAGCCTTCGACACAACTACACGTGTATCCATTAGTCTGAGCAATCGAGTTACAAGTTCCTCCGTTCTGACAAGGATTTTCCGTGGCAGCGCACGCATTTTCCACCGCAACATCGCATTCAGCGCCGGAAAAATAGGGCGAACACGCGCAGGAATATGTGCCATTTTGATCCACGCAAATTCCTTGCGCCGAATTTGCGTTGCATTGAGTTGACGCAACACATCCATTTGGATCAACAACTGCAAAAAATTCCACGTGGATTTTTCACTACAGTAACTTGAATCCACGTGGATTTACAGTGACCCACCATCTTTCTGAAAGCTATAACTAATCACACGATTCTCGGATTTCCCACATTTTTCCGAAGAATTTCCGGGACACTTGGATTTGCACCCGGAATCTGTGGACCAAGCAGTGGAATTCAGAATGTCTGAAGTTGCGACAGCACACCAAGTTTCACACAGAACTGAAACATTTCAGATTCCACGTGGAAATTTTGCAATTTAGAGGAACTCACACAACTTCAAATATTTTTGAGGTGAAAAACTTCTTGCATAATTCTGACATTTCTCCACCGTCATCTTACTGTCGCTGAATTTCAGCTCATAATTTGCCAGCGAGCTTTGATAGTGCCAACAATTTTCGTATTTCGGAGTACTGTAAAATTCAGATGTTTGCCGCTCAGAAAATTTCCGATTTACCTGACTGTAACCGATGTTTTTTCACAATATCTGCCCTGGAAGCCGTAGGTACAATTACAGTAGAATTGGGAGTTTTGGAGCACTGGGACACATGTTCCAGAGTTTTGACAGTAGATTTTGTAGCAGACGTCTTTGGCTGGAAAAAAATGTTGGATTTTTGAGCTTCAGTACTCCGGAAGCTTGAAATTTTGAATTTTAGATTCTTATTTTCCAATTCTTTCGAAAATCTAAAATTCCTAAAATTGTACCACGTGGATTTTTCTGAAGCTACAGTAACCCGGGAATTTGAAAAATTAGTTGAAATTCACAATTCCGATTTTCATAAATATTATACTTCCAAAAAAAATGATTTCACGTGGATTTCTTTCAACCTACAGTAATCCGGGAGTTCCAAATTTCATGGAAAAAAACTTCTAAAATTGTGCCACGTGGATTTTTCGGAAGCTACAGTAACCCAGGAATTCTAAAAATTGTGAACTTCAGTATTTCTATTTTTTTAATTGCAGAAATTGTGGATTTTCCAACAGTAATCCTGATATTCAAAACTGCACGAAATTCTAAAACTTCTAAAATTGTGCCACGTGGATTTTTCTGAAACTACAGTAACCCAGGAATTCTGAAAATTGTGAACTTCACTATTTTTATTTTTTGAAACTGCAAAAATTGTGCCACGTGGATTTTTCTACAGTAATCCCGAGCTTCAAGAATTTTTAGTTCTAATTTTGTGAACTTTTCTAAAACTCCTAAAATTGTGCCACGTGGATTTCGGCCCCCCAACTCACTTTCACAATTCGTTCCCAAATATCCATCAGCACATTCGCAACTATAACCATCCGCCAAATTGCTGCAAGTCGCTCCATTTTTGCAAGGACTCTCAGCACACGCCGAATCCTCGGCAAAACTGCACTCAAAACTTCCGATTCCCACATTTTGACACGTGTCATTCGCATTTGCGCAGGGTACAGAAATGCACGTGTCCACCAAAGTGTCGCAATTCGCCGTCGCACTATTTGTTGTGCCATTCACGCATACGCAATCAGCGTCAGCGCAAGTGTACTCCAAAGTTCGCGAAGTGTTCGTCGAGTTCACGATTTCATAGCTTGGTGCACCGTTTGTCTCGCCGCAAGCTCCAAAATTCTTACAACCATGCGGAGGCAACGCAAGATTCGCAATAATCACATCGCCGTCTTGCGGAGTTACCGTATCCGAACTACCGTAACCCAAGAAAAAGAGCAGCAAAATTATGAGCAACATTTTTTTGAGTGCGCAAGAAAACACACCTTTTGTTTTGAATAGATGAGCGATTTTTGGTTGTCTTGTCGGAATTTTTAAATGCTTTTTGATTTTTGAAAGAACAATGTGTAATGTGGTTTGGCCTTGAAGACTTTCTTGAGTACTGTAGATTTTGGGGCCAAAAATAAGGCTTTGATCTACAAAACAAAATATCCTATTCAAGTTGTGTGTTCTCTCTTTTTTGTCAATGTTATATTTTTAGTTTGGGTCTATTTTTATGAACATTTTTCCATTACTGATAAATTGAATTTTGAATTTCTGAGAAGTATTTTTTTCAATTTCCGGTATATGGTATGTACTTTGTATAGATCTTCAGTAAACAGAATAGTTAGTGGTTCGTATAATTCCATATCTGCCTTTGAAGATGACTTGGAAATTATTCGTCAGCCGGCTTCAGGAAATCGCAGCAATAATCTCATTATCAGCACATTTTCTGCTAATTTTGTTAGTCTTAACAAAATCACCAAAGAAAATTGGATCATACAAATATTTGATGATCTATATTTCAATTTTCGAAATACTCTACTCCATCAACGATGTGCTCATTGAGCCAATATGTTTTTCCTATGGCTCAAAATCGATTTTCGTGGTTGTTGTCAACACCGAAAATGCATATTTCAACAAAGATATCTGCCTTATTTTAATATCAACATGGGGTGCATTTTTTGGAAGTTTTATGGGATTATTTGTTCTTCAGTTTTTCTATCGATATTGCGTTGCATCTGGGTGAGTTGTTTTTGGAGTGAAAATAGAAAAAAAAATCATTTTCAGATCATCGTTGATAAAAAAAAGTTTTCAAAGTTGGAGAATTGTTTTATGGATGAGTGGACCTGTATTCTGTGGAATACTTTGGGGACTGCTCACTTATTTTCTATTGCCGCCCGATGAACAGATTGATGAGGCAATTCGAGATGTTCTGCTCGTAAAGTTCAATTGGACAATTGAACAAATCACATATGTCGGTCCATATTTTCATCGAAATTCAGAAAATATTCATATTCCAAATGCGATTGGATTTCTTATAATGGTAATGATCATGATTGCATCTCTTCTCCTGATCACAATATTCGCTATCAAGTGTTATCAAAAAATGGATGATTTCACAAGCCTAACATCAAATAGAACAAAAAGTCTACAATTTCAATTGTTCTATGCGCTGGTCACTCAAACTCTAATCCCTCTCATTCTTATGCATCTTCCTGTTCTAATCTTCTTCATTTTCACCTTTTCCAATATTGGTTTAGGAAATGCGAGTAGTATTGTTAGTATGACAGTCGCATTGTTTCCAGCATTGGATCCTTTCCCAGTTATGTTCATTATTAAAAATTATCGGAATGCGATTTTCGATACATTGACAAAGATCTTCAAAAGGAAGCCATAATTTCTCATTCAGAAATGAGAAGAAAATAAAATAAATTAAGAAACGTGGAACGTGGAACGTGTAACCTAATGCAACGTTGCAAAATGTCGAGGTCAGTCGAAAAATGAGGAAATCAATCAGTTCTCGTTTTGCGATCACTAGGATTTGGTCTACTCGATCTGGCCCCTTGGCCCTCAGCCTACAATTAACTCGTGAGTTGAAATTCACATAGTTAGGCTAACTGTAGCTCTATTTTTGCAGATCTCTCTACTAGAAATTCAACATTTACATTCTTACTATTGAATAGTCAATTGAAACTTCATTCAATCGAGTTCTTCTCTGTAAAATAACAATTTCGCTCATATCTTGCGATTGTATTATTGATTTATCTCCGTAATGAATATTTTTTTATTCTGAAAAACTGTTGTGTCTGGATTTCCAGGGGAGGAAAATCAGGCCACGCCCCTTTTCTGCAAGTCTGGCACAGTTTTTACAAGAGCTTCGCGCATGAATAGTGGAAACAGCAGCAAAATCAGGCCACGCCCATTTTTCTGCAAGTCTGGCACAGTTTTTGTCTTCGAAGTCCTTTGCGAGAGAAGAGTAGAAAAAGCAACAAAATTAGGCCACGCCCACTTTTCTGCAATTTTTGATACTCTGATTTTGTCACTATTTGATGACAATTCTTATCATTTTTTCTCCACTCACATATCTAAATGTGATAAGAAAAAACCTTGTAATTTTTCTCACTATCTCTGACCAAAGTTGAAAAATGTTTCTATTTTTGCTAATATTTTCTCCAATTCTTCTGCCAAATGCCGCCTCGCACAAAATCCTCGTCTTCTCCCCAACCGCCAGCAAATCGCACATGATTTCGCAAGGCCGAATAGCCGATGAGCTGGCGCGGGCCGGTCACGACGTCGTCAATTTCGAGCCCGATTTCACGAATCAGGTCGACAAATTTGAGCCGTGTAAATTGTGTCGGCGATGGGTGGTGAAGGGGTTGAATAATCGCGGGTATATTGATATTCAGAACAAGCAGACCGAGCACATTTTTGAGGAATCTGGGTTCTGGTCGAGGATTTTTAATAGCGAATCGGATCCGCATCAGGATGAATACACCAATTTGTGTGAAGGTGGGTATAGATTTGGGAGGGGCGGGGGAGGAAAAATGAAAATGCTCCAAATTGCCACGTCAGAAAAAGTTCACGAGAAACAGAATCACCTGTTTATATTTAAAAAAAAACAGTGCTTTTCCTCTGCTGCTACTCAGGGAATCACGGGCGAGATCTACGCGATTCGCGGGCGTCCAGCGTTTTGCGGAAACTCCGCGGTGGACATTTGCGAATTGCGCAAATTTAGCGAAGTGACTCGGTCGAAAATATTTTGTCGCGAGATTTCCGCAAAACGCAGAAAAGTTTGCGTTTCGCGTGAATTTCGCGGGCTGTCACGACAAGAGTGCAGAGATATGAAACACGTTTCAGCGATATGAGTCGTGCGCGTGGATGGTCAAGTGGGTAATAGGAATGTGTGTGAGTCAGAGAGTGTCGGATCGAGGCCGACCGAGTGAGTATGATTAAAAGCGATTAGTTGTGTCTCGCGGCGCCTCTACTTTTTGATTTTTGAGAGAGCACCGCGAGATTTCCGCGATTCGCAGACAGAAAACCGCGAAATCGCGGCGTGTTCGCGGCGATTTCGCGGATTTCTGGGTCCCGCGAATCGCGTAGATCTCGCCCGTGATTCCCTGAGTATACTTTGGTATAGTGCTTAGCGCGCTCGCTTTTGCTTCACAAGGCCGCAGGTTCGATTCCTGCCCAACGCATAAAGTTTTTGAAAAATAAATTAAACTAGCCAAAAATTCAGAGATTCTGAAAATTAAAGCAGAAATTCTCATCGGAAATGAATTTCTCAACTGGAAAAAATAGGATTTTCTGATCTTCGGGCTCAATTTTTTTGGGAAATTTTGAGCCACACTTTATTTTAAGATTTTGTGAAGCAGTCTATTTTTGAAGTTTTTATCTAAAAAATTTAAAAAATCTAACCTGATCTTTGAGAAAAATTCTCCCAACATCCCCAGTTTCCAGAAGTCGTCACCAACAGCACTTTGATCGCCGAACTGCGCGCCGAAAAATTCGACGCCTACTTCGGCGAGCACGTGCATCTCTGCGGTATGGGCCTGGCTCACCTCCTCAACATTCCTCACAAATTCTGGGTTGCCTCATGCACAATGGGACTGAATATGCGAGACATTCTCGGGCTCACAACACCCTCCAGTTTCCTGCCGTTTAATACTGAACTCGATGAGACACCAGCACCAATCTTTCAGCGAGTCAAAAATCAGATGTTGCAACTCGCCACTCTGCGCGATGAAAAACGCGATGATCAATTGTGCACTGATATGTATCGCCGACATTTTGGCCAAGATTTTCCCGGGGTCGATGAGATTGCACGAAATGTTGATATGGTTTTCGTAGCCACCGATGAGTTATTGGAAATCCAGGCACCTACTCTTTCCAAAATTGTGCATTTTGGAGGGCTAGGAAGCTCCGGACCTGTGGAATTGAAAGATAGAGAATTCAAGGTGCAAATGGAGGAGAACGCGAGGAATGGAGTTATTCTATTTTCTCTGGGGACCATTGCGAACACCACAATTCTACCATCAAAAATAATGGAGAACTTGCTTCATACAACCCAGAAATTCCCGGATTATAACTTCATCATCAAGGTGGATAAATACGATAGATCTTCTTTTGAAAAAGCAAAACATCTACCGAATGTTCATGTGACAGATTGGGTTCCGCAGCCGGCTCTTCTAGCCCACCCGAATCTCAAACTCTTCATCACTCACGCTGGCTATAACAGTTTGATGGAAGCTGCGCGAGCCGGAATTCCTCTGCTAACCATCCCATTCATGTTTGATCAACATCGAAATAGCCGACATGTTGCTAGAAAGGGTTGGGGAGTTGCGAGAAGTCGATTCGATCTTCGCGACCATCCCGAGAGAATTGAAGAGGCTATCAGAGAGATTCTAGGCAATGAGCGATTCCAAGATCGTGCGCAGAGATTGAAGAAACTTATGCAAAGTAAACCGCAGAGTGCCGCTGAAAGATTGGTGAAGAATACGAATTGGGTTTTGGAGAATTCAGGAATTGATGAATTGCAATATGAGGGGAGAAAGCTTGATCTGGTGACTTATTATAATTTGGATGTTATTGGCATTTTGTTGGGTGCAATTATTTTGATCTTTGTTTTGTTACGGTTACCAAAGTTAGGAAAATAAATAAAAATTCATGAATTTTTTTAAAGCGCACATTCTAGAAGACAATTTTGCAAAGTTCCAAATTTCTTGATCATGTTAATCGAAGTGTCGACATTCACAATCTGACCATTTTCAATAACAAAAATCCTGTCACAATTCTCAACATCGTGGAATTCTTCACCAATAACAATCAATGTAGATTGCTTGAGATTTTCACGAATCGCATGTTCGACGAGAGATTTTGTGGGCTCGTTCATGAATTTGGTGGATTGATCGATCACAAATATCTGACCACCTTTCAAGATCGCACGGCACACATTAATCTGCTCTTTTTGCTCTTCGCTCATCAAATCCGCACTAATCGGTTGATTCAATCCATGCGTCAAACCCTTCACAAAATCCTTCATTTGACAAGATTCGATGGCCAGCCAAACATCACTATCCGCAAATTGTCCGCAAGGATCAATGTTATTCCGAAGAGTGTCCGCAAAGATTCTAGCCTTCTGGGGGATTACAGTAACCCGCGAGCGGAGGGTGTTCACACCGATGTCGTACACATTTACACCATCGATGAAGATTCGACTCTCGTCGTCTGCTGACGTCATTGCGACTAGAGTTAGGGCAAGTTGGGTTTTTCCAGCGCCTGGTTTTCCGACGATTCCAACTTTTTCGAGAGATTGAATTGAGAGATTGATGCCTTTGAGAATGTGTTTGTATTTGTTGGCAAATACGTTGAGACTGAAAATTGGAGGCTGAGAAAAGCTATGACGTGGCATTCTTAAAATTGTGCCACGTGGATTTCTGAATTTTTGTGTTTCAAAGGTTCTAAGAATTGTTGAATTTTAATTTTCTGAAATTCCAAAATTTGTACCAAGTGGATTTTTGAACTTCAGAATTTCAATTTTCTGAAATTCCAAAAATTGTGCCACGTGGATTTTTTCAAACCACAGGTAATCCAGAGGCTCTAAAAATTTTAAGACCTCAGAATTTCAATTTTCTGAAACTCCAAAAATTGTGCCACGTGGATTTTTGATCCTACGCTAATTCTGGAGTTCTGAGAACTTCAGAATCTAAATTTTCTCAAATTGTGCCACGTGGATTTTTGAACCTACTGTATTCCAGATGTTCAAACAAAGAATTATTGAACTTCAGAATTTCAATTTTCTAAAATTCCAAAAATTGTGCCACGTGGATTTTTGAACCTACTGTAATTCAGAGATTCAAATAAAGAATTATTGGACTACAAAACTTTAATTTTCAGAAATTTTCTGAAATTATGCCACGTGGATTTTTTCAAACCACAGTAATCCAGAGGCTCAAAAAATGTTTTTTTTTAATTGTGGGACCTAAGAATTTAAATTTTCTGAAATTCCAAAAATTGTGTCACGTGGACTTTTGAACCTATTGTATTTCAGATGTTCAAAGACTTTTGATCTACCCAAAAAAATTTAATCAAACTAACTTCTCAATATCAATATTGCCCGAATCTGGCCAAGAATCTCGCATCGGAGTCGAATCAATGACATGTTCCTTCGGATAATTTTTGGTGTGACAAATCTTCTGAATGTTCGGCGAATAGGATTCCAAAGTGCAAATAACTCTGATAAATGTTGAGACGAGTTCAGTGATGGATAAAATCGAAGCGACGCAAAGGGCAAATCCAGCATTCTCAATCATATGGAAGTTTCTGCAGATGGCAGCGACGATGAAGCATGAGAAAATAATGATGTTCGACATCAATTCGATGCGCAACGATAACCATCTGAGCGCTGAATGTTTCGCCATCTTGCATCTCGTTAGAACATCGGAAATTTCAGAGATCTCCGAGAGTGTTGTCTTGGTTTTGTCGAAAACTCGCGCCATTAATCTGGTATCGAAATTTTGTGAGACGTAGCACAAAAATTGCGATTTTTGAATGTTTTCCAAATGTATTATCTTATGAGATGTTGGAATGTATAATTTCAAAAGTGCGAAGATGAAGATGAAGAATGCCACAACGAAAACAAGGTAAATTGGAAGATTGACAGCGACGATTGAGAAGATCATAAGGATCTGAAAGATCATCTATACGTTTGCAGTTCTTGTTAGGCTAACTCACATTCAACGAAGTTTCCAAAAACGATTTGATGTACATTGGAAACTGTGTGTCAGCAATATCCAAATCGCCCGTAAAAAGCTGAATAAACTCCTCAACATTATGACTTTTTGTGAAGAATGGCATTGGAGCATTCAGAATACTTCGAATTATATGATCGTGCAATTTTTTCGATGCGTCGATGGTTGTCATGACTGAGAAGACGTAGGCGAAGGTGTTGGAAATGACGGCGGAGATGGCGAAGAAGGACATGAGTTGGAGGAAGACGTATTGTGGGCAGTTTTCGCATTCCTCTTTTTTCCATTGTGGATCAAGCCAGAATGAGAGCCAGAAGAAGGCAAGAGACTGGAAAAATTCAAGTTTTCATTTAAAATTTGAAATCGTTTTCGAATTTCCACGTCATCTAGGTCACGTTTAGAATTAATTATTTTGCAGAAGATATTTATGACGTGGCAAAGCCGAGAGAAAACGAGAGAGTAGAAATTAGCGTGCGCGTGCAGAAGAGACGCGAGACGAAAAAGGGATATGGAATTTTCGCCTCTTATTTGGTTCCTGAATTTTTGAAAACCTTCAGAAAATTGAATTTTATCGTGGAAAAATTCAATAAGAATTTTATGTTTGATTTGTAAATTGCCACGTCATATAAGCCACGTTTGAGACTAATTATAGAATTGAAAGCTTCTGGTCAGAAGTGTTCTGGAGGTATTTATGACGTGGCAAAATCTGATTTTTTTTTTCAAAATTTCAAGTTTGCTGATTTTTTTAAATTCAAAAAACCCCCACCTGCAACACAAATCTCGTCACCAAAAACACCATATACAATCCAAAAAACAAATATGAGCAATTCCGAAAATAGTACAAATACGTGTTCCGCTTGCGAACTTCAATCGCCTCGCTGATAATTATCACCGGCTTCTTCTTTTTCAGCGACATTTTATCCACATCAAACATCACACCTTTCTTCTTCTTCGGAATTTCGATGAACCTCTCCTCGATTCGATCATCAGTCTCACTGATGCTCAAAAGTTCCGACATGATTGTAGATCTTTCGATGATGTCATCGTAGGTTCCACTGATTTCAAGTTTACCATCTGCAATCAAAATGTGAAGGAATTTACGAGGTTTTTTTTTAAATCTACCTTTCATAACATGATTTTTCGTAAATCCCTTGGTCAATCTGATATTATTGGTGGCTAGGATCACAGTCTTTCCACGGAGGAAACCATCCTTCCCCAAAACTTTTTCAAAAACCTTGCGCTCTGTGACCAAATCCATAAGGCAGAAAGCTTTGTCTAGCGCATAAATATCAGCATCTTGATAAATGCACCGAGCCAAGGAGATTTGAGCTTTTTGAGTTTCTGTGAGCACATAACCTCGATCTCCGAGCATAGTTGCATCGCATCGGGGGAATGAGAAGATGTCCTTGCGTAGATCGCAAACGTTGATCACCTGGAATGTTTGGGAGTCAGGATTTCTCTTTATTTTCTGATTTTTTCTAATGGGGCCCATTAAATGCAGAATAATATTTTGTAATAATATTGAGATAGTGCAGACAGTTTTTTGTATATTTTGTGCGAAAAATCAATTTGTCTGTCTGCACTCTCTCAATTTCACATTGTCTCTACATTTAGAAGTAGAACACATTTAGAAGTAGAAGAAGAAATAGTAAACTGTATATTTTGTTTTTTCGACGTTTTTCAGCATAGGAAAAATATGTTTTTTATTACAAAATATTATTCTGCATGGGCCCGTAATCTTTGAGAAAATTTTCTGAATCTCGAATAGTTTCCCAGAATATTTTTTGAAACTCAGATTTGAAAATAGAATCCAAAATTAATTTTTTGTAAGTTCAAGGAACTTCATAAATCCAATTTTCACTTTAAATTTAATTTTAGGGGTTTCGAAACTTCAAAAAAACTTCGAACTCTCGAATCGATTTCCATTCAGAATATCTGCTATCTAAAAATCAACAAAATTTAAAATTCCGATTAGTTTCTGGATTTTAAAATGGCTGGGAAGTTTTTTCGAACGTCATTTTTACTTGATTCTGAGAAAAATCCCTTCCAGGTTTGTACCCTAATTTTTTTTCAGAAAAATTTTTCCTGACCCCTTATTCACCTTATCATACTTCACTTTATCAAACTCATTCCCAAACAAAATATTCGCCTTCACAGTTTGCGAGAACAAAAATGGAATTGATGGCGCAAACGAGATCCTTGGCGACACCCAACGCTTTCCTTTGGTGAGCTGCAGCTCACCAACAATGGCGCATAGCAGCGAGGATTTTCCGCAAAGTGGGAAGCCAACGATTCCATGGATCTCGCCCTTTAGAACTTCCAAGGTTATCTGGAAAAATTATTTTCAAAACAAAAATCCTAATAGAAATTTGGGGGTTCTTACATTCTTCAAATCATCCGAGCTGCCATTCCACGAGAAATTTGCATCTTCCAATTTCACATCATATTCATGTTCGATTACTTGAGATTGCGCTTTCTTTGAAAGTCGATCACTGGGTTTGTTAGGAGAATTTTGGGCGGTGATGAATTGATTGATTCTGGTAGCTGAATGGAATGCGCGATTGAGATAATCTAGACTTGGCATAATTGTGTGAAGTGGTCTTCGCATGTAATTGAAGATCGCAATCAATACAAAAGCATCTTCAAATCGTAAATCACTGATTTTGAAGCTTAAACCATACACGGCAAAACTGACAAACATTATAACAAATGGTGAAGTTATATTCAAAGAATGCATGCAGCAATTGATCCAAGAAGTTTTCCGGAATGTTCCAAGCTCCTCTTTTCTGATTTTATGCAATTTTTCACCGAATTCCGATTCCCATGCGAATAATTTGATAGTCTCCATTGAAGAAAGCACAGTTTTGCTGAACTCAACTCTCTCGTCACGAAGTTTCACCTGCTGTTTCAAACTTTTCTTATAGATCCATGAATCAATGACATTTAGGAATAGATAGACTACAGCGACAATGAGAACAGCGATAATGGTTCGGGTTCCCAGAGTTTCCCAGATCCAAAATATCGCGATTATCAGCTCCAACATTGATGCCCACGAATGATGCACAAAGAGCAAGGCATTGGAGATTGCATCGGAGTGAGTTGTGACAAGTTTTTGGATTTTTAGGCTGGTATAGGGGGTGATGGATGAGGTGAGGAAGAGCGCTTTTTTGACGATTATTGTGTTGAGGACGGCGGAGATTCGGGCGGTATCTTCAGCGACAAGGTAGGTGTGGACACCTGGAAATTAGTTGCTTGTTTACCTAGTTATGACGTCACATTTGCTGAAGAAATTTTTTAACGTGGGCGGAGTCTGTTCATATCCCTTTTTCGTCTCGTCTCTTCTCTCTCGTTCTCTCTCACGTGAAATTATGGCTGTTCACACGAAAACGTGAAAAATTTGTTTTTCGCCGTGTTATGACGTGGCAGCTAGATAAGTTTATGAATTTAAAAGCCACGTCATAACTTTTAAAAATTTTTAGATTATGAATTCGATATTATTCAGCTGGACAACCCGAATTAGACTCTTTATGTGGCAAAGCTAGGATAAATTGAGATCTGCCACGTCATAACTCATATTTTTCCAGCTTTTTATAAACTCACCAAACAACAATGACTTCAACTGAATGAAAAATAGAATCAAAATCGAAATTATAAAGAAACTCGAAAGTGTTGCAGATATTTCAGCGGAATCGATCAAATACCTGAAATTCAAAAATCAATTTTTAAAATAGTTCTCCAGATTCTTTTCCAACAAACTTCAAAAGTAAAATCGAAGCATAATCCGCGAAAATGGCCGAAATTCTGAAAGCAAACGCGATCACAAATGATTTCCAGAATCGCAACAAAATTGACCCGATTACACGGCGTTCTGAAGTCAAATTCAATTAAAACAATATTCAGAATCCTGAATTTAGACTAACTCCACTTATAACCCTTCATAATATGCGCCAAATAGTTGTCATCTTCGAGCGGCGGCAAATCATCGATTTCAATCGGCTCCTGAGCTTTTCTACATTTTCCCAGCAGCTCTGAGATGGAGAATTCGAAGAGTTTGGAGAACCACGATAATTTCTTATCGGGCTCTTGATCCTCTTGAATTTGCCGCGCGTTTTTCGACAAGTTCACACTCACTGAAATTTTTTTTAAAAGGATAATTTGGGAAAATTCGGGGGAAAACTGACCATTCATACCAGAATATGAGTTCGTAAAATGTGAAACTTGTGGAAACTCGCATTTTATTTTAATTTATTCCACTAATCCATGTAAAACAAGCGATTTGTCACCACCAGGCAAAAAAAAGAAGAAGAACGACAAAAATTTGAATATTCCTCAATGCGCCAAACACGCTCCAATGCGAAATGTGTGCAACGACACTCCGCCAATCACTCTGCATTTTTCTTTTCTTTTCCGGGATTTTTTCCGGGTTTTTTCGCGGTTTCTTTGGTTTAACGCGAATTTTTTGTGATTTTAGTTGTGTCTTTGGTTTATGGGCCGTCTGAAGTTCACACGTGTCGGTCTACCGTTCTTCGCAATTGTTCTCGGCGGCGCTTACGGTCTCCACTTTTTCCAGCAAGTTCGATTCGATTTCCGCAAAATCCGACAGGAAGACGCGAATCTCGATTTACTCGTGAGTATTTTTCGAAATTTTAAGATAGTTTTCACCAAATATTTCCATAATAAATAAAGTTTTCAGCGTTCCGACTTGACAAAAAGCGGAATAAAAATCCGAGACAACGTCACAGTTGATAGTGTCTACAAAGAGGTTGCTGAATTGGACACAGATAATTGGGAGAATATTCGAGGCCCACGGGATACCGAGGATCTTACCCAATATAATATTATCAAAAAGCAACAGCAAGAAGCAGCAAAAGCATCACGTGCGGCGCAAAAACAAATCGTCTGATGTCTGAAAATATTCCCGAAGTTGATCCAGACCTCAGTTTGCTTGACAACAATCCTCCCGAACCTGACAACGCATCGATTCGTGCGGAACGCGGTTCTCCAACTCCATCAAGTGTGACCGTTGATAATCATCCGGATAGATCGATCGCAATCCAGGATCCGTTCTCCACTTCAAGCGACGCTGGTATTCCTGAAGTTCCTGTTCCATCGTCAAGCGCGTTGTCGATTTCTAGCCAAGCGCTGAGCGATCCGACTCCAAGTGTTCCGATTATTGTTAGAGATTGTGGAAACGAGGGAGTTTCGACGTCGAGTCATCCAACTGATCCACAAGAACCTAACGAGGTATTTAAAACTAGAAATGTGTTTTTTTTTTAATTTTTCTAGGTCACGTTCTTTGTTTTTTAGAGAACGTGAAAAATTCTGCAGAAAATTGTTCATTTCTAAATTTAAAAATAGTGTAAAAGGTGAGAGAATTGATTATCGATTTTTTTACGAATGTTAGGAAATTTGTTGATTTGGGGCGTCTAAACTAGCTTTTTTGTTGGAAAAATTGGATTTCTAGGCGCGGCTTCTTGACAAAGTAATTCTCTAAGCGCGCCTTCTTGATAGAGTGGCCCTCTAGGCGCTGCTACTTGTCATAGCGGCTCTCAAGGCACATCTGCTTGTTATAGAAATTCTCTAGGCGCTGCTACTTTTCATAGCTGCTCCCAAAGTGTCGCTCCTTTACAAAGTGATTCTAAAGCCGCTGCTACTTGTCATAGAAGCTCTTTAGGCGCGGCTGCTTCTCATAGAACCTCTCAAGACGCAGTTGCTTGACATAGTAGCTCTCTAGAATCAGTTCCTTGAACTAATGACTTCTAGGCGCGGCTGCTTGTTATAGAAGCTCTCAAGACGCTGCTCCTTATCGTAGAAGCTCTTAAGGCGCGGCTCCTTGACAGAAGAGCTCTCTAAGCGCAGCTAATTATCATAGAAGCTCTCAAGGCACGATTTTTCCTTTCAAAAAAAAAGCTTATCAATTTTGAAGCCTAAATTAGTCTTTCTTTTCGAAAAATCCACTCTAATTCAATGTTCCAGATCAACATCGACTACCTGGCTCAATTGCTCGATCTCGGTTTCGACGAATTCACCGCCAGTCTCGCTCTCAAACGCACCAACAACATCGGCGTCGAACAAGCCGTCTCGTGGATCATCGAACGATCCAACGAAAGCGACTTCGAAGACGATTCGAGTAGCAGCGAAACCGAAGGCGAAGACGTCGACACGATGGGAGCACAAGCGAGTAGTTCCACTAACTCGGGTGGCACTGGTGTCGAAAATGCCGCGTTGGAAATGATGAAAGCGTTGGCGAAACGGGGAAGAACACATAAAATGGTGTTGGTGGCGAATATGAGTCTGAAAATGGGAGTTGGCAAATTGGCGGCACAAGTTGGACACGCCACACTTGGCGTTTATCGACAGGCCATGAATTGTGAAGCGGGACAAACGGCTATCAATTCATGGACCAGACATGGACAGGTAAGGGTTTGGTTGATGTGAGAAACCTGGATTTGAGACTGGGCAGGCAAAAAATAGACCAAAACTTGAGATTTGCAATAAAATCAATATTTTCTGAGGATTTGCTGATCAGAATTACAAAAATTTGGTTTCGTGAAAAACTGCAAAACTCAGCTCCTAATATGAGTGGCAAAGTTTGAAAACTAGAGACTTTAGAAGACTATACGAAATTTTCCAGCATTGCCACTCATCGAGTTCACCAATTTTCAAAATTTTTCACACGTGGCATAATTCCTGCGGGAGAAATTTGTTAAAATTCATGTTTTCTAGTAGACTAGAAGGGCTTCGCTGGCTAACGCCATCTACAGTAGTTTGACTTACTTTTTACTGATTAATTTTCCGGTTAGAGAAAGAGAAACATTGAGAAATGCCCAGAAATTGTTCGCTTTTTTCAGAAAACAGAAAGATCAGATAAGAAACGTGTCCTTTAATTTTTTTGGAATAAAAACGTGATCATTCTTTTTTACATGAAAAAAGTTTTGATTTTTCACGTGAAAACTCGCGCACTTTTTGAAAAATCGAATATTAGCGCCTCAATGGGAATGAATTTGGGATAGAATGGTGAAGGTCCCATCAAAAATGGTCTTCTGGAAATTGAGAAAAGTCGAGCGACACATTTTAAAATCGAAAAATACATTGAGATTTTCAAACTTTTCACTCTCCGCGCACTCACATACATTTTGAGAATGAATGAATAGGAAGCGCATCGAGCTGCCAACATTTAGAAACTTTTTCTTTTTTTGATCATCAATTTTTATGCGCACAGTTTTGAGAACGGGTCCCGGACATACTATTGCCAAAAAAATTTTCCCAATTAGTATATAGTAGATTTTGACCCGCTGGACACGTTCCTGTTGTCAGAAACTGAACTTTTGATGAAACATATCGAAATATACCGAATCGACCATGCTGATCACGAATCCGAAGTCAAAAATTGCCACAAACTCCTGAGAGCACTTTTGTGGAGCTCCAAATTTGAAATTGAGTTTTTCACCTGGTTTCTGGGTTGAAAATCAATGTTTATAACATGAATAAGGTTCTCAGCTTTTTAGTTTTTCAAAAAAATATAAAACGCCAACTGAAAACTGTAATTTTTACAATTACTTTCAAGACTTTTTTAAAAATTACAGTTTTTGTCAGCTGGATTTTCATATTTTTTGATAAACAAAAAGCTGAGCTCTGAGAATGTGATGAACAAACTTATTCAAGTTATAAAAATTGATTTTCCACCCAGGAACAAGGTGAAAAAACTCAATTTCAACTTTGGAGCTCTAGCTAGAAAAGTGCTCAAAGGAGTTTGTGGCAATTTTTGACTTCGGAATCATGATCAGCATGGTCGATTTGGTATATTTCGATATGTCTCATCAAAAGTTCAACACCTGACCTATGCACTTCCCTTGTAAGTAGTTTCTGACAACGGGAACGTATTCAGTGGGTCGAAATCTACCACAAAACATTAATTTCATCAGATTTCTCCCGCCGGAATTATGCTATGTCTGAAAAAGTGATTTATGACGTGGCAACGCTGGAAAACGATGACTTTACAAGTCTATAGCCTATTAGTCTTGTAAAGTCTCTAGTTTTCAAACTTTGCCACGTCATAACTCATATTAGGAGCTGAGTTTTGCAGTTTTTCACGACAAAAAAAACAATAATTTTATTAAAAATTCCCCAAATTTTCAAATTTCCCCCTTTCCCTTCCTCTGAATGGCAAAAAGCCAACCGAAAACCAGGGATTATCTTTTTTTTGTATATTTAGCTAACATAAAATAAAACCGAAACACGAGCTTTCACTTTGGGAGAGAAAATAATTACATAACAACAAGAAAAAATCAAGTTTCTATCAAAAAATTGGCGGGGGATTATGTGGTAAATAAAAAGTAATTATTGAGAGGAAAATCGAGATGAAGCTGACCTTGAGAGGATGATTTTTGATGGGAAATTGGAGAAAAATTCGAAATTTTTGACAAAAAATGAAGTATTTTGCTGAAAATCTGCGAATTTTCAGGTTTTTTGTCAGAAATTGTTCAGAATATCGGAATTTCTGAATATAAATTTAGATAATTTATTTTTCAAAATTTCAGAAGCTTACTCTTCAAAAAATCTTAAAAACTCCCCAATTCTGAATTTCTTGCTAGAAATTAACTGTGAAAATTGATTTTTTCATAAAAACCTTCCAAAATTCCCATTTTTTCAGGTCAAAATCGTTGTTCGCGGCCAATCCACTGAACAATTGATGGATTTGTGCAAAGCTGCCAAAGATGCCGGTTGCTTCTATTATTTGGTTCAAGACGCTGGCTACACTCAAATTCCGGCCGGTTCGCGAACCATTTTGGGCGTTTTTGGAACGGTTGAACAAGTCGATTCGGTGACTGGAGGACTCAAACTTCTTTAATTTTTTTGGTGGATTTTTTGGGAAAGGGAAGAAGGGATTTGGGGGTGGAGAAGGGAGATTTGATGCGAAAATCTTGAATTTTGATAGATTTTTGATGCTGAACGTTTTCGAGCTTGAAATTTATGGGAATTTTTGAATTCTGAATTTTTAGCGCGAAAATTCGTGGATTTTCGCGCCGAAAATTTAGGAATTCAAAAATTTTGTTAAAATTTCTGACACGTGGATTTTTGGGAGCCGGATTTTCTAATTTTCAATTTTTTTTTTGAAAATTTCGGGATTCAAAAAAATTTCAAGTTGGCCACGTGGATTCTTTTTATCTGAAGTTTTTAAAAAATTTTGAGATTTTCAAGAATCTTGAATTTTCGAATTTCAAAATCTGAAAATTATTTTTCAAGCTTTGGCCACGTGGATTTTGGACTCAAATTTTTATTCTTATTTTTGAATAAAAAAGTTTGGCACCAAAATTTACAATTTTCAAGTTTTTGCCACGTGGATTCTTTTTATCTGAAATTTTTGCTAAAAAATTTCAAAAATCCTCAGATTTTCAAGAATCTTAAATTTCCCGCTCTCTATTTCTCTCGCACCCTCCACCCTCTCCACACTATTTCTCCCCCTCTCTCTCTCTCTCTCTTCTTACTTTATATGCGTTTTTCTCTCTCTCGGTTCTGGCAATTTTCGAATTGGACCCGAGAAATCGGGCCAGATTCAAAAAATCCACATTCTGTGTTTTTTGTGTCAACTTTTACCCAGTGACAAATATATTTCTGACAAAAAATAAAAATTTCATGTTTCTTTTCGCGGCGAAAGTCGAGTTATTAAAGGATTTCCCCTACAATAATCCCCTATAAAATCACCAATCGGCCTGCCAAAAAAAGTCATTTCCCCAAAAAAAGATGAAGCTGCTGAGCTTCTTCTCCTTCTATTTTTTCGCCCCGATTTGGGCCGCGTGCAATATCGGACCGTGTCAAGTACAGTACTATCAGCAGCCCGTGGCTGTTCATCCGCCAACTCAAATCTATCAGCAACCACAGCCACAGCCACAACTTCAACTACAGTATGCTACAGTAACGCCACCCACCACGCAAGTACAGTACTATTATCCTGGAGCGTATTTGAATGCGTATCCGGTGGCGCCAAAAACTACCGTACTCACGACGCAGGTGGATAAGGATGTGAATGTTTTGCCGGCGAAAATGGTGAGTTTTTGAGCGGGGGTACTGTACAATTTGGGTTACTGTATCTAAGCAATTGAATAGAGTACGTAGACTAGATTATTTTCTGGGAGTACTGTAGCTGAAAAAACCTGGGTTACTGTAATTCAGCTCGCCTAGAGTACTGTAGTTTCATCATTACACTGTGTTTTATAAATGAATTAACCAGATTACTGTAGTTTTGACCATATTACTGTAGTTTTGAAATATTGATTTTCTGAAGATTCTGAGATTATTGGTAAATTGTGAGCTACAGTAATCCCAAGTTAAAATTTACAGTAACCCGTGTGTCTATCTACAGTATTGAATAGCCTCTAAACTGCTTCTAATTGTAAGATCTAGAATTCTACAGTAACCCATACTACAGTAACCCTGAGAACTTCAGACTACAGTAGGCTTAACTACAGTACCATGGAAAATCAAAATTTTGAACAAAATCAAGAAGTTATGATATTTTCTACAGTAACCCATAACTTTATCTACAGTAATGAACGATTTCTTAACTGTTCTCATAATTCAGAACAGTAGTTCAGAACAAGATTCAGAACAGTAGTTTCTGAACTGTTCTCAAGATTCAGATCTCTACTGTAGTAATGTCTACCGTACTATTCAAGCTCAGCTACAGTACCTCTCCTTCTACAGTAACCCAATCTTGAATTACAGACCTACGACGATTTCGAAAAAGAGTTGGACAAACTCCAAAAATCCACCACCACCACAATCATCAAAACCGAAGAGGATCCCTTCACCAACGACACAAACATCGGAGATCTGAAGGCGAGTCTGGCAATTCTCAATGAGACCACACCGACTCCCAGCACCCAAAAAACGATAACCTATATTCGAGAGGGTCCGATGCCTCTTCCCTATCGGCCAGTTCTACCAACTCAAACCCAAACCCAGCAACAATTTGTGATCCCACAGGGATGTCTGCCAGTGGCTCAGCAATACCTTCGACAATACTACATTCCTCAGCAGACCTACGTCACCGCTCCCCAACCCCAACCCCGCCCACAACTTTCGATAACTCCGCCACCAATCAATGATTGTTGTGGAAAGTGTGGTGCGGCTTGCAAATACCGGACCAAAAAGAGTTCGGTGATGGCGTTGGCGTCGAAGATCTTTGATGCTGCCCAGTGGATGCCGCGGAGAGATGAGGATAGTGAGGATGAGCCGAAGGATCCGAAGTGTAATAGTGAGAAGTTGAGGGATATTATGATGAGGGTGAGTGGGGACATTGATGGAAATCTGAATCTGAATTTGATCTTGAAGTCAAGCTTAGCTGAATTTCTAGAACTTTTAGATGTTTCAAAATTCAAATTCCGGATCCGGAGAATTATTGAACCCAGATTCTATTCTGATGTTGAAGTCTTGAATTCTGAAGTTAATTGTAAGCTTCGGAGACTCATTCTCAAGCTCTTCTAGAACTCTGATGTTTTGAAAATTTGAACTCCTGATGTTGAAGTCCTGAATTCTTGAAATCCAGAATCCAGAATCTAATCTTGAACTCTTTCAGCAGCTTTTGAGTATTCTCAATTCTCTAGATCTGAACCTTGAAGTTGTAGATCTACACCTTCAGATTTATCTAAATCAGATCAAGTTAACCTGAAAGTTGAAAAGCTGCGATTCCCACTAAACCTTCCTATTGCTAGAAAAAAAAATTAGTTCCAGCAAGGATTCGAACCCCTGGCCTTCTGACCGAAAATATATTAACTTATCCACTCGACCACGGCGTCTCTTAAAATACTCTAGACGTCTAGCTTCCTCTCGTAGCCTAACTTCTCTCCGTCTCTAAAACTACTCTAGATCTCTAACTTCCTCTCGTCGTCTAGGTGTCCCTGCGTCTCTAAAAAATACTCTAGATGTCTGCCTCCCTCTCGTCGTCTAGCAGCCTATGAAATTTTTTCTAGATGTCTAGCTTCTTCTCGTAGCCTAACCTCTCTCCGTCCTTAAAACTACTCTAGATCTCTAGCTTCCTCTCGTTGTCTAGATGTCCTTGCGTCTCTAAAAACTACTCTAGATCTCTAGCTTCCTCTCTGCGTCTCTAACTCTCTCAATTTCCAGCACATCACCCGAACCGTCTCCTTATCCAAACGCCTCATCCAGAAAAATGCTGAAAGCGAACTCGGAGGTAAGTCTAAGCCTAGACTAGAGTCTAGTCTAGATCTAGGTCCAGGCCCAACATCAGACCAATCTTCCAGGCCTCTTCTCCGTCTTCTGCTCCACCGACGATTTCAGCTACGTGGCTAGAAGTGACACATTTTGCCAATTGCAGAAGAATGAAATACTGTGCTACGCTTTCAAACATCAATGATTTTATTTTGTTATTATTAAATTTATTTTATAATACAATTAACATCTACAGTAATCTACACGTATTGTCAGAAAACTTAAATTACTCGTATTTTTATCTTTCCTCATTTTTTGCCTCATTTTGTAATCGATATTTGTTGTTTCTGTAAATATATGAACTTCATGTCAGCACTGAAAATTTCAGAAATTTTTTTTTGATCTACCAACTAACCTCTCCCTCTCCATATTGCACATTATAATAGTCTTTAGCGGCGTCTAGTGTCAAATAACTGTAGTCTTCGGTGATTTCTTCGAGTTGCGAAGCGAGTTTGTGACGGATTTCGGAGAACTCGATTCGCTCGTCTGGATCCGAGTGCCAGCATTCGAGCATTATTTCGTAGCTGCAAAATTTTGGAGGTTGTGACGTGGCACAAAGGGTTTTTTTTTGGAAATTTAAGTTTAAGTTTTTTCCAGAATTTTGAATTCAAAGTTCAAAATTAGTGTTATGACGTGGCAAATTTTCAGATTTCATTTTCTAAAAAAAACTGAAATTAGTTAAAAAGTTTTCCTAATTTTTTTGAGATTCTGAAAAATGTTTCAAAAATTCCAGAAAATCCAGAAAGTCTTTGAAACATCTATATTATTTCAAAATTTAACTGAAACTTTCATCGTTTTAGAAAAATTCTAGATTTTATTTTAGGCAGGTCATAAAAATTATAGTTCAAATTTGTTATGACGTGGCAAAGTTTCAAATTCCAATTTCTAGAAAAAAAAATGAAAATTATAGATCATGGATTTTTTCTGTTCAAAAGTTTTCCTAATTTTTTTGAGATTCTGGAAAATTTATAATTCAAAATTGTTATGACGTGGCAAATTTTCAGAAGTTGAGATTTACTGCAAGTTTCAGGAAAATTGTATCCAAATCTTATCTGGTCTAGAATAATATCAGAATTCTGCCACGTCATAAAATTTTGAAAACATTTTAATCTGTACCGAAAAAATTGCCGAGTTTCAGAATTCACAAAATTTTTAGAAAAAAAACATTTTTCGATCTGATTAATTTTCCAAATTTCAAGAAATCAAGATTATTCAATTTTGCAAAATTATTCTAAATTTTCAAAAAATTTCTTGAAAATTCAAAATGAATCTCTAAAAAATTTTCCCGAAGAAAAAAGCTCTGATTTTTTTGGGGGAAAAATTCTCTGAACTTTCCAAACCCCCTCCCCCGAAACTCACAAATTATCCGGACAATTATCGGGTTGCTCAATCCTACCCTTGGCCTCCAAAAACGGCAAAACATCCTCGGGATGCATTCCAGGATACGGCGAGCCTCCCAAAGTTATAATCTCAAAAAGCAGAATTCCAAACGACCAAACATCACTCTTCGACGAGAATTCATAATTCCTTATCGCTTCTGGTGACATCCACTTCAATGGAAGTCTTCCCCCTTTACTCTTATACTGCGATGAACTTCCATAAATATATCGACACAATCCGAAATCTCCAATCTTACACGATTTTCCCTCGTGAACCAACACATTTCTCGCCGCAACATCTCGATGAACAAATCCTTTTTGCGAAAGGAATTCGAGGCCGTAAGATATCTGCACAGCATATTGAAGAAGTTGTTTGATTGTGATGATCATACTTGGATCATAATTATTTTCCACTGGTGGATCGTGATAATTCACCCCAGCCTCATCAAGTTTCATCATATATTTACAGCGATTTCGAAGATATTGCAAAAGATCTCCATCCGAACAATATTCCACAACCAAACACAACGGTTCAGAATCGGTGATACACGCCAACATATTCACCAATCGCTCATGATAACCTAACGTCTTCATCAGCCCGATTTCGCGTAAAAATTCACTCTTCGACATGTCATCGGTGAATTCGGGTAGCATTTTGACGGCAACTTCGCAATTTTCAGCGCGCATCAGGTTGATGCCAAGCGGTGAATTGGCGTCTTTGTGGGCCAGCGATTTGCCGATGAGTCTTCCGAGATAAACTGCACCGAAGGCGCCGGAGCCCAGTTTTTTGTCGGTGTGGATTATCAGATTGCGACGCTCGATTTCCCAAATGTCGTGTCTGAAATTGGAAATTGGATGGCCTAGATTTAGGCCTAAAGAGTTCAGGCTGAACCTAACGAGCCTGAGCTTCTGAAGTTCAGCTCAAGCTTGTTGTTTTTTCCCCCGCTCAAAACTCACTTCGCCGCCGTGATCGGAAAATCGACATATCTCGCCTTATCGTGCTCAATCTGAGCAATCTTCAATTTATACAATTTCTCCTGTTTGCGATGTTTATTCCTCAAATAATAGATCAAAACGGCGACGAGGAAAATGGCAACAATGACCGCCGAAATTGTGACGCCAACAATCAGCCCAGTTTTTTCGGAACTTTCTGGAAAAAGGAAGAGATTGAGATAGGGGTTTTAATGGTTAGTGTTGGTAGAAAATTAGGTTTAGGGTTGGTTAGTGTAAAAAATTAGGTGGTGTTAGAAAAACCTTAAAACTAGAGTTTTTTGGAAAAAATCGAAATGAAAATTTTGAAAAAGTCTGGTTGGAAATTTAAAAAAGTTCACGTTAAAAATATTTTATTAATAATTTTTAATTTTTAAATTTTTTTACAATTAAGAAAAATGAGTGATATTGCTCATGTTAAACATGTTTTGCTAAAAATAAATAATGTTTGATTAAAAAAATTAGGAAATTTTCAAAACGTCCTAATTAAAATAAAACACTTAATAGTGGTTTCAAAAACATTGCTCATGTTAACCTGTTTTGCTGAAAATCAGTGATTAATAAGATTGCTCATGTTAAATATTCTTTACATTGCTCATGCTAGGAGACGTTTTCAAGACGTTCGAAAACAAATGTACGTTCTATTTTTTAACATTGCTCATAAACTTTTTTTTTGCTAAAAAACCTATAAATTTTAGATTGCTCATGTTAGCATTTTTTTTTTGAATATCACCCCCCCCCCCCAGATTATTCACCAATGTTAGTATTCGGTGGAACATGCGGAGGTGCTATCGACGAAGTTAGATTCGTGGGTGGCGGTGTAGTTGGTGCTAGTGTTGATGTTATCACAACATCTGTAGATGAGTTAGAATAATCCAAAGTTTCATTTCTGTACTCAAAATCCTCGGTGCAATTATGTTCCGAATAAATGATATCAGTTGTTGAGTTATCGCAAGTCGTGTAAACACATATGAACAAATCCTTAGTTTCGGTCATGTTTTGTTCAGGACTGTGATCGAGGTAATCTAGATTTTTAAAAATCTCAATTCCTTTAAATTCCCCCACATCAGTATTGTTCAGAAGTTGAAAAGCTTGATCTTGCTTAATTACAGCATCAGAAACTTTAAGGTTAGTAAAAATATTAATTAGATCATGCTCATGCTCCATTCCCACAACAAATTCAATATTCCTACCATCATCACTCAAATAAATCAAATCGGCTCGGGGTTTGATGGATTTGTCACTTGTCAAAATATCCGGAATCGTCAGATTCCGCGGATCGAAAACCGCGCAAATTGTGATACCGTAGGTGGTGAGTGGATGGAGTCCTTGGAGGATGAGAGAGTGATTCGCGGTTTCTTGCTGGAAAAAAATTAGAATTTAATTTATTTTTGATCTACAAAAGAAGCTTATGTTTCTAGATTACTGTAGTAATAATTTTTCTCTTGACACACGACATTTTGCAGTTCGGGTTACTGTGGTTTTGAGAAAAAATTTTGAAGTTCGGGTTACTGTAGCTCTGAGATTGTTTGCTTGCAGTTCCGGGTTACCGTAGTTTCAAATGTGTTTTTTGCAGTTTAGGCTACTGTAGTTTTGAGTACATTTTTTGCAGTTCGAGATAATGTACTCACTATGATTCCCGAACTAACAGTACTCCAGCGACTACAGTAACCGAACTACAAATTTCAGAAATTGAACACAAAGCTACAGTACTTCAGACTGCAAAATTAATCAAAAGTAACTACAGTAATCCAGACACACTGAAAAAATCAGGAACAATTCAAAAATTCTGAATATATACAGTACCCCGAACTGCAAGAATAAATAGGTCTGTGGGTTGCTAAAATCTACACTAATTGAAACTACAGTTACCAGACTGCAAAGAGCACGATCAAGACTACAGTAACCCAAACTGCAAAACTAGAAATCTCAAAATTTCAAAAAAAAAATCTAAAACTTATATTCATAAATAGTGACCAAAAAAAAATTCCCGAATCAGAAAAACGTGAAATTTTCTAGTAAAAACCTTGAAACGTATAAAATTCTCACCGCACAATCGCCATTCGGCATAAACTGCTTACAACTATTCACTTCACCCAAAATCTTGGTGATATTCACACCAACAAACAGTTCCTGATCAGCATTGGGGAAGCTAACAGCGTCACCATAAACACCAATATAATAGATTGTGGGATATCTGGGTTGTCTAGAGAGCAGCCCAAAAGTCACATTGACAGTGATGTTTGATGTTGTGTCTTTGAGGTCAATGTTTTGACCAATGGGTTCGAATTTGACATTTTCGACTTGACCGCAAATGGGGCTTGGATAACTTGTGCTATTTGAACATGGAGCATTCTCAACCTTACTGCATTCTATAATAAAGAAGTTATATAATGACTACAGTCTAGTCTAGCCCCCCCCCCCCCGAAAATCAACTCACGAATCTGAACTTTCTGAATGATCCCATTCTCTGGAGTATATTCCGTCTCTGTATCACACTCTTCACTTCTAATCGATTGCAAATAATAAATAAATGTGCATTTCCTATACATCATATCTGAGCCGAGTCGCGTGATAATTGTCTGATTTTCACCCCGTCTGAAACTTGGCACTGGAATTCCTTGACTCAAATCGGCTTCGATGCATGAGACCATGTGGAAGGTTGGATTGATTTGGAGATCGGAGTCGCCGAGTTGCCAGTCATTGGTGAAATATTTGAAGGTTAGTTCGATGGTGCCGTTGGCTGAGTAGGAATCGTCGATGAGTGGTTCATACTGGAAAATAGAGGGGTTAGGGTACTTTCATCTTAAAGTTCTGACTGAACAACAGTATTTGAAAAGCAATCTTTAAATTCAGAGGAATCACAAGCTTTCAGAAGTTCCAAGGTTCACTTCTCTAATCCTTTTTGTCCTGAAGCAGACCTGGGAAATTTTTACGTGGCAAAAAAAAAACGATAAGTTACCAAATCCCAATTCTTCAAAAATTGGGATTTGGTAACTTATCGTAACTCCAACATAATTTTAACAACATTATTCTCCATTTCCATCGAAAAATTAATTGATAAGGATTATCTCAAAATTTTATTTGAAACATTTTGAGTTTATTTTTGAAGTTTCAATTTTATTCTGTCAAAATTCATTATAATTAGTGCTATTTTCGCAAAATTAATTTACAATTTTTTCTGAGGCCTAAAACCGTAAAACGTAAAAAACGTAAACGTAAAATTCCCCAGGTCTGGCCTGAAGGTAAGTCTGAACGATTTCGGGGTTTACCTAACTTGGGCTTAACCTAACCGAATTCAAGGTTTTAATTCAGGATTCCCTTAGATTTTCAATTAAAAAATCGGTCAGATTTTCGAAATCCCCCTGAAATTCTGATCTTCAGAGTCCCACTCACCAGATATCTCATCCTAGTCAATTGAAGTTTCGGATTAGCCATCGGCTTCGGCGCCGGCATCTCAACCATATTACTCGTATGTCCAATCCCATCTTCCGAAACCGCCATAACCACAACTTCCAAAGCCGCGCAAAAACTAATATTCATCGGATTGATTCGATCGATATTGGTGTTCTTCGTGGTCTGAAAGGATTCTAGGACTGAATTTTTTCAAATTAAAAATCCTACCACATATTGTGTATCTGGAAACGTATTCTCCCCCTGAAGTCGATATGCGATGATATACAAAACTGCACCGGGAACCGATGTCCATCGAAGTCCATGATCGGAAGTGACTGTGACATTTGTGGAGGATAGGGATAGAGCGCTGTTCAAGGAGTTATTGCAAGTCAACCAGCATTCGGGGGTTGTCTGGAAATGTTGATTTGAGGTTTTTCTAGTTTGTATATTGATTTTTTTTATGAACCAAACAAACTATAGAATTTTTTATCTTTGCAAATTTTCGACATGTAATTTTGCTCACAATCAGAAAGATTGTGAAAGAAAACGAATACTTCTCGTGTCACATGAGAAAAAAATTGATATAAAAACCCGTGGCAAAAATTCATTGATGTGAAAAAAAGAGAAATGTTTTTTTATTGCTCAAAGCACGAGGAATTATATCTATTTTTCAAGTATTGTCGGAAATGCAGGGAAAAACCCACTGCTAACTTTATGGAGTATCGTGAAACTGTCAATGTTCGTCCAACTTATCGGGAATCTCGTTCAAGCGATGAAGACTCGTGGATTGTTAAGTTTTTCTCGATTTTTAAGAAGAAGAAGAAGAACTATGTTACGAATTAATTGATTTGGAAATGATTTTCGAATAAAATTGTTGATGTTTCTTTTCAGATGAGAACTTTGTGGGCTGAAATTTGCATAAAAGTAAAAAAAAACCGTAACCTAAGACCGAAGCCTAAACAGTCTAAGCCTAACAGCCTTAACCTAACAGTATAAGCCTACCAGCCTAAGCCCAGCTCTTTTTCGCAAAATTCAGAAAAAAAACCTCAAAAGCAGCAAACTCGCTCTACTGCACACAATGTATTTTTCTAGATTTTTCAAAAACCCCCAATCTTCTTCTCCCATTTTTCACAGCGAAAAAAAAAATTTTTTTTTAATTCAAAAACTTTCGCCGCGAAAATTTTTTTAAAAAAGTGGGCGGAGTCTATCCCTTTTTCGTCTCGCGTCTCTTCTTCACTCACACTCTCTCGTTTTCTCTCACGTTCCACGCCGAAACGAAAAAAAATTATTTTTTTTTCGCTTTTTTATGACGTGGTAATTTAGCTCATGACAACTTACACACAAATTCGGATACCTGTACGGTGTGCACTTTGCTTCGCATTCTTTTTGAGTAATCACACTATTTGCACTGTCCTGCAAAAAAAAATGATTGATATTTTACAAAAATAACTTTTTTTTCAATAAATATTTGATTTATCTAATGAAAATTGACAGGGAAAGATCAAATTGAAGTTAATACTTACTACAAACGCCATACATCCCGATGTGCAACGCAAAAAACATGTTTCACTTTTCGAAAATGCCAGCGTGTTTGATGGGAGTAATAGAAGAAGGAGCGGTAAATATCGTATTATCATTTCTGAAAATTTGAATCGATAATTTTCTGTTCACGCCGTGAACTTCCGTTTTATGATTAGCAAAAAAAAAGAAGGTTTAAAATGTGCTGCGTGGTCTAGTGGATAGAACACGCGCCGTAGAATCTCGAGGTCAAGGGTTCGAACCCCAGCGGGGGCGTTTTGTTTTTTTTTTCTTTTTTCACACAATAAACTTTTTTCTTAACAATAGATAAACATTAAAAATTTCAAAAAAAAGGCGAATAAAAAATGAAAAATGATGACCCAAACATATGGGAAAGGAGAGAAAAGAGAAACAGTTTGTGATACACAGATTTGCAAATTGATTTTTCGTTTCAAAACATCGAAACTGGTTTTTTTGTCACTCCCATTTTACAATTAGTTATGTTGGTACTTGGAATGGATTTTTACAAAATTTCTTCACGATAATTTTGCTAATTTTTTGATAGAACTTTACGGTCAAGAAAAAAAACTAGAAAAAACTAGACAGGAGGGAGCGACGTTGGTTTTTTGATCTACAAAAGTCTGGGAATTTTCAACAACAAAAAAATCTGGATTACTGTATTGAAACTTTTGGAAAATCATTTGATCTACAGCTGAAAACTACAGTAGCTAAACCTGCAAGATTTTGAAAAATTAAAAATGTTCTCCAGAACTACAGTAACCCGAAAACTGCAAATTCGAAAAAAAATTGAAGCACAAAACTTTCCAAAACAAAAACTGAAAACAGATCTGAATCTAGGTACAGTAACCTAAACTGCAGAAGGTACAGTACCTCTAGCCGGAACTTTTTTGAGCATTATATAAATTTTGATCTACATTTTTTAAAATCTAAACTGAAATGGAATCTAGAAAAATATAGTAGACCCCCAGAAAAATCGATAATTTGAACCCGGAAAAATTCCAAATTCAAAGTGAGAAAAAATTTTTGAATTGAAAAAACGATGACGCAACGCTGAACAAAATGATACCAGAAAAAGAAGAATGGGGTCAACAAAAAACTGTTTTCGAAAAAAAAATTCGAAATTTTTTTTTCTGAACACGAAAAAAATTGAAAATCAATCAATAATTTTTTCTCGATCGGCGGGTAAAAAAGTCGAAAATAAAAAGAACAAATAGGCGAAAATGTACACAAAAAAAGAAAAGTTAGAAGAAAAAAAGATGACCTGATAGATAATTGTGAACTTTTGAGTTAGCCTAACTAACTCACGTCTAGAATTACTCGCTATTTTTTGAAAATCAACCAAAAAATCATGACTCATGTTAGCTTAAAACAAAAAGAAAAAAAGTTCCAGCTTCATCTTGTTGTAAATAAATAAAAAGAGGAGGAAAATCATATTCGAATTGGCGAGAGAGTGTGGATTTTGGAGAGACGCAGAGAGAAAACCTGTTTTCGTTTTTGCCGTGCGCAAGAACAAAGATAACATGAATGAAATTTGGGGAATTACAGGGTGACCAGAAATTATCCGTGCAAACTAAACCGGTCATAAAAACTTCAAAATTGGATAGTTTTCAAAGAAATTTTTTGTTAACAATAATAAATGCATAATAATTCCAAAATTATCACGAATGTTGATTTTAGGACTTTTCCAGGGCTTTCTGGGCCTTTAACCAGATTTCTAAAATAGTGAGAAAGGCCGCGTGGAGTTTTGACTTTGTTTAGTACGTGGAAAACTCCAATTGTATTTTTACAACTATAAAATGAGTAAGATATCTTCTAATGATGTTATTTTTCAAAAATTATCACTCCTAGTAACCTTGCGGACTGAGATTCGATGAGCTTCAGAGGCCCAGATAAATTGAAAAAAAAGAAAATTTTTTTTTCGCGAAAGTAAATTTTTGGTTTTGGTCCAAATGTTAGGTCTTCATCAGCTTTAATGGTCTTATGAATATTTTTAAGTTAGATTAGACTGAGAAAACATGAAAATGTTCAAATATGATCATTTGTTGTGAGTCGTTGTTGGTTTTGACACTTTTATCAGTAAAAAACAAGGGGCCGAGGGAGTCATGACCGCCCAAACCATCCCCAAAGACGGAAAATTTAATTACATTTTGGCAAAGGCAGAAGAAGTCGTCTAAGATCCTTTTAGAAACAAGTGAAAAGAGTTTTGAGAATTTACACAGTTGTTGAAGCGAAAAATGGGGCAACATTGTTAACACCACTAGCCGCGGCTCTTTGCCCAATTTCTGACACATCAACATTAGGCGCTCAAGGTCCAAGTAAGATTTCAATTTGATCACGATTTTTTGTGATAATTTTAGAATAGTTATCTATTGATTGTTGCTCAATCAAAAAATTTGTGGAAAATATCATGTTTTTAAATATTTTACGGCCGGTTGAGTTTGCACGGATAATTTCTGGTCACCCTGTACATGGGTTTCACTTGATACAGGAGTTCGGGAAATTAGTTATGACGTGGAAAATTTGAATTGGGAAAAATTGGGGCAGGATTTGAGGGGATTAGTTTTGAGAAAGAGAGTTAGGCTAACTTTGATCTATTTTTAAAAAAATTTCAAACAGGCTATGACGTGGAAAATTTGAAAAAAAAAATCTAGAACTTAGGCTAAGTTCTAAAAAAAAATGAAAATGTCTCAAAAACATGGAAAATACGGAAATTTTTAGATTTCGAGTAGGAAAAGTTAGGCTAACTTTAAACATCTCTAGTTTTGGTCCTCTACAATGGTTAGATTGGTCATGACGTGGCAAAATACTGTAGATCAAATTTATATCTGAAAATTTGAGATCAAAAAAAGTTCCGAAAATCTAGAAGCTCCAAATTTTCCTTTGAAAAGATGTAGGTTATAACGTGGCATTTTGAAAATTCAAAAACATTTTTTTTCGTAAAGATGACGTGGCAATTAAAAAAATTCAAAAACTAAATTTTAACCTATGACAAAATGCCAAAAAACTACAATAATCCCAAGATCACCATAAAACCCCCGAAAAATGGCAGAAAAATCCGATTATCTCTCGACAAAGTTCAATGTTTTTGGAAATTTCGAAAAAAAAAACTCAAATTTCCTCAAAAATTCCAAAAATATCGACGTGAAATTGTGATTTTTCGGCGGTCTTCGAGCAAATTGTATTTGCTCGGGAGAGAGCACAAAACCGGAAAATACATAGTACATACACAATATTTGTCCAATTTTGGGTTAAGTGTCAAAAATGGAAGAAAAAGGGTTCATAGTAACAATGAGAAAACAACAAAAAATGTTCAACAATTATTTTGTGACGAGAAGTTCCCTGCAAAAAATCAATTAAAAATTGAATTCGCGCGCGCAGGAAACATAGATCAAAATTTTCCCAACAAAAAAACTCACCACAAATTCTTGACCGCCGCCGCTTTTTGTCGAATAACCCGTTTGTGATGTGACAAGAGTTGATCGCACGATTCGGCGACTTTCGAAATTTTCGGCTGAACAATTCGAGGCTCTTGGCGTTTTGCCAACAATTCCAGCGATTCCACGGCTGCCAGAATTTGTGTCTGAAAATTTTTCAATGATTTTTTTTGAAGTGAACAAAATTTCAAGAAAAAATACGTTTCAAGATTTTTGTCCACTCACCAACGCCACATTTCCCTGCACCAAATCGCACAATTTCTGCACCACCAAATCCACCTGTTCACCATTCAAACCACCAGAAATCGCCAAAAATTTCGGAATCGCCTTCAAAATCGACGGCGATAGCTCAAGTCCGTTCAAGGATTCCAACAATACTGGCATCAACATCTCGAATTGATCTTTGATCTGCGAATTCTCCAAATTTTGAGCGAATTCGAGAATCGGTGCAAGCAGAAACGCCAGATTTTTTCTAGCTTCCACATTTGCCGCGAGGAACACATCGCGATAAATTGGGACCATTGAAAACAGCAATTTTTGTCGCCAGAATGGCGAATTTGTTTGATATTTACAAAGAATCGGGTTGGATTCGGGACTCTTAAAATTGAGCAAATATTGCAATTGTTGCTCGATTTCGGGGAAATTCTGGGGAGTTTGGATTTTGTCGAAGATTTGGCGAGTTAGGCGAATTCCATGAGGTGTGTCGAGGAGAAGAAGGGCTTTGGTTTTGATGAAAGCGAGCCTGCAAAAATTGAGGGATTTTTAATTAATTCAAGACTCACGAATTTCCGATTATCAAATATAGCTCAATTTTATGGATAAAAATGATAAATCGTCGTTTCGAAGTCACTACGAATTTCCGATTATCAAATATAGCTCAATTTTATGGATAAAAATGATAAATCGTCGTTTCGAAGTCACTACGAATTTCCGATTATCAAATATAGCTCAATTTTATGGATAAAAATGATAAATCGTCGTTTCGAAGTCACTACAAATTCCCGATTTTCAAATATAGCTCAATTCTATGGATAAAAATGATAAATCGTCGTTTCGAAGTCACTACGAATTCCCGATTTTCAAATATAGCTCAATTCTTTGGATAAAAATGATAAATCGTCGTTTCGAAGTCACTACGAATTCCCGATTTTCAAATATAGCTCAATTCTATGGATAAAAATGATAAATCGTCGTTTCGAAGTCACTACGAATTCCCGATTTTCAAATATAGCTCAATTCTATGGATAAAAATGATAAATCGTCGTTTCGAAGTCACTACGAATTCCCGATTTTCAAATATAGCTTAATTTTATGGATAAAAATGATAAATCGTCGTTTCGGAGTCACTACGAATTCCCGATTTTCAAATATAGCTAAAATTTTATGGATAAAAATGATAAATCGTCGTTTCGAAGTCACTACGAATTCTCGATTTTTTAATATACCTTAATTTTATGGATAAAAATGATAAATCGTCGTTTCGGAGTCACTACGAATTCCCGATTTTCAAATATAGCTCAATTTTATGGATAAAAATGATAAATCGTCGTTTCGAAGTCACTACGAATTCCCGATTTTCAAATATAGCTTAATTTTATGGATAAAAATGATAAATCGTCGGTTCGAAGTCACTACGAATTCCCGATTTTCAAATATAGCTCAATTTTATGGATAAAATTTTTACCCACTGTTCCAGGTTCTTTGGTGAGGTTTGCTTCATGAGACACATTACTTTAAAACGAACTAGAAAACAGTAAAACTAAGCTGCTCCGATAGATCCAACTTGATTTCTTGAAGATCTTTCGAAAATTGGAAATACCACTCCAACTATCAGATATCTCAAATTCTCTCGGGAAGCGATGTAAGACATTGAAATAACAAATGGAAGTGAGTGATTGAAAATATCAAAACAAGTTTTGAAATAAAACTCGAATGAATGAGCAATCCTAATCTCAAAAATATAGCAAAACATCAAAACCAATTGAAAACTTGATAGAATCATTTGATGAAGTGCAAGTGGCATAAATTGATAGACATAAAAAATCTCATTTTTCCGATCGGTTAGATTTACAATAAGTTTGTAAATATGCAAATATATCATTAGTGTTATCAAAGAAACAGTGAACTGGGCGATTTTCTGAAAAATCATTGGAGCAACTTGTCCAACATGACATTTTGGGTTAGCCATACTATAAATATAACACATATCTGAAAAACCAATCGCTTTTCTTAAATCAATATGAAATTAGCTTACGATCTCCGTAGATGATATAAATAATGATAGCAGTGTAAAAAATAGTTACATAAAGTTTTAAAAAATTTCCAGAGACAAGGAAAACATATTTTCTTTGATAAACAAAAATAATACGTTGTAACGCTATGAAAAATGTGAAGAACTTGAAAATTGAATTGATCAAAATGTCAAAAATGTAACTATCGAAGACCAATAGAACCATACTTGCAAAAGCAACATAGATACTGTCATTATCGAAAACAAGAATGATATCGAAAAATGTACGAATTGTATTAACAATCATCAAAATTGTGCAAAAATGATAAATGTTATCGAAATCAGCTGAGATTTCTTGAGACTTATCCGTCTCTTTTCGATATTTATAAACAACAAAGATCGTGAAAAATATGAATGATATTATATCAATTGGAATAATTATTGGAAGATATAAATATATTTCATCAATATTTGAATCATTTTTCATATTTTGCCAAAAAAATGATTTCGAAATGAAGTTGGAGTGCAGGTGAAATTCGAAATTTAGTAAACAACAAAAATTGCGAAAAAAGTTTGGAGATCAAAAATCTCTCCGTGAAATTCTGGTTCAAAACCGCGTCGCAACCGCACGCGTTCAAAGATTGAAGTCATTTTGTACAATTTTCGAAGAGTTTTATTTTTTTTTCAAATCTCCCAATTCCCCCCTCCCCCAAAAAAACCCACCAAGAATCCCCCTCAAAATCCACATCCTCCAATTTCTCACCAACATTCACAGCCTTCCGATTTATCGCCGCGAACAAAAACTTCCGCTCAAATCCAGATAATTTCTTCAGATGTTCCACATTCGAATCTTGCAACAGCGCGAGCTCATAAATCTGCGGATTCTTCTCAAATTTCTCAAAAATCCTATCCATTATCAAATTGTGCTCCTCTTCCGGTAACAATAATGTGATCTTTTGCAGATATTTCGCCAGATTTTCTCGATCGATCTCAGAATGTTCAGTGATAACTTCATCCAAAACTTCAACAAACTTCACCATCAGCCACGGCTCACTTTTAGCTCTCAAGCACATTTGATAAAAATGCTCCAAGTATTCCAGATTCTTTGCGAGTTCTGTGGTGATTTCTGGGCTCAAGAGAGTCCAGGATTCTTTAGAGCAACTGGCTGCACACAAAACCGGGAGAATTTTGGAGGGATGCCAAGTTGAAGCAGGTTTTTGAGATTGGTAGATTTTTTCAAAGTTGGCGAATTTTTTGTGGGAGAAAGCGGTGATGAGGTGAAGGTATTCGGATCTGAAAATTTGGCTGAAAATTATAGATTTCCTGGTGGAAAAAAATTATAAATTACAGGTTTTTAATGAAAATGCATCAAAAAACCCTAATTTTCAGACGAAGACTTGAAATTGAATCATTTTTTCTGAAAATTCATGAAATTTGTGGGAATTTCATAAATTTTGAAATGTTTTTCTAGGAACTTTCTAGGAAAAAAAGTGGCCCACTTCGGATTGAAAATTTTCAAATTTTTGAAATAATCAATGAATTTTGATTGGAAAATTTCAGATGTTTAAAATTCTGTTGTACATTTTTTCACTGGAATCGTTGAAATTTGAATAAAAATTGATTGAAAATCTTCAATTTGAGCTGAAGCTGAAAATTTTTTTTAAACACATTTTCTATAGAAAATTTCAGAGTTTTCAAATTCAGCTGAAAATCACACTGGAAGAATAGAATTCATAAAAATCTCAAATTTTCAGTAGAATCAGGAAATAAAAAATCCAGCTGCTGAAAATTCTGAAATTAGCTAACTTTGACTGGAAAATTCCAGATTTTCAAAATTGGGTTTAAAAACGTCTATTTCTGACTGTTCTAAACCCTCAGTCTAAGTTCTCAGGCAAAAGGAAAGGTTGAACAAGTTTAATTTGGATTCTACGATTTTGGAACCTTAGCTAAACCCTAAGCCCTAAAAACTCACAAATCCTCTTGTGGCACACTTCTCAATCCATCCACAATCAACCCCTCAATTTTCTCCACCAATTCCTCCGACGCATAATAATTATTCACGAATTGTGCAGCACATTCATAAGTTGCGGCAAGCGCTTCTTGCGGCACATATTCTCTCGCAACTCCGAAAGCCGCAAAGATACTCGGCTCAAAAATCGCCATACATTCTTTTCCGATAACACATCTTTTCGCCGAGATACCAATCCATTCTCTGAGGAACCCGAGCGATTCTTTGATCACATCAATTTTATTCGCCGCCGCGTTTACACTATCGCCTTGCGTCAACGTAACAATCCATGCGATGACTTGCTTGAGGACGGTTTCCGCTTCCGCGTCCGGCAGCCATTCATATCCGCATCGCAACAAAACCAGCGCCTTGTGTGTTAATCCCATTTCGGCTTGTAAAACGAACGGCTCGAGATTTTCGGTGAGCGATTCCAAAACTTCTTTCGTTTTTCCGGCTCGGGTTCCGGTTATCACAACTTCGGTCATGGCTTCGATGAGAAGTGGCGAGATTTTATTGTGATCTTTTGGATGGAGAGCGATGGATCGGAGGCCGCCGAGAATTTCGGTGAGCGAGATGTGAATTGTGGAGGCGGGGAATTTTTGGCACGAGAGAATCTGCAATTTTTTTATTGACGCAAATTTTGTATTTAGGAAAATCCACGTGTTTTTGAGAGCTACACAATTCGCGTCCACAAAAAACAGGGGCTTTTACTGACGTGAATTATGCAGTTAGAGAAAATCCACGTGTTTTTGAGAGCTACAAAATCCGCGTAAACAAAAAAATATCAGGATTTTGTTGACGCAAATTTTGTAGTTAGGAAAATTGACGAATTTTTTCTACTGATACAAAATTTGTACCAGTTTTGAGAGCTACAAAATTCGCGTTAACAATAAAAGGGCTTTTGTTGACGCAAATTTCGTAGGTAGGAAAATCCACGTGTTTTGAGAGCTACAAAATTTGCGTCAACAAAAAATATCAGGATTTTGTAGGCACGTATTTTGTACCAAGGAAAATTGACGAATTTTTTCTACTGATACACAATTTGTACCAGTTTTAAGAGCTACAAAATTCGCCTCAACAAAATATCGGGCTTTCATTGACGCAAACTTTGTAGTTAGGAAAATCGACATGTTTTTGAGAGCTACAAAATTTGCGTCAGCAGAACATCAGGGGCTTTTACTGACGTGAATTATGCAGTTAGAAAAAATCCACGTGTTTTTGAGAGCTACCAAACTCGCGTCAACAAAAAATCCGAATTTTGTTGACGCAAATTTTGTAGTTAGGAAAATTGACGAATTGTTTCTACTGATACAAAATTTGTACCAGTTTTGAAAGAAAATCTGCGTCAACTAAAAATAAAGGATTTTGTGGACGCAAATGTTGTAGCTAGAGAAAATCCACGTGTTTTAAGAGCTACAAAATTCACGCCAACAAAGAAAAATATCAGGATTTTGTTAACGCAAATTTTGTAGCTACCAAAACTGTGTCAATCAAACTCTCTTTTCTGGCACGGAGCCAATCAATATTTGCTATCAAAATTCTCCAAATCTCCCCAATATTTCGAAAAATCCAACTCACAATCAATTGCAACATATCATCTGCCTGTTCTCCCACACATTCTCCTTCACTATCATTCAACTTCTCATCAATAAACATCCAACAATATGAGGCGAAACTTTGGGAGGCGACTAGACACGAAGCACACAGGTTTGCCAGATAGTTTCGGGTGATTTTCTGACTCGGTTGAGGTCGGAATTCGATTGGATAATAACACGCGACAGTTTCGAACATCTCTTCGGCGAAATTTGAGATGAGTTGGAAGTTTTTGCAGACAGTGTTGAACATTCGGAAGACCGTCGTCAAACATCGCGGATCTCTTTCTCCGCTTACAGCTTTGATGAAGTAGAAAAGGAAATCGTTGGTGATTGCTTTCAGGTCTGAAAAATGGGGCACAATTTTTGTACATTTTTTTTACATAGTTTCTGTACAGTTTTTGCGCTGAGAAAGATGCAGAGCTCAAAAACAACCCCAAATGGCGCAGTCTAGAGCTTCGCTCAGCCTGCGCCTGAGCCAAAAGATCGAGAATTTTCTGAAAATCGCGTTTTTGAGAGCTCTTAATTCATGTTATCGGAAATTGAATTCAGAAGGGTTGATTTTGTAAAATCACAATTTTTTATTTTTAAAAAGTGTGGCACAGGTGCAGATTTGCAAATTTATTTCTAAAATTTTGATTTTCGTAAATCGACCCTCCAGAACATTACCCTCTATTCAATTTTTGATAAAATCTTCTCTAACATGAGTCACGAGCTCTCAAAAACGAAATTTTCAGAAAATTCTCGACTTTTTGCTTATTTTGGGTTCTTCAAAGAGTCATTCAGCAAAAACTGAACACAAAAATGTGTGTCTAGAAAAACTCACAACTCATTCGATGTTTCATAAGCCAAATCAGAATTTCATAGTGATATTGGCGCTCTTTTTGAGACCAACTTTGAACATTTCCTTCTCTGGAAAAAACATTTCAACTTTAAAATTAAAATTCTTTGACTTTTTTCAACTCACTTGAACATCAGCCTAATAATAGGTTCTTCAAATCCATCCGGTAAATTCGTCGAATTCAGAACCAAATGTCGAATTCCGGAAATCACAGCACCTCCGGCCAACGCAGAACTTTCGATGCGACTCAAAAAAAATTGCAAAAGCAGCCAAACTTGATCGCTTTCCAGAAAATCGCGCGGGAATAATTTGACAACATCCACAATTTCGACCAACGTTTTTTCGTGCTCTTCATCGCCACAAATTCCGGGTCTTTTGGCTTGCAGAAAATCGGAGAGATTTATCGATTTTTCATGAACTATTAGTTGGACCCATTCTTCTGCTGATTTTTGATTTTCGTCGAATTCCATCTGGAAAAATATTGGGTGAAAACAGATAGATAGAAGAATCATTGAAATTGCGAGAAAAACAATTTCGCAATTTTTTGAAACGTAAAAATTTAGGGATTTTTTTTTCACAAATTTTTTGATCCAAAATTATTCGAAATTCCTTCAGCTTTTCAAAATTCAGAGATTATTTTTTCTAATTTTCAGAAAACTTATTAATATTTTGAAAATCCCTGATTCCCCCGCTCAAAAAATCGCCGATTTTTGACCTGTTATCACATAGTTTTCCGCCGGTCACATGGGTGCATAATACACCCAAAAACCCCGCTATGACGTGGTGCAAAAATCATATAGATAACATTATCAAAAAAAAAATAATGTTGCAAGTTGTCAATGACATGTTTTGTTGGTTGGTGGCACCGAAAATAAATAAATACATACATATTTGGATGGGTTTTTTTTGGATGGGGATGATAAGAGGAAAAAACACGTGAGCTGTTGGGAAATTGGAAAAAAATATAGAATATTTAATTTTTGACGTGAACTTTTTAAATTTATGGTCATTTTTTGATTTGAAAGGTCGATGACAAGTGAACTGTTTCAGCTTTCACTCTAAGATGTTTTCAAGTAGTTTTCGACACGCTGTTCACGATTCCGCCATCTAAAATTGCAGAACTCGACTCCTAACATGAGTTATGACGTGCCAAAGTGCGAAAATATCGAAAAATGGAGATTTCGGGAGCTGAAAACTAGCTTCACAAATTATTTCCATTCAAATCTGGTTTAGGAGGATCGATGACATAACTTCATATTTTCAATATGCGATTCACTTTTGAAGCTTGATCTCTTGAATTCTCGATTTTTTGAAATTCTCGAACTTCGACACGTCATAACATATATTAGAAGTTGAGTACTGCTATTTAGACGGCGGAATAGGATTCAGCGTCTCGAAAACTACCAGAAACCATACATTTTATTGTGATCAGCGTATCGAGTTCTATAACATCGTATTTCTTGGCCCAAAATTTTCTAGTCTTCCAAATTTGATTTATCAATTCTTATCAAACCGGGCTTCTATTTTTGAATCAAACATTCAATTTGCAAACTTCTCCCCATCCCAAACATCAATCACATGTATCTATGTATATAACATTAGATAGAATTCAATTCAAAACCCTAAATCAATACCGCAATCACCAGTAGCAAAAATAATCGCAAAAAAAATAGTGTAGATAAGGTTTTTTGTTTACCCGGGACGCCAGTCTCCTCCCGCCTCCCGCCTCCCACCAAACTCCATATAAATGCCATTTTTGCACATTCTTATCACTATTTTTTATGTTTGAGTTCCACCCAACAAAAAAATACAAAAATGAATTTTGCAGCTTTCTGGTATATTTGTTGCTGGTGCTCATTTCTTCTGACGCACCACACTTTTGGCGAGAAACTGGCAGCGATTTTGAGAAGAGAGGATTTTGAGAACAACTATGGGCGTCAACGTTCGTCTTGTGCTGATTGTAATCATTGGTTGTGGAATAACGGTTCAGGTTGGTAACGGGGCCTTAGGCTTGGGCTTATTCGGCTTAGGCCTATTAGGCTTAAGCTTATTAGGCTTAGGCTAATTGGGGTTAGACTATTAGGCTTAGTCTAATTGGGGTTAGGCTATTAGGCGTAGGCTTGTTAGGATTTAGGCTTCAGCTTATTAAGGCTTTAGGAGATAAGCCTTAGGATTCCTTCGGGTCTTTCTCAAGCAATTTCCAATTTTTTCCCCTAATTTTCGAAATTTTCTCCAAACTCACTGAAAATGGCCATTTTCCACATTTTTCAAAAATCGAAAAATGACAAGAAATTCAAAATTTTCACGTCATCAAATAATCCACGTCATAGTTCACGTTTTTTTTGTTTTCGGTGCCACCAGAATTGATTTCTGGCTAGGAAAAAATTCAAAATATTTCGTTTGCCCCGAATATTATACGTTTCAAAAAATCGCCAAAATATTGTTCATCTAGAGTACCGTGATTGATAAGTACACGGTCCGTCTTTCAACAAAATCGTTTTGCAGAAGGAGTCCGAAAACGGAGATTCGTCTATAAAACCGTCGATAGCGATCGTCGGCGCCGGCATTTCGGGATTGTCCACCGCGCGTCGACTGATTGAACTTGGAGTGGATGAATTCGACATCTATGAGGGTGCCGATAGAATTGGCGGACGCATACACGCAATTCCATACAGTACGTTTTGCCACGTCATAACTATATGGGTTGTGAACCCTATCCTTATCAGTTTTACTCCCAGAAAAAAAGTCCAAAGGTCAACAATTTTCTTGCAGAAGATGGTTATCTACAAATGGGTGCACAATTCATAAATGGCGCCGAAAACCCATTATACAAGATTGCAAATCGGTTAGGATTGATAGCCGACATTGTATCAGATACCGCGCACGTGGATAATGCGAAATACGTCTATGGAAATCAAAAAGTGGATCCAAAAGATATCGCGACTTTTCTCGAATTCACTCAAAAACTTGATCCGAAATATCGGAAAATTGCGAAATTCGATGAGAAAACCGCGAGACGATATACTTTCAAGGAAATATTCACAATGGATTATATGAATTTTTTGAAACAACGGAATGTTACTATTGATCAGAGGAATGTGTTTGACTCATTGGTTCGATCGTTTAGAAGTTATTGGGAATTTGAGTGGGCGGCGGATTGGAGCACGGTGAGTTAAAGGGATAGGAAATTTAATTTTAGAAAAATCAGAGGCGTCAAAAAATCCTGTAATATCCCAGATTTCCGTGGCGAAAGTTAGACAAACTTGGTCTCAAAATGATCAGAATTTTGAAATTAACACCGACTTCGAGAAAATTAGCATCGACATTGATTTTAAAGCCCGAAATTGAGCCAAAACTAGTAAATTTCAGTAGAGGTCATCAAATTTGAACATTGGTGAATAAAAACCGACCGAAAATTCGATAAAAACTGATTTGGGACTTGAAATTCGAAAGGTAAACCAGAATTCGAAGCCAAAAAGATCGGGCGAATTTTTTAACATTGTAATGTGCACTAAAACTTGGCGGGAAGAAATAAGTCACCAAAAACCACCAAAAATCAAGAAGCTTCACAAAAAAAAAAACCGAATCCCCTGAATTTCCAGCTCAGCGTACATGTTCTCAAAGAATGGAACGACTACGGTCCCGAATGCGAATCGTTCGCCACCAACAAAATCGGCTTCAAAGCCATTCTCGACGACATTTCCCACCCAATTCCCCGCCACAATTTCAAATTCCAAACCCGCGTGGAAAATATTGAGTTAAATCAAGACACCGGTAAACTTCGAATCACCACGAATTACGGAAAAGTCCGGGGGGAATATGACTATGTCATAGTTACCTCAAGTCTGGGAGTGTTGAAGAAATACCACCATAAAATGTTCACTCCACCGCTTCCCCGCCAGAAAATCGAGGCGATAGAGAAAATCGGATTTGGTGGATCGTGCAAAGTGTTCTTTGAGTGGGAACAACCGTTTTGGACGAATGAGACTTATTCAATCGTACCACTTCCTGTAAAAGGAATGATGGGAAAGGAGAAACTAGACACTTTCGAGGAAGAAACTACAGTATTACAAGTTATGGATTGGGCGCCAAATGTGTTGAGTGCTTGGTATGCTGGTAGAGGTCATCAATATATTGACAATTTATCGGAAGAAGAGCTCAAAGTGAAAATGACGAAACTGATGAGAGAGATGTACAATGATCCGAACATACCAGAACCTTCCAAGATTATCAGGTAGGGTTTCGAGATAATTAGCTATTTAATTAATTAATTATAGAACAACGTTGACGAAAAACGAGCTGCTTTTGGGGTCTTACTCATACATGACTCAAGTTCAAGCGCTCTCCAGAATTTCGCATTCTCAATTGGCGATTCCGGTGAAGCTGGAGGGGCGGCCAAAGATTTTGTTTGCTGGAGAAGCTACACATCATAGGTAAGGCTTTTGGGAAAGAAAATTGGATTTTTCGGGAAAAAAATCGATAGATTTGGTTATGAATTTTTAATTTGTGAAATTTTTTAGTTTTAAAATTTTTTATTAAAAAGTTCGATTTTCTTTGAAAAATTTCATAATGGCCTAGAAATCCAAAATAATCGGAAATATGGATTTCTAGGCCACCAAGTTTTTCATGGCTTAGAAATCCAGAACTTGATGAAAACTGGATTTCTAGTCCTCAAGAAGCTAGGAGATTTTGTGGCCTAGAAACCACAGAACAAAGTTTTAGGCCGTATCAGTCTTGATAGCCTAGAAAACCGAAATATTTAGAATTTTGGATTTCTAGGCCATGAAGGTCTTTGGGGCCTAGAAAACCAGCATTTTGAAAAATTTGGATTTCTAGGCCATGAAAGTCATCAAGTCTCGATGGCCTAGAGAACCAAAATCATTAGAAATTTGGATTTCTAGGTCACTAAGACCTCCAAAGAGCCTAGAAATCCAAAAACATTGAAAAATCTGTAGAAATTCCAAATTTTTGCAGAAAAATATGAATTCACATTCAAAATTTTCAAATTTTCATCATTTTCATTCCCCAAAAAACTCACATCAACATCCATGATTTGCAGACTCTTCCAAACAACAATCGGCGGTTTTTTGAGCGGAAGACGTGAGGCGGATCGAGCTTTCAGCGATTTTCAGCGAAACCTGAATATATCCAAAAATTGTATGGATTCTTCTGATGCGAAACTTCAAGATTCGAAAATTTTCGATTTTTCGAAATCTTTGACAGTTTCTGGATCTGAAACTAAATTAATTTGATAAATTTAATTTGATAAAAATGAGCAGCAAACTCTTTTTTCTCGAAATTTTTCACTCTAAAATTAAAGATTTTTATTAATTAGATAATTATGAAGATAAATGATATGGCAAGTATATGTATAATAAAATTCCAGATTTTCAGACGAGAGATCTATTCAAATTTCAGCGCTATGTCCATTGGGAAACGTTGTGCAACCGCCGGCTCCACCTCCGATTCCCATTCTTTGTTGAACTGAAGTTGGACGAGGGCCAAGTGAGGTTTCTTTGACCAGCGAGTTCATTTCGTGCATTTGGAGCATGTCGAGCACTTGGAGCGATTCGTTTTTCTTTGCGGCCGCGCGCTGGAAAAAATTGGAGTTTTGAGCTATGAAATGGGGAAAGAAATCCTGCTTTTTCTGCAAGTCTGGCACGGTTTTTAGAACTTGAAAGCTGTGTCAGGATTGCAGAATAGGGGCGTGGCTTTAAAATCGGGCAATTCAATTGAAATTTCTGGATTTTTGGTGCCAAAATTTTTGAATTTCAGAAGAGCTGATTCACGAATTTCAAAAAATGTTTTCTGAACATTGAAAGATCAATTCAAGGTCAAAAAATGTCGAAAAAACATTAGGTTTTCGAGTTTTTCAGCCGAAAATGATGACAAATCGAGATTTTTGGACTGATTTCTGATGAAAATAGACTTCGAGAACCCTATTTTACCTCATTTTATCATTTTTTTTCGAAAAAAATCAGCAAAAACTTTTGGAAAGTGAACTCCAAGCCAGGGTTCCGAACTGGGTCGGTTCTTGGGGCAGATCGGGTCTGGTTCGAGTGGGTTGGACCCAGATCCAGAACAAACAAATGGATGAACTACCCAGAACCGAACCCGAAAAAACAGTTCTGGTTCAGACTCGACCCAAACCCGACTCGAACCAGACTCACCCAGAACCAAACCCATTTTTGGAGAACCAACCAAGACCCAGACTCAATGGATCAGACTCGGGTAAGACCCAAACTCATTCGAGAATCAAAAATACCCACCCGAACCAATTCAACCCAAATCCAACTCAAATCCAAACCATGTGGACTCGGGTACCCGGGTAAAAATGGTTCTGAAAAAACAATTCAAATTTATTCGATAATAAAATAATTCACCAGTTATCGAAACATTTATTCGATTACATTTATTCGATCGGCTATTCGACTATTTTTTCAAAGCTTTCTTTGAATATTACTCGAATGATGCCCACTAAATGAATTTCAATCAATTTTAGACTGAAATCATGAAAATTGGCTCGAAAATGATGGATTTGTAAAACTGGAAGCTCTTCCAGATTTACAAATTTTTTCGTTGAAAAATTCAACAAAAACTGAAATTTCGATTCTCGTTGAAAAAATTCAACAAAAACCGAAATTTCGATTTTCGTTGAAAAAATTCAACAAAAACTGAAATTTTTTCCTATACCCGCTAGTTATGGTTTTAAAAATTTCTGAAATTTGCGAAACATAAACTTCTAAAAATATTTCTGGAAAAAAAACTGGTGAATTATTTTATTATCGAATAAATTTGAATTGTTTTTTCAGAACCATTTTTACCCGGGTACCCGAGTCCACATGGTTTGGATTTGAGTTGGATTTGGGTTGAATTGGTTCGGGTGGGTATTTTTGATTCTCGAATGAGTTTGGGTCTTACCCGAGTCTGATCCATTGAGTCTGGGTCTGGGTTGGTTCTCCAAAAATGGGTTTGGTTCTGGGTGAGTCTGGTTCGAGTCGGGTTTGGGTCGAGTCTGAACCAGAACTGTTTTTTCAGTTTTGATTCTGGGTGGTTCTATTTTAGAACTGGGTATAAATGGGTGGTTTTGGGTGGGTTTTTTTCGGTTTGACCCGACCCAAACCGAAAATTCAGAATCGGTTCGGAACCCTGCTCCAAGCACACCTCGGCCAAGCCGTGGCTGGCCAGATTACATTTTTTGGAAAAACCGAATTTCAGTTTTTAGTGGTCAAAAATTGAAAAATCACAAATTTTAGAGGACAAAAACTGAAAAATCCACAATTTTTGTACTGTAAAAATTTAGCGTACAATTTTTTATAGTGAAAACCACGATTTTGGCCGAGGTGTGTTTTGGATCGAAATTCATTTCATAACTTTTAGAAAGATTTTCGATAATCAAACCGTTAAAAAACTTTTTACCTAAAGAAAACTACGCGCAACAATTTGTAGTTTTTGGGCGATTTGGATAATCGATTATTCCATGCAGTTGATTTGATTTGTCAAAACCAGTACTGATTTGATTTTCCACTGACCTCGCCATTTTTTTCACGCGTTTCACGCATAATTTTTGTAATGATTTGAATTTTCTAATTTTTTTAAATAAAAAATAGAAAAAGGGTTTTCTATTATCCACGTGACACACACGTGATGATAAAATCTCTCAAAAATGCTATATAAGCAACAGTCAGAAAGGTGTTTACTCACTTCGAAAATGTCTTCCCTAATATTTCTAGAGTATTCTACCTAGTAGCTGTCTCCGCTAGCCGCTCGAGGATAAACGTGAGTCGGGTGCTCTCTCGTTCTTTTTCTACCCACAGGAATATGTGAGATCTTTGATTCTCACATATTTCTGTGGTTTCGCCAGGGCTGCTCAAATGGGTAGGCAATTCCCACTTGCCAAAAACCTGGAAGTGGGGTCTTTTCCTGTTGAATAACTAGGTCACGCCTTTTTTTCCGGTGTGATTTTAATAAATTCAAATTTCGAAAATTTGTGACCTAGTTGTATAGTTTTACATCGTCTAAATGACATTTTCAGTGTTTTTAAGCAAGTTAGTTGAAATATTGGGTCTAAGACAAGCAGAATGATATAAATTTTGATGACTTTACGTTATCCAAAAGTGACTTAGCGACGTTTTGTCGATCGATTCGGCTTATCGACTAAATATAGACTAAACGTCGCTAAATCACTTAAGGATAACGTCAATTCATCAAAATTTATATCATTCTGTTCGTCTTAGACCATTCTATCATATGAATAAAATTAAAATCCAATATTTCAAATCACCTGAAAATTTGAGCAGCCCTGGGTTTCGCCGCTTCTATCTCTCTCGCCCCACAGTAATATGTGAGGTGTTAGGAAACCTCTAGCAAATGGCGGTTAGAGGGGAACTATCACTTCCTTATTACTGTGGTTCTGTTGCGGATCTCTTCTTCTTCTAGATAATCACAGGAATATGTGACATATTCCTGTGATTATGTTTTTTGCCCGCTTCTCTCTGTTTCGCCCCACGGTATTATATGAGATGTTAGTAAACCTCTGGCACATGCCATCTGGAGGGGGACTTTCATTTCGCTCTTATTGTGGTTCTGTTTTGCTGCAGGTTCTAAAAAGTGCGTTTCGGCACTGACGCTCATTCGAGGCACCAAGTGCGCTTTTAGTGCCAGTGCTTTTCAGCACCAGTGCGCTTCGAACATTCGGGATAGCCGATGTTTTTTTCTTTTTTTTTTTGCATTTTTTCATTTTTGTTTTGAACTGTTGGTTGTTTGGAAAATCTCAGGAGATTTTTTGATTTTTTTTGAGGTAAAGTAGGTGGGAAATGGTGCTTTTTTGGTGGAAATTGAGGCAAGTAGGTTAAAATTCTGGTTTTTCTGTTAAAGTAGGCGATTTTCGTCCAAACTCCGATTTTTCTTGAATTTTTACATAAAGTAGGCGATTTCCATTGATTTTTCGGTTAGAAATCGGATTTTCAATGAAAATTTACATAAAGTAGGCGATTTCCATTGATTTTTCGATCAGAAATAGAGTTTGGCTTGCAGACTGCAATTTTCAAGGTCAATTTTCATTAGAAATCACTCCAGAAGCTTCAAAAATCTCGATTTGTCATCATTTTGGACTGAAAAACTCGAAGAACTAATTTTGACCACAATGTTTTTTCGACATTTTTTGACTTTTTGTGAATTGTTCTTTCGATGTTGAAAAAACATTTTTTTTAATGTTCCACGTGGTTTTTGGGTGAAAAAACTTTTGAATTTGAAACCCTCCCAAAAAAACCCACCCTAATACTCGGTATCCTCAACAAAATCGACGCATATCTCTCATTAGCCGCCTCCAAATTATAGCCCTTCTGAATGTGCTTGAACAACACCGCCAGCAACTTCTTCTGCTCCGCAATCACATTCCGCTGCGACGCCGAATCCAATCCTTCCGTATCCGGATCGAAAAACATGATAGCTTGCAGCAAAGCGAATTCGGTTGTTGAGAAATTTAGTTGTCTGAATGGTTTCATCACCAAATCGATCATCATGGCTAAGACAGGCGTGACTCCACTCAAACTAGTTGTTGGAACTCGTCGAGAATTGCTTTTCGGCACCACCAATGTTGTGGTTTTCATCGATCGCTCGCTGAAACTACAAGATTGCGGGCGGCCTTCGCAAAATTCTCTGGCATCGAAGAAATTATGAATATCCGATTTTCCTTCATGTCCCGCCGTTGGATGCCCATAATCTTTGGGAATCCAAGAAGCATAATCCGCCGGCAGACTTCCATATTCATTAGGTAATCGAATCATATCAATTCTAGGCTCCGGACTATCCTGTGGCTCCATTTTAATTTGTCGAAGTGGCTCGGAAAACCCAAACAAAATCCCATTGTCAATAGATTGCTGGATATTTGAGGAGGATTCGAAACAATCATTTGTGCCGAAAGAACTCGCAGCAGAAGGAACTCTACTGCTTCCAGAACCACTGCTACTTATCAAACCCGATATATCTGGTCGTTTCTTAACGACTTCCGTTTTGCTGTGTTCAGGTGTACGGAAAGCTTCACACATTATCATGAAAGATGAGGCGTGATTGGTTACCATGGCAACTTTATCAGTGTAGGGTAAAGTGCGGAAGGTTGAGAAGGTTTTGGCCCAATCAATGTAGAGTGTGATGAGTCTTTGACGCCAAAATGGCATTTTTTCGTTTTGCGGGATGTAGATTATTGTGTCAGACCATTCGCAGGTTATTGGTTGGATAAATCTGCTTGGAGCATTTAGGGCCTGCTCCAGAGTGTTGTAGACTTTTAAATCTGGACATCTACTCAATAATAGTGTGAAATTATTCTCCAAAGTTGTCAGCTTCTCTGCGATTGGGTCTAGGGTATTCAAATCGATTTTATAATCCTTGCTTTCGTGGGAAATTGGACTGTTTTCGCTTTGATGTTGGGGGCTTAGCGAAATATTTCGATGATCTGAATCGGTTCCATCTTCATGCTTTCTTTTTCGCTTGGTGTATCCGATTCGATCTCGATCGTTTTGAATTGCTGAAATTTTCTACTTGTTTTTTTCCCGAGGGTAAACGAAAAAAACTCACAATTTCGATCCATTCCAACGGCGAGGCATTTTTGCAGACGACAATATCGACAAGCACATCGAACTCCTTTATTTACTGGGCAGTCTTGATTCCCCTGACACACGAATTCTCGATTGTTCTGTAGAGTTTTGATGTTTTCTTTTAGAAAAAAAAGAAAATACGTTTTCAAGGATCTTTTGGCGTCTCGCCGCGACACACAAAATGTTCTTGTGCGCCTTTGAAATATTACTGTATTTTCTAGATTTTCTTTTCTTTTTTTTCCTGAAAACCCGCCCCATTTTTGGCTATTTTTCCAACTTACCACAAGTGCACGACGAAAGAATGTTTTGCAGCCATTGCATGACGCAACGCTATAATGTTTTCCAGTCGCAATATCATCGCAAACCGCGCAAAGCGTTCCTAAACCAATTTTCATTGGAAAAATGTATAAAAGCTTAGAAAACTAACCCGGTGGAAGCTTTTCACTCATAATTATTAGTCTCTCTCTAGCAGACTAGTTTGTTTTTTAGTTTTTTCAATAATAAATGTGTGAAAACATGTCGCTCACTAGTTAATTTTTGATGCGATTTGATAATAATCAATTTCGTGTAGCGGCGAGAGAAATGCGCTTGCCGACTGAAGACTGACGCGTTTGCGGTGAGTAGGGAGGGTATTGACTTTTTTTGGGAAGTGAAATAGAAAATTCTCGCAATTTTTGTGTGTTGCCTAGTTACTGCAGGGTTTTTGGGGTTTTAAAGCTATTTGTCGTTGATTATCAGACAATTCTGAGGTAGAAAAATGATTTTTGATAGCAATTTTCAGCCCCGAAAATCCAGATTTTCGTGAAAATGATGATAATTCAAGTTGTATCGAATTTTTATGTGAAATCTCGTGTAATTTTGACGAAAAATCCCTATTTTGCAGACAAATTATGTATTTTCACTAGACCCTAAATTATTCTGACAATGGAACTGTTTCAACTTTCACTCTAGATTTTTAATAAAATATACGTTTTCTAGTAGTTTTCGACTCGCTGATCACCATTCCGTCGTCTAAAATTGCAGATCTAAACTCCTTACATGAATTATGACGTGTCAAAGTGCGAAAATTTCGAAAAATCGTGACTTCGGAGGGTTCGCCTTCAAAATTATTTTCATCAAAGAATTCCGACCCTCCTAATTCTCGATTTTTTGAAATTTTTGAATTTTTCCACGTCATAACTCATGTCAGGAGTTGAGTTCTGCAATTTTAGACGACGAAATCGTGATCAGTGTGTCGAAAATTACTAGAAAACATATATATATTTTATTAGAAATCTAAAGTGAAAGTTGAAACAGTTCCCTTGTCAGTATAATTTAGGGTCTCGTGAAAATACATAATTTGTATGCAAAACAGGGCTTTTTCGCCAAAATTACACGAGATTTCATATTAAAATTCGATAAAACTTGAATTGTCATCATTTTCAAGAAAATCTGGATTTTCGGCGCTGAAAATTACGATTAAAAACCATTATTCTCACTGATTTTGAAAATTCAGGAAGATGTGGTTTTTTCAAAATTATTTTTACTAAAAATGACTAAATTTCAAAATTGATTTAATTTTCCACGTCACACGTTTTGCCACGTCATTTTATTCATTTTTCTCTTCATTTCTCATTGTCAGCTCATTTCCCGTTTCCAAATCCCTTCTAAAAATGTGCGCTGGTTCCAGAATGTTCGGCGGCGGCGGTGGTTCAGGTCCAAAAGACACCAGTCTCTACGACACCCTAAATGTTGCACCATCCGCAAGTCAGGCGGATATCAAAAAATCCTACTTCAAATTGGCAAAAGAATACCATCCGGACAAGAATCCGGAGCACGGCGATCGTTTCAAAGAGATCAGTTTCGCCTATGAGATCCTCTCAAATCCGGAAAAACGAAAACTTTATGATATGCGCGGCATCGATGGGATTAAAAAGGGTGGCGGTGGTGGCGGTGGATTCCCAGGCGGCGGATTATTCTCGCATTTCTTTGGAGGCGGCGGCGGTGGAATGGATGATGACGATGACGATGAAATGGGCGGTGGACATCCATTTTCGGGACTTTTTGGTGGAATGGGTGGAATGAGAGGGGCTCCTCGTCGCCGGAAGTTCCAGGACACCGTGCATCCGTTGAACGTGACCCTTGAAGAAATGTATTCCGGAAAGACTTCCAAACTCAAGTTATCGCGCAAAGTCCTCTGCAAAACTTGTCATGGATCCGGCGGTAAACCAGGCCAAAAATATCAATGTAGTCCTTGCAAAGGTCGTGGAATTCGCACCGTCGTTCAACAAATCGGCCCCGGAATGTTGCAACAAATGCAAGTGCATTGTGATCAGTGCAAAGGAACTGGTGGAAAAGTGCCGGAAGGTGATAAATGTAAAGCGTGTCATGGTGATCGATATTCGTCGGAGCAGAAGATTTTGGAGGTCAATGTTCAGCCGGGAATTCGACAGGGTGATAAGGTTGTGTTTCGTGGTGAAGGAGATCAGAGTGATGTGAGTTTTGCTCGGGAATTTGCATTTGAGCGCATTTGAATCTCCAGATGCTAATCCAAGTTCGCTCCAATGAGAATTCTGCTATTCTCATTAGAGCGCATTCGAACTTGAATTAGTTTCTGGAGATTCAAATGCGCTCTAATGAGAATTCTGATTTAACGCATTTGAATATCCAGAAGCTGGTTCAAGTTCGCTCCAATGAGAATTCTGAATATTGTCGAAATTGAAAAATGTGGCCGCCTTAAAAATGAAAACCAGTGCAGAACTGAATCTATGAAAACAACTTCGTCAGTCGCGTACGGCTGTGCGGCGCGGTCGGAAAAGAATGGAAAAAATGAATTATTTATTGTTTTCTGACCGCGCCGCACGACCGCACGCGACTGACGAAATCCAGTTGTTTTCATTTATTCAGTTCTGCACTGGTTTTCATTTGATTCTCCAGAAGCTCATTCAAGTTCGCCCCAAAGATAATTCAAAATTCAAATGTGCTCTAATGATAATATCGGAATTCTCATTGGAGCGAACTTGAACTAGCTTATGGATTTTAAATGCCTTAAATCAGAATTATCAGAGCGCATTTGAATTAGAGCGCATTTGAATTTCCGAACTAATCCAATTGAAATTGCGCTCCAATGAAAAATCTGTAAAATTTGAAGAACCCAAAAATTTCAACCAAGACCTTTCGCCCTTTTTCAGCCAGACGTTGAAGCCGGAGATGTCGTAATCGTAATCCAACAAAAAGAGCACGAATTATTCCAAAGAGACGGCGATGATTTGCACTTCAAAAAGACTATCACATTGAACGAGGCACTTTGCGGCTTCAAATTCCTCATCAAACACATCGATGGACATCCATTGATTATTCGTCAATCGCCTGGTGAAGTTATTAAGCCAGAAACTGTGAAAGGTGTTGTTGGAAAAGGAATGCCAAATAAACAATATCCGGAATTGAAGGGCAATTTGTTTGTACACTTTGAAGTTGACTTCCCTGAAGATCACTTTTTTGATGATGATAAGAAATATGCGGTGAGTGGTTTGGGATTCTCAAAATCTAGTCTAATTTTGGCCTGAATCCAGGTGGATTTTAAAAATAGTTCTAACTTGATTTCGTTGATTTTTGATAACATTTAAATGAACTTTGGCCGGAAAATTCAACATTTCCAGCTGCTTTGAGGGTGAAAATCCAAAAATAAAAATTTTAAACCAAAAAAACTTTGGAAGTAAGCATTTGCCCCGAAATTCTATAAAAATCCCAGTTTTTCTCTTGAAATTTTGTCCATAGACAGCTTTTGGTGTCAAAAGAACACTCTAAACATTTTAGTTTCCCAATGGACCTTTGAGCCAAGTTCTGGACTCTCAAAAGTTCAAAAATTATCAGAATTGGCTCATAAAAGTAATCATCACGGAAAATTATCGAGATTTGAGTTATGATAACCTTTATGAGCCAATTTTTGAACTTTTGAGAGCACAGAACTTGGCTCAGAGGATCATTGGGAGATTAGAATTTTTAGAGTGTTCTTTTGACCCCAAAAGCTGTCTAACAACACAATTTCGTGAGAAAAACTGGGAGTTTCATAGAATTTTGGGGTAAATGCTTATTTCCATTGATTTTTTAGTTTGAAGTTTTATTTTTGGATTTTCTCCCAGAAAACCATAATATTTTAATAGCAGCTGATAGTGTTGAATTTTCACATTTTGTCAGGCAAAAGTTGAATGAAATTTCAAAGAGGCCCGATGATTCAAGTTCACAAAAAAAAGTCAAAAATACATTTTTTGCTAAAAAAATCCCCCAAAAACCCAAAATGTTCCAGCTCCTCCAATCGCTTCTTCCAACACCAAAACAAGTCGTAATCCCATCTGGCGCCACCGAATTATCACCAATGGAATACGACGAAAAGAAGTATGGAAGAGGACGTGGCGGAGACGCGTACAACGAAGATTCGGACGAGGATGAAGATGAAGGTGGACATGGAATGCACGGTGGACAAGGTGTTAGATGCCAACAACAATGATTTTTTTTGTGTGTGAACACCCCAATAAGTTGCTGGTTTTGGCGCCAAATATTTTGTGAACATCTCGGTGTTATTAGGGCTGATTCACGAACCAAAAAAATGTTTTTTAACATCGAAAGATCGATTCACGAAAAGTCGAAATAACAATGTAGGTCAAAATTAGTTCTTGAATTTTTCAGTCAAAAATGATGACAAACCGAGATTTTTTAAGCTTCTGGAGCGATTTCTGATTAAAATTTAGCTTGGAATTCACTTTCCAGAAGTTTTTGCTGATTTTTTCATAAAATAAAGCAAAATAGGATTTTCGAAGCTTATTTTCATCAGAAATTACTCCAGAAGCTTGAAACATCTCGATTTGTCATCATTTTTGACTGAAAAACTAATTTTGAACTACAATTTTTTTCGACATTTTTTGACTTTTCGTGAACTGATTTTTTTCGTTCGTGAATCAGCCCCATTTTTTGTCTTCTTCTTTTTTTACCCTTCCCCCCTACTATTTTTTGTTTTGTTTTGTTCCTTTTCATTCCCCCCAACAATCTTAATATCAGGAGTTTTATACACGAACTTTATGAGAATGTTATTATTATCTTTATAATGATGATGATGAAATTTGTTTTGAAATGCCACGTCATAACCCTGATCCGTATACCTAAATCCAATGTTTATTTAACTGCTCAAAATACAGATTTCCAATATCCTCAGAAGTTCTCGCCTTTCCCACACTTTTGCTCGACTCGAAAATCGTGGCGAAAACCGGCAAAAATCGATAAAATTCCAAGCGCCACTCGATGACCGATGATAAGATGGCGGGAATTATCAGAAGTGGATTGCTGAAAGTTGGGGAATTTGAATTTGGATTTATATTTCGCGCGCCAAAACCTACAGTATGCCGAAAATTTTGCAAATCGTAAAACTCGCTCCACCGTCAATCAAGCCGAAATAGGCGCCGACTGTCAGAAATACGAAAATAATGGTGAAAGTTGCGATGGCGATGACGACATTTGTGGCGAGCTGGAATTTTGAGAAAAATCGATATTTTTTGCCACGTGGCAAAAGTCTATGCACCTTTAAAAATCGAATGTTCTCTTCAAGTTGGAATTTGGAGGATAACGAGGTGAGCATTTTGTGTTGACGGAGGTTTTTGTTGTAGATTTTGAGGTAGAAAAAGTACTGGAATATTTGGGGGAACTTGGGAATTTAGGTTAAATTTTAATGACCTTAAATTTTAGGGATCTTAAAGGTTAAGGGATTTCTAAATGCTAATATTTTGGAGACCATAAATAAGGGCTGATTTTAAGCGATCCTTAAGGAATTTATGCTTGAAGCTCAAGAATTTAGGAATAAGAGAAAAGTCCTTAAGGTTTAGCGTACCTAAATTTATTTAGATTAGGATTCTAAGTTTTTAAAAGCATCCTAAAGCCTCCTAGTGATAGAACCTTAAATTTTTAAAGCTTTTAGCGTAAAATTTTAAAGCTTTTAGCGTAAAATTTTAAAGCTTTAGGTTGGGTAGATTGGGAATTTAGCCTGAATTTTAGGCCTCTTGGGGATTTTCTGGAATTTAGGCTTCAGGGTTTTGGAGACCTTAAATAAGGGATGATTTTGAGCGATCCTTAAGGAATTTATGTAGTCTAGAAAGCTTAAGAATTTAGGAATAAGAGAAAGGTCCTTAAGTTTTAGCCTACCTAAAGATATTTAGATAAGGATTCTAAGTTTTTAAAAGCATCCTAAAGCCTCCTAGTGATAGAATCTTAAATTTCAAGGCTCTTAGCGTAAAATTTTAAAGCTTTAGCTTGGGAATTTAGCCTAAATTTTAGGGCTCTGGGGGAATTTTCTGAGATTTGGGGAAATTTAAGCTTCATTATTTTGGAGACCTTAATTAAGGATCTAAATTCTAGTGCTCTTAGCGTAAAATTCTAGAGCTCAAAGCCTCAATCCTAAAATTAGAGCTGGTTTTTAAAAGCACTAAAATTTTGTAGCTAAATATATTTAGGGCTAGAAAAATTTGGGAAGATTTCTTCTTTAATTTTAGGCTTCAGCTAAATTTTGAATTTTTAAGGATTCGCTAAAAATATGGCCTTAACATTGCCTAAAGCTTTAACACAGTTCCCCTTAAATTAGCGCTCAGAGATTTTTAATTTTCAAATTCTGGATTCTAAATTCAGGGCTCTGAAGGTACATAGATATTTAAAAACCATGTTTAGGTAGTCCAATAAAGAATCTTAAGGTCATTAAGTCAACCTTTTTAGCTCCCTTAACCTTAACCTTAAGTTAATCTAAATTCTCACCGGCAAAAATATAAAATGAGAAAGAATAGCACCCATCAATATTTGAAACAGTGAAATAATATGAAACGTCAAAATCAGGCCCTCAAAAATCGAGCAAAAAATCAGACAAAAACTGAGCAAAACTGTGAGCCAATTTCGTTGGTGTTGCTCATAATTTCTGAATTTTTTTCTGATTAGAAACCTTAAAGCTTTGTGGGACTTACGTGAACCAAAAACTTGCGATTGATCTTTCGACGAGAAAATAGAAACAAGAAGCGGCGAAACAGGATAAATAGGCCCAGATTAAAAACGATCCAAAAAATAGCAAAAAATTTTGAAGATTCATCTCGACGTTGAAATTTCGATCATCCTCAATGCTAAATGGTCGTTGTGTCAGATTTTTCGAAAAAACTTCGAAAAATCCCCATTCAAAAAGGTTTGACGAGAAAATACGCGAAACTTGCGAAAAACCAGCTTCCCATAAAAATCGTGCAAATTATCCGATTGTTTAGGTGGAATTTCGGAACCTTCCACATTATTTGAATCATTTGCCACGTCATAACACCGGAGAAAAAGATGAGCATGAAGAAAATGGCGAGGAAAAAATAGGCGATTGGGGTGATAGATTTGGATTTGTAGAAGGTTTGGAGGGGCACCCAGATTGGAATTGTGCCATTATTGATTTTTAGAATCATTTTTTTTCTTGTTGAACTGATGTGAGAACAAAAAAGTAAGTAAATAAGTTTGGTTTGGAGAAAACAGGTGATTTTGAATGTTTTTTCTGATTTATCAAGGGCGTTGGAGTTAGCTTTAAAATTTTTTTGAGAAAAAATTGGGCGGAGTCTATCCCTTTTTCGTCTCGCGTCTCTGCACCCATACGCTAATTTTTCTCTCTCGTTTAAAATTGTGTTCAGAATTTTGATTTATTTTCATCATATTATTAAAAACAACAAAAATCTTTCTACTTAGCCAACATTCCACAAACCGCTCCAGAAAAATATTGATCACCGTAGGTATCATCCATCAATCCATCGCCAGTATTCACCAAGCAATACATTTGATAAAACCCCCGATACGCTTGATTATTCTCCGGTTGTCCAGGCCGCCAAATAAACCCATCAGTTCCAGTCGTATGTCCGTCAGTCCACCCAAACGAGTTCTGATATGTGCAAGTGGCTGTTGTGTATTCGACGGCTGCACACTGCTCGGTTCGATAGGCGCCGACGAAAAGATAGTAGGCGCCAGCAACGTCTGCGATCGCCGCACTCATCATCGTCGAAATTTCCGTCGAGTTTTCGAAGCCTGATGCGACGGCTGATGAATCAAGAGTCGCGCATGAGGCGTTGGCTTGTGGTCCGAGAATTGAACCGTGGTAGATTTTCATACACCAACTATAGGTTCCACGATCGAAAAGTGTCCAAGTTGTGTCAGGACAAACTGGTATTGGTGTGGTTGTGGTCGTGGATGTTGTAGTTGTAGTTGTTGTGGTTGTGGTTGTCGTAGATGTGGTAGAGGTGGTGGATGTGGTAGTAGTTATGTCTGTCAATAAAAAATTCTTGGTTCAAAATAGATCAGTGACCTTAGCTCAAAACTTAGAACATTCCACAAAACTTAACCCAAACTTAACTTAGAAGTTCGAAAACTTCGTGGGTGGTCTCGGTCAACCATAATATCTGACTCAGCTCAGCTCAACCCAAACCAACCTTCAGGAATTTGCGTTGGAATACAAGTGTCCACAATTTGCACAGATAAAATCAGCAGACAATGAAGAATATGGTAGATCATGTTATTTTGGAATGATGAAAATATTTGTACCGCGAACTTTGGCGCCGACAAAAAACACGTTTTTCTCCTGCCTGCGCAAAAATTAATCGGAGGGATTTTTGTAGACACAGAAATTGAAGTTTCAATTTTACAAGAAAAGTTTTTTTTTAAAATTAATTTTTGACGTATAACTATTAAAACAAATCTAGAGTTCAAAATTTGAATCACTTTTTTCAAATCCAAAATGTTCAAACTATAGACAAGGAAGTATTTTGGGGTGAAGTTTGTTTCGTTCATCTGATAAGATAGATCACACATGTATTGTATTATAATCAAGTTTTTTCTCCGAAAATTTTTATCGTTATCCAATAAAGACATCTTTGCCATTCTTGAGATCTTATTGGGAAAAAATAGGTTCAGGAGGGAATGATTTTTGAGTTAGGAGTAGATCAACAATATTATGAGTCTGAAACTGAAAAATTATAAAGTTACCAGAGATTCAAGTTTTATTTCTAGAAATTTTCTGAAAAGTTTTTATTTTTAGACTTGCGCATTTAACCCCGAATTCAAAAAATTTAACATCAAAACCTTATTCATAAAACAATAAAAATATATTTACATTATTATAGTATCCTCCAAAACTACACAGGTAACATTCCACAAACAGCTCCAGGAAAATATTCATCCGGAAAAGTATCATCCATCAATTGATCATCTGTTTTCACCAAAAGATACTTCTCCTCTTTCCCACCCACCAAATCACCATTTTCCGGTTGTCCAGCTCGCCAATTGAAACCATCGCTTCCAGAAGTATACGGATCTGACCATTCAAAAGAGGTCAGTGTTGTGCAAATTGCGTTAACTCCTGCTACATTTGCACAAGCCGCAGTTCTTGTTGCACCAACGAAGATATAATAGACGCCTGGAACTTCTGCGACCGCTGCACCGATCATTGTTGAAAGTTCGGCGAGATTCTGAAATCCGGATGCGACTGCTGTTGAATAAAGAGTTGCACAAGCACCATCAGCTTCTGGTCCGAGAATTGAGCCGTGATAGATTTTCATGCACCAAGTATAGGTTCCTCGATCCATTTCTATCCAAGTTGTGTCAGGGCAAGATGGAATAGGGGTTGTGGTTGTGGTTGTGGTTGTTGTAGTCGTGGTTGTGGTCGTCGTTGATGTTGTAGATGTGGTGGGTGACGAGTCTAGAATTACAGTGGTTGAGTTAGATGCCTTTTTGATGATTATTCTGTGAGTTCACCAATTTATTAGAAGTTCAGATTAGGCTTCAGAAAAAAAATCATGTGATGATCTCACCAAGTTTTTTATTTTCGCTAATCTCCCAATGGACCTCTGAGCCAAGTTTTGGGCTCTCAAAAGTTCAAATATTGCCAAAATTGGCTCATAAAACACATCCTAACTCAACTTTTGATCATGATGAGCGTGGTCGATTTACCCAAAAATCATGAATAAATCAAATTTTCAGAAAAAAATTTTGATTTTGAAAAAAGAATGAGCAAGGGCACATATGAATTTTCAGCCCAAAAATAAAAAACAAAAAAAATTTTCGAAATAAAGTGTTTTATTGATGTAATTTTAGTAAATCGACTATGCTGATCAATATCTGAAACTTTATTTTTCACAAAAATTATTTTGAAATGGAGCTATGATGCTCAGAGATTCGCTGGCCAGCTCGCCACCAGGTGGGGAGGCTGGCTGACCTGGAAACCACATGGAAATCATGTCGCCCGTTTTTTTTGCTGGCAAGGTGGCCAGGCTCTGGCTAGGTCACGGCCACATGGCTACCATGTGGTGGCCACTTCGCCGCGTCAAAATGAATTTTCATGAAAATGACTGAAAAACTTGTGAATTGAGGCATTTTCGAAAAAATTGGCTCATTTTCTGTTTTTTCGCAGCACTTGAAACCTTAGGAAGTGAAAAAAACAGTATGTAGAAAATGCAGTGTTTTGAGTACAAACCACTGTCTCGCCAGCGTTCCAGAATTTCAAACACACAGGCCACGTCGCCGGAAAACTCGAGGCGACCTGGCGGTCATGCGGTTTCCAGGTGGCCGCAGCGATCTGGTGGCGAGCTGGCCAGAGAATCTCTGAGAACTGCCAACGTAAAACCTACAATCAACAATCTGTGTCGGTATACACAAATCCACGTTTTGCACACAAATAATTATTAGAAAATAGAAAATCGATGAGATCATTTTTAGGCTGATAAAAAACAAATGAAGAAAAAAATGTATATACCGAAAATAATAAAAACTTGGGGGGCCAAAAACACGTTTTGTCACAATTTCGACATAAAATGGCATAACAATAGGATTGAGTGTTGTTTGATACGAAATCAAATCAAAGATGAAACATTCTTGGATAACGTAATGGTTTTTAGTGAATCTGGGAAGAACTGTAGATCTTTAAGAATGTTATTTTTGCCAGAGATCAAACTACGGAAAAATCTGCTTGTGAGAAAACAAAGGCGCATATGTTATAGTCACAACATTTTAGGCTAATGATAAAATGCAATAGGGTGAGAGGAAGAGATTTAGAGAAAAACATAAAAGAATTCACGTTTTGTTGATTATTCGCGTGAACTCTTGTCGCCTCGCTTCATTTTTCAAAAAACAAAGAAAAATAATACATGTGTGTATAGCGCTTGGCCATTTGTTTGATCAATGTCGGCAATACGCTTGAACGACCTCTCAGAAAATGTTCGAAAAAATGGAGTTCTTATTCTCATTTGAGCACGTTTGCCCACTAAAAACGTATGTTTTTCTCTAGAATCTCTCTCCTCTCACCCAATTGCGTTTCGGAACGTTGTGTAGTCGATAGATCTTTGAGATAAACTAGATTCTAGTTATTTGAATTTAGTTCCGTGTTTCATTATGCTTTAAATTCTAACTCTTTGCAACAAAGCCTTCCAACTTACCAGAAGTTGTTATAATTTGTGGTGTAGACGTTGCAATTTCTGAAAATTTTATTTTTTATAGTTTTTTAAATGTTACATCAAGCTCAAAATTTTAACCCTAAATAAACGTTTTGTTTTTAAATCAAACTCACCAGAAGTTGTTGTCATTAGAGTTGTAAATGTTAAAATTTCTGAAAAATGAATCCCCATTTATAAGGATAACAATTTTATTACCTTTTTCTACTTGTTGAGTTGGAATACAAGAATCACAAAAAATGACAAATTTGAAAATTAGTGGAATAAAAATTGGGAGAAGTAGGATCATGATAATGATCAGGGTAGATAGAAGAATGGCATTTTTCAATGCGAAAAAAAACTTGAAAATCAACTTTAGAGAGAAAGAGGTGAGAACTTAAAACTAGAAAAAAAAATAATTTAGTATTTAAATAATTAATTTTGAAGCTCTTTCGAAATTTAAAAAACAAGTAGGCGGAGTCTGTTCATATCCGTTTTTCGTCTCGTGTCTCTTCTGCACGCACACGTTAATTTTAGTCTCTCGTAGGCTGGCAAAAACAATGCGATTTTCGAATTAGAAATGAAGAAGTACAGAGAACTTTGTCTGATTGGTCCATTGAGAATAGTCGTCTTGATTTTATAATAACTTTGATTTTTTCATACCTTCAAATTTATTTTCAAATCAGAAAAAAATGACTTCGATTCTCATCCACTATTACCGATATACTGCAATTTTCAGTTTAATTTTGACAACATCAACCAACTTTCTTTTAATTATCTTAACTTCTTGGTATATCAAAAGAAAGTTTGGGATGTATAAGTATCTCATAATAATTTTCTCAATATTCGGAATAGTTTACGATTTCTCCGGGTTCTTGATCTCTCCAATGGTTCATTCTCTTGAAAATGGATATTTATATTTCACTTTGGTTCAATCAACGATTATATCAAAAGAAATGATCAGAAATTGTTTGGCGATATCAGGAAGTATTCTTATTTCTCTGGCTTCAATGTTAGCAGTAATGTTTATCCATCGTTATTTCTCTGTTGCTAAACCTGAGCAATTGTTTCATTTTCAACAAAAACGTTTTGTTTTATGGTTAGGTTATTCGATGTTTTTTGGAGGCATGAATTTTCTAACGCTGCTATGTCTTGGAGAAATTGATGATTTCACAAAAAACTACGTTCGAGATAATTTCATCGATTCCTATGGTGTTGTTTTTGATGATATTCCGGTATTCTCATTTTTGATTTATGATACAAAACGACGGTGGAAAGAGATCGCATACACATTGTTTCTAACAATGGCATTGGTGCTTTTATTAAAAATTTGTAGTTATATTCTTAAAATATTATATTTTCCAGCTTTTTCAAAATGCGATCATTGTTTTCTGTGGCTTCAAAATCCGTCGTCATCTTTACAAAAAGAATTGCAATTATTCTCAATCACTTCTCATTTTACACAAACAATTTTTCAAAACCTTGGTTCTTCAAGTCGCCATTCCAACTGTTTTCATATTCTTCCCTGTCATATTCATAATAATGGCACCGTTCTTTGGATACAAGCTGAATTCATCTTCGATCAACTCATTTAGCCTCTTCTTTTTGTATCCAGCAATTGATTCTGTGATTGTCATGTATGTTATATCGGACTACAAAAAAGCGTTGAAAGGTAAAGGTTTTGGATTTTTTTGTTGGTCTTTTAGATAATTTTTACAGATTTTTTCAATGATATCGTTTATTACGTCAAATGTTAGTCTTCTGTGAATACCAAGTACAAAAGGAAATTAGAAAAATGGTTGTCCGGTATATAAGGCCCAGAGTGATCTCCCACACAGTTCGAAGTCTACCAAAAATCCTTCGATGCCTTTTTTTAAAAATAAAAATCAGTTCCAGTTCTTACCTTTTTCTTCTTGTTGAGTTGGAATACAAGAATCACAAAAAATGACAAATTTGAAAATTAGTGGAATAAAAATTGGGAAAAGTAGGATCATGATGAAATGATCAGGCTAGATAGAAGAATGACATTTTTCAAAACTTGAAAATCAACTTTAGAAAGGAAGAGGTGAGAACTTAAAACTAGAAAAAAAATAATTTTGTATTTAAATAATTAATTTTGAAGCTCTTTCGCCGCGGAAATTTATTAAGAAAGTGGGCGGAGTCTGTTTATATCCCTTTTTCGTCTCGCGTCTCTTTTGCACGCACACGTTAAAGGTCCCGTAACGTCGCAAGATTCAGTGATCTTAAACACTTCTCTATGCTTTTTTATGTTGATTGAAGTCAAAAAAATTTTTTTCTGATTCACCATGAAAAAAAGGACCAAAAGTAACACATTAAAAAATCAGTCTAAAAATGTTGGGTCCACGGCCGAGAAAACCAAATGAGATCGAACAAACGCGCGCTGCTGATAACCGAAAAAATATTTTCTTTTCGCGAAATTTTTTCTATTGGTTTTTGGCGTTTTTCGCAGTTATTTCGATAGGAATGAATGGAATGAACCTGGAAATAGAATGGACAAGGAAATTTAATCGAAAAACAAAAAAAAAGTCTTGAAAATCGAGCAAAAATGACAGAAAACAGAGCAAACAACGTTTTTTCAGATTTGCAACGCAGTTTTTCAAGTTTTTCTTCCTCAAACCTTGATATTATCCAGATGTACAGTGCTCATTTTGAAGAGGAGAAAATTCTCAACAAGAGGTTTTGAGTTTTTTGGTTGGAAATTGTCGATTTCACAAGGCACAGCTGGTTGAAGAAATGTTCGAGATCAAACACACATTCTCAAAACGTGACGCGAAATTCTTGTTCTGGCTCGGATTTGATGAATTCTTGGTTTTATTCGATGGTTGATACATCATTAGAACCAGAATTTTATGGCGATTCTTCTGATATATGACAATCATAGTGAAAGAATAGATTTTGATGATTTCCACTCGCTTGCGAAAAATACGAAAATTTCGATAAATTTTTCATTGAATTTAGCGATTTGAGCTTGACTTTTTTCAAAATTTGAGAAAATAAACATCACAAATGCTCAATTTCATTCAGTTTTCTTCTTTTCCGAAAACATGAAATGAGTTCAACGTATGAACGGATCAGAAAACGAGCTAATTTGAGACAATTCAAAATTTTGTAAAGAATTATCGGAATAATTCCACTGAATCGAGTGATATCTCATGGTAAAATATCGAAATGACTTTTGAGTATACTGCTCTGAGAAATCGAGAGAAAAAATTGAGAAACTCACGCTCAAATCGCTAAAATCAATGAAAAATTTATCGAAATTTTCGTATTTTTCGCAAGCGAGTGGAAATCATCAAAATCTATTCTTTCACTATGATTGTCATATATCAGAAGAATCGCCATAAAATTCTGGTTCTAATGATGTATCAACCATTGAATAAAACCAAAAATTCATCAAATCCGAGCCAGAACAAGAATTTCGCGTCACGTTTTGAGAATGTGTGTTTGATCTCGAACATTTCTTCAACCAGCTGTGCCTTGTGAAATCGACAATTTCCAACCAAAAACTCAAAACCTCTTTTTGAGAATTTTCTCCTCTTCAAAATGAGCACTGTACATCTGGATAATATCAAGGTTTGAGGAAGAAAAACTTGAAAAACTGCGTTGCAAATCTGAAAAAACGTTGTTTGCTCTGTTTTCTGTCATTTTTGCTCGATTTTCAAGACTTTTTTTTTGTTTTTCGATTAAATTTCCTTGTCCATTCTATTTCCAGGTTCATTCCATTCATTCCTATCGAAATAACTGCGAAAAACGCCAAAAACCAATAGAAAAAATTTCGCGAAAAAGAAAATATTTTTTCGGTTATCAGCAGCGCGCGTTTGTTCGATCTCATTTGGTTTTCTCAACATTTTTAGACTGATTTTTTAATGTGTTACTTTTGGTCCTTTTTTTTCATGGTGAATCAGAAAAAATTTTTTTCGACTTCAATCAACATAAAAAAGCATAGAGAAGTGTTTAAGATCACTGAATCTTGCGACGTTACGGGACCTTTAATTTTAGTCTCTCGTACGCTGGAAAAAACAATGCGATTTTCCAATTAGAAATGAAGAAGTACAGAAAACTTTGTCTGATTGGTCCATTGAGAATACACGTCTTGACTTTAAAATAACTTTGATTTTTTCATACCTCACAATTTGTTTTCAAATCAGAAAAAATGACTTCGATTCTCATCCACTATTACCTGCAATTTTCGGTTTAATTTTGACAACATCAACCAACTTTCTTTTGACTTCTTAAAAATTTACATATCCTTTTAGTTGTACATCGAAAATAAAATATTTTTCAGAAAAAAATAAAAAAAAATCCATAAGGAAAATCCAATCCAGCAGACTGCTCTGCTGAAAAATTCAAAGTCCATATTCAAGTCTACAATTCACTTCAAATGCATTCAAACTTCCTCAAAATATATTGGACTTCCGCAATCGCAAGTTTCTTTTTCACAACTTTTATCAATGTTTTACTGATAATTCTGACAACGAAGTATATCAAAAGAAAGTTTGGGATGTACAAATATCTCATCATCATTTTTTCCACTGTGGGTATACTTTATGATCTCTGTGGTTTCTTGATTTCTCCAGTGAGTGAATTCTATATCCCAGTAAAACAAATATATATTGTTTCTAGATGTTGCATTCTCTCAATTCCGGATTTGTATACTTCAGTCTAGTTCAGTCAACATTCATGTCACGTGAACAGATGCAAATTATTCTAGCAATATCAGCAAGTATTTTTTTGTCCTCAACATCAATGTTAGCAGTAATGTTCATCCATCGTTATTTCTCTGTTGCTAAACCTGAGCAATTATTTTATTTCCAAGGAAAACGGTTGACTCTTTGGTTGACTTATTCCTCATTTTTTGGAGCCGTTTGCTTCATCGCTCTTTTTTATCTCTGTCAAGTTGATGATTTTGCAAAACAATATTTTAACAATGATTTTATCACATCATACGGTTTTGTTATAGATGATTTAGCAGTTTTTCAATTTGTTATTTTTGATACAAATTATCGATGGAAACCAATTGCTCTTATACTTTACGTTACTCTAACAATGGTAAGAATTTTACATTAACATACAAACTTTTTCTAATTCCAATTTTTTAGTTCTTTCAAAATATAATCATTTTTTTCTGTGGCTACAAAATTTACCGAAAACTCTATAACCGACAATTCAATTATTCCTCATCACTTTATAACTTACATCAACAATTTTTCAAAACCTTGGTTCTTCAAGTGGCAATTCCAACATTTTTCATATTTATCCCAGTCTTCTTCATCTTCTATGCTCCATTTTTTGGGCTCAAATTGAGTGTTGCCTCAACAAATGCAATGTGCCTCTTTTATTTATATCCAGCAATTGATTCTTGTATTGTGATGTATGTTATATCGGACTACAAAAAAGCGTTGAAAGGTATCTAAAGTTGTTGGATTTTTTTGTTGATCTTTTAGATAATTTTTACAGATTTTTGCAATGACATAGTTTATTACGTCAAATGTTAGGCTTCTGTAAATACCAAGTACAAAAGGAAATTAGAAAAATGAGTCTGGTAAAGTTCAAAATGATTCTGAGATTTCTAGAATATGAAAATCTTGCAGATTTCCTCAACGAATTTATTTATTATGCCAACTGTCGTCCAGAAATAACAATTTACTAGTTGAAAAAATCCTGTACATCGAAAATAAAATCTGAAATTTTAAAAATAATTGTCTTCCAAAAATCTCATTAAAAATTCTTACCATGCAATGCTTTTTTATACTCTTTGATGATGTACATAACTATGAATGAATCAATAGCTGGATATAAAAAGAAAAAGCACATCGAATAACCAAGTGGAAGACTTAGCTGAAGTCCGAAGAATGGTAGAATCATTATCACGAATGCAGGAGTGAAGAGGAATAATGTGGGAATAGCAAATTGTAAGACCAAAGTGCGGAAAATTTGAGAATGCAGTTCTCTGAGAGATTTCGAATAATTCCGATTTTTATCATGAATTTTTGTATGTATTTTGAAACAGCAGAAGAAAATTATGAAATTCTGAATTAGCATTGACAGAATGACAAAGATGATGAAGATCGCATTTTTCCATCGAATCTTCTCATTTTCATCAAAAACAATGACTGAAAATGCTGAAATTGTATCCAAAGGTTTCCCATAAACATTTTGAACTTCCGAACTGAAGTAATTATTTGAGAACTCATCGATGGAGCATAATTGAATCCAACCAGCAAAGCAAGGTAGACCAAAAAACAATGCGTAGAAAATCCAAAGAGTCACCCGTTTTCCTTGAAAATAATACAATTGCTCCTGTTTGGCGACGGAGAAGAAACGATGGATGAACATGACAGCTAGAAATGCGGACGAGGATAAAAATAATGAGGCGGTTGCAGCTAGAGCGATTTCAGTAACACGATTTGAAATATATTGCGAATGGATTAAACTGAAGTAGATGAAGCCGGAATTGAATGAGTGAACCATCTGAAATTAAAGCAATGTTCGAAAAACTTTAAAAAAAAACACCAACCGGTTGAAAAATGTATTCCGCAAAATCATAGATCAAACCAATCGACGAGAAGATGATGATAAGATGTTTGTAGGTTCCCAAATTTTTTCTAACGTACCATCTTGTTAAAATGATCAGTAGAACATTTGAAACAGTTGTTAGTAGAAAACTAAACACCGAGACAAAGTAGTAGATTCTTGCCAAGAGCATTTTTATCAAATGGTTATAATGCACTTCTTGTCTCAACACAAAAAAGGAAATTGGCTTTTGGCAAAAAATGAAATTAATTTGTTGATGAAAATCTTCGAGAACTATTAATCTCAAATATAAAGAGCCAAACTGGATTCTCAGAATCTTGGCTCTAATTTTGGAATTTTTTTGTTTTTATATAACATTCTACTGGGATTAATTTTGAATCTGTACTTTTGAATTTGAACGACTGATTTCTGATAAAACATAGTTCTAGGAAGTCGGAAAAGTGTAGGATTTCTGAGTTTTCCGGAAAATGAAGAAATTGGTGTGTGACGCATTTTTGCGTACAAAAATCTTACTCATCGGCCATAACTCATGTTATTTTTTGCACAGCACGTTGCGCAACCCTATAATTATCCCCAAGAAAACAACGTGCTTCTGATATCACATTATATCAGACATCCATTCTCAAATGTCTATCCCAAATATCTACCGAATCGCTTCAATATTCAGCACAATTCTAACAACTTGCACAAATCTGATTTTAGTCATCCTAACTGCACGGTATATTAAAAAGAGGTTTGGTGTCTACAAGTATCTTATCATTATTTTCTCAACAGTGGGAATAATTTTTGACGCGACTGGTTTTCTAAACTCCCCGGTAACTAACGCGGCTCTCCAAAAACAAAAAATTTTTTAAAGATGCTTCACTCTTTTGATTCTGGATTCATTCACCTTAGCCCAATCGAGAACTGTTTCACAAGACATTCTGAAAACAATCCTGGTTTTGACTGCCAGTATCTTCCTCTCTTCAACATCAATGTTGACCGTAATGTTCATCCAAACCTGAGCAATTGTTTCATTTTCAAGGGAAGAGATTGGTTTTTTGGTTAAGCTATGTGTTATTTTTCGGAGTGACGTGCTTCATTTTGTTGTTCTCTCTCGGTGAAGTTGATGGTTACACCAAAGAATATGTTAACAAAGATTTCATTGAGACTTATGGTGTTGTGATTGATGAAATTTCTGCATTTTCTTTTATTGTTTTGGACAAAACTTATAAAAGTTATCGATGCCAACCAATTTTTTATATAATCTTCGTCACTTTCACAATGCTATTTCAAAATGCAATAATAATTTTCTGCGGTTTCAAAATCCGCGGTAAACTTTACAACGATAAATGCAAATATTCCCCAGTTCTTCTAACTCTTCATCAACAATTTTTCAAAACTTTGGTTCTTCAAGTGACAATTCCAACACTATTCATCTTTCTCCCAATATTCCTCGTTTTCTATGCTCCATTCTTTGGGTTCAAAATGAGTGTTTCATCTTCAAATGTGTTTTTCCTGTTTTACATGTATCCAGCGATTGATTCAATTATTGTGATGTATGTTATCACGGAGTATAAAAACGCTTTGAGAGGTTTGAGAGGAAAAGGAAAATTGGGTTGATTTTTGATGATTTTCAGATCTTCTATCAGATGTTTTTTGCATCAAAAATTTCAATTCGAGAGTGAATGTAGATTTTGGATAATTCCTGATTTTTTTCCCCGCAAAACCTTTCATGGGAAAGTACAAAATGACGTGTATGTAAAAATTTATGTTCAACAACAAAAACTGAAAATAATCATGATCACAATAAATAATTCTCAATATACAGATATAGTTAATTTTTTCTCACAATCTACTTGGATTTGCTGGTGGTGACGGCTGAAAAATTTCAAGATTTTAAAATTTTCTACGCTTCAAAAAACATGGACTCACTGATAGTGTAGGTTTTAACACCCTCGTTCAACTTGGCTCCATCATCCGAAGTTCCATCTTCGTATTTGTAGCACTTGGTGTTGGACTTCTTCTTCCCTCTGGTGTATTTGTTGGAAGATCCAGAGCTCGACGATTCTCCTGATCCTGAATCATCATCATCTGAATCTCCCGAATCACGCTTTCTTCTCTTGGAAGAGCTTGATGAGGAGCTTGAAGAGCTGCTGCTGCTGCTGCTCTCAATCGCATTTCCATCGTCATCCACACTTCCCTCTCCAGTATCACTAGTTCCATCCACATAATACTTGCACAATCCGTGATATCTTCGAGTGTTTGGAGCACAAGCGTGAGCCATGGCAATGAGCCCGAGAAGAATCAGGATGCTACGAAGAGAGATCATTTTTTGTCAAGTGATGTCTTGAGAGCGGAAGATCGGTGAACTTATATACCCTTTCTTGATCTACTCGAATATTTTAAGTCACCTTGAGATAACCTGCTTCTTCTCATTATCGTCACGAAGAAGCACATTTTGTAATAGATATGTGGTAGCTAGTTTTTTGTCTGATCGGAGATCATCTATTTTTTTTCTTATCTTCATGTTTAGGATGCTAATGTCGTCACTTTTAGTTGTTGTGTTCTGATAAGGATTCCTGCGCAATTTTTTTCAACATAATAACAACAAGCTTAGAAGCTTTTGGGGCTTCAGGAAATCAAAAAAAATTAGCAAGGTTTTAGACAGATTTAAAAGTTTGCTCATTTTTTTTAGAAAAGCCAGGTGGAAAAATCTGAAATGCCACGTGGATGTTGAACTTTTCATTTTAGATTTGTTGATTCGAGAAATTCCACAATAAGATTTTTCAAATTGCAAATTTCCAGCAGTTTTTGAAATTTAAATATTCCACGTGGCATTTCAATTTAAAAAAAATTCACGTGGAATTTTCAATTTTCAAAATGTTTGAAATTTAACGCTCGGAATTCAAAAGTTCCACGTGGAATCAGGTTTAGAAAATTGAAAAATCAGGATTTGAACTGCCACGTGGCATTTTGAACCCTATAATGCCACGTGTTAAATTTTTTTTAAAGATTTTTTTTTCAAATTCTGAAACCTGAAATTCCACATGTCAGTTCAATAGCCAAATGTTCAATTTTGCAGTTTTTTAAACCCAGCTTTCCCCTGATTCAAAATGGATTCCACGTGGTTTTTTTTTCAAACTTAATTTCCCATTTCCCACCGTAAACATCAGACACACTTTTTTTCTCACGCAATCAATCATCCAAATTACACACACACACACACACACAGAAAAAAGATATATATCTTCGCGTACAAAAAATATTTTTACACCAAATTACATTTTTTAATAATTATCATAATAAAACATAAGTATTCAAGCAACACTTTCTCGAAAAAAAAACCCAACACAAATTCAAACCACGCGGTCTAGCGTCAACGCGGAGTCTCGTTGTTTTCTTTTTATTTTTTTGGTTGCTTTAAAGAATTCTTCATGTACACGATACAAGAAAAAACCGTCAAATACCCGAATTCGAATATACTATATGAAATCTACAGTAAATCTAAAATTAACTTAAGGCTCATCACCAAACGCTTCATCCAAAATGCCCATCGGTCCAACCCGAGTCGCTGATATCTTTTGCTCTTCATCCGCATTTTTCATCGCTGATTTGATGAGTTGTTTCTGCAGCATAATCATTGAACTCTGATTGTTCATCAAGAATTCCTTGAGTGACAACAATCCATCAGCATAATCTACACTCGATCTTTCCGATGTCATATCATAACCTTTTGGTGGTCTCAATCCCAAGCCCATGTATCTTCTCTTCTTCTTGAAGCATAGGAAAGCGCGATCTTCGACTTTAACATCCATTTTTTTGATCATCCAATTCAAAAGTTGTCTGACAACAATTGAGGAAACATTTGACAAGCAATAGAAAAAGCAGGCTCCGAAGGTGAGTAAAATGAAATTGAGAAATCTATAGGCGACCGGATTTTCGTAGTTTGACGTGTCTTTTTGGTGCGAAACATAGTCGCCGAATCCGATTGTGGCGAAGCTGAAAAATTTGGAATTATTTTTTAAAATTTAGTTATGGTAAATCAAATTTTTCTTGTTTATACATAATTTTTTTTTCTAAAACAAATCTTGTTAGCGGGTGTTGATAAATCGAATTATATTTTATTCGAAACCAATTCAGCCGCGTTGCGGTCAAGCGTCGCGGTTTTTTTTAATTTTTAGAATTCAAGCTACAAAATGTGGTTTGGTGTGAATTTGAAAATTCTGGGTGTTGGGGAAAATTGAACGCGTTGCGGTCAAGCGTCGCGGGTTCTGAAAATCTCTTGGAAAATCAGGAATTTTCTCAAGAACTATGTACATTTATGAAAAAATGAAACGTTTTCTCACCAATTTTCAATATGACGTCAATTTTTTGGAATTTGAACCGCGACGCTTGACCGCAACGCGTGTGTCAAGCGTCGCGGTGTATTGATTTTTTTTCTCCAATCACCCTACCTGATAAAACAAAAATACAACGCATCAATATAAGGCCAATCCTCCATGATCGAATAAACCGCAGCCGATAAATTGATCAAACACAGGCACATGCTGAACAAAATGAAAAACACTTTGTAAACCGACGGTCTCCAATTATCCATATGTCCTTCACAGGAACTCGACGATTCATTGAAATCCTCATTATTGATTAGAAGGGTGACCGGTTTGGTGCCATTTTCTTTGAGACGATTCTGGATTTTTCGCTCGCGCAGGTATCTGAAAATCGGAAAAAAATGATGGGGGAAGCTAGATTCAAGAATCTTCTGATTTTCTGAAAATGGGCATTTCTCTCTAGAAAAAAATTGTGATAATTTCTAGACATTTTTAATTTTTTCAGCAGCGTTGCGGTCAAGCGTCGCGGTTTTTAGAACTGTTTTCAAGCTAAAAATGCTTGTATTTGAAAATTGAGCGCGTTGCGGTTTCTAAAGATCGGTATTCAATAAAAATTCTCTCAAGATTCAAGAATTCTGATTTTCATGACGTTTTTTTCAAGAATCTTTGGGGGATTTTCTGAAAAAGGACATTTTCTCTAGAATCTAAAGGACTTCATGACGTTTGTCAAAAATTTCAAAGAATTTTCTGATGTGTTCTGGAATCAACTATGGTTTCTGAAAACAAATTTGGATTTTCTGAACTTCCGAATGAGGATTAAGACTCTTAATTCAAGACTTCAAAGAATCTCGCATTTTTTTGAGAAAAAAATCTGAAACCAATTTCTGAAGACTCAAAAAATGTCAAAATTTCAGAGAAAAGACAGGCTTAGGCCTAAAGCTCTAGATCAAAACTTCCAGGCTTCTTTTGATCTAGAGTATCTCAAACCCACCTCAAAATATACGACATTCCAGTCACCAATCGCTCCAAAAACAGATTGAAAAAGAGCACACAACAAGTGCAGCCAACAACTCCATAAATAATTGTCAGCAATCTTCCCCAACTAGTATGCGGTGTAGATGTACCAAATCCTGAAAATATTTTTTGAAGGGGTTTGGCTAGACTTCAGCGCTCACCAATCGTCGAGATCACAGTAGCCGAGAAGAACAGCGATCCCAAATAATCGAATCTCTCTCGACTTGACAAAAGTCCAGTGCTGGCGCCGTTGCTGATGAATTCTACGAAGGCGTCGAAGTCGCACGACGTCTCGTTTTTGTCGCCGCAAAATTTGTCGCGATAATTTTGCATTTTTTCGTCAAACTGCAAGTTGAAACGGAAATTGATTCTAGTTTGATTTGCTTTATTTTTTTGGATTAGTCACCATGACATTTTTCAGGTTTAATTGTGAGCAAAATGTTAAATTGAAGATCATTAGAATGTTTTTTAGGATAGGCTTAGGCTTCTAGGATTCTAGGCTCCCAGTCTTCTTCTCTTCCCCAACTTATTTCAAAAAAGGTTAGGTAAAAATTTTCCTTCAAAAAATCTCAGGAATTACGTAAATAGCCGGCTACAATTTTGCAGTTATGACGTCCGAAAAAAATTCCGAAAAAAAACTGAGAAATTTCGCCATGTAGAATTTGAAGTTGCAAATCTTGAAAGCTGAAATTTCAGCCTTGGACTGGAGCCAAATCTTAATTTCAGGCCTAATTTTTTCCACGTCATAAATCTAAAGACAATTTGAGTGTTAAAAAAAGAAAATTTGAGAACGTTTGAAATTTGTATAATTTCTGGGATTTTGTGCAGTAGAGCAAATTTGCACTCTCTAGATTCTATAGGCTCTCTAGCCTTCCTAGGCCTCTCTAGCCTCTCTAAGCTCTCTAGCCTTCTAGATTTCTCCCAAAATTCCCTGCAAATTCCTAAATCGCTCCATTCTGCCCTTTTCATCCAAACAAAAATCTTCAATTTCCGCTAACTAGAACAAATTTGAATGATTTAAGGTAAACACCTTTATTTTCGCCCCTATTCTTCTTCTTATTTTTTCCCACAAAAGAACTACGTTGCTATAGGTGATCAGATTTTTCGCGCGCAAATTTTTTTAAATTTGATTTCGAGATCTTGAGAAAATTATTTTGCAGCTGTCCCGGTTTTTGTTTCATGGCTAATTTGAAATTCATTGAATTTTTCTTTTTGCGCAGGCAACAAGAAAAATGAATGTTTCGGAATTTTTAACTAACAACAAATTCCTTTCAATCAACAATTCTATTCAACAAATTTTTTGTTGAATTCAAAAATAAAATTTAAATCACCTCAATTTTCTGCTCAACTTCATGTTCGCGTTCCAACCAATTGAAAAGGGAGGCGCCGAAGAGCAGATAGATTATCAGGATCAGGCAAATCAGGACGAAACGAGCGTTTTCTTCGTAGATTCGGAGCCGAGCGAAGCAGCCGACCTGGAATTGAATTTTGGGAATTTTTTGGGGTTTTGGGGAGGCATCTGGAAACCTAGAATTCAATTTGGAATTAAGGGATTTTTTGGAAGTTCCTAGAAGTGAAGTTTTAAAAATTAGAAAATTTGGAAGGCTAATTCTGCCTGAAAACTTAATTGAGTTTGGGATATTTTCAAAAATGAAGATTTGAAATTCGGAGCCCAAAAATCTCCTGAAAATTTTGATCCTGGAATTAAATTTGGGAATGTTCGGATTCAGGAAAAATGCGAGCTTTCTGGAAATTTCTGGATTTTTTGTGAAAGCTTAAAAATATTTATTTTTCAAAAATTGTTTTTCAACAAAAAAAATTAATTGTTGCACAAAGAACTTTTCGAACATTTTAATTTAAAAAAATTAAAATTTCAAAATTTCAAAGTCTTTTAAATATTCAGAATCTCAAATTTTCAGAATCTCAATTCCACGTGAATTCTCTATCTCCCTCAATTTCATTTCCAACAAACACTCCCCCAAAACATCAAACTTTCATTGTACTTTCTCTTTATGTTTCTGTCTAGTGTGCATTTTTAAGTTAACCATACATAGTTAGGCCATAAATTTTGCGACATTGTCAACTGATGAAAACATACATTTTTTATTTGCTCACAAGACATCTTTGTTTCAAAGGTCATTTTTTTGCTGGAAAAAAGGAGAAGTGGGTTGAACATGACTCATGTTAAATTAGTTGCTATTCATTCTGCAAAATTTCCAGAAAAAACTTGAAAGTTCTGAAATTGGAGCATGTTTTTTTTTGAAAATTAAAAACATCTAAATCCAGTTTTCAAAGAATAGTTCCCAATTTTGGCTTCCGAAATCATCGAGATCTAAATTAATCCTAAGCTTGATTTAGGCTAAATATAAAAACAAAAACATTGGAATTTTCAGCAAATCTGATTTGAACTAGACTATAGTTTCACATAGAAAAAAATTCCAGAAAATTTAGCTAGGCTTTGATGTTTGAACTGGGGGCTTTTTCTCACGATGTACACATGTGCTGGAAAAATATTCTTGGAGCAAAGTTTTTTTTTCTAGAAATGTTGAGTGAGTGATGTTCAGAATCGGGATTTTCCCGGATTAAAAAGTTTTTTGATAACAAAAAGAGGGAAAAATATCTCTAAAATCATTGTTTTCATTTTCAATCCCATATTCTCAAGGGGAAAATGAAATCATTTTTCAGTACAAAATCAAAATGGGGAGATTCTGTACAAAAATTCGATCTGTGAAAAAATTTGAAAGGAATTCTGATTTTCTAGTTAATGAACACCACACTTCTTGGCCAAAAATTTCGAATTTTATATCAAAATTCACCTAGAAATCGGTAATTTTGAGGAGAGTTAGCCTAAATCCAAAATTTACCCCACATCTTCAACAAAACACTTCAAATCTGGATAATATTTTGTCCACAGACAGCTTTTGGGGTCATAAGAACACCCGAAAAATTCTAGTTTCCCAATGGATCTCGGAGCCAAGTTCTGAGCTCTGGAAAACTCAAAAAGACCTGAAATGTGCTCATAAAAGTCATCATAGCTCATTTTCAGAATAAAGTTTTAGATATTCATCAATAGAAAACTGTTTTTTTTTTTGAAAAATTCTGGAAATTTTTAATTTTCGTCTGAAAAAGTGCAACTTTTTTTCAGAAATCAAATTTTTTTTCTGAAAACTCAATTTATTCATGCTTTTTTGAGTGAATCGACAATGATTATCACTAATTTTTTTCAAAAAATAATCATCTTGAGCTGACTTTTATGAGCAATTTTTGAACTTTTGAGAGCCCAGAGCTTGGCTCAGAGGTCCTAGAATTTTCAAAGTGTTCTTATGACCCCCAAAAGCTGTCTCTGGACAAAATTTCAACAAGATTTTCCTTATAAACCTCATAAAACCTCACAGGAAACCACCCGAGCCTCTCCTCCCGATCCAGTTCCCCGAACTTCCCCCAAACTCACCCGAGCTCTCGTAATCGACGGTAACGTGTTGGCTCGCAGCATTTCTCGTTGTCCAATGCCACGTGCAAACTGTAATTTATGCATAACCGCTTGAGAAATCGCCATATAAAAAAAGTATTTTGGACTTTCAAAATTATATATAATTATTATAGAGGGCTTCTTCCTTCTTTGAACTAGTATATAGCAAAAAATAATAATAATAGAGAGAAAGAGAAAAAGGTAGATTATAGAAAAAGATTATAATGTGATATTGAGCCGTGATTATTTTTTAATATATATATATATATGTTAGTTAGTATTTTGATTATTATGGAAAAATGGATAGCTATTTTTCAGGTGTGTAGGAGGGGCGGTGATATATTGATAGGCTAGAGAGTTAGAGAATTGCGCGCGCAGGCTGCTAGCCCCCCAAATGCTTGGGCTCCGCCCAGGGTGCAAGAACAATGGAGCTGAGATGAATTTTTGATTTTCTTGTTTGGACACACGAGCTACATTTGATTAATTAATGGCCAACAAATTTGATGTGGACCGAAAATTGATCAAGCATGAGGAAATTTTGGAATTTGAAGCAATTTTTGGAGTGGAAAAAATTTAGTGGCAATTTGGAAATCCTATTTTTAAAAAGAAAATCTGATTTTCTTCGAAAAAAAAATTATTAAATTTGAGTCGAGCACAGCACAAAGATCTAGTCAGAACGAGATTTCGATTAGCTTGAATAAAATTTGCCTACAGTAGTCCAATTTTCTGGGCTAACATAAAATCTGGGAATATTTTTTTGATCTACAAAATTTTTGAATTTTTGGGAAGTTTAAAATTGCCTACAGTAGTCTAATTTCAGGGCTAACAAAAGATCTGGGAATATTTTTAATTAACAAAATTTTTTGAACTTTTGAGGTTCAAAATTACCTACAGTACTCAAAATTGCTTACAGTAGGACTACAGTAATCCTGATTTGTCCTAGAAATTTTCAGATTTAAAATTTGGAAATTCCGCGTCAAGTTTTGATCTACAGTAATCTAAAAGCCCATGACGCGAAAAACCACATAATTTCCAGCCAAATGTTTGGAGCAAAAAGTTTAACTACAGTAATCTCCTAGAACACAGTGGACTACAGTAATACTGATTTGTTCTAGACATTTTCAGATTCAAAATACTCGTGGAATTTTCGCGCCAAATTTTGAACTACAGTAATCCAAAAGTTCAATGCGCAAAAAACACATTAAGCCACATTTCTAGTTCATGTGCAGTAATCTCCTGGAACCTACAGTAATCTCTCAGAAAACTACAGTTATCCCACATTTCCGGGTTCAAACTTTTTGATCCTGAAATTATGTGGTTTTTTGTTACAGTAATCCAAATTGTTTCGCGCTAAAACCTATCCTACAGTAATCCAGAATCCCAAGTCTCCACATAATTTAATCTACCAGGAACTAAAATCTCTCCACTTACAGTACTCCCACCAGACTTCCTGAAAAACCACAAACTCACATCAATGAACAAATATAAATCTACACTACAGTAATCAGACTCCAAAAAATTGTCAAAAATCGAAAAAAATGAAAAATTCTGGGGGAAGTCTTAAAATTTCGCTTCATTTTCTGGGAGGGAAGATTAAAAAATTTATTTTTTTTTCAAGAAAAAAATCGGAAACTTTTTGAATTCCAAAAGAAATTGGAAAAATTTTTGGTGAGCGAAAAATGAAAATACAAACTGATTTGTATACATATTTATAATAATATTTTTGGGCAAAACCGAGAAAGAGATAAGACGGATTTGAGGAAAAGAAATTCAAAATAAATATATATTTTCGGAAGAAAATTGGAATTTGAATTTAATCAGAGATTTCCAAGTGCATACAGTATATTTTTGCACCGAAAATAAACAACTTAACTTTTTATTTTTTGGAAAAAAATAAAATCTGAAATCTTGTGCTCACAAAACTCTATTTTTAGCTAAATGTTACGAAATTCGATTTACGAATTTACTTATTTATTTTCTGAACTACCTATTTTTGGATTTTTGGCGGAATGATTTTTTGGATAAGCTGAAAATAAGCTAGATGTATTTGGGGGGAATGCGCATTTTTTCGAGGGGGTTCTGGATTACTGTGGGCTTTGCCACCTCATAACTTATTTTTCACTAATTCCAGGGATTACTGTAGGTGAACTTGAAGCGCTGAAAATGAATTGGAGAAATATTACTGTAGATGACAAGTACAGAAAAATTTTAGGGATTACTGTAGCTCGTGAAAATCTGAATTTGTCCAGGAATATTTGAGCCGAAATTCAAAATTTTTTTTCAAAAAAAACTTTTTGAGCTCAATTTGAGCCTGAAAATTTCTTGAAACCCTAAATCTTACACTAGCTCTAAATTTAAGCTAAATTAAAATTCAGCAAAAAAAATTACAAAACCTAATTTTAACCTTAACTTCACTAAATCTTAATTAACTCCAAGCCTAAAGCCTAATTTCAGAAAACTTCCTGATTCAAAATTATCCACTAAACTTCTGATTTTCCGGATCAAACTACTTCAGAGCTCCAAAGTTCACTCGAAATCCAATCCCCTCTAGAAAAAAACTCACTTTCATATTCATATTCATCCAAAAAATACGAGTTACGTAACCAAAAAATGTCCAATTTTATATTAGAGCGAGAAAAAGAAGCGGGAGAAAATATTGTGTTCAGAACCTGGGGTAGGTTTCAAATGTTTAAAAAAGGGTATCAAATTTCATTGCATATATATCTACATAGTAATAATTTGGCTCATATTTTTTCCCAGAGGGGGAACTTTTTTTTGTGCTTACCGTAACCGTTTTCTTCTTTTTTTTGGCGGTTGGTGAAATGGCGAAAGCGCACGCCAATTGGAATTGATCCATTTTTCTTTGGGAATAAAATGACATTTTTTTCCTTCTATTCTCCAAAAAAAAAAAGAGGATTACACCCACTTGATGATGGTCAATTGGTAATTAAAACCCAGAAAAGGCAGGCTTAAATGGGATTTTTTTTTTGTGTTGGGTGAAACAGTGAAATTTTTTTGTGTAGTTTGATTTGCTTATAGGCAGTGGAGGACTGTTGCCACGTCATAGCAGATTTTTTTCAAATTTGAAAAAACATCGAGATTTTCTGTTGAAAAAATCCGATTTTTATCACAAATTTTTCTAATAGTAAACAGGATAAGCTTGAAGAATTGTAGCAAAAAAAATCGTGAGTGGGAGATTTGAGATTTCTGATTTTTCAGAAGACAAATGTTAATATGAGCAATGTTTGACAGACAGATATTGGAAAAAGCTTGCAAATTGAAAAAAATTCACACAATTTATTTATGATGTGAACTTGAATTTTTCCAGAATTCATGGAATTTCAAATTTTTCTCCTGCGTCAAACCAAACTTTTGTGGGAAAATTTTCAGATAAAATTAGAAGCGCTAGAATTTCAGACATTTCAAAAAAATCATATAAATTTTTAGGTTTATACAGAATTAATAGAAATTCTGAAGGAAAATAAAAAATTTAAAAGATTTCAGAACAACTTCAGAATTTGAAATTTCAGATTTTCAAGTCACAATTTTCAGCTCAAATTTTGAAGCGCTGGAATTTCAGACCTGAAATCTTCTGATAACAAAGTAGATTGAGATTTTCAGAAAATTCAGATATATTTTCAGGTTTATAGAAATTCTGAAGGAAAATTAGAAATTTTAAAAGATTTCAGATCGACTTCAGAATGTGAAGGTTCAGATTTTCAGGTCACAATTTTCAGCTCAAAATTCCGTTATTCTGAAGATTTCCAGCTGTGAATCTACATAAGTAATCAGAATTTCCACATGAATTTTCAGCCCTAATAATTTCAGCTCTGATTTTCAGAAGCTAAGTTTCAGCCTTAAGAATTTCAGCTCTGATTTTCAGCAACTCTAGATCTTCTGTAAGTTTCATCCCAAAACCCACTTTTTTCGAATTCCTCCTCAAAAATCCCACATCATCCGCCATCCACATTGACAGCCGTCGATTCGCCGCGTTCATAATCAATTCCAGTCAAGTGAGATGAGAGCAAAATTTTCAGCCAAATCAAGAAATGATGAAAAAAATTGTGCGGATTTTCTGGTGGCGGCGGATTAGTTAGATTATCTCTGGAAGACGGTGAAAAAATGAAATCATGAAATCATGAAATCATTTTCGAAAAAAATTTTGGAGGGAGAGTGAACTTGGGGCTTCGAAAATCTCTGGAAAAATTTCCAGAAGTTTTTTTTTTCTTTCAGGGAAAAAATGTCACCATCTGGAATTTCAGATTTCAAGGTTTTTTTTTGTTGAAAAAATATTTTTCATTATTATTTTCAAGGACTTTATTGGATTAGTGCGGATTATTTCATATTATTATTATAAAGAAAGAAGAATACAGGTTTCCCCCCAGAAAAAAGTATATAAAATTCGTCATTTTTCGTTTCAAAACTTTCGAAAAAATGCCCAAAATCTTCTGGATTCTCGTTGGAATTTCTGGAGCACTTTGTCAATATCCAACAGCTCCAAAAATTCCCGAGCCCATCCCAGATAGACATCAAACATCATCGAAATCTTATGCGATATCTCAGGCTTATCAGATTTATCCGAGATATTTACCGTTTTATTCGGAGGTGAACACGATTGGAAAACCCTATGAGATTTATTCCAGGAGGCCGGAAGTGGTGAAAAATAGAAACTTGAATTTGAATTTGGGACATCAGATTCAGAATCAAATTCAGGGTTATGGCATGGTGAAAAGTGAGTTTTGATGGGAATTTTTGACAAGAAATTTTGGAAATTTAATTTTTTCAAGCTCTAGATATATTCTAAATTTTAAATTCTAAATTGCACGTGGCAAAATTATTTTATTCACAATTTTTCGCCAGGGAATGTTGAGAATTTCTTGTGTCTAAAATCCACGTGGCAATTTCTGATTCCCAAAATTTTCAGGCAAAATCCCGGCTCCAACATTCTACGGTGCTCCATTTCGAGGAAGCGTCATCAAAAACAACAACAACGAGAATTCAATCGATACTTGGGATAGTTTGGAGAAAAATTTGAATTTTTCTCCCAGAAGCTCGGAAAATTGACAGAATTTGTTAGAGAAAAATGTAAACTGATTTTATTTTTTGAAAATAAAAATTCAAATTCCCCTTGACGACGATAACAATAAAACTGAAACTGAAAATGAAAACACAAAAATCGTAAAAATGAAATCCCGGATTTTATGATGATTTGAAAAATTCAATTTCGATTTTTCTCAAAAAAAAACCTAGAAGCCTAAACCTAAGCTTATAATAAAAATGCAGAAGCCTAAGCTCTAAAAGCTCAAGCCAATGCCTAAGACGCCTACGCTTAAATAGCCTAAGCCTAAGCTCTAAAACCTTAAGCCTTAGCCTAAGCCTAAGAAACCTACTAACTAATTGTAAGCCCATGAAAACGCTGAAGCCTAAAAAGCTTAAGCTTAAGAAGCCTAAACCTAAAAAGCCTAAGATGTCTAAGGCCTAAGGCTAAGAAGCCTAAACCTAAGCCTTAGAAGCCTTAAAAACCCAGGCTTAAGCTCTAGAAGCCTAAGCCTAATGAAGCTAATAAATCTTGAGATCCCAGGCTTGAAAAGTATTAACCTAAGCCTAAGAAGCCTACTCTTAAATAGCCTAACCGTAATGAAACTAAGGAGCCTAAGAAGCCTAAGACTAATTGTAAGAAGAACAGGCCTAAGCCCTGAAAGCGTGAGCCTAATGAAGCCAAGAAATCTTTAGAAAATCTAGAAATCTAGAAGCCCTAGAACCACAAACATCTCAAAAAATCCATCCAAATTCCCCAAATCCGTTCGAACTACAAACATCGTCAAATTTGTAACGCGCTAAAGATGATTTCCGATCATACATCATATAAAGATAGCGAAAAAACCCGCTAAACGATCTTATGTAATAGATAGAACCTAGACTTATTATCACATTATCTGCCATATGCCTTATGCTTAAAGTGATAACCCGCCACAAAAAAGCAGGTTAGTTCAAGGTGACTTGGAGGCAAATGGGAGACTATAAATGGCTGGAAATTTCCGAAAATCAATCATCATCACTTGACAAAAATGATCTCTCTTCGTAGCATCCTGATTCTTCTCGGGCTCATTGCCATGGCTCACGCGTGTGCTCCAAATACTCGAAGATATCACGGATTGTGCAGATATTATGTGGATGGAACTAGTGATACTGACGAGGGAACTGTTGATGATAGTGGGAAGCCTATTGAGTCTGGAAGTGGAAGTGGATCTGGAAGTGGATCATCTAGCTCGGGTTCAGCTTCGGGCTCCGCATCAGGATCGATTTCTGGATCAGCTTCAGGATCTACTAGCTCTAGCTCATCATCTTCAAGCTCCTCCAGCTCTTCCAGCTCTTCCACCAGTGGAAAACGAAAGAAGAGAGATTCAGGAGACTCGGATTCTGATGATGACTCTGATTCTACCCATGAACACGATCATGCTAGTCACGAGCACGATAATCATAGTGATTCAAGCCATGAGCATTCTTCCTCCGGCTCTTCGAGCTCATCCAACAAATACACTCGCGGAAAGAAGAAGAGCAACACCAAATGCTACAAATATCAAGATGGAACATCGGATGATGGAGCAAAGTTGAACAGCGGTGTTAAGACTTTTACTATTAGTGAGTTTCGGGAGCTAGGCTTGAAAAAAGAGAGAATTTTTTTTTCATTTAGGCAAAGTCATCTAGAAGATTTGTTAGGATTAACCTTTGAGGTTAATGAGCTTAGGTTAGGAAAAAAAGTTGAGAAGGATGAGGATATTTTGCATACAAAACCAATTATCAGAGGTAAAATTCAAGTTAAAGTCAGTTTTACGTCAAAAATTCTAGAATTTCGAATTTTTTGCACTAAACTTCAAATCCAAATTTTTCAAGCGCACCAGAAATTCAATTTTCGCAGAATTTTTGGCTGTGAAAAATTAGTTAATTAGTAAACTTAAGTTAATTAGTTAACTGAATATTCAAAGCCACGTGGAAAATTCTAGAATCTATTTTTTTAAAATCAAATCCTGAGCCCCAAAAAACTCACTTGATCTAATTCCTTCATTTTTCCTCTTCATAACGCCAATCCATGTTTCCAGCCGTCACCAAAACCACCTCAACCAAGTCCAAGTAAAAAAATCACATCATTGATTTTGTCTGTATATATCGATTCGTTATTCCGTATTTATTGTTTTTTGAAACATGAAGATTTTCCTGTTTTCTGGAAGAAAATTGGTTGGAAATATGAAAAATCAATAAAAAAAAGTTGAGAAGGTTGTCAAGAGAAATAGAAGAGACGAAAAGATATTGAAACCCATTTTTGATCTACTACACTAGCTAATGAGATTTTCGGGTCTAGGATTTTAGAATTTTGTGGAATCTATTTTGTTAATAATTTCGGCAAGTTTGGGTTTTTTCAAAAAAATTTCAGAATAGAAATCTTCAAATTTCAAGAAGTTAGGGTAACCTAATCTAAAACCAACCTGGAAATCCAAATATCAGATTTTTCTAAAAACCACAGTTTTCCTAATAATTTAAAGCTAGAAATGATGAAATATCAAAATGTGATAATTTCACGTGGAGAACTGGTTCACGTGGAAATTAATTTTGAATTCAAACTTTTTATTATTTTCTGGATTTTTTGAGGTTTCAATTTTCTTCTTCAGAAAATCGAAGAAAAAATTATTTCACAAATTTTCGACAGTATTCCAGATTTACTCCTTCCGTAATATGTTCCACGAGTTACTGTGATTCTACAGTACCCCAGTGTCGTAAAAAAACAGTACATTTTTCACACGTGGCAATTTTTCTCAAAAATCGCACCTGGTCCTAATCAAAATTTGCCGAAAACAGACTACGTGGATTACTGCCTCTCATAACTTTCTAGAAAAAGAGAAAACGTGTCGCATGGTAACAGAAAACAACGGAGCACCGTAGTTCTTGTGACAAATCTACAGTACATTTCCTAAACTATGCCAGATTACTGTAGATTACAAGAACTACTGTACATCAAACGAAACAAAACCTGCGAAATGTACAAGTCTCGGCTTTTTAGCGAGACTTGACAAAAAAAAAACAAAACCTGAAAAAATGAAAAAAAAACAATACAATAATTTAAAAATTATAAAAATCCATTTCGAATGATTGACACGTGGCAGGTGAAGGATGAGAAGAATTTGCCCCAAACTGAGAAATAATTGTTTATCATTTTCAAATTACAATTCCAGAAATTCATGCCAATTTTCATAAAAATTCAAAACTTACCAACAAATCGTGATCATCCATTTTGAATTGTTATTTGATTTCTTCGAATTGTTGATATTATTCTGAAAAAAAGGTTCAATTAATTTATTATTCAAAATTTAAAGTTTTTCTCTAAAAATTCAAAAATTGGGCATAGCTTCCGCATCTCCACTGAAATTCCAAGTTGTAACTGATAAAATTAATCATTTTTCAAGATTTTCGAATAAAAAATCAAGAAAAATAATTATTTATCAGTTTCAAATTACAATATCAGAATTTCTCTTGGAAATTTTCCCTCACCTTGATATATGGTAAAATCAACTACAATAATTCCCTGATGCCTTTGATCTTTTAAATCTCTTCCTTGATTTGAAAACGAATATCTTCCCGCGGTCACTTGACAACTTGAGGAACTGGGTGGAACTGGAGTCGCAACAATTACCTGAAAAATAATATATAGGATATTCCATGTTTTTTTCTAAATTACCGCATAATTTCCAACAACTGATGTTCCGGTAGTTGGTTGTTGACAAGAGCAATGAGAAATATTTTCGAAATATACACATTTTCCAACTGAAGGATCAAATCAAATCCTTCACTACAAACCGAAGTTTTGATCAATGTTCCAAACGATAATTGAGCCAGCAAGTGTGGTATCAAAGAATTCCACGAGAGCAATGAATAAATTCTTGTGAGAACAACCAAATGCAACATTTATACCATCACAAAGGCAGCTCCTTCTCAGAAGCAGTGTGGTTTCGATGTTTTTTGATTTTCTGCAATTGAGGAAGAGATAGTGGTCGATTATCCTCAATCGGCAGAAGTTGAAGAATTTCCACAAATCGAAGAGAAAGAGTTAATTGTGCTGTCGAATTGCTCATCAATCATACAAGCAGCAATCTGAAAATAATATAAAACTATTTGAAAGTATTTGTTTTTATTAACTCACTCTGTTGATCCGACTACAATTGATAAACACATCGAAACATTGTCCCAAAACAGTTTTGGTTCTTTGTTGGTGTACTGACTGGAGATGACTCGGATGACTCCTCTGCTCCTTCGTCTTCCACAAATTGTGGCTCTTCGCCATTTTCACAACCAGATCCTTCGACTTCGAGTTGAATTGCAGATTTCGGCAAAACATCGTTGATGGAAGCCAAATCGACGAGCACATTTGAACATATCATCATCTCCTTGAGAAACTCGGCTGTTTCCATACTCGATTTTTTCTTGATTGATACGTCTCGTGTCAGAATAAACTTCAAAAACAAATGAACGGGCGGTGGAATGAAGCAGCGAAAACCGAATCGATTGATGCTGAAAATACCATAATTATCAGATTCAGAAGTATGACAATTTTTGAAATTCCAACAATAAAGAACGTGTAAAACAAATTGTATTGTACTTTATACGTTTTTTTTTTTAATTGGCATTTCTAATTGTGAAAAATGTTGCTAGCAGAGACAAACACGTCTTGCCAGCCCGAATAAAAAATAAAAACTCACGACCAAATATCCAGATGTGACTTTTGAAATTGGTTGAACTGTTGAAGTTGCAACTGCAACTGTAACATCATTATTATCAGCAAGAGTTGAAGTAGCAACTGATTGTTCAGAAGATGATGATGAAACTGGTGCATGAATATCAATTGGCTCCTCCACCTCAGCGACAACTTCTTCAAAACGTAGTTTCTATCTTCCAAATTTGAGCAATCAAAGTGTTCTTCAGCTGGTACATTGTTGGTTCCTCATAAACTTCATCTGCGGATGTTCCTGTTTTGGTGTGACATCGTCGCATGATTTCAAACATTGATTGTATTCAGCGAGGTCAACTAAATTTGATGGGCAGAACATTTGAAGAATACAACATTGCTGCAACCGTTTTCGTATTTTCCGTCTTCTTTCGATCTATAAAATAACAATAATTGAATTGAACATTTGGAAATTCACAATGAAAATAACGAACCAAAAGCTTCTGCTTCCAATTCATTTTCCGTTGGCTCTCCACTGATCTGACATTCAGGCGAATTTTCTCATAGAATACAACACTTTCTTGGCAGACAGCTGCTTGTTGAATCACATTCACACAAAAGTTGTACTGAACCGAAATGCCAGAGACTTGTTGTATAGCAAATCATTGTATGGCAAGCCATCAAGTAATATTTGCAATCACGCATAAATAATCTCGATTCGGTAAAATTCCAGATTCTTGGCGAAATTGATTTTTTTTTCTCGATTCCTCTTCATATCCATACATCTGACATGACTGCAATTCTTCGATTCGTTCTTCTTGAAGAACAAATGCAACAGATTCCTCTCATTCAACTGCTTCTCAATATATTTATTATCTTCGAAGCTGGTCGACGATTTCCAGCTGATGAAGATTTGATAAGTTTCGACGTCAAGTAATCAGCAAAGCAACTTTGTAGTCTCGTGAGACAATCGAGCAATTTTTCCAGCAACTTGATTGATTGAGGGGCAATTTTCTGAAGAAAAAAGCATTGACGAAGGTCCAGATCGAAGTTCCTCAGAAATCGCCCCAGTTCCCAATCAAATTTCTTCGCGCATGGCAAAGTTCAAACCATGTCCCATTTTCCATTCCGCCCAAATCGGTGGCTAAAGAGCAGTTCTAGTATGGAAACCTCAGGTCTTGCTCATCTCTGCTTTCCAATCAAATCCAGGCGATAAATCGCGGTCACAATTTTGCGAAAAAACTGTGACCCTACCGAGGTTACTGGTAGTGGCAATGACTAGAGGGCTCGAAATTCATCGAGCCCTGTACTAACTCCGAGCAAAGACTTCTAGAACTGCTCGGAATGGCTTTTTTGGGAGTGTTTTTGGGGAATTCGAAAGGAAACCGGGGCTAAATCCCAAAAAAAACTTATCTTTTATCATATTCCGGTGTCGACTTGCCAAAAAACAGCCACATTGAGCGACGCAAAAAAAAGAAATTAGAAGAAAAATTGATTTTTTGGTTGGCGCGTCGAAAAAATAAGAATTCGCGGGCATGTTTTAAATTTTTTGTGTGTTGTGTGTCAAGACGCAGTTGCAAATTGCAATGTTCCTTTGAATCCTACAGTACCAAACAAACTTTTTTTTTCTTTCTTTTTTTTTGCGTTTCTGCATTTCAACCGTAGATGTTAGCTAAGCCTAAGTTAATTCGTTCGAAAAATGTCTCGTGGCTGAATTAGGAATGGTTCCTAATTTTGCCATGGATGACGTCATTGATCAATTTTTCAAAAAAAAACTTATTTAATTATTTTTTGAATTAAATGTACTCAAAAAAGGTTAATCACAAGAATTACAATTGAATTCATGAAAAATATCTATTTTGTTATTAATTTCGGCAAGTCTGGGGTTTTTCAAAGAAATTTCAGAATATCAATTTTCAAATTTCAACCTCATATCATCCAAATGATAATTTTTGAAATCGCAGCTTTCCTAATAATTTAAAGCTAGAAATGATAAAATATCAAAATGTGATAATTTCACGTGGAAATTAATTTTGAAATCAAAAATTTTATTTTTTTTTGTTTTACGTTTCAATTAGTCTTATAGGCTTCTATTAAAAATCAACAAAAAAATTTTCACAAAAAATTTATTTCACAAATTTTCCCTTGGGAAACATACACACCTCACAGAGGCTACAAAACACTGTGTAAATACAACAAAACACATTTCAAATTCAAATTCAGAGAATTTCCAGAATTTTAGCTCAAAAAATCGATAACAAAGTCGAAAACCAGCTCCAACATATCGTCATCTTTCTCAAATTTTTCAGCCGATTTTTCTTCTGATTTCTTTTCCAGATTCTCAGCCTTCTTCTCGAAATCCTCTGGAATTTCTGAAATCGCTGGAGCGTTGAAATAACCCTCGAAAACGGCGCTAATCATCAAAAGTGAGTTCTGAAACAAAAATTGTTATAGATTTTGCTGGAATTTTTTTAAATTTGAAACTCACCATTTTCGTTTATTTTTATAGAAAAAGTGAAAAAATATGGTATTTTTGACCAAAAAATGATAATTTATGAGTTCGATAACGGGGTTATTTATACGCAATTTTGTGCAAAATTTTCTGTTATCTTTTGAGCCAAAAAAATTCGGGAGAAAACGAAAAATTGAACGTCACGGGTTGAGAGAAAAAACGATGATAAGCGGCATTTTTTTTAGAATTTACATACGGTGTAGCAGGTGATGTACAATATGAAGTCCGGGAGGAATTTGAGATCCTGAATCTGAAATTTGGAAAAAAATTCTGAAATCTGTAGTTCAAGTGGTAGTTTTCAAAAAAAAAATTCTGAAAATTTTCAAAGCTCCAAAATCGAATTTTTCCAAAAAGAATTTGAGAATCTGCAAATCGGAATTTCAGAATTTTTTTTCAGAAAATGTTTTGAAAATTATCTCTGATAAGCTTAACCCTTTTTTCAAGTTTTCAGAATTCACAAATCCAATTTTCAGCCCAAAAACCACTTTCAAAATAACATAATCCTCTTTTCAAAATCAAACACCAAGAACTCTCAAATTTCCCTCGGAAAAAATGCTGATAACCTTTCTGGCAACCAGCATAATCTTTTCACATGACAGATCGTGTTTCTGATAAAACATAATAATAATTTATGATGATTCTGTACAAAATTAACGATATTTTTAAGTATTTAGGTAAAACATAAGCTCATAAAATCAATAATTCAATCATTTTCCATATCAAAAGTGTCAGCTCTGGAAATCCTATTCGATCCCGATTTTTCGGCCGCAATTTGACGAATGAATTTAGCATAAGTTGATGATAGTCGACAAAATAGTTCTTCCACTTCATTTTCAGACATTCCTGGAGGAAAAGATTGGAATTTAGTTTGGTGTAGAAAATGAGTTTGAGAATTTTAAAAACAACATATCAAAAATAATAAAAATCTTTCAAAAATAATAAAACATTTGAAACGTAAATTTTTCAGGCAATTTTTTTCGGGAAAAAATTTTGCCACGTGGAAAAATTTGAATAACTGATTTTTTCTGCAAATTTTCTTCAAATTTCAGAGCTCTAACGAGCCAGAAAATCCACGTGGCAAAATCCCGGCTCAAAATTCATCAAAAAAAAATCCTAAATTTTTTCTACAATTTTCCACGTGACATTATTATTTATGAATTATTGTTGAAAATAAAACCAAACTTATCAAAAATAATAAAAACCTTTTGAAACGTATGAAAAATTTGAAACGTAAATTTTTCAGGCGATTTTTTTTTCGGAATTTTTTTTTCAAAATTTTACCATGTGGAAAAATTTAAATGATTTTTTCTGCAAATTTTTCTCAATTTTCAGAGCAAAGAAAATCACATTGAAATTATTTTTCGAAAAAAATTTTGATTTAAAAAAATTCACTGTTTCAAATTTTACATAAAATTTTAAAACTTTTCAGTAAATTCAGTATATGTGAAATTGAGCTCTGGACCAAAAAAAACCACGTGGCAGATGCCTTACAAAATTTGAATACAATTTTTCGCTGAAACTTCAAATCCATCAAAATTTCCCAAATTTTGGCTAGAAATTTACCGAAAATTCACTGTTTCAAATTTTCAATGAAAATAATAACTTTTTCTTCTCTGAAATTTCAGATTCATCAAAAATTCTTCCCAAATAAATCCCTACCAACACCACATGCAATATTCAAATAACCGCCATGTTGTTCTTCAGAATGCGATCCGAAATTGGTGAATTCGCATCCTTCAATGGTGATTTTTCCGGTATTTGAGGCGACAACGCGGGCTCCGGTGATTCCGCGATTGAAGAGAATCGAACCGAAAAGCGTTTGTTTGGCGGGTGGAATTGTGGATAATGTCATGGCTGAAAATTGGACTTTAGAAAATAATTATAAAATTATAATTTAATTATATCAAAATTCTGAGAATTTCAAAAAATTCATAAAAATTTTGAAACAGTGAAATTTTTCGAAAATTATTTTTTCAGAGAAAATCTACCACGTGGAAATTCACAGTCTTTTGGTACTAAAAATATAAACTTTTTCAACATTTTTGCATCAAAATTTAGCAATCAAAATCAAAAAAATGTTCAAAAAATTCAGAAAAAATTTTGAAAGGGACCTTTTTGTACAAAAGTATAAACCTTTTCCACGTTGAAGCATTTTGGGGCCAGAATTGGGAGAACACAGAAAAATTGCAATCAAAAATATATGGAAATTTTGAAATAGTGTAATTTTTTAAAATTATTTTTATTGTTAGGAAAAATTTTCCACGTGGAAATCCAGAATTTTTGACGCTAAAAATACACGTTTTTGCCACGTGGCACAATTTTGAAGACAATTTTTATTTGACAAAATATATGTAAAACAATATCAAAATTTTGAAAATGTTGAAAAATATATTGAATTTTTGAAACAGTGAAATTTTTTGATGTTATTTTTTTCAGGGAAATTTTCCACGTGGAAATGCACAGTGTTTTGGTACAAAAAATATAAACTTTTTCGACGTGGACAAATTTTTGCATCAGAATTTAGCAATCAAAATCAAAAAAATGATGAAAAATTCATAAAATTTTGAAACAGTGCAATTTTTCGAAAATCGTGGAATTCCGGATTTTTTGACGTTAAAAATACACGTTTTTGCCACGTGGCACAATTTTGAAGACTGTTTTTATTTGAGAAAATAATTGTGCAACACTACATATCAACATTTTGAAAATGCATTGAAAAATATACTGAAACAGTGAAATTTTTTTTTGAAACAGTGAAATTTTTTTTCAAATTTTTAGGGCCGAAAATTGCGAGTTCCACGTGGCAAAAAAGGTTCCCTGGAGAAAAAATTCGAAAAAATTTCACTGTTTCAAAATTTTTATATATTTTGATAATTTTTTAAAATTTAAAATTAGTGGCAAAATGTTTCGAAAATTATTTTTTTCAGGGAAAATTTCCACGTGGCAAAACTAAAGGCCCCAAAAAAAACTCACCCAAACTAATCTCATTCTCCTGAACATCATAGACACATTCTCCAATATTTTCGGCAAACGAAATCAATTTTCGGCGCATTTTCAGAAACATTCTGGAAAATTAGAGAATTTTTCCAGAAATCCTGAAATTCAGTATCAAAATAAAACTCAAAACCCACTGTTTCTGCGTCTGAAACGGTTCCAAAAACGCTCGATGTCCTTGCTGTAATAATGTCAAAACCAAATCTCTTGATGGAATCGAGGATGCTCTTCCGGGATAACATTGTGCAATTTGTTGAGCCTGGCTTTGCTTGAACGTGGCGATCAAAGCTCCGCCCACTGGAACTTGAAAATTTTTGTCGAGAGATTGGACGATGGCATCAATTCGACCACATTCGTTTGACTGCAAAAAATTGGGAGTTTTGAGGGGAGTTTTGGGGGTGTTATCGGAACTTATTTGATACTTTTTCAAAATTTTCAGAACCGCAATTTCAAACTACAGTAGATTTTCTGAAATTCAAGATTTAAGCATAATTTTTTAAAGCTCAAATTCTTGCTATTTTTAAGACCAAAACTCAAGTTGGCTTTTTACAATATTTAACAAAAACTTTCGGCATTGCTCATATTAAATTATTGTTTTTAGAATCGCTCAAATCACACATTTGTTACAATTACTCAATGCTCGAAAATTCTAATTAATATGAGCAATTCTAAAAAAATAGCAATCAATTAAGCTCATATCATACTATTTTTTAAGAAATGCTCATAGAATTTTCGAGCATTGCTCATAGTAAACTTTTCTCGAGAGTATCCTAGATTTTTCCAAGAATCTCGACAAACTCACCGCTTCCAATCTCCGAATAATTTCTTCCGATTGTAATCCATACGCATTATTGACCAAATGTGGAACCTTATGAGTGGCACAAATCGCTGAAATCGCTTCGATGTTGTCCGGATTTCGTGGGGCGAAACAGGATGTTGTGGACATGACGCACAAAATCTGAGAAAATGATAGGGGAATTTTGAAGGATAAGAAGATCGGTTTATTGAAATTACATTTATTGGTGAATATTTTAGAATATTTTGAAACGTACATAAATCACACAAGGGAACCTTTTTTACTCAACTCTTCAAACCTTAATGAAATTTTGTCCAGAGACAGTTTTTGGGGTCATAAGAACACTTTAAAAATTTAAGTTACCCAATGGACCTCTGAGCCAAGTTCTGGGATCTCAAAAGTTCAAAAATTGACTCATAAAAGTCATCAAAACACCATTTCAAAATAATTTTTGTAAGAAAAAAAAACCAGCGTAGTCGATTTACTAAAAGTACATCAATAATAAACATTTTTTCAAAAAATTTTGAAGTTTTTCATTTTTTCGGCTGAAAAATCATGTAAATCTGCTCATTCTTTTTTCTAAAATCGAAAATTTTTCAGAAAATTATGATTGAAAATTGAGCTATGATGACTTTTATAAGCCAATTTAAGCAATTTTTGAGCTTTTGAGAGCCCAGAACTTGGCTCGGAGGTCCATTGGGTACCTAAAACTTTTAGGGTGTTCTTATGACCCCAAAAGCTGTCTATGGACAAAATTTCATCAAAGGTTGAAGTGTAGAGTAAAAAAGGTTCCCTTGTTAGAGAAAATAAAGGGTTTTAGATCAAATAGACAATCCGCAGTTAAAAAATCGGTAATCGATAAAATTGACAAAAATTTGTACTGTTTCGGACCCTTCAAATAATTTTTTTTGAAAAACGTTTTATTTTCTGAAGCCCATAAATCCAGAATTTTTTTTAATTTCAAAAATATTATACATCTTGTCTCCACAGTTCTCCCAAAAACCCTCACCTCATCAGCTCTTTGCTCCAATATTCGATTCACACTTTCCACATTCGTCACCAGAGCATCACGGTCTCTCAATGGCTCCACAATTATTGGCTCAAAACCTGGAAAGGAGAAAATAGGGTTTGGTGAGGAAACGATAAATTCTGAATTTTCAAAAACTCAATTGTGAAATAGAAATCCACGTGGCAAGAAAAATATCCGAATTTTTCGGAAAACTTTAATTTTTCAAAAAAAAATAATAATTCTGAGTTTTGATTTTTGAAAATTTTTTAATAAAAAATTCTATGAAAAATCCACGTGGCGAGAAAAATAACAGAATTTTTCCGAAAACAAAAATTTTTAATAAAAAATTCTATGAAAAATCCAGGTGTCAAATTTTTCAATTTTCAATTTTTCTCCACAAAAACAAGAAAATCCACGTGACAAAAGACATTTTGAATTTGAAAATCAATTTTTCTAAAAAAAAATCCACGTGGCATATATTCGCTTTTTTACAACTCAAAAAAAAAACTTTAAAAAATGCCACGTGGCAAACTCAAAACCAAAACTCACCCGCATGAAAAATGCTCTTCAACGACGATTTCTGATCAATCCTCAACCAAATCACATATTTCGCTGTGGGCGGTCGTTTCCGTCTCCATGACGTCATACACAACGACAACGACATTCCGGTGCACAGCGGGACAATCAAACATGCTCGAATTTTCTGGAGCCCGAGGAGGTGGACGGCGTGTAGAGCGAATTCATTGGCCAGACAGGCCAGCATAGAGGAGCCGAGGGCTTTTGGCTGAATTTCAGTGAGGTTTCCAGATCGGCCGATTCCATGGGTAAGGCTGGAATAAGATCGGAGGATTTTTTTGGGTGAAAATCTGAGATTTTTGAGCAGAAATGTGCAGAAAAAAACAAAAATTTGACGATTTTCCAATTTCTCATCAAAATTTGACCTACTTTGAGTGCAGCCTCCTGACCAATGGTGAAATTACACGTCCTTCTCGTTCACCAGCACCAATTGGATTCTGCAAAAAATTATTGATTTTTGCGCTGAAAATCTTGTTGGTCTTCTGATTACTGTAATTCAAAAATACAGTACCCCAACTTACAGTACTCAAGATTAGACTTTCGAAATAAAATATTTAGCAGCCATATTTGAATTTTTGAAAATTCAGAAATGACTAATTTTTATTCGAAATTGATTTTTTAAAAATGTGGAAAAAATGGGTCACGTGGGAAACTTCACGCATTTTTTTTTAATTTTGAAAATTTTGCACTTCAGAATTTCAGGTTTTTTTCTTGAAAAATTGAAATTTTCAAAATTCTGTAGCTCAAGTAGAATTTTTCAAATTTCTCAGTGAAAATTCAAAAAAAATTGGCTGAATTATCCCCCAGATAGCTAGAGTCTAGTCTAGATTATAGTTTTAATATGAGCAATCTACATATTAAATTTCTGGGATTGGATTGCTCATTTTAAAGTATGTTTCAAAAATAATGCAAAAAAAATTTCAAACTTGTGGCTAGATTTTTAATTTTTCAAAAAAAAATTTATTTTATTTTCAAAATGATAAAGTTCGGGCAATTTTCAGCACAATTATTTCTAGAAAAAAATTGAAGGTAGGTTAATATGAGCAATTTCTGGGATGGAGTTGCTCATTTTAAAGTAATTTTTAAAAATAATGCGAAATTTTTAAATTTCGACCAAATTTCGGATCTGTTTGTGCCTAGATTTTTGATTTTTCAAAAAAAAATTAATTTTCAGCAAATTTTTGAAAATTGAGCTTTAATTTAAGCCTATATTTTTCACTAATCTGCACTTCTGAAGTCTCCTCACCATATCCACCCGATTATTCGTATCATGCGATGACAACCATGTCAAAAACAGCTCCAATTGATGTTCATTCCACCCATCTTCCGGAATTTTTTTGGTCTCCCATAGGGAATTCAACAATTTGTTGCTGGATTTACTAACAATTCTCGAATATTCATTCTCTTTTTTGCCGAAATTCGATTTCATTTTTTCATCAAGACAACTTTGCGCGCTTATACATTCATCAACTCTGGAAAAAAATAGGGTTTGAATTTTTGGAGAATTCGGGGGAGTTCAATGGGGCGAACTTGCTAATTTTCGATTTTTTTTCGAAAATTCTCCTTGTATTCAAAAAGCATAACCAAAGCTTATTTAAAACCCCGAAATGTTTCAATAGAGCGCACTTTCTCAAGTCCCTGTGAACTAACAAACATGTTTAAGCTCTATCAAATTTCCTTGACAACCACCCATCTTGATTTTTGATAAGAAAACATGAAGACATTTCAGTGGGGCGCACTTTCCCTATTTCAGAGTTTCTTTGGCCCTGTGAAAGTTTGAAAACCAAAAACTCACAATACAATAGAGATTGGTTTTTTTTTGAGAAAATTTGAATATTTCTGATTGAAGTCAGATTATCAACAGAGCGCATTTTAATTTTTTAGAGAATGTTTATTTTTTTTGTTTGTTCTGGCTTGATTTTTAGATGGAAAATGATCAAGTTTTGAACTAAAATCTCAAAAAAAAAGTGGAAATCAGATTTTCGATAGAGCGCATTTGAACTTTTCAGACTTTTCTAACTAGAAAAAAAGATATTTCACGGCATTTCAATTTTCAATTGAAAAATGACCGAATTTCCTAGAAAAAACGTGGAAACTCCGATTCTCAATGGAGCAACCTTGAATTTTTCGAAAAAAAAGCGAAATTCAAATATTTCTACCCCAAAGCAAATTCTCAATGGAGCGCATTTGAATTTTTCAGACTTTTTTAAATAGAAAAGATATTTCACGGCATTTTGATTTTCAATTGAAAAATGACTAGAAATTTCTAGAAAAACGTGGAAAATCCGATTCTCAATAGAGCAAACTTGTATTTTTCGAAAAAAAAAACAAAATTCAAATATTTCTACCCCAAAGCAAATTCGCAATAAAGCGCATTTGTCTATTTTCTTCAAAAATTTCACAAATTCCACATCAAAATTCTTGTTTTTTCCTGTCGAGACCCCAAATTTCTACCTGGTCTGACAATCCACGCAAAGCGGCAAACAAGCGCATTCCGTGTGTCCCGGCAAACATGCCAATGCCATTTTTAAATAAAGAATTTTCGAATTTTTAGTACAAAGTAGTAGTAAGAAAAGAAGTTATTAAAATTGCCCCAACTTTTTGTGTGTTTGGGTGAAAAGAAAAGAAAAAGCAAATTATAAATAGAAAATCGTCGAACAACGAGCGGAAAAAAACTTTTCAAAATTTTTGCAAATAAAAGGAAATGGGCAGAGTTTCAGAGTTCATTTATTGTTCAGGTGAAAAATTACAGTCAAAAATAAAATTAAATTAACGTTCGAGCGGAGCCAGTCCGAGTTTTGCTCTCATCGCATTGGCTTCAGCAATTTCGCGTTCTTCATCATTGTCATATTTTCCAGAAGAACTGGATTTTTTGTCTTTTTTCGAAGATGAAGATGAGGATGTTGATGGCCTATCTCGATCTCGACGATCTCGATCATCGTCTGCAAAAAATGTTGAATTTCAGAATATAATGTTGAGAATTTCAGCTGGGATTCGATTTTTTTCAGAAAAAAATATCGAATTTTGAGCTTCGAGAGCAAAATATCGAGTTTTTTCTGCATTTTTATGAAAAATTCAGTATTTTCATCAAATAATGGAAATTTTGTGAATTTTCTTTTGAAAAACTCAGATTGTAAGATCAAATTTTCCAGCTTTTAGAGCAGAAAATTCGATTTCAAGACGAAAATCTAGGCTTTTTTTAATGAAAAATCAGATCTTTCAGCTTTCAGAGCAAAAAAGCATATTTTATTTCGAAAAATCCAATTTCAAGATGCAAATCTAGACATTTTGCATGAAAAATTAGATTTTTCAGCTTCCAGGGCAAAAACTCCAGTTTTTTCTGCATTGTTTTTTTTAATTCAATATTTTCGGAAATTTTGTGAAATTTCATTCGAAAAATTCTGATTTTAAAGATTATCCGCTGTAAGATTGTCTATTTCAGCTCCCAGAGCAGAAAATCATATTTAATTTGGAAAAATCCGATTTCAAGGTGAAAATCTAGACTTTTTGCATGAAAAATCAGATTTTCTAGCTTGGAGGAAAGAAAATCATATTTTATTTGAAAATTTCCGATTTCAATGTGAAAATCCAGAATTTTTGCATGAAAAATCAGATTTTCTAGCTTGGAGGAAAGAAAATCATATTTTATTTGAAAATTTCCGATTTCAAGGTGAAAATTTAGACTTTTTGCATGAAAAACAAGATTTTTCAGCTTGCAGGGAAGAAAATCAGGGTTTATTCGAAAATTTTAGAATTTTTGATGAAAAAATAAGATTTTTCAGCTCCCAGAGCAAAAATTCACATTTTCCAGGCAAATATCGATAATTCCGAATCCCAAAAACAACTCACCCCTTCTCTCTCGATCTCTATCCCTCTCTCGACTTCTCTCCCGCCTCTCCCCTCCATCTCCTCTACGTCTCTCCCTCTCTCGATCCTCTCTCCGATCTCCCAAATCCCTTTCTCGATCTCTTGATCGACTCCTTCTTCTCGACGTCAATCGCGGCTTCTCCTTTCTCTCCTCCTCTTCTTCACTATCCGATTCACTCATTCCCATCAAATCTCCATCCAAGAGTGATTTGTATGGTTGAATTACGCCAACTTCTTCGAGAGCCACACGTTTTTGAAGACGTGGCAATTGAATATCACAATATCGATCTTCTCGCAACAAATGATCGATAAATTCGTCCATATAAAGACATTCAAATCTTCCCATTTTATTCATATATCGAAGTTTTCGGAAATCATTAAATAGTGGTTCGAGATATTTGTAGATTTCAACACTGTCGAATGTTAGACGAAGGTAGAGCGCTCCAAGAGCTCGAATATATCTGAAATATCAAATTTTTCAGTTTTCTAACATGAGCAATGCAAAAAAACCCACTTAAACTCCTCCTGCTGAATAAATTCCAAAACAATATCCTTTTCCGGTTGAATTTGCAACATTTTCAATGCCAGACACAAAAATGGAGTGGGTTTGATGTTGCCGGCATAGATTCCACCGATATAACGAAGATCCATGCCTTTGTCGACGACGAGTTCGGCTGCAAAATTTTGGGGTATTTTTTGGGGTGAAAATCCGAATTAGTTGATTTTTAGTGATCAATTTTTCTAGTGAATTCTAAATTTTCTAGTGAAAATTATAATTTTTCTAAATTTTTCCACTGAAAACCTGAATTTTTTCGATATTTTGTTTTTTCAGCAAAAAATCTGATTGAAAATATTGATTTTCCTGTTTTGGACCAAATTTTGGGTCAATTTTGCCACGTGGATTCTAATAGTTTTTTTTAACATCGAAAGATCAATTCAAAAGTCAAAAAATGTCGAAAAAACATGCTAGATCAAAATTAGTTTTTCGAGTTTTCAGTCAAAAATGATGACGAATCGAGATTTTTGAAGCTTCTGGAGTGATTTCTGATGAAAATTGACCTTGGAATTCACTTTTCAAAGGTTTTTGCTGATTTTTTATGAAAAAATTAACAAAATCAGGTAAAATAGGGTTCTCAAAGCTTATTTTCATCATAAATGACACCAGAAGCTTCAAAAATCTCGATTTGTCATCATTTTTGGCTGAAAAACTCGAAAAACTAACTTTTCGTGAATTGATTTTTCTTGAATAAAAAAAACATTTTTTCGTTTATGAATGAGCCCTAATAAAAATTATACTGTCAATTTTTAGATCAAAAATTATGTTTTTTAATTTTCGAACTTCGAGTAAAATGTAGATTTGGCCTGAAAATCAAACCTAGGCTCAAAATTTCATGAAAATTTCAAATTTTCAGGTCCGAATTCCCCAAAATCTCAATTCCCCCCCCCCCCAAAACCTCACCAGTCAACGCAAAACAATGCTCCTTCCAGTACATACTATCATAAATTCTTTGTCGAATAATTTTTTCGACCAAAAATTGGGGATTTGTTCCCTTGACCGTTTTCGCGGCTTTATCCGTTCGATTCGCCATTTTTCCTGGAAAACTTCGGAATTTTCCATAAATTCCTGGAATTTCTAGATATTTCACCGTGAAAAACGGAATTTTTCAGTGAAAAAAAAATTCAAGAAAAAGTAAAAAATTAAAACTTTTTGAGATAACACAAAAAATTGGAAATAAATTATAATAACAGAGAAAAAACAATAAAACAAAAAGGATTTCGGCGAAAATTTTAATATCCCTTCTTTTTGACAATTTCCGGTCGCCATACAATTGGATTCGTTTCTTCGGTCTGGAAAAAAGGGGTTTTGAATATAAAATTGAAATTTTCAGAATTTCTTAGAAAACATGTGAGTTTTTTGTAGTAAAATTGAAATTTTCAGATTTTTTAAGAAAAAATGCGAGTATTTTGTAGTAAATTTGAAATTTTTAGAATTTTTTAATATTTTAAAGGTAATTTTGAATATTCCTGACTAAAATTATGATTTTTCTAGTGAACATTTGAATTTTTAATTGGAATAAAACTCCTCGAATACTTTTTAAGGCTTAAAATTTAATTTGAAAGTTCCGCAACAGAATTCCGATATTTTACAGCTTAAATTTCAAATTTCCAGAATTTCAGGATGATAAATGTTTGGTTTTTGAAATTTTTCCTTTTTCTCAAAGTTTTTGAACTGTATTTTTTCAAATTACAATAACTACAGTGTAGTTCAATTTTTCCTCTCGTCAAAATTCCCTCACCGATTTCTCATCCTCCTTATACATTTTGATAGTTTTATCCGCCTCCGCCGTGATATATCGAAGTCCAGTTCGATCAAAGCAAGAAGCATAGATTCCAGCTTCGGATTCGATGGATCCAGATTGCGGTTTGGTTTGGATTTTCTACAAGACAAAATTATAGTTTTTGGGTCGAAATTCCATAAAAATTCTCAACCAACCTGAAAACAATAGCCACTTCTCCAATCCCAAAAACATATCGATCCATTATCTCCGCCCGACACCAATACACCATCATCATTACACGATAAAGCATTGATAATTGTGTTGTGACCGGATAAATTTTGCATAAATTCACCTTTGGGGAATTTCCATTGTTTGATGTTGTCTGGAGAAGCCGAGGCAAACATGTTTAGTCTGCAAAAATTTGGGCTTTATATGAGCAATGTAGTGTTTTTGGGGGGCATTGCTCATGTTAAAATTGAATATTCCAAATTCGAGAGCTTGAAGCCGATAAATTGAATTTTTTTCGGGATTTCGGATTTTTATAGAATTTTCAAATTTCTGGATATTAGGATAGGTTTAATATCATCAATAGGCTAATTATAAATGCATTGCTCATTTTAACACTGAAAGCTGAGCCAAACATGTTAATTCTAGAAAATTTTGGTTTAATATGAGCAATAGCTTGTTTTAAGGGCATTGCTCATATTAACAGGCAGTTTTCCGGCGGAATGTTGAAAACATAATATTTCTTGAATTTATTTTTAATTTTAATTTCAAGTCTCCATTTTGAAATAAATTTTTATCGGATTTTTTTTTTACAGAATTGATCATTTTCTCTCAATTTTTTTCCCCCAAACTAGTTATTTTTCACAAAGCTTTAGATTTTCCTGAGAAAAATAATGCTTTTCAGGCTAGAATCCACTATAAATGTTCCCGAAAATTCCCCACCTCGGATGCATCGCCAGCGCTCGAACCGATTTTTTGTGATGCGTCAAAGTGCACATCGATCTTCCGGCCGCCAAATCCCACAATCTAACAGTGTTGTCGTGTGAAGCAGTGATGATTTGTGGATCAACAGCTTGACACGCAACATCAGCAACTGTATTTGTATGGCCGGCGAAGCAATGCACCTGCGCTTTCGTTCGCATATCCCAAACACGAGCTGTTGAATCTCGGGCAGCAGTCACAAGAATATCCAAAGTCGGGTGAACTGATAATGCTTGAATTGCCGATAAATGACCGTGATAATGACGAATCACTTTGTTTGTTTCGAGATCCCAACATTTGACCTGGAACAAATAAGGTTTTCTCAATTAAAAAAAATGTGGCTTCAAAACCTGTTTATCCTCTCCACCACTGAATAAAAATGGATGATTTGGCGAAACTTTCACCGCTCTCACTGCACTAATATGTCCAGTCAACGACAATTTCAATTGACCCGATGCCAGGTCCCAAATCTTGATAATTCTATCAGCACCGCCTGATGCGAACCACTGATTTTGCGGCTCAACATCAACCGCACGAACCCAACCAGTATGTCCAGTAATCACACGGTAGAGTTTCCATTGTGCGTGCCATTTTGGTTTCATCATCATTGGAGCTTTTGAGGGAAGCAAAGAGCGAGTTGTATTATCTTCAGGTTTTCCACTGGATGAAGAACCACCAAGAGGCACGAGGGGTAATAGTTTTCCTCCAACTTTTTGCTGTTGATGTGGAAGGGTTCCTTGATTATTCACAAGTTTTCCAGTTCCATCGGTAATTGCTAGCGGGGTAGCGCCAGCTGAAATCACAGATCCTGAGCCGATTATTGGTTGAGAAGTGGGTAGAGCCATCATTTGATCTTCTTTTTGTTTTTTCGCTGCTTCCACCTTCTTTATCACATTTCCATATTCATGTTTACGCTTATACGAGCGAATTAGTTGATCACTGCAAAATTTTTGAATAATTTTCCTGGATTTCTCTCCAAATTTGATTTAAAAAAAACCTACTTTTCCTCAGGCATCACGGGTGGTTGAAAATACTCATTATTGAACAAGTCTTGCGTCCTTTTCACCGATCGAAACACCAAACTCAACAATTTCTTCTTTTCCGCCTCTGGTTTATCATCAAAATCCTCGTCTGCTGGAACTGCCGGAATCTGCTCATATGTATCTGCGACTATCGACATTTCTCTCTGAAAATTTTGACTTGAAATGATAGGTTTTGACGTGGAAACAGAAAAACGCGGAAAAAAACAAAAAATAAAAATTCGAATTTGTGGGCGGAGCCAAATATGGCGGCGTGCCGCACACATTTTTTGCAACATTGCGGCGTGACTTTCGGAATTTTTTCATTTTTTATTTTTTTTTGCAGTTTTTTTCATTTTCAGAGCAATTTCAATTGAAAAAAGAAGGAATTTATGACATGAATATACAGGAAATTTACACGTGTCTAAAGCTAATCAAAAAGCACCAAGTATGTAAGAAATATGTACATATATAAAGCAAAGAAGAAAGAAAAGCATTGAAATGATATGAGTTTTGTTCATTGGATCGAAAGAATTGGAGGAACTTTGGAAGTGAAATGATATTGGTAAATAAATCGTGGCTAATTGGAATCATACATAGAATAACTGGTTAATTAATAACTTTGGCGATTTTGATGTGATGTTCGAGTTGATATAAATGCTCATCTTCATCATCCGGAAATAGTCGTCGAACATTTTCAGCCAATTTCAGCACATATTCGCAATTTGGTCCAGCGCAACCTTTGGCTTTTGTGATTTCATGCGCCATTTTTCGCACATCATCTGGACCCAGGTATAATTCATTTTTCATGTCTGCTACGCAAGTGAGGGCCATAATTATTCTTGAACTTGATTCGACGCGGATTGGAACCATGCGGAAGACATATCCGTTATCGCATTCGCGTTCTTCGAGATAGCGGAGGGTTTTGTGGATTGCGGCAGTGCCGTCGACGCGGAAGACGATGCCGTTGGTGGCGGAGTGCGAATCTTGGATGAGCGTTGCAACGCGGCCAGGCTGAAAATTTTGGATTGATATTTTTTGGGGTGTGGGTGATTTTGTAGAGATTTTCAAGCTCTACAAGTTAGTCTAACTCTCCCCTAGCCAAATCTAAAGTTTCTCCCGAGAATTCTAGTCCAAAGATTTCATTTTCTTATTCCCCGAACCAGATCACATACATTTTTCATAATTCCCAGAAAACTACTATGCTAAAGGGTCTCCCTCTCGAAAAAAAAGCACACATGAATTTCATGCCTCACTCTTTTTCTTTGGAAAAAACACACATGTGTTTTTGAGCAGAGAGGGGGAAAACTCGTATAGTTGGTCATGTGCTCCAAAAAAATGGAACAAAAAGTAAAGTGTACTTTGCTCGGAGAAGAAGTTGCCCTAACTTGAAGTTGCCCTAACTCACCAAATTCTGATCGCCTCTGTGATAGGTGTTTCCTTGATACATTCTGCGCACCCAACCGATTGCATAAGCTTTTCGGCTTGCGTTGAAATTGAATCCCGGATTCCAGATGAGACTTCCGTAGCCGAAAATGTAAAGGGAGCGTTTGGAGTGGAATGCCGTGCTTTTTTGATCCATAATTGTTATGTAGTTCTGCAAAGAGCAAATGATTTACGTGAACTTTTTGAAAAAAAATTAAAAATACAAAAAAGTTATAAGAAGTCATTTAACAATACATAAATATAGAAAAATCGAAAAGAAAATGTGATTTTTATATAATAAAATACATTAGATGATAGTCTCTGAACGCGGCATTGCATCAGACAAAAAAAGTGGGCGGAGTCCTGACTCCGCCCCTCTTTTTTTCTGCTTTTTTGCCAAGGGATCCCCTGGAGCAACAACAAAAAGAAACAAAATGTATAGCAAAAGTGGGTTGTTCTTTGAAATTAGAAGGGAAGATGAGAGAGTATGAGAGATTGAGAGAGTGGCGAAAGAGGTAGAGAAAAACTAGGGGCACTTTTTGTTAGGTCGAGTAGATCAAATGAGCAAATGAGAGAAAAATTTTGGGGGACAGGTGTCATGATTTTTTTTTTGAAAAAAATGAGATAACAACTTGTGATCAGAAAAATTTTCAAAAAATATATTTTTTTGAAACGTGAACTTGTGACGTGGCAATTTGAAGCCATTTTGAGAAAAAATTGAATTTCAAAAATGATTTCAAAAAATTTCAAAAATGTCTAGGAATATTTTCAGAGCTTGTAAAAATCCACGTGGCTCGGATATTTCTAGAAAAAAAATTTCTGAAGTCTAGAAATTTTCAGAGTGAATTTTTTGAGTTTCAGAAAGTTGTGTAGCTATTTTCAGAGCTTCTGAAAATACACGTGGCTAGGATAATTCTAGGAAAAAAATTCTGAAGCCTAGAACTTTCATGACCTCTCAATTTTTGAAAAATTTCATTTTTAAATACTCCAAAACCTGTACAAGCAAAGTCACCCAAAACAAAAAACAGGTCAACCTATTTTTAGAATTGTCCTAACTTAGCCTAAGTTCAAAGTATTTTCTCTTAACTTCCCTTTTTTTTTGAAAAAAAAGAAAATGAAAAGAGAAAGGTATAACTATAAATCAAAAAAATATCTTTTCTTGGTCAAGAAATTCTCAGGGAAAAAATATTTTCATGTTTTCCTAACTTCTAAATATTAATTTTTGAATTTTTGAAAAATTTTCTCAGAAAAATCAGGTGTTCTCCTCATTGCACTTTCCAACATGCCAATAAAAACAATAAAATTTTTTATTTATTTTTCTTTTCGCCTCTTTTTCGATAAGAAAATTTACATACAAGCCTCTAGACATAAATAAATGTATGTAAATAATATCAAAAATCGTGGGAATATTTTTTTGATGTTCCAAAAAATCGTCTGATTATTTTTAAGCCTAAGTCTATTGTTCAAAAAATGAGTGGGAACATCTTAATTTATTATTTTTTTTTTGAATAAAAAATTATTGATCAACTAATTTCTGATTTCCTGGAAAATATCAGATGCCAAACAGACGGGAGTCATTAAAATTAAAAAATTGATAAAAGTTTTCCTGGTCACGGCGTGCTTCTGATTTTGGTACTTTGAGACTTTTTGGACTACTGTAGGGTATTTTTTGCAGGGGAAAATTGATAACGAGAAAATGTGGGGGAAATTTCAGGGGAAATAGAAAATTCTGAACTTTTCTGATTGGAAACATTTTCAGATTTGCTTTAAAATTTTAGAGCAAAAAATCCACGTGGAAAAATTTAATGTAAAAAATATTTTTTTCAAGTCTGTACTTTTAAAGTCCCAAATCTCAAAAATTTAAGCCAAGTAGAATTTTTGATTTCTGAAATCCACGTGGCAAAAGTTTAGCTAAAATTGTTGAAATTGAAAAATTGCGTTTTCAAATGTTCATGCCACGTGGATTTCTGAAGCCAAAAATCCACGTGCCAATAAAGCCACGTGGATTTTTTTCACTAGAAAAATTCTCAATTCTTCTCATTTTTCTATTGTCATTCCGAAAATAAAAGAACCCCCGTTTAAATTGGCGCTCACGTACAGTAGACTAAAAATGACGTGACACATGCATATCAAACTGGTTGGCAAATAGCCAACGTGTAAATTTCGCATTTTATTTTTCAAAAAGACTCCAAAATTTTGCGAAGTCTACTGTATTTTGGTTTCCTAGGCCATTTCGGTTCTCTTCCAACGGTCTTTTTTTTTCGGAACGACAATATGAAAAATCTATCATCTCGCAATTTTTTTCTAGACCAATTAGTTATCAAAAAAAACCTACAGTATCTCTCCGAAAAATGATCAAATGATAACTTTTTGATTTATTTTCTGTCTCCATTTTCTTGAAAAATAAAAAATCCCAGATTTTTCTAAAAATAGCGATTTTCAACTTTTTCCCTTCCCAAAAATTACATCATTTCCGTTACACCAAAAACTTTCAATTTTGAAACAAACAAAAAATTTCAAAAATGTTTTTTTTCAAACAATAGAGATTACTGTAGGTTTGGTTTGAGACGAAAAATTTTGTTGGCTGACGCAATTTTTGAGAGAAATTTCAAATCGCTCAAAAATCGAGCAAAAACGTAAAAAAAGATTTTTTCTCTTTGTGATCACAAGATTTTAGGTTCAAAAAGCAAATATTTGAGAGAGGGGTTCCCCCAAAAAAAGAAAAAAAACATAATATCGAAAAGTTTTCCAAAAATACCTCAAAATTTGCAGCATTCCATAAAATTCGTGACTTCATTCAAAAAATGAGAAAAATTAGAAAATGATAAATAAAAAGAAGATAAATGAATGAATAAATAAATAAATAGTTTCGAGAAATGACCAGATTTTATCAATTTTCGCAAAAATTAGGAATATTTTGAAATGTCACGTTTTAGGGTAATTATGCAGATTTTTTGAATTTTTGCGGAGAAATCTGGGAGTTCCAGAGGAAGTATTAATTTTTTCAGAACATGAAATCCACGTGGAATTTTTTGCCATGTGGATTATTGGAATACAAATTGAAGATTCGGTTTTCAAGTTCCGAATTTTCAGCCAAGAATACACGTGGAAACCTTGATTTTTTGAATCTCAAAATTTCAGCCAAGTTTTTGGAATTCAAAAATTTCAAGCAGAAAATTATCCACGTGGTTTTCACATTTGACCCCAAATTTTAGAATTCGAAAAAAAAACGAAAATGTCAGTTCAAAAAATTTATTTGAAAATTTTTAATTTGATTCCACGTGGATTCTGAATCCACGTGTCAGTTTTTTTCCGATTTTCTAACACGCTGTTTTTTGAACCAGAAGATTTAGAGGTCTGAAAATTTACAGACTTTTTTGCCACGTAATTTTCAGAATTCTTAAAACCTTAGTTGAAAAGCCACGTGTCATTCTAAATTTCTTAGCGAAATTTTTGAACTTAAAATTCAGCTTCAAAAATGATCAGTAAATTCACGTGTAGCATGTTTGTATTCAAAACTTAACAAGGTTTCTCAACGCCAAAATCCACGTGGATTTTTTTCGTCCACCACTGCAAAAATTCCAATTTTCTCACCCGAATCTCAGTTTGGCTTACATCAGCCGCTTGAAAACCAGCCGAAACAATTATAATTCGACTAATTAAATTAGTCAATTAGGTACATTTTGTTCATTGGAAAAGGGAAAATCATCATTTTATTCATGAATCAAGATTGAGTGAGAAAGCTGGGGAGAAATAAAAAATAAATAGTTAGTGAATTTCAAATTTGACATCGAAAGATTCCAAATATTCGAAAATTTTTGAATCTCCGAAAGCTGCGCAAGTTGTGTAGACACCACCGCTGAAAAATTTGACATTTCGGGGAAATTCGGGAGTTCAGGAACACATCAAAAAGGCTAGTCTCAAAATTTTGCGCCTTTTGAATTTTCACCGCAAAAAATCCAAATTTTACCAGAGAATGTGCTCTTGTGACGTTTTATCATTTTTTAATGTTGAAAAACTCGACGGAGATAATATTTTTTTATGAGAGGAAGGCAACTAAAATGAATATTGTTTGGTTTTACAATCAGGGTAATTAAGATGTTTAAACGATTTTGTACCAGAAATCACGTTGTGATAAAGACTATGACGTGATTTTTCGAGCTCATTAGACAAAAGCTCACTAGACAGAGTTCAACGTGGATCTTTAAAAAAATTGAGATGGATTTTTCAAAACACAGTTCGACTTTAGAGAAATCTATTTACCATGTCCCTTTAAATTCAGAAGGATAGCTAACATGAGCAATTCCATCCGTAAGAGGGGATAGGAAGCTAACACTTGGCTTACAAGAAGAAATGAAGTCTTTCTCGAATATCAGGAGCCTAGAACTTCACACGAGCAACCAAAATGTACTCAAGGTCTCCTAAAACTATTCTTCCGATTGTTCAATTAAGCCACGTCATTTTAACGAAAAAATCATCAGAACTACTCGTTTTCGTTATCGAGAAAACCGTTGATTATCAGCAAAAAACTCCGAGTATTTATACGGAGGACCAAAACCAATTTTTTGCATTCATTTTATCGTCAAACATGAACGTGCTACTGTTAATCGCATTGCTACCCGCTCTCATATCTGCATACAAGGATCGAGAATGCGGTGCAGATTTATCCAATCTATGGCTCGATGTTGTTGTGGTTGTTGACAATTCAGCTGGTATGACGCAAGACGGTTTGAGTCAAGTTATTGGCGATGTTTCGACAGTGTTGACAAATGGAACCAGAATCGGGACACAATATGCTGACCCAAGATCTACACGCGTTGGAATTGTCACTTATAATTCAGATGGCACAATTGTGAGTTCAATTATTTCGGTAAAATCAAATGATACAGTATTTAGGCAGCGAATCTTGACGCGTTCAATTCAACTGATGGTCTTATTGGAGGTATGTACGATGCAATTGGAATTGTGAGCACACAAAAATTATCATATCTTGAAACTGGACTTTCTCAAGCAGAAACAGTACTCAATCAAGGACGTCGAGGAGTTCGAAAAAATTATAAACAAGTTGTGATTGTTTATGCATCAGCATATCAGTTAGTTAAATTAAATTAACACTTTGCGGGGAAAAAATCGATTTGATTTCAGAGGAACTGGAGCTCAAGATCCAGTACCAGCTGCAGATCGGTTGAAAGAATCTGATGTGGCTATCATAACTGTCGCCTTTGAACAAGAGGGTAATACAGATCTTCTTGAACCACTTTCACAGATTGCCAGTCCTGGTTTCAACTTCACCAGTAAAGACGTTGATCTTGTTGGTGAAATTGAGGGAGCACTTCTTCAAAGTGAGTCGGCAAAGGTTTCTGCCACATTTTTTTAATTTTCAATTTTCAGCCAACTGCTTCTGCCCGGATTTATGGTTTCAATATAGCGCAGACTATAACGACCTCGCTGCACAAAGATTCGGAGTTTGTGTCAAATCAGCGGGACTTCAAGCGAGTTGGACATCTGCCAAATTTGCTTGTCAGCATTTTGCCTCGAATGCATTTTTGGTCAGCGAATTCAGTCAACAAAAACATGACTTCGTATTCCAACTCATTAAAAACGACAAAACAATGACGTCACCCTTCATGTATCACATTGGATTGAGTCGAATCAATGGAGTTTGGTCATGGCAACAACCAGGAGGACAAACGTTGCCAGTTCAAAATTACACCAATTGGAATCCCGGGTACCCAACCGATGTTTCAGCAGATAGTGCTGCACTGAACAGTCCAACTGGCGATGATCTTGTTGTTGGATGGCAAAACATCAATCCATACACAGTTGCCAAGAACTATGTTTGTGAATCGCGAGCTTGTGATACCGATAATTATTGTCCTTGAATCCTCCCGAATTTTTCTTATCAGCCCATTTACTTTTGCAAGCACGAAATGTATAAACAATTTTGATAACACTTTTATGGTAGGAAGACATCATTTGGTCTTTTTTTGAGTTATCATCAAGAAGAGATGTTTACAAGAAGAGTCGAATTGCAAAAAAAGTCGGGAGAGATTTTTTGATAATGGAAAAGTTCAATCATGTGTCATAGCGATGAATTTTGAAACAGAAGAAAAATTGCGGGCTCAGAAGTGAAATGTGTAACGTTTGCAGATCTTGATGTCATTAGTGTACCGTAGAATTTTGAGATCAAAAGTTTTGAAGGGTGAATTATTTATTTTTGAAAATTCATGACACATTTCCAGATGTCCCATTTTTTTAATGGATACAAGGGGGGTCAGAGATGGAAATTTTTACGTTTCACGGTTTTTACGGGATTTCACCCTAAAATCCGTTTTACGGTTTTACGGCTCAAAAAATCGTAAAATAATTCGTAAAAAGCCTGAGCGGGATCTAAACCCTACACTATGAACTTCTTTGGCAAATACCACAACTGTACAGTTTCGCAACAAGCGATCGAACTTTTTACGCAAATGTAGTTTCATCGCTTCGTCAGAACTATAACTTTTCCGTTATCGCATTGTGAAACAACATTTTTTTATCAGCAAAAAATCAGTACGAAGAAATAGGACGCTTCTCTCACTGGACATCAAAAATGAGGTTTCCACTTCTGGCCTTCTTTATACTAGGTAAGAACTCCTTATTGAAAAATCATAAATAACAAGTTTCAAGCTTCTTCAATATCCGCATATGAAGACCGTGAATGCGGTGCAGATTTATCGCATCTTTGGCTAGATATTGTTCTTGTTGTCGACAATTCAGCTAATATGACATTTTCGGAATTGATGATAATCGGTAATACTATCAAGGATGTTTTTATGAATGGCACCAAAGTCGGGACACAATATTCTGATCCAAGATCTACTCGAGTTGGAATCGTCACGTATAACTTGAATGCCACTGTTGTGAGTTCAATGGTTCTTTTCAAATTTGAAGTATCTACTCATATATTTCATTTAGGCTGCAGATCTCAACACTTATCAATCCACTGGCGATTTCATAGTAGGATTATTCGGCGCACTAGTGACTACCACAGTCACCGAATCATACCTTAAACAAGGTCTATTAACCGCTCGAGATACTTTATATGCTGGTCGTCAAGAAGTTCGCCAAAATTATCAACAAGTCATAATTGTTTTCACTTCACAATACGGGTTAGTCAACAATAGAAAAAAGTTAAAACAAAAAATTTTAGAGGATCTGGAGAACAGGACCCGAAGCCAGTTGCTGATCGTTTAAAAGCGTCTGGTATTCAGATTATTACTGTATTTGTCGACTATGATAACAATAACGATCTTCGTGACAAACTTTCACAAATCGCTAACCCTGGTTACAATTTTTCAACATTTGATACGAATTTAGTTGGTGAACTTGAAGGGGCACTTCTTCTGAGTGAGTTTGAATATTTCACAAAACTCCAATTAACCAATATTTCAGTGAACTGTTTCTGTCCAAACTATTGGACTCAATACACCGTTCCAAGCAATAATGGAGGTCTATACAAGTATGGAGTTTGTGTTAGAAGTTCGGGAATTCAAGCATCTTGGAACGCGGCCAAATTTGCGTGTCACAATTATGCAAAAACTGGGTTTTTGGTCAGCGAATTCAGTCAGCAAAAACATGACTTCGTTTTTAATCTTGTTCAAAAAGACACATTCAACACTCCTCCTTATATGTACCACATTGGATTGAGTCGAATCAATGGTGTTTGGTCGTGGCAACAAGTAAACGGACAACAAGTTTTGCCACTTCAAAACGAAACATTCTGGAATCCCGGATATCCCACAAGTTTATCATCAGATAGTGGTGTAATGAATATTCAAGCTGGCGCGGAACTTAATGTTGGATGGCAAAACATCAATTTATACACAGTTGCAAAAATTTATGTTTGTGAATCTCAATCTTGTGATTCTACTAATTATTGCACTTGAATCGTTGATTGTTAATAAAATCTTTTTATGTTATTAACCAAAAACGCTTTATTCATTTTTTTTTGTAAAAATCTCACGCAAAAACAGAATTGTTTTCGAAAATTCGAATTTGATTATCAAAAAGAAATTGAAGATCGAATCAACGAATTTCTTTTAACCTCAAAATCATTGTTGTTTTCTCATTCGTTTCGTTTCAAAATGAAGCTCGTAAGTTTCTCTTGAACATACAAAATTCAAACTGTTTCCACAGATTCTCTTGATTGTCCTGTCAACTTTCCTCATCGCATTTTCAAGTGCAAAATATTGCGATTGTCCAGAATCTCACACATGTTATCGTGATAGATGTTATCCTCGACAAACATGTAAACATGGTGGAGCTGGTCCGACCGACGAATATTGCGGATTCGAAAGATTTTGCAGAGGTGGTTATTGTTACGATATGAATGAGATCTACGGCCGTTAATAATTTTATATTTATTGAAAATTATAAATTTTAAACTTGCAAAAAATGATCGATTACAATTTTTCACAAAACATCTAAAAAAAATTCCGCGAGAAATAGGAGAAAAAATGAATTACTCTCATTTATTGGTAATTCTAACAAACAACAGTAGGAACAACCGATTGTTTTTTTGAAGATTTCGATTGCCGAATGAAAATCGAGAATAGAAACTTCCGATAAGGTTTATGAATTAATATCATAGCAATTGTAGCGAACATTCCATGTATTCCAATTAGAAATATTATCAAATTATTGATCACTGCAAAAAAATCTGAGAATCAGTAACTATCGAGTCTAAAAAAACTTCCATCATACTTTGATTAAAATACTGGAAAATTATCACGAAAGTCACATAACTGAATGGAATCATTATGAAAATAAAAGGAATAAATATTTGTAAGCATAGATTTCGGAAAAACTTTTTCTGTAGAATATAAGTCGAGTTGGATATTGTTGATCTGCGTTGCTCCAATTTATGACGAGTCATAAAAAAATAAAAGATAAATTGAGAAGAATTCACGACGTAAATTAAAGAGATAAGTGTTGTCATTAATGTTGTATCAATTGTGAGGCATATAAACAGTGGATTATTTTCGAATTTTTCGAAAACGCATGATAATTCATTCTGGAAAACCAATAAAACTCAGAAAATAATATTCAAAATCATTTCTTACTTTTCCAAAATGATTTTTCGAATATTCCTGGTCTGGTATGTTAATGAAAACTGGTATCGAGAATGTAAAGGCCCAAATATATTGAACAAAATATAAAATGACACGAAAATTGAAACGTTTTTGAGAAAACGTCAGATAGACCGTTTTGTGAAAACGATTCTCGAAAAATATGACAATCGATAAAATGACTGCTGAAATTTGATTTGGATTTTACAACCTTGGAAAAATTTCCTAACTTGTTGAAGTTGTGATTCCGAAATAAATTTGAATCCACATCGGAATTCCGAAATAATTCAAAAGCCCCATTGAATATCCGCAAAAGTAGGGTAAAAAGATCACCGGAATAATGAATGCCCCAAAAATAGTGTCGGATATGAAACAACTAACGTGCAAAAGAAGCATGCTGAATTTAATCGACGACATTTCTTTTGGCGTTTTCTTGATTATACAATAGAAACCGAAAATGTGAATTGGCAATCCGATGGTCGAAAAAATATGAGAAACTATTGAATAACGTGAGTCATTTGCCAGAAAAATATCATGATATTCACACATTACACGTGGAATATTATTCAACTTTTTGTTGGCAGCTGAATACATTTTTTCTTTGAATCGATTCATAGAAGTCAGTTCAGCTGTCCAATGCATTCAGTTGTAGTTCCAGGTAAAAATGAATAATTTTCAGGTGAAAATAAACTCACAAGAAATTTTTTTTGTGTCGAGACAGAATTTTTAAAGCAAATTGTTCGAGTACTGTCTATATTTTGTGCAGGCCATGATGTCATCTACAGGCAATTACATATCAGCTTCTCAGGTCGCGGATCTTAACACTTATCAATCCACTGATGATTTGATAAACGGATTGAGTGACGGACTTGGTGACGCTACAACTATTGCAGCATCAGATCTCCGTCAAGGTCTTTCAGCCGCTGAAAAAGTTCTATACAATCGGGAAGATCGAAGAAATTATAAACAAGCAATTATCATTTATGCATCAGAATACTCATTAGTCAACAATTACGATCCCAAACCAGCTGCAGATCGTTTGAAATACGCTGGTATTCAGATCATAACTGTTGCTGTGAACCACAATAACGATAGATATCTTCTCGACAAACTTTCACATATTGCTAGTCCTGGTTTCAATTTTTCAACATTTGATTCAAACTTAGTTAGTGAAGTTCAAGGAGCACTTTTTTCTTCAAAGTGAGTTCGAAATTTGATTTACACAACAGAACGTTTCTGGAACCAGATTTTTTAGTCAACTGTTTCTGCCCGGATCATTGGACTCAATGTCGTGCAGACTTCAATGATCAAACTTCACACAAGTATGGAGTTTGTGTCACAAGTTCGGGACTTCGAGGAGCTTGGGCAAAAAAATTTGCTCTCATTTATTGGTAATTCTAACAAACAACAGTAGGAACAACCAATTGTTTTTTCAAAGATTTCGATTGCCGAATGAAAATCGAGAATAGAAACGTCCGATAAGGTTTATGAATTAATATCATAGCAATTGTAGCGAACATTCCATGTATTCCAATTAGAAATAGTATCAAATTATTGATCACTGCAAAAAAAATCTGAGAATCAGTAACTATCGAGTCTAAATTAGCGGATCTGCCGCAACATTATCCCAAACTTTCACCATACTTTGATTAAAATATTGGAAAATTGTCACGAAAGTCATATAAGAGAATGGAACAATCATGAAACAAAAAGGAATAAATATTTGTAAGCATAGATTTCGGAAAAACTTTTTCTGTAGAATATAAGTCGAGTTGGATATCGTTGATCTGCGTTGCTCCAATTTATGACGAGTCATAAAAAAATAAAAGATAAATTGAGAAGTATCCACGACATAAATTAAAGCGATAAGTGTTGTCATTAATGTTGTATCAATTGTGAGGCATATAAACAGTGGATTATTTTCGAATTTTTCGAAAACGCATGATAATTCATTCTAGAAAACCAATAAAACTCAGAAAATAATATTCAAAATTATTCCTTACTCTTCCAAAATGATTTTTCGAATATTCCTCATCTGGTATGTTAATGAAAACTGGTATCGAGAATGTAAAGGCCCAAATGTATTGAACACAATAAAAAATGATACGAAAATTGAAACGTTTTTGAGAAAACGTCAAATAGACCGTTTTGTGAAAACGATTCTCGAAAAATATGACAATCGATAAAACGACTGCTGAAATTTGATTTGGTTTTCACAACATGGAAAAATTTCCTAACTTGTTGAAGTTGTGATACCGAAATATATTTGAATCCACATCGGAATTCCGAAATAATTCAAAACCCCCATTGAATATCCACAATAGTAGGGTAAAAATATCACAGGAATAATGAATGCCCCAAAAATAGTGTCGGATATGAAACAACTAACGTGCAAAAGAAGCATGCTGAATTTAATCGACGACATTTCTTTTGGCGTTTTCTTGATTATACAGTAGAAACCGAAAATGTGAATTGGCAATCCGATGGTCGAAAAAATATGAGAAACTATTGAATAACGTGAGTCATTGGCCAGAAAAATATCATGATATTCACACATTACACGTGGAATATTATTCAACTTTTTTGTTGGCAGCTGAATACATTTTTTTGAATCGATTCATACAAGAATGTTCAGCTGTCAGTTGTAATTTCAGGTGAAAATCAATAAGGAAACTAAATAATTCTAAGGTGATAATAAAAAGACGAGGAAAAAGCATGAAATGTGCGAGTTTGAAATTAAAAATAAATTTAAAGGCGTTAATTTAAAGTAAATTAATTTAAAGGCGGTTAGACCACCCACGAAGCCCCCCTCAAAAAAATCAAACTCACCGCTCCGGCAAACTATCAACATCTTTCAATAAAACCAATGCTGCTGACAAAATGCAACCACTTGTTGAAACATATCCAGCATCTGGCCCTTTGCAAGTTGCAAGAACCTGAAGAAAAATATATTTTGTGAAGTTTCTATGATCAAACTGACCATCTTCGTCGGCTCTCCTTGATGTTCAAATCCCAATTTCTCCTTTGTATACCCATACCCAAAGAGCCATAGAACAAAACTTGCTTCCCGGATTTGCTCCTCACTTGGTCCATCTTTCTTAAAAACATTGAAGCTACAAAGATCGGGATGATTTTGCAGAAATCGTAAAGTCCATGGAATATGCACCAGAATCGAGATAACTGCTAGCCAGGCGCCAATCAATATTGCCGAAATTCTCGAAGACAACTTAGCGTATGTTGCCACGTGGCATGGTTTGATCGATTTTTGTGTGGCTTCGTAGATTTGCGATCGATCGATTATTGATTTATCAGATCCCATAAATGGGATAGCATAGCTCTGGGGACCAGGGATTCCAGGAATTTGTGATAATGGCAATCGAAACTTCGGTGTGATCTTGCCTTTGACAACCGACACATCTGTCTTCGGCTTCATTAAATCAAATGGGAAACTTTTGACACCTAGAAGCAGTGAATTATACGTTCCAGTATTCAGCGAATATCCAGAAGACCCTGATTTCATTTCGACAAAAGTCTCAACATGATTCAGGTCACCGTCAAAGTTGTTTTTGAGGAATTTGACTCCCAAATCGGCCGGAATCGAATCCCATCCGCACGCGGAAACCACGTAGACTCCCGCATCTTCCGCAAGTTTCGAATATTTCTCCTCCATTTTTTCAATCCACGTTTGCTCGCCGGAAATATCCAAGTGACTGGCACCATTCAAAATCGCGGCTCGAACAACAGCCTCACCATAGAGAGTGTACTGAAAATAATCAAAAATTATTGATTTTTTGTCGTTTCCACCCACCGGTCCCACCGCATTTATCACAACCCTCGCTCGCTTCGCCATCTTTTCCAGCGACTCAATATCCGCCACATCAGCCAAAATCACCTTCACCTCCTTCAAATCTCTCCCAGTCTTCTTCTCAACAACTCGCAAAACTTCTCGAACTTTCGACTCATTTCTTCCAGCCACCGCAAAACTAACATCCTGATAATATGGCGATGTGATGAGTCTTTCCAGAATATAAGTTCCCGTGAAGCCAGTAGCTCCAAAAATCACCAAGTCAAATCGCGACATTTTCGTATTAGAGCGAAGAAAACTTTGAATGAAAATAAAAGTGACTAGAGTGTAGTGACCAGAAAGGTCGATAAAAAAGATAAGAAAAAAAACAGATGTTTACTTTGCCAACCGAAAAAAAATTGATAGAGAAGAAATATGTTTTAAAAGCAAAAACCACCAAAATTCACCAGAAATCCAGCTAAACCCTCAATCTTCTTCGCGATTTTCGATAACACCAATCAGCAATACAAACGACAACTAGAATACAACATCCAACAAGTCCAATATAGACTACATATTGGATGTATACTGACATTCGATGTTGGGCTGAGCGAAAGTGAGTGACATTGAGGGCGTTGACATTTTCCAGCGTCTGAAATTCGGATTTTTTTTTTGAAAAAAAACTGATTTTCGAAAACGAAAAAAATTCGCAAAGCCACGCCCCTTTTGCAATGTGGGGCATGTGTGTTTGCAACGCTCGCACGTTTTTTTGTTTCTTATTTATTTATTTATTTTTTTTTCACGGAATCTTCGCCATTTAAAAACTAACCGGCATTATAACACAATACGATTTGTGCTCGCCCGCCGAAATACAAACCATATTTTCCTGATAAATCGTGTCACAATCAGTCGATTTTTTGCAATTCGTCGAATTTCCCAACTCGATCGGCTCACCGAAAATGTTCAATTTTCCGAGTTGCACAATTTTCAGCTGCTTTTGATCACAATATGTCCACCACCACAAACGTGTGCTTTCTTGTTCGAATTTGCAAGGAGATTCTGTCATAAATGATTTATCTGGCAGATCTTCGAATTTCATCTTGATGTCTAGTTTGTTCACTGAAAAGAAAACATTATGGTTTTCGAAACAAAAACGCTAACTTTTTTAAGTATGAAAACTGTGAATTTTTCCCTTTTCGACCTCGAAAAACTCTGAAATTCAGATTTTTTCAAAATTCTACTCTAGCCAGCCAGGGCGAGCTTCTGGAGTGATTTCTGATAAAAATTGACCTTGGAATTCACTTTTAAGTAGTTTTTTGAATGATTTTTCGTTAAACAATTTCAAATTTTGATGAATTTCGAAAAAATTCATAAAATGAGGTGAAATAGGGTTCTCGAAGCTTATTTTTATCAGACTTTCAAGATTTCTGTCAAAAATAATGACAAATCGAGATTTTTGATGAAAATAAGCTGCGAGAACCATATTTTACCTAATTTTAAATTCATCAAAAATTGAAATTTTTAAACGAAAAATGATGCAAAAAACTTCTGAAAAGTGAATTCCAAGGTCAATTTTCACTAGAAATCACTCGAGAATCTTGATTTGTCATAATTTTTGACTAAAAATTCGAAAAACTAATATTTTTCGTCATTTTTTGACTTTTCAAATATTTTTTAAACATTTTTTCGTTCTTGAATCAGCCGTGAACCTCCACCTCCAGAAAACTAACCCTCACAATCCGGACAACATCTTCCCTTCCAGCAATTCCCACCAATCTCACAATCCTCTCCATTTCCACAACCCGGCTGTGCCGACAAAACAGTTCGATGGTCCGGACAATAAATCATCTCCGTCTTTCCCTTCAAATCATCATAATAATGATTCTCGGTCTCACAACAAATCTTGGAATCAAAATCGCACCATTTTTTCAGCGAGCTTTCTCCCGCATAGGCACAGGGATTCGAAGAAGAATCGCAATATTGAAATGGATATGTCGGAAATCCGCTGGAACAATTGGATTTGGCGAGTTCCTCGGGATTGATGCAACACGTTTTTCGACCATCATCGATTTCGAGGCATTTCGAATTTTTGTGCGTTTTTTGACAATCCCAATCATCCAAACACGGGCGTTTTGTTAAACTTGGACCGTTTTTGCAAGATTTGATGGCTGAAAAAGAACAAATTTTCGGTTTTCATGAAAAGAAGCTCTTCCTCAACTCACGTGTTGCACAAAAAGCCACTTTTTTCTCAACATTTTGATCACAATAATTTCCATCTGCAGAACAATCATCATCAATTGTACACCGCATCAAAGTCTTTTCATAATAAAGAGGAATCGTTGGAAAACAGAATTTTTCATTCAAAAATTTGAGTTTGCCATTTCCAAGTGGTTCAGATCCAAGTTCACAATATTCTTCTTTTGTTTCACAATCACTAGAATTCGCGCATTTTTTCCATTTCGTGTTATTCTCGATTTTCACCGCTTCACAAAACACTTCACAATTTTTATTGTAGACAGCCGCATTCACAACGACTTTTTGACATTGGATTTCGGAAACGGAGAAGATCAGAAGGAATAGAAATAGTCGCGATTTTATGCCGAGCATTTTTTAAAAACTGACTGTATTTTTTGAGAGGGTTGTTATAGGATGACGTGGGATATTTTTTTAGGTCACGTGAATTTTTTTTTACATAAAAAATTCATATTAAAATAAAAAGCGACCCGTTTTCAGCAGAAAAAAAAGAATAGAAATACACAATTAAATAGAAACTCTATGAAAAAAGCTATGAAAATTTGGGGGGAAAATATCGATTATCTTCTCCACCATTGCATTAATCTTTTGGAAGCTGAAACCGGTTGATCAATTCCGCGAACAAATCGGGAAGCTCTTTCCAGTGTGAGATTATTCAAGCGTTCTTCGTCTTCGTGCCTGGAAAAAAAATGTTTGGGGGTTTTTGAGAGAAAATTTGAGGGAATTTGTGGCTTGACATTTCATTTTGAATTTCAAAACTTATTTTTCCCTGGATTTTCAGAAATCATGGAGACTTATTTTCAAAAAAATTATTTAGCAACATGGAATTTGAAACTTTCGAAAAAATAATTTTTCTGGTAACAGCTCCCACAAAGTTAGCATAAAAACATCTCAAAATTTCAATTAAAAAATATTTGAAACCTATTTTTCCCTGGATTTTCATAAGATTCAAAACTAAAATTTCTGAAAATTCCTCACATTTCCTCTTCTGTCGCAAACAATTTTTGCACCAGCGTGCTTTTTTGATCTAGCGCTTTTCGATAATTTTCCATCAATTTGTCAGTCGCCGATTTTTCTTCCGGTGATTTTTGATAATCATCATCCGCATTTTTTGTCATATCATCCAATTGTTGAGCGTATTTGTCGATTTGTTGAGTGGTTTGTCTGGAAATGGAAAAAATAAGGAATTTTTCTTTTTGAAAAATATTTTTTTTCTGAACATTGAATAAATCGGGTAAAATAGTACCTTAGACTCAAAATTTTCAGGCTTGTTTTAGGCTTTAAAAAATTAGGACTAACTTCAGTTTGGCTAATTTTGGGTCGTATAAAATAATATAGTTAGCTCAAGATTTTTCGGCGCAAATTAAAAAAAAATAAAAATAGTTTCTGAATTTTAGCTTGGGATTTTTAGCCCCAAAATTTTTAGGAAAAAATAAATCGTGGTTTCCATAATTAACAGAATTTTCAGATTTGTGACAAAAAAAATAATTTCATGTTCAAATTTCTCAATTTTCTGGATATGAGCTTGAAAACTCGAAATTTTCCAACTTTGAAAATTTTTTAGGTTGAAAAGTTCAGGATTTTTCCCAAAATTCATGAGAAAACCTGGATTTTAGGTTAAAATTTATTGAAAACCCCATATTTTTCACAATTTCCAGGTTCAACCCACTCCACAATTCCCAAATTCCCTCACCTCTTTAGGCCTGGGATTTTTAGCCTCAAAATTTTTAGGAAAAAATTAAATCTTGGCTGAAAAATAAAATTCACCAAATTTTCAGATTTGTGACAAAAAAATAATTTCAGGTTCAAATTTCCTGAATCAAAATGAACTCGAAAACCGGGATTTTCATCTGATTTTTCAGCTCAAAGGTAAAAACTACTCAAAAATCACGATTTTTAGGCCCAAAACACTCCAAAATCCCCAAATTTCCCCACCTTATCATCTCAATAATATTATAATATTCCTGCCTTCCAACCAACGTATTCTTCTCATTTGTCAATCTCAAAAATGTCTCCAACAACATTTGCTCTTCCGATCCGCCTTTCTCCGTGTCATGTATTTTCGCCTCAATCGCTTTCGATTGTTGTTCAACATCCTCGATTCGTTGCTCAATTTTCTCCTGTTCTTTTGCAGTTCCTTCAATGTCGTGCACATCTTTTTCCCATTGGGAAGTGTATTTTTTGGTGGGTGTTGCCATTGGTTCATCAGCCTAGAAAATGGGAACTTTTATCCAATTTTTTCAACATTTTTTATTGGTTGATTAATTAAGAAGCAATTAAAAGCTTACAACAAATTTACAACATTAATCTGAATTTTAGCACAAAACAATAAAAAAAACAAACCACATATCCATATTGTTTGGCCAAAATCTGCAACGATTCTTTGAGTTCTGCACTTCTCATACTCCCATATCTTTTTACACGATCGAATGGATTCGATTGGAGCAATTCATCAAGACGATTCTAGAAATTGTTGACTGAAAATGTACAAAAATACAAACACAATCATCACGAATACCACAGAAATACTATAAGAAGGGCTGATTCACGAACGAAAAAATGTTTGAAATGTCAATTCACGAAAATTTTTCGAGTTTTTCAGCCAAAAATGATGACAAATCAAGATTTTTGAAACTTCTGGAGTGATTTCTGATGAAAATTGACCTTGGAATTCAATTTTCAGAAGTTTTTGTTGATTTTTCGTAAAATGAAAAAAAATTTGAAATTCGTAAAATTAAAAAAAAATTCATATTCAGATTTTTTAATTTTTTATTTTACAAAAAATCAGCAAAAAGTTCAAAAATCTCGATTTGTCATCATTTTTGGCTGAAAAACTTATTTTGACCTTCAATGTTTTTTCGGCATTTTTTTTCGTTCGTGAATCAGCCCTATAAGCTCAGAGAAATGGGCTGGGGAACCGGCGGAAAACTTTCGGAGATCCAGCCTACGGCTGGCGGTTCGCCGAGAGTTCTCCGCTGGTTATCCGAAAGTTTTCCATCGTTTCTCCGACAGTTCTCCATTGGTTCTCCGCTAGGCGCTTTTTTTGCATTTTTTCGCACTTCAAACTGGAAAATTTTCTCCGCCAGTTGTCCGCTGGTTTTCCATTCTCTGCTTCGAGAACATTCTTTCGCGCAGGAGAAACATTGTAGATCATTCGGAGAACTGTCGGCGAACTGGCGGAGAACATTTTTCTCCATCGGTTTTCCGAATATTCTCCGCCGTGTCGTCTATCCGGCGGTTCTCCAGCCCATTTCTCTGAGAAGGAAGGTGCAGGGGATTTAGGGTAACTTAGGAGAGGTCAGAATTTTAATACCAAAAGTTGACCAGGGAAAATTAGGGCTATCTTTTGAGGTTTGGAAAATGGGGGGTAAGAGAACTTAGGATAAATTTAATAAGGTTGGCAATTAGGGTAATTAATTAAGGTAATTAGGTAAGGCTTTAGTTTTGGGTTTTTTTTAATTTTTTAATCATAAAAATGCAGTAAATTCATCAGAAAATAATTCAAATTTCCAAAATTCATAAAAATTTTTAAACAGGAAATTTTTATTTCTCAAAAATTCTCAAAACAACTCACCCTACTCCCAAAATTGGCATTCGATCTACTGATTGCCGGAACGTGCGGAGTGTCGTTTGGATCGTCTGAAAATCGGCGATTTTTATGATTTCTAGGTCGAAAATCATCGGAAACGCTGGATTTTTAGCTCAAAATCATGCAAAACTAATTCACAACATACATTGTTTCCTGACCAATGTCGGCGATGGATCGCGTTTCTTAAATCGATGAACATCCACTGAAGGTCGAACTATTTCTAAAAATACACCAAAAATCAATCAGTCAATCACAAAAAAGTTCACACAAACCAACACGACGAAGATCAGTCGAAGAAGAGCCGTTTCGAAGTGGAGTTGATGTCATTGCTGAATTTTTAGAAGTTCAATAGGAACAACATCAAACCGATTAAAAATATAATATGAAATAAATTACAACACTCGTGCTGGAATGGTTTTTTGGGTGAAAAATCATCAAGTAATTTCAAATTTTTCAAAAATAATTTTTTTTTCAAATCAAATTTTCCAGACTAAATTTTTACATGTCTAAAACTACTTTTTTTGAATTTTTAAACAAAATTTGCTCAAAAATAGACATTTTCAGTAGGACTGATTCAAGAACGAAAAAAAATGTTTAAAAATGTTTTTTTTAACATCGAAAGATCAATTCACAAAAAGTCAAAATTAGTTTCTCGAGTTTTTGCAGTCAAAAATGATGACAAATCGAGATTTTTGAAGCTTCTGTGATTTTGTGATTTCTGATGAAAATTGATCATGGAATTCACTTTTCAGTTTTTCGTAAAATAAAAAAATTTCAAATTTTGATTAATTTTCAAAAAAATTAATAAAATGAGGTAAAATAGGGTTCTCGAAGCTTATTTTCATCAGAAATCACCCAGAAACTTCAAAAACCTCGATTTTTCATCATTTTTGACTGAGAAACTTGAAACTCTGATGAAAATAAGCTTCGAGCACCTTATTTTACCTCATTAATTAATTTTTTCGAAATTCATCAAAATTTAAAAGTTTTTATTTAACTAAAAACTGAAAAGTGAATTCCAAGGTCAAATTTCATCAGAAATCACCCCAGAAGCTTCAAAAATCTCGATTTGTCATCATTTATGGGTTGAGTCAATCGAATTAATCGACGTGTTTTTTGCGATTAGTTGATAAAAAAAGTGAGTCTTTTAGGGCGATTAATTTCACGTTTTTGTCAATTCATCGCTTTCATTTCTTGGCAAAAAATGCGATTAATTGCATTAAAAATAGAATTGATTTGACCTATATTTTAAAACGTGACCTATATGAGTTGGAATTATCAACAAAAACATTGTCTTCTCTCAATTTTCTTTCATTTCGAAATGAATTCAAAAAACAAGCAGTGAATTTGGGACACGTTTCAAAAAAGAGGTCGAATAAATTCTATTTCGTATTGAAATTCCTCATTTTTGAATGCAATTAATTGCAAAAAAAGATGGAATTAATCGACAAAAACGTGAAAAAATCGCACAAAAATGACTCACATTTTGTGTCAATTAAATGGCCCGGCAACGGAGATTATGAGTACATTTAAAAATGTTCAAATGTTGATGAATGAAACTCAAAATGCATTTACTTCACAAAAAATTGAAGTTGAACGTAAATTTCAGAAAAATAAAAACTGAAAAAAATAAAAGATATATGTGGCCGAACTATTTTGGTGGCCGAGAAGTGTCGGGAATTCGGCCAAAGCAACAAACTCGCTCTAATGTTGCATTGTTGGAGCGCGTTTGTTGCTTTGGCCGAATTCCCGACACTTCTCGGCCACCAAAATAGTTCGGCCACATATATCTTTTATTTTTTTCAGTTTTTTTATTTTTCTGAAATTTACGTTCAACTTCAATTTTTTGTGAAGTAAATGCATTTTTGAGTTTCATTCATCAACATTTGAACATTTTTAAATGTACTCATAATCTCCGTTGCCGGGCCATTTAATCGTCAAAAAATAAAATTGACTCACCCCATTATGACTGAAAAACTCGAAAAACTAATTTCCACATTTTTTGACTTTCCGTGAATTGATCTTTCAATGTTAAAAAACATTTTTTTTCGTTTGTGAATCAGTGAAAATCAGATTTTCCCTCCCAAAAAAATTTGCTCACCATTTCTAGCCGCCGTAATTCTAAAAGTTGTTCCATCAATCGTAGCATCATCCAACAATTTCCTCGCCTGATCTCTTCTTCGTTCTTCCTCACTATTTTTCCGCGTCAGCGGAGTTGTTGGAAGTGTCGTGGATTTTTCGAGCATATCGCGAGCTCGGCGACGAAGTTCGTCGCGTTTTGAAGGGGAGGCTTGACGGCCCTGGAAAATTGAGAAATGTTGAACGGGGGGTTTTTGAAAATCTACAGAAATTTAACCAAGTTTTCATGGGATTTTTTTCATACCTTCAGAAAATAACTGTAATTTCAGAGTTTTGAATTTTATTTTGAAATTTATTTTCAAAAATAAAATGAAATTCACGTGGCAAAATAAAACGTTGAAATTTTCAAACAATTTTGTTGAATTTCAGATTTTTCAAGAATTTTTGCAATTTAAAAATGTTAATTTTTGGGAGCCACAAAAAAAGAAATCTTTGGAATTTTCAGATTTTTGAGAAAATTTGGATTTGAAGATATTGAATTTTTGAAATTTAATTTGGCGCAAAAATATTCATAGTGAATTTAAAACCCAAATTTTATGAAAAAAAAATCAAATTTGGTGAGAAAAATTCAAATTTCAGATGGTTTTCAGACAATTTTTAGTGAAAACTTGGCTCAGAGGTCCACAAAAATTTTTGAGGTGTTCTTTTGACCCCGAAAGCTGTCTCTGGACAAAATTTTATCAAGATTTGAAGTGTTGAGCAAAAAAGGTTTCATTGTTAGCTGAAATTCACGTGGCAAAATGAATGCCACGTGGAATTCTTCGTAAAAATTAAAAGTGCTCTCAAATCCCCAATTTTCCCCCAAAACCCTCTTCAAAATTCCTCACCGATGCTCGAATATTCGTGAATCCCGGTGTGACCATCGTAATCGATACATCATTTTTATTTCCAAAAACCAAATTCGATGTTTCCGCATCATCATCATCCGTATAAAAATCAGCGTCATTAGTCAACTCGAACTTCTTGTCCTCCTCAATTTTAACATCTCTATAATCCACCGCATTCTCATCATCCTCTTTTTCGCGAATCCTATTAATCATATCCACAACTTTTTGCTCGGCTTCTGAAATTCCGAACATATTCGAAATCCGATGATCTGAAGCGCTAGTTGGAGTGGCATCTTCGAAATTGCCCTCAAAGATTCTTCGAATTTTTTGCAATAGAAGTTCTATCGATTTTCTATCGGGAGTTAGGAAATCGTTCTCATCTGGCACATCATTCATTCCCATCATTTTGATCGCCGCCAACGCTTTTTTGATATTCGATTTTCGGCCATCAACTCGGTCGGAGAAATCGAGTTGTTCATAGTCACCAATCAAATCGCGGCGATAAGTGTGGATGATGGCGCAAAGAGCAAGACCGTTTCGCCAAGATTTTCTGGAAATGAGGAGGGATTATTTAAAGAGAATTTCAGACTATCCAAATCTAGGCCCAGAAAACCATAAGGGAATTGTTTCAACTTGATTCTAATCGAGATTTTGAATAAAATATATGTGTTCTAGAATTTTCGACCCGCTGATCACGATTCCGTTGTCTAAAACTGCAAAACTCAACTCCTAACATAAGTTATGATGTGGCAAAGTTGGGAAATTGGGATTTTGAAGGGTCAGAAATCGTCTTCAAAATGATATTCATAACAATCTACATAATAGCATAGGGTTGTTCAGGAAGGTCGACGATTTATTACAGGGTGACAACAAATTATAGCGACAACCAGAGTTGGTTGAATTTGTCGCTATAATTTGTTGTCGCCCTGTATATAAGTTTAGGCTCATAGAAAAATCTTCTAGATTTTTGTATACTTATGTAATCGAGCCTCCTGAACAACCTTATGCTATCAGATTTTCATGAAAATCATTTTAAAGTCAAATTCTGACTCTTAAAATTCCCAATTTTCCAATTTTCCCACGTCATAACTCAAGTTAGGAGTTGAGCTTTGCAGTTTTAGATAGCGGAATCTTGATCAGCGGCTTGAAAATTCTAGAAAACATATATTTTATTAAAAATCTCGATTGCAAATTGAAACAATTCCCTTGTCAGCCTAGAAATCCAGCTGATTCTGAATTTGATTTTTGAAGTCCCGAAAAAAAACTCACGTAAAATCGCCAACCTTCACTCCACCATAGCCATTCGTGACCCTCTGGCACCAGGCCAACAATCCTTCGCCAACAATTGGCTGCAAGTCGGCGGGTCGAATTGGTGCTCGCGGCGACGCTGAACGTTTTCGTGGCAGTGTGGAATTCAGCAGGGTGTTGTTGGGAGTGTTGGGAGTGGCGGGGATGGCGCGCGAATTGGCATCGACTTCAAAGGTGGTTGTGGTTGGAGGAGCTGGCTCGGGCTCACAAGATTTTTCCACAGGTTCTTGAGAGACCCGCCATTGTGGGCGGATTTTCTCCAAAGATTCTCGATGAGCAGGAACCGGAGGTGGCTCGATTTTCTTCTCAAATATCACTGGAGCAACTTCCTTCAACTCTCTCCTAGCTTCATTTACATTTCTCGCCAAATCCACTTCATCTACAGGTCTTTGCGATATCACAGAAGAGCATAGACTTATTGCATCTCCCTCGGTTACTAGAACACTTCCCAATAGCAAAATCAATGAAGTTTGCCTTAGATGAGGCACCAATGGGCGGAGTTTGAGTTTGAGTTCGCTTTTATGTTCAGGGAGGTCTAGAATGAATAGTCGAACATTTAAAGGGACAGCAGCAATTGCTTTTCGTTTTCCTTTTGCAGTCACTTCTTCTAATATAATCGTCCATTCTTTATCATCAAATTCATCGGCTGCCGAACGATATAACGTTGTGACAATATCGATTGATTCGCTCATTTGCTCTGGCCAAATAATCACACATTTCGCCTGATCTGAAAATGATTGCTCCCATTTTCGCTCTTTGGATGAAATCTTCCTTCGGCGATGGACGAATGAGACAACTAGTGATTCGGGTTTCCAGGTTTCATCTGTGAGAAGTTGCAGTTCTTGTAGAGTGACGGTGAAGCGGTATTTTGCGGCTTTTTTGGATGAGCGACGCAGTCTTCGCAAAATACCCGCCATCTGAAAAATGCAAAATATTGACGTTTTTTTATTACTCATCGGGGAATTCTCTACATATTTTTCAAAACTAAAGAAAAAACACTTTTTTAGCAGACAAAAGTGTAAGATAAAATATGTTCAGAAACCAGATATCAGCTGGAGGAGCAAACTTTACACAGATAAGTGTTCGGCAAGCCCACAGCTCAATAAACAATGAGCGAGGGAGAAAAAGGAGAACGAAAAAAAAAGAAAAAGTGAAAATAATTGGATGCGGCTTGTGCGCTCTTTTGAGAGAAGGCTTGTGCGCTCTGTTGAGAATTGTGCGGAAAAAGACATTTGAATTTTTTTTTCATTTTTTTTTCACTTTTTTGTACTTTTTTCAGCTTTCAGGAAGAAACTTTTCCATAGAAAAAAATCTATCTGAGCGAATCAAAGTTTTTTTTTGACGAAAAATAGCTATAATTGAATTTTGGTTGCAAAGCCTCAAAAAAAAGTTGGACACATCCATCAAACCAATTTAATTATAGCCTTTCTTGATGAATTTTTCATCGAGTTTTTTTTTTGAAAAGTAGCAGAAAGAGAATTTTGAGGGCAAAATGTTTTGAAAATTGCACTTTTTTTGCTAAAAATTAATTTCTGAATAACGAACCTCACGCTTCGGATTTTCAATCGCGAAATCACACCTGACGAGACGTGTCCAAAATGGACACTGTACATTTTTTTCAAAAGTCACACTGCATTTTTTTCGAAAAAAACTTTGTTTCCTTTTCATCAACATTTAACTTGGGGAAATAAATGCACATTTAGTTCAGTGGTAGGCCATTTTGCTAGTGTTCAGAAGGCCCAGGTTCGAATCTTCATTCGAGCTAACTTTTTTAATTTTTTCCTAACTTCAAAAACAACTTCAGCTTGCGAATTTTTTGAAGTTTCTCGGTGAAAATCAACTCAGCAGACTTTGTTTTAGTGTGGTAACATAATGTGCAGTGTGGAATTTACGTGACTGCTTAGCAAACCATAGTGTCACTGAAATTTCAAAAAAATTGACTTTCTATGAAAAAACTTCAAATTCCACACTGCACATGGGTAAATTCAAAAACTACGCTTAAAAATACACCAACTTTCTGAATATACCAACCCTTGATATGTGCTCGAAAAAAAATGCCGTCTGATTCTTTGTAATGTCCATATTTACCATCAAAATGGACACTTCAAAATAACAGCGAAATAGGGCATTTCCACACTGCACTCATGGTGTTCCACACTGCCTATGACCTTAGCAATCTATTGGAAAAAAATCAACTATATCCGTTAAGCCTAAGCTTAGTTATCCTAACTTCAAATTTTGAGCAACGTTGCAACGCATTCGTTTGAAAACAGTTTCCTTTCCACCAACATTTTCCCTCGGGAGAAAAGAGAGATGTGGCCGAGAGGATAGCATTTTAGACTGGCGAGCATGAGACTGGGGTTCGAATCCTCCTGCCCGCGGACTTTTTTTCGAAAAACTTGAAAATTTCACGCTGCACATTTTTTTGAAAAAAATTTTCACACTGCACAAAAAATTTGGGACACTCTCTCGTCAGGTGTGCGCGAAATGCACTTCATATGAACAATCAAAATAATGTACACGTGTACAATTTTTTTAGTTCACGCAAAAAATGCACAGAAAGTTTTTTTTGCAGCTTTTAACATTTTCATCAGCAAATCTCGGTTAGAATACGTTTCAAAATTCTATGAAAAAAAAACCTGAAAATTTTCTGCAGCCAAGAAAACATTTCATTTTTAGAATCTACGGTAATTAAAAAACAAAGCACAATCTACATTGTGTCACAAATATCTCTAAAAATATCACTAACATATTTCAAACCATACGGTGATAAATGATTAGTTGGAAGAATATAAGTCACTCCATGATTATCAAAAAATCGCCAAGTTTTCGAATTTAGATTGTAAAATTTCCCGAAATAATCGATAATTTCACATTTTTCCCCGCAATCCTCTTTCAATTTCGCATATCTTTTTCGAGCATTTTCCCATCTTCCATTATCCAAATCCACCAATTCCTGATCGATTTCCACGAATTTCTTTTTTCCCCGCATTTTTTCAACTATTTTTTCGATTTCTTCCGGATGAATCGGTGGAATTGCATTCAATAAATACATTCGTTTTCCAATATTTTCCAAAAATTCCCGAGTTTTTGCAAGGATTTTTTGATAAATTTGATCATTTGGGTAAATTGGATCTCCATAGCTGAGATATCGAGTCAGATGAAACACATAATCTGGCTTGAATTCATTGAGAAGATTTTGAATCTCTGATACATTTTGATAACATCTCGAAAGGTTTCGAGAGGGGTAAAGAGGCTCGCAACCTGAAATTTGGGATTTCTATGAGCTCAAATCATTTTCGCGCCAAAAACCCACCGTACTCATTGATCTGCAAGATCTCTTGGGCCCTCCCTCCACATGTCTCATAAATCATCTTTCCGTGATTCTGCGCCCAACTATTCCCAATAACCATTATCTTGCTTCCATTGTTCTGAAGACCAGTTTTATAACAAATCCTCTTAGTTCTCCCAAATCTACATTCATTTTGACGAGAATTCTGTGCCTCATTCACAATAAAGTTCATATTAATGTCTTCGACTTCGTTCAAGCTCCAATTTTTGGTTGAAATCTCGTCAAGATTTATCGATTTTTGAGACTTTTCTAAATAGAAAAGCACCGCAAAACTCGCGGCAAAAAACACAAAAATCATTGAAAAAATTAACGAATTCGAGGAACTTCGGGTGTACCATTTCTCAAAAGTCTCATGCGTCAAAACAGCCAAGAAAATCGATAGACATAAGAATGCGAAAAGCTGGAGCTGCGCTCCATTTTGAGTCAATTTCCAATTGATAAAAATTGGCCAATGAATTAAATATAGAGAATAAGAGATGTCACCAAAGTAGGTTAAAACTCTTCTTGATAAAAGTTTAGATGAAGCTGAAATTGTGAAGAGAAATCCAGTTAGAAATGTGATAATTGGTCTGGAAAACAACATTTTTAAACAAATGAGTTTCATAAAAAATCATTTTTTGACAAACACGTTCGCTGCGAAAATTCGAAAAACGTTCATATCCCTTTTTCGTCTTACGTCTCTTCTGCACGCACACTCTCTCGTTTTCTCTCACGTGAAATTGTGTGTGCGTGCAGAAGAGACGCGAGACGAAAAAGGGATTAGAACAAACTCCGCTCATTTTTTTGCTGTATTTCGCCGTGCCACAAAACTGCAAGCCATTTTGCCACTCAAAAACCGATACCTCAAATAAATCGCCGGCAACTCGTGTGGCCAGAAAACTCCCAATAATATCATAAAAATCAAAACTGGCTCCAATATCGAATAGCCAACTTCTTCTTCTTCAATTTTCTGCTCTTTCTCTTCTGCATCATTTTGAATGATTGGCAAATATTTGGGCTCATTCGAATCATCCACGTGGCAAAATGAGAACGCCAGCATTCCGATCATAAATTGCCAGATCCTCGCAAAAACACTCACGAACGCCACGTCACCGGGAATCGCAAAAAAGTACACCAAACTCGTCACCAAAACGATCAGAAAACCCAATTTTCTTCCGATTTTTCTAAATTCCAATTCGGGACTCATCAAAAATATGAGCGGAGCCAACAAATAAAACTGAATTTCCAAACTCAGCGACCAAGTGTGTGTGAAAATATCGCCGCCAATCTTCAGCATTTCAAAATACGTCTCCTCGTCGGTTTTCAGTTGATTCGAGATTAGCAATAGAGCGCGTTTCGCACTTTTCCTGTTATTCTCCATTGTGTGAGCTGGAAATGCCACGTGGAGAAATAGGAGAGAAGTTAGGATAAGTAGGAAGTAGAGAGGTAGGATTCGTTTGAGACGACGGTTGTAAAAGTTGCTGATGATTTCGAGAACCGGAGCATTTTTTGATTTGGTGAGCAACATGCACATAAGAAACCCGGATAGCACAAAAAATCTAGAAATTTCGAATCCAAACATGACCTAGATCCAGAAACTCACTGATCCACACCCAAATAGCCATTCGGAACAAATTCTGGATAAAAGTGAAAACCAAGCACTGCCAAAATTGCCAATCCTCGCACACCTTGTAAATCCTGTCGCTTTTCAGACATTGCCTTGTCTCGAAGATCTTAACTTGATTCTGAAGAGCTTCTAGATAGGAGGCTGTGTAGATTATATAGTGAAACGTTTATCGACAGGTGGATCAAAACGAATTGTTGTCATGCGAAAATCAGATAAGGTGGATTGTAATTGGTCGAGATATGATTGAATGTGGATAAAATTTAAAAACGTGTTTCAAATGTTGAGGAGGATTTTCAGAAACAGCCAATGCATTTTCCAATTTTTTTCCGACGGATATATAAATAATTGTTTTCCGAAAAGTGAAGAAATATGTGCTTTCAGGACAAATTATTTTGGCATTTCTGAAAAACATAGAAAATTGTTACAAGGGAACGTTTTTTACTCAACGAAATTTTGAGACTACCAAGTTTTTGGGATGAGGAAACCAGTCCGATTTTTATTTTTCTCCCAATCGACCTTGGAGCCAAGTTCTGAGCTCTCAAAAAGGCTTAAAGAGGCACCATATATAGCTCATTTTCAAATTTATTTTTGGGAGAAATAAAGTTGCAGATATTTATCGGCATAGTTTACTGAAAATACATCAATAAAATTTTTATTATCGAAAAATTTTTTTAAATCAAGTGTTGAGCAAAAACTTTTTCGATTTTCCAAAAAAAAATTTCTGTCATCGATCTACTAAGTTTTTTGTTGATTATTACATGAGATAAACGTTCAGGTTTGGGAATTCAAAAACTTTATAGTAAAAATCTGCCAGCAATAAAAACAACTTATGCGGAAACCTTGGCCATACGTCTGCGGAAGACTTTGCGGTGTTTGACAACATTTCTGGCTGGGCATGGACAATAGGCGGCATCTGATCCTGGTGCTCCTGGATTTCCTGGTGTTCCAGCTGGTCCTGGCCCTCCGGCTTGTCCTGGTTGTCCATTTGGTCCTGGCGCTCCTTGTTGTCCTGGGGCTCCTGGGCCTCCAGCATTTCCTGGTGCTCCTGGAGCTCCGGCTTGTCCTTGTGGTCCTTGTGGTCCAGCTGGTCCTGGAAGTCCTCGACTACGTTGTCCAGATTGTCCTGGTGCTCCTGGTTGTCCAGCGTTTCCTGGTGCTCCTGGTGTTCCGGCATCTCCGGCAGGTCCCGGTGGTCCAGCTGGTCCAGCACCTCCTCCAAATCCTGGGGCTCCTGGTTGCCCATTTGGTCCAACTGGTCCCGGCGCTCCTGGCGCTCCGGCTGGTCCTGGAGATCCAGCTGGACATTTGATGCAAGGCCCGTCATTTCCAATAAGTCCAATAGTGACACCATTGGCTCCTGGTTTACCAGCGGCTCCTGGAAGTCCAGCATCTCCTGGAGCTCCCGGTGTTCCTGGTGGTCCTGGTGGTCCAGCTGGACAATTGTTAGCACGAGCTCCGCAGTTACATTGAGCTGCTTGACGCTTGATGACTCCACGTTTGATGCGACCGAAGACAGATTCTGATGGACGGGTGGTTTGAACCATTGAAGTCCAGGCTTGTTGTTCATTGTACTGGAAAAGGAAAGTTTCAGAAGAGCTCTTAAAACCTCCCGATCCTTACCTTGAACTCAGTCATAGTATCAATAACATCATCATAGAACGCGTTGATATCGTTGAAAATATACCCGACGGTAAACAAACACGCAATAACAGCGACACCGCTCGCAACACTTGCGATCTTCACCAAAGTCTTCGCACTCATGATTTGACTGCTAGTACTGAACCCTTTCCGAGACTTGTGTTTTATACTAGAATGTTTCCAAGGACATTTCCGCTTTACTACGGGATTGATAGTGGTTTGTGGGTGGAATTGACCTTGATGGCAAAAAATGGCAACAAAAAGTGAAAGGATTTTGAATTGGTCAGCGAAAATTGTTTTGTTTTTTGAGAAATGGAAATGAAAAAAAAATTGACGAGCTCCCCGACGAGCTCGAAATATGTTTTTTAAACTTTTCAAAAAAGAAAACATGAGACTATAATCGCTAATCGCTGTCTATCTAAAAAAAATTCAAAATGATTACATTTTTGAAAAAAATGCCAAAACTAGAAAAACATAAAAAAGAAAATGAATATTCCATCGATAAATGTCGAATCTCAAATTATTCGAATCGATTGATAGGCAACTTATGCTACATAGATTCGCAAATTCTGAAACTACGAAACTCCACTTATAATCCATCGAGTTTTCCGAGTTTTGAACAACTTCTGCATGCTCCAAGTGTATTACATTTGGCGGGGAAATATGGGGTGAGTTTATTGATTTCTGAACAAGCAAATAATTAAATTAATGGATGCTTTCAGCCAATGTCAGGTTGGCCTTTGACAATCCAAGAATTTGGAGAAAAACAACAACAATTGAATATAACTTGCTGTACAGAAGATTCCGTAAGTATTTCAAATCTGTCAGTTAACACGTGAGTTTTCGGATAAAAAATTCAAAAATTGTTCATAAATCAAAAATATGTGCTTGCAGAAAACATTGGCTGAAGTTTGATATAATGCTATCGATTGAATTTTTGAAGACTCTAGACTTTTTTCAATATTTGAAGCATAGCGATCAAATTGTTTTGGCTAAAAAATCAACAATAATTATCGAATCAATGATTTTTGCGTATACCTCGTTTCAAAATAAATCGGCCTGTTTCAAAAGTCCTGATGGATTTTACATTGATATCCAGAACATGTTAGTTTCGAAAAAAAATATTTTTATTTTCGAATTTTTTTTTCAGGATCGATATTATTGATGTTTTCACAGAAGGAAATATTCGGTGAGATTTATTTTTTTCATAGGAAAAACATCTATAAAATGTTACGTTTCAGAAAAAATGAAAATGTTCTGCGAGATCATTTAAAATCTTCGCAAAACGTTATGGGATATCTAATTCAAGAAAATGTCACCAAAAAGGAATTTATTTTATTGCAAACTATTGCAATTTGTGATCCAATTGTAGATTTGTCAGAAGAAGGAAGAGAAATAATTCGCAAAAATCGTCAAAAATATTCGAGAATTCTATTGGACCTCTGCCTATTGGAATATGGCAAAAGAAACGGGCCATCGAGATTTGTGACACTTATAAGCTTTATTAATTTGATTATTTTTTATCGAGATACATTTCGAAATTTCATGTTATTTTCAAAAATCAATACACCATCTAAATTTTCAAAAACAATTGGTCCTTTGGAAAACGCAGTGCTTGAATTGTATTAATTTAATGTTATTTCACAGCGAAAAAATTATCTGTACATATCCCTTATTCGTCTCGCGTCTCTTCTGCACGCACATTCTCTCGTTGTCTCTCACGTGAAATTGTGAAAAATAAATCTGTTAATTTTTTTTGAAAAGATGAAAATAAACAAATTTGATTTTTCTGTGAATGAAATTCGAAGATTGAAAGATTCAATTGCGAAAACATCGGAACAATTTTTTGAAGTCATTGAAGCAATCTGAAACAAAAACATAATTCTGATATTTTTCAACTCAAAATACCTTTGATAGCTTTGTGGTAATCTGTGATTATATACATAACAATCAATGAATCGATAGCTGGATAGATCTCGAATAAACTCAGAAGAATTCCAGTTGGAAGACTTATTTGAAACTGGAAAAACTGGAGGCATAAAATAATGATGGTTGGAATGACAAGCAGAATAGTTAGAGTTGCAACTTGAAAAACCAAAGTTTTGAAAAAATTGGCTGTGAAGTTTACGAAGAGATGGCGAATATTTTGCGTTTTTGCAGTAGATTTTACGACGAATTTTGAAGCCGCAATAGAAAATGATAACATTTTGCAGAGTTGATGTGAAAATACCAATTGTCAAGTGAAACACATTTTTCCATCTGATTTTTTTGTTCTCCTCATCAAACAAAACACTTATAAACCCGGTTGTATTCTGTACCACAATTCCGTAAATTTTCAAAATCTCTGGGGCAACATATTTCAACGAATATTCATCCGGAGCAAGCAAATATGTGCATGAAAAATAGCAGGACGATCCGATTATGAGTGAATAAGTTATCCAAAGTGTGATGCGTTTTCCTCGAAACAAGAATAATTGCGCAGGTTTGGCTACGGAAAAATAGCGATGGATGAACATCACTGCGAGAAATGCTGTTGATGTATAAAATGAGCCACCATAGGCTGACAGAAGTCGAGACATGTTCTCACTTGAAATCAAAGTTGATTCGATGGTTGAGAAAAAAATCAATCCACACACCTGACGAGAGAGTGTCCCAAATTTTTTGTGCAGTGTGAAAATTTTTTCAAAAAAAAAAAATGTGCAGCGTGAAATTTTCAAGTTTTTCGAAAAATAAGTCCGCGGGCAGGAGGATTCGAACCATGGTCTCATGATCGCCAGTCTAAAATGCTATCCTCTCGGCCACATCTCTCTTTTCTCCCGATGGGAAAATGTTGGTGGAAAGGAAACTGTTTTCAAACGAATGCGTTGCAACGTTGCTCAAAATTTGAAGTTAGGATAACTAAGCTTAGGCTTAACGGATATAGTTGATTTTTTTCCAATAGATTTCTAAGGTCACAGGCAGTGTGGAACACCATGAGTGCAGTGTGAAAATGCCCTATTTCGCTGATATTTTGGAGTGTCCATTTCAATGGTAAATATGGACATTACAAAGAATCGGACGGCATTTTTTCGAGCACATATCAAGGGTTGGTATATTCAGAAAGTTGGTGTATTTTTAAGCGTAGTTTTTGAATTTACCCATGTGCAGTGTGGAATTTGAAGTTTTTCCATAGAAAGTCAATTTTTTGAAATTTCAGTGACACTATGGTTTGCTAAGCAGTCACGTGAATTCCACACTGCACATTATGTTACCACACTAAAACAAAGTCTGCTGAGTTGATTTTCACCGAGAAACTTCAAAAAATTCGCAAGCTGAAGTTGTTTTTGAAGTTTGGAAAAAATAAAAAAAAAGTTAGCTCGAATGAAGATTCGAACCTGGGCCTTCTGAACACTAGCAAAATGGCCTACCACTGAACTAAATGTGCATTTATTTCCCCAAGTTAAATGTTGATGAAAAGGAAACAAAGTTTTTTTCGAAAAAAATGCAGTGTGACTTTTGAAAAAAATGTACAGTGTCCATTTTGGACACGTCTCGTCAGGTGTGTCAATCCACCATTGACTGAGTGAATCATCTGTTGAAAACATTAATTATGTACCCTGCCTTTCAAAAATATCAACTAACCGGCTGTACCACATAATTCAGGCTGTCAAAAAATATCCCAATTATCGAGAAAATAATAATCAAGATTTTATAAGTGCCAAAATCTCTTTTGACATACCAAATAGTCAAGATTATTAATGTGATATTGGTGAAGAACGTGGAAATTAGAGCGAAAGTTGAGATGAAGTTGTAGATTTTTAGAAAAATTTTGATTTTTAACATTATTTTTTGTGATTTTGTGATATATGGAATCTCTAATCTCGTTTTATAGGGATCGAACGGAAATTGAAAAACTATGGTATTCGCACTATTGTTTTTCTCTAACATTTTAACATATCACAGATATCAAATATTGCTCGTCTTGGAGTTGAAAATTCACAATCAAAATTTTTAAAAACCTGAGCGCCGGGCGGGGGTCGAACCTGCGTTTCGCAAATGATAAGCAGCCGTGCGAACCACTCGGCCACGTCATTTTTCGATGTCAAAAAGTGTACTAAATGTTTTTGAAAATGTATTTTTGGAATTACCGAGAAAAACTGAAGGAAATTGAGTTACCGTAACGATTGCACTGTTGTTTTTTTCTATCAATCAAATAACAGAGAAATCTGATATTATTGGGAATTCAACTGTATTTGGATAGGAATGTTATTTTGATATCTAGAGCCTAATTGGTTGAAATTCAGATAAACAGAAAAAATCTATGAAGCAAAATAACAACTTTCTGAGTTCCCCATATATTTTTTAATCAAATAAATCCTCATTTCACTTTGATAAAATTTCATTCATAAGCTTGTCAGCTTATCCGTGAATTTTTCTATGCGTTTTCCTCAAATTATTTTTTTACTATAAATCATCGAAAGCGAAAAAAACATTATTTTTTTGTTCAAAAACTTTTTGAAAAAAAGTGGGCGGAGTCTGTTCATATCCCTTTTTCGTCTCGCGTCTCTTCTGCGCGCATACTCTCTAGTTTTCTCCCACGTTCGATTTTTTGTATCTAAAAAAATTTCTGATTCAACTTTGAAGAAAAAGATCTTATCCTCAACTACCAGTTAAAATCGAATGTTAATCTAGATTTTGTCTTGTTCTACATATCTTTCTGCTGTTCCCTTTTTCATTTCCTGTCAGATTTTTCTTGTTGTGATTTTTTGCAGGTGTTTTTTGAGATTTATGAATAGAAAAATGATTTTCTGAGTTTTTCAGAGATCTTTGTTACAATTATTTTATTTTTTTTCTCCAGTTTTTGTATTTAGTAGTATTAGAATGAAGTATAATTTCTCTTCTTTGTTTTTTTTGCTAGAAAATCTCTGCCTGATTAAAAATTAATCTCTAATCTAGCTGCTTGAAAAAATGCTAGACGGAAATAATATTTGTGACTTCTGAGAATTACTTGTTTTTTTTTCTCATTATTTATGAAAACCATATTTTTGGCAGACTTTTTCTGCTTTCATTTTTGTTTATCGAATGACTGAAAAATATTATGAATCACAATACAAATTTTATTTTTTTTGGTTTGTTTTTTTGAGTCTGCAGGTATTTTTTAGTCTATGTAGATTTCCTTCGTGAAATTCAAATAAAAAAATTTCACGTGAGAGAAAACGAGAGAGTGCAAGCGCAAAAGAGACGCGAGACGAAAAAGGGATAGATTTCGTTTTTTTTTTAAATTTCCGCAAAGTTTTTGAACAAAACCGTAATTTTTTTCGTTGCGGGTGAAATTCCCCAGTTAAATTTTGAATCAAATTTGGAAAATCAGAATTTTCTGACGTTCAAAAAATTCTCAAATTTTTTTTTAATTCTATTTTTTGAAGTTACAAACAAAGCTTGTTTTGATGCCCAGCCCTGATCTATTATTTCCTACAGCTTTTGTACTTTTTTCAATAACAAAATCTCATCACTTCAAAATTTTTTTATTTTCTACCCTCCAACTTGTTTTCAGTCAATAATGCAGTTCGCACAACTCCCATCATCTGAAACATTCTCGCTTGCAACAATCCCCAAAGAAATCGAGATCTACAGCCCATGCAAAGTTTGTGGTGACAAGGCGCACGGTGTGCATTTCGGTGTGATGGCTTGTCGAGCTTGTGCTGCATTCTACAGACGATTTATCGTGCTGAATTTGGAGTATGAGTGTTTGAATGATCCGAGGAAGTGTGCAGTTGATAGTACGAGACGAAGTTCTTGTAGACATTGTCGATTTCAGAAATGTTTGAAAGTCGGGATGACTACGGATAGTGAGTGGAGTTTTGGAAAGTTTTGTTCTGAATTTCAAGATATTATTTTTTTCAGATGTTCAATTCAATCGAGATGTCTATTCTCAGGAACGTCGGAAAAAGAAGAATGCTTCGGAAATCAATGGAAATATCCCATCGACAAGTTTACATCGAAGCGAACTAGCTGTGCAAGAACAACTCTATCGTTCAACAGTTTTCGAGGAGTGCAAGAATATAAGTATCAGAATTGAATGTGAGAAGATCTTCCAAAGAAATCATCCCAACATGAATGACGAATTTGGCAAACTTAATCACTTGCAAAAAATCGCCATCGGTCTCGAAAAACTGCGAGCCGGTGAAGATGTGATCGACATCAAATTCAATAATCGATTGAGTTTCGATAACTTGGTGCCACATTGGGCGTGTGTTTCGAAGAAGTTGGCCGAACTTGTGATGCATTCGTGGGCTTTTCGGAATATCGATTTGTTTGAGCAGTTGAGGATTTTCAAATATGTTTGGAAAACACTTCATCGTCTTGAGAGATTGCAAATGACTGTGCAGGTTTATGGAGAGAAATGTGTTGATGAGAAGGTGAGAAATTCAAGTGAGAGTCTATCCCTTTTTCGTCTGGCGTCTCTTGCACACACACGATAATGTTTACTCTCTCGTTTCCCCTGTTTCTCAGCGGAAACAACAAAAAAATCAATTTTCAGAAAATCATAATCAATTGTGAAAGAGCCATTCAACTCGATGCTCTTTTCATGGACATCGAGGGAATTTCCAAAGAAAAGAAGCGATTCACCCTGACAGAATTCAAAAAATACGCAAATCGTCTGATAAATGAAGTCGCTCGCCCTTTGTGCAAATTCAAATTCTCAACAATGGAAGTCAGCTACATGCTATGCATGGTTTGTCAATACAACGAGCAACAATATTTTGGCAATAATGTCACGCCGGTTTCCGATGCTTTTGAAGATGAAATCGCAAATAATCTTCATCAGTATTATATGGATATGGGGATACATAATTATGCGCCGAGAATTCAGCAGATTATGAAATGTGTTATTGCGATGAAACGAATTCATAATGATGATTATATTGGGAATCTTGTCAATCCTCCAACTCCATTTAAAATTGATCAAAAATGTGCACAACAATAAATGAGCTCTGTTTCATTTTATAGAATATTCTGTTCAAGAACAAATCTTTGAGATTATGTGATTTTAGAATAATAAAATATTCAATTTAATTCAACCTTTTATTTTTGATGACGTTTAGAGTTAAAAACATGAATAGTGTTTTATATCGTTGAACAGATCTGAAATTTATGTAAAAAATCCAGATTTACTAATAAATTTACAAACCTTTGATAGCTTTGTGATAATCTTTGATTATATACATAACAATCAATGAATCAATAGCTGGATAAATCTCAAATAAACATGTTAGAATACCAATTGGGAAACTCATTTGAATTCTGAATAATGGGAGACATGTGATTATGATTACTGGGATAATAAGAAGGATAGTTGGAATAGCAACTTGGAAAACCAGAGTTTTGAAAAATTGACTGTGAAGTTTACGGAGAGATGGGGAATAATTGTTGTTTTTGTGATACATTTTACGACGGATTTTAAAACCGCAATAGAAAATGATAACGTTCTGAATAAGTATTGTGATGAAGCAGTATACCAAGTACATCAGATTTCGCCATCTGATGTGTCCATCTGCATCAAATATAACGATTATATTGTCCTTCCGAAAAAAAAAAGAACCTTGGAAGAGAACCGACATGGCCTAGGAAACCAACACTACAGTAGACTTATGGATCAATTCATCTGAAGAAAAAATGAATTTCGCGACATTTTTTGTCGCGAAATTGCAATTCGTGAAACGACACGAAATAAACACAAAAATAAAGGAGAAATATTAAAGGGACACGTAATCGCTGCGAGACCCAACACACGAAAAAAGAATTTCCTCTTTTATTTTATTAATTTCGTGTCGTTTCGCGAATTGCAATTTCGCGACAAAAAATGTCGCGAAATTCATTTTTTCTTCAGATGAATTGATCCATTAGCGAAATTTTGGAGTCAATTTGAAAAATAAAATGCGAAATTTACACGTTGGCTATTTGCCAACCAGTTTGATGTGCATGTGTCACGTCATTTTTAGTCTACTGTACGTGAGCGCCAATTCAAACGGGGGTTCTTTTATTTTCGGAATGACAATAATTGCGGGAGTTTTTTTAATAAAAAGATTGTACACTTCTCGAAGCTCTGAAGCCACGTAGTTTAATGAATACTCATCTGGAGCACCGAAAAATGCATTAAATATACAACATCCAACGCCAGATAGGAGTGAGTAAGTGACCCAAAGAGTTATTCGTTTTCCTTGGAAATGAAATAATTGCGCGGGTTTCACTATGGAAAAATAGCGATGAATAAACATGACTGCAAGGAAAGATGTGGAGATGTAGAATGAGGCACCGTACGCAGACAGAAGTCGAATAAGATTCTCCCTGGAGATGAAATCGGTGTCAACGAGAGTGAAGAAAATTAAAGCAACACCCTCGTATAATAGGCACTTTCTTGAAAAAAAGCCCAAATGTTCTCAAATCTTAGATTTAGCTTAGTTTTCCTGTTTTCTAGTTCGGAGAAAAAATTCAAAACGTTTGAATAAGTAGTCGCCGAAATATGGAAGCCCATTGAAAAACTGAAAAAACTCAAATTCAAACAACGCGGGCTAGCGTCAACGCGGAGTCTCGTTGTTTTCTTTTTATTTTTTCGCAACATTTTTCCGTTTTTTTTTCGGAAAATGACAATTTGCATGGAAAAAACTGTTTTCTGGGTATGAAAAAAATAAAGTGAAGAAGTATAAACACGAAGATTCAATATTTCAGACGAAAACTAAATTTTTCAATGGAAATTGTGTTTTTTCAGTTTTTGACCGGAATATGCAATATAAAACTGAAAAATCATTGTCAAAAATGAAAGTAGAGATAGTTAAGGATGTTCAGAAATCATTGTTATAATTTATTTCATTGTTTTCAGTGAAACAATTCACTTTTTGTTGAAAAAAGTTGAAAGGGGTACTGTAGCACACAATCGTCGTCACAGTGTTTGCACAAATTTCATGAAATTGCGGATCTGCACAATCTGCAGGCGATTTTCAAAAAAAAATAATTTTTTTTCTCAAAAGTGGTCAAATTTGATCGTTTTTAATTATTTCTTTTTCATATTTATTGTGAACATAGCTGGATAGGTTAATTTTATATATTTTGGTGTTTGAAAGCATTTCGCAATGGCCTTATTATACGAGGGTGTTGCTTTAAACCAGAATTGACTGAATGAATCACCTAAAAACTCAGCTCATTTGAAAATTGTTTTCAAAACAAACCGGTTTTACGAGAACATCCAAGCTATCAAAAAGGATTCCAATTATTGAAAATATCACGATCAATTTTTTATAAGTGCCAAACTTTCGCTTCACATACCAAACAGTTGATATTATCAATAAGATATTAGTGAACAATGTGAAAATAAAACCAAAAATTGAGATGTAGTTGGAAATATTCAGAAGCGGTTTAATGTTCGAGAACATTTGAGGTTATTGTGAAGATCTCATTTTTGAACAATAAATATAACATCCAGGAAATGAGAATACCGTAATTATTGCACTTTTGTTATGTCTGGTACAAATACAATTTTATATAGTATGTATATATGTGAACTCCTGGGCATGGTATATTTAGGTTGCAAAATATGAGGTTTATGAATTGTGGTGTTGATTGAAACTCAAAGTGTTGGAAATTTTGAATTCAAAAAATCATTCGTGTTCAAATAATCTAGCCGTGTTTCCCCAAAACAATTGTTGTCTAGTTATATCGCTTCAGGTATATTTTGCGTCAGGTGTGATTTATTTATTAAGGAGTATCGAGATGAAATGTTAAACTAAAAAAGTGTTTACCAGTGAGACTAAAAAACAACTTTTTATTTTCCATTTTTTCTCTTTCTAGGTTGTATTGTTTACTATTTGAAGTTTCTAGTCGTTCTTAGGCTGTAAAGGCGAAGCTCAAACACTCGTTCGGTAAAATTAGAAGTGGAGTGCTAGAGACATCCATTGTATAAATATCGCAGCCCTAGTCAAAGTAATTCTCTAGTTCTAAATAATAAGATTTATTACACTTGATTTTTGTTTTCATTTTCATGACTTGTGATCCTTGATCATACATTTTCTGAAAAGATTGTTGTGAACAAACATCAACAAAATCGACCATTAAAAAACTGAAACATTTCAAGTGGAAAACCGGTATTCTTACTATAAAAGACCATACTGAACATTATTATTTGGTATCATGTATATTCTTTTTTGCCAAAGGTGTTTTTTGTCTCAAATTCGTATTTCTCCCAAAAAACACCCAATATTCCGCACAAATTTCAATTTTTCAGTTGTGGACCAAATTTCTACAATATGCAGATCTTCAAGGACATTTTAAATGGTATGTAAGTAGAATTAAAATATATATACAGGCAGAATTCAAATCTACATTTTTTTCCTCCAGTTTAGTCTGATTCGCTGATTTTTCGAGACATTCAAAAAATTTTGTCGATCAAAAAAAATCACAGGTAAAAGAGCAAAAAATATTTATTTTGACCAAAAAAAATGATTAAAAAATAAATTGGGGTAAAAGAGTATAAGAAAATATAGGATCGATTGCTGAGAATAAAAAGTCCACATTTTCCCGAAATATTATGGATACATTCCTCATTGATCAAGGAAATTACTCAAATTATTTTGGGAAAAAAGCGTCTTTTCTTCGAATCAATCGAAAAAGTCGCATTTTTCCCAAGGTATTTTGAGACTTTCTTGAATCGATACAAGAAATACTCGAAAATTTTTCGGGAAAAAATGCGCCTTTTTCGATTGATTCAGAAAAAAGTCACATTTATCCCGAAAGATTTTTGAGAATTTCTGATCGACACAAAAAGTCTCGAAAATGTTTCGGGAAAAATGCGACTTTTTTCGAAAAGATCAAAAATTCTCAAAAATACTTTGGGAAAAATGCGACTTTTTTCGATTGATTTGAAAAGGCGCATTTTTCCCAAAGGAATTTTGGGACTTTCTTGAATCGACATAAAATTTCTCAAAATACTTCGGGAAAAGGGGGATTTTTGTACAGAAAAGTACCATCACAAAAAAAAACAAAAAAAAATAATAACTAGAAGAGTGATATGGGGAAAATTAGCATAATTTCCTCCTTCGTTTGATTTGTCTCGAGTTGCAGACGATGTCACATCCTTGGAATTGAGCACCGACGAATTGAGCAGATTTCCTAGAAAAGTAATAATTTTGATTTTGAACAAAAATGTAATTTATAAGGTAAAAATTTCCCACTACGGAGTGTTTTTTGTTATAATTTTTCGTTCGGGAATGGACCTGAACAATTGAAAAAAAGGGTTTTGAGGATCCCGGTTCACAATAATTCATGACATGCACAAATTAAAGATTTTAATGAAACCCTATGAAAATTTTGAATTTACAAAAAGGATTTTTTTCGATTGATATTAGCCGTCTTATTCGCTCCATTTAGGCACGGTCTTTTAAAAGCCCGACTCGAGCTTCCTGAAAATCCTCCAAAACTACAATTCTGTTCTGTTCAATTCATCCTTCATCGAAAATTGAACAGAATTCTCATATTTTATCGAAAAATACATAAATGACTATTTTTACAAAAATATAAACACTTACAACATTTCATCATCATTCCATCATCGCAAATCCATCAATTGTCCATTTTTGTTCATCTGTAACAAAAAAATTCATATAGAACATGTTTTTCTTCAAAAAAACAGTAAAAAACGTTTTGCAAAAAAAAAAAGAAAAAAATAAAAGTTTGTCCGAGAGAAATACAAATGTGTTTGGTTTCCTAGTCCACGGCCACACAATTGTCAGCACTTTCCAATTTTATTCGAACTGTTTGTGTTTTCACGTATTTTTCAAGCGAAAACACGTTTAATAACACATTGAAAATAAGTTTTTTGTGGTAAATAGATGAAATACTACTTGATTGACATTTTGGTATTGAAATTTCATCAGAAAATGTGGAAATTCCTCTGTTTTGAAGGAAAAATTGTTTTTCAATTCATTTTTTCTTGATTTGATGTTTTCTTTGTCAAATTTATCTCAAAATAGTCAATTTTAATACGCTTTACTCAATTTCAGCGCAAAAGCTTGTTATTTATAGTTTTCCCTTGAGATTTGTGAATATCCCAAAATTACCTTGGGAAAAATGCGCCTTTTCAAATCGATCGAAAAAAAGTCGCATTTTTCCCAAAGTATTTTTGAGATTTTTTGATCTTTTCGAAAAAGTCGCATTTTTCCCGAGACATTTTCGAGACTTTCGGATCGACTCAAGAAATTCTCAAAAGTATTTCGGGAAAAATGTGACTTTTTCTGAATCAATCGAAGAAGTCGCATTTTTCCCGAAGAATTTCCGAGTATTTATTGTATCGATTCAAGAAAGTCTCAGAATACCTTGGGAAAAATGCGACTTTTTCGATTGATTTGAAGAAAAGACGCATTTTTCCCAGAATAATTTGAGTAATTTCCTTGATCAATGAAGAAGGTAAGAAGAGTATTTCAAACAATAAAACAACAAAAGAATAAATCGGATTGGTGGGAAAGTGAACGGGAAAAAAGGGACCAAATGTCCCGATTCTTGTGAAATCAACAAATCAAGAGAAAAAGTGGACAGCATTCAAAAAATGTATAAAGTTTTTTGAACAATGCGAAACACACGGGAAACTTGCGACAAAAGACCCTATATTTTGGTTATTTCTATACTCGATCAAGAAAAAAGTGTAGATTTGAATTCTGCCTGTATATATATGTTCACCGGTTTTTCTGTAAAAGTATATAAATGCGATCTTATTTTTGTTATAGTTTTAAAAATTTTCAAATACTATATAACAGGTTTTAAAAATTTAAAAAAAAAAATCCTATATTACAGGTGACGTGCTCGCTTCTACCACTGCTCCAGTTAAACTTGTCGATGGATTTTTGTACGAATTCGAAACAAGATATATGCTCAAAACAAATGATGGAAGATTTATTCCCGAAGATGAGTCAACTGATGATGACGAGGGCCAACTCAATTTGGATTTTGTTTTGAAACACAATTTGCAACTTGTGCACTTTGATTTACATGAGTGTTATGAAAAAGAAAGAATAGAGACACTCAATGGTTTTATAGGACATTATTTGAGAAAAGTAAAATATGATATGCGTGCCAAACACCGCAGCGAAGAAGATATGAATGAATACATGAAGAAGACTTCAAAATGGAGTTCGGACTGGCATACTGACGCTCGCATCAAAAAGCTTCAATTTTTCGTAGGTATGTGATTGAAAGTTTTTATTTGTTAAGCATGTTTCATTCCCCTGTCTAAGATAGTTTTTTCCTCATAGATCAAGAACTTTCTAACGAAGTTTCCTTGCACTATTCTAGAAATAAAAAAAATTAAATTAATGAACGCAATAGAACCGTGTCGACGGCGATGATGGGGTGAATCATACAAAAAAATTGACAAAAAAACGGGATCTTATGTACTGACTTGAGCTAAGTTTCATTCTTGTGTAATTTTAAAGGGTTTTTTTACAGCCAGGTATGACGGAAGCGTTGTGGTTGTTGAAGAAAGAGAAGTCAATGGGAAAGAAACCTATGTTGTGATGCTTCCGAAGGAGGCTGTTGTTGTTTCAACAGAATAATATTAATCTTGATTTTCACCATATATACCTAGGCTATTTTTCTTTTTATTTATACGTTTCAAAACTTGGTACTGAGAATGCAGATTTCACAAAATTTTGATTCACAGCGAAAAGTTTCAGCTGGAAATCTTGATAAAAAATTGAAGAACAACATGAAAAAATAACCAAAAATTGAGAGGTAATTGGAAATATTCAGAAGCGGTTTGATATTCGAGAATTTTTTTGGATCGAACAGTGCTTGTTTAACAGCATGTATAGTATTTCATATCATTGAAAAAATCTGAAAAGAACAATTTTAAAACATTTTTTCTCTCAATTCAATTCACCTTTGATAGCTTTGTGATAATCTGTGATTATATACATAACAATCAATGAATCGATAGCTGGATAAATTTCAGAAAAACATATTAAAAAACCAGTTGGTAAACTAATTTCGAATTGGAAAAATGGGAGACATGCGATTATCATTACTGGGATAACTAGAAGGATAGTTGGAGTAGCCACTTGGAAAATCAGAGTTTTGAAGAACTGATTGTGAAGTTTACGGAGCGATGGAGAATAATTATTGTTTTTGTGATACATTTTACGACGAATTTTGAAACCGCAAAAGAAAATGATAAAATTCTGAATAAATATTGTGATGAAACAAAACATCAAATAAATCAGATTCCTTAATCGAATCTTCCCATCAGCATCGAATAGAATAACTATGACAGCTGGGGTTTCTTCAATAAAACGATTATAAACTTCTAGAAATTCTGAATAGACGTAGTTTGATGAATAATCATCTGGAGCACCAAAATATGAATTTGCTATACAACATGATAAACCGATTAGAAATGAGTAAATAATCCAAAGAGTTATTCGTTTTCCTTGAAAATAGAATAATTGCTCAGGTTTGACGACAGAAAAATAACGATGGATAAACATGACTGCAAGAAATGCAGTAGAAATGTAAAATGATGCACCATACGCAAATAGTAGCCAAGTTCAATATTTTAAGGAGATTGAAGAGGGTTCAGCGGCTGAGAAAAATAAGAAGCCATTGAGTGAACCATCTGTGTATTTCAAAAAATTTTGTCTAGGAAGTTTTGAGCTCACCGGTTTTACTAAAACATGCAACCCGTCAAAAAATATTCCAATAATTGCAAAAATCACAATCAGTATTTTATAGATTCCGAAATTCCGTTTGATATACCAAACAGTTAGAATGATCAATGTTACATTGGTGAATAATGTGAAAATATATTCGAAGATTGAAATGTAGTTGGAAATTTTTAATAGAAATTGAATGTTTTGCCGATACATAGCTGGTTTTATGAAAATAGTTTTTCGAACGAAAATTTTGAAGGGGGATTGGAATTCTTTGGAATCAGCACTTTGTTTCCCCTCTTCATGTCAGGTAAATAATTAAAATGAAATCTCGATGGATTTTATTGACAAGGGAATCTCTTCAGCTCGCGGTCGAGTTTTGAGCTGAAAAAATTATTGGGTTCAGATGTTCTAATGGTCATATAAAAATTCAACCGTTGAACTCCACTCTGAGCACAAGACAGTGAGCTCAGAAGTTTGAGCATTTTCAAGAGGGAATACAGCAGTTTATATTTTGACTACTAAAAAATATTAGAACATCTCAAAGTACCACAAAAACATTTTTCAGCGTAAAACTTGACCGCGAGCTGAAGAGGTTCCCATGTGAAAGTTTTAGTAAAAGCAAGTTTTGTTCATTTGTTTTCAATTTCATTTTGTGTTCAATTTTACCAAGCTAAAATCAACGAAGATTCACGAAATGAACCGAGACGAAAAAAAGGATATGAACAGGTTCCGCCCACTTTTTTTTTGAAATTCCGCAGCGAAAGATATAACACAAATTCAAAATCAACCTCACAACAAAATAATTTATTTAAAAAACACTTCAATGTTTAAATTTCACAAACGAATTCTGCATTCGAATGATATTTTCATATTCATTTTCATATTTTTGATCCCATTTTCCATTTTTTTGTTGATATTCATTATCCAAATGTGATCGATCGAATTCCGGAAAAACCAAATAATCATTGAAATATGTTTTATGAAGATATTCTCGAATGATTGGATCAGTTTTGACTTTTTGAACTGTTTGATTTCTCAATGAAGATTTATGTGTTGAATGTGGAGTTTCGGATTTCAGTGTGTTCTTCAAGATTTTTGAAATATATTTTTGCGGCACATTTTTACGTCGCAAAATATCTGACAACTGTGAGAATGGTTTTTGACGATCCTTCAAATCCGAACCAATAATCAAAATATGATAAATTTTGCGATAATGCAAAAAATCACAACACCAAGATAATGGTAATGCATGTATATCAAAATAAAATTCCTTATTGAATCCTGTCTCGTACATTAATTTTTGTCCTTTCGATATTTTCAATAAACTTTCATACATTCGTTGAGTAAAACATCGCAAATCTTCTTCTTCACAATCATAACATCGTTTTTCTTGAACACATTTATCCAGGTAAAATGAAATAAATCTCTCGAATGGGTCACGAAGAAATACAAGTCTTGTGAATTGTGAATCCATGTCTGGGAAGCCAAAAAACATTGTATCATTGCAAATACTGAAATAGTACTTCCAAGTTAAATTTAGCTTATCAAAAATCAATCACCTTTCTTCAGCCCACATTTGATTGAATGTTAGATTTTTGCTTATAAAAGCTTCTGGTTTTGCTAGAAAACACATCATATTCACAGCCATTTGAGACATTGATTTTCTAATTTGACAAGTTGTGATATTATAGCGTGAAGATTTCAAATGTTCAGTTGTAAATGATTGATTTTGAAAAAAATAGGGTGAAACGAATTCGAGATTTTTGAGTTGAATTGTTTGTGCTTCGGGTTTCGGTTCCGGTTTAGATTTATAAAAATAATAAAAACAGAAAATAGTTGCGCATATGAGAATAAATATAATTCGAAGTTGTTTTGCGAAAGCCGTCATCACTCATGAATGGTCTCTTTTCGATCTTTTAAATAAGATAATTAATTTGCATCGGAAAATTGGGGAAAAAGATCTGATTAGGCGATTTACATAGCGAAAAATAACTGTTCGTTTTCGTGTGGAACGGGCTTGGAGAACAGCCATAATTTCACGTGAGAGAAAATGAGAGTGTGGAGGGTGCAGAAGAGACGCGAGACGAAAAAGGGATAGACTCCGCCCACTTTTTTTTTCGAATTTTTGCACGAAAGGGTTTTTACTTTAAAAAATTTGATAGTAGATCTCAACAAGTTACCAAATTTAGGCCATCATAATATTTTCAATTTCAAAAAACAATTATGTGCCCAATGTTTGAAATTATGTAGACCAATACATTTTTTCCCTCGAAAATCAACACATTGAATCTATGTTTTGCGAATGTTGATTTTATCGCCGATTTCGAATAAATTCGTTGAAATACAAAAAACATCGAGTGATTTTCAATATGGGACAAACTTTCATGAAATTCCTACGGTTTTGGCAGAAGTCTAAACTTTTGTCAATGCCATAGCGAAAAATTTATGGTTTTTTGACCTGAATCTTGATATTCCCATGGAAACCCTTCTCAATTCTGATCAATTTTCGATGATTGTGAAGAATCGATGAAGTTAATATTTTGGAGTTAGGCGATCTCGAAACACTCTACATTCATAAAAATATATACATTTTCACTTTGGATTTGGATTTTATGCCAAAAAATTGATTTTTGATAGAAAATTTGTGAGGGTTTTGAGAAATCGGAAGATTGTTTTTTGGAATTTTAACAATGTGCTTGCAAATCAATAAATTCGGATACTCAAATAAATTGTTTTTTTTCTACATTTCCCTAGAATTAAAATTCAGGTTAATTTTTAGATCACTTTCTATGTGCGCTAAATTGACTTTAAAAAAAAGTGTTGAAGTTACAGTCAAGATGTAATTTTGAGATAACGTTCTTTTGTGAATAGGAAATCAAGATTAGAAAAAATTCACCATAATCAATTTCAATTATTTCAATATTTTCATCAGACAGAAACAAAAGTGAAAACAATTTTCAGAAAGAAATATTTGAATTTATCAAAAGAAAATTCTGGCAACACTGATGTTTGAGATCAAATTAACAATTTTCAAAAATCGCTTGAACATAGACTGGGTGTCTGAGAAAATATTTTATCTGCGATTTTGAAAATTTTCGGAACACCGAATGAAAATGTACCGTAACATCAAGTTATCTAACCGAACAATCTGATTTTTTATTGAAATGAAATGATGATAGATTTTATTCATCTACAGATGTTTGCAAAATTTTTATTCATGGACGCGCAGATGTTCAAAAATTTAAATTTCGATATGAAAATCTAGACGTTTATTGTTGGAAAACGTTTCATCCAGATAAAATCAGAGAATAAATCACAAAAAATGTAGAAAATTGGCGATTCGAAATTTGCTCACTAGTTCTTCTGCTGAACTTGTTTGCTGAACTAATTTACCGTAATTTCTGTACTTTTGTTTTTGGTTGAAAACATATCCGCTTTATGAGATAATTGGTAAGAAGTACTTAAAAATTTGAAGATCAAAGTATTGTCTAAAAACATGAATAATGTTTGAGGTCGTTGAAAAAATCTGAAAAAAATATTCAAAAAATTTTCCGAAATTTTGTTCAATTCACCATTGACCAGAAGGGCTCCGCCGGCTATCGCCGGCTCCTCCTTCTGGGTTGTCGCGGCTTCGCGCTCAGTATTCTTTTGATGAACAGTTTGTTTCTCTGAAGTCCTGTTAGAACATCAAAATTAAACGTTTTTCATTGAGAATTTGAAAACTTTGTTGAGAAACTGGAAGTAATATTCAACATGATCACTTAGATGTCTCTTCATTATTTTTTAGCCAACATATCTAAGCTCTTAATCTTAATCTTAACGAACAGTGGTATACAGGGTGTAATTTACTACCTCAAATCGCTAGACCTCAAATGTTTCATTAATTTTTGGGTAGATCAAAAATCATGTTTCTCTAAATCTCTCGTTTTTGCGTTGAATTTCGTCGATTTTAGTCCCGCCCCTAAGATCGTGTCAGGTCTCAAAAAATGCGCGAAATTTTTCGGGTAGTAAATTACATTCTGTGATGGTAGAAACATAGAATGAGCCACCGTAGATTGCTAGAAGTCGAGTGAAGTTTTGGCGCGAAATGAAGTTGGATACGACAGGGGTGAAGACAATAAAACCAGAGTTTATAGAATGAACTAGCTAAAAATTCTTGGAAAATAAAAAAAAATCTAATTACTAACCGGTTTCACCGCAACATCCAAAGTATCAAACAATATTCCGACGATTGAAAAAATCACAATCAATTTCTTGTAAGTTCCAAAATCCCGTTTGATGTACCAAACAGTTAGAATTATCAACAAAATATTTGTGAACAATGTGAAAAAATAGCCGAAAAATGAAATATATCTGGATATCGCTAGTAAGTTTGAGAACATTTTGTATATGATTTTTTGAGGACAACTTTAGATGAACTTTTGTTTTTTGTTGAAAATGAGCTCGGGTACTTTGATCTTTCAATAAAATCTTGATTGAAACCGCAAGATTTCTTTTCCAGCAAAAAATCTACACTTCTGGTCATAGCAAAAAAAATTCCAAGCGTAGATAAAATCAAGAAAATAGTCTAGGTATGTGTCTTCTTTCACCCATATCCAATTTTTTTCGAAAACTATTCTTAGCTTATCGATTTTACGGATCTCAATGAAATGCATATTTTGTACTTAAATCACATTTTCACTATTGAATTTAAAACTACTGTGGTGTAAAAAAAATTTAAAACAAACAATAAAAATAATAGAAAAAATAAAAAAATGAAAAAAAAAAGATTTCAAGGGATTTTCCTCTTTTTCCACAAGTCCTGGCTTGTGAGCAACTGAGAGTGCATCAAATTATACATTATACAATACAACTATACCCCAAACTTACCTTAACACAAATCACTGTCTTCTTCCACCCAAAACCAAACCCAAAACCCATTAAACTGACCTGACAGTTGCAGTTCCTCAAATTCATTCTGTTCTGATCATCATTGAAATCGGAGTGCGAAACGAAACCAACATCTGCTCACTCAATTCCGAATTCTCAAGCAATCTGGAATTTCTTTGGGTTATAGAAAGAAAAATAAACTTAATCTTACCTTTAATTGAGAGCTCTCATTGAACGACTGGCCGAATACAAAATGAATCATTTCGAGAAATGAGCGTCTCCAACCTGAAAAAAAAAGAGATTTAGCTTGATTTTTTTCGAAAGAATATTTTTAAATTAAAAAAAAATATAATATTTAAAAATATTCTTAAAATAAGAAAAATATTCGATAAAATAAAAAAATCCATTTCAAAAATCGATATAGAACAACGAAAAATTGTTGAAATCCCGCGTGATCTACATTCTACACTATTCACATTTGCGGGTCTAGGATTTATGAATTTTTATATTTAAAAAAAAAATCAGGTTTCAGCTTGATTTTTGAAAAGTTTGGAAATTTCATTGTGGAGAAAAAAATAAAACTCATTTCTAATCAGCTAAAAATCAAAGTTTTCAAGTCAAAAGCTTGCAAATTCGGAAAACCTTCCCGAAATAAAACGGGTTTCCATGGAAATTCAGCAGGCAAATTGACCGGCCCGATTCAAACAGTAAAGTCAATGTGTAATAAATCCTTTTCTTGCATTTTTTTCAAAATTCTGTGAAAAAAATGAAAAATGTCGTTTGTACACACATTTTTCATTGTTCATTTGATTTGAAAATAGATAATTTGTAGGTGGGACAAATACAATAAATACCTGGAAAATTTTGCGAATTGTAGCGATTTCAAAAATGTTTCAAAATAGACGACAACTTCTAGTTTTGTTATCAACTTCATTGATTGTTATAATTGTTCTACGACACTTCAACAAGAATCCAAATGACAGAAAATCATTTTTGGGAAATGTTATCGATAATCATGGCGAGCAGAATTCCCCGGATTATTTTCTTGCTGTTCAGCCGCATGCACATGTCTTGAATGGAACTTCTGATCAAATTCACGAAGAGGATCACTATGACTCGTGAGTTCCCCGAATTTTGGTTGAATGATAAGTTTAATTTTTAGGAAAACATGTCCGATTCAAGAATGGAATCAAATTGAAACCAATATTCTTCCCAATCAACTTTATCACAATTTATTAATGAATATCAGTGTTGAGAAAAAGAATGTGTTGCTTAACAAAACACCGAGTCCATTTTCAGCTTTTGCCTATTCTGATCATATTGTTGTTACACTAACTTCTGAAAAGAATTATTCGTGAGTTGTGTCCACGTAGAATTCAAAACACAAGTCACAAATGTTTTTCTAGTGATGTTGTTCTCTGCCGCTATTATGATTGCAAGATGAGAGAACTCATCGGACAACATTTCGTATCGAAACATTTCCCACAAGCCACAGTTTTTTGTGGTCGCCGCAAAGGCGCTGAATATATTTCGATAACCGAAAATTTGGAAGATGAAGCTGAATCTCCAATTAGAATAACTCGAAGAGATGCTAAAAGTTGGTTTTAATTTTAATTCTGAAAATTCAAAAATGTTTCAGAACCACCCCATTATTTCACTGTGTGTTTATCGCCACTTTACGGAGATGAACCGAAATTTTTGCAAATCGTTGATTTTGTTGAATATTACAAACTTCAGGGAGCAACATTTTTCCATATTTATGTGAGAAATGTTTCAAACTATGATCGAATTCTTCTCGATGATTATGTTAGAACTGGTGAAATTGAATTGATTCAGGTTCATGATCATTATTGGAGAGCTGATTTCATGTGGCATAGAGTGCAGATTAATGTGAGTTTCATCTTTTTTTTATGGAAAAAAACAGATGATTTCAGGACTGCCATTTTCGTAGTAAATATTTTTCAAAATGGACAGCATTTGTGGACATTGATGAGAGAATTCAGATGAAAAAATATCCCGAACTACGAATTGTTGATCTTCTTGAGTTAGTTGAAATCAAAAAAAAATCACAAGCATTCTGAAAATTTCAGCCAAACAACTCCAAATGTTTCTACCCTTCATTTTTCGGTTGATTGGATAATAAAAGATCAACTTTCTCCACAAAAATATATAAATGATAGTCAGTTGGAAGAAGAGATGATTTTCCGAAAATTCACCAATTCCTCAACGAAAACAGACACTTATAAACAACCGAAATGTATAATTCGAGCCGAAAGAATCGCATTGATGTCAATACATCATCCACCAGCAGTTTATGACGAATCGAAAATCTCAGTGGTGAATTATCGAATTGCTGCTGTTCGCCACTATCGAAACTCGTTTCACAAACTTTTTCCCGAACAAATTCAACGAATGATGGAATATGGGCCCTACAATCAATCGTTTGTAGCACCGTGGATTTCTGGGAATTTGACGCGGAACATTTTGAAACGCGTCAAATATTTATATGATATTGAGATTCCAACGATTGTTGAACAGGAGAAGTATTATGCGTATGAAGGAAGTAAAATGTCGTTGGAGAAAATTCAAGTATAATTTTTGTTGAATCCCGTGTAGAAGTATGAATAAATTATCGATCAAACAACAATTCTATTCTTATTTTGTCAGTTTTAAAAAAAAATTTGACAAAAAAGTTTGCCTCGAAGCGGGATCGAACCGATAACCTAAAATTTGAAAGGCCTGTGTGTTTACCACTCGGCCACGCACTCCTGTTTTTTCGGGGGGTTCGTATCCATAGATGTACCAAACTGCATAAAAATTCTGACCTTCCCTTGAGCTTCAAAAAATTTTCGTAGTGCTTCAAGAAGTCGAAATGGTTTGAACACGTCATATTTTCCGGAATGAATATTGACTACCGTAGTTTTGAAAATGACACATAATCAGATAAAAATGTGATTCAAGTACAAAATATGTGTTTTTTCTGAATGACATCGCAAATTTTATTTTTCTCTAGATTCAATCGCATTCAATTTTGTGTTATGGTCCGATACTTTCTAGATAATCTCTGACGATCTCTGAGAGAAAGGGCGAATAAAATGTAGTTTGTTTTTTTTTGCAATCTTTTGAACCTTCAGATTTCTTTTATAAATGTAGTACATATAGTAATTATTCGAAGTCAAACATTGCTAGAACGTTCTGTGAATTTTCTTTCGAAGCTACAAAGCTGAAAATCTGATTTTGTACATTTACTTCTTTTGTAAAAATGTAACCATTTTATTGAAAACACGCCGCTCTCTTGGAAAAAAATACGGTAGTTTGGATCTCCTGAATCAAACTGGATAACTAAAAAGATAGGTGTCATTCCAATCTTATCGATCAATTAATCAAGCGTTTTTTCTATTATAAATACAGTAGAGAACAAAGAATTCCATCGAATTCACGATTTGACTACTGTAGGTTCCCGTGTCATCAAATATTTTCAGAAAATCATGAATAAAAACGTGTGCATTTCAATTATTTTGTTGGTTTTCACTGTTTTCGTGCTTCTGAATGTTTCAAATGATAATAAAGTCAAGAAGAACATTTTGCCGATTTTCGAACAATGGCACAATTGTGCGGTTAAGAAATATGATTTTGAATTGGCGCCTGAAAATGTACAATGTTTTTGAGTTGATTGACAAAACACACTTTGAACAAATATTTTTTTTTTGCAGTTCTGGAGATCATCAGCAGCAAGTTCAATAGAATGTGAGAAACTCGTAACGGCTTCAAGATTGTTGGAAATTCAGAAATTTCGAAATGGCGACGAAAAATCATTCAATTTTAAATATTCAATTTTACCACCATCGCTCGAAAATATTTCCGAATCAGAACAAGAACAAGAGAATTTTGTGACAATTGGAGTTGGGAAAGATATCACCGCTGAATTAGCATACAGAAATGTGTCTCGAATGACAAAATTCTTTGGTGCCGATCCAATTTTCATGGATAATTACGAATTGTATTCCAAAATTGGTCTGTATTTTCCATTAGCAATTGGTGCATCAGATGGATATTCAACAGCTATTGTTTTGTTAAATAATTTATATCAGAATTTCAATGTTTTCCACATTGATTTGATTTATTTCGTTAGAAATATTTTGAAAATTTTAACCATTGAGAATCTCTGGCTAGATAATGAATACGCTGAATACGATTTGTTACCATATTTTTATAAAAATGGACAATTGGATCAAAATGGGATTACTATTTGTCAATTTAATATTGAGGTACAAAATTTTTCAAAAAGCTCATGATCTACATACATTTTCAGATTCATCTAGCTCAACACGACCGACATTATAAAAAATTCAAAGAATTTATTCAAAAAATTGTGGAAGATCGACAATACGCAATTCTGAATCATTTGTTAGTTGGACATCATCGAATGTATCTTTTCAATTACGGGAACAAGTATTGTGTTGAAAAATATATTTCGCCTTAATTTTTGTTGAGAGAATAAAAATTTTAACTATTTTGTGCAAAACTAAAAACATGTGTAACCTGAAAAACAGAAACTAACCTAATGTTTTGATTGATTTTCAGATATTTGATAGATTTGTGATAATCTGTGATAATGTACATAACAATGAATGAATCAATAGTTGGATAAATTTCAAATAAACTAAATACAAGTTTAAATACAAGTTGGACGGAGGGATAAGATGAGTACAATTAGCAGAACTAAAACAATTGTCGGAATTGTCAATTGGAGTATCAAGGTTTTGAATTTCGGACTGACAATATTTGATAGATAACATAGAATTCCGATAAGGAGGAGCAAATAAGTTATCCAGAGAGTTATTCTTCTTCCTTGAAAATAGGAATCGAATTGATTCGAAAACAAAAGTTCAAATTATCCCCAACATTTGATGTTACTGATTTTTTTAGAAAACAAAGCTATTACACAGGAAATTAAGTTACAGTAGTTGTAGCACTTTTGTTTTTGTTGAAAACGGATCTTTGACAACATTTAAATTGGATCTCTAGAAGTTCCATTGTCAGGAAAAAAGGTCAAAACAAAACTACACCTTATTCGCCGCTCCCTTTTCACAAATCATCTTGCGAATTTCCGAAAAAGTAGATAAAATCAAGAGAAGTTTAGTTTGATTCATTTCGATTCAATAGCTCAAAAAACTCAGTTATTAATTTTGATGATTTTTCATAAATCACCTATAGCATCAATCAATAAATATTGAAACTTTGTAAAATATTTCGAGAAAATTATTTTAAAACATTTGTTTACAAATAAGATTGATCTCTTAGATAAAACTAGAAACAAAAACCTGCAAAAATAAATTTTGTTTTGATGTTTTCTGAATACAATCACTGATCACTATTATCAAATTAATATCTCTCCAAAGATCAATTTATATCACAAAGAAAATAGACCAAACTAGACTATTTTCTGAGCGATTCCACAATGATTTATTCACCCATTTAAAGTATATGTAATCTTTAAACGATCATTGAAGCAGATGCTTTTCTATTTTTAGTTTTATTTTTATTTTTGTCCACTAAACCACATCACCCAGACTTTTCTAAAAGTGATTTTTGAATTATAAAACGGCCTCATTTTCTGTTTTGATCATCCATTTATGTTCTTATCAAGATGTACCAATCTTCTCTCACATCAATCGATCTTCTTTTACTCACGCACTATGTATTTTCGAAATTTTCTCGAAATTCGTTTCATTTTTTGCAGAGATGATTCGTTGTGCTGTTTGTGATGCTAGAGTTATCGAAAGTCATTTCGGAGCCATGGTTTGCCGTTCGTGTTCCGCGTTTTTTCGAAGATATGTGCTGACAAAAAAGAGACGAACACAATGTTCAGGTGAAAACACCTGTGTCATAAATCACAGTAAGTTCTTATCATACATCAACCAAATATTTTTCTGAATTTATACATAGATGTCAGAAAAATGTGTAGACCTTGTCGAATGGCAAAATGTTTACAAGTTGGGATGGCGCCAACAAGAATCACTGACCCAATAATTTCCAAAAGCACTGATAAAATACTGGGGTTTATGGACAATTTTCCACGTCTACAGAATGAACGATCTACTGTTTATGGTAACTTGGTTGGTTTCAAGAAAGTTTTGAGGTTCCCCTCCCTAAAAGGTAATTTTTGTAGGCTAAGAAGCAGATCAATTTTACAACAACTACGATGATAATGGAGGCGGATTATCGAATTTCTAGAAGTCACATCGTGAGATCATTCAAAGAATTTTTCCTAACTCCAAAAAATAATCAAAATGTGTTATTCGATAACTTCTATACTAGATTAATCGTAGCTGAAAGTGTATTCAATGTTGCAAATTCTGGAACAACTCAAAACTATCGTGTCAAAGAAAATCAAGAAACTTTACCAATCGATAAATTTTACCTTGGTGAACATAAAAATACAAAACTAACTGATTCGCAAATCAATATATTGTTTGAACCATTTTGGATGAGAGGAGTCACTCAAGTTATCAAACCGCTGATGGAATTGAAGTTGGATTTTTTCGAATTCACCGCATTGCTTGGTTTGATGTTGTTTGATGAAAGCTATAAAGGAATCGATGAAGAGTGTGCTAAAATGTGTTATCAAATCAGGAATATCATTTTTCGAGAGATCACCACATATCACAGTGAGAAAAATAATCCTTGTAGTAAATCATTTGACAGAATGGCTGATATTATGTATGCTTTAACATTGATGGAAAAGGCTAGACAACTTTTGAGTGATCAATTAACTTTATTTTGTTTACATAAATTGAATCATAATGAACAAATTTGTCTGATTTTCAAAGAAACATCGTGATCTCTATTTCTATTATGGGTTGTTATTGTTATCTTAAAATAAATGTTGAATTTGTACAGGAAATTGATCTACAGTAATTATTGCACTTTTATTTTTGTCTGATGAAAACACATCATTTTAGAATTATAAACATAAACATGAATAGTGTTTGATGTCGTTCAAAAAATCTGAAACAACAACAATAGCGAATTATTCGAAATTTCAAACCTTTGATAGCTTTGTTGTAATCTGTGATAATATACATAACAATCAGTGAATCGATGGCTGGATAAAGCTCAAATAAACACATAAGTGCACCAATTGGTGAACTTGTTTGAAAATGGAAAAATGGGAGAGATAAAATAACCAGAGTTGGGAGAATTATAACAAAAGTGGGGGCAAGGACTTGAAAAACAAGAGTTTTGTAGAATTGGCTGTGAAGTTTACGAAGTGATGCGGAATAATTGGTGTTTTTTGAGTATAGCTTACGACGGATTTTACAACCGCAATAAATTATGATAGCGTTTTGTAAAGCTATTAAGATCACATTGGAAATCAAATACATCAAGTTACCCCATCGAATTTCCTCGTTGTCACCAAAAACAATGATAATGATTGCTGGTGTTTCTCGAATCACAAGATTGTAAATTTTCATAATTTCCCAGGCAACATAACCTGATGAAAACTCATCTTGTGAACCTAGATATATATTTGACAGATAACATGATAAACCAATCAACGATGAATAAGAAATCCAGAGAGTTATTCTTCTGCCTTGAAAATAGAACAGTTGCTCAGGTTTGACTATAGAATAATATCTATGGATGAACATGACAGCTAGGAATGATGTGGAAATGTAAAGAGAGCCACCATATATTGCTAGAAGATGTGTTAGATATTGAGGAGAGAGGAAGTTTGATTCGATGTTGGTGAAAAATACTAACCCGGAATTGATTGAATGAACCATCTGAAAGACAGCTTGAAGAAAATTGCAAAATTTTATTTTGTTAGCCCTAAATTTTTTTCAAGATTGCTTATTTATGTGATCACTGAACAAAACTATGGCTTCTCGAAAAATTATTTGCAAAATTTTTTTTTAAATATTATTTAAATTATGACGTGGCTTGACCAAGCTCACCGGTTGTACTACAACATCCAAACTATCGAAAAATATTCCAATGATTGAAAAAATCACGATCAGAATTTTATAGGTTCCAAAGTTTCGTTTGATATACCAAACAGTGAGAATGATCAGTAAAATATTGGTGAATAATGTGCTGATTAAACCAAACATTGAAATGAAGTTGGAAATTTTGAGAACAGTTTTGATATACGCGGACATTGCGCTGTTATTCTGATTTTAGAACATGGACAGTTTTTCTATAGAAATGTAACGGAAATTGATGTACTTCTTGTTTTTGTCAAGAAAAATTTCAGTGATGTGATTTTTGAAAAGGCAACCATAATAACATGAAAAATACTTCAAAAATCAAATCGAAACCCTGGAATTTTGCGAGATGTCCTTTTTTACTGAGAAAAACTGGCTTCTTTGAAGAAAAGCCAAATATAAAAACAACCAAAAAAATTCACATTCACTAAATCAAAAAATGCGAATTTTCTTGCTGGCTCTCTTGATTTTAACTAGTTTTGGCCAGGATAATACTTTTTTGATCAAAAAACGGATTGATGTTGGAGTTTTGATGTGTAAGAATAGTTCGAATTTGTCGAGTTCGGTGGGCTGGCAAACATCAGCTTCGGCGATCACGATTTCAATGGATCGAGTGAATCGCGAAGGATTGTTAGATGGTGTGGATTTGAAGTGAGTTTGTTTCTTTCTAAAAAAACCAGATGAAAATCAAAAATTTTCAGCTTCATATTTCTATTCGATGATTGCATAGAATCCCGTGCAGCTGGCTTGGCCTCCAAACTTTTAACCGAATCAAATGTCAGCGCAATCATCGGGCCAACTTGTAATAAAGCAGGCCTAGCTGTGGTCAATCTAGCGGCCTATTATAATGTCCCGGTTCTAACATGGGGTCTAACTATCTCTTCGCAATTTATAAATATTGAACGATTTCCGACGACTATAACACTTGTGCCAGTTTCCAAAACGTGGGTTTTCATTTTCAGCCTCATCTGAAATTACATAATTTCAGAGTGGCCAATGCTGTCCATCAAACAATGATCGAATTTGGGTGGACTGAATTCGTCTATATTTTCTACGAGGATGAAAAATGCGGGTATTTTCGAGAGGATTTGGAGGCCATCACATCGGAATCGAATCATACAAGTTTGACACGGACTGTGCAGCTCTATGAGAATACTTATGCTAATTTTCAGAAACAGTTGGGAAGATTGAAGAATGTGACAAGAAGTGGGTTACAGAAACCTCAAAACTTTAAAAAAAAATCACATTTTTCTAGTCTTCACAGTTTGTTTACCGGAAGATGGTCAAATTAAGCGATGGTTTATGTTAGCCGCCTACGATCTTCAGATGACTAACAATGAGTACGTGTATCTATTCGCCGGGCCCAAATCAACAGCCTATCAACAAACTTCGTCGTCTGGGGAAGTTGTGGGAGCTTGGGTTGATTGGAGCACAACTCCAGATGGCAGAGATAATGAGGCGAAGAAAGCATTCATGAGAACCATGGTAATTGTAGCCACGCCGGTTGCCAGTGAAGAGTTAGCCGAATTCAAAAAAGATGTGATAGATAAAATGAAATTGCCACCTTTCAATTGCACCACTGAATGTGAAGCTAAAGAATATCAGGAAGCCGCGGAATATGCTGATCAATTACATGACACCGTATATTTGTATGCGATGATTTTGAATAAAACAATCGAGGAGGATGGAGTTGGACAAATTGCCAACGGTAGTTTTATGGTTGGCAAAACTGCGGGTGTGGTGTTTGAGGGAATGTCGGGGCTGGTGAGAATGAATTCGGAGGGATATCGATTGCCGAATATGATTTTGGCGAATCTGGATTCGAATGCGACGCAGAGAACTGTGGCTAGTATGGATATTGATACGGATAGTGTGGTGAGTAGGGGGAAAACCTTGGCTGCTTATTTCGAATACCAGAGATTTTTCAGTTTCAGTTCTTTCAAAAAAAAAATTCCTATTTTTATTTTTCTGTCTTTGCCTTGTGTTTCTCTATTTTCTCATATCGTGAAATCTCCTGATTTAACGGAAAAAAACCAAATTGAAAAAATAAACGAGAGTGTGTTGCGTCTAGAAAAGACACTCACGAAAACAAAAACAAAAACACAATGTTGCAAACGCGCGCCAGTGAAATGAGGCGAATGTGCTGGATAAATCCGTTAGAGTCAAAATTGCATAAAACCATGCGGCAGGTTGCAAACGCGCACCGCCTTTCATTTTTGCTCAAAATTCTTGGTTTTCTTCGTTTTGGTGGAAACTAGATTTTCTAGCCTAGATTTTGATGAGTTAGTTCAACTTTTTTCTATTTTCAAAGATTTTTTTCATAACTTTCATATATTTTTCAATTTTTCCGAAATCCCTCCCCAAAAAACTCACCAATCGCTTCTATTTCTCAAATCACACAGAAATCATCGAAAATTCTATCAAATCCTTGCGAAATCCGAAATCTTCCAAGTTTTCCAAGTTATTGCCATTGAAATCCAATTGTCCATCGATACTTCAAGCTGAAATATTGAGAATTTTAATTTTTCATGGGTCTCACAACAAGTTTCTAGCTGTTTTTCAGAGGTTCACAGCAAAATCTTACCCAAAACCCATTTTCCATCGATTTTTGAGTAAAACATCCAGTAATAAAAAAAAGTTGCTTCAAATTCAACCAATATATAATCGTTCTTCTCACGTTTAAAATCGTTTTCGTCCCTGAAAACACAAAAATTTCAATTGAAACAGTGTTTCTCTAGAAAAAACCCACATTTCTTCGATAATACTCGGATTTTTCGTTGGAAGCGGTAATTCCAGAGCTGGCCAGCCTTGTAGAACATCTAAAAAATCAATTTTTAACTGAAATCCACTAATTTTTCCCGGAAACCTGAAAACCCAGCGAAAAAAAAACGAAAAATGAAAATATTCTCGTGTTGCGCTAAACAGCGGGCAAGCCGGAGTGTCGTTGTAAAATTTTTTTTTAATTTTTGCAAAAAAAATGTGTTGTGTGAAATTTTTTTTGCAGAACTGGACATTTTCAATTATCGACGAAACGTTGATTTGGGATGCCTATAATGGAATTCGACCCGAAACAATTCCAGCTTGCGGATATAACAGTATTTGTGCCAAAAGTTTTTTCGTCGAATATTTCTACATTGTAATAACTGTTGCGGTAATTATCCTATTCTGTGTGACGGCTGCAATTATCGCCGCATTTTTGGTGATCAAAGCGAATCGAGATGAGCAAGCGAGATTGGATGATCAATGGTTAATCCCGCATCAAAATCTGACATCAATTGTGAAGCAGGCGAAATCAAGAGTTGATCAGCAATCTTCGAGATCTCTTCAGAGTTCTTCAACTGTTCTAACTGGAGTTTCTTCCAATAATTTTTTCCCTGAAACTGAAAATATCACCTATTTTTCATATTTCGGGGAACCCGTGTTGGCTCGAAAATATGAAGTAAGAGTTCAGATTTTGGAGGAGGACAAGGCGGAGTTGAGATATTTGCGAAGCTTGGAGCATGATAATATTTGTAGATTTATTGGATTATCGATTGATGGACCGATTTATATGTCATTGTGGAGGTATTGTAGTAGAGGAAGTGTGAAAAGTGTGATTTCGAAGAGTTCGATGAGTATGGATGGGTTTTTTATTTATTGCTTGATGAAGGATATTGCGTTGGTTAGTCTTGAAGCCTTTTTGAAGCCTCTTTGATTCTATAAAAATTGCAGGGTCTTCAATTCATCCATAATTCCTCTATTAGATTCCATGGCTCTTTAACTTCGGACAACTGTTTTATAAATGATAGATGGCAGGTAAAAATCGCTGGATTTGGCCTGAATTTCATCAGCAGGGCCGAGCAAAAACAATGCGATGATTATTTGTTGCACAGAGCTCCGGAACTTCTGCGAGATCCTATGAAATCTGGAACTCAACCTGGAGATGTTTATAGTTTTGCGATTGTTTGTTCGGAACTCATTTCTCGAACTTCGCCATGGGATATTGAAAATCGGAAAGAAGAGGTAGCTGATATTGTTTTTATGGTGAAACGAGGTGGAAGAAATGCATTTCGACCGAGTTTGGAGACCCCTGAAGAAGAGGAAGATGTAAACCCCGCTTTGGTAAGTGATGGGGAACTTTCTTATCTTGAAAAAATTCGGCAAGCTTTTTCGCCTGCTTCCGTGGCGCAATAGGCAGCGCGTTCGGCTGTTAACCGAAAGGTAGGTGGTTCGAGCCCACCCGGGAGCGAAATTTTGTTGAAATTTTTCTCAAAATTTTAGTGCCACCTGATCCGCGATTGCTGGGAAGAGGATCCAAAACATCGACCGAATATCGAGACAGTTAACAAACTTATGAAATCGATCAATTCTGGAAGGTCAGGGTAACATTTTTTTCTTGACAATGAAACTTTGAAAATAAATTCATCATAATTTGAATTTTAGAACCGCAAATCTGATGGATCACGTATTTTCGGTTTTGGAAAAACATGCGTCGAGTTTGGAAGATGAGGTGCAGGAAAGAATGAAGGAATTGGTGGAGGAGAAGAAGAAATCGGATTTGTTGCTGTATCGAATGTTGCCGCAGTGAGTTTGAGTGAAAAAACATCATTTTCAGATAGAAAATAACAAAAAACATCCCCAAAAAAACCCCGAAAACCCTAAAAAACAAAAAAAAAAAACGGTTTTCAAAAAAAAAAAACGGTTTTCAAAAAAAAAACTAAGTTAATAATGACACGCCGCCCTATTGATAATTTCTCACGTTGTCTCTCTACTCTCTCACTATTTCTTTTTTTTTGCAAGAAAAAACATGTTACAAACAAATTTTCAGACAAGTCGCAGATCGTCTGAAAATGGGTCAATCCGTCGAGCCAGAAACCTTCGAAAGTGTCACAATATTCTTCTCCGATGTTGTTGGTTTCACAACTTTAGCCGGAAAATGCACGCCCCTTCAAGTTGTCAATCTTCTCAATGATCTGTACACCACTTTTGATGCGATTATCGATCGAAATGACACGTATAAAGTTGAGACAATTGGCGATGGTTATTTGTGTGTTTCTGGATTGCCGAAACGAAATGGTTATGAGCATGTTAATAATATTTCTAATATGTCGTTGGAGTTACTGGAGGTATTTTGAATTAGAGAAGGTTTTAGGTGGGAAAAACTTCAAAATATTTTTTTAGAATCTGAAATCTTACAAAATCGCCCATTTGCCAAACGAAATAGTCAATATTCGAATAGGCATGCATTCTGGATCTTGTGTAGCTGGTGTAGTTGGCCTAACTATGCCCAGATATTGCTTATTTGGGGACACTGTGAACACCGCCAGCCGTATGGAAAGTAATGGAAAACGTGAGTTTTCTGCTAGATTTTTTTGAACTTTTTGAATATTATTTTGCAGCTGGTCACATTCATCTTTCTGAAGATGCCCATCAACTTTTAATCTCTCTATTTCCCGAATATTCTACAGAATCTCGAGGAGAGGTTATTATCAAGGGAAAAGGAGTTATGCAAACTTACTGGCTACTTGGACGACGATAAATCCTCTTTTGTGTGTGTAGTTTGATCAATAAAGTGCCTTGAAATCGCTGAAAATAACGAAATTTTGGTTAAAGGGGCGTGTATTTATGCAGATGGGTCTTGCAGCGATTAGCTGGTTGTGTAGTTCTCGCGGACAATTAAAAAATGTTTTTTCAAAACTTCGCAGCAAAAATGTTTTTCGCGTGGCACCCTAATTTCAAGGGAAAAAATGAGGTATTTAAAAGAGCCGCAATGAGGTTTTGCTCATTTTAGAGTGAAATAAGTAAAGAAAACAAAATATCTCTCAAATTTGGTATGAAAAACGAATAAAAACATGGTGTAAGTCGGATTTTTCACGAAAATTTCCAGTGAAATCTGTGTTTTTCAGGAAGAAATCGAAATCTGTTGGCAAATCACCGACGATCACCAAAACTGCGAAAAAGGATGGGAAAAAAGAGGAGAAGTCGAAAGTGAAGACGAAAACTGTGCGAAAATCCAGCAATCCCGAATCGGCTCGACGTAAAAAGCAGAACAAAGATCATAGTCGAGAGCTGACTGCGACCGTATCAAATACAACCATCGAAACACCGGTGAAAACGGAAAATTCGGCAATGAATTTGGTGCAATCGACCAGGCACAATGGGAAGAAGCCGAAAGAAAAATGGGCTGGTGAAGCTGCGGCAAAAGCTTGGGTGAAGACTCTAGAGACTGTGAATTTGACAGCGGAATATGATGAGATTAAGAAAATGGTGGTGCAGGTTGAAAGATGTCGAATTTGGCAAGCGAATATGAATCGAAATAGACATCCCGAATATCGATGTTTTGATGATAATCGAGTTGTGGTTCAGATGACCAAATGTGATTATATCAATGCTTCAAAGATCAGTGTCCCTGATGTGAGTATTTAGAGAGTTAGCCTTCCCAAAATGTATCATTTTCCAGTTCCCTAAGATCAGCTACCTGGTGCAAATCCCGAAACTCGATCAAATCGACGCTGTCGAAGAATTCTGGCGTATGATATTCACCGAACAATGCTCCTCAATCCACGTCATTGCTCAACCCAAAGAGCTCGACGGCGGCAACTTTGCCAAATTTTTTGCGCAAGAAGCTGGCCAATACTTCTATGCCAATGGTTTTTTTGTGAATACGAAAAAGGTGGAGAGGAATCCGGAGGATAAAATGGACATTTATACAGTTGAATTGTTGCCCGATGGCTGCTCGAATTCGGTGGTTTGTCAGGTTTATACGCATTCGTATTGGAAGGCGCAAGGTGGACCCGAGAAGTTTTATGCGCCGATTCGAGCGGCGACGGCGATTGCGAAAGTGGATGAGTTGGATAAAAGTGTGAGTTTTTTTTTAGGGATTTTAAAAATATTCAAATTCAATAATGCTCAAAAATTTATATATTTGATCAATTGTTAGCGATTTTTTTCGTTGCAAGTTTTTAGTTTTCTCTATTTTCAAATAGAAAAATATATCAACAAGAAACTCCCTCATCACATTTTTCAGCCCGTAGCCCTGGTCAGTTTTCGTGGAGCCGGTCGAAACGCCTCACTTCTCACACTCGCCACAATCGTCTCGCATTTCACGAAAGGCATCACGCCAAACATTTCCAATATAGTCCACGCCATTCGCGATCAACGGCCAATGTCTGTCGATAATTTCACACAATATCAATCGATTTATCTGGCAACGTGTTGGTTGATTAAAGCGAAAGTGACGAATTGTGAGGATGTTGCGCAACGATTGAAAAAGTTTCGAGAGAAGTTTGAAATGGCGCAAAGTTCGACGAATGCGACGACTGATAAGAATGAATGAACGGTTTTTTAGTGAAGATCTTGAAAGATTTCCTAGTTTTTTTATTTACACATTCAAACGATATAAAAACTGTTGATAAGTTTTTATTTGTTTTAAAATATTCATATATTTATTTTAAACCGAATACTCTGTTCCATTCTAATCTTTGATGTATCTAAACAAGATGCATTTTTTATCACCGTAAACATACCGTAAGAATTGTGTTTTGCACATTCTCAAAACTTGGAAACGCCCAAATTTTCGATGATTTAAAGCGGGTTCGACAAAAAAAAAATGATTTCACAATTTTTTTCGCAACATGAATTTCAAAAGTGTTGTCTTGTTGGCAGGTTTTGTTACATTTTCAATCTGTGGTCCGGTTGTTTTAGATGGCGGTGAGGGATTTTGAAATTTTGGGAGGAAATCTGTGTTTCAGAAGACACAACAGTTCAAACTTCGACAGCTGGAAGTTCAGTTCAGACAAGTCCAGCTGGAAGTTCAGCTCCAACATCGGCTCAAACTAGTCCAGCTGGAAGTTCAGTCCAAACTTCGACAGCTGGAAGTTCAGCTCAGACTACCCCAGCAGCAACATCGGCTCAAACTAGTCCAGCAGCAATTTCGGCTCAAACTTCGACAGCTGGAAGTTCAGCTCAGACTACCCCAGCAGCAACATCGGCTCAAACTAGTCCAGCAGCAACGTCGGCTCAAACTTCAACAGCTGGAAGTTCAGCTTCAACATCAGCTCAAACTAGTTCAACTGGAAGTTCGGCTAAAACTACCCCAGTAGCAACATCAGCTCCAACATCAGCCCAAACTAGTCCAGCTGGAAGTTCAGCTCAGACTAGTTCAGCTCAGACTAGTCCAGCTGGAAGTTCAGCTCAAACTAATCCAGCTGAAACTTCAGCCCCAACATCGGCACAAACTAGCCCAGCGGGAAGTTCTGTTGGAACTTCGGTTGGAACATCAGCCAAAACAACGCCTGCTGGAACTCCAGCTCCAACATCAGCCGAGACTACTCCATCCACAATCCAATCAACAACCCAATCTGCCTCATCAATTTCAATTTTCCTCACAATGATCCTAGCTTTACACGCCATAATCTAATTTTTTTTAAATGTTCAACACACTACAATGAAAAGTTTCCGCATCAAAAAATTCATGCCACGTCATGACTCATAATTCTTCACACTAGAAAAAATTTGTTTTGATCAATGTTCAGACAAAAATTGTATGTACTTTTATTTATTTTTCTTTCTAGCTATCAAAAGTTCAGAAGGAAATTGAATTTTTTCAATTAAAACAAAAATAAATCCCAATTCTTCTTTATTTTTACTGTAAAATGGCTCTGTTCTGGCTCCAAATTTCCAAAATCATTGCTCATATCGGCTTCGCCACTACAAATCTCGCCAACTCCATCGTCATATTTGTCACCATATTTTTCATCAAAAAATCCTTCGGATCCTATAGATTTCTGATTATTTTGGTCTCGATTCTTGGCGTGCTTTTTGCCGATTTGGATTTTCTGATCTTCCCGAATTTGCACAATTTTAACAGTGGTTTTATTTTTTTCACAACTTCGGATTATTTTGAGAGTAAAAGGGTTTTGGAATATTTGATGGCTTCATATTATGGCATCTATGGCTCAACAATTTCATCGATTGCTGTGCAATTTATTTATAGATTTTGGACTGTTTTCCAGTGAGTTCCGAATTTTGCAACTTCTCAAGCCCTCCCTATCCCAGATCTTCCAAACTTCGCTACTTCAAAACCCGCTGGTATTTCATCTGGATCTTCTACGTGTTCCTCATCGGAATCATCAACTCAATAAGCATGTATAATTTCGCACATCTCGACGACTATTCTCGAAACTATTTCAAACCTATGATGACCGATTTTTACGGTCTGAATATTTCTGAAATTTCAAGTTTCTCAATTGTGTAGATTTACGAGAGAATTAAAGGAACATAATATTCTATAGTATGGTCTCGACACGGACCACACACAGTGACACGTCAGCAAATTTCTGGGCGGCCTGTTTTCGGGAAAAATTTTTCAGTTTTTTTGTTTCTCAGGGAGAGTTACGTCGTTTTTTCAAGTTTTGTCGGTTCAGCAAGTTTTGTTTTTTAGTTTTTAGTGGATAATTGTGCTGAGAACCTAATAAATGAGATGATTTCAGCGATGGGTGACAATACATCTTTGACAAATCAAATCAAGAATGATATTTTGGAATTAGTGCGAGCCGATTGGCGAAATGAGTTGATGAACGCGCGTCAGGTCAAGAAGGAAGATCCAATTCTCCTTAACCAAAAAGGATTACAAATCCAATGCGATCTAAATATCGCGGTGATCAACGCGCTTCACAAGGTCGACGAGAGAAACGGTGAGCACAAATTTGTGCAAGAAGCGATCGACATGCTCAGGAGAAGAAATACCGAATTGATGGTGGCTGATTCAAATCCGCAAGGATTTAAGATTGTCGAAAAAATGAATGCATTCAACGCGCTCACAAAAGGATCTACAGATCCTCAGCAGATGATGTTATTCTCGCAACTCATGCAAGATCAACCATCAACTTCTCGCCAACCAAAACCGATCAGATTCGCGCCCTTTCAGCAGAGAGGATTCGATACACGTCAATCGAATCCTCAAAAAGAAATCGACGAACTCAAACTCGAAATCGGGAACCTCAAACGAGCTCAAAACCTTGGAGGCCAGGTTAGAAAGGAACCTATCCGCTGTTTTAAATGCCAACAAATCGGTCATATCTCCACAAGATGCCCGAATTAAAGATCAAGGTGAAATTTATTTTTGTGAACGATTAAAAGCAGCCAAAAGTTTTTGGGCCGATTTAACAGATAGCCAGTGGGTTTTGAAATTAGTAACAGACGGTTTAGTTATAGAACTTTCGGAAAATGTAGTCTTCCCAGGCCCAAAAGGTCTCAGAAGTTCACTGTTGCAGCATAAACAATTCATTTTTTCAGAAATTTGTCAACTTTTGAAGAAGAAAGTGGTCGTCGAGACAGTGAACGAGCCGAAAGTAGTTTCGCCTCTGCATGTGGTCGAACAAGGTGAGAAAAGAAGATTGATCCTGGATCTTAGTGAATTGAACGAATTCGTAGAAACTGAAACCTTCAAGTTTGAAAACTGGAAATCAGTTTTGCCTTTTCTAGAGGACGCAAAATACGCTATGAGCTTTGATTTCAAGTCAGGTTATTTTCACGTTCCAATTCATAGGAACTCGCAAGAATTACTAGGTTTTTCTCTTAACGACCCACCTTCACCTCCTTACTACGTTTATCAATGTCTTCCTTTCGGTTTAAAATCTGCACCCTTCGTGTTCACCAAACTTTTTAGACCGCTAATTCAAAAATGGAGAAAGGAGGGTATAAAAATATTTTTATATTTAGATGACGGGTTGATTTTAGCAAAAGACCTAGATACAGCAAAAAGGCACGCAGAAATAGTGAAAAGCGATTTGCTAAGAGCAGGGATATGTTTCGCAGAAGAGAAATGTTTTTGGGAACCATCCAAAAACATAACATGGTTAGGTTACGTTTTAGACTTAGAAGAGAAGACGTTAAAGATAACAGAGAAAAGGAAAAACTCTGCGCTGCGCAGTTTAAAACAGTTGAGGAAACAGTTTCCTACGATCCAGGATCGTCAGAAGTTCGCGGGAACTTTATCTTCTATGAATATCGTTTTAGGCCACCGTGGTCAGCTCATGTCAAGAAGAATAAGTCAAGCAGTCGCAGACTCGCAAAGGAAGGGAGAGCCGAACACGGTCCATGTGAGATTGAATGAAGGTGAGGAGAGAGAATTACTTTATTGGTCAGAAAACCTAGTCGACTCCGCAGTACTTTACTGGGATGAACAGGAACAACAACCTGATTATCTTTTGTACACTGACGCTTCAGATACAGGAGTGGGAGCAGTGCTCAAAAATTTCGAGAACCAAAAATTGTCTACCGCTTTCAAAACTTTCGGAACGAATTTCAAATTTTTATCGAGCACTCTCCGAGAACTTGAAGGAGTTCTTTTCGCATTAGTGACTTTCAAACACAAAATAAAACATTCGAGAGTTAGAATTTTAACGGATAACCAATCAGCGGTCATAATCATTAGGAAAGGATCAATGAACGGAGAGTTGCAGGAATTAGCGGAAAAAATCCAACGCACTGTAGTTTCAGAAAACTTAACTTTATCCACAAGATGGATTCCCAGAAAATTAAATGAGGAGGCAGATTTTGAGAGTAGGAAAATAGATTATGATGATTGGGAAATTCAGTTTGAATTTTTTAGGTGGTGTGAAAGAAGGTGGGGAGAAGCGGTTATTGATTGTTTCGCAAATGACGAGAACACAAAGTGCCAAAGATTCTTCTCGACTTCAGGTGGACGCGGAGCAGAGGGAGCAAATTTCTTCGAAAACGCAAACAGATGCGCAATGGTCAAAAATTGCTGGTTAGTTCCTCCCCCAAATTTGGTTCCAAGATTGTTAAACACCATGAAAAAATGGAAGCTTAGAGGCATTCTGGTGACCCCTCTGTGGAAATCTCACGTGTCTTACCAAGCTTTAGTTGATGAAACCGGAAATTTCAGGAACGAAATCCAAGATTTCGTCATAATCCCGGAAAACTCAAAAATTTTTTAAACCAGGGCCGGGATCATCTAGATCCGCGAAATTCAACAAAGAAAATTTTTCCTCAAAAATCTTAGCTTGTTTCTTAAAATTCTAGATTCTCTCTTTAAGTGTTTCTCTTCAAGCAAATAAAACATTCCACTACGAAAATTAGTTTTCTTTTATTCAAATTCCGTTGTTCCTCAAATTGGATCGTAAATCTAAATTATCTTGACGAAGGAAAAGATAATTGTGTAGATTTACGAGAGAATTAAAGGAACATAATATTCTATAGTATGGTCTCGACACGGACCACACACAGTGACACGTCAGCAAATTTCTGGGCGGCCTGTTTTCGGGAAAAATTTTTCAGTTTTTTTGTTTCTCAGGGCCCCTCCCAGCCCCACCCACAGAACGTCTCCAAAAAAGAAATTCCAGAAGGTCCCAAACTCAAGAAGCTGGAGCAAATTTTCGGTCTGGCAAAATCGAACGGTCTTCTCGATCTTCCGAAGGGCCTGTTTCATTACATGGAAAATTCGAGGGCGACAGCGACTGTTTCGTCGTATAAGAGGGCTTTGAACGCGAGACAAGAATGGATGAATCGGATCGGTTTACCAATGTCACATGAGTCGTTTTGTTTATACGTGATCATGAGAGCGGAAAGAGTCGGAGCGTCAGCTCTGGCTGTCGAATTAGCCGCGTATAAACAAGCAAACCACTCGATTGATCCGTTGGTTGAAGATATCATCAAAGATGTTATCCACGCGAAAAAGAGATTCGATGCCGGAAACAAGAAACCTCCGTCAATTTTCACCGAAAAAGAGATGTTGGATATTATCGACGACATAAAACCGGAGAACGATATCAAAAAAGATCGCGATATTCTGATTTGCTGGCTGAGCTGGGAGGCGTTGTTGAGGGCCTCGGAAGTATCAAATTTGACCTGGTCGGACATCACTTTCAAAGAAGATCATGTTGCAGTCAAGATTCAGAAGGCGAAGAACGATCAAATGGCGTTGGGTAGAACCACATTTATCGATCAGGACATCAATTCAACTTTTCAAAAGTTCGTCAAGAGCTTTAAAGGAAAGTCAGCAGCTCAATCCGAGGATTTCATTTTTCGGAATTTGAATACCAATCAGCAACTTTCGGCTTCCGCAGTGTCATCGGCAGCAAAGAAATTATTCGTTGCGAAGAATCTGGACCCAAAGATCACTCATCATTCGATTAGAAGAGGAGCCGCGAATTATTTATTGGACGAAGGGTTTTCAAAAGAAAACATCAAAAATCGAGGACGTTGGAGATCGGACGGCGGAATGGCGAGATATTTGGTCGATAATCTGGCTACACAAGGCATTTTCAAGAAATAATTAATAATAAATTATTAGGTTAGGGTCTTATTGTGTCTTCAATCAAGTCTACTATCTACATTATTATTAAGTTGTAGTTGTTATCTTTTATCTCTGTTTAAATTGTATCGCAATAGTAATAGGCTTTTAAAAATCAGAATTCGAATTTGTGTAGTCAAATAATATAGTAACTCTCTCCTTCAAGCAAATAAAACATTTTCTCTTCAAGCAAATAAAACATTCCACTACGAAAATTAGTTTTCTTTTATTCAAATTCCGTTGTTCCTCAAATTGGATCGTAAATCTAAATTATCTTGACGAAGGAAAAGATAATGGTTGTTTATGTGAGTTTCCAGGAGTTGTTTATTGAAAAAAAATAGGTTTTTGGAGGACTCTGAAAATTCGCTGCGTTCATTTACAAGTCTTTTCACTTTGCAAGAAACGTTGCTTCTAGTGTCTCAATATCTCATTATGTTATACATTGTTCGACACATGAATCAAGATATGGAGTATCTTTTGAGTGGATTTTCTCCAAATCTCCGACGTTTGAATCGACAAATGTATCGCACGTTGAAAATGCAAATAATGATTCCAACAATCAACCTATTCGCCCCAGTCTTCTTCACAATCTATGCCCCGTTTTTCGGGGCGAAAATGAACGTGCCAATTGGCATTTTCACCTGCGGACTTGGCCTTTTTCCGGCTTTTGATGCGATTTTGTTGATTGTGATTGTGTCGGAGTATCGGAATGTGTTTTTGAGTGGGTTCGAAAATTTGTGGGGGGAATGTACTATGAGTTTGAATTTTCAGAGCTGGTTTCGAGGGGCAAAAAACAGCTGACAGTCAGAGTTACCACGTCATAAACAATATTTCGATTGTTAGGATTTTTTTTTGAAAAAATAAAGATAACTCATTTTTCAGCCAATCACAGCGAAAAAATTATTTTTTTCGTTTCCGAGGGAGAACACGAGAGAGTGTGTGTGCAGAAGAGACGCGAGACGAAAAAGGGATGTGAAAAGGGACTCCGCCCACTTTTTTTTTTGACTTTTTTAATCTTTTGCCACGTGGTTTTAGATTTTCTTGATCAACGAAAATTCATAATTGACCATTTTTTTTCGAAATCTGAAAATTTCACTGGAAAGCAAAATTTTCTGAAAATTATAGTAAACTCTTCGAAAACCTTAAAAAAAATTCAAAAAATTCATTTTCAAAATTGAAAAACATCATCAACATTTTCCTCCTCACCATTCCGATTTTCGCCTCCACCAAACTTCACCAAAGCCGATCTCGGCGTCATCAAATTGTCCTGTTTCCACTGCAAATACCAATACAATCTTCTCGCACACAACATCTCATAGATCTTGAAAATCACCACACCAACCATAAACATCAGTAGAATGTTATCGACAGGTTCGTTGACAATCAGAAATGTGAGAAGGACAACTAAATAGGCCAGCGACATCAATAGATCCATGCTTGTCACAATCAGAAGTCCGCTGAGGAATGTGGGACTCTTCTTGTAGATTGAGATCAAAGCGAGGAGACATGTGAACACGTGGATTATTATCCAGAAAAGAAGAGGGCCACTTGTGGTGCAGATTTTGTGCTGTGAAATCATCGGAGCCTCGTTGTATCTTTCCAGAAAACTGACGTTGAAGGATTTGCAAGACATCAGGGGGTGTTGAAAACCTGTAAAAAGTTTCAAGTTATGACGTGGCATTTACGAACATTTCCACGTCATAACCCTGATTTTTTTCATTTTTTACTTTTTGTAAACTACCAAGAAAGACAACAATAGAAAACACAGAAAATTTCAAAAATATACGAAAATTTTGAAACGTATCAAATAATGGCTGGCTTACCTGTCAAATAAGTGGCCACAATTACGATAATCTCAACACCGCTCAAAATTGCCACGTCGACAGCCACGTGGCAGCATAGAACGCGATATTCGAAGCTCATTCTTCAACCACTGCGAAAAAATTGAATCCGAAGACAAAAAATGAGTGAGAAATGCGGGATTTCGGCGGATTTTTATATGAAAACGAGGCGAAACTTGAGTTTTTTTTAACGAGTTTGAGTAGGTGTCAAGGAGTCTATTATTTTTCGAGCCTGTTTTGTTTTTGACGTATGTATGTATAAATTTCTTTTTGGTCAATGATGTTTCACAATTTGAATTACTTGAGAGAAATCAATTTTCTGTGCGAAACTTGTGGAAGCTTAAAGAACTCTTTATTCTTCCAGATTTTTGAATTTGCCATCTCCAACTTCAAAACCCTGGTTTTCCTTGAAAAAAAATTAGCAAAAAATAAAAATAAGTGCGCGTCAAATAAAATGCAATGTGTGCATTTGCATACCGTATACCAATTTTCGAAAAATGTTTTTTCTTTTTTTTTGTTCGCTGGAAAACTCGAATTTCGAAAATGCTGCTGAAATAGGGATTGTGGAAAAGGTAGGATTTTTGGGTTTTGTTGGAAAATATTGAAATTTTGCTGAAAATAAGCTCGTGTGGCTGAAAATTCATTAAAATGACCGAAAAGCCTGAAAAATAAAAATTTTCGAATTTTGTCTTCGAAAATAAGAAATATGACCTATGACGTGGCAAATGCAGAAAACGTCGATCTTTTGATCCTTCTCTGATAGAGTTAGGGGATCTCGAGTGGATTTTTGAATGATCATGAGCTTTCTTTTTTTTCCAGAGCAAATAAACAATTCTGTTCCAGCGGTCTTTGGCGTCAAAACTGTTTACTTGGTCTAGAAAACCACGTGATCTTTTTCAAACCACTTGAGTTCACATAACTTTATCAGCGATGATGCAAAAAGTCACCTAGAGTTATTATAACTCCAAAAATTTTCCCCTCCTATAAGTTCCTGTAATTCGCATGCAGGCGATTTGGATCCAAAATACATCCATATTTTTGTTTCCGATTTCTTTTTCCCTCCCATGCGGGAAAACAAACAACACTTGAGAACACGTTTTGTTTGCGTTTTGAGTATGTGTGCATCATCATCATCCCTCGATATTATTTTTTTGCTGTATTCTGATTTTTTTGGCTTTTCGTTTTTTATTTACGCGAAAATCTGTTTGATTTCGATGCCTTATTTGCATAGCAAAGTTAGTTGTTGAAAATAGAAACGAAAAAGAGTATGTTTTTCAAAAAAAATAAAGATCAAAGAGATGGATCATACATATTAATCTGAGCAATTAGGAAGCTTTATAATACAGGGTGCGCCATAAATACGTGGACAGCTATAATTCAATATTATTCTCAAATTTAGAACAGTTTTTTGTATATCGTTTTTAAAATACTTAATTAGGTCCCTAACGAGTAAATTGAAACCAACATCTCTTAGTTTGGTCGATTCTGCGACCTGGGAAATCTTGTAGAACTTCGGGGAAAATTTCATCTCGGCACGCTGCCATTTGTCGGACAAATTGTCCCAATACTTGAAAACTAGGTTCTGTAAAGTCAAAATACATGATTGGAGGTTTACCTAGAACCTTTCCGATAACTAATTTGAAAGGAATTATGCAATGGGTTCGTTTCGGACAAAAATAACATAAATTTAAAAACGTTGCTCAAATCGAAAAAATTGTTTCTCAACAGCGATTTTGGGAGATTTTATCTTTTATTGTATACTGTGATTGGCTGGAGCACTTGATGTTTGTTATCGAGGTTGATTTTCATTCTTAGGTACATATGTTAGTCCAGAAATACATTTATTTCAACTTTACTCCCAATTTTGACCCCAAAATCAATGGAGATCAATGATTTCTCCCAATCAAGCAGACAGTTCCAAAAATCTCCACCCAAACTTGGTGTGAGACATGGTGGACAATTTTATATTTTTTCTTGGCTTCTTGGGACTCTCTGACAACCCCTCAAACATTCTACAACTCAAATGAAGCCTTCGCAATAAAAATAATTTTATTCAAAAATAGCGATGTCGCTTTTTCGTTGTTCTGCGTGCCGTGATGAAATTTTCCCCGAAGTTCTACAAGATTTCCCAGGTCGCAGAATCGACCAAACTAAGAGATGTTGGTTTCAATTTACTCGTTAGGGACCTAATTAAGTATTTTAAAAACGATATACAAAAAACTGTTCTAAATATGAGAATAATATTGAATTATAGCTGTCCACGTATTTATGGCGCACCCTGTACATATTGTGTGTATTATTTACCAGGTGTGAGTCGATCCGGTGAGCCGGAAATTATCCGCAAAAATAAAATAGACATCTGCTCATCCGATTTTTTTGTTTTGTTTAGAGTGTTTTTAGGGTTAGGTAAGGTCATTAGGGCTTTTTCTAATACTTCGTGGTTTTTTTTTTTGGTTAAACGTTTGAATTTAAATCTAATTTCTGAGGATTTTCATCATTTTTTTGAAACAGACTATATTTTTAAAAATAAAAGTGTCCTAAAAAACATCAAATCGTTGCGAGACCCATTGATCGAAAAATCCCATGTTCCTTGAAGTTTTTGGGTCTCGCGACGATCCTTCCAGTAATTTTTGACAGTCTACATAGTTATCTCAACTCTAAACATGAGTTATGACGTGGAAAATTTGAAAATACTTCAACTTGCAATAGCTGTAAGTCACTGTTTTTACAAGTTTGCCACGTCATAACTCATATTGAGAGTTAAATTCGAGGAATCGTGGCGAGACCCAAAAACTAGGGAAAATTTCAAGGAACATGGTATTTTCTATGGGTCTCGCCACGATTTTTTGAATTTTTGTGTAAAATTGGCCTAACACAAAATTCGAATTTCCGGTATATCTAAAATCCAGCGCGAAATTCTCTGCGTCTCTCCAAAACCCCTTCTCTCTCTCAAAGAAATCACCCAGGTGAGAAAGCCAGGCTCCTTTCTTTCTATTAATTATCATCATTAGTTCCCTCTCCCTCCCGCCGTCCTGACATTTTCTCTGCTTCTCTCACCGCACCCTCTCCTCCTCGCACAATCTCTCGCCGACCTTCGAATATGAATACATTATTGTCGTCTGCGTCTCGTTCAATCTCACTCTCCTCCATTCCTTTGCATTTTTATACCGTTTTTGTTTTGTTTGCGCTTTGCGTTCATTTCCTTTTCCTTCTTCTTCTTCCCCATATATTTTCTTAATATAGGCAAGCGTCTCTTTTTTTTGCCTCATTTTTTTACGCCAAATTGTATTATTTTCGTATCAATTTCATGTCCGATGACAATTTTTATATTGTTCAAAAATTTTTTGATTTGAAAAAAAAAAGACGTTTGTTTCCAGTTTCTGTTGAAAATTATAAAATTTGAAGAATTTTCTTATCAAATTTTATATTTTTATTGGAGATAATTTTTTTGGTTCAATTGAATTTCGTAATTTCGTCTATACAGCTGTTTAAATTTTGTATGATGATTTTTGCTTTGGGAAAATTTTGCGAGGAATTTTTTTCCGAATTCGTAGCATTCCGTTATGTGAAAATTTTTTGAATTTTAAAATTTTGTGCAAAAAAAAATCCACGTGGCAATAATTTTCTAATTTATTTAAAATGGCTCTATGAACTCTAACATGTCACATCTCTCTAGTTTCTCTGCGACTCTCAAAATCCTATGCTCTCTGACCTCTCTAGCTTCTCTCTTGCTCTACCATCCCTAACTATTCTCATTTCTTTAGCTTCTCTCTTTCCCTACCATCCCTATGCTCTCTAACTTCTCTATCTTCTCTACCACCCTCTTCTCTCTTTCCTCTACCAAATTTCCTCGAAATCACTATCTCCCCCCAAAAAATTGTCCACTCCTCGCCCCAAATGGTCATTTTTTTCGGTGACAATCTGAAAACAAATAAATATACCCGCACAGTGTAATAATAAAGTAGGAAAAACGATAAAATCTGAAAAATTTGTCCGATCTTTTCATCGATAAAAATTACGTCTTCTTCTTCAATTTCTTCAATTTAATTTCGTCATAACTACTAATAAACAACACATTTTGTTCGATGTTTCCCTAGATTTTGCACTTTTTTCAGATCGCCTTCTTCTGAAAATCGCCAAAGGGAAGAGAAGAAGCTGGAAATTTGACACAAAAATGTCTGGAATTTCACAGGTGAGTGAGGGGTTTTTGACCAGAAAGGACAAGACAACAAAAACAAGTCACTTTTTCTGTCAGATGACTTGATTTGGGCTATTTTTAGGATAGTTCTGATTTCATGTGATAAACTTTAGTCTAGGCTAAATATAGGTGATTTTTGGCGCGAAAAATACATTTTTTAAAGAAAAAAAGCAAGCAAAAATATTTTGAACGTGACATTTCTGAATATCTAGGAAAAAAATAATTTTTTGGTTATTTTTGAATTTTTATTTCGGTGGAAAATGCGTGGATTTTGAAAATTTCGGAAATTTTGTGAGTTTTCAAGCCCAAAATCCACCCGGCAGAGTTCAGAACTGCTGAAAAAACTGGCCTGGAATTGACAGAAATTTGAAAATTTTCTGATTTTTTAAACTAAAATTTGTAAATCGTAAAATTTGGCACCACCAAACAGATGTCGTTGAACGCGTTGCGGTCAAGCGCTGCGTGTTTCATCATTTTAGAGTAAACTGTTTGAAAATGGTTGAAAAACACGCAGCGCGCGACCGCAACGCGTGCCACGTGGAAAATTCTCTCCAAATTCAAAATTCACAGGTCTCACTGGTACATTCATCGGATTCAATTCGAGCCGTGCCAGGATCTTCCGGAACACTACCAAGGGTGAGTTTTTTATCATTTTTTATCAAAAAAAAATTCCAAAAATCTATTTTTTTGCCCAAAAAAATCATAAATCTAGTGGTTTTTTGATAATCAGACTGATTAAAAAAACTCGATAAACTTGTCAATTTTCGGGGAAATTTTTCGAATTTTTCTCTGATTGATTTGTGACGAAAAAAATGTTGAAAAATCACATTTTGAACAATTTTTTTGCGATTTTGATGATAGCAAAAAATTTGACCTTGTTTTTCGCAATTTCGAATTCGAAATTGAAAAATTGAAAATTCCGTGAAACGGATATTTTTCGCCCAATTTTTGATACATGATATCGCAGTGTGTTCACTTTTTCTTTCTAATCGCTTCATTTTTGCGTGCGTTGTAATAATTTGTAGTGGACTTGGATGACAAAATTCTTTCTCCCCCTTTTTATTATCAGTTTTTGCCACTGGGTTCAGACTGATAGATTATATAGATTGTATAGTTTTTGGGTGGCGGAAAAAATTATTTTTTTTTAAAAATTATGGCTGAAAATTTCTAGGATCCACGTGGATTCCATGACGCTTGAAAGAAGGGTTTCAGCTCGATGTTCTTGCTGTGCCACGTGGATTTTTGACTTGAAATTTTCTCATCATTTTTAATTTTTGCAAGACTAAATTTATTTGAATTTGAAAAATAAAAACCTGAATTTTTCGTTTCAATTTTGCCACGTGGGTTTTTTTTTCTTTTTTGAAAACTGAATTTTTAATTCTTAAGGCTAGACAATTTGAATTTCTCGCTGAAAAAAAATGACGTCATCATTTTGAGCGCGAAAATTAAGAAATTCAAATATTCTTGAAAAATTTGAATTTCATCATTTTTAGCGCGAAAATTGAGAAATTCAAATTTTGTTGAATTTTGAGAGCGAAATTTTAAAAATTCAAAAATTTTTGTGAATTAAGTCAAAATTAGCCATAGTTTTTGGGGAAAAAAATTTTTATTTACAAATATTTGGATTTCTCTACAAATTTTCAAATTTTGGATCACCCGAAGAAATTCCAGCTCCTAAAATTGATTTTCGAGATTTTTCATCTCTAAATCTCATTGATCCAATACCAAAAATCAAAAATCCGCCTAATTTCTGATCAACAAACGGAACAAGTTTCCTTCCAACTTGATAATGATGAAAAATGAGATGATCGGTGTCAAAATCAACACTTTTTCTTCTTTTTTTTCACAAAATATACGGCTTTCTTTGTAAATCTGATCACACCTGTACAGATTTCTCATTCATTTTTTCTACCTCAAAACGTCTATGTTACACTGCGTTTTGATTTGATATGTTTTTTTGTTGTTATTTCATTTGATGAGAAATCAAATCAAATCAGATTTTTATGATGTTACACACACACAAAAAATGATGTGATTTTATTTATTTTTTCTTTTCGAAAAAAAATGTCATTTTTTTTGTTCGATTGACCTTTTCATCCCAGTTCGTTTACTGTTGTCTTAACATGAGTCATTGGATGATTAATTGATTCGATTTCAAATAAAACAAATGAATTTGAAAGAACAGAACTAGTTTCGGTTTTTTTTCTCTGATTGTGAGAAAAGTGCTTTTAAATGGGGTTTTTTTTGTGGTTTTGGAGGTACTGTAGAGAGTACTGTACTTTGTAGTTCGAGATACGGTACCTTGAACTAGAGACTTCTTAGCTTTGCAGTTTGGCTACTGTAATGCAAAGACTACGCTTGAAATCTTGCATTTCTGGTACTGTAATTCATACGTTATGTTGGCGCTTTTGCAGTTCGTATTATTGTACCTGAAAATTTGAGATTCGCAATTTTGCAGTCTGAGTACTGTATTTTGTGCTTGAATTCTTTTTAGTTTTGGTACTGTACCTCATTATCTAGGCATCAAAATTTGCAGTTAGTGATACTGTACCTCAAAACCTTGGCTTAGAATCTTGCAGTCCGGATTACTGTACTCTAGAAATTAGTAATAGCTTAATATTTTGCAGTTTGTGATACTGTACCTCAAAACGTCGGCTCAGAATCTTACAGTTCTGATTACTGTAGTCTAGAAATTAGTAGGCTTGAGATTTTGCAGTTCTGGTACTGTAGCCAGAATTCAGCTTCAAAATCGTTTTAGAACTTACTAGCTTTAGGTACATTTTTGGAGTCTGAATGCGGTAGTTCAAACTACAAATTTGATATCGTTTTTCTCGCAGTTTCAATTTTTATTGATACTCAATTTATTATCCCCTTGCAGTTCGAACTACTGTACAAATTTTCCACATCATTTTCTGATCTACCCCACAAAATATAAATGTAAAATATACCAATGTAACATTAATGTTATTTTTTTTTGCATAAGAAAAGAATGAAATCAGCTTCCGATTAATCGCTTGAGAAAAAATTGCGCTAAACCAGTTTGTATCTATCTTCTGGTCTAGTCTAGCGCTATTTTTTCTCCACTTTTTTTGCCTCAGAAAATGAACATGTTTTTTTTAACTGTACATTGAAAATGAACTTATCATAAGTTAACCTATTGCTTGCTTTATGAACAATTGATAATTAATTATGTTAATTAATTAATTAATTACTTTCTCTTCCTCTCCGCCTCCTTCTTCTGGAAGATAATCACCTTTATTTGAAGATGAACAATGAAGTCTCATGCTGTGTGAGTGTGAACACCGCATTTCACTTTTTCCTGCCAATTTTTCTCCGGCGAAACCAGATTTTGGCAAGAAAATAATTTTGGTCTCAATTTTTGATAATACTGAAAAAAAAGTTATCGGTTTTGGTTTTTGGAAAACTGGTTTTCTCTCTGGAAATTTCTTCTTCGGAACCCAATCGACATTGATTTTGCGTCTTCTTTAATCGGAAAAGGCTACGTGGATTTTTCTAGAAATTTTTTTGGGTTTCTGGAAAAGTCCTTGAAGTTTTCGCGAAGTTTTAGGTGACTACAGTACTCCTAATCCACGTGGAAATTTTTCTAGTGGGTGATCAATATTTTGAGAACTAGAATCTAGTTTGAATTCATCGAAAGCCACGTAGACAATTTTTTCGCTCCAGAAATCCACGTGGAATTTTTTTCCAGAATAGCTTTGAAATTCAGGCGGTCCACAAAAAGTTTTGAAGCTCTCAAATAGTTTTCCTGAAAAAAATCCACGTGGAATTTTCTTATGGTAGGTCAATTTTCGTCTCCGGAATACCCTGAAATCCATGTGGCAAACTTTCTAGACAAAATTTCAAGTGTTTCTTTTTCTTATTTATGATCTTGAAAACTTTGAAACCACATTTTATTATAAGGTCAAATTTAAAAGCCCTTGAAGATTGCCCTTCTTCTTTTCCAACACAACCCTTGAACTTTTCTGCCTTCTCTGCGTCTCTCACTCTCTCGCCGTCTCGCCGTGTAGTTCTTTTGGAACAAACCCGAATCAAGACTTTCATTGAACAAATGCAATTCAATTCAATTGAATTCAATTACCACAAATTTGCCGATATCTTTTTTTTCCTCCTCCCCACGTGTCTGCGTCTCTCTGTCCTCCACACTCTCTCATCGGCTTTTCTTCGCTGTTTTGTCCTGTTCTGTTCCGAAATTCGCTCTCGCTCAAGTGTGTTGTTGCTGCTATCCTCCTAAATGTTTTCGTATTTGTTTTTGAGTTTTTTCCGCGATCGCCGCCGCGCGGAAGCTGTTTCGATTCGATTCTTTTGTCTCATTTAATTTCCGCTTCTCTGGTATTCATGTTGAAATTTGCTCACACACTGTGTGCAAAAATTTTTCTACTATGTTTAGTGAAATTTGAGAAGCCGTGGGTAATTTGAGAGTGATTTTTTTCGTTGAAAATTGTTGCTGGGTTTTTTTGTCGTGATTTTGAAACGTGGATTTGGATTTTAATTCGATCTAGAGCCTTAGAAGCACTGAAAGCAGAAGCACCTATTCTGATTTTCAAGGCACCGCCCCTTGACAGGTTTTTCAGAGCTCTAGAAGCCTTATAACATTCTAAATAAAAATTCAAATTAAAAGCCTGCTCTTAGCAAAGTGTTGTTCTCTAAAGGCGCGGCTGCTTGACAGTTAGAGCTCTAGGCGCCAACCCTTTACGTGCTTACAAGCAACCGTCGCTTATTGTTCAATTTTTCCGATCAGAAGGCTTCGTCCCTTGGTAGCTATACCTTGTTTCTAGCATTCATCACTTGACAATCCCACTTCTCTTCTAGCTTTTGTCCCTTGGCAGCTATACCTCATTTCAAGCAGCCATCCCTTGACACCCATATTTTTCTCGGTTTCAAGGCGCCACGCCTTGTTTTTTTGTTGTCTTTCTCATTTTCACTTCTAAAATCAGCTTACTAGGTCAAACATATCTCTATTTCATATCGTAGTGCGCAATCTTCTTGATTCTAACCTCGACCTTTTTTTCTTCATTTTTCGAAAAAGTTTTGTTTGTGTTGTGTGTTTTCAAGAAATGTTCAAACCTCATAATTATCGTCTTTTCTTGTGTTTTTGTCCAGAAAACCCTGTAATTTTCCTGAATTTAAAATCAAAAAACAATTTTTCGGTGGAAGGTTGAAAACCCGTTTCGTTTCGGTTTGGTTCTAATTTTTACGACCGATATATAACATTTTTACTAATTGGATCAACATGAAATTTGTGTGTGTATCTTTTTCTTCTCAATTTTCTCCTCGATTATTTCCATATAGATTTAATTTATTGTTGTTGTTGTTGTTTTTTAGAGGAGAAAACCTGTCTTCTTTTTTGGATTTGGTGATTTTTTGCCTATTGCGAGGGTTTCACGTGGCATTTTTTGACCTAGAAATAGTTTTCAGTCGAATTTTTGAAATTCAGTACTTGCTTAATCCAAAGGAATTTCCAGAATTCCTCATTTTTCGAGCTGAAATTAAATTTGTTTTGAATTTAAGTCGTAATTGAAATAAAATAAAAAAATGTTCAACCTGAAATTAACTTTGAATTTGAATTTTGAAAAACAGTGCTTGAATTTGCTGTAATAAAAAATATCTCGATCAAATCTTTGCCACGTGGATTTCTGCAGAATAATTTTGATCTACCTGGAAAATTGTGCCACGTGGATTTTTGTTTTGAAAAATTTTCCGAATTCATTTTTTTGTTCTCTAAAAACTTGTCAATCAAAAACAATATAAATTCCAAACCCACAATTATTAGTTTTTTTCGCCTAGTTTTTGATTTTTCTCACTCATCCGTCCGTCCAAACAAAAACTGACACTTTTTGTTATTTTTTTCGCGGGAAAAAGTTTGAATTTTTTCCCTTCGTTGTTCTTTGTCTAATCCATCATTTTCTCTCTCTCTCTCCGACTTTTTTCTACATTTTTTCGTTTTTTTTCGGGAAGGGCAAGAAGTTTGCTCTTTTTTTGTTCTGGGATTTTTTGCAATCAAAAGCTTGTGATTTTGAACCTAAATTTGAATTTTTAAAATAAAATCTAATTTTTCTAGTTTTTCTGTTTAAAAAAATCGGCTGATTCTCAAATTTCTCTTCAAAATATACCTCCCAAATTTTTCAGATGTCCAAACCACCACCAGTCCGAATTCCCCAACAAATTCATCGACCCCAACACGTCATTCCAACAATGTCCGTTCAGCCAATCAATCAGCAGCAGCATCAGCAAAAATATCAGCAACATCCACACATTTATCAGCAGCATCAGCAGCAGAACCAGCAAAAATCGGCTGAAATGTTGCAACGTGTTCGAGCTGTTCGCCGACAAGTCGCCGATGAAGAAAGCGAGTTGAGAAGATTGAGAGAGCTGGAAAATGAGACGGCGATGTTGCGAATGCGAAATGTGACGAGAGAAAGGGAGTTGACGTCGGAAGTGATGAAGTTGGGAGAGGATCAGGCGATGTTGAGGAATGCCACGTTGAGGGTTCAGCAATTGACTAGACATGTGAGTTTTTTGAAGGGGAACATTTATGAATGTTGTTAAAGCTTGTGAAAATTTGGAGTTTCAGAAAATGTTCCAAATATTTTCTATCAAAAATTTGAAATTTGAAAATTTGTGAAGAAATTTTGATATTCTGAAGCTTGAGAAATTCAAGATCCTTGAATTCAAATTCAGAAAACCTTCCAAAATTTTCGAATTTTCGATTAAAAAATAGCGAATTCAGAAGTTTGAAGGAAATTTTGAGATTCCGGAATTTTTCAAAAAACAAGCATTTTTTTAGAATTTTTTATCTTCATTTTTATTAAATTTATGATGAGAAATCCAGGATATTATCAGAAAATTTGGATTTTATTCTAATTTTTCATTCAAAATCTTCTTTCTTGAAATTGAAGACTCTAAAAACAAAGATCAGTTTTCCACCTGATTTTGAATTACAGTAATTTTTATGCACTTATTTTTATAGTATCTCTACATTTCCATGGAAATGTAGTCATATTTTTTTTGCTGAAAATTTACTGTAATTTTTTTTGGTATAAATTTAGATTTTTCTATTAGTTTTAGGTCTATCTAGAATTTTTTTTTATCTGAAAATTTCCAATTTAAAATCACCTGTCAAAAAATTGTTTCTGATTTTTGATCTGAATTTTTTCACCTGTTTTTTTCGCATGATTTTTTTTTTGAAAATTCTATTTTTGTTCTCTTTTGAAAAAAAAACTTTTTTGGTTAAAAATCAGATCTTTCTAAAATAAATCCTAGAACATTTTTTGAAAAATCAATTTTTTTGCTTTGAAAAACTTAATTTTCGAAATTTCGCTTTTTTTTTGTTAAAAATCAGATCTTTCTAAAATCCTAGAAAATTCAAAAAAAAATATTTTTTGCAGCTCGAAGAAATGTACAAACGACGTCAGACAGCTGCGGCTGCCGCACTCGTCGAACATCGCAAAATGCACCAACAACAAAACGCCCAAAAGCAGCTGGAAATTGTGCGACCTCGCGCATCAGTCGAACCCTTCCAAGTTACCGCAACTCCACAAATCTTGCCACAAGAAGAGCACATTGAAAAAGAGCCGGAAAAGATCATCGAAAAAGGGGAGGATTTGATTGATGGAAGTGGAATTCCAGCCGAACCCGCCTATTTGGCTCCCGGAGCAGGATTGAGCACTTTCTCAGCGATTCCGGTTGTTACCACGACTTTTGAGCAGAAGATCAATTCGTCGACACAGAGTAGAGATTCGCCGTCGATTCCTGTGTCATTTGGAGATTCGCTGGATGAATCGAAACTTCGAAGCGGAAAAACTGACCTAGTCTCCCTGAGATCTGACTCGCTCAAGGCTACCAAAAGAAGATCTTGGGCTGCATCGGAGGGAACATCGATGTCTGAAGCGGAGATGATTCATCGACTTTTGGATGAGCAACGAAGAGGAAGATCGCATTTCATCCCACAACTTCCGACCCCACAAGAGGAACCTGAACCAGTTCTGAAAGAGCAGAAGGAAGTCAAGGAATCTGAAGATACTACGACTGAGGAATCTTGTTCGTCAACAACATCTGCGAGAAGTGAAGATGAGGAGAGTGAGATTGAGGAGAAGGTGAAGATCAAGAGCATTAAGGGAATCTTGAGAAGACCCAATGAGAAGATGAATAAAGGAAGAATCGAATTTGATCCACTGGCATTGCTTCTTGATTCGGCTTTGGAGGGAGAATTGGATTTGGTACGAACAAGCGCGGAGAAATTGGGCGATGTTTCGTTGGCGAATGATGAGGGAATCACGGCACTTCATAATGCGATTTGCGCGGGACACTATGAGATTGTGAGATTCTTGATTGAACATGATGCAGATGTGAATGCGCAGGATTCGGATGGCTGGACGCCGTTGCATTGCGCGGCGAGCTGCAATAATCTCCCGATGGTCAGGCAACTTGTTGAGGGAGGGGGTTGTGTTTTGGCGTCGACGCTCAGCGATATGGAAACACCGATTGAGAAGTGTGAAGAGGAGGAGGATGGTTATGATGGTTGCCTGAAGTATTTGCTGGCTGCACATAATTCGACGGGAACTATCAATGAGGCGAGGGTGTATGCGGCATATTCGTATGAGGCGGGATTTGAGGATGAGTTGAGCTTTGAGGCTGGAGATGAGTTGGTTGTGTTGAGCAAGGATGATGTGGATAAGGTATGGTTTTTGGGCCTCGAAAGGGTTTTTTGTCAAATTTCGAAAAGATCTGATAGTTTTTGTTAGAAAATCTGAATTTTTCATATTATTTTGTTGCAGAAAAATTATAAAATTTTCTGAAAAATCTCAAGCAAAAGCTCTGAATTTCAATTTTTCAGGTTTTTGGGCTTCAAAAGGGTTTTGTCATAATATCAAGGAGAATTGAAAGTTTTTGTTAGAAAATTTGAGATTTTTTCATATTTTTGTTTAAGAAAAAGCTCTGAATTTCAATTTTTTAGTTTTTGGGCTTCAAAAGGGTTTTGTCAAATTTCAAAAAGGGATTTTCTCAATCGATCAGAAAAGTCCGAAAAGCAAAAAGAAAACAAATTGAATTTTGAAAATTCTAAAATTTCAGAAAAAAACTGAAAAGAAATTCAATAAATTTGCCCACAAATTTAATTTTTTTCTGAAAATTCCCATTTTTGAATTTTGAAAATTCAATTTTGAGAAGATTCTAAAATTTCAGAAAATAAAGCTCAGAAAGCTCAGCTTAATTTAATGATTTTTTTAAAATCTAAAAATTGTGAGCCGAAATTATAGAGTTTCAGGATTTTTTTTTCAAGAAGAACTGAAAGTTTTTGTTAGAAAATATGAATTTTTTCATATTTTTTGTTAAAATCCAGCATTTTTACATTTTAAATTTTAAGATTTTAAGAAAAAGCTCTAAAATTCATTTTTCTACATTTTTCAGAAATTTTACAATTTCGATTCAAAACCTTCAGTTCCAGGTTAAAAAAAAGTAATTTTTTGAAAAATTTTCAAAAAATCAATTTTTGGTTTTTTCTCTGAATTTTTGTTGAAAAAATGTTTCATAATAAAAAAAAATCATTTTTTGAAAATGAAATGTCGAGGCTTACACGTTCACGTCAAAATTCACTATTTTTCATCTCCAAATTTCCCCCATTTTCCCCCTCTGAAAATTCCGAACTCCCGATATTTTCAGCATTGGTGGACGTGTCGAAAACCATCTGGCGAAACCGGTCTGGTGCCCCGAACCTATTTGGCTCTTTACCCGGCTCTCAAATATCGCAAAAATTTGAACTTTGTCATGTTCGATCTACCGCTCGAATCCAACAACAATAATCTACAATAGATCCCCCCAAGTTAGCTCATTTTCCATAGTTTTGCTCTTTCTTTTCTCAGAAACAAAATGTCGTGTACGGGTTCGAGACGACCATATGAATATTGCCCCTCAAATTATTGATTTTTTTATTTTGACCCAATATTTTCGCGCTGTATTTTGCTATACTATGTTTTCATGTTATATTTTTGGAAAGATTATGTATGTAGAATAAATTTTTTGTTTTTTCAAAGTTTTTCAACAAAAAAAATCTAGAAAGTTATCACGGTGTTGCTGACACGACGTGTTGAAGCCCGGAAAACTTCTGTAATACAATTTCACGTTTTCTTTTATCACTCATCAATGAAACTTACTAGTAACATACTCCCAATATTCCGAGACCGAATATATAAAAATCATTGAATCAATGAGGTTAAAAAAGTTCAAAGTTCCAATAAGTATACCAGATTCAATATTAATATTTGTGTTGAAGAATGGGATGATGTAAACGAATAAAACGGGAAAATCGAAAATAATCGAAGGAATTGTGATTTGTCGAACAAGTGTGTCGAATAACTGTTTTTGAATTCGTAGATTTTGCGGGCAAAAGTGGTGAACTTGTTGATTGAGCTTGTAATGTGTTCGAAATCCACAATAAATCATTATTGCGTACTGCGCACCAAGAGTTGTCAAGACATAGATCGCAAAAATATAATGTTCAAATTTGACATTATCAATCAGATAAATGAAGGCTGAATTATCCTGAACTTCGATGTTATATTGATCTTTCATGACATCCGATATATAATTCCAAGAATCTGATGTCATTGTGAGTAATCCTAATAAATAATAGCAAATAACACCATTCAGAAAGGTGGCTAATAACCAAATTGATAATTTGTATCCCTGGAAAAGCTTTAATTTTCTGATATCTCCGATCAGCAACCAATATCGATAGATAAATTGGATGGTTAGCATGGAAAATAGCATGCAGTAGGTGCTCCCGAAGATTCGGAGAAGAGAATTTCGCCAAATCTCATCGAAAAATGGATTAATTGTGAAGAATATGAAGCAATTCTTGTATGAATGAACAAAAGGATGTGCAATCACATCGATTGCAGAGAAAAATAAGCCGAGGCACGAAAATGTGATCAAAAGGTGGCGATAGATTCTGCCGATTTTTTGCACTTTGAAAATTGTGAGATACAATTGGATGGAACTGGTGAAGAGTGTTAAGAGGAAGAAGATGAGCGAAACGGATCTTGTGATATTGTACATTGTCAGGGAAAGCATTGTTTTGTGAATGAATGAATGAATGGGGCGCTACCTTATTTTTTAACTAATTTATGGGAGTTCACATGGGAGTTGTTGTTTTTAGAAGTGCACAGATTTCTGGGCCTTGACGAAACAAAGAAAAAGAAATTATGCGCCGGGCGGGAATCGAACCTGCGACCTTGTGAAGCAAAAGCGAGCTCGCTAACCATTATACCAAAGTAGCAACGGGAACACTGGTTTTTTTTTCAAATATAAACTGTTTCCAATTTTTGTTTGGAAAATTTTCAATCTTACGTTTTCATAAATTCACACGGGAGCTGTTAATTTTCAGAATGGAAAGTGCAAATCTTAATTCGAATAACAGTGGGTTGAATTTTGTTGAAGCTTAAAATAAACTGTTTTTGAAGTCATTGAACAGTGGAAGTTACCATAAGTCTAGACAAGATCTTGGTGTCAAAGAAAATGTTGGTAAGCAGTGGTCACTTTCACCTCAAGTAGCGAGGCCTTGACGTTATGGTGCTATTGTCAAGCAGTGCTCACTTGACATCAGATGGTTTCTCGCAAGCAGTGACTCCTTGATGTTATGGTTTTGCTTTCAAGCAATGGCTCCTAGCCATCACATTTTCTGCCAAGCGACGAAGCCTAGAGCTTGTCAATGACTAGCAACGGATCCTTGACATCAATTTGTTCCTAAGCGTTCTCTCAAAATTGTGTCAAGCAGTGGCTCCTAGAGCTCACGTCCGGCTCTGAAGAGCCGGCGCCTAGACAATTTTTTTTTGATTTTCATTTTTCCAGAAATCATGTAAGATTTTCTTGATTACATCTATTGTTATTGATATTAATCAGGAAAAATTCCCACAATTCACTTTTTTCGCAGAAAAAAAAATAAAAAAGAAAAAAAATAAGAATTCACAACCCGGATCTATATTTTTTTCGCTGACTCCATTATTATTTTTTTTTCAAAAAAAAAAAAAAAAAATTCAGCTCTGGGAAAACGAGGGCCACTTGAAATTTCGTGTAGAACTCATTCGATTTTCTACACACACATGTTTTTTTTGTGTTGCTCCAATTTTCAGCAAGTTTTATTTCATTTTTTTATCTCCCCAGTTTTTCTGGGGGAGAAATTGCTTTTTTTTATTCCGAAACTTTTTTCAATTTTTTTTTGGGAGGAAGAAAAAACTTATTAAATGTCCTTTTTTGCTGGAGCATTAATCATCAAGGGCTCAATTTTTCAGAGAAAACTAAATTATAAATTTGTCTTGGAATCCAATCTCATTTCGTATTCGCTGAACATTTTCTGACAAAAAATGATGGAGAAATTGACGACCACCGCATTTCAGAAGGAACATTTGGAGAAGCAGCAGAATCCAGATGAGGAAAGGTTAGTTAACATTTTTTTGGTTATGACGTGGAAAACATTTAATTGGGATTGAAGAACATTCTCATAATTTCAAAATTGTAGACTTCTCAAAATTCTAAAGCTCAAAATTCTGAAGCTCAAAAAAACAAATCCTGAAGCTCAAAATTTAAAGCTCCAAATCTTTAAGCTGGAAAATCTGAAACTTAGAATCTGCAGCTCAAAATTTGAAGCTCAGAATCCTGAAGTTCAGAATCCTAAAGCTCAGAATCTGATGCTCAGAATCCTGAAGTTCTCTATCTGAAGCTCCAAATCTGAATCTTCAAATCTGAAACTTAGAGTCTGCAGCTCAAAATCTGAAGCTCCAAATCTGAATCTTAAAACTATTGGGCTTTTAAAATTCATGAATCACTTTAACCGTTTTTTTTTCCTGATTTATGATTCCTAAGCTTGACAATTTCCCAGACATCGTGAGAAACTAGACTCTAGTTTACCAACCCCGATCTGAAAATTAGGCTAACTCAAACTCAAAGAACAAAAAAAAACAATTTTTTTCCAGCGACTGGATTTTGACGTCAATAATTTCCATCGGCTGCCTGCTCTTCCTCATTATCGCAATTAAGTTGTGCTATAATTATTCGAGAAAGTTTCCGGAGCAGAAGAATGTGAGTTTTTAAAAATTGCTATTTTTTGGAAAAAGTTCATTTTTTCTGGAATTCAAATTTCAGGACCCAGAAGAGTTGGCGAATCTCAACGTTCACGGAATTTCGTTTAAAGGCACACGAGGAGTCAGATATTCTGTTGCCTAGGTCTAATTTAAGGGGGTCTAAGGTTTAGCACAAAGTCTAGGTTGAGCTCAAAGTTTAGCCTAAGGTTAGGTTAAGCCTAAGGGTTAGCCTAAGATTTTCTAGGTTAAGCCTAAGCCTTTCTAAGTTAAGCCTAAGCCTTAAGCTTAGGCTTAACCTCAAGCTCAGACTAACCTAAGCCTAACCTTAAGCCCAACTAAGCCTAACTGTGATTTTCCATGTTTTTTTTGAAAATATAAGTAAAAAGTAAAAAAGGAACCTTGTTGTTTTTTTGTCTCCTCGTTCATTTGCCAAATTGGTTTTTTCTTCGTTTTTAGCCTAAATTTTTTATTTTTTCTTCTTTTTTTATTTCCGGTTTTCGGTTTTGACTGGTGTCAAAACGGAAATGTCATAAACTCTACGAAAATCAAATGAATTTCAAAAAAGTTTGGTGTTGTTTTTTTTTGTTTGTGGTGAATAATTTAGTATTATTTCCCTCCCCACACATAAAATGTGTGTTTTTATTTGATTTTTTTGGGCTCATTTTTGTTTTGTGAAAGAAAAAGCTTTACCAAAAAAACACTCATTTTCCTCGCTGTCGAATTGATTTGAGCCACAACAACACACAAAAAAACGAGATATCATCTTTTTTTGTGCTCGATTTTTGCTCATCGAATTTTTTTTTGCGGACTCTTTTTCCGTCCCGACGACACACTTTTTTTTATCAAATCTCATCTATGAACTAATTTTTTTCTCTGGCACTTTTTTGTGGATCTTTGGAATATTTTGGAGCCTTTTTTTAGGATGTATATATTGTTTGGGTGGATTTTGATGGTGATAGCGAGGATTTTGGAAGGTGAGTCAGGGTGTGCTTTTTAGATCTAGGATTTTCAAAAGGTCAAGTGAGTTAGGATAAGTTTTGAGAATTTTCTAGATTCTGAGATTTTCAGGATTCAAAGGTCTTTGAGAACTTACTGATTTTCAGAAATGGGGTTTGAATCAAAAATTTCGAATTTGAACTTCAAAAAATATTTCTTGTAGATTTGGGCGTCCTAATTCAGGCATCAGATTTGTATATTTGAGTTAAGATTTCTTCAGATTTGTAGAGTGGGCTTCAAGGATTTTAGGAAATTCTGAAATTTTCAGAGCATTTCAGAATGGGTTTCCCTGTAATTATAGAACTTTGCCTAAATATTGGCTTGTGAGATTTTAGGCTCATACTTTTTTAAAAATTAAGATCGGCCTTCAGATTGCTAAAATCTAAGCTTAAACTTCAAGCTTTTGCTTTTTTTATTTTTTCAGAAAATCTCCAGTTACAAATTTATTAGTTACCCAAACAGCTGTCCAAAAACTCCCATAAATCTCAATTAACAAGCTTTTTTTAGCTAAAAATAGTTACAAATTTTTTTGCAGCCAAAGAAAAACCAGAGCAATATCGAATTTATGAGAAAATCATCGAAAACTATAAATCTGGTGTGATTCCCAAGCAAAAATCCGCAATCATGGTCAATTTTTCGATGGAACTTTATCAGATCATCGAGGTCAACGAGCCGCAACAATCGATTCGGATAAATGCATGGGTTTCGGAGGTAGATCAAAAGTTTTCTGATCAAAAATATAATATTTTTTTGTTTGTAGAAGTGGCTAGATGGTATGCTTGGTTGGGAAGCTAAGGAATATTCAAATGTCAGTCAATTGATTTTGCCACATTCAAAGATCTGGATTCCGGATACTACGCTATATAATTCGTGAGTTGTGAAAATTTTTTGAGCTTGGAGGAAAAGAGTGAAGTTGAAACTTTGGGGGGAGGTAGAACGGAAATTGCACTTTTCAAGTGACCTATGACGTGGAAAAAAAGTTCAATGAAAAAAACTTTTGAGCATTTGAGTTTAAAGATCAGATCTAGCTCATCTAACTAACTTCCAGCCTTGAAATGTCCGAATCAAACATCGAGCGAGATCTCCATGTTCAATTAACTACAGGCGGCAAAAACTATGGTTCCAACATCAAGCTCCTATACCCGAAGATATTTATCAGTAGTTGCCTTCTGAATCTTCGCTACTTCCCATTTGACATTCAAACTTGTACCTTGACCTTCGGATCGTGGTCCTTCGACAACACCTTGATCGATTACAATGGTGTCGATATCGAAAAAGCGATTGGTGTCTCGAATTGTCTGGAAAATGATGGCTGGAATTTGCTGAAAACCATCGGACGAAGACATGTCAGAAAATATGATTGCTGTCCGAATAATTACACGTTATTGGAGTTTGATTTTGTGTTGGCTAGAAAACCGCTCTATTATATTGTTAATCTGATATTTCCAACTGGCATCATCACTTTTATTTCGATTTTGGGATTTTTTACGTCTTCTTCGATTAATGATTTGCGGCAAGAGAAGATCAGTTTGGGTATAACTACGTTGTTATCAATGTCGATTTTAGTGTTTATGGTTTCTGATCAAATGCCATCTACTTCTTCATTTGTGCCATTGATAGGTAGGCTAAACATTCTCAAAGCGAAAAAAAAAATTTTTTTTTCGTTTTCGCGTGGAACGGTTGAGAACAGCCACAATTTCACGTTAGAGAAAACGAGAGAGAAGAGACGCGAGACGAAAAAGGGATATGAACAGGCTCCGCCCACTTTTTTTGACCCAAGTCATAAATTTTCTTGCAGGTTGGTTCTACACCTCAATGATCGCCCTGATCTCCCTGGGCACATTATGCGCCTCAATCGTAATCTTCATTCAAAAACAAGGAATCCTCGGAAACTCCCCGTCACAAAAATATCTAAAGATCACGCGAACCTTCGCTTCAACAGTTTATATGGAAATGCCTCTTGTAATGAAGCAGGCGTATTGGAAGAAGGAGAAGGATGAGAAAATGCGACGAGGTTCGCCTGGTCAGCGAAGGAAATCACTTTGGCAAAAAGCCTATGGTCTGGGCTTGAAATCGCTGAAAATCAATCAGGAGCAAGATTCACCGCAGAATGGAATTCACCGAACATCGCCAAGCAAACCACATTCTGTTCCGATTCTAGCGAATCTCGACGAGTTCGATGATCCAATGACGTGCAGCACGTTAACCGAAGATATGTGCTATAAACCGATCGAGGTGAACGTCACACCGTGCTACACACGCAATTTAGCGCAACTTGAATGGGATTGGATTGCGGCGGTGGTCGAGCGAGTTTGCCTACTTGTATTTATCATTTTGTTTATGCTATGTTCATTGGGTATTAATTTTATTGGGTATTATCATTGGAAACTTGCCAAAATGTCGGATTTGCATCCGTTGGTTTAGGAGTTAATAAATTCTTATCAATTTGCATTGGGATAATTCTCCTCCAGAGAATAATTGTTGAAAATACGGCAGAAGATATTACAGATAAAATAATGACACTGATCCACGTGTATCCAGAGACATCAAAAAGTGTTGTGCACATTAGAGGAGCCAGAATTCTAGCAAGGCTTCCAAAAAATGCATAAACACCCTGCATCGTACCCTGGAACCTCCCAAAAAAAAATAAAAAATAAATTCTCTGAAAATGAGATGATCACCTGATGTTTCGGCCCCAAAATTTGTGAAAATAGTGTTCCGATGGCATTGGTGAGGAAGGGAAAAGCGATGCCATTACAAATGATGTATACAAACAGGTAGAGTGGGAGTGGGACTTGTGGTAGATCGGGGCACCAGGAATAGGTACACGCTCCGTCGGTTACTGGAAGAAAATGAGATTAAGGATTTTTTGTGGGCTGGGGTGATTCAGGTCGGAAAAAAACTACTTTAACAACAATTTTCGACTCAGAAAATGTCAAAAAACTATATTTTTTCCTATTTTTTGAAAACATTTTCAAGTGAAAAAATAGGTTTTTTTCGAGATTTCTCTTTTTTTAAAGTTTTTTTCGACCTGAATCACTCCAAAATGAGGTGATTCAGGTCGAAAAGACGTTTCAAAAAAAAATAAATAAACGCCTCCCAAATGTGTGCAAACACCACGACGCAAACGCGCACAGAAAAAAAAACAAACGACACTCCGCCATGCCCATTTTTTAGCAGAAAAAAATCGGCCTGACCTAGCCTAACCTTCCTTCACTCACCATTCGGGTTATAGTCCAATTTCCCACTATACACTGGCCATGGTAACAACACAATAAAATATGAGGCAAATAACCCCAATCCGACCAGAATATTGAACCGCTTATTTCTGAAATTGTTCTGCTGAAATTCGAGATTTTTCTAGAACCTACATACATTTCACCAATTCTCGTTGATCCTAGCACCACATAAGTCGACACAGTTATAAAACACGACAGGGTCTCAATATACCCGTTATAAATAATTGCCTGATTCGATGTCCAGTCGTACATCGCTATAGTTAACACCGTGCTCAATGATTCCTGCTCAACGAAAACCAGTTGAATGATAAACCACAAAAAGATACATAGAAATGCGGGGAGTTTGTCGAATTGGGGAAGTTCGACTTTTGATTCATCTGCAAACTCTTATCGTGAAGTTTTGACAGATGGGAGTTCAGAAAAAAACACACCAGTTTCCGAGATAACGCCTGCAAAACTGTCATCATCGAAAAAATAGAAAACCAAAATAACTGTGATCGAAAAAGCGGAGGATAGAAAAAATGCAGGAGTTGTGTAGGCATCTAGGAGTTTCAGATAGGTATGTTCACCAAATGTCATTGCAAAAATCGATTGAAGGATGGGTCCGCTGAGCATGCCACTTGAAAAACTGCCAAATGAGTAGGATATCGCTTTATTCCGATCTTGCTCTGTTGAGCAGGCAGAAACATAGGCTCGCAGAGCAGATAGATTCCCACAGCCAAACCCGATAAGTATCCTACTCAAGATTATGAGAATTTTCACGTTTTGCAGAATCGGAAGCAAGCCATAAATCAGATTCCCAGCTATACATAACCCTAACCCTGTTGCGATAGGTAGCTTGAACTTTCTAGATTTCTCCGACCAATATCCAATAATCGGTGACCCTATAGCCTGCCCAACACTGAAACTCGCCAAGACAATTCCAAAGAATGATAATTTAGCGTTCGGATCAAGTTGGAGTAAATAGGGCCACATTGACGTGAAAAATATGGACATCTGAACGCCACAGCAATATTGTACGAAATTACTAAACCATAAAGATGTCCAATTAGTTTCAGTCATATTTTCAAGACTAATAATGAATTAATTAATGTGTTATCAGTAAGAGAAGCATGCTTTTAATTTTTTTTTATTTATAGTTTTTTGGTATTATGGGTGCAAAAAATGATTTATCAGATAGCAAACTCGGTAATTGTTTGCTAATGAAATTTATTTTCATTTCGAAAATAATCGCAAGCTGTTACATAGTTATTCTGTCGTTTCGTTGATCAAATTTCCTTCAATGATTTCCACCTGCTTCGATTCTGAGAAATATGGAATACAAGAAGTTTGACTCAGCTAACATCTTGATATCTCAATGATATTAGTTTATACTTTTTCAAATCATTTTATTGAAATTATTTGTTTTCGTTTCCAGTGTGGAACGAGAGAAAACGAGAGAGTAAAAATTAGCGTGTGCGTGCAGAAGAGACGCGAGACGAAAAAGGGATATGAACAGACTCCGCCCACTTTGTTTTGAATTCCCGCGGCGAAAGTTTTTGAACAAAAAAATATTTTTTCATCGCTGTGAGCAGATGATAATTCACATTTTTTTCTTGATTTGAAAAAAAATCAGGAATATTTTTGTTTTGGCAAAGTAAGAAATCAAAGGATCAAGTGGAAACATCAGATGTTTTTTCTCTGGTTTCATAGAAATTTCCTGCATTCGAATAAGTTTCCTCATCAGCCAAATAAATAAATTTTATTATCCAATAAAAATATCACCTGCCAGCAGACTGAAAAAAACGCTGATTAATTTTCCGTTGAATATCATTCGGTATTATGGAGCTATATTTTTTAACAAATTTCTCTAGATGCCCACCTACTAATTATCTGGATTCTCCGGAATTCTTCACTGACACTCTCCATATTTTCTCAATTATAACATTTCCAATGTCAATCTACGGATATTTTTTAATAATATATGTTACTCCGCCGAAAATGACTAATTTAAAATATATTTTATTGAACTTACATACTAGTACAGTTTTTCTAGATTGTGCGATTAATTTCTTGATTACACCATATTTATTTATACCGTGTACTGCTGTTTCATTATACGGAGTTTTGAGAAACACCTTCATACCATTCAAAATGCAGACTTTCATGGCACAGTATGCTATCTACAGTAAGTTTATTTTTTCGAAAAACAGAATTCATTTGTACATAACTTTAAAGAACTTCAGATTTGGGCATGGCTATAATTTTTGTTTTTCAAAATCGACACAGTGTTATATCAACAATATCTTGGAGAATGACTAGAAAATCAACAAAAATTATATATTATGTTGCACTCTATAGTTTTGGTTTCATTTTTGTTGGTCTTTGTTATACAGGCGACATCAATACTGATGAAATCAAACTCAATTTTCTCAAAACTAATCCTTGTCCACCAGCTGTATTTTTCGAAAAATCAACACAAATAATCACATCTCAATTGGGTATTGCTGGATTGAGTGTGTTAATTGGGTCTTCAACACTATTAGCTAATTTGATGTTATTTGTTACATCTGCTGTTTATAATTTGGTTTTCAAAACAACTGGAATATCAGCAAAAACCAGACAATATCAGTTGAAGTTTATGACAACAATATCGATTCAGATAACAGTTCCGATCATAGCTATTGTAATTCCAGTAGTGTATATATCGATATCTGTTTTTAATTCAGTTAATAATCAATTTTTAATTAGCTTGGCTGTTATCTCACTCTCCTTCCATGGATTATTATCAAATATAATTTTGGTATTGATACACAAGAATTATCGAGATTTCACTTTCCGGATTTGGAATAAAATACCAATCAGCAAGAAAAGTCAAGTGAATTCTGTAATTCTTTGCTAATTAAACATATTTTATTTTCAAAAAGCATTTTGAGTAATAAACATTGTTTTTATGAATCATGTCTTTGTCACAATCAATGTTTCCGGGAAAATGTTCCTATCTTGAACGATTTTCACTTGTCCCCTTTCTGAAAAATGAGAGATTCTATAACACAAAATTGCTATGAATGAAACTACACCAGAATAAACATTTTACATAATGGGGTGATTCAATTCGTTTTTTTTGACGATTAATTGACACAAAATGTGAGTCTTTTTTGTGCGATTTTTTCACGTTTTTGTCGATTAATTCCATCTTTTTTTGCAATTAATTCATTCATGGGACGATGCGCGAAGAAAAAAAACGTCAAAAAACGTGTTTCAAAACATAAAAATACAATGCACGAAATGTCGCAAAACGTCGCGAAACTCGAGTTTTTCGACATTGAAATGTCGCGAAACAAGTATGATTTTTCTGAAAATGTGGAAAAAATATAGATTGTTTTTGTAGAAAAAACATATCAGGGGTTGAGAAAGGATATTAATTTACGAAAATAGGTAATAAAAACTTCTGAAAAGGAATCTTTGTCAAATGAAAGTGTTATATGTGAATTGCATTTGCCAAGTCTCGTGTTTCAAAAGAAAATGGTGGTGAAAACTGTTATGAACAAGTAAAAACATTGTAAGAACCGATCCCCAGTGTCTGTGGTTCCAGGACAATACAAAAAACATGCTTGTTTCGCGAAATTTCAATGTCGAAAAACTCGAGTTTCGCGACGTTTTGCGACATTTCGTGCATTGTATTTTTATGTTTCGAAACACGTTTTTTGACGTTTTTTTCCTTCGCGCATCGTCCCATCAAAAATGAGGAATTTCAATACGAAATAGAATTTATTTGACCTCTTTTTTTGAAACGTGTCCCAAATTCACTGCTTATTTTTTTGAATTCATTTCGAAATGAAAGAAAATTGAGAGAAGACAATTTTTTTGTTGATTATTCCAACTCATAAAGGTCACGTTTTAAAATATAGGTCAAATAAATTTTATTTTTAATGCAATTAATCGCATTTTTTGCCAAGAAATGAAAGCGAGGAATTGACAAAAACGTGAAATTAATCGCCCTAATGGGCCTATGCAGAATAATATTTTGTAATAAAAAAACATTTTTTTCCTATGCAGAAAAACGTCGAAAAAACAAAATAAAGACAACGTGAAATTGAGAGAGCGCAGACATAAAATGGGTTTTTTTCTGCACTCTCTCAACTTCATGTTGTCTCTACTCAAAATAATAAACTGTATATTTTGTTTCTTCGACGTTTTTCTGCATAGGAAAAAAATGTTTTTTTATTACAAAATATTATTCTGCATAGGCCCATAAAAGACTCGGATTTTTTGTCAATTAATTGACAAATTCACGTCGATTAATTCGACTGAACCACCCCATAACACAAAAATCGCAATTAAAATAGACATCACATGAAAATGAATAGGTTTTGGAGTTTTCAAGAAATTTGTTTGCATACTACATCTATGGTTTGATAGAAGTTGGTCTCTTCTACATCGATGATTTCGAAAGTGACAGAATCAAACTCGAATTCCTTGAAAACAATCCATGTCCACCGGCAATATTTTTCAAAGAATCTACAAAAATCGTCACTTCTCGCGTGGATATCGCTGGTTGGAATATGGCTATTTGCTATACTCAGACATGAGCGGTTTTTCAAATGGTTTGAGCGAAACCAGTTTTTTTGGTTCGCTCACTCATTTGGTTTTGGTTCGCTCATTTGAAATGGTTTGGTTTGGTTTTGGTTTTTGGTTCGCTCACTCATTTCAAACTGGTTCGAACCGGTTTTCGATCAAATGGTTTTTGGATTTCTGGCTCCTGGGTGTCCGGAGTTGATGAATTTCGAGGTTTTCGGGTATGGGGATTACTGTAGTGAACTTATTTTCATGTAAAAGTCACTCTTAAAGGCACATACCCACCAAAAAAATTTTTTTTTGTAAATGAGGTATTTTGGCACGGGGAACATTTTGGTGAGGTATACGGTCGGGAACAGACTTTTAAAGGCGCATGCCAAGCTCTTACCCATTTTCCGAGTTATTTTTTTCAAACTATCATAACTTTTTTATTTTTGAAGCTTTTTTGAAAATTTTTTTTTTAATTTTCAAATTTTTACATGAAAATAAGTTCACTACAGTAATCCCCATACCCGAAAACCTCGAAATTCATCAACTCCGGACACCCAGGAGCCAGAAATTCAAAAACCATTTGATCGAAAACCGGTTCGAACCAGTTTGAAATGAGTGAGCGAACCAAAAACCAAAACCAAACCAAACCATTTCAAATGAGCGAACCAAAAACCAAAATTTGGGCGAACCAAAAAAACCAGTTTCGCTCGGTTTTTTTCGAACCATGTCCGAGTATACTATTTGCACAATTATAATTGTATCGAACATGTCCGTATTTTTCACCTCTTCGGTTTATAACCTGGTTTTCAAGGCAACTGGAATATCAGTAAGGACAAGAAAACATCAGTTGAATTTTCTGATATCGATATCGATTCAGATTATTCTTCCAATTACAGCTCTGGCTATTCCAGTGATTTATACTTCTATCGCTGTTTTGAACAATGTTTATAACCCATTTGGAAATAATATAGCTGTTATCACATTATCGTTTCATGGATTATTAGCTAATTTATCATTGATATTTTTGCACAAAAAATATCGTGATTATACATTTAACAGACAAGTTCAGAGAAAGAATACAGTTCATTCATTGATTGTATGTTGATAAACTTTTTTTGTAAATCAAAACACAGCGAAAAAAATTATTTTCCACAATTTCACGTGAGAGAAAACGAGAGAGTTAAAATTAGCGTGTGGTGCAGAAGAGAAGCGAGACGAAAAAGGGATATGAACAGACTTTTTTTTTGATTTTTGGGCCTAGATTTTGATGAGTTCGCCTAACTTTTTCATAATTTTTCAATTTTTCCGAAATCCCTCCCCAAAAAACTCACCAATCGCTTCTCTTCCTCAAATCACACAAAATTCATTGAAAATCCGAAATCCTCCAAGTTTTCCACGTTATTGACATTGAGATCCAATTGTCCATCAACATTTCAAGCTGAAAATCAGAAAATTTTTGAATTTTTCATGTACCATTGAGTTCGGCTAACTCCATTTCTGTTTCTATATAGATTTCTGGGGGGCTTTCTGGGTCTCACAACAATTTTCAAGCTATTTTTCAGAGATTCACATTTTCGCACAAAACTTTTTTTGTGAAAAATCAGCAAATCTTCTCAAAGGTATACTTTTGAACCCTTGTTTTTAAGCTAAAATAAACCAGATTCAATTCTCTGAAAACCTTTCTAGAAATCATTTTCAAAATAATTGTTGTTTATTCCAAAAATGATCAAAAGAACTTTCTAGTATGATTATAGGTTTGATGAAAATCAAAAAAATTCAGCTGCAACCCACCAAACCACATTTTAAAACTATACTTGACTAGAAAAAATGGAAATTCCCCCGCTAGAAGCGAATTACTCCCCTACTCAGTGTCCAAATTTATCCTACTATCATTCTGCAGAATTTCTCTCCAATACAGTCCACATTTTCTCGTATATCACATTTCCGGCATCGATTTATGGATGTTTTCTGATTCTTAAAGTCACTCCAAAACATCTACGGAATACAAAATATATTCTACTACATCTTCAGATCTGGTAAGTGTTATATGTCCAAAAATTTCGAAAGAAAAAAAATGAAAATTTCAGCACATTTTTCCTTGACATCATTGTGAATGTTCTGGAGACGCCTTTTGTGTTCTTCCCATCTTCCGCGGTGAAATTGTTGGGTGTTATGGCGGATGGTTTTGTTCCATTCAAAATTCTAACCTTCACCGGTCAATTTTCCATCTATGGTATGTGAATAAATTTTGACGTGGCAAGCTAAGTATCTTCAAAATTAATTATTACTAGATAGAGAAGAAAGTTCGCCCTATAGCACACATAATTTATGTGTGTACTTCTCTCAGAGTTCACACCCAATTGCGGACTTGCTTTCGCACGCAGAAAAACAACCCCTCTAACTTTTTCAAATTCCAGCTCTCGGCATGTCAATCCTCTTCGTCTTCCAAAGTCGTCACAGTGTAATCACAATAATCAGATGGCGAATGACCAAAAAATCAACAATTATTCTATATTACCTTCTTATGTATTCAATTGGCTTCGCAGTCATCACAATCTGCTATATTTTCGAGACAAACATCGAGAAAACGAAACTCGAATTCGTCCAAAAATACCCATGCCCTGCGAAAGAGTTTTTCGAAAATACCACCATCATAATCACATCCGAATTAACAATCCCCGGCTTCTTCTTAACAATCTCATGTCTGAATTTGAGCACAAATATTCTAATATTTTTCACCTCTTCAGTTCATTATCTAGTCTTCAAATCAACCGGAATATCGGCTAAAACGAGAAAATATCAGTTAAAATTCCTCATCTCAATCTCTATCCAAATCATGATTCCGGTTATAGCATTGCTCATTCCAATGATTTACGCGTGTCTCGCTTTGTTTCAATCAATTTACAATCAATTTGTGAATAATCTAGTTGTTCTAACTATTTCGGTGCATGGGATGATATCGAATATCGCATTGATTTTGATTCATGAAAATTATCGGAACTTTACTTTTGGCTATTTTTTGAGAAATCGTGAGATGAGAAAGAAATCCAGTGCTGCGCCTTCAACTATTTTTGTATTATAAACTTGCTTTCCAAGTTAGGTTATGTGATATGACGTGGCAAAACTCTAGCTTCTCGAACAGGCCTGTGCCGGAGATTTTCCGGTTTTTTCACGGAAAAATCCATTTTTCGGAAACAATTTTGCCTAAATTTTGGGAAATTTTCTCAGTTTATGATGGAAAAAATGAAATTTTTAGATTTTTTTTTCAAATTTTACTATTTTTTGAACGTAAAACCGGATTTTCCGGTACAAAAAATCCGTAAATTTTCCGAGATACTCAAAATTCAAAACATAAACTCACAGGTTTGCAGAGAATTCAGGCCTTGGAAGTTCGCCACGTCATAACTTTCCTCCGATGGATTTTCCGTGGAGTTTTCAGCAGTAGAACATCTGAAACCTAGAACTTCAGAGTTATGACGTGGCAAACCTCCGATTTTGCCACGTCATAACTTCTTTTGAACAAAACAAACACATTTTTCAAATATCTAGAGCAAATTTCATCAGCTCTCAGAAAATCCACAGAACTTTTGAAAAAATCAAGAAAATGTTTATTCAAATCTATGTATTCATTCACGTATATTATAAATATTGTTTGCAAAAAAATAAGAGGTTGGGTAGAAAAAAACATCAACGGGGGGCGAAAAATCAGTGTGGCAACAACAGGAAAAAATAACGGGTGGGTGCAAAAAATCAACTAATTGAAGCCGAACAAGCTGTTGGCGTAGGCCATTGGTGGCAATTTCGGGTGATCGACGGCTTCGAACGTTTGGAATCGCGGCTTCAAATTGTCGCCGGTTATCGTGATAAACGCTCCCTTGTTGCCCATTTGATCGCAATAATTTGGGGCCGAGAACACGGTATAGCATTGTCCGTTGTGGTGTTCTTCATAGCCTTCGGGTTTCACCTCGTGACTTCGAACCACATAATCGATTCCGTTGTCGGCACACCATCTTGAGGTGACGTCTGGACCGAATTGGCAACCGACACCGCGTTTTGAGGGACTTCGGCCGACGATTGGTTGAGGATCCGACCTGGAATTTGAATCTTGAAGTTTTGAGCGCTTTTGCACAAAAAATTAGCAGAAAATAATAATAATTTTGCCAAAGGAAGTGCATAAGGTCAACTTTTGATATAAAAATATACCAAATCGACCGTGCTGATCACGATTCTGAGGTCTAAAATTGCCACAAACTTCTTTTCTGGAGCTCCAAAGTTAAATTTGGGTTTTGACCATTTTCACCTTATTCTTGAGTGAAAAATCAATTTTTATAACATGAATAAGCTTTTTAGTTTTTCCAAGAAATTTGAAAAACCAGGTGAAAACTTTAAAAAACGTGTATTTTCAAGACTTTTTTAAAAATTACAGTTTTCAGCTGGTTTTTTATATTTTTTCAAAAAACCATAGGTTTTAGAAGGAGGTGTAGAACCTTATAAAAATCGATTTTCCACCCTGGAACCAGGTGAAACTGGGCAAAACCCAAAATTAATTTTGGAGCTCCAGAAAAGAAGTTTGTGGCAATTTTTGACTTCGGAATCGTGATCAGCATGTTCGATTTGGTATATTTCGATATGTTTCATCAAAAGTATCCCTTCCCTTGTGAGCTCAAGCCAGATTTTGACAGTTCTTCTCCGGGGACTAGTTTTCCACTATGCAAATCCTAGTCCCTCCCCAAAATTCACTCACCACAACAAATCGCACATAATTCCCTCATCAGGCGGTTGTCGAATTCGATCAACTTTCCTAATATCCTCCAACTTCACGCCATCCTCTTTGAACAAACCGCCGTGACACACGAAAATCTTGTCATTGATCAAATGACACAACGGAAGATGACAGAAGATTTCGGTGAAGAAATCGCTCATTTGTTGATTGTATTTGCTTTTGACCTCACCCTCGAAACCGTACATCTGAAAAAATTGAAATGAGAATCTGGAATTTCAGCTAGAAAATTGAAAAGGTACCTTGTTCATCACATCACTTTCATGATTTCCACGAGACATGAAAAAGTGATTGGGGAGAAGAAGTTTGAAGCCGATCATTGTGAAAATTGTCTCCACTGAGAAGGAGCCGCGATCAACGAAATCACCATTGAAAAGCTGGAAAAACGGGAATGGGGTTTGGAAGGAAACAAACTATTGTCTAGTTTGAAAACTAAAATATTTAACGTGACCTTATTTTTTTAAATTGTCTATTTTTACCCATGAATTTTAAATATTTTCTTATAATTTCACTCTAGAAAATGGCGGCATTTTGAATATTTGAACTCACATAAGGATTCGTCTCACTGGGCAAGCCATTAATCTCAAAAATGTTGCATAAATCATAAAATTGTCCATGAACATCACCGCAAATTGTGAATTTCTGCGCGGCCGGCACTTGAATCTCAACCATCGTCGGAAGCGTTTTCACATATTCAAAGAACTCGAGAAGCATCTTGAAGGCGAATTTTCGATGGAGCTTTTTCTGGTTTTTGAATTTGCTGATCAGTTCGAGCATGAAGTCTTTGGTGATTTTGTCATCGAGGAATGGGCCTTCGTAGCTGTCTTCGATGGCTGGAAAAGGAACTCTAGATTAGGAGAATATTTTTTTCGGTGCTTAGTTTACCCATGACATTGATATCAATACTTTCAGCAACACTTTTCTTATCATGATCAGTGGAAATCGCCTTCTCAAATGCAATTCTTCGCACAATCTTCTGACACTCTTCAAACTTCTTCTTCGCATCTGGATCATTTGGTCTAACCTTAACAACGGCTTGATAATCATTCAAAGCTTTTTTAAAACGAGCCAGAGCCATATTTGCAGTGGCTCTTCGATAATATCCTTTAATATAAGCGGGATCGATAGCGATTGCGTTGTCTGCATCTTCTAAAGCTGAACCATAAAGTTCTTCTTTCAAATATGCCATGCTTCTGAAGATATTTATTTAATTATGGGTTTTCCAGCCCCAAAATGGGGGTAATTTACCGGTTTCCATAGAGAACTGCTGTTGGATGATATTCGATTGCCATTGTGTACAATTCAATGGCAACATTGTAGGCTTGATCTGCAATCAATAGAGATTTTCAAAATAGTAGAAAAATGAGTCACCTTTGAAGAATTGATTGGCTTCGTCTTTGATGAGCGTTGCTTTGTGTTTGTCGTCGTCATAACCACGTTCCTCGATATTTTCGAGCACTGTTGCCACGATGTCATCCGTCACCGACATCGCAATCTGTAAAAAACCCGAGGTTTTCAGAGTTTCTGCCAAGATTTTGGGAGCGGAAATCGAAAAAAAATTGAAAAAAATGCCGTGTGGGTTTACGATAAACAACAGGCGTGCGAAATGTCGTTTGTCTGTGGGTTTACGGTAAACAACAGGCGTGCGGAGCGTCGTATTTTACTTTTATTTTTTCTCGACGATTCCAATTTCTAGTCGTTTTCCTTGCTGAAAACAAATGTCAAAGCTTGGTGGAGCGACTGCACGTGTTGTAAAAGGTGTATTGAAGACAAGGCAAACGAGGTGAGATTTGGTTTTGGTGTTTTTTGTATATTTGCATCATATTCAAATTTTTCTCTGTTTTCAGAGCAGCACTCACATTGACGAATGAAGCGGTGACCCGGATTCGATATCTGCTACAACAGCAAACTGATGCACAAGCTCTGAAGGTATTTTTCTGAAATTTTAGAGATATTTAAGTATAACATGTGGTTAAATTTAGATTGGTGTTCGTCAAAAAGGTTGCAATGGTCTAACTTATACACTCGAATACGCGCAACAAAAACAAAAGTTTGACGAAGAAGTCGAGCAGGATGGCGTAAAAGTTTGGATTGAACCAAAAGCCCAATTATCACTTCTCGGCTCTGAAATGGATTACATCACCAACAAACTCTCGTCCGAATTCGTCTTCCGAAATCCGAATATTAAAGGAACATGCGGTTGTGGTGAATCGTTTAGTATTTGAAAGAAGAGAATGTGTGCTCGACTACTTTACGTGTAATTAGTTAGATCTGTTAGAGTATGTACAATTTTCTTGCACGAAACAAAATAATGAAAAACATTTATTAAATTCGACCCGGAGTTTGTATCCCACTGACTTTTGCGAACATCCGTTTGTTCTCAAATCTCTTCGAAACAAAACTCAATGTGAATTCCCTGTAAGGTTTTTGCACAACAATCAAACATATATTCGAAGTGAGCCCATGAAACGCGATAGTTATCACAATTATATTACACATAACTTGATTAACCTGCGAAGTCGCAATCATATAAGTCAAATAAGTTCCAGGAAACATGATGGCTAACAATGGAATAGTTATCTGAATACTTACAGTAGTCAGGAATTTCAGCTGCATCTCACGTGTCTTTTTCGAGACATTCGATGTTTTTCGAGTCAGTGCGAAAGCACTTGCAAAACACCAAAAAAGACCGTGCGAACATGCCCAAAACGTGACAATAAATTGAGCATAAATAAGGAGTGTCATATTGGTTGTCACAACAATTGTATTAGCTTCATCGAAAAATTCTTTCGGTGGGCAAGGATAACTGGTTTGAAGGAAGAATAGTTTGCCGGTCGCATTGTCAAGTTTTTGAAAATGATAAGAAGCCATACCGATTGCACCAACTAGATAATTAATTGTATAATAGATTATTTTAGTGCTAGTTGATGTCATCCGATGTTTTATAGTGATTATCATACTGTGACGAGATTGGAACAAAATTGCGATTGACATTCCCAAACCTAAAAGTAAAGTTGTTTTTTTTGCAAACAAATTTCAAAAAAAACTCACAATATAGGGAATATTGCCCTAACCAAACTAGAAAACTATGTGGTAGATGTAGGTATTCCCAAAGAATTCCATTGAGATAAACCGCAGTGCTGGGTAGAAAAATGTAGGGTTCGATGAGAAAATCAACTACAGCATCAACAAAAAATGTGCAAATGTGAAGAAACATTAAAACAGCTTTCACATTTTTCAACGCAACTGGAGTGACGTATAGAATCAGATATACCCCATAAATACTTAACGGAAAAGTTAGGACGGATAGGATTCTCACTGAAGTTATCAGAAATTCTCTGGATTCGAAGTAGGTGGTTTCGGGGCATTTTGAGTAGTTATTGAGGAGATAGGCTTCCATGATGATGTTGAAGCAGTGGTGTGAAAATATAATGAGATGTATGAAAAAAGCAGATCCGATCAGAAGCACCTGCTATTTCGTGTTCTCATGCTTGTCAAAAGACAAAATAATTTTTGGCCTTAGTTTTCGGTTAATTTTTGAACTCAGCCTGTCTGTGGAATTTTGCTAAACGTTTCTTTGAATTTTTACGTCAGTATGATTAGGGTTCTATTTCCGGAAGGAACCTGCTCATAGAATATTCATTGCAATTCAATTATTCATGAAATAATTGGGTTTTGTACAGTGCGTTCCATAAGTATACGCGCACCCATAAAAATGATTTTTCGGCTGTCAACTTAACTTTTTGAGTAAAAATAAGTTGTTTAACGATAAGTACGTGTAAAAATACATATGTATACACTTTTCTGATATAAAAAAGCAACAAATAGTTTTTCGGGGAAAAAAATATGAAAATTTCGGATTTTTCAGCGTCTCAAAAGTATACGCGCATCCTATCAAACTGTAGTTAGGGGGCATCTGGTAGGAAAATAAGTGCTCTTAGGTTATTTGGCATGCTGAAAAACGTAAAATCACTTATTTTTACCTATTGGTAAAATATATACCATGAACATTTATTTTGTGGAACAAACATTTCTGACCAAAATTTCAAAAAAATCGAATTTTTTAAGAAAAATTTTCTGTTGTTTTAGATTTGTTAGGACCAGTCTTAGAATGTGTTTTTTGAATTTTTGACACAATTTCGTAGCAATTTGACTGATTTATCTTCTCAAAATTATGAGTTTTTCACATAAAATACATGAAAAACGATCAATTTTCGATCTAAAACTTATCGTTTCGTTTTGCAAACATGAACTTGATTGATAAAAAGCAATTAAAATAACTGAAACACAAGTTTTAGTCACTTTCAAACACTTCTCAAACATTCAACATACATCTAAAGTGTATTTTGAGGTTTTATTTGAAGAACTGTTGCAATCAACATTTTTTCATGTTTTGCTTCAAACATAAATTTCTCTTTTACTTCAGTTTCTGTCTAATATCACTGTGTAAATTGATCGTTCAATGTTCAAAAATCATGAAAAAATGTGAAAATGAATTGTTTTTCAATTTTATTCTGAAATTTTATTCTGAAATAGGTAGGAAAATTGACAAAAAGAATAATTTTTCAAAAAATGAAAAAAAGTAAGTTTCATCTCAAACATTCTCTTGGGCAGTTTCATCGAGAATCTCAATAATCAGAACTTTTGAAGATGTTCTTAATTTTTGAAAAACAGTTTTCGTATGCATATCAGAAAAATTTCTGCCCAGAAATTGAAAATCAAATGATATTTTTCCCGACTTCGTTGAAAAATTTAGATTTTTTCATGTATTTTATGTGAAAAACTCATAATTTCGAGAAGATAAATCAGTCAAATTGCTACGAAATTGTGTCAAAAATTCAAAAAACACATTCTAAGACTGGTCCTAACAATTCTAAAACAACAGAAAATTTTTCTAAAAAAATTCGATTTTTTTGAAATTTTGGTCAGAAATGTTTGTTCCACAAAATAAATGTTCATGGTATATATTTTACCAATAGGTAAAAATAAGTGATTTTACGTTTTTCAGCATGCCAAATAACCTATGTGGAGCCGTGGTCCACGCCTCAACAGTAATCCACCAATAAGTCTAAGCTCCACCCTTAGAGGGTCCGGAGGAACACTATTTAAGGAGCCAAGACTCCGCCCTAAGTTAGTTTTTGATGAGAATCATCATGTAGTTTTCCTAAGGTTTTTACTTATCTTTCGCTTATTCTTACCTAAACTTTATACAATGTTCATGTAGTTTTACTTATACTTTAATACTTACTTTGATTTTATATATCTTTATCTATCTTATATTCTATTGTCCTTAGACTTATTATTGTATACTTTGATGTATCATAAATTAGTAGTTTATTTAACCTATCTATATCATTATGGAACCACGAGGACCCATTTCCTCACATGGGGATGGAGTTTCCCCACATGGAGGTTCCCCGATTTTGAATTAGGGAATCTGAATTTTTAAATTTTTATTGTCTAAAATTAAAAAAAAAAAAAAAAAAACACACATTTTTTAATGTTCTTATTATAATACTATTTTTTAATAATACTATTCTTTTTATAATACTCTGCATCTTAATCTCATAATACCATTTCCTTCTTAATACTATTCTTCTTAGATCAAATATGTATTTAATTCTTTTTCAAATTATATTTAAAAATCTAAACCTTTTTTTTTAAGTTCCTTTAATTCAAGTTTTATTCATTTGTTTCCTTAACCTCAAAATGTATCTGTCACAACATTTTCTGATCTGTTCCTCGCCCTTTTTGCTATTATCTGTTGCCATACTTTATATCTGAAAAAAAAAAAAAAAAAAAAGAAAAGAGAAACTTAGAAAAGCACTGTAGAAAGCTCACAGGTGCTATAGGTTAGGAACGCAGCGAGCAGCGAATTTTATTCCTATTATTTTGGTTTTATATATAAAAGACATATATAGACATATAAGAATACTGTAGTACACACCAAGAATCAAAAAAAAAAAAAGAAGAAGAAAGAACGCCTAACGAAATTTTAAAATGTAATTAAAAAAAAAAAATGGCTTGCACTTTTGGACTAACGAACCAACATTTTTGTACTAACGAGTCGTTTTTGCACTAACGAGTAGACGTTCGCGCTAACGAAGTTCGCACTAACGAAGCTGATTATACTAACGAACCAAGATGTTTTTTGGTATTCACTAACGAACGTTACAAAAGGCACTGTTAGAAATAAAATTAGGGAAAGCGAATCAGTACAAGGCGAACAAACAAAAAAAAAAAAAAGAGGGACCAAATTTCAGAAAGCGACACGTCGTGCCACCACACAAATTCGAGGAGACGCAGACATTCATTTTCGGTTAGAAAGTCGCTGCGAGACCTCAACACATGAAAGGGCGACGCCGATGTGGTCTATAAACGCAGCGACAGACGAAAAAGCGGCGCGGCCATGCGCCATGTTTTGTGTGTGTGTCTGCTTGTCTGCTGTGTCTGCCAACAGCACACTGTATCGCCCGAGGGGGAAGGAAAGGCGAGAGATGTCTCTGCCTGTGTTAAAAGTCTGCGTCTCCCAGAAATTTAATTTTTGTATCGGCTGGCATAGCGTGGCGAAGCTAAGAGTGTTGGGGATACGGTACCACACACACACACACACACACACACACACACACACACACACACACACACACACACACACACACACACACACACACACACACACACACACACACACACACACACACACACACACACACACACACACACACACACACACACACACACACACACACACACACACACACACACACACACATACAGACATACATATATATAGAAACTCACACATACAACACACACACACACAACGAATACAATACAAGGAATAAGATAACAACACGGTACCTAATTAGGAAAATACAATACAATTTAATGGGAAACAATATTATATAATAAAAGATCGATCACAACAATTAAATTAATATTAAAGAATAATCACTATCTTTAGAATTATAGTAAGCAAAAGAAAATGAAGAAAAAGAAAATGAAATGACGAGCTATGATTGTGCCGTAGGGTCAAAGCCTTAATCCACACACCGTTTAAGTATTAGAATACTTAAATGGGTATAAGTTTCCCAAAACACACACACAAAAGAATATTAAATACGAATAATGAATAATAAAGAATAAAGATAAATGAATAATTATATTAATACCCTAGTTAGATAATATTAATATAATAAGAAGGCTACTGTTCGGAGAGACACACCGACCCTGTGTAGTTAGGCTCCGAACATGTGTGGATATAAAAAGTAGATCTATGAGGACAAACCATCTTCATAGACCTACGAAAGATAGTGATAATACATAGACGATATAAAAGGTCCAACCGGGAAACAACCTGCGATGGCCAAGCTCGATGACACCCTCGAAGACACCGAGTTAGTGGGTTGTTTCAAATATTTTATTACGGTACGGCACAAGTAGACTCCTCGCCCCATGGCGTCCAGAAACGGACCGGCGCCCTGGGCACTACAATACAGACAAGGAAATAACCCAAACACTCTTAGCCACAAAAACAATAAATCCCATACATATGTACCAAAATATTAATTTCAGTTACTAATAAAATAACAATTCGCGCTCAAAACTTAAAACCGCTACACCAAAAACAGCTGCGTAAAATATATAAATTAGGAAAGTAGGATAACACACACTATTAAATCTTAAAATTAAATCATTTATTATAAAAATAAAATTTTAAAATAAAACCTAGATAATAAAGTAACAAACTATAGATATAACTCAAAGGTAGACGTTGTAATACCGTAGTATCGTAATGTTATTGCAATAGTCATAATCACCTAACGTATTTCCGAATACGAGTGAAGACAATCCTTCTCAAGAAAAGACAATTCCTTCTTTTCATTATTACAAAGAAGACATGCTAATTTGCAAATTGGACGACAGACGGCCAATTTTACAGGTATGGAACAGCGGTCGAGAGATCGATCACCATCACCGACAGCGGAAGAACTCGCAGTCTGGGAGAAACAACTCCTAGACGACCCCGATGAGGAGATGACAGATACCACCCTCAATAGCGACGCGAACAACGAAGAAATTCCAGTGGAGCAGTTCCAAGAATTAGCAGTAAGCGTCCCGCAAACAAGAAAAGCGGAGGAATCAAATGTACCTACAAATCAACACGAAGGTACACCTCCGAAACCGAACGACAAACTCGGACGGTTTGAGGACAAATTTATGTCCATGAGCGAGGTAGCCGAATTCTTGACTAACAAGTCAACGGCAGAACTTAAAGCATCAATCCGAGGCATGAAAATCAGCTCGGGTGTGCGAATAATTCGCGCAGAACTCCAGCGGAGACAACGTGTAATCTACCGCTACACCAAACTTAATGACCTAACAGTCTACGAGTTGAGAGACAAACAGTCTAAGAAAGACATATCAGACAACGAAATGATGCTTGGCTACGAAATCAGCAAAAATCGAAGATCCCAATCACCAGACCCAACAACCGAAGAATCAAGATTTCGCGAATGCATGGAACAAGCATATACGGAGAGCAAAAGAAGATATGTACACAGACGGAAGCATAGATTACCATCACCACGCTTTCGTCAACAAAATGGTGAATTCATCAGAATTGAACCAACACAACATCCATGGAAGAAAAAGAAATCTTCGGACCAACATCACGCCAAAGCGCCCGATCACAAAGGATTCGCAAAGACCGTGCGATTCCAAGCCACCTGCCGGGCTCAAGCGAAGAGAAGTTGCCGCGAACCACCGAAATAAAAGACAACTTCAACGCCAAGGATCTAATCGAAAACTATAATCATAACCAATCGTAGCCGTATTCATCACAAATCAAAGCGTACAAGTCGGGGATGTGGAGCCGTCATCATTTCGTCAGATACCGGGACGGTATCTCGTGCTGGTCGGGGATGTGGAGCCGTGGTCCACGCCTCAACAGTAATCCACCAATAAGTCTAAGCTCCACCCTTAGAGGGTCCGGAGGAACACTATTTAAGGAGCCAAGACTCCGCCCTAAGTTAGTTTTTGATGAGAATCATCATGTAGTTTTCCTAAGGTTTTTACTTATCTTTCGCTTATTCTTACCTAAACTTTATACAATGTTCATGTAGTTTTACTTATACTTTAATACTTACTTTGATTTTATATATCTTTATCTATCTTATATTCTATTGTCCTTAGACTTATTATTGTATGCTTTGATGTATCATAAATTAGTAGTTTATTTAACCTATCTATATCATTATGGAACCACGAGGACCCATTTCCTCACATGGGGATGGAGTTTCCTCACACCTAAGAGCACTTATTTTCCTACCAGATGCCCCCTAACTACAGTTTGATAGGATGCGCGTATACTTTTGAGACGCTGAAAAATCCGAAATTTTCATATTTTTTTCCCCGAAAAACTATTTGTTGCTTTTTTATATCAGAAAAGTGTATACATGTGTATTTTTACACGTACTTATCGTTAAACAACTTATTTTTACTCAAAAAGTTGAGTTGACAGCCGAAAAATCATTTTTATGGGTGCGCGTATACTTATGGAACGCACTGTATGACGCTAACTCTTGAGAACATCTTCTTTCTAGCCAAGCATCGAAAAGTGAATTCTCGATACGGTTTTTGCACAACTATCAGACATATATTGGACATTAATCCATGTAATCCACAAGTTATGATAATCACATTATTCATCAGCTGATTGATTTGAGAAGAAGCTATCATATAAGTCAAGTATGTTCCAGGTAACATGATGGCCAGTAATGGTATAGTTATTTGAATACTTACAGAAGTTAGAAATTTCATTTGCATTTCTCGAGTCCTTTTTGAGATGTTTGATGTTTTCTTAGTCAATTCATAGACACATGAGAAAGCCCAAAAAAGAACGTGAGCACAGGCATAAAATGTTACAATGAATTGAGCGAATACAATCAATGTCATATTGTTTGTAACCACGCGAGTCTTTTCATCAAAATATTCAATTGGTGGGCAGGGATAAACGGTTTGTAGAAATTGTAGCTTTACTGCTTCATCGTCGAAATTTTGGAAATGATAACATGCCATTCCGATTGCACCAACAAGATAATTGATAGTATGGTATAATACTTTTGTGCGAGTAGAAGTTATTCGATGTTTCACAGTTATTATCATACTGTGACGAGATTGGAATAAATATAAGATTGACATTCCCAAACCTAAAAATTATACGTTTCGAAGTCAACATTAATCAACTTACAGTACATTGAATATTGGCCGATCCATACGACTAAATCGTGAGGTAAACCAAGGTAAACCGAAAGAATACCATTCAGATAAACAGCTGTAGTAGGCAGAAACAAGTATGGTTCGACTAGAAAATCAACAACAGCATCAAAAATGAAAGTGGAAATATGCACAAACATCAATAAACTTTTGACATTTTTCATCGGTTCTGGAGTCACATATAAAATCAGATATACACCGTAAAAAAATAATGGAAATGTTAGGCGATGATGCAGATTAGTTTCTCCTCCGAGCTAATTGAGGAGAAAGAGGAGAAACGTGTTGCAGGTGGAGGCGAAACAATGTATTTTTCGAATTTCGCCCCATTTCTCCTCATTTCTCCTCGGAGGAGAAACTCATCTGCAACATCGCCTTATGAATGTGAATATTTGAAGAACATTTGTTTGAAATTCATTTGATTCGAGGTACGTGGTTGGTCGACAATTTAAATAATAATAATTGAGGCGATAGAAATCCATGTTTAACGAACTGAAAAACAATTAACAATAATAATAATGAAGAATCAAAGCAAAATCTTTCAAAAGTAACAATGAGACAGTGATGTGAAAGAGAAGCGAGATGTGTGCAACAACAGCTCGGAACTAAATCACCTGCAATTCCGTGTTTTCGTGCCTGCCAAAGAGCAGAGAATATTTTCACGCCTCAATTTTCTGTTTGTTTCTGATTGTATTCTGATCAGGTCAAAACCATCTTGGTTCTAAGTTTGCTCGTAGGCGGTGTCGCTTAAATCGAGTGAAAATAGTCTAAATCATTATATAAAGCAGTTTATGAAGCAAAATAGTTAATGACATACCCCGCCCAGCTTCGTGCAAATTAACTTTGAAAATCACATTTTAATTTCATAGAAAAATGAAGTCTGAACAATGTAATTTGCACAAAAATCACATGTAATATATCTAATTTTTCATGAATTTTGTTGAAATTCCTTCTGAAAACTCGTAAAATGTGTTAATCGCCACAATTTTCTTGCCAAACTTTATGGTTTACATGAAAAATAACGATCGCTCCGTAAAATTTACGATTTCTCCCGCCCACAAGCAACGATTTTTCGGAGAAATACAGTGAAGATTTTCAATATAAAAGACGAGCTCTGGAAGAAGAAATCATCACATTTTGATTCGATTCAAAACATGGTGTCAACAAAACTCATCCTTCTCTCAATCTCCGCCTTGGCAATGGTCCAAACTCAAAGCACGGAGCCGTATTGCGATGAGCTGACAACAACCAAAACGACCGCGAAACCAACAACAACCAAGATCACTTGGGGCTGCCCATCAACCTGGACAAAATTCAGTAGAACTTTGGGACAATGGTGCATCAAGATCTACACTGGAACATTCACATACGAAGGGGCTAAAGCACAATGTAAAGCAGTTGGTGGAGTTTTATCCGGTGTTGAGAATGCAGCCGAAAGAACTTTTGTTATCAGTAAGTTCAATTGAATCACACATTTGAATTTCATGTGATATTTTTCAGATCAGGGAATCTCAATTCTCAACACAATCGGTACAGTCAAAGAAGGTGCCCTTTGGTTAGGTGCCTTGAGAAGTACAGCATGTCGTGGAAACAACGCAACCCTCTCAATCTGTGTTCCGGCGGTCAACAATGCTTTCGTCTGGACTGATGGTTTCACAACCGGAAAATCAATGATGACTTGGATGCCGAATCAACCAGATTATTATCAAAAAGGAGAAGCTGCGGTTCAAATGGTTATTGTCAATCAAGCAACTGGTTCAGGCGGTGCCGTTTCAGGACAATTGAATGATGTGGTTGCAACATTGTCGACTGCACCAAATGCACTCAACTATATTCGTGGAATCGTTTGTGGACAAAAAGCCAAAGCAACTTATTCATAATTTGAAATGGTGTTTTCTTTTTGGGGAAAAGGGTGGGGATTTGAATAAAGTATATTTGGAATATCTGTTGAATTTTCAAAAAAAAACTGTTAAAAACGTTATACGGAAGTCATTATGTCAATATTCCAAGACTTATGTTGAAATTGATTGATGAACCTGTTATGAAGACAGTTCAAGCAACAAAGACTGAAGTGGTTTTTTTTCACTTTTCACATACGCGTTTAAACGATAAATACACGAAATGTGGAAATGCAATCATTTATTGACTAAAAATCACATTATGACAAGAAGCGGGACGGTTTAAGACACAAAACCTAGTGTAAAATCCTAGAAAATACTCGGTTTGAAACCTCGAAAAAGAAAGTAAAACCAGAAATGCGCCACACAAACACGTCAGTGCTTTGACGTTGGCACGTTTTGTGTGCACACACTTTTTGAAAAATTTGAAAACGGAGTTTTACCAGGAATCTTACTTTATGAATGTTTATTTAAAAAAATTGGAAGTTTAATTGAAAGCTGAAATGAAAAACTTTATTTAAAAAAAATTCAACCAAAAAATTGTTCCGATCAGTACTGACGTAGTCGACTTAGTGCTGAGTGGTGGGACGATTGGTGACTGTGGTCGACAATCTGAAATGAACTGTACATTTGTGTTATCGAAACGAAAAACATTAATTTGTACGATTTTTTCAGTTAAAAAAATTGTACAAATATTGGAAAAATTTGTTTGTATGAAATTTTCATCTGAAAAAATCGTACAAATTTCGAAAAAAAAACTGTTGTACGAATTTTTCATCTAAAAAAATCGTACAAATTATTGTTTTTGGGTTTGATGACACAAGTGTACAGTTAATTTCAGATTGACGACCACAGTCCCACCACTCTGCACCAAGTCGACTACGTCAGTACTGATCGAAATAATTTTTGGTTAAAATTTTAATTTTTTTTTTAAATAAATTGCTTAGAGTTTACAGAAAACTTTGTTTCATAAATAAGAGAGAATTAAAATTAGCTGACGACGAAAAAAAAGACGGTGTATTGCTAAAAAGGAAACATCTATAAAATTTAATGTACTCACCATTTCAAAATCGTACTGCATCAATTTTTTAAAATTTATACGATTTTTGAAAAATTAACCTGGTACAGGGTCGATATTTTTGTAGTAAAAATGAACTCCTTCTTGACAAAACAATAGTACAGATTTTAAAACTGCAGAAATTATTCTGAATCTCTTAAGGGCCATTAGAAAACATCCCTGGTGTTTAAAAAAAAATTTAACCTGAACAGTTGCTGTATATCGCCTGAAGCACAGGAAGATTAGAGTTGGTCTACAATGAACCTGTGTCAGTTTCAACTCTGAAACAGTTGTTTTAACTTTGAAAAATTTTCCAGAAGTCTCGTGTAACAAAACGACTATGGTTGTCGAGGAAAATCCTAAAACTTGAAGGATAATCGCAAAAATCTTGTTTTCAGAGCGCTACAGTAGCTGCTGAAAAACAATAAAAGATATTTTATGCCGCGATTTTCATGCCAAACTTTATGGTTTCCATGAAAAATTACGATCGCTCCGTAAAGTTTACGAGTTTCTCTACGCCCGCGTCGAATTTTTTATGAGAATCGGGGAAATACAGTGAAGATTTTCAATATAAAAGAGGAGCTCCGGAACATGAAATCATCACATTTTGATTCGATTCAAAACATGGTGTCAACAAAACTCATCCTTCTCTCAATCTCCGCCTTGGCAATGGTCCAAACTCAAAGCACGGAGCCGTACTGCGATGAGCTGACAACAACCAAAACGACCGCGAAACCAACAACAACCAAAACGACAGCGAAACCAACAACAACCAAAATCACTTGGGGCTGCCCATCAACCTGGACAAAATTCAGTAGAACTTTGGGACAATGGTGCATCAAGATCTACACTGGAACATTCACATATGAAGGGGCTAAAGCACAATGTAAAGCAGTTGGTGGAGTTTTATCCGGTGTGGAAAATGCAGCCGAAAGAACTTTTGTTATCAGTAAGTTATATTAGATGGCTAATAGTTGTCTAAACTTTTTAAATCATATCAAAAAATGTTTCAGATCGAGGAATCTCAATTCTCAACACAATCGGTACAGTCAAAGAGGGTGCTCTCTGGTTGGGTGCCTTGAGAAGTACAGCATGCCGTGGAAACAACGCAACCCTCTCAATCTGTGTTCCTGCGGTCAACAAAGCATTCGTCTGGACTGATGGTTTCACAACCGGAAAATCAATGATGACTTGGATGCCAAATCAACCAGATTATTATCAAAAAGGAGAAGCTGCGGTTCAAATGGTTATTGTCAATCAAGCAACTGGTTCAGGTGGTGCGGTGTCAGGACAATTGAATGATGTTTCTGCAACATTGTCGACTGCACCAAATGCACTCAACTATATTCGTGGAATCGTTTGTGGACAAAAAGCCAAAGCGACTTATTCATAATTTCTGAGGGTGTTTTCTATCTGGGTGGGGGGATTTTAATGAAATATATTTGGAATATCTTTATTATTAGAACACCCTTCACATCCACGCATTTTTCAACGATTGAAAATACTCAATTTGCGATTGCCGCTGAATATTCTCCTTGACCCTTTTTGCGCTCAATTGAACTATAAAAAACCAGGGAAACATTGAGCAATCGATATTCCACAACGTATTCAAAACCAGGTAGAACTTCGGAACATCTATGTTCTCATAAACCGATGGGAAGGTATGCGCTAAATACATCCCGAATGTGAGAGTCTTCAAAATCAAGCTGGTTGTCATAGCTGGCAGGAAGCACTTGATCATTTTGAATGAGAGTGTGACTTCGTAGCGCTGTGCCAGTGAGATGGTGCCACGTGTTTGGGTGAAGACACGCATCGAGAGGCGGTATAATTTTACTTCGAAGATCATGTTGAGATTGTTGATGAAGAATATTGTGATGTTGGCGAAGACGCGTGTTGATGGGTCTGAAAAATACCAAGAAGTACTCTTTAGACATTTCCAAATACTGACCTCCAACTGCTGTTGCGTAGATGCCACTGAAAATCACGTTCAGAAAGATCAAGACTGGGCTGATGTACTTGCGATGGTTCAGACTTCCCAATCCAGGTTTCAACAAAAAGATGCGACGATCATTGTTGATCATACTATGAAATCCAACCACGTGGAATTCACTGAATCTGTGAATCCACAAAAAAGTTTGCTTAGCATCATCGCACTCTAAAACTTCCAAATACGTTCCGAAATTGATGAGACACATCGAGCTGAACATCAGAAAACTGAGCATAATTGTGATGTAGCCGAGGGAGAGGAAGAATAGATTGATTCGACCATAGATACTGATGCCGGTTCGGAAGGCGACGATCTTGATGAATGCGATTTGTGAGCAGAAGCCGAAGAGGCAGAGGAGAACTTCGAGAGAGAAGAATAGGTCCCAGAAATTCATCTGATGAGGTTTAGATGAGAAGAAATAAATAACAAAAAATTATCTTTTTTTAGGGGGGAGGATGGGGAGAAAAATTAATTTCCTACCCCCGTATACTTTAAGAGTTCATTGGGGATTTCTGGGAATTTAAAAACTTTGGAATTGATCTTTAATCGTTAGTTAGCTTATTTTCTGTTAGATAATAATTTGGGCCTAAACTCAGCCTGTCTAGTTTTAGGCCTGAATCTTTATAATTTTTGATCAACAAATTCTTGAGTTTATAGTTTGAAACCATATAATTTTTCAAGTTGAGCTACCAAATAAGTGATTTTTGATGTTTATTTCTGAAGTTCTGAAAATTTTAATTTCATATTTGAATGTTTTCAAAACGAAAAATCCCCTTCTGCAAATTTTTCTGAAAAGCGGAACTAAAATAATTTTGAGCAAGAAGCAGTTATGACGTGGCAATTTGAAACTTATCTGAAATTCGATCTTTGAGGCTTGAATTATAGGTTTCAAGAAATATGCTTTATGCTAGACCAGAAAGGAAATTTTTTGTGACATTTCACCACAAGAAAAAAAACGGCTACATGTATAAAAATTCATTTTCAAATAGTTGAGTTCAATTCAATTGGATTCAATCGCCTCTCCCGTTTCGTAAAAAACCATCTTCGAATCGTCTGAACATCAAATAAATATGTGAATTGAACCAAAGCCAGAGAAATGATCCGATATCGCATCTCAAAATTATAAATATCTCCAGCATACGATGAAAAATCTTGCGAAAATCGTGTAAGCGTAGAAAACGATACGATAAATCGACTAATCAACACCGGAACACCTTCGTAGAGAAATGCAATTTCAGGAACACTCCAAAATTTTGCACTATTGCGCATTTTGAAGAGATGGAAGAATAATGAAACGTATATTATTGTGCACAAAAATGAGGCTAGAACTGATGAATAGATTGAGAGGCTATAATATTTCAATATTTCAGAAGGGTTTTCTGAAACTTCGAAGATTTCCAAGAATTTTGAAATCACAAAAAATCGTTGCACTATAAAAGCTCCCCAAAGGATTGTAGTACTTATTTGAAACGCTCTACGGCCTACTAGAAAATGCCATTTCTTTGATAGAAATATTATAACAGCTCGTTGAATTGCTAACAAAACAATCAACACATCAAGCATGTTGGAAAACAAAAAATAACATCCAACTAAGATCAGGACGCCTGCAATGTAGAAGACTTCAACAATCAGAAAAATGATGTGGAAAAAAGTTGGTAAGAGTTCGGCTGGAGCATTTTGATATTCATGGTAATCGGGGAAGAATCGAATGAAAATCAGATCTAGAATAACGTGAAGAACTGTAAAACAGCAACCAATTGATGGGATTATTGTGACAAAATAACTTTGATCTACTGTAGTTTGAATGAGATTCTGAAATTGGAAGAGCTCTTGAGAAAACTTTGCTCACTCACCGCTCTGTCTCGATTCCGCTGATATTTTCGATAATATCCAAATGTCATCAGAAAAATCGAGCACGTCCCCAGCAAACACAAATAGTATGGAAGATTTTTCTGATCATCAGCTTCAACTTTGGGCAAAAGTTTGAAAGAGAATGTGAGCTTATCGATTGCTGAGAGATTTGAAAGAGATGATGTATGTGGCATTTTGGAAAAATAGTTTTGCTGGGAGAAAATGAGAAAAATTGCAGCTGTTTTGGAATGCTGAAGTTTGGAAATCATTTTTTTCTGGTTGAGAACAAGACGTCAGCAGCTTGATGTTGACGCAATTTTTGTTCTGTTTCAGAAAAAATCTGGCTAGTTTCAAGGTGAGCTCCAGAATCCACGTGTCAATTATTTTTGAATTTGAATTCAACATTTTTACAGTTCAGGGGTTACCCTAACTCTTATTATTTTTTCTGTTAACCAAAAATCTTTGATATAAAATTGAACTTTTCTGAAATTTGGTTCATTGATCTTTAATTGTTAGTTAGCTTATTATTTCCTGTTAGAAATTAATTTTGGGGTTAATTTTAAGGCTGTTTACTTTTAGGCCTGATAACCCCTTGAAAATCTTCATAATTTTTTATCAACAAATTTTTGAGTTTATAGTTTGAAACCCTATAATTTTTCAAGTTAAGCTAACAAATAAGTTTTTGGTGATTTTTGATGTTTATTTTTGAAGTTCTGAAAATTTTCATTTTTCAAGAAACTTGCATGTTTTCAAAACAACAAAATTTCCCCTTTTGCAAAATTTTCTAAGAAGCGGAACTAGAATTAATTTTGAATTCAAGCAAGAAGCATCAATGCTCAAATTTTCAAAAACATTCTATAATTTTTCAGGTGAGTTATGACGTGGCAATTGACAACGAAAATTTTGATTCGATCTTTGAAGCCTAAATTATAGGTTTCGAGAAATAAGCTTTCTGCTAGACTTGACTTAAAAAACTCAAGTTAAAAAGTGATATTTGAATTTTGCACTATTTAATTAATTCAGACGGGAAATTGCATTTTTCTGTTATTTTTTAACCAAAAATTTGGATTTTTAGTTCTAGAAAAAAATAATTAATTTTTGAGATGAAAGTTCCGCTAGCAAAGTCTTTAGGAACTTTAGGAAATAGGGATCAGATTTGGTGAGAAATCGAAATTTTACATTAATTTGTTGAACCTTGGGGGTTCTGAGAAAACATTTTCACCTGTGAAAATTAGATTTCACAATCAGAAATAAATTCTGAAGATCAGGTCTCAAAAATCGGAGCGCAGGAGTTATGACGTGGAAATTTAGAGCATTTTGAAGTCCTCAAACCGGATCTGAATTTCAAAAAATCCAAAAAAATCAAAATTTTATTCTTGAAAAAATAGACCCAGCCAAAAAAAAGTGCAAAATGTGTTACAATTGTGAAAATTCATCAACCCGTCGATGATGTTGTTGCGTCATACTCAAATCAAACGTAATCTTCCGACACCTTCTCTGCGTCTCCACATCGTCCAAGTTCATCGTAACCACCGTTTCCTGAGCCGGCAATGAGAACGTTGACAAATGTCGTTTTTGATTTTGTGAAGTGTTTTCGGCTGAAAAATTGAATTCATTTTAATTAGTGTAATAATTTGCCGGTTTCCGCCTTGGCAAGCGGAAAAACAACAAAAGGACCCATAAATTATTCCAGCGTTTTTTTGGGGGCAAAAAAGAGCACTTTTTGTTTTAGTTCTTCTTGCTCTCACTTGAAGAAAAAAAACACAACAAAAAACTTGAGATCGAAGAGTGAAAGGAAGTGAATTTTATATAAGTTTCGGTGTGAAAAACAAGAAATTTCCAATTTTTTCTCAAAGATAAACAACTTTTTTTGTCATTTGAAAAAAAATTGTTTGCCTCGGAGCGGGATCGAACCCATGACCTTGTGAATTTACGGCGAGTGTGCTAACCACTCGGCCACGCGTTATTGTTTTTTCTAGCCCGCAAATGTTTGATATATGAAACTAGAACTAGAACTAGAAAACTAGAATTTCAGTGAAATTTTTAATTAGTGAGTTTTGGTCCAAGAAATCCCCAGACGAAACTACAAATGTCGACGTCGTTTTTGGTCTTTTTCAAGAAAAAATCCTTCTCTCTTGGGTATAATTATATCTATTTTTTTTGGATGGAATGGAATGTATTTATGAATAAGTAGACCATTTTTCATGAGACATTTGAGACCGAAGATTATTATAATGTGAGGGAAAAAAAGAAAAAAAAGTTTGCCTCGAAGGGGGTTCGAACCCGTGACCCATAATTTGAAAGACGTGCGTGTTACCCACTCGGCCACAAACTCACTTTGATTCGGCGGCGAAGATGGATACAAACTATCCCTCTCCTCATCATTCCCAATAGTTCCAGCCCTTCGAAATCCTCGATTCTTCAAAAATATCGATCTCCGTTTTTTCGACGATTTATCAAAAAACCCATTGATCCAACAAATCAGGCAAGAGATCGGAATCAAAAGTCCAGTGAAAATCGCGAGAAAAATGACGAGAAAAAATATGTAGAGATTTAGAGCGCATTCAAAATTCGCGTCGATTGAAATTATACACCCAGATACTAGGGAACCGCATTCTTCTTGACATTTTTGCTGAAAATTTTATCTAAAAAATTTTTTTCAGAGCTAGAACTCACCAAAGTTGGAAAAACCGGATGTTGCATTGTGTTGTTCTCGCCTACGCCATTTTGAAAAACAAGAATTTTTCAGAAGAGGCAGCTGGAAAAAACGTACTTTTCTCTGGAATTTTTCAACTTGAGAACTAAAAATTCTGAATTCTAAGTTAGCCTAACATAAAATTATAACTACAAACCACAAAAAAATATAATATAGAGAAGGGAAGAAGCAAAAAAAAATCAAATTATTCTATTTTTTTTTATTTTTTTCCCCAGACACAAACAGGATGAGTAAGAGAGAGAAAAATCGGGCCTATTCGGGCCTTAGGCCTTTCCTGGGCCTCTACATTCCAAAAAAGGCCTTTTCTCTTAAAGAACGTTTGAAAAAGTGGGGCGTGGTTTGGAGGCGTGGCCTAGAATGAATGAATAAATGAATTTTGATCAGAATAGTTTGATGTGGGGGGAAGAGAAGAGAGTGTTGGAATTGGAGAGACGCAGAGTGTTTGAGAATTCGAATTTTTTAGGGCCAAAAATGATAGGATTCAGATTTTTCAGGCTGAAAGTTTTAAGCTGAAATGCCACGTGGAATTAATTTTTTTTAATATTTTTTATTAAATTTATAAATATTGAGCTGAAAAATCCACGTGAGAAAATTTAGAATCGATCAAAAATTCTAGATTTTTAGAGCATTCAAATGTCCAAAAAAATCTACAATTGCCACGTGGCTTTAACTCTGTAACACAAAAATTGAAATTTAAAACTTGAAGCTTCATGATAAAAATGTGAAAAAATTTAAAAAAAAGTATCCCAGATTTCGAAAAAAAATTCGGAGATTTTCCAAAAAAATCATGTTTTTTGTTGTCTGATTTTTTGGGGGTTTCCTTTTTCCTTCAAAAAAAAAAACAATCTAGTGAAAATGATGTTTTCGATTTTCTGGAAAAAAAAAACATAAAGACATAGATAGGAAAAATGGGAAAAAATAATCGAATTTCCTTCTCTTCGCACACTTGAACTTTTTCCGAATTATGAGAAATTCCAAAAAAAAAATGAAGAAAAAAAATCACGAAATGCACAAACTTTTTAACGTTTCGTGTTCATTTCTGAATTTTTGAGCAGTTTTAAAAATAAAATAAGAAAAAAAATGTATTTTTAGTGCCGGAAAAAAAGCAGAAGCTTGGAAAAAAATATTATTAAATTTTGTTGTGGCTCTTATAGAAAGTGACCCTTTTTTTTGTGAGCGAAAAATGCGGAAATTTTCCGAAAATTTTCGTTGAAGCGGAAATTTTTTCGAGATTTTTCCTCGACAAAAATAGTATTTTTGGGACCCTTTTCCACGTGGCAATTGTTATTGTAACTAATTTCCGTGCGCCGGAAAAAACAAGACCAAATCTTAATACACAAAAATGTGTGCAAAAAAATACATCAGAGCCCAAAAAATCAATCATGACAGAACTCGATGAGATTCTATTCTTCGCTCCAAAATGGCTCACTCAATCCTACAATTTTCTGGGTCTCGTATCGATTTTGATCAATACAGTAGGCATTTTTCTAATAATTTTCAAAAGTGATCGAATGGACAACTTCTACAAGTTCTACCTGTTAGCCTACGAAGTTAGCACAACTATTTTCGACTTGGTTATCACGATGTTCGGACAGGTTGTCACGATGTTTCCGATTTGGGCAGCGCATTCGGAACACGGTGTTTTTTGGCGGGTTTTCGGGTGGAATACACATTGGACTGTGGTGGGTTGGGATTCCGAATTTGATCTATTCATCTTTTCATCGGCGACAAAATTGGCTCGCCACAAAAAAAAAAAGTGAAAAAAGAAAAACTTTGAAAGTTTGAACACCAATAATCATCCAATTTACCCGAGAGACCACTTTTAAAAGTTTTTTTCCGGAAAAAAATTCGCAAAAAATTGGATGACGAAATTTTTCGGGAAAATTAAAATTGAATTTCAATTTAAAAAATTTCAAATTTGTATAGGAGCTGAGCCTAGAGAACATAATTATATAGAAAGCTCGCCTAGAAAACCTACATGAATAGGTCTCGCTTCTAGATAACCTATATGTATAGGGCCCGCGCCTAGAAAACATTGTTGTATAGGAGCCGCGCCTAGAGAAGCTAAGCGTATAGAGCCCACGTGTAGAAAACATCGTTGTATAGGTCTCGCGCCTAGCGAACCTTTTTGCTTAGGACTCACACCTAGAGAAAATTTTTGTATAGGGCCCGTGCCTAGAGAACAAAATTGTATAGGGTCTGTGCCTAAAGATCCTACTTGTATAGGAATCGTGCCTAGAGAACCTAATTGTATAGGAATTGCGCCTAGAGAAACTACTTGTATGGGATCCGCCCCTAGACAACCACTATAACAAGCAGCCAATCCTTGAGAGACAGTGTGGCTGAATTTCTGACAAAATTCCAATTTTTAGCTGTACAAAATTTGAAAAAATGTCGAGTTTGGTCTCAAAATGACCAGAATTTCAGCGTCAATCCCAATTTTCAGGTATCAATAATGGCATTCGCCTCAATCCAACTCACAACTCTCTCAATGTGCTATCTCAAAAAGCATCAGACAATCAACAATCTCACCGACACTCGATTCTTCCACATCTCCCCGAATAATTCCAGATTACTAATTGCAAGCATCTCATTAGCTCTGGCCATACAAACTTTCAGCTTCTCAATGACCGCCAAATCAAAAGCTGAGCAGATGAAGTTGGTGAAAATTCTCTATCCAGAATTTTGGATGAATTTCGAGAGAATTCCGAGTTTTGTGATCTACGAGAAACAATTTATCATGTTTTTTTTGCTGGTGACCGGATCGATTTGTCAAGTTTCAGTAGGAATTTTGATTTTTGTGCTGACTTCTCATATGCTATATATTTTGCACAAAAATAATCGAAAGGTTTCGGGAATCATGTATACAAAACAAAAAATTGCTTTGTACGGATTACTTGCTCAGGTTAGCCTAAAATAAATGAATCAATACAATTTTGAGTCATTTTTTTTGCAGACCTCAACGTATTCTTGCATGCTCATCCCAATCGCATGTGCTGTTGTTATAATTGCCTTGGATCTACAACATATCACAAATGTTTCGCTGATTTTTATTCTGATGTTCTCCACGCATTCCTCATTGAATTGCATAGTTATGATTTTCACGACAGCCTCGTTTCGAAAATGGATTTTGGAGAAGGTTTTTTGTAGAAAGACTTCGAATAATTTGGTGAATGTTAAAATTAGTATGGCTAATCGAGAAACCTGAGGAACAACTTTTATTTGATCTTTCAAATAAACATTTTCAGAAATGAGATTCGGGAAAATCTGGGATCTGAAAGCTTCAGATTTTTGTAGAAGTTCAAGGTACAAGTAATGTTTTTCATAGAAACGATCTACAGTTTTTGAAACCCGTTATCAACCTGGTGTAGGCTGGCAAAAATAATACCAGAATACAACATTTTTAGAAATGCTAAAAATGGCCGCCCAGAATACAACTCACGTTTTTTTAATGATACCAATGCAATGATTTTTTTATGGGGCAACATAGAATACCAGAATACATAGAAATAGAAATACCAGAATACAACATTTTTTAATTTATTCAAAATTTCAACAATTTTGTGTTACTTTTTGTTCAGAAAATGTTATTGAAACAATTAAACGGTTAATAGAAAACGAGTTGAATAGTATAACTGTGCTCTTCACGAATAATTTATCATTTTGATCGCTACCAATTCATGTAAAAAGCAATGATATTTGCCTTGAAGCCTCGATGATGACAATTTTCAAAAATCAGTTTTTCTGAATTTGGAAATTGCTCTGAATGAAAATGGTTTTCCACCATCAAATTTACACTATATCCAGTTGAACAAAATTTAATTGAAACTGAGGATTTTATACATTTTGTTCGAGATCGAATAAACGGAAGAGGTTTACTGTATTTGAATTTTGCTTCCACGTGGAATCGTGTTGGAAAAATTCGGAAGGTTGGATTTGATGATTTTTTTTCCAAAGCAGAAAAAAGGTTGTATTCTGGTATTTTTGCAAATGGGTAAAATTGTAAAATTGCATTTTGTAAAATTGTATTATTGTAAACGTGTAAAAAATAAATATTGCATTTTGGGACCACATTACCTCATTTTTGCCAGCCTAACCTGGTGCCATCTTGGGTAAAAGTATTTTTGTGAAAGCCGGAACGTTTTCTGATCAATTTTTTTGATGATAAAAAATTGAATAGAAAATGTAGCGAAAATATTGTGGTTTCCTAGGGTTACTGTAGGGTTTTGCAAGTTTTTTCAGAACTTTTGCAGTCCATGTTCTAGTTGTGAAGATCTCTAGAATATTTTTCCGAAACACTTTGAATTTCAAAATTTTTATTTCAATAAATAAATTAAGAAATCACGAATAAACCATCCACATATCCCTCAAAGCCACTATATCAGTCGAAAGTAGTTCAATAATTTTCTCAACTTTTCCTGGATGCGTTGATCTTCGAATTTGTTGAACTTTCAATGGGAGTTTGTCAAGATCTTCTTCTCTAGTCAATAATGCTACATCTATAAGATCATCCATACGAACTGCGAAATTGCCAGATCCAAATAAACACATTTCAAGTATGAAGGCTAACTCGAGTTCAGCCTTTTGATTTTCAAGATGTTCTCTATTCAAAAACTTCTGAATCAATTCGCCTTCTGGGATTTTATCATCGCAAGCAATTCCATAATACATATTTTTATAGAAATTGTACATGGCTTCGAGTTTTCGATTTGTCTCATAATCAAGCTTACAAATTTCAGGAGCGGTTCTATAAAGATCTAGACTTCCTCCATTGATGAGTTTCTCATCTCGATGACGATGACGACGGCCTTCAATTCCACAAATACTAGCAACAATCACAAAGACAATCAGTAATTTTATCATTTTTTCTTGACAGTGCTGCACGAAAATTTGGCTCCTCTTTTGTATGCTTCAAAATCTCCGCCCAATTTTTTATCGAACACACATTTTACGCATGTGACACCGGGGAATCAAAGAACTTTTTGATAAGGAACTTGAAATTATTCGGGCGTTTTTCTAGTTTTATCAAAAGGAAATTAGAAATTTGTAGTTACGGTGGATCAAAAATTAGGAATTTCAAAGTTTCTGTATGCAGTCCAAGTATCATCCTCTTCTAAAGGACTCTCGAAAAAAATACCTAAAAATGACGCTTACAGTCATCATTTTCAATATAATTTTTGGGAGAAACAAAGATGTACATCAGCACCAATAAAAAACTTTTTTTTAATTTCGGAAATTTCTATTTTCGGCTGAAAATTCATACGTAAGTTTTGAAATTTTGAGAGCCCAGAACTTGGCTCAGAGATTCATTTGGAGACTAACATTTTTAGGGTGTTCTTATGACCCCAAAAACTGTCCATAAACAAAATTTTTATCAAGATTTGAAGTGTTGAGCAAAAAAGGTCCCCTTGTAAATCAATTTCTGGTTTTTCACAGCGAAAATGATAAAAAATTTTTGTGACTTAATTTGAGTCGGAGACTATTTCGGGTCAATGTGTGTGTGATAAAGAATTAAGTCACGATGTGAAAAAGTATTTGAATTTTGAACTGTGATGTTAGCCCGATTGAAAAATTAATTTGAAAACGCTAAGATGTTGGGGTTACTGTAAAACGTGACAATTTTCTAGTTACTGTGATTCAATCAATATCTGGATTACTGTAGACAGAAATATGAACATTTATGTTAGTATTTTTCAATGTTCTAGTTTTATCAGAAAACAATATCACCACATTTTTTCTGGGTGATAAAATGCTTTGTGCAAGTTGTAACATCAATAGAAATTTGTTCAATGATGTTTGGAATCAAACCTATTCCGGCTTGGTTTTGATTTTTTTTTTATAAAAAATCTGTACAAATATCAGTGAAACAGTTTAGAGTTTCGAACAAATCAAAAAGAATTTTCACATACGATGTGGATTTTCTTTACTGTTGAATTCCATGATTTCTAGATTCTCACATTCAGAATTACTGCAGGTTTTTCTTCATTCCTTTTCGAAGAATCTATTTTCTTGATCACATTTTTCTAGTTTTATCAACGAAAATAAATTCGGCACGATTTTTCGATGACAAAAAACTATTTTGGAGTGAAAAAACCGACAGAACTGTGATGCTTCTATAAAATCCCATGAAGATTGGTTTTCAAAAACTACAGCATTGCTCATATGAAAAATTGATTGTTTTGAATCAAGATCAAGATTTCAAGGATCAGAACTATTTTTCTGACCGAAACATCTCACGATCAAAGTTCCACAAGTTTATTTTCCACTCCGAAAAAATGTGCTGATAAAGTTTTCTACAAACTTATCAGCGAACATTTTGTGTTTCAACCCGTAGAGAAAGATAAGAGCACAGTGTGTTATTCATTCAAGATTTATTGTGTTACAAAAGTCAAAAAAAATATTAAAGTAAAAAACATCGAGGCTAGATAGGTTTAGAGGGAAATAAAATGAGGGGAACATTTAACAGGGAAATTTAGATTTTGAGTTCCAGCTTATAGTAAAGCTCCTTCAATAATTTGCTATTGTCGCGAAGATAATTGGTGACTTTTTGAGTCGGAGTCATAGTCGACCAATCGGTTGGGTAAGCACTGTTTCTCATTTCAATAATATCTTTTGGGAGTATGGGATCTTCGGATGTCAGGGCAAACTGTTTGGCTTTTTCGAGAAATACTTTGAAATTTCGTCGGTGGACGCATACATTCAAAACGAAATCCAAATCCTTGTTATCTCGACGAACTTCCATTGACCAGTGGTTGTGCAAAAACGATTCGATTCTCTGAGCTTCCGGATTCCAAGAACATTCTCGACGTTGGTGAATATCTCGAATACAGTCGCACATTTCCGATAGAACAGAAGATCTGCACACCCGTGGAGACATGTAATAGCAATCTTCATGTTCTTCAGATGAATATTCGAGGCTGGAGCCAAACAAGAAGATGATGGAGAGAATTAGGGTGAGAGTTGAAGCCATGTTGAGTTAAGAGCAGAACAATTTTCAGTTCAGAATAATGTGAAAATGACTGAATTTCAGACTTTTATGCACATTTTTTTCTGAAAATATTAAGTAGTCTCCGCCCATTTAGTGGTACCTAAGCCCCGCCTCCAAAAAATGGCGGTAGAACGAAGTTGCTCGAAGAAAAATCATTTTGGAACAAAAAATGTGCACCGAGGAAGAATCGAACTCGGGTATCGCGCGTGGCAGCCTAAAACTCTACCACTGAGCCAGAGGGGGTTTTGTGGAGCTGCATCAAATGCTGGTGATGAAGAAAACCCTGAATTCAGAACTGTTCCAGAAAATTCGCAAATTTTCGCGACTCACAATACTGTTCTTCAAGTTTAATTATTTTCGATTCCGAAAAATGCTGATAAAGTTTTCTACGAACTTATCAACATTTTCTTGTTTCAACCTGTATACATAGATAAGAACACAAATCATTCCTCATTCAAAATTTATTGTTCTACAAAAATCAAAAAACTACAAAAATTGGAATTGGTGCAAAAATATTATTGAAGTATAAAATAAATCGAGATAGGGAAAAAATATCAGAGGAAAAAAATGAGGAGGGGAACATTTAACATTGGAATTTTTTAATTTAGATTCCAAGGTACAGTTTATTGTAAACACTTTTGAAGAAGACGTCATTGTCGAGCAAATAATGTCCCAGTTTTTGTTTTGGAGTCTGTTCCTTTGAAAAACCGTTGGTTCGCATTTGAATAACAGCTTGTGGGATCATATGATCTTCGGAGTTCATGCAGAATTCGACGGCTTTGTCCATGAATGGAGTAAATGTATCTTGTTTGATGCAAAGGGCCCAAACGAAATCCCATTCCTTGTTTTCCCGGCGAATCTCCATTGACATATTGCTCGTGAGAAACTCCGCAATCTTTGGGGTTTCAGGGCATTTTCCAGTGGTGTGAAGAGATTGAACGCAGTCGCACATTGTGCGGAGAATCTTTTGGGTGCTCGCAAATCCTCTGCACACCGGTGGAGCAAATTCATAGCAATTCTCTTCGTTGTCGAGTTCGACTTCTTCAGATTCTTTGGATGAAGATTCGTAGGTGGAGGTGCTCAAGCCGAAGAGCAAGAAGATGGTGAGAAGCATGGTCAGAGTTGGAGTTGAAGCCATGCTGAGAAACTTCAAGAAAAGTTTCTGAGATGAGGATTAAATGAGCGAATTTCAGACTTAAATGCACACTTTTTTTTCTCCGCCCATTCAACTATACTTAATCTCCGCCTTTTACTAATTGCCTTTGATTTCTGATGTTTGACTTGAGCTAATGAGGAAGAGGAAGTTGGTGCAACTTGGGATGAACTTGAAAATCCAGATGAGATCTTCTGAATCCCAAGTTGTTCCAGAGAAATTTCCTGAACTTTAACCTGCCTAAAAAAAACACAATTTTTTTGTTCAACAATTTATTCACTTTCGGAAAACTTTCAATCAATATGAAATTAGGCTGTTTTCCTGGCTAAGCCCAGCTTTCCACAAGGCCTTGAAAACCTTCAAATCCTTCTGCAACAAATCACTCATCGCTGGGAGCATTTGATTTTCCGGCAAAGCGCGGATTTCTTGAACCATTTTTGGAAGTTCCTCAATTTTCGGATAGTGTAGGCCTTCATAAATCGCACCAGCCAATTGATTCTCATAATTCTGCTCTCCATACAAACAAACATCTCGGATAAATGCGATTTCCAGCTCGGATTGACGTTCAAATCGGATGTTCTTCAGATATTTCTCGATGAGAGCAAGTTCTTGGGTTTCAGTTTCATTTCCAGATTTGGTCAGAGTACAGGATTTTCCCAGAGCAACATTCTTGAGGCAGGCATACATAATTCTCATCGTCCGATCAGCTTCCAAATCCAGCTTGCATATTTTTGGAGCAGTTTTGTAGAGATCCTTCGGTCCTCCATTGAGATAAGTTTCAATGTCAGCAGGGCTCATCGAGGAGTTGACAGCGACGATTGCGCAGAGCACAAAAATTTTGAACTTGGTCATGAGCAAGCCGCAACTAGTTAGCCAAACTCAATAAAATGTTGGCTCAATGAGCCGTGCCTAGCACGGGCTGGGCTCTGCCCATTTTCTTCTAAATTGTTCCTAATTTGAAAGAAAAAAATCATGATGATTTGATTTTTGTACTTTTCCTAAATACAGTCATCATTTTCTTTCTGTGTAGTTTTATCATAGATTATCGGAAAAAATATAAATATTGTTTGGAAGGGCAAAGGTTGATTGTGTTGCTTTATTTGGTTGGGAATTTGGAATGGGGGAATAATTAATTTATTTTTAGTTAGAGCAGCAATTGGAAATTCTTGATTTAAAATAGGCTACAACACTATGTACATACAGATTTTGAAAGCAGGTGAAAACAAGTTTAAAAATATTTAAACATTTTCTTAAATGGCATACGTGGCCGAACTATTTTGGTGGCCGAGAAAAGTCGGGAATTCGACCAAAGCAACAAACGGGCTTCAATAATGAGAATTTTTGCAACATTAGAGCGAGTTTGTTGGTTTGGCCGAATTCCCGACATTTCTCGGCCACCAAAATAGTTCGGCCACATATAGTTTCTGAAATTTATATTCAAATTCAATTTTTTTGTGAAAAAATCCTATTTTTAAAAATTCACAAAAAGTTTTTATCCAGTTAAAAGCGAGAAAATGTGAATCAATAATTGCACATTTAGAAAAAAATGGAAGAAAAAGGGGGAAGGATTTTGTGGATCAATAATTACATATTTTCATTCCGAAAAAAAAAGAACCTTGGAAGAGAACCGTAATGGCCTAGAAAACCAAGACTACAGTAGACTTCGCGAAATATTGGAGTCTATTTGAAAAATAAAATGCGAAATTTACACGTTGGCTATTTGCCAACCAGTTTGATGTGCATGTGTCACGTCATTTTTAGTCTACTGTACGTGAGCGCCAATTTAAAGGGGGGTTTTTTTATTTACGGATTGACAATAGGTTGAAAATAAAAACTATTCAATTTCTATAACATCACATTTAAGTTATCATAAATCAATAGTTTTTCATCTTAACTTTTTTTTCATAAACTGGATTTTACTTCCTCAAGTCAGCTTTTGGAATTTTCAAAAATCTTAGAGTATTGTGAATGTGAAAAAGTCTGGACTTCCTGGTTTTACAGATAATCTAAATCAACGCTTTCTGAGCCTTCAGCTTCTAACCAAACTAGACTTTTCTTAGCCTAGAATATGTCAAACTTGTTTATTCAAAAATGATATCAGAATCAAACTTCAGACAACCTTTCCAATTTCAAAACTTCACAAACCACGAGATTTTTTCTATTTCCTGCTTGTTTTAAAAATTCACAAACTACAAACATACATCAAATCAAAATAAGCCGACCAGTCAAAAAAAGTGGGCGGAGCTACCATAGCCTTGCTGAAAATCAGTTAGCCCTCAAGTGCACCCCAAGGATGCGCCTGGCTCTTCTCGTTTTCCTGTTTGGTGTACACGCGACGATGCGCCACACCATGTCTAATGAGAAATTTGTCGTGATGGTCCACGACAAAAATTTCTTGACCGATTACACTGATAGGTAAGTAAGTGGCTCAGCCTAGATTCTAAACATGAAAAAATTAATTTAATTCCAGTTATCCAACTACTTTGTGCAAATCACGTACAAATGGAGAACTCTTCTTCCAAATCAAGGCCATCTGCGGGTCAAACAAATTGTACCCGAAGATCAGTGATGACCAGATTGTGCATATGACTCATCTTAAAGTCAAGAATGATGAGAAGCTCAACGAATTGGACATTATGAGAATGTGCACCAATGATTTGCCGAGCTTTGGAAAAATCCACGAGATGAGCACATTGGATATTTTTCAAGACGAGAAATTGTACTATTATTGTTGAAATTCTGATAATTGATTTATCTGTACCTCAATAAATAGTTTTGTTAACAGAAAAAGTTTACTTGATTCTTTGAGAGTTGAATTTAATTTGCAGGAAAAATCTAATTGGAGTTGAATAGTTTCTCAGAATCTACGAAATTTCAGAATACATTATCACCCAAATTAGATCTACAGTAATCCTAGATGTTCATTTGCTTCCATAGAAAATTAGCTGAAAAATGTAAATTGTCAACTAGATCTTCTTTGACGTATGAATACGTATTCTAATTGACAATGAAACGTTTTTTTCATGACGCAAAGTTGCATCAATAGGAAATATTAGATTTTTCAGGGATTCACTTATGTTGCACAAAAACGTGGAAAATTTAACAAATTATTCATTTCAAAATATGTACACGGCTTAATCAATAATTTGTTGGTTACTTTTGAAAAATCGATATTTGCCTTTTTACTAGAAACTATTTTTCAAGTCCTATTTTCTTCAAACTTACAGTGAGATTTGAATTTATTGAAACTCACTGTACAAATACAGTAACTTCAGTATAAAACTTCCAAAATTTCGAATTTCGCCCAACTCTTGTTCCGTGTTCAAACTATAATCATTAGGTAAATCAAATGTTCAGAATTGTTTTGTCTAATAAGTCTCACATTTCACCGCAAAGTTCATAACCTTATTTGTTGGCTGGAAAAGTCTACTACAATGTATTCTATCAATAAAACACTCAAAAATTAGATTATTCTAATAGTTTTAAAACAAAACACCGATGTGCTCAGAAAACATTGAAAATTTGTAATTGGTTTTTAGGTTTCCAAATTATTGATTTTTTGGAAGCTTGTGTTATGGTACAGTTCTATCTATTGATTGTCATCTTACAGTAAAATATTCATACATCTTCAAATCTCAAAATCAGCTTCAAAATTTCTATTTTTGAACATCATTTTCTGATATAACTAGAACGTAGTCAAACATGTTCTCTGTAAAATTGAGAACATTTTCAGGTACATTTTATTTTCCTAGAAGCTTGGCTAATTTTAGTTTTGTTATAACCAATTCGCTGATTGAAACAGAGAACAACTTGAACAGACTACATTGAAACGGGGGTTTTCATTTTGAGAAAAAAACGACTTGGAAAATTTATGGCAGCTTTTTAGCACTGGGGTGGCACAAACGTGCAAGTGGACCAAGGAAATATTAGATTACAAACTTCTCTCTTGGCTCCAAATACTACTGTATTCTGGAACAGTTCCAAAGATCCAAATCCCATGAACTCCTTTCTTCAAGAACATTTCTGTGCTCTTCAAATTTCAATAGAACACAAATTTGATCTTTCAAAAAACTTCTTCCGGCCTAATTTTTAGTGATGTTACAGAATTAAGCTTTTGAAAGCTTTTGAAATCAACACAGAGAACGTGCTTTTGAATAAAGTTCATAAAATCATGTTCCGATAGAACAGCATCAACACACATTTGGATGAACTGAATTACAAAATACTGAAACCAGGGAGTTTTTTTTGACAAAAATCAAGTTATCGATTTTTTTTGTCACGTTGGAGGTGCGAGATCTAATAGTTAATTGTTCATCAATAAGAATCTCATTTTGTTTTCCTGTAAACCGTCCGAAGGTTGCCTTGATTCAGTTCTTGAACAAGTTCAAGTATTGAATCTGCAGTTTCAGAGATCCAGAGCCCATGAACTCTTATGTTCAAGAACATTTTTGTGCTCTTCAGAAACAAACATCTTCTGATTTCAGTGATGTTAGGTCAAAACTCAAGTAAACATCCAACGCAAAGAACGTGCTCTTGAATGAAGAACACGAAGCACAAAAAATGCACAAAAGGCACAACAAAACAAGGGACTTTCTGAATTTTATGAAGAAAAAAAATTGTCAAGCAAATTTCTAGTGATACCAAGGCTCCAAAGTTCTACACACATAGATCTAGAACATCGTGTAGATCGAGAACATTTTCAAATTTAATTTTAGTTGTCATTAATTTAAGGTCACCCACTTTTCACTGTAACAAATCATGTTTTCAAGAAAAATTAGATCAGGTACAAAAAGTTCCGGCTATAATTTCAAGTTCTAAAAAGAGTTAGGGATTTAATTCAGGTTGCCTGGAGATTTTGAAAAAATTGGGTCAATAAGTTATGGTCCAAAATTTGGTGAAAATGTGAGTTATCGATTTTTTCTGTGAAAGTTCCCAACGAGCTTTGAAAATTTTTTGAATCACTAAAATATGGACTTAACTTCCACGTGATAAATTCCTATTTTTTTTTAATCAATATTTCATAAGAAATAGATTTAGTCTAACTCTACCCAACATCTCAACTAATGAATCTTTAGTGTGAAATTAGCCTAACTATCCAAAACTTCCTGGCCCAAAAGAATCTGGCTAACTCAAAAACTAGAACTCTTCAGAGCAAAATGAACACCGTAGCCACGTCATAACCAACGCCACCCAAATAATAATGAATCGATTCGTGCACCCCATTTGCTCACCACACCCCCTCTCCAAACGCACGGCAACTAATCCTCATTTTCTTCTTTCTCTTCCAAAAAAAATATATGTGGTCTATGAGAATTCGCCGTTTTAGTCTAACTTCCCAAGTATTGATTCCGAAAATTGAATTAGGATAAAATGCTCCGTTTTTCTAGCTTTCGAATGAGCCCACTTACAACTTCTATGAAATCGATTAAGTATTCGAAAAAATTGTTGGCGATTCAAAACTTTGTTCAGTCCAAAAACCGTACCCGCTCACCGAATCACACCAGAATTTCTATGCCCTCTTTCCTCCCCAGTTGATAAGAAATTTCAACAGCAAATTTCCTAGATAACACCGTAACCCTCCAAAAAATTATCGATTTTTCTCTAAAACATATAATTTTGCATTCAAACGAAGGCGGCCCCGTGTAAGGGACAGCAATCTCCAATGTCTGCCGTCTCTCAACTCACTCACACTATCTCGCCTTATCTATACTAGGTGTGTGAGCATGAAAGTACTACACCTGTCTTGTTGAGGGGTCTAATTCGAAGGGCAAGATGGATTTTTTTGGGGTTCGAATGGGGACCATTCGATTGGTTGTGATGAGTCTTGAAGTTTGGTGTAGGAATCGGGAAATTTCACATTTCTAGTCAAGAGATAATCGGGCTCGAACTTTGAGCCCATTCTGATGGTTGAGCAGGTGGAAATTATATTACTTCTTGATTTTAAAACTGTTTTTGGAATTCTTGATTTAGTGTTAAATCTTGAGCATCATTCAATAGTTCCTAACCCTGAATTTTATGATTCGGAGCTCATTTTTAGACCAGAGCCTACTGTAAGTCAAATCAAATTGAAGTTAAATCATTCAAAAGGTTCTAGCTGCGTCTTAGAATACTAGAATACTTCTGAGCCTCAAAAATCACCAAAAGTTCAGCTTGATCACCTGAAAACTTGTTATTGTTGTATACAACTTCAGTTCTCTGTAATTAGCCCTACTGAAGTTTGATTTGAGTCCAACTTTTGCATAAAAACGTTGTTGATGTGTTTTGAGCTCAAGTATTTTGGACTTTATGGTTTCTAGAAGATCTCTAGAACTAGGAGAGCTCTAGAACTTTGCATGATCACTTTGGAGCACAAATTCGAGCAACGCTGATGTTTGATCTCCTTCAATGAATCTATGCATTTTTGACCCAGAACTATGTGATGATACAAATAGTTATCAGGTTATTATCATTGTATAGCGGAGTAAACAACTTTTTTTCCATGCAACAACATTTTTGTTGGAAAAAATTGTACAGTTTCAAGGAATTATTCTTGTTTTGAAATTGGTATTTTCAAAAATCTCAGAATATTTTCCATATTTTGGTGTATCTTCGGAAAAATATAATACATAGGTTCTTGGAACATAGCCCAATTTTTTACTGAAAAAAAAACCACATGAATTGTAGCTCAACCTAATTTATCTAGGTTATAATTTGAAGAAAGCTATAATTTTCGGTGCAAACTTTAACAATAAAAAACTGACCATGAATCATAGTAGCTAATTATCTGCCAAGTTACAGTATACCTAGTAAAGGCTATAATTTTCCGTCCAATTTTCATGATTTCCTGATCAAGACTAAGGTTATTTTAGGATGTTTACAATTAGTTGTTTGATCTTCGAGTTGTTGTTGTGCAAAAGTTGCTATTTTCAGAAGCATAAATTATTAGAGCACAAACAAGTTTGAGGCCAAAGTTTTTTGCAGAACTTTGGGTACATTTTTGAATTTCAAATTTTGAGGGAACCTTGAATGAGTTCTGGAACAATTTATGTTCACAAATCGAGAAAAACTATCCACAAAATATAATTACCAGGTAAACCAAAAAAGGTCCGTTTGACAGGAACACCGCAATCTTGAACGTCTGCGTCTCCTCACCCTCCACACTCTCTAGCTCCAATTACAGTGTACAAGAGTAGGAAACATGTTACAAGGAACCGAATCACAAATTGTATGATTTTTGATTTTTACCAAGTTTCTGTTTAATTTCCGGCAAATTTGATAACTATAATTCAATAATCTGCAAATTCTGATACAATTTTCGAAACACATTTGTTCAAGGGTTACGGTAGAGCACAGAACTCGAGTTGTTTTCAGATTTCCTGGTTGAATTTAGGCGTGAAATCGTTAATTCAATTAACTATACGATGTCATGATTACACTTATTTAAAGTTGTTTAGTTGTTTGATCTTCAACTTGTTGTTGTGCAAAATTTGCTATTTTTGGAGCCATGAATTACTGTGGCAAAAACAAGAAGTTCAGGTTCAGAATTTACACAACTTTTTTTCCAAATTTCCAGGGACCTTCGAAGTCCAGCGTTTTCTCACAGCCGACACATATAATTTCCATATAATACACCTTTTGTCAGGGACACCACAATCTTGGACGTCTGCTACTCCTTGCTCCACACACTCTCTCGTCGGTTTTATCTATGCTCAGATTAGGTGAACATGGAAGAAATGTGCACCTGTCTTGACCAGGT